TGTCGCAATCTCTTCTGCGTGCTTTGATTGAGTATTCTCAAGCTGCTTCATTTGGTTGGCATGAGCCGCTTCCAGCGCCTGAATCTCCTCTTCATGTGTTGACTGTGCGTCGTTGTGCTGCTGTATCTCACCAGCATGGGCCGCCTTCAACGCCGCTACCTCATCTTCATGTTTTGATTGTGTGTCGGCTCGCAGTTGAGTCAACTCTTCGTTATGGCGAGCTTTCAGTTGAGTGAGCTCTTCATTCGCAGTCCTATGCTGAGCTTCCAATTGCTCGAAACGTGCTTCATGTTTGGTTCCGGCTTCTTCAAGAGCTAGTCTTGCCTCATCCAGCTGAGATTGTAGCGCTGACACCGCTCCCTGGTGAGCATCCTGCTTCGCTCCCGCTTCGTTATTTGTCTTCTGCAGCTCAGCTTGCAATGTTTCGAGTTTATTTGTGTGAGAGGCTTTGGTGTCCTCGAGCTGTGAAGTGGCAAGACCCAGCTCGTCTGCAGACTTCTTCAAGGCATCTTGCAGATTGGCCTCGTGCATGGCTTCAGTTTGCTCAAGACGTTCACGGGCTTCATGCAGTTGCGTTTCGATATCTTGCAATCTCTCCGAGTGGTTCTTCTCAGCTGCTGCAACACTTTCAGCGGCGGCAGCAGCTTCGTTGGCATTGCGTTTCTGCAGGATGTCCAGCTGCTCCCGGAGCTCAGAGATGAGACTGGATTGAGCATCACTCTCCTCCTTCTTTGCTTGCTGGAAATCAAGAAGCTGTTTTTTCAAACCCTGCATAAGCTGGCCCTGCCTGCTCATTTCATCGTCAATCTTGGCGTGCTCCTCCCGTTGTAGATCAATCTGCTTCTGCTTGACGGAGAGTTCAGCTTGTGCTTGCTCAAGCTCATCTTTCAGGGTCGCCATTTGTTCTCCATACTTGGCTTCGAGTGCAGCAGTCTTGGTTCCCACTTCTTGCTGCAGTCTGGCGATCTTCGTCTTCGCATTCTCCTTTGCAGCCATATGCCTAGTCCGTGCTGCCTCAAGCTTCTTCTGTGCGTCTGCAAGCTCTTCAGCATGTGCTGGTGACTCTGACTTGGTCGGTGACGGCACAGATTCACTTGCAGATTCTGACGCGACAGTCTTCGCCTCAAGATCAAGCTTGAGCTTCTCGATCTCGGCGTCTTTCGCGAGTTGGTCCTTCAGGGTAGAAGTTTGGAGTTCGGTGAGTTCTGCTTGTATCCTTTCCATCTCGCCATCTTTCGCGGAGGCTTTGTTGGCGTGTGCCTTGCGCAGGTCGTCCAGCTCTACTTTCAAGCGTTGAGCTTCTGCCTGCTTCGCAGCCATTTCGCCGGATAACTGTTCTCTTACTGCGCCAATCTCGGACTCCTGACCCGTGGTTAGCTCCTGCACCTTTTTCTCATGTGCCCCTTCTAATTCGCGGAGCTTGTTGTCATGCAGGGAGTTCAACTCATTGAGCTTGGTCGCATGTTCGGCTCTGATTGCTTCAGCGTTTTCCTCTGCACGCTGGCTCTCACTGGCAACAATGCTGCTGGACTCCTCGAGCTTTGTCTTCAGTTCGGTCAATTCAGATTGTAAAGTCTCGATCTGAGCCTCACTGTCCGCCAACTCATTCGATGCACTCTTGCTGGATTCCTTAAGCTTCGCCTTAAGCTCGACTAACTCAGATTGTAAGGTGTCAATCTGAGCCTTGCTCTGAGCCAAGTCGTTCTGCAAGTCTGCAGTAGCAACATCAGCAGCACCGCCTTGAGCCGCGTTTCCCTCGATTTGTGATTTGAGTTCGTTCTCTGCAGCACTAGAATCAACCTCCTCCAACTCGTCGTTTGTCGGGACACGACCATGGCGACGCTCGAACTCCCTAACCTTTGCCAGGTCTGTTTTGAGCTTTGCAATTGTTACTGTAGCATTCTCACTCATGGATTGCTGTTCTTGAACGTCCGCACCATCAGAAGCCATGGCCGCCTGTAGCATGCTGTTGACCAGCTCGAACTCACGAATTTGCTGCTCAATCAGCACCGACCGGGTGGATTTTCTGGACCCGAGGACAGGCCGCACAGGTCTTCCCACCCCAGCAGAGAGCGCATTTTCTTTGTTGTGTTCCGCCTCTTGAGCATCCCCTTTGGTTACAGGTGAGGCAGGGATCGTGCTCAAACGTTTCTTATCAGCCTGGCCGCCAGCGCCAGGCTGTGCGGCACTGGAACTGAGAGGCCGTGAGCGCGTGGTAACGGCAGTCCGCGAAGTGCTGGGTGTGGCTGGCGCTTTGCGTGTTCCTATCGGACTTGCAGCACTAGGCCGAGTCGCTGTAGATGGTGCAAGTGTGGTTCGTCTTGCTGGCGTTGCGGAGACTGTCTTTGTAGTTGCAGTACGCTCTGAACTTGTGGTGGAGGCCAGAGACATCCTCTTGGGTCTTGCAGCGATTCCATCCTTGCTCTTCTCATCACCCGACGGTTTCTCATCCACAGAACTGACCGACTGCCTCTTGATATGTGTTGCAGTCCCAGGCGTTGTGGTCGAACTTGTAGGCCTCCGGACGGTTGCATTGGTAGGACGAGCGGGCGGTTTGCTGAGCGAACTGGTACCAGATGACTTGGCTGCAGCAGACGCTGCGGTCGGCCTCGTCGCAGTAGATAACCTGGGTGTGGTGGTTTTGGTCAAGGGTTTCGTCGATGGATTGGTTGGTTTGGGCTTGACAGCGGTGCCAGGCGTTTCATCACCTCTCGAGGAGGCATGTTTGTCCATGAAGACTGCCCCGCAGGCACTGTCGATATACAACAATAAGAACTAGACAGGAAAGGAAGAGGTGAAGCAATGTATGAAAAAGGTATACTCAAGAAAAGATGGCAGGATCGATGCCCAATGTGAGATGTGCTGGGCCTTGCTGGATTGCGCTGTCCGGTCGGAGTTCGAGAAATCATCCTGAAATCAAGCGAGTCATTGGGCAATCGCAGCCAATTCGCGAGTCAAACGATGACGCGACGAGGCTGAAGTAATTAATTACAGTACCGGTCTGGGACTGGACGAGGCTGACACAAACGTCGCTGGCCGACAAACAAGAACTTCCTCCCCCGTCCAAAAGAACAAGTCTCACTCTCATCTGCTACGCCATTTCAATACTATGAGTCTAGACGTTTCATTAGACAGGCCTTCGTAAGTCGCTACAGGGGTATCTTTGAAGCCAGCCACAATTACACAAAACTCCCCAATCAGAGGAATATCTCGATCATTGAACATCAGTCAGGCACAGATCGCAACCAATCCCATGATCTGTCAGAGCAGTCTCGAAGATGCCCCGCCCAGCTTTGCTTGATCCATCGTGCTTCTGCGACTAGTTGGTCCATATCAAATCTGCTAAGCTGACCTTTAGGTCCTCCGTGTTTGTCAAGGATGTCCTGGAACCTCGAGTTCGCAGTGTAGACTTGCAGAGCATTCAATAGTACCATGAGCTCCTTGTCGGTCCATTGCAAGGGTGCTGGTGCAGGTATGTCTTCGGTCGGTTCGCGCTCGAAGTTGTCGACGTCTATCACTTGCGGATCCTGCTTGTGTGAAGTCGCATTGGCATATCCACGATGTCTCGCCCTAACCCCTGCTCGTCTCTGCTCCAGATACATATCATGGCGCTCTCGGTCCGCGGTTTGCTCCTCCTCTAGGTTGGCAACATATGCTTCAGCCCCTTCCGTAGCAATTGATTCATTATATCGGCTCAGAATGAAAAGGACATGAGGCTTGACAGTTTGCTGCACTGTTGTTCTGATGGTATTGCCGAGGACCGGTTTTGGCCTCCACTTCTTAGCGCTGTCAACAAGGAGTATTGTTATTTCCAGCAAGCAGGCGAGCTCTTCTCGAGCCTTCTGGCCCAGGTTGTGATTCCGGAATCGAGCTCGCAGGGAAGCTTTCGCAAGTTTGAGGAGATCAGGAATAAGGTGCTCATAGATGTCCCTTATCATCTTGGGGCGTTCTCTACCTGGCCTCTCAACTTGAAAGCCACAGATATGCTTACATCTTTCTTGCAAGGAGGCTGTTTTGCGACTAATCTTGTCGTTGCACGCTCTTTTTGCTGTGAGGTCGTCTGGACCATAATTCCTGTACGTTTTTAATAAATCTCTCAACTCTTTCGCTGTGCGAGAGATCCCTTTGCCAATCGCCGACTTTGGCTCTCCGGAAGATCTGCTTTCCACAATCTCCACTGCACCGAGAAGCGCTTCTTGCCATGCAGATTCGCACTCGTAGAGGATCACAGCTTCTTCGACGCCTCGAAGCTCACGCTCAATCTTCTCTTGCCGTTCAGCTTCCATCTCACGTTCTTGTCGCTCTCTAGCTTGTATCTGGCTTTCCGTCTCAGGACGTTGTCGAGGGGAATGGGGAGTGAGTTCACGAGACTCATCAAGCGCTTCTCCACCATCCTCGACACCTGGCACATCTTCAGCATCTTCTGGGACATCCGAAATTGTCTTTGGCTCATGTTGATGTTGCCGATGCTGGACAGTCGCATCATCTAGAGCGGCAAGCTCCTGCTGCGGAGCAGGCTGTGTGTTTGGAGACTCGGCTGGGATTGTGGGAGTGCTTTGTTGTGTGACTTTGGCAGCTTGTGCAAGTGGATTTGCCCTCTCTGTAGGCCCAACACCGGGAGTTGGGCCACCCTCCGGCATCGACGAGCCTTCACTGGGCTCACGCTGACCTTCTTTGTGGCCATCTCTCCGCGGATGAGACTTCTTCTTGGACGGTGTCATCATGGCCTCGCCCGCGACACGAACAGCCAATACCGGTGTAAGACCTAGCACTGGAGCGTTGTGGCCATCTTCCAGCACGGACTCGTCCGGAACCATCCATTGTCCGTCCCGCATGATGCTAGCAAACCTCGTTTGTCCATTGCGGCGTGTTTGTGCCATCGACTTCTTCCACTTCTGGAGTTCGTTTCTTGTGGGACTTTTCCGAGGAGAGTCGTCCAGGTTTACTCCTGCCGTTGTCCGCGTTTCAAGTTCTCCTCTTCCTTTGAAAGGTGACACTTTTAGTTGTTGTGGTTTCTTTTTCAACGGTCTCATCTTCTTGATGGGCTTGATTCCCGGCTGTGGTCCCGCGCTTTCTAAGTCCCCGGGAAGCTCGTACGGGTTGCGGGTGTGCACAGGACGCACTTGACCGGAAGGCCGTACTCGTGCTTGGAGGCGGCCTGACGACCGGACTGGAGTCGGATTACTGGAGGCATTGTGTGGTGTCGCAGTCGCGGGATGTTCTCTCGATGAACGCTTTTTTAACGGGTTTTGGGAGTGAGAACCATCTCCTGTCGTGCGTTTACGCTTCGAAGGTGACTGGTGTTGTTTGCTGCCAGCTTCTGCATTGAGAATGTCCGTGACGTCTTCGGCCTCTGCGTGCTGATTGTTGTTGTCTGCGACTGCGAAAGCGGACAGACGAGCAGAGCGCCGTGACATTTTCTAGGCTCTTGAATCCACATAATATATAGGTATGGCGCAGGGTATCATGTTTGCACTACCCAGGAAAGGAAGTGCCCAGGTGGTTACGAAAGACGCGCTCCACGTAAACCTAGCCGGCGCGGTCGCAAGAATTCTTATGTCATAAGCAACGGCCTCCAACATTCATTGATTGCAGTGTTGAGTGACATCGTTCCTGCATATTCTTTTCTAAAGATACCACCACCAAATCAGAGATCACCCGACGACCAGTTTCCTCGACAACTCATCTATCAAGAATCGATCGGCTCTTGCAAATCGATGGCCTATCATGACAGACTATCCCAGACTTAACAAAGTCGTCGATGTGCAGAGTCAACATTTTGAAACCCCTACAAAGAGAATTCACGATGGGGCTGACGTCTCCTTCTTCCTCACCTCCCTGGCTTACAGGGATATAATGACGTTTGTACTTCAATTGAACCGGTCTGTAGTACCACGGAAAAGAGATAATGACGGATCTACGAAGACTGTGACCTGGCCAATGAACTCTGAGGATACCGAATATTCAGACTCAGTCACGCGGTTACGTGCCCTTTTGACCAAATTGCTCAAGTACATCGACGACACTCCTCCTGACACCGGTCCGCGAAGATTCGGCAACGTCAGCTTTCGGAAATGGCACAGGCTTGTTGAGCATCGCATGGACGACCTACTGAATGAATGCCTTCCGAAAGCACTATTGCCTGCTCAAAAGGAACTGGGAGCATACCTACTCGAAAGCTTTGGCAGTCCCCAGCGATTGGATTATGGCACAGGTCATGAACTGAGCTTTCTCGCGTTCCTGGCCTGCCTGTGGAAGCTCAACTTCTTCACCGAGTCCGAGCCATGGGCTGAGGAAAGAGGCATTGTGCTAGGAGTCTTTGAACTGTACCTCTCGCTAATCCGAAAACTCATTAAAACGTACACCTTGGAACCTGCAGGATCACACGGCGTTTGGGGATTAGATGACAACTCTTTCTTGCCTTACATCTTCGGTTCAGCTCAATTGGCACCCGCCATATCCGAGACCGATGACACGCCGACAGAAGGCTCTCTGCCAGACGCCCCTGAGGCATCGTGGGTTACCAAGCAAAACTTGGTTGAGAAAGAGAAGGAAACGAACATGTATTTTTCGGCCATTGCATTCATTTATGATGTGAAGAAGGGTCCATTCTGGGAGCACAGTCCAATGCTCTTCGATATATCTGGCATCAAAGACGGTTGGGGCAAGATCAATAAGGGGATGATCAAGATGTACAACGCAGAAGTCTTGTCCAAGTTTCCTGTCGTTCAGCACTTTCCATTCGGGTCTCTTTTCAAATGGGAAAAGGACCCTGTAGCTAAACCTGCACCAACAAGCACGCATGCATCAAGTCAGCCATTGCGAAATCCAATGGATACACATGCCCCAAGCACACTGAGGCCTACAGGTCCACCCGTGGCTGGAGGAATGACGGCACCATGGGCTGCACCAGCTTTGAAAGCGCCAGTGGGTTTTGTCGGTGGTGTAACTCAAGCACCTTGGGCGAGCCGAACTCCTGCACCTCTTCCGCCACGAGGAGGCCTCGCGTCAGCACAGAGGAGACCACTACCACCCCTCAATGAAACGATGGACGGTCAGGGTCGAAAGCCTCAGTCTGAAAAGCAGTAGCCGAAGCCGGTGTTCATGACATAACAACTAGGCAAAATGCCGTTGCATATGTCACGTCGCACGCCGGTGTCCGGCAAGTTAAAAGCCTCTTCCTAAGCACGAAGCCAGTCGGCAGCAGCACTAGTCTTACATGGCCAAGATAATAGCTTCCGGATAATATGGTACGGGTGTCGGCACTTTCTCCGCCATTTGCGGAGAGACCTCTCTGCCAGGATCGGCCCGTGGAGTAAACGCAACAGTGCACAAGTGGAGATGGTTCTATGCTACCTTCTCTATCTGGTTGTGGCAGAAGCAGATATTTACGTCGGAAAATGGCCGCTGGTTAAATGCCACTGGGTAAAAATGGATGCTGGATAAATGCGAGATGGAGACATGCACATCATGCGGGGCCATGAAAAAGGTACATATGTTGTACCTGCATGCTGCATTTGCATCTCTTGCTTGAGCATCAGCACCACGATTGACACCATGAAGGGCTTCATTATCATCGCTGCTATTGCAGCTGGTTGCTCGGCATGGACTTACACGGACAATATGACGGCCTCGGCATTGATTTCGATCAATGCCTTTCAAAAGTACCAGACCATGATCGGTGGTGGATGCTCTGGTGCATTTGGCATTGCTTGTGAACAATTTGGCTCGGTCGGTTTGTCTCCAGCCAACCAGGAACTTGTCACTCAAATCCTTTATGACGAGAATATCGGCGGTCTTTCTATCGTTCGCAATGACATAGGGTCGACTCCTGGACATGTACCTGGAGATGTGTCAACCATCTTGCCTGTTTGTCCAGAAACTCCTGCAGGCCCTTTCAATTACGTCTGGGATGCTAATGATACATGTCAATTGCAACTCACTCAAACGGCGTTGAAGTACAACCCCAATCTATACGTGTATGCTGATGCCTGGTCCGCCCCCGGATGTATGAAGACGGTCGGCACCGAGGACAACGGTGGTTTTATCTGCGGTGTGAGGGACAGTAGCAGTCCCAACTGCACCTACGATTGGCGACAGGCGTACGCCGACTACCTGGTGCAATACGCCAAATTCTACGAGCAAGAAGGCATTGAGGTGTCTTTGCTAGGTGCTTGGAACGAGCCGGATTTCAATCCTGTCTACTATGCCAGCATGCAGTCAGACGGCTACCAGGCGAAAGACTTTCTGGAGATATTGTACCCGACAGCAAAGGCGGCATTCCCGAACATCAGCGTTTCGTGTTGCGATGCCACTGGTGCCAGACAAGAGCGCAATATCCTGTATGAGCTGGATCAAGCGGGAGGTTCCGATTTCTTTGACGTTGCTACATGGCACAACTATCAGAGCAATCCTGAGCGCCCGTTCAACGACGGTGGAAAGCCGAACATAATGACTGAGTGGGCTGACGGTACCGGACCGTGGACGCCCACCTGGGATGTATCTGGACAGCTCGCCGAGGGTTTCCAGTGGGCACTGTACATGCACAATGCCTTTGTCAACTCGGACACTTCTGGCTACACGCATTGGTATTGCGCCCAAAACACCACTTACGACAATGCGTTGATCAGACTCGACTATGACAACTACTTCGTCTCCGCTCGATTGTGGGCATTTGCTTCGTACTTTCGTTTCGCTCGACCTGGCTCTGTGCGTATCGAAGCGACAAGCAGCGCGGAGAACCTGTACGTCAGTGCCTACGTCAATACCAACGGTACCGTGGCGATCCCTGTTGTTAATGAGGCGCACTTCCCATATACTGTCACCATCGACCTGACTGGGATCAACGCAACCACGGCGGCGGCGTATCTCACGGACAACAATCACAACGTGACCCTGGTTGGACAGATGCAGATCGCTGGGACACTGCACGCTACTGTAGAGCCGAGAGCGATGAAAACGTTCTTCCTGAGCTAGACTGAAAATACAATCCGTGCTTGAACCGTGCTGAGCTTTCCGCCATTCCTTGGAGCGAGACTTGCATCGTAGATAAGACAATCGGTTGAAAATCAAAGTAACTGCTGCCAACGCTGGGTATCATATCATAGCATGTCATATCACATCACGTCGAATCCGAGTCGGACCCATAACCGACCAACGACAATCCATCCACTTTGGCCGCTTTGCTGGTGCTGTTCTGCGCCGTGCCCATCTCGACATCGTCTCGTTTTCTTTTCGCAGTAGGCTTCCAAACATGTTCCTCTCGTAGAAACGGATCCGCTGCAATCCTCGTATTACTCGCCAGCTGACTCTGCAGCAATTGTTTCTTGTCCAGCTTTTTGGAGGTGTTAGCCTTGAACCTCGCGGGCAGCGTGCCATCCAGCTGCCGGAACAAAGGCTTCGCCGAGCTCGACGCCTCATTCGACACGCCAAAGTCGACAAATTTGACCCGCTCGCCGTCCTCAGGAAGTGCACCCAACATCTCGACTTCCAGCCCGAATCTATCTTTCAAGGCGTTCCCAGACTTCTCATCGGCCTGGCGTTTCCTTCTGCCAACACGAAAATCTGCACGCAGTTTTCGAGACTGCTCGTAAGGGTCAGCCCAGTCACGCTCACTCGATCTGACCAACTCGTTCAGGCGCTCCTGTTGTGTAGTAAACAAGGTCTTGTCCGCGACTTTCTTCTCGATTGCCCCGAATCCGCCATCGCGCTCGAGTCGCGCTTTGTCCTCCTCGGAGACCGTTTGGGCAAGGTCGATCTCGCCATCAAGTAATTTGTCCACGCCCGTGTCTCGTCTCCGCCCGCCCTCGACGACCAGATACTCTGCGTTCTTGGGGTCGGTGCGCACTTCGATCGACCCGCCGCAGACGGTATGTTTGAAGCGAAAGGACCAGATGGGCGTGCTGAAATATGCGCCTACTTTCTTTTTCTCGGCGTTGAAACGAACTCCCTGCCCGATTATGGTTTCGGGGTTGCAATGCGTGCACCATATTGCGAAGGGGCATTCGAAGCGGACGGTGAGGATGCCTTCGGTCTTGAGTTTGCGGGCACGGTGACCCAAGGCATGACCTTTGCCGGAGGCTTGGTTGAAGGATAGGGTGCCTTCGAGGTCCGGAGGGACGTAGCGTCCCATGTTGAAGCCCTGCATCTTGGCTGTTTGTATTGAGATCCTAGAGAAAGACCAAGATCTGGATGTTAGGCTTTGGCCTTTCTCCGGAGACTGAAGCTCGGATTAATCAAGCTGGTGGTTCAGGTCTGGCGGGATACGACGGGCACTGATCGCTGTGAATAACCGCTTCCATCTCTTTAGATCAGCGTTGGTTGTTGTCTATACAAAGAAACATGGAGGTGGAAGTAAAGGGGCTTGTGGTGAGATGCGCTCGATGCTAGGAATAAGAATATAAATGACTTACACAAGGTGGAGAAGATGCCTCGGCTTGGCTGGGCCGCTGAGGTGACGCTTGTGGCGCCCGGACTGTAGCGGAATCTCGTCTCTACACCGAAGTTAATGCCTAAAATACTTTGTTACTGCCATCCATGCACCATTCAGGCCAACCACCAGCTGACACCTTGACTGGTTCATTGTAGAGGAAATGATGACAATGGAAACGTGCTGATCGGCTAGGTCGTCGCAGAAATGGAAGCTTCATCATATCAAGCATTGAAGCTTTTATCATGAAGACGCTGGTAGGTCCTGCTAACATTCCCTCCGCATGCCCGCAAACGTGTCAATCTCTACGAAGTGCCACCTCGTTCACGGTACTCTTTATATACGGTATGAGATTGAGTGGAAGACGGTAAAAGTGCTCGGCGCCATCACCTTTTCGGTTCTGGCGCATGTCCTCAATGCTTCATACTAACTCGTCATAAATCATTGCGATCATAGGACCCGTCGCGGGCCGCGCAATGCAATGAAGCTCTCGGATGGTAGCCCGAATTCTCCAGTGTACAATGCCAGCAGGCATCAGCTGAAGCCTACAAAGTCCATCTCCACTCAGGGAGATTGTGAAAGACGACCTTGCCCTGATCAGCTTGCATGTTCTTTCGGTGCAGAACGATCCACGCCACAATACACGTTAGAATCAGACAAGCGTTCAACGCCATAGTCGTCGCCAGTCCTGGCAAATACTTCGGTGCTGTTGCCTCGGTGTAAATAGTGCTTCCGATGATACCTGAGATCGTGCCACTTGAGATGTTGAGCACTGAGGCGATGTTCATTTTGGCGGAGCCCACGACGTTATTCTGGCCGAAGATCAAAATTGCTGTGTTGTTCGCCTGGCAAGATGCGATTGCAAGGAAGATTCCTAGGTACCGCACATGGGCGGATAGTTGGGGCTGGCTCATGACTGGGAAAGACAGCCGCTGTTAGCGGAGAGTCTGAGAAAGAGCATGATAGTGCCGAGTGGAATTTCAAGCTTACGGGCGAGGCCGATAGTTCCCAAGGTCGTCTGAACGAGAATGATTGGCAGGCGACGCTTGAAGTAATCTCCCAGCGTACCTCCTATGATCAGAAATCCCAGACCAACCAGGTATGGTGGTGCAGAATAGAGTGAGGCCATTACGCCTGAGTGGCCCATGGCCTGGGAAACGGTCAACATGGATGACAAGACTGGCTTCATCAGGGGCAAACTAACCGCAATAATGGACGGAACGAAGTAGGCAAGTCCGTACACCGCTACAACGTTGCAGAAGTACATCCACGTTGTGAGCCAGAGGGTCCAATCTGCCAGAAGATGGTTAGCAGACAATACACTCGATGAGCAGAGCAGAGAGTTGATTAGAGGAGATGCGATGGTGGAATTGCCGCTGAGTACCTTTCAGATCTTTCACGTTTTTCAGAGTCACCTTCTCCGTCGTGGCATCACCACGATCAGCTTCAATTCTTCGAACAATTTGGGCTCGCTCCTCCTCGGATAAAAACGTCGCTCGGTCCGGAAAATCATCGATCAGGCAACGCAAAAGCAGACCGAATGCTATTGTCACGGTGCCTTCGATCTGGAGGAAACAAGGATCAGTCGTCATCTTTCGCCTTCTTCGACGAGTATGCTCACCGTGAAAATCCATCTCCAACCTCTCCAGCCACGGTCGCCATCCATAAGACCGATGGCATATGCTAACAGGCCAGCAAAAGCACTGGATACAAGGCCGATGCCATACAATAAGGCAAGCCTCTTGTGTACCTCGTAGCGTGGCCACCAGCTCGCACATAAAAAAATGACAGCAGGGAACACCCCTCCTTCGAACAATCCGAGGAAAAAGCGCATGACAGCGAGCCCTTGCCAACTGTTGATGTGTCCTTGGCCAATCGTAAAGCATCCCATACCAATCACAAGCACTGAAAGGGTGTTGGCAACCTGTAGATGACTTTAGTGCAAAGTTGAAGGTTACCGCCAGGGCAGAATGCTTACACCAAATTTCACCAATGCAAGATTGCTAGGAAGTTCTCCGCTGCGTGTTGTATGAGCACTTGCTATGCTATGGATGTCAAGACTGCTAGGAGGTATACTGACAGGAGATAGGCTGGGAAGAAGACCAGTAACACAACACTGTATCGGTTGCCGACATCCAATTTGAGGTCATCGGCCATGCCAACAACTTTGGCCTATCCAACGTCAACAGAGTGCCGGAGCAAGACCGAGTATGAGACTCACCGAACCAATGTTGATACGGTCAATCACCGATAGGGCATACACCATCCCAATCGTCAGAACCAAGCGGATGTCGACTTTGAGCTTCGTCTTTTTGGAAAGCGGAGGAAGATCAGTATGGTGCTCGGGAACTGACTCGGCCTCCAGGGCCTGACCAATGTCATTGATGGACTGCTTTTCCATGTTGAGATTTTCTGCTGGAGGGTTTCAGAGCGGACGAGCAAATTCAGCGTATATCCTTCTTCACCTGTCTGGATAGTCCTACTGGGCTGGAATGTAGAGCAGGATGTAGTTGAGTATTTGAAGTTGGCTCGAGGTCATGAGCCAGCTTCTATCCCCAATCTCAACGTGGAGCTTTTGACCTGTGTATCCCCCATACCCCAACATACTCCGCCTCCCATGTCTACGAAGTATGACCTTGGCGCATTGGCATCTAACCTCTGGATGGTAGGAAATATATATTATCTGGGGTGGAGATGGAGCACCCCACAGGAAATTTCCTTATCCGGACTTCGAGGCTCAATAATGTGGGGAATTTTCCCGCATGGGCGCACGCACGATTACACCATGGGCTAAAACTTTGGGGAAACTGATCATGGACAAGCGACAACGGAACACATTCACCTGACAAGAGCATGGCTGTCCTGGTTGAACTCACACGCGACTCGAGAAGATCTCATTGGTTTGCAGATGTGAGCTTCTCCATGCAGTCACTCTTTCTCGATGCCGAGGCGTAGACTTGGTTTTCAAGTAAAAACATGTCTTGTTTGGACTGAAGGACCTCCTAATGCCAAGACCGGATCCGAGAACGACTCGTGAGCTCTCATTTCCCCGCAGAAGGTACGCAATCTCTGATCCCCGACAGACTACTCTACTTCCATGATGTTGTGTCTCGGCCAGTTCGCTGCTTCGAACATCATGGACCTTGACGGATAGTGATGCATGACGCTCAACAAGAGGAATTTTCAGCACTGCTCTGCTTTCGTTGAAGCACGATTCTGATTACTGTACAAGACGCGGGGATGGCTACGACACCGGCGGTGAGGCAACTCGTTTCTTGGCTTCAGACATCGCCAACTAACACACGCTTGCTTACAAGATTCGACCCCACCGTTGCCAATTCTGTCCGCAGACTTTCGTACGTTCGGAGCATAAGATACGACACGTTAGGGGAGCCCGTAAAAATGCGTTGCGCCGGATACGCCTCAAACTTGCTGACTGTGCCTAGATACAAACGAGCGGCCGTACTCCTGTGAATACTGTTCATCAACATTTCATCGTCTAGACGTCCTCAACCGTCATAGAAAAGGGATCCACAAACATGAACGTGGACTGTCATTTCGAGCCCACACAGGAGCGGACTTCGAAAGAAGGGCAGAATCAAAAGCCTGTGACGGACACGTCCCGAAACACAAGGAACCCAACACGAATGCAGCGTCGGGGGGTACGCACAACTCCGTGACAGGACCGCAGACAGCGAACTCGAGTTCATACGCCGCTGACATTCCACCCGAACACAATGCTTCCAGAAAAGTAGTACTGGTCGACCCTGTTGAGAATGAGGCTGATCAAGCCACTTCGGCAATCGTAACCGGTGTTGGAGACAGCTACTCTTTTGACTGGGAATTGACCGGGGCTGATCTTTCCGGCCTGTTCTATGATGTTAACGGTCATGCTGCATCAGAACCTTGGCCTCCATTACAGATTTTGCTCCCTGATCCGCATCAAACGCTTCCGCATGGCACAGGATTTTGGAATCTCTCCGCCGAAGATTATGGAGATGTCGCTCCTGCTTTGGCAACATCCGCACAACGGCATACAACCACCTCTGCCGGCACTCTGGAATCACATGATCAGAGTCTAAAAGGTCAATTGATTCCTGATTCTATCGACGAGCTACCTGGCGAGAAACATTCGCCGTGTTTTGGTGGGCCCAACTTCGGAGAAAATTCAGATCGTTTATTTGGATTTTGGGAAGAAGCAAGACGCACCGAAGCACGAAACACCCCGACAGATGCCCCAGAAGTAATTTTGCGTCCGTTCCCAGACTCTATGCTGGATGAAGAAGGCTATCATGCCGTCAAGGCAACAACAGAATCCTACCTAAAGGTAGACTCACTCGCCTTGCACTCTTTGCATTTCATTAACCGGTGGGTCACAGTTCCAATTGCCTGGACGGTGCATTGTCAATCGATGGCTAGAGACTTTCTTCAGAGGGTTCAACCCTCATATACCCATGTTACATATTCCGTGTCTGGAAATCAGGATCCTTGAAGGTAATGGGACCACCTATATTTGTATCTTTGGCATATCTAACAGCCATTTCAGCACCATTATTTTTGGCCATAACTTCTATTGGTGCATTGTATTGTTTAGAAAGGAGTCTCGCCCTGAAGCTACATGAGAGCTCATGTCGAGCAGTATGGATGGTAAATGCCTACTTAGTCGGTAAGACTTCACCGCAAGGCTAACATTTTCACTACCAGGCAATCAAGCAACGACAAAATTCCCTTCCAACCAGAACCCCTCTTTATATTTTTCAGACTTTGTTGCTTAATATGTGCTTTGGAGTTTGGAGCGGCGATTGTTGGCTGTTCGAGGAGAGTCAGGCAACTGCCTCAAGACTTTGTATAGTAAGTGTCACCAGACCCCTTCTTCCTCAGAAACAGTTACTCTGCGGAAAAGATCGCTAATGTGGCCGGCGAAGATGCTTCAAAACGAAGTACAAGCCAGAGAAGTCGAGCCGGACGCCACTGAAACACATTCAACGCCCCAGTCGTGGCGAGAGTTCATCGAAGAAGAGGCATTCTGCAGAGTGTACTTCTGTGCATACATTCTCGTCCAGACAATATCAGAAGTGTTCGGCACTCCCGTGCCCATAAACCTTACCGACTGCGCATTGCCTCTACCATGTAGCGAAGCAGAGTGGGCAGCTCCATCAGAGGAGAGTTGGCAAGCACTATCTCTCTCGAGCTCGCGGGTTCCTACTCCCGATTTCCGAATGGCCCTGGCAGCTACAATTTCCGGCCTGGCCGGCCTTTCGAGCGACGGGGTCGAATTCGATCAGATTTCGGGCCTCACATTCACAAACTACAGTTCGTTAGGTGGACAGGTGCTCGTTCTGAGCATATTTATGCATTCCTATCACCTTTCTGTTACCAAGCGGTCCGAGAACCCCCGAGTTACATTCCAGGCAGATGAAGTGGTGGTGGGCAGGATACCAGATACTCGCGCTCCTAGCGCGTTCAAAGGGCAGTTTCCTAGTTCTTCCCAAATTGAAAACCTGAGAATGGCCCTCAGTCGATGGAAGCTGGGCTGGCGACAAAACCCCGAAGCACTCATGTCTCCCACGAATCCCATGGGTCCAGTTAGTTTCAATTCAACAGCACACTACAGAGTAACGAACTTGCGACTATTCAGGTCAGTGAACCTTGACCTTGTACGAGCCCTCTAGCTGACCCAGCTCTCCCAGCGATTTCTCCAGTATCCGCCGAGCTCTACGAACGCAAGACCCGCGCCGAGTCTTTCAAGCAATGGCAGGCATAAGCGGCTCACCCATCCAACGAACCGATGATGTCACGGACGCCACCTTTTCGACCATCGCCGCCATACAAATTCCCATTCGAATGGGCGTCCGCTTGTTCGCTCACACCGCATGTCTAACCTGGTCCCTTGAACATTTCCTGACCGGCTTCGAATGCGCACTCTTCCTGGCGTATTGGCTGTTGTCTTTGGAACGGGATCCCTGCTCCATGCTCTCGGAACATGAGGCGGAGACGAGGAAGTTGGTTGCAACGCTCGTTGATGAGAGTGGAGAGGATGTTATTCGTTCTCCAGATGGGCGCGAGATATTGTCCGTCTCTGTGTTGAGGATCTGGGCATCTATATTTGACCACAGTTGGGTTTGGGGTAGTGAGTTTGCTTCCCACTGTCTTAATTGTGTACCTCCACTCCATGATGCTAACACTTTGGGATTTTCAGTCACTAAGACCATGGGAACTTCCTTGGGTCTGTTTGCGGACCACGTATCGCGTGCTGTCATGTCTTCACCTTAATAAACTATGTGTATGAATGGTTGATAGGCGAGGCTGGGACTTGAGAGGGAGCTTACAGTCCGGATTCCACCATCCGAATTTACTTGCATGATGGTACCCGCGGAGTATGGCTGGTGGTACATGTAGAGATGCTATGTCTCGCCCAGGAGATCTAGTCTAGTCCTTGAGGATCGATGGCGCACTGTCGTGCGGGTGCGACAGCGTATGAATGATGATGGGAACAGGGGGCGGCCTTGGAGCTAAGCATTGGCGACGTTCGTCGTAGATTGATATCTTTTCGGAACTACTGGGACGAACCCTAGGGTCAGTGCTGAAAGGTAGACATATGAGGAAAGAGAGTTAAGTATGCGTACTGTGACTCGATGGAAAGTTGAGCAGGTAGGTGGAATGAAGATGACTGCTCTCTGTATTATTTGTTCTGTCTTAACTTAGTCTCCCGAGCTGCGACTGCAGCTGTTCATGGATCTTTTCACTTTGCCGCCATCATGGATATCAACACGAAAGACTTGGGGGTCTCCCTGCGCACAATCTCCTTCAGACAGATATAGAGTTGGCGTCAGAGAACAAAGCTGTTGCTCAACAGGGTGATATTGCACGTTGCCGCATTGAAGAGGTGCGCTCCCATGAAACAAATCAAGTACCGTTGGTCAAGCTTTTGTGCGTGGTCGCTGAGGGCGGCAATTGTGGAGATATTACTGAATTGGGTAATATGCCCACATCACCCTCATGGAGTTCATATCCTCATTTTCGAATTAAGTGCTCACAACCATGAATGTCTGGAACCTCGGCTCACGGCTTAGGGCTGGGGTCAGTCCACCAATGCTGTTCGGCTGATGATCAGCCAGAAATTATTCTAAATTTCTGTGATCTCGGGATTTCATTGAAGCTATTTGTTTGTTGTCTACTTTTGACGAGGACTTGACCGAGGAACCAACATGACTTGCTAAAGTCGTCCCCGCAATGCTTGTAAAGATTCTGCGACCTTATTATATTACTTATTAGATATCACAAGCAAATCCATGCTACCAGGTGGCATGAAATGTACAGACAGCCTTTCTACTTCAACCGTGCCGCCCACCGAATCTGGAAACGGGCATCAACGACGCCTACTTCCCAGGCAGCGCAGACGGAGTGATGTTGAAGCCAATGTTGGCACCCCAGGCCAAACTGTTGAACTCAACATACTGCTCCACGATTTTGCTGCCAGCATCAACAGTGATGAGTGTCATCCCGCTGATGCGGTACTCTCCTGTCCCAATACCGAGGAATTCCCATTGCCAGACCATCTGGTTGCAGCCTGCCACCACATTGAGAGTGTTGATCTGAGGGATCGGTTCCGTCGATAACGTGTCGTTTATGTAGTGCTGCTTTCCGTTTTCGACTTGGGTTCCGAGCTGGAAAGGTGTAAGCCTTCCAAGATGTTGAAGTGGGGCGGACAGCAAGATGCGCCTCACGAACGTGAAGCATGACCATCTGAGCCAAGCACTTGCTAATGGGCACAACTTACGGGATCGCCTTTGAGGGAGTTGATCGAGTCTCCATATTCGACAATGCCGTCGGCAAAGAGACCTTGTGCTGTCTCATTGGCTTGGGTAACATTGAGATGCTGCAAGAAGATGGTCGATCGGGCTGCAATGTCGTTCGCATCGGCCTGAGAAAGGCATGTCCAGGCTTGAGTGCTGCCTATCAGAAGGCCAGCACAGGCTACTATGGCTGAGAGCTTCATCGTGCTGGAAGTTGACTTTCAGCCTGGAGAAGGTACTGCTGAAAGAGCTCTATGGGGCTTTGCCCTACCCTTGAGATGGACCGGTTCTTAAGTACCCCATGTCGCCTTCCGTACCTCAAGATCCCGTTTGCACTGGCTCCGCTTGTCGTTGCCGGCAAGGACTATTCCTAGAGGCTTACAGTGATCCATCTATGGTTTGAGACATGTTGCACGAATTATGGCACAGCCTGGTAGTCTTGAGGTCATGTACAAGAACATTCAGGGCATGCAGCATGGCAAAGTCAAGTTACGATGCATCCCAACCCCGTAGCGCCTGGGGGAAACGGACATACCCCTGCAAAGCCCTCGGATCCTGGGACAACGTGCATTGAAAGTGTGTTCAGACTTGAGGAAGTTGGTGGCTGGGCGCAGGAAGCCATATCAATATCGGCATCATCAATTATCCCGGCAAGCTCTCTGATTGGTCGACTACGAACCTCCGACGACCAACCTGCATATTCAAAGCACTTCTAGCAGCGGACTCAGGAACACGCACAATTTTAGCCCATGCATGTCCGGACAGTCACCGCCTTGCAAAGACGGTGAAACAGCCTCTGGCAGATTTTCGACGTTGCGGCAGCAGTGCTTTTGTCAGGCTATCCTATCTCGGCAAGAGATGATGGAGTCGGTCCGATCGGACTTTTCTGTCCCCTGGCCTTACCACCATGCCTCTTTCCATAGGTGAGTATGTTAGAATCGTGTTGAAAATTATCATGGAGCCTAGAGGGGAAGAACAGATGGTCGGGACCGGTGTTCGCCTTGACCACTCTTGACTCTTCCATCACCGTAACGGATCTTCTGAACCGTCACCAACGTCCTTTAGTGTTGTTCTCAGAACCTTCATCCACCGTCCATCATGGAGTGGCTGCAAAATGTTCAGGCAAATCCAGTCAAGTGTTGGGAACCGATCTGGGAATATGGCACCAGGGAACAGCGGCGATAACCAGCGCACAACGCCGACCTTACATTGGAGCTTACTCCCATGTTCGGACAAACCCAGCATATGGTCAATGGCCGTCTGGCGCCCAGGCCGTCACGCACGTCGCCATCACTGGTATAGACGCACGCAAGGAAACATTTATGAGTATCTCTATATGTGTATGTCACCCAATTTCTTAGCACATTCGCTTCACCTTCTATTACCAACTCTACTATAGCAGCAGCGTTATTACCAGAGTGTGTCGCCAGTGTCGGCATTCTGCGCTAGCCGCCTAAATTACTGCAGCCACCCCCTTGGGGAGGGCAACAAGTCCCTCGAGGGGTCATAATTACGCCCAGGCACAGCAGGGCGCAGGAACGAGCATTCAGTGTTTACCAGCACAGCAAACTTTGCCCGAGTTGCAGCCTCCGTCTGCGATGGTGCCAGTATGAGGCTTGAATGTCCCTGAACTTCATTCAATTAATTCTGGTTTGGTTCCGAGCACCCAAGGTCAGCCGAGCCAAAATGTTCAAGCGAAAGAAGATCCCCAAGTTCAGAACGTAGGCAAGTCGAACAATATCGCTGCGCCCACGATAATTCCCAAGGAATCCAAGCTCACGATCCCTAATGAGTATATTGTGGTGTCCTTACCTCTCGAGAGATCAGACATCGAGGAACTTGAAGCTGTCCTTGAACTCCCGTGACATGCAATCCAGACTATAGTGGGAAAGTTATGGTTGTCTACTACCAGCTTGGTGGAAGGCCTCCGCAATCGGTCAGAAGACGTACGTTCTCGTTGGCGGTATCATCCTGCACCCAAAAACATGTTTTTGGTTTAAGCCTTCAGGCACTGCCGAGTGGTGCAGGTTATTCTCGAAGCGCGTCTCGCGCCGTCTCGGTTTGTTCGAGAGGCTTGGTATTAAGGCGAACGTGCGAGATGCTCTCCTGGAACCTCAAATCTCTTCTCTTTTTGGGACACATGATTTACACTACTGGGTTAGGGACACGCTTACCATCAACCACGCAACTCGTGGTCATCCGGCAGATATACTTCAGTCCCTCTGATGACAACGGATACTGGGTGATTGGGCCGTCTAGACATCTTCCTGTGTTTGGAGTACCGACTCTGTGGCTCGGGGCCTTGGGCATGCATCAGAACCCAATGCCTAACCCGAAGTGGAATACAATCAAGGCCTTGGCATGACCAGGCTCACTTAACCCAGTCGACCGAAGCGCACGGTCGTTACAATGATGTGCACGCAGACTATGTAGTATATATACTAGTAAGACTCCTTACATCGTTGCATACACTCTTGAAGTACACCCACCCTCCTACGGTTGTTTTCATACTTGATGGTTCATTTCCACAGCACCTGATTTCGTTCGTGTTTGTTCCTTTTACCATTGCTAGAGCCTGGCAATCTGCATACCATTAGTGTTACACGATGACCGATATCAATACTGCCCGTCGGCATATCACCGAACTGCTACAAAGTCGACCCTTGGTAGCTGTTTGCACAGGCGCAACAGGAGGCTTGGGGCGCTTTACACTCGAAGCCCTCGCAATGCACCATGGCAAGATCGGCACAGGTCTACGAGTCTATGTTGTCGGACGGAACCTCGAGTCAGCAGACGTCTTGTTCGCCAAACTACGGAAGTCTTGCCCGGACGGAGACTTTCGGTTTGTTCAAGTGAGCGACCTTGCTCTCGTTTCAGAGATCGACCAGGCATGCGACGAAATAACCCAGTCCGAGACTGCCGCATCTGGTGGCCATAAACCACGCATCGACATGCTCTTTATGAGTCAGGGGACACTCGATTTCAAGCCATGGACAGGGACCAAGGAAGGACTCGAATGGCACATGTCGTTGTTATACTTTTCGAGGATGAAAACAATCCTCAACCTCATGCCTTTATTACTCAATGCTCCGGCTGCGGCGCACGTGGTTTCAGTGTTTGCGGGCGGCATGGAAGGCGAAACCTTTAATCCAGATGATCTGATGGTCAGAAAACCGGGCCGGTTTGGTGTGACATCCACAAGACATCATGTGGTGTACATGAAGACACTGTTTTTCGAGTATCTCGCCCGAGAACATCCCGGTAAGATATCCTTGGTTCACGTCTTTCCAGGATTTGTCTTGACAGACGGCCTCAGGTTTCTGCCCAAATGGATGCAACTAACATACTATGTATTTTATCCACTTCTGAAGGTGATGACTACACCCGGTCCGGAGGTGGGTGAGAGAATTTTGTTCCTGACTTCACCTGTGCGTTTTCCGGCTTCCCATGAAAGTGATGACCATCAAGGGTCAGAAGATGTGGGAGCCACATTTCCACATACAGGCAAACAATCGGGAACAAAGTTGGCGATAGCGATGGGGACAGATCTGGAAATCGGTAGTGGTGCATACGCTGTTAGCATCACTGGGGAGGCAGCAGATGCTAAGAAAATGCACAGAGCTTACGACAAATACGACAAGGACGAGCTGCGCAGAAAGATCGTGACCTATACTCTGCGAGCGTTTGAGGAAATCAAGGCAGGCAGAGTCTTCGAGGATTGACAAAAGGATCTTGAAACAATGTTTTTGAGGAAACGAGCACCGTCCACGCCAGCCTCGGTGTTCTGCGGCTGACTCCTAAGTATCGCTCATTTATAGAACCTTTACCATGCGTTTATACATGTTGAGACATCATCGGTCCAATGCTTCAAGATTCATAGTACTGGCGCTCCCAAAATCTAGTGGTTTCAAATCAGTTACGCACCTAAGATTCCGAGCATCGGGGGATAACTTACTCCATTTGCGAATTTCCCCAGTCAAAAGCCGCAAGCACATTCTTCAAGAACGGGTCGCCAACCAAAAATCCCGCTTCTGCAGTACTGGTTTGAATCAGACTGTAACAGTCACCTTGATCATCCTCTCCAATCAAGTCTTCCGAACTGACATAGTAAGTCTTCCCTCCTATCTGGATCCCAAATGGCCAAGGTAGCACGGCGTTACAATCCAGGCCAGTTGCTCCGTTCCCATCTGGTGATGACGGTACCCACTGCTGATTCAGGCTATTTGCGAGGTCAGCCGGGAGTTCGATCGTGTTTGCTCCGCTGTCGATGATGATCTGTAAGCCCACTGCCTCGAGTTGACCGTCGACGTCAAAGCCATCAACTATAATAGAGTAGAAGGTAAACTCATCGTCAGGGACTCCACTCATGGACGTCATGAATTCCCAAGGGGCAGTCGTAGAGTTGTCAGACGTGATGTTTACGGCGGATCTATTGTCAGGAAGACCGCCGATGGTGAAGATGCCACCACTGCCGTTGTTGGATGCGTCACGCGAAATCGCCAGTGTGAACAGGGCACTTTCCAAGGGCGGGGTGGTATTGGAGGCAAAGAGAGTCTGCGCGAATGGGGAGTACACGATTTGACCCTCTGGTGCTTCTCCCAATCCAGCACTGGTATTGAAGGCGTTTGTCATGCGAATGTGGCCCATGCCTAGGATGCCGGATTGGTTCGCCAGGCCTTGTGCCGGGAACGAGGACTGCAGCCATGTATTAGCTGTGTACGAGCCTGCTATGGAAAGTCTAGCATGCCTTATCTGGGACTGCTATTAGTTGTTCGATGGTAACGGCGTCAAGGGTGATCGAGGCGTAACCCATTGGGCCAGCAACACAGCGAAGGGTAACTTCTTGCTGTCCGTAGCAGCTCCAGTCAAACATAGTCTCGTTGACAGAGAACCCAGCACTCGGTGTGTATGTTGCACCAAAATTGCATTCGTTTTGTGACAATGGCCCTGAGAACTCCCAGGTGTCAACATCGTAAGTCGAATAACATTCGAAGCCAGTTCCAATAATCCAGGTGTCGGCACTACCAGTATCCAGCTCAAGGTCGAATTCTTGACCTTCAACCGTGACGGGCACCAAGTATTTAGCTCGCTGGTCGTTATCCAACACAGATGCAGATCGTCGGCTTGGAGATCGTCGGCTTGGAGATCGTCGGCTTGCTTTGCGCGGGATGTGTAGAGCAGCGTTACTTGATCCACGTTTCAGATTGAAGCTGTGTATAGAGCCCGTTCGACGCTCCAAGAGATTGTTCTCATGGGCAAGAAGGGCAGACTGGTACGACAGCTGAGATAGTAGAAGGACAAGGAGATGCTGCATCACAGTGGTCGAGTGGCAATGGAAATGTGCCATGAAAGCTTGCATATAGTCATGAGAGCAGGAACAACTGCTGGCCCCGGGACGAAACACAATATATACTGTGCGTCATGTTTGTCAGAACAGGACTTGGAACCCTTGACTTCCTTGTCGGCTGCATTCATTCCGGCTATGCAGTTGCTGTACCAGTTCCTGCATGGTTTGAGGCCATTTTTGCACTGCGCCACGCCCAGTTCGTGATGGTACTGCCAATTCCCTGATTAGGCCCAGGGCCCAAACGAACTCGTGTTCTTGGGATTTCGTCCCAGCAGATAGTATAATGGGCCAGTGAGGGTAATGTGCCTGCGTGAGGTCAAAAAAATGGTTCGATTATCCTCTGGTCGGCTTGATCGTAGTCCTGACATGCTCGAATAGAGCACTAAACGATCAAATCGTGAAAATAATCTCAGAGTCTAGGTCGGTCTTGGTGCAACTGAACCGCCAGGCGAGCTGCTCATAGAGTCCTTTCTATCTCGGCCCCTTTGGATTCTGACTGTGCCTCGTGTTCGCGATCTAGTCAAGACATTACATGTGTGCGGCCGGAGGGCCGGTGTACTGGTTGAGAACCCTGCCAGACTGAAACAGCATGCAGCTAAGCGGCGAACCGAGTCGTTGGCTCACAGGAGTATTTCACGCATATCCCGTAGAAGAATTGGTTTCTCCGGAGTTGGAATGTGCAAAAGCTCCCAGAAGACCGCAAAACTTCAGTGTTCGTGAAATTGGACTGAAAAGGCTTTCCACGGCCACTTGGCTGACAATACTGTCAAAATGAGAAAACGAGGCCATAGCAGCTCCCTCGTTCCAGAATCTCGGCACCTGGTGCCCAGTCAAATCAGACCCATCCTTCGTTCGCCCCCTAAGCGCAGGATCGCGCTGACAAGAAACGCCAATCGGGAAGAGCATATGAGCCCAGCCTTGGCCCTGCAGAAGCGACCTGCGGCCTCGCTTTGAACGGACTCACCTTATTGAATCCCGCCCCATACAATTCAAAGCTTCGGCTTTTCAGGAAGCCATCAGTGGCCATGAGGTGGCTGTCTGCCTTATGGCGAGACTCAAAGTCATTGGGGTCAGATCCGCCTGAAGTATTCAAGAATGAATAAATTTTCATTTCCTCGTGTAGAGACGTGAAGGAGATCTACGCGCTGTGTTTGATCGAATGATAGATTGTGGTTCTCAGTTGGAGAACGGGTTTACGAGCATCGGCTAAACCTTCCCCTCATCTTTTCAAAGGCAAGTTGCGGCGAAATCTTCAAGAAATATTTCGCGAGGCTCCTTCGAAAGTTTCCTGCAAACAACCACACATACGCAGGACATCAATGCAAGATGGTCAGTCTCAGGAAGAAAGTGCGTGATCTGGAGTTGAAGGGAAGGAAGGGTATGTGATTATTCTGCCCTCAATTGTAAGCCATACTGACGACACAATTGTAGATTTCGACCCAGAGGACGATTCTTTCCGCCGCCCAGACGAAGACGATTCCAAGGCCGAAGAGGAGGTGAACGATGACATTGGACGCGAACATTACGAAGCCGTCGGGAAGAGTAAATTGAGAGAGCCTTCACGGCCGCCAACTCTCGATGCAAAATATGGTGGAGTCGCGGTCAGCCGCAAAGCACTCGACGAAGAGGATGAAGACGACCCATTTGCGCCAGTCGATCAGTCGGAGGAAGATGACCCCTTCGCAGCAAGCGACGAAGACGCTGATGCTTTGAACGAAGCTGATGACATCCCCGACAATGTGGACCTTGAGGCGGAAATAGACGAGAACAGCGAGATCGACAGCGACGAAGCATTCGGTGAGAGCGATCAAGAACGTTTCAAAGATTTCAAGTTCAGAGCCAGCAAGAAGAACCGCATTGAGGCACAGTCCGAAGACGAGATCTCAGATGAAGAGCTGGAGGATAATGACACAAACGACTCCGAAGAGGTCGCGACCGACAATACAGACCTAGACATGGACGATGAGGACGACGAAGAGGAAGAGGAAGAGGAAGATGACGATTCCGCCTCCTCGACCGGTGCACCGTCCAAAACAGCCCGCAATGCCGACCGGGAAGAACTCAAGAAAGCCGCATTCTCGACCGCTGGACTAGCCTCAGCGCTTTCCGCTGGGGCAAACGCGGACGTGCAAAAAGGCAAAGCCGTCAAGCAACAGCGACAGACATTCGACCGCCTCCTCGACTCCCGAATCAAACTGCAAAAAGGCATCACAGCCATGAACGAGATCACCGAAATCACACTCACTGACGACGAGATCAAAGAAGCCGCCCAACAAGCCGAAGCCGCCGCCCTGGCTTTGTGGTCCACTATCGACGCCATCCGCCGCACGATCCTATCATCATCCAAGCCTGACTCTGAATCTGACCATTCGTCAAGAAAACGACCATTCACCGCTACACGCTCCACATCAACAGAAGAGCTATGGCAACAAAACTCCTCCTTCGATGCCGATGTCCACTCCGTAAGACGCACGACCCTAGACAAATGGCACGCCAAAACCCAGCCCGTAATCGACACCGCGCCACGATCTAAACTATTGGGTTCTTCGCATTCAAGATCGCGCCTTACAGACGTGTTGGATACATATCTCGCGACTGAGTCCACGAAAACGAGTACAGCAAGCGTCCCATCACCAGGCACGTTCGACGACGGGCCGTTCTATCAGGCCCTCCTACGCGATCTGATCGCGAGTCGCAGTGCGAACAGCACCGCGACGACAGAACCGTTCTTGCCGACGAAACTGCATGTATCGGGAAGTAAAGGCAAAAAGATCGATACGAAGGCCTCGAAGGGCCGGAAGGTCAGATACACTGTGCATGAAAAACTAGAAAATTTCATGGCGCCAGAAGATCGAAGTACGTGGGAAGATGCGGCGAGACGGGAGTTCTTTGCTAGTTTGTTTGGGAACGCGGGAGCGTTGGATGAAAACACCGAGGAAGCCGAGCAAGGCGAAGATGCAGATGGAGAGGCAGAAGTCGAAGCACTCAGACTATTCCGGAGTTGAACGTGTACAGATACGCATAACAATAGCATTTTCCGTACAATCATAAGCTCGTCTTCTCTATCCTGTGGTCTTCTCTGCCGATGCTAATTCCCTTGCCCTATCCACAAGGACATTCTCGAATAGCCCTACCATTGCCTCACGCCACCAGAAACAGGCATAACCATACATCATGACAAAAGTGGGATGTCACTTTCTTCTTGTATACCCCGGCACTTGATAAGGCTGTGGCACATACCACGTCGGCATCACACCGGCCTCGCGTTGTCGATGAATGTATGCCGCAGTGACATGTCCATTCTGTGTAAAGTTCGACTGGGTGTCATTGTCAAAGCCTGGAATGGGCGAGTATTGTTCCCGCAAAGGCGGCGGATTGGGCGACGATGGGATGAATATCTCTTGTGACGAATGGATCGGTGTCTCCGTGCAATCCGCATCACGAACATCCGACAGGCCTTTTTCAGGAGAGATGTGTGCGATTTCTGCCTGATAGCCTTCGGTGACCTCGTCCTTCGATGCTGGTGGCACTGGAGTCGGCAGCTCACGGTCATCCAGAGAAACTAGCCCAGGCTGTGGTGCTGTCGAAGGTGGATCAAGGTCGAGATCTCCTTCCTCTTCTGAGTCGAGTACCTCGTCCATATTCGGCTGTGATTGATCGTCACCGGCATATTGAGGCAGTTGGCTTATATGAACACGGTACGAACTGGAATCTTTAATTGTGATTCTGTCTTGTCTTGCCTGTAATTGCGTTTCCAACCGCGGCTGAGGGTACGACGACATGTTAAGAAGAGCTTGTGTTGCCTCTTGAGTGGACATCTGCGAGGGATGGGGCATGGAAGCTGGATGCATACTTTTCTGTGTGACAGCTTTCGTTGCAGCAAGCGAAGACGACGATGAGAATTTGGGTACATCGTTCAAGGGCACTTGCGTCGTCGAGATGTGAGTGCTTGACTGATGAAGCAAAGGGGGCTTCGGAAGGGTGATCTCATCGTCGTCAGAGTCTGAGTCCATTGGATCACCCGCGTTTCTGGCATTCGGTGACTCGACCAGTCTGGGTAGTGGAAGCGGTGTCTGGAGTGGCTCTTCATCAGAGCTTGACACCATCACCACTTCTTCTTTTCCCTGTGTGGCAGGTCTGGCCCGTGGTGTTGGTGACGACGGTGATAGCGCTGCTGCACTGATTATACCCTGGTCAATTTTGAATGGTGTTCGTGTGGCCTGTGGAGATGGAGATGACACCCGATGCTGTACGTGGTTGTTGAACTGTGTATCGTTGGCAATGGGTGGGCCAAAATCCAGCTCTTCACCCTCAACTTCGATTTCTTGCTCCACAACAGGATCTCTTGTAGCAGGCACGTTATGAGCAAGAGTGACTTTTTCTCGGTCTTCGACCTCTCTTACTTCATTCTTGCCAGTAGCTGGTGGAACATGTGCGAAGTCCCGGACCAAGATTGGCGACTCTTCGTTCCGTGGGATGTCTGAAGAAGGATTGCTGACTACCAGCTCAACATCAGCCTTTGTGCCCAACGCTTTGCTCCCCACGAGGGCTGCGAGATCGGGTAAACTATCTCCTGACGACATAGGTGGACTTGACTGCATAGGTTGTATCTGGCTGGATGCTGGAATCTCTGCCTCGTTCGAAGTTATTGAAGTCAATGCAGGCGCTTGCTTAGGAGGCTCTCCTACGGAGCGCTGCAGTCGAGGCGAAGATGAGGGGATCGACCACAGATTGGCTTCGGAATCCTCAATGCGGGTGACACGTTTACCTTGACTGCGCTTGGGCAGTTTGAAGACGACGACCTTGCTTTTGATGGGAGAGCGCTTAGCCGTGCGGCGTAACTTTCCAGTTGACCTCCTGGGCGAGGGCTGTAGCAGAACATTGACCGACCTTGCAGCCAGCGGCGTCCGTTGTGGTGCTGGTGTGGCAGTGGATCTTCGATCCGTACGGCGTGTGCTTGGAGGCAGACTTTCAGGAGATTGGCTCGACAGTATTATCGGCTCCCGACTTTTCTTGGGTGTCTCTAACTTCGATCGATCCTCGGAAACTCGAATTGGGTCTGCCTCGTCATCTTCACCGTCATCCACAGAGTCTTTAATTTCGAGGGTAGGCACCTTGCGACTTGCAGGCGGCTTTGGTGCGGGGACTTGGGAGACGCCCAGTGCCTCCTCGAAGTAGTGGAGGTTTGCGTCTGGATCCGAAAATATGCTCGTCTTTGACGCTAGACGACTGGACGTCCGTCTCCCAGAACTGAGTAATTCGCCAACTGTAGTGTCTGCCTTCCTCTTCTTCTTGCTGGGCTTGTACTCTTGACTTTCCTGATTGGTAGGAGTACTCTTTCGCCATGTAGATCGATGAGAAGAGGCAGGGCTTGCCTTGCGTTTTCGCGGCTTCCTAGGGCTGTCGTATGCTCCATCGAGCTGCGCGATCGCCAGCTTGGGTGGCTGTGGCTCGACTGTTGGGAGTAGTTTATCATCAAAGCCTGAGTCATGCCTTTCTTCAAAGCTAAAGAAATCCATTTGAGTCAAGGTTGAATCCCCCCTCTTCAAGGTGGTTCTTCCCGCAGAAACCGTCCGTGGGCGCTTGTATTCCTGAAATTGCATGTCATCTTCATCGAAGCTCGTAGCAGTCGGCGTCATCCATTGTGCTTGTGTGAGTGTCTGTTGACTCCTCCTACGTGTATTCCCGACGTCACTGAATCGCTGCCGCTTTCGTGGTGCCGGTGTTGCTGATTTTGCCTTTCGCTTGGTGCTCGTAATTGACCATGATTCTTTTGACATGGTTCATGGTGCTCGCGAAGAAGGAGCGTCTTATCTCGAACACAGCGAGGGTCGTGGCGAAGAGGATGCACAGCGCAGGAATTCAATGTGGACTCTATGCGCCCTGGGCTCTCTGGGCGCCCACAGCAGATCATGAGCGCGTCCAGTTCGTCGCGTCTACACGTGATGTCACACGTCATTTCAACCAATAAGGCCGCCAGCCTTGCCTCTAATAAGTACATCAGGTACCGTTGAGATATAGTCTATGGACGTGCGCCTATGTTCTCGTCAGGACCAGCCCGCTTGTCACTTATAGACAATCATTTTGGTGACCATCATGGTAATCTCCTAAAGGTTTTCGAAGTACATGTGTCCGGCGTGCTCCCCGGCTAAGAATTCTTTCGACGGGCAAGTACGCCTCAGTTGAAGTCGACCTATTCATAGAAGCTGCCAGCTACAAAATGGCTGCAACAATCCTTTCCCACTTAATACTAACGGTGATTTCGCTCATACTGGTCTCGGTCGCTTCCAACATCATCAGGCAGCTCTTCTATCGGGATCCTCACAAACCACCGGTTGTCTGGCATTGGTTTCCACTGATAGGCAATACCGTGGACTATGGGAAAGACCCTTACAAGTTCTTCTTCAAGTGCCGGGAAAAGGTAGGATTCTCTTGCAATTGCAGCTTCTGTCAGAGGATCGCCCGCTGGACTGTCTACAAGCATATCTCAATGCGTTGCTGACCAAACTCATAGTATGGCGACTATTTCACTTTCGAGCTCCTGGGCATGAAGACCACCGTTTTCCTAGGTGCTAAAGGCAATGACTTCATTCTCAACGGCAAGCATAAGGATCTCAATGCTGAAGTGTGAGCCGACAGCAATTGCTCACTGACGATAACACTGACTGGTATCAGGAAGTTTATGGACCTTTGACAGTACCGGTCTTCGGTCGTGGTGTGGTGTATGACGTCGAAAATGCTCGTTTCATGGACCAGAAGAGGGTACGTCTTGTCTCGGTTGGGATGGCATGTGCAACGAGTGCTTGTGGTATGCGAAGTCTTGTCTGATCCAGGCATAGCTTCTTGTCGGAGGCTTCACCAGTCAAAATCTGCGAGCATATGTCCCCGAATTTGTCAGGGAAGTCGAGCAGTATTTGAAGGCCAATGTGGCATTCCGTGGTGAAGGCGGAGTCTGCGACGTATCATCTGTCTTCTCCGAGATCTCTCTTTATACTGCTGCTGGCTCATTACAAGGCAAGGAGGTCCGAGACTCGTTCGATTCAACCTTTGCAACATACTACCGTCACCTCGATGATGGTTTTGCGCCGGTCAATTTCATGTTTCCCTGGCTGCCAATACCCATCAATCGACGGCGCGACCGTGCCCAGAAAGTGATGGCTGGCCTGTACACGGATATCATCAGGAGGAGGAGAACGACGGGCAATGAGACGGATAGCCACGACATGCTCTGGGCGTTGATGGATGCCCGGTACAAGGACGGCACGGCGATACCTGATGAGGAAATCGCCAATCTCATGATAGCTCTCCTGATGGGTGGTCAGCACAACACGGCAGTGAGTCCAACCCACAACATAACATCCATGTCACTGACCATACACAGGCATCGGGTACATGGGTCATGCTTCATCTAGCCCATCGACCACATCTAATCGAAGAGCTGTATCAAGAGCAAAAGGATGTGATGGGTAGCGAGAGCCTCACCCTCGAATCCCTACAGAAACTCACCCTTCATAACAACGTGATCAAAGAGACGCTCCGACTACACAGCCCTATCCACTCGATCATGCGAAAGGTCAAGACACCGATGCAGATTCCCGACACAGATGTCGTCGTCCCAGCAGGTCATATTCTTCTTGCTGCGCCGGGAGTGCCTTCTCGAACCGAGGAATTCTTTCCTAACGCAATGGAGTGGAATGCTCACCGATGGGACAAGCAGGAGCAGGACGAGAATGAGGAAGGTGACACGATCGACTATGGCTATGGGGCTGTCTCCTCGAAGGCGGCATACAGTCCTTATCTCCCGTTTGGTGCGGGCCGACACCGTTGCGTTGGTGAGACTTTCGCTTATGCGCAGCTGGGCGCGATACTGGCTACATTGGTGAGGCTATTGCAATGGGAGCAGGTCGATCCTAAGGCTCCTGTCCCGGAGACTGATTACTCGGTAAGTGCCCTTCACAATCCGAAGTTGAGTCAGAATACTAATCCTTTTCCACCTTCACAGTCAATGTTCTCCCGGCCAATGCATCCTGCCACAATACGTTGGAGACGCCGCCCATAACGTTCCGAGCCTAATCATTTAGGCTGATGATTGTGTGAGATGGCAAGAAGATAAAAGCGGTGTCGGCATATAGAGCTATAAAGAACATTCTTAGAGATAACGATTGAGATTTTTGAATGCCACATGTTAACAACCCGTCATAAGTAACATAGACCTTCAGTCACGATAGAAAAGAAAGCATGGTATCATATCCCGGAAGAACGCAAACTCAGCCCTTCCATTTTCCCAGCCGTCGTGATACAAATGCCGCCGCAAAACACCCTCACGCCCACAAAATCAAGTCCGTCATGACGCTGCTTGCAACCAAATAGATCCAAATCACAAAAAGCCATGGCGTTTACCAGCGAACATGTCGGGGCTTGTACCCATCACCCAAACTCCGCCTCGTATGCCTGTGCCCACTGCCACTAGCACTCAGGAACTCGAAGTCCCTCTTCACAGATACACCCAGCGCCTCCAACTCGCGGTCAAAGAACGTTTCACCTCTCTTCTTCAACCCTGACTCCCCAGAGGTATGCACGCCCTTGGGATGCTCCTCCTGCCACGTCTTCAGAGCAGCGCACTCGCTCTGAAACTCATCCTTGCCAGCGTAATCCGAGATATCACTCGGCCGCTCAATCCACTGCAGCGCCAGACCACCATCGACATGCCACACGATGTGGCAGTGCATGAGCCATGCGCCGGGGTTATCCGTCTGGAATCCAATGACCGTGTATCCAGCCTGTTGGCCGACGGCCGCCGAGCCGATCAACATCGCCGTGTCACGACGCATAGGATTGTCAAAGTTCAAGGTGGACACCATATCAGACGTGAACAAGCCCACACCTTGGCCGAGAAGCGAGAAATCGTGGCCGTGCAAGTGCATAGGGTGCGCGGCGAAGAATTGGTTCTGGATCACGAAGTAGACCCACGTGTTGTTGCCCTTTAGCGTGATCGAGTTGGACACAAGAGACGTGTAGTTTGTCCCATTATGTTGAGCAATAGTTTGAAGTGTAGGTTGCGTGTAATTGACGTTGATGTTGCCGTTGTTCAGGAACCACCTGAACACGCTGCCGTCGTCGTTGGTCGCGACGGTCGCGACGTTGCCGGCTGGCAGGGTCGATGCGGTGGCGCTGAAGGCGCTGGCTGAGCCTCCAGACTTCGACACGTATGGAACAAGACTCTCGAGGGGCTCGTCCAGGCAGATTGCGAAGTCAGATGCGTTTTTGGACCCGTAGGTTGAGGTTGGGAGTGTCGCTTTTGCGCCAGAGTACAGGAAAATGCCGTTTGCGGCGCCGAGGCCGCTGTTGGCGCACCCGCTTGGGCAGCCAGTTTGCGTGACGGCTCTCAAAAAGTAGCCTGCTACGGGCTGGTTCATTTCTACGATGACATCGTACCGTTGGCCGATGCCGATATTGAGCCATTCGGTTTCGTAGGGCACGATGGGAACCAGGTCGGCTGCGATGACGGTCATGGTGTGCTGGTCGAAGTGGACTGAGTACATGTTTTGTGAAGCCGTATTGATGAGGCGGAAGAGGTGTTTCTTGCCGGACTGGACGTCCCAAAGGGCGTGTTGACCGGCGGACAGGTCGGGGAGTGTGTTCTTGCCGTTGAGCAGATAGTTTACGGTTCCAGTAGGACCAGTGTGGGCAACCCGCTCGTTCTGCTGCGCTGCAGTCACGTTGAATGTGTCGTCGATGGTGATCGGACCCATGTCGATGTCGTAGTTGGCGGTGGCAGGTCCGTGAATAACGATGGGTCCTCGAATGCCGTCACCATACTGAGCGACGGAGTGAGAGTGGTACCAGGACGTTCCGTATTGCGAGAGTTGCATCGTGTAAGTGCGCGAAAAGCCGGGTGCAATGCCGCACTCGGTGACGCCGGGAACACCGTCCTGGTCATTGGTGCCTTTCTGAGTGATACCTGGTGCGTAATGTTAGTATAACTCAGAACACCTTCCTGTGCTGAGAACATACCGTGCCAATGGATGGAGGTCGAGTTGTCAGTTAGCTCGTTGTGGACGGTGACCACCAGAAGATCACCCCAGTTGCATTCAATCAGAGGGCCTGGGACTTGACCATTAATAGCGAAAGCCAACTTCTCTCCGCTACCATCAAGGTCGAGGGTCGTATTTGTGATAGTGAAGTCGTAAGAGCAGGTGTTTCCAGTGCTGTACTCGCCAGTATACCAGTCACTGCTGATGCTTTGGCCTCCGCACCATTTACTTCGGTCATCCGCGCTATTACATCCTGAGCCGCCATAGATTGGTCCGTTGGGAGTGGACACGTTGGAGTGAGCCGAACCAGCTTCCGGCCATGAGCCATTGTCTGACCAGCCAGTGTACTGGGGAGCCGGAATGGTGACTGTAGTCGCGATGGCATCGCCAGTCCAAGTGTATACTGCACCATCAGTGCCAATGGTGCTCACATCGCTTTCCCACTCTAGCCAGCTACCGTCTGTGGTCATTGTAGGGTCAGGCGATGTGACAGTGCTCCATGACGGGTCTGCACTAGCTGTCGAGGTTTTGGAGGAATGCACAGCTACCAGAGTTTTGGTCGCTATAGGAGGGAATGGCTGTCCGTTTCCATCGACTGTCACTGTTGTGGTAGCACAGAAGCCAGGGCCAATATACACTGTCGAATGGTAGACGGTGGTCGTTTCCTTGTACACCGTAGTGGTAGCGGTGGTGGTGACTGTGGTCGTTGGAGAGGCATCCCAATCGGCCCAAGAATTAGACGCAGAGGCAGCGACGGTGGTGATGGCAGCATCCCAGGCTTCCCATTCCGCAACGACACCTGCTGCGAGCCCAACCACTGCAAGACTCGATGATTTCGTCAACTTCATCTCGAAGTATGAATATTAGGTTACCGTGGTTCGTTGGAGTGCAGACCAGAACGGCGGGCGCAGATTCAATTGTCTGCCCTGGACAACATTAAGAAAGACTGTAGTTAGGAAGAAATGGCAGAGACGCAGTAACCCTCACACAAAATTTACCTACGCAAGACTGGAAGAAGTCGACGGCTTAGACGACACGCAAGGCGGATGCAATGCATTTAATGCCTTCAAGCCAAGCTGCATTTCCCCAGACAGCGGTCATATGCATGCCCCCTGATGGCAGAAGCAAGGCTGCAAGTCAGCGAAGAATTCTGAGTGGTGACAATTGCACAAGACAAGACTCTTAGCCATGTATTGACAGCTTGACGCGCCGCTGTCAACGAAGCACAACATGGCGATTCGGGTTTGCAAAAGAATGACATGTGTTGCATTCTAGATGATAGACCGTTTCTTGAAAGTCTCATCACCATATCAATATAATCATGAGCTTTTGGGGGAAGGAGTCTTTCCGTTACAAACTGTTGAACAATGCTTGAGGATGTACTCGTACCTGGATCAGCAGTTGCACCGTTCGCGGGTTCGCGCTTCGCGCGGTACTTTCGTGCATTGACCATAGTTAATCTCAGGATGACAGCGAGTACGATAACCATATATATGGCAAGGATGTGGTCAGAGCACCGCGCGAAGATCAGTTACCACGATCAAAGAGATTGCCCGGGTAATTGCATGGTTGTAAGATGCTCGTACTGTGAAAATATCGCCAGCTTTCACCAGTGTCGACGCGAAACGTGGGATGTTGTGCACGATGGGAAAGGATTGGTACTCCAAATAGGATCTGTTTAGGGCAGAAGAAAGAATAGAAGACATCCCTAACTTTGCACCGACCGATTTAGGCTGCTTGGGTCGAGGTGCCAATCCCGGGCGAGAGGTCGGATCGGACTGTGGAAGTTTCGCCTACAGCTATAGCCTAACATGCCTTAGACTTGCTTATTATTAGCCCTTGAGGTTTCAGGGGTCGCCTGTCACCACTGAACTCATTTCCTTCCCCAGGTGTGACGTCTCGGCAGTTTATGGAGCTTGCATACTCCGTACAACTAGTAGTAGATTTCGGGTGGGTATCACGATAAACTACTGCCCTTGAACTCGCCTTACCTTTAGTTACATAGGGGCGCAATGTTACGTGAGATGTGCCTCGCGAATCGTAAATATACGTAGGTCACTTAGTTGTAGCTACTACTAGTACAGTGACTTAGGTAGGGGCGCATATACCCGCGAGTGCTAAGGCTCTCACCTCTTTCGGTAGGTTGCCTCAAATATCGCGAAAGATGACATCAACTGTCTTCAACGTTCCTGAGTCTACTCGATCATAACCACCTGATTTCTATGTATAACCCACTCCCAGTGCCACGCCCCAAAGACATACTCTTACTATCTCCCTTCATCGATCTCAATCAGCCCTCTGTTTCTTCCATTCTAGCGTAACACCAAATCTATCTCTCAAGTAACTTACTCCACGGCGCATGTCAGGCGAGAACCGACAAACAAATAATTCCAGTGTGCAGGTCACGCAGACATCTCCTAACAAGGCCACCACCACAGGGATGCCACAACAGATCCCCGCCAGCTTTGCGCGTTTCGGCTTGAACCCAAAGAGCCCCTTCGCAGCAATCGCGCAGAGTTCTGTCGATCAGCCTGGCGATCCTCAACCCGGCGTGAATGTGTCAGCATCCGCTTCCCACAGCCCTTTCGCGGGCATTGCTCCAAGTGCCTCGGACGCGCCTGGTGACCCAGTTCCTGTTGGGGGCATGCTCCCGTCCCGGCCAGTGGCGGGTGGTGATTTCGGGGAACGTGTTGGTTGTGGGCAGTGATGCAGCGTGTGGATTGAGATGCGGCCCAGCGGGGTCCAGGTTCAGCCTGTCTCATTGAACACAGTGCACGCAGGCCTAGCGGTTTTGTGGGAGTTGCAGCGACGTCGAACGGTAAGAGAGGGCCTCGCTGGTATCGCATACGATGAGGGTATATTATAGTGATTTGCCAGCGTTGTATTGCAGTCAGGTTTTGAGATGTTTTTGTTCGTACTGCATGAATACTTCGCAAGATATAAGCACGAATACTACGCACGAGGTTTCGGCCGTAAAGGATGCTATGGTGAATAACCCTTTCGCAGTAAAATCGCCGTTCCAAAAATTGATCTGGATTGTAGATTTCGAGGTATATCGCCCGGCGGATAGCTGTAATGCAACATTGGTAGCCACCTACATAGGGCAATATAGGGTTAAACAGAAAATAGGGGCAAGGCTGCGCGACTGCTATGGGCCCCAAAGGGTCCATCGTAGGTCAAACGTTGTCTTAACCCACCACCAGTGATTGAAGAGCCGCAGATAGTCTCGAAAAGTATGCTGAGCTGCCATGCTGTAAAGGACCGAAATTGGATTTAGTAACCCAAGACACACCTAGAAACACTCACAGAAGGTCAATCCCACGTGAAAATCCGAACGTTGGGCTGACAGATGTCAGCGATATGCATAGTTTTTCCCTGTGATTGAGGTGCCATATCAAGAATCTAAAAGTTGCACGAAAATAGCGCTCTTAGTCGCGCCTGCGGTACTGCATTCCAGAAGAACCAAGGCTAGTAAAACCGAGGGGAATATCTATAGCAGATCGTGTGGGTGTGGTGCATCTGGGAGATCAAGCCAACCAGCAAGGAATCATAGGACTGGAAGTTTCCCAGAGCGCGGTTTTATCGCAGTTGTCTATCCCAAAGCATGTATGGATACCATCCTTATCGCCTTGGGCTCGGGGCATGCCAGGCACGTACAGAACCCATGATTTATGATCATCCTTTTCGAGGTCTGTGTTGTTCCCAGAAAAGCTGGGGACAATCCTATGAACCATCGTGCACGGAGCGAAATGCCCCGTCCAAAACTGTCTTCGTAGGTGTGATAGCACTACCGTCCCTCTCACCACCAAATACGTCGATAAATCAAAACATACCTGTGACCTCTGGCCCAGTTTTGCCCCATGAAATGCATCCATCCAAGCTTTTCAGGTATCTTTTTCTGGTCTGCACGCAAAGCTCACCACCTTTTCGACATACCAGATCGCAAATCACAAAATTGAGTGAAGAATGAGCCCGGATAAATCTTTCTCACTTCATGGCAAAGTCAAACTCCTCAAAATCTTCCTCCAGACCTTGCGCATCCTCTTCTTCGGCCTGCTGCTCACTGCCGTCCTTGCGAAGTAGCGCATCCATCCAATTCACTCTATTCTCGAGCTTCAACAAACCAGCCATGACTTCCCTGCCGAACCAGATATTGAACTTCTGATCTGAAGGCAAAGGGAAGAATATTGACTTGGTAACGCCAACATCCTTATCGCTATTTCCGTTGGTGCGATCTGCAATCTCGACCGGATCGCAGGACCAGGTCCATACTCTGAAGTAATCTGAGCGGACGGGAAGCTGACTGTCAGGCTCGCAAGATTGGAAGGCTGGATATTCGTGCTTCTCCGCAGAGACTTTGAACGCTGCCTCAACCAGGCCCTTCTTGATCAGCTCAGCCTGGCATGCGATCAATTGCCAGTGGTGGTGACGGATGCCAGTACGATTGACCTCCCAGCAAACTGCCCCCAGCTGTCCCTGACTCTTTGAGCCGATCATGTCACCAAGAGCTTTGCGGAATTTGTTCATCTCTGTGAACTCAGAGCCCATCTCTTCGGGCGCCCTCTGGCCCTGGGCCATTTCATCTGCGGCATGATAGTAAGGAATGATCATGACGTGACCAGTAGATGACAGTTGATGAAATGTTGATGGCAACGGTAAAGGCCCTCTGGAGGCGGTGACCATACTTTCCTCGGCCAAAGATATGACCAAGTGAGTCTTGGCTCCAGGCTTGTTTAGACACATGAAACAGTCACTGGGATCTTTTTGTTGACTTCTTCGGGCACGTTTGTGCTGTCGTCCATCATTCCCGCCATTGGAAAACCGACTGTATGATTCTGGGTCATCCATGTTCTGACGTTTGCGTGGTGGCGACGATCTGATGAAAGGTGATTGGCGTGGGGGCTCGACAGTTTGGGGCGGACGTGACGTATCCAACGTGAAAGCAGTCATCCATTCTTTGGTGGGTGCAGCTACACTCGGTAGACTCTTGAATCTTGTCACAGCTGGCTCCTCGAGTGAGTCGTAGTCGGTCGCATGCTTGAATGGTTCACGTTCCCATAACGCTTCAGGGCTGCTCGAAAAGTGGTACCATGGTTTCAGTGCCTGACACAGGGATGAGGTAGATTGTGAGCCTGGAGTTCCGGTGAGACTTTCGGGAAGATCGATGCTAGATCCGTTCGCAATATTTGCAGGCCAGTCATTCGTGATGAGGATGTGAGCTGAATGCGCACCATGCAAGCCACGTGCATCGTGGTCGAGGTACAGTGGATCGCACTTGCCCAGCTTCGTGGTGAGAGCAGTCTCGTTCTGGACGATTCGACCTCCAAGCGCTACAATTTTCACTCCTTCGGCAGTGGTCATGGTTCCTTTGCGACCGAGGTAGAACAGATTCGGACACAAATCATCGTCAGCTTCTAGCTTTTGCTTTACAGCCTCTGGGAAGTCTGAGTTGCCCACTGTGAAATATGTCGGTAGGGCAACATCGATCTGACCTGATATGAGAGCCTGGATTTCGTCGGCGTCATGCCCATCACCAGGAGCCGCGAATAAGTCGCCGACGACAATGGCAAGATTGAAGTTCTGCTTGGCCTGCAACTTTGAAACCTTCTCAAAGGCCTTTCTCAGCTTCCCTTGAACACTCCCCACCACGAGGCTAGATCGATTAGCGACAGGCCTTTGACTGACATACGAGTATGCTTACATCTTTGCTGATCCCATGGTTCAGAGCCTGGTTGTTCTGCCCTGACTTTGGGGAAGCGAAGAAAGTAGTGAGATGGAGAATATTTATTTTAGCTTTGAAGATTTAGATTTATATGTCGAGTAAAGTGAATGTCCATCAAGGTCGGATGAGGGTTTGACTATCTCAACGCTTGGAGACAGGACAATGAGGATAGGCTGATACCTGCTCGGTCGAGGTCGCGTTGACAACGTGGTATGAGGTTAGGTCAACTCTCACAAGATGGTGAGGGACTCGAGAAATATCGCCAGATCTGCATATGGTGGTTGAATGCTTCGTACTAGCATTTTTACGTTGCGGGTTTCGCTCATCAATTGGCAATTTCTAATGCGGGGAAATTTTACATGTCGATCCTCGCCTCCAAAATAATTTTCCAGACGACTTTGACCGCCTGCGCTTCATATCTCGATAAATCCTCCACGCTGAGGTGTAATCTGCACTGATCAGAGGATGCTTAGAGACTGCGTCCGGTAGCACTCATAGTCATGGCTCCTATATCACCCGGACCGGCAGGTCGGCTGCTGCGCAAAGCGAAGAAACCTACCGAGACGACGAACTTGCACCGATACGAATCGTTCACGAGACGGATATCCAGGTTGAAAATCGACCCTGTCCACACTGTGGAGAGGAGGAAACCCTCGAACGACGAGGGAGACTTGACGCAGAGTTACTTCCGTACAGCACTTGAAGAATGGGCAGAATTGAACCTGTCGCAAACATTCACGAGTTTCCTCAACAAGGCGAGCCCTCTCAGCGAGAATATTCCGCAATTGTTGCACCATGCCGATAAAATCTTCGACCTCCTCATACAGCACATCGAAAAGAAGGATGCGTTGGCCCTTGAGCCCCTTCTCAGCCTTGTTGCACACCTCGCACATGATCTAGGCTCAAGATTTGAAAAATATTTCCCAAAGACGGTCACTTTAGTCGCACAGGTGGCTGCCTCACACGATAGTGCCGAAGTGATTGAATGGTGTTTCACCTGCTTGGCCTGGATATTCAAGTATCTTTCGAGACTCCTTGTACAAGATCTGCGGCCTCTACTGGACATCATGACGCCATATCTGGCTTCGAAGAAGGAATACATTGTACGATTCAGCGCGGAGTCGCTCGCATTCTTGCTTAGAAAAGCGGCGATGATGTATCAAAAGAAGAAGTCTCCGTTGACGCTGGCGCTCAAGCACCTCGTGGAAGGGCAGATTCCAATTCACGAATCACCAGCAGCAATGCATTCGTACCAGGTTGGAGCCATGAGTCTGTGTGTTGAAAGTGCCAGAGGTCTTGAGGGCAGTCTACATTCAAGTGCAGACTCTCTGGTACGATGCCTCTTGGACGTTGTTGTACCCATATGTGAACAGCAGATGGCCCAATCAAGCGTTGAAGGAGTCCTCATCGCACTCATTCATGAAACCAACAGTGTTGGTTTCCAACCAGTTATCGATGTCGTCCTAGACACTGTGCGTCAATGCACGACATCACATGAACAGAGCCGATTGAGCTTCGCTCTGCGGCTACTCAATGTGGTATTGGGAACTCGAAAAGGCTCCAGGATCACTGACTGGACTGTTGTGATACAAACCTACCTTGACGTTGCCCAGGTATTTCGGGCGAGACCAGAAATCCGGAGCCAGGTCAGAGAGGAGTTGGTATCAATATCAGCCCTGACACTAGGGCATGCGCCAATGGACCAACTACTTCCGTATGTGCAGAAAACGTTGAAACTTGCAACGGAGCAATTTCCAGCGTCCGACTTTTTCGCCTTCTGCACTATCTGTGCCGAACTCGACAACCAGAGGTTCGTCGACCTTGTGCTACCAACACTTCAGCAATACATCGTCAGCCATTGGTCTGACGACGAAGTGAGCACGCAATATTTACTCGAAAAGTTTCAAAGAGATGGCATTGTCTCAAATCGTGGCGGAGCCTTTAGGCCCCTTGACTGCCCGGCGGACATGCAAAGATTCCTTGCACATGAACTAGCCGCGCAGAACGCAGATGATTTCAAATTGCCCCTGGCACAATTCGCTGGACGGTTACATCTTCCACACAATGCACGATTTTCGCGAGAGTCGGAGCATATCGCGAAGCTCCTGCCTATCTACCACGAGATGATTGTAAATGCTCTTGAAGAGACAGCCACCGAACCGGACCTTCGAAGGCGTGCAATCCTTGGTTGGGGCTTCGAGACATATCTCGACACTATAGCAGATGACCAGCTGAAGCTCGCCAACCTGCCTCAATATGTCCTGAACACTTCGCCAGCTCATTTCCGCCTCTCAACTTTCCTGAGCATGAGTAATCGTCTCTTTGAGAGGGTAAGCATGGAACCAGCTGCGGAAGAGAGGAAAATGGACACTGTCCGTTACGCGCTGATCCAGAATATGCTCAGCACATCGGTTTCGTTGAAGAAGCAATCTTTGAAGTTGCTGTCTCGGCTGGAAGTTCCAGGAACGGGAAGCTGGCTCTCCGAAACAGTTGAGCTAATGCTTGAGATTCTCGACGCACCTTATACCCCATCAGAAGCTCGAAAGATTGCGATGCTCCTCCGCCGGCTTCCGCAACGGCAGACAAAACTTGTTTCAGATTCGGTGTTTGAGAACCTCTTACCATTCTTTTGTCTCGGTCTGCTGTCTCATTACCATGATCGGACCAGACAAGAGGTCTGCCAGATTATCGCACAAATGGTGGAGGCAACGTCGGTCGAGGAGTCTGTGGTCAATACCGCGATCCAATGGCTTCAAGCACCCTGTCCACTTCCTGAAGCACGCCACGATGCCGATGACCAACCAAGAGCAACTGCATCGGCATTTTCATGCACAAATCTTTCAAAAGTAGATTTGTTGTGCGAGGCCACCTTGCAGGACTTTGACCACTCAGACAAAGGTCTGCTAAAGATTGTCCAAGATGATCATATTTTGGAAAACACAAGGACTCCTGAAAATGGTCGGTCTTTGGCCCTTCAGGTTTTGTCATCTATATCAGCATCGGCCGAGCGTCGTTCTCGCCTTCTTGTACCTATTTTCCTGTCTGCCCCAATGACTCGTTCGCAAGTGCAACAAAAGGCGAGTTCCGATACCTCGGCTTCTTCAAATACATTAAGCCCAGACATCGACGATACCGAGTGGTCACTTTCAGACCGCAAAGCTTTTCTGACCCTCTTCAGCAAGTTCGTCAACCCCAGGGTTCTCTACAGGTCTCCTGATGTCCATACGAAGCTGGTCGGCCTCCTGAGCAATGGCAATCTTGATGTAAGGAAGTTAGCACTTCAAGCGGTGCTTACTTGGAAAGAGCCAGCTCTGATCAGACATGAGTCCACGCTTCATCAAGTTGCTGAGGATAAGTCATCAACGACAGACCTGCGAGCACTCTTTAGCGCAGAAGATGATGAAAGCACGATCAAGTTGGAGGATCGCGGCGCGGTCCTTCCAATTCTGTTGAGACTGGTCTTTGGTTTGATCGTTGGCAGGGCCGGCACGTCAGGTTCACAAGACGCAAGACGAAAAGCGATTATACGAACTCTGTTCAACATGAAAGAGGAAGAGATCGCCATCTTCCTGGATGTTGCACTCGGTACACTGAGGGATGTAAAGAGTGGGAAAGATGACCTCGAGCTGTTGTCTCAAGCCATTGTGATTGCAGAAGATCAACAGTATGGGTTTCTCCGTCTCCTGTTGTCGATACTGGAGACTTTACAGAGTCGATTTGCGCCATACGGTGAGCAGGTCGTTTCAGCTGTCATCTACTGTGTCACTCGGGCATCCCAGCAGAGTGCTTCGCTTGCATCTACCTCGTCTTCGGGTCTAGCCCGCAACATCAGACGAGTCGGCTTTCAATGTCTTGTGCTGTTATCCCAAAACTGTCCGGGTATTAAGTGGTCATGGTACTTACCGACTCTTTTCACCGAAGCTATCAGTCCTCGCCTCGAGATCTTCACATCGGAAACAAACCAAGGTATCTCTGGTTTGATGAGGTTGTTCTCGTCCTGGACCAGGTCCAATGAGACTATCGGTTTCTTCCAGGACTACGATGAAAGAGTGACGGATGTGCTGTGGCAATCTTTGTCGACACAGTCAGCACAAAAGGAAGTCAAAGCTTTCGTCCTCGACGAGATTGTACAACCCTGGTTGGGTCTCGCCGAGGATGAATCCGTCAGCCCAAACAGAGGCCGTGAGCTTTTTGAAGCCAAATCGGATGGTCTTCTGGATGCTTTGGTATTGCTGCTAGACCCGACACCGCCTAAGGAGATTCTCAGCGCCATCACAGCCATCCTTCCTAGAATCGCACCCTTTGCAAAATCGTCGAGATCGAAACAAGCTACGATTCGTCTGTTAACAAGCCTCTTGCGTGACACTTCCCACAGAATACCGCCGAACATCAAGAGTCAACTCCTTCTGTCCATCCATTCTTTTCTCGACGCGACTGATGAGCTGGGAGACAACGAAACACAATCGCAACTTCTTGGGACTGTTTCATCTTTATTCGATTACTTCAAGGATGAGTCCAACCGCCAAGTCTTGTGCCGAGTTTTGGCAAGCCTGTCGAACTTCGACGCAGCCTTGATACCTGCAGCTCGTATATGTCACGACCTGCACGCTGTTTCGACAGAACGTCTTGAGGAAATCGATTACGATAAACGATTGGGAGCCTTTCAGACCCTTAGCTCAACGGAAGTTGACAACAGCAGTGAAAAGACATGGAGGCCGGTCGTGTACAGCTTGTTATTCTTCGTACGGACGAGCGAGGACTTTTCCATCAGGTCAAATGCCCTAAGCTGTCTGAAAGACTTCATCGTCAAGGCTTGCGAAGCACAGAACCCTGACACAAAGGCCTTGGTGAAGGATGTTGTTCTCGCATCTGTGAAGAGGGGATTCCGAGCCGAGTCTGAGCTTGTGAGAGCAGACTTTGTTTCGGTCTATGGCCTCCTCGTCCAGCATGTCCGCGATGATCCAGACTTGGAGAACTTAAGTGTCCTCCTAGTAGGTAATGACGAAGAAGCATCGTTCTTCTCCAATGTCCTGCACATCCAGCAGCACCGTCGCCTACGAGCGATACGTCGACTCGTTTCTGAGGTCGAAAAAGGGATCATTAGTGCGCAGAACATTTCAGAACTGTTCATACCTCTCCTTGAAATGTTTGTCTATGACGTTGGCAACGATGAGACCGGAGGCACCAAGGGCCAGAGCATTCTTGCGATGGGAACCCTCGTCCAATGGATTGCTTGGAAACATTTCAAAGCCTTGTTCCGCAAGTACAAGAACGACATTGACTCTGCCAACGGTGACCAGAAACCGACTAGCAGACTCCTCGGTCATGCAGCAGATGCTTTGATGTCAGCTGGAAGCTATCAGCCGGACAACGCTGAACAAAAGCCCATGCCACATCTTGCAAAGTCGCTTCCAGACAGCAAGACAATTCAGAACGAGCTACGGACGCAGTTCATCCCCAAACTTGCAGAGCTAGTACACTACAAGGATGAGACCGAGATCAGCTTTCGAATACCAATTGCGGTAACGGTCATCAAACTGATCACCATGTTACCACAAGAAGAGGCCCAGATTGCTGCGGCACCTGTCATTCTGGATATTGCACAGATACTGAGGAGTCGTACGCAGGAAGCACGCGATGTTGCCCGCAACGCCCTGTGCCAGATCGTATTGCTGCTTGGGCCCTCGAGTTTACAATTCGTACTCAAAGAGCTGCGCACTGCGTTGACACGAGGCTACCAGCTGCATGTTCTATCGTTTGTGATGCATGCAATCCTTGTTTGTATCACTCCAAGCACTAAGCTTGGCGAACTGGATTATTGTGTTGACGACCTTGTCGCGGTGGTCATGGACGACATCTTTGGTGCAGTCGGCCAAGAAAAGAATAACGAGGACTACATCAGTAGCATGAAGGAGGTCAAGAGCAGCAAAAGCTATGATTCAATGGAGTTGTTGGCCAAGACCATCAGCACGCAGGCGCTTTCGAGGCTCGTCGTGCCAATCCAGACACTGTTGGTTGGCTCGATGACCACAAAGCAAGTTCGCCAGGTCGACGAACTTCTCCGTCGGCTCGGTTTGGGTTTGTCACAAAATCCCGGTGCAAGCAAGCGTGATCTGCTCGTGTTTGCCTACCAGCTGATTCAGGCCATCTACAAGGAGAAAGATTTCAAGGCAGAGCCACGGCGTGCGACCCTTGACGAGAAGAGCCGTCAACGATATCTCATCCAGCTGTCGACGGCGAACAAGGCGACAACTAGTCAGACATCGCATCTGTTGAATAAACTCGTCCGATTCGCTCTGGATTTGGTGAGATCTGTCATTCAGAAGCACGACGAAGCTCTCACCGTGGAGAACATCCATGGTTTTCTTCCTGTCGTTGGTGATGCTTTGGTCGAAGCGCAAGAAGACGTAAAGATTTCTGCGCTGCGTCTGTTGTCGGCAATTGTCAAACTACCTATGCCGGAACTCGACGAAAACGGTCCACTGTACGTGATGGAGGCTGTCAAGGTGGTCAAGAATTGTACAAATACCAACGAGGAGGCTGCCCAAGCTGCGCTAAAGTTCGTATCTGCGCTACTCCGTGAGCGCAAGAGCGTCAAAGTCAAAGACTCGGACATTGCGGACCTCCTGCACAGACTCACACCAGATATTGAAGAGCCGGACAGACAGGGAGTTACTTTCAACTTCGTTCGAGCTGTCATGGCGCGGAAGATCCAGTTGCCAGAAATTTATGAACTGGTCGACAAAGTGGGCATCATGATGGTTACCAACCAAAACAAAGGAGCACGCGACATTGCTCGTGGTGTCTACGTGCATTTCTTGCTCGAGTACCCGCAAAGTCCAAGCAGGTGGTCGAAGCAGCAGAAATTCCTGTTGAAGAATCTGGATTACGAGTATCCCGAAGGAAGACAGTCTGTCATGGAGGCCATCAACACTTTGATCCTCAAGACCAAAGGAAGTGCCGCGCAGGATCTGATCTCCACTTTCTTCATCCCCATGGTTTTGCGGATGGTAAATGATGAGAACAAAGGCTGTCGCGAATTGGCCGGAATTTTGTTGGGCCAGATATTCCGGTCCGCGGATCCAAGTCGCCTAAAGGATCTCCTGGAGCCTCTCAAGTCGTGGGCTGCGCAGGACGACAATCAGGCGTTGCAGAATGTCAGTTGGCAGGCCTATAATGTCCTCTTGGCTTCGGATGTTGCTCTTGACCGCGAAGAGGTCAGTAATATCCGGGACAATCTAAGCACCATACTCCAAAGGTCTTTAGCGGATGATAACGATGCCGACGACGAACAAGAGTGGGAATTATCCTTCCAGGCCTTGCTTTGCCTGTCGAAACTGGTGGGCACGCATCCAGAGGTCGTGCTGACTCAAAAGCAGGCGCGACTGTGGTCAGTGGTGTGGAAGTCCTTAAGGCACGCCAATCCCTGGATTCAGGGCACCGCTGCGACCCTGACATGCGACTTCTTCCGACATTGTGGCGATGCAGATCATTCCAAGCTGCCGTTGACTTGTGACCACGGACTACGTTTCGATTCGGACAATTTCTTGCAGACGCTTAGGGCCGCTGTACGCATCCTGCGCCGGACGGAGCGGAACGAAGACCTCAGCTCGCAGGCTGTGCAGATACTTCTATTCCTGGGCCAATGCATGAATGTCAATGGCTTCACGATGGACGTCGCAGACAATTCAGGTGGTGATGAAGATGGTGATGTTGTAGACGATGAAGCAGCATCAGATGATGAGGATCAGCCCGCTGCCACGAGGACAAAGAAAATCTCGGGTTTGCAGTACTTGCTCGACCAACTTGCGCGGATTCTGAGAGTGGAAATCTCATCGCTTTCTTCTGCCGCGCTGCTGCCGAAGAAGTCAGCATTGGTGCTTCTCTCTAACTTGCTGCCTGCGCTGGCGATGGAGCATCTGTCTGGGACCAGAGTACACGATGTTCTTGCCCCACTTCAGCATTTGACTGATCCGAACACCATCATGCCGCGGTCCGCGGATCCGACCTTCGCAGCGACGTATCAGGAGCTGATCGAAATAGCGCACGAAGTTATGGAGAAGGTGCAGGCTAAACTTGGGGATAGAGAATATACTAGAGTCGTGACGGAGGTCAGTCGCAGCATGCGCGCGAGGCGAGAGGAAAGGAGGACGAAGAGACGGATTGAGCGGGTCGCGGAGCCGGAGAGGGCGGCGAGGGAGAAGAAGAGGAAGGGTGATAGGAAGAAGGAGAGGAATAGGGAGATTGCTAAGACGCATCAACGGAGACGAAAGGAGGTTGGATGATGATGTGTGATATTGAGTTAGATTTCCTGGTCGTAAGATGCATAGCGTTGGCGTCTGCCGTGATTAATTTCAGATGCATTGGAGCCACATACAAGAATGCTTTTTTTGAGCTGTGTTCGTCCCCTTCCTTGCTTCCCGTGTGCTGGACTCGAATGTGACTTTGCTTCATGGATTCACGCTGGCTGTCCTGGGTAGGTCTGTTCCAACTGCAGCCGTGGCACCAGCATCGACTGGCATGATCAGGCCTGTGGTCCATCTCGACTCGGGCGTGGCAAGGAATCGGACGGCACAACCTACGTCCCATCCATTGCCCTCGGTCTTGAGTAGACTCCTGTTCTTCCTCGCCTCACGTGCTTCCCCAGTCATACGAGGTGCGCCAGGCGGTGAGTGCATCATTGGAGTATATACCATGCTAATAGAAATCGTCAGACAAAACGACGTCGATGACTGGGCCCATGAGCCGAAGACTCGTGCATAGATGCCTCAGTCGTTTGGGAAGAGGAAGACTTACCCAGGACATACGCAGTTGACTCTGATGCCCTGAGGGGCGTGATGCGCAGCCATGGCACGCGTAAGATTGACTACAGCGCCTTTGCTCGTTGGGTACAGCAGGTGAGGTGTGCCTCCTTTAAGACCAGCAACACTAGCAATATTGATGATGGCACCGCGGTATCCCCATTCAGACTCGTTCTTCATCATGGCGGGAATGGCGTACTTGGCCATCATGACCATGCTGGCGACGTTGATTTCCATGCCCTTGGCCCAGGCTGTCATGTCGACTTCTAGCGCTGTGCCGGTCGCACCGCCAATGCCCACGCAGTTCAGCAGGATGTCGAGACGTGAGTATGTCTCGAGCGTGGTCTTAACGATACGCTCGCAGTCGGATTCCACGCTGACATCGGCTTGAATGGCGATGGCTCGTCCCTTGCCCTCGGCTTCGATCATCTCCACGGTGCGCTGGGCGAGGCTAACGTCCCGGTCGACGCAGACCACGGCGCAGTTTTCGTCGGCCAGCAGGATCGCTGAAGCGCGACCGTTGCCGATACCATCGCCTGCTGCGCCTGCGCCGGTCACGATGGCCACTTTGTCAGAGAGCGTGCGTGGTGGTTTGGGAAAGACGTATTGCATGTTGTATAGCCGATTGTCTGGTCGTGTTGGGGTGTGCGGCACTTACGAAATTGTCACACAGTTTAGAGGGTCTTTCCTTACTGTTCGTGTAAGCGCTCTTTCACCAAGCGATCTCGTCGTCCTATTCGCATTTTATAGTCAGTAATCATGGTACATCGTCTTTTCGGATGTGGCTTGATTCTCCTCACGAGTGCAACCAAGTGCGGGCCATCCTCGGCTACTCAGTGTATTGCTGATGGAGAAATTCCGATCTTGTAAGACTGGACGGTCAATTGTAGGCGAGAGTGAAAGGGAGTTCCTCAACAAGTGAAGCATGTGTCGTTGCACATTCCACAGCAGGGCATACCACTAACTGCAACATCCTCAGAACTTCTACATGTAACACATTGGGAAAGAATGTCCTGTGCTCTGGCACCATATCCTTCTCTGGCTGCTTGGGTATATAAATATCATTCCACCTTCTTCATTGACGCGCCGGAGTATTCACAATCCCAGCGGATTCTCTGCGTTCTGCTCTTTGCCGCCTATCTCTTCTTTCATTTTTCGTCCTTCCTCCTCTTGTTGCTTGGCCGGGCCACCGCCTTCATTGCCAAACCCGACGCCCACTTGGTCTCCCCAGCCTTTGCCAGACTTCATGACGCCTCCAACCAACGGTTCGACGAGACCACCAACCGGTCTTCCGACCGTCTCGAAACCCTTGCCAGCATATTTGCCGACTGGCGAAAGAGCACCTTGGATTTTGTCGCCGGCATTGGTGCCCATTTCCTCGGGTTTGGAATACCACGAAGAACCTAGGACGAGACTATTAGCAGGTATCCATGGCGATCGACAGAAAACACACGCACCTTGTTTCTGCTGCTCTTCACCCTCAGCCGCCTGCTCTGCGCCCTCAGCGGGGACGTTTTCCTTGTTTTCTGTCTCAGACATAATCGATTTGCGGCTGTCTGTGGTCGTGGGGTGCCAATTCGATTCGAGTTCACGTTGGAGTTCGTCCTAGTTATACACAGTTGAGAAGATTGTCCTGTCTGGGGCCTCAACGCTTCGGCCATGTTTAAGGACAGACGAGTGCTACATCATCGGTGGTGCCTCCTCCACTGATTGGCAAAGACAGGGATCATGCCATGCGACAAGGAGAATTGGGGCTGACGATTTCCCTGATGACGTCGTTAAATCCTGGAAGGTTTGAAGGTTCGCAGGACGAAGAGCGGCAATCGCCATGTTTAGCCGCGCCCGACATAATGTCGTTCACTTCTCCCCATCTGTTTTCTTGTGTCCCCAGAGTTGCAGAAAGGATCGCTTCGAAAGGATTCGATGGCGTCCTCCCGTGGCAGCATGAAGCAAGCAACGCCTACATGGCCATTGCGGCTGGATGCTTTCAGTCCAGAGAGTTGCTGCCTCACTAACCATGTCTGAAACCACCGTCGCTGCCGCGCGCCTTCTCGAGGCTATGCTCACCATGGCGCCTCGACAGCCTCAAGGTCGTGCAGTTCAGAGGTTTTAAGGTAATAACACAGCTCGTGCTGTCTGCGGTAAGTCGATCATGTCATGGCTGCTTCGTTTATTGATGCCTCTCATGGGCTGTTCGAGTCTCCAAAACCATATCTTGGGGCTACCAGCCCGCAGCTGACTTTGCGAACTTTGAAATACTCGAGAGATCACCTATCAACCTTGGAAACGGATTGTGCCGCCCTCTGCCCCCGGGGACCCCTGGAGGATCGTGCAAGGTACAGATATGTTCGACTTCAATCCCCAGAACAGATACGAATTCTGGAACTTCTTCCAGCGCAAGAACCCGACAGCAGATTATGCTTCAAAGTGTACTATGCCGACTTGGAGGATCTGCAGGTGGCATACACTGCGATATCATACGCGTGGGGTGAACGTGACCCGGACGGAGACAGGCTTATTGAATGCGATGGACTTCGAGCTTACATCCAACCCAGCCTGCACTCTGCACTGGTCAGGATCAGAAAGCGGAAGCCTATCAGTCAATTCATATGGGCCGATGCCTTGTGCATCGATCAAGTTGATAAAGATGCCACGCAGACTGTCCAGGATGTGGCAGACAGCGAAAAGTCGCACCAAGTGAGCATTATGGACCGGATCTTCAGCCACGCTGACCAAGTTATCATCGACCTTGGGGAGGGATATGATGCTCTTTCCACCCTCGACAAGTACTGCAGAATCTCGCAAGATTTATGGTCCAGTGTGAACGTGGCAGCTGGCACGTCCACTGTTGAAAACAGCATTAGAACTCTGAAGCAGTGGCGTCTTCCCACAACCAGCTCGCCCTTTTGGGATTCCTTTAGACATTTCATGTATCGGCCTTGGTTCACCAGGGCTTGGGTGATCCAGGAATACGCTTTGGCTCGGTCGCCAGTATTCATGATAGGAACTCATTTCCGGGACCAAGCTTTTCTACCAGATGGCGTCGCTCGTGCAGCTCAGCATTTGGAGATCTTATATCTCCACCAGAGTCTCTACCAAGGGAAGAAGAAGCTCAATGGACCCATTGCTGAGGCTTACTTTTATGTTGCCGAGAAGCACAAAGCGGTCCATCAAATCTACGATGCACGAAGCAGTATGAGTGATCAAAGGACGTTTTGCGAATTATTGGATGCTGCAACCCTTTACTTCAACACTACGAACTCTTGCGATAAAGCGTACGCACTTCTCGGGCTCTCGAGCGACAAGAACATCAAGCAAGATTTGTATGTGGACTACTCGGAGGACGAACAACATCTAAGCCTTCGAGTCAGCCAATATCTCTGTAGGCGTGGATTTGATATTTATCCATTATATCATTGTCTGGGTGATGTCGACCACAAGTACGCTTCCTGGGGCATCAACCTCACTAACACCCGAGAGGGATTAGCCAACACCATCGGACCATCTGGGCATACCCGAAGAAGTGTCTTCAACGCCTGTGGCGCTGCAAATTTCGTCCGAAAATTGTCTGATCTCCGCGCAGATGGGCTTACAGTTCGCGGTTGGGTCATTGACACGATCGAAAAATTTATGTCAAAAAGCATTCCACACGACGAGAAGCTTGTAACACAAAGCGACGTGGAAGACCAGTCTGTATGGCAAGGCTATGCCCTCGACTGGATGTTCCAGGTTGCCACGCTTCAGCCACTGAAGGAAGATGAGTTTATCAAATGTTGCTGGCGCACTATGATTGCGGACCTGGCTATGCCCGGCGTTGGAGTAGGGCAAGGCTTTCGTCGCCTCCGAGAATGGGCACATGCGGAGCGATGCATCAATACAGTTGATAAGGTGGTACGCATTGCCCACAAGAAGTGGAAGGGTATATTGCCGAAGTCGCAAAAGATATACCTGAGCGGAACAGAGCTCAATGACTTACATATCCATGGTGAGAGCTGGGTGCATGCCCTTGGACGAAAGCTGGCGTTGGGCCAACATAGAAAAACGCCTTGCTTGGTGCCTCATAGCGCAAGGAAGCATGACAAGATCGTCATCATACAAGGCTGCGAGATCCCTTTCATCCTACGAGCTTACAAAGACGAGAAGGGCGAATATTTTCGAATAGTGGGCTGCGCATATGTCCATGGTATAATGGACGGGGAAGCTGTTGGTGATGGGTCGCATTGCAGGGACATTGAGATCAGATGAGAATGAGTAGGGTTGGTACATCTCCTGCCAGGAGATACCCCTCGGCTGACGGCAAGCTATTGCGACAGGTGAAACTAGTTTCTTGGAGTATTCCACTGAGGTGAGAAGAGCGGCCAAACTGCGTGATGGCCTAGATGTACTCCGTACATCGGTAGGTATTCTACACAGCACTTGCACACAAAACCTTTTGTTATGTACAATAGTTGAGAATCGATCATTTTTCATATCTCATTCAAAATCTTCTCGAACTCCTCAATCACCTTTTCGCCGAAGCCATCCTCAATTACGCCCTCCTGCCACGTGAAAGCAAGGGAAAGTCGACCGTCCCTGCCTGTCACGATGCTGACCTTGAGAGCTGCGCTCATGGCCCCGGCACTCTGACTGAACAAGAGACTCTCGATCTGATAGCCCTGCCCCGGCTGTAGTGGTCCCAACTTCCCCACATTCGACATCTCCAATGAAGCCCTTCTGGGTTGGCCCATGTTTTCATCCACTTCGGCCTTGACGTCCTGAATACGCGCCAGGTTCTCTATCAGGCCATGCCCGCACCGATTGTGCATGACTTTGTCAATTGTTTGCTTTGCCCTCTTCGCCTCTTCCCAGCTGAATGGGCCTCGATGGTACTTCTCAGGAAAGGTGTCCACGAAGACACCTATTGATTCCGCACTGACTGGACTCGGTAGCCATGCTCGTAACGAAACAGGACAGCTCGTTTTCAGAGTCGTATATCCTTCCGGTATCTGCTGGAAGATCGCTGCAGCGAGCATAGTTTGCAGCGCCGCTGTGACAGATACACCGTTCTTTTTGCACTGCTGTGCCAACCGTCTCGATTGTTCGGTTGACAGCCAGAGCGATCGGAGTCTGGTCTGGATGGGGAGTGACTGGACTGCGCCTGTCCATACGCCGGACATATTCTCTCGGGCACCAGCTTGGCTGGCGGACGCAGATGCCCTGGGGATGTCATCCAGCGGCGGAAGAAGCGGTAAGTCCGTCGGCGTGGGTATCCTCGATGCCGTCTCAGCGTCTGATCCAGCATTCAACGCGGCCTCAACAGCCTCGTGAAAGACCAACGCGCTCTTCGTGTCACCGAGCGCATGATGGAAGAAATAGCAGAGAATGAACCGTGAAGTATCACCCAACTGTTGAAAGACGTGGACCCGCCACAACGGCAACGCCGGTCCAAAATCCCATTGCCGCGTATGCTCCTGTTCCAAGAACCGGTCAAGAGTAGGGAATTTACCATCCACGTCGTCAACTGTCTCGATTTCATTGAATGACACAACCTGGTCGAGGTCAATGTACGGCAGCCTCGCAAAACATGGAATCTTTGAATCAACGTCGACGGCTGCAGCCGAGAGAACAGGATGCCGTGACACGACGACCGCCAGAGCGGCGTATAACCTCGATTTGAGGGCTTTTGTGTCGTGACATTGATATCGTGCCGTTACCGCAACTTTCTGGTAGACACCTAATTGACTTCGTGCGACCATGTACCTCTCCAGCACGCCTGACCTTGAGTATCAGCCATGACTCACTTGTCTCCCTCAAATCTGGGAGGATGATTTACCCATAGGCCGTAGCAAAGGCAGATCAGGCTTCTCTTTGGACATGGCTGCTGCTGACCGACGCTTAAAAGATACCTAGGGAATGCCAGGTACAAGGATGCGACATTATGAGGATGTGAATGTACTTAAGACCAACGGATATGGCCGGTTTGGACGTCACTGACCCACACTTTTACGCCCTTTTACATTCAGCCTCGTCAAAAGTCGTCAGGACTTTTGTGCAAGGACGATGTGAATGATGAATGCTGAATGCAAAGCACCAAGGTGTCTTGGGAATGGTAAGGCTCTGATTCGTGATCGCCTCGAGTATTGTAACACGTGTCCCCCCACGCCATAGCTATATCAGCTCGCTTCGTGAAACCTGCCCGCATGCCATTGACACATCATCATGAAAAAGAACAACAGTGACAACCTCGTACCGACATCAAGACAATAACGCTGCAACCTCAACTTATCGCCGCTCACTGTGTCTGACTCTCGACGAAGTCCAGGGCATCCTCCAAGCTCTCCTCACGAATACTGCTGACATTGTTGCCGAATCGTACACCGAAGCACTTATCCGCAACCCTCAGCATCTCAGGTCGAAAGGTCGTGCAGATAAACTGTCCTCCAACCGGTCTGTCGTCGCCATCCTCAGGCTCTTCGTCCACTCTGTTGGCCAGGTACAACAAGTGATCAGCGACTGCCGTACGATATTGTGCATCAAGGTTGGCATCAATTTCGTCGAAAATGTAGAACGGTGCAGGGTCAGTCGCTTGAATGGCAAAAATGAGGGCGAGACTGCAAAGACCTGTAGATCATGTTAGCTGATTCCGACATACTTCGAAGGAAAACATACTCTTTTGCCCACCACTGAGCTGCTGAATGCGCTGCTGATCGTCATGTTTGCTGTTGAAGCTGACGCTGATGCCTACCCCGGTATAGTTCTCGACGCTGCGCTTGTTAAGCGGCTGCTGCTCCTCTTCCGACTCATCATCGTCAGCGGTCCGCTTGTCGGTCTTGCGTTGAATGATCAATCTGCCACGACCTGTAGGGACAAGTTTCTGGAAGACTTCGGCAAATGCCTTGCTGACTTGCTTGAAAGTGCGTTCGATAGCTTCATCCTTCCGCTGATCAAGCACTTCGATCAGGTTCGCGATGGATGTCTTTGCCGCTTCAAGATCTTTCCGTCTGGCCTCCAATTCCTCACGTTGTTTCGCAGACTTGCGATAGTGCTCGAAAGCATGTTTGTTGACAGAGCTGTATTTCTTCAGTGCCTCTTTCGCCTTCTGAAGTTTCTTCACAATCGAATTCGAATCCGTGGTTCGATACTTCTTTCGCAGATCTTCGGGAATTGCGCCCAATTCGCGGATGTTGTCGATGGTCTCCTGTTTCGAAGCCTGTAGAGCCGCTTTCTTTTGCACCGACTTCTCGAGACGACGCTGATGACGGTCGATGGCCTTGGCAAGTTCTTCCTGCTGCCGTCTTCTTTCAGCTGCTTGTGCTTCCAGCTGAGCGACCTGGGCCGCTGACGTTTCGATCTGCTCATCGAGGCCATCGAGGGTTTCCTGTATCGAGTCCAGTTCCTTCGTCAGACGTGCTAATTCGCTTCGTTTCGCTTTTAGATTGTCTGACACATTACTCTCATTCTCGATCTCGTCACTTTCAAGTGCAGCTAATTGTGGTTTTAGACTCGAATTCAGACGGGCCTCGAGATTTGCCTTTTTCGTTTCGGTCTCCGCCCTGGAAGCCGAGAGATTGTTGTACTCTTTGCGAAGCTTCTGGATATTAGCCGACAACGTCTCGAGTTGGTTCTCTTCAGCTGTACTCAAAGCCTTCTTAAAGTCTGATCCCAGCTCAGCCTGGTATGCATTCTGTTGGTCGGTCAATTGCTTGACGCTGGCAGCAATAGCAGCTTCCTGCTTCTGCTTTGCTTCCAAATCGTCTTTCTTGCGTTGAAGCATGTCGACCTTGTTCCGGATTTCTTGTCTCAACAATCTTTGGTTGCCTTGCGATTGGTTTTTTCGTTGCTCAAGCTTCTGAACTTCACTCATCGCTTTTGTGATTGTTTGATCGATCTTCTCAATCTTCTTCTTGTTCTCATTGCTTTCAGCCTTGACAGCTTCAAAATGTTCACGAGCGACCACGACCGCTTTGGTAGCCTTGAGCCTAGAAGAACGTACGTCGTGGTAACCACCAGTCAATGCACCTTTCTTGTCCGATCGATCACCTTCCGGAGTCACAGCAGTGAGACCGTGTGTTCTCGCATACTGAGCAGCAATACTGAGGTTCTGAGCGATAATTGCTTTGCCAAATACTTGTTGCACAGCGGGTTCAAATCTGTCTTCGTACTTGATGAGCGACATGAGTGGTCTAGCATCCTGGGCATTGGGGAAGTTGGCAGTCTTTGCCTTGAGTCGATTTAGAGGCATGAACGTGATACGTCCAGCACGTTCTCGATTCAATATCTCCATTACCTTCGTCGCCGTCTCGTCATTATCAACCACGTAGTGGAACAGGGAAGCTCCCGCAGTTACTTCGACAGCGGTATGATGTTGAGGAACGTCGATCAATTCGGCCAGAGTGCCATAGCATCCGGCCAAGTTGTGCTGTTGCTTTATGCGACGCACAGCTTCGAGACCGCGACTGGTGTTGCCATCCATCATGTGTGACAAGTTGCGCTCTGCCTTCCTCAGCTCATCCTGGGCCGCTGAGTACTCAGAGTCCAGTTGTGCTTCCCGGCGCCAAAGAAGCTTGCGATCATCGATCAGCTTCTCTTTTCGTTCAGCGGCTTTCTGTATCTCTTGATCGAGTGAGTCGTCTTGGCCACCAACTTGTTCTTGCAGGGTTTCAATCTCCTTTTCCAGACTAGAGATCTGCTTTTGATCATCTTGGATGCCTTCGGTAGTCTGCATGCGCGTTGCTTTGAAACGTGACAATGACTCAAAAGCCTCGCTAATCTGGGCTTGCAGCCAGTTATCGCGATCCTTCTTCGATTTGAACCGAGCAGTCCTCCCTTGCTTGCCGTACAGATGTTGCTGTGTGGCAGTCGCCTCTTCCAAACGACTCTTTACCGACTGCTCTTTGGCTACCTCAGACTCAAACTGCGGAGTGATGGTACTGAGCTCTTTTTCAACCTCTTTTATCTGAGCTCTGATTTGCTTCAGCTCGCGGTCATGTGTCTCCTTCGTGCGTTGAGCAGCAGCTTGGCCATGCGACAGGTTTCGCTCCTCCAATTCGACCTGAGCTCGTGCTTTGGCCTTTTCGCGCTTCTCTTCCTCGTATTGTTTCTTCTCCATTCTGGCAGCATGGATCTGCTGATTGAGTATCTGTATCTGGTGGGTGATTCGAGCCATTTCGTCCTCGCCCTCTGCGTAGCGTTCACGATTTTCATCCGCATCATCGATGCCTCCGGCTCTCTTGTCTTCTATATCAGCCAGCGCTTTATTGATCTCATCTTGCTCTCGTGTACACAAAGTGTATTCCAAGGCTCGTTTCTCACGATCTTGTTCTTGAAAGTCCCGAAGCTCTGCTTGTTCTTCTTCAAGTTCCGCCAGACGATCATTGATCTGTTCGAAGGTCTGATCGATTGCGGTGAGCTTGTTGTTGGTTTCGTTCATGATCTTCTGAGATTCTTCCTTTTTCGCGACAAACTGTTGTGTACCAGCCACGCTCTTGAGTACATCAAGACGCTCGTTATCTTTCATGTTCGTCAAGCGCGTGATGCGACCCTGAGGGACGATGTAGTATGGGTTTGCGCGTGAGAAGCCCGCGTTCTCCAACAGTTGCATGACATCCTGCTTGGTCGCATTCTTGCGATCGAGCGAGTATTCGTCCTTCTTCAGTCCGATGGTACGTCGAAGGATCAGTTCGTCGTTGCCGGTGGGAAAGCGACCATCCGAGTTGTCAAACACGACTTCGACGTAGGCAGACATCACTGCCGACCCAGAGCCCTCCTATTTATCGTTAGAATGACCTTGATCCGAAGATGAGTGGGAATTAGGTACATGGATGAGTGCTTGTCTCTCTTCCCTGCCCATTTGCGAATAGGCATCGCTGAGGACAAACCGGATCGCGGCGAAGAAGTTGCTCTTGCCAGATCCATTGCGCCCGACTATCACGTTGAGTTTGGGCGAGAATGGGTTGACGACGGTTTGGTTCTTGTAGCTGTGACCTTGGTCAGCCAGGAACTCAGAAGAGTAGACACAAGCATACCTTTTGAAGCCTTGTATCGTTATCTGTTTGATATGCATCTTGATCAAACCTGGATGTCTGTCCCAAGATTCTGAGTCTGGACGCGCACGAATTGCATTGACGATGGTGTTTAATTGAGTGGAGAGAAACGCGAGATGGGACGCGCGCGCCGCGTCCGACACGTGACTCCCAGGCTTAATTGACTATGCACAAGCTGGAAACTGAAATCCCTCCATCGTCTTTGCTAACCACAGCTGCATCGCCATGTCACACGAAAGTATCCATAAACGCTCGAGCAGACTTCGCCTCTACACAAGGTAGTGACATACGGAGGAACATCCTACCGAGTATACGAGTCACGCGCAGTAGGAGCTAGTATACGAGTCAGGTGACGCCAACTCTCATCGACTGCGTCTGATCAGCGCCTATCACTTTCTCTTCTCCTTCACCTCGCTGCTTGTCCTTTTCTCTCCTCCCTTATACGACCTCAAGCTCCGCGGCGGGTCTGACTCCCCCAATGATGCGGCTCTTATGACAGTCCCGTCCTGTTGTAGCTCTACAATTGCTTGTTCAGGCTTCCCGCGTTCCACGATATCAGGCGTCCTACATGTGGATATGTTCTGGTAAACGACGGGACAACTTTGGTATTTTGGCAAAGAATATAAAGATGTGAGATTCCTCCCCGGTGAGTCGTTCTTCGCCTCAGTCAAGTGCAGCGTTGGAATAATTTTCGAGCACGCTTGTTGCCTTACCTAGTACCCCTTCCTCAGTCCTCGCTATGGCGACCTCTACTTCTTTGACTATTCCACCGGAGTTTGAGGATCAACTGCGTTATGTTGAGCCGCTCGACAAACGTTCAGAAGAAGAGATCCTGGCCTCACTGGGAAGGCATGTTCCTGTCACGTCCGAACAGAACATCTGGGCATTTTGGGATAAAGGTGCTCAGGCAATGCCCGATTGGTGTAAACGCAATGTCGTTGATTGGTTTCGCCTGTGTGGCCCTTCGTGGACGATACGCGTTCTAGATGCCATACCAGATTCGCCGAACTACGCTCTCAACTATGTATCTGCCGACCTTTTGCCAGGTTCTTTCGTCGACGGCACCATGACCGGCCCTTATGTCGGACCACATAGCGCCGACTTTCTTCGAGGGGCGTGCTTGTGGACACACGGTGGGGTGTACATGGATGTTGGCATCATTCTCATTAGGGACATTGACAGGATCTGCTGGAACCAGCTTGCAGACCCCAATTCGCCGTACCAAGTCGCTGCACCAATCATGTATGCCACAACCATGGCAAATCATTTTGTGGCAAGTCGAAAGGGCGACCCATTCATCAAGCTTTGGTACGTTGGTGGTAGCCGTCCAGGTCGCGGCCAACCTGACTGAGAGAACCTAGGCATGATCTTTTTGTGTTCCTCTGGAAAGACCGCCAAAATCATGAGGGCATCATTGGAAACCCCTTGGTCGCGTTCGCTCTTCAAAACAGTTTCCAAGAGTCGCAAGCTGCCGACTACCATTGGGACTTCAAAGTTGAGCCTCAAGTCGTCTTCGAATATGTCGGTCAGGTCCTATCCTGGATGAGACTTTGCATGCTAGAAGACGCTGGAAACGGTTTCAGTGGCCTTGACTATTGGCAGAAACATGTCTTTGTATTCGATGCGCTCCAAGAAGACTGGGCCTCCGAAGCGACCATCGGCTTCGCAGGACAGAGTCTATTCGATGCACTGGCGACAAAGCTGACGTCGCCCAAGGATTCCGAGGAATACAAGACAGCATACAAGCTCGTGTGGCGGCTTCTGACAAAATCGAGCATGCAAAAGATCACCCATGGTAAGAATCTGACTACCACTCCCTCGGTGGGTGTCCTGTGGGAAGAGAAAGGCAACGAATACAAGGACCACGAAGCTGGCACTTTCGCTGAACTGCTGAGGTACGGCTGCGTGCACTTTGAGCAGACAAGAGAAGGCATCAAGTATGTCGAAGCCAAGAAACCGCCAATGACGATGCAGAAGGGGTTGCTCGAGCCGTAAACCACGGGCTCCGGGCAAGGTGTCTGAGAGGAAGCACTTGAGCAGGCTTCATTCATACAGCCTTTCAGACCGTACGCACACGCAGCTTGATCCTTGTTCCTATCCGCAATGCGATTTTACTCTTTCAGCAATCCTCTCCCTCGGCACCACCGGATGGCGGATTGATGTCCAAGAGATTCGGGCACCAGCACTCTCGGCCGAACTTTATATCCCCGTCAGCGCAATTCGAAGACAAAGTTCCCAGTATGGCCGAGAAAAGTGGTCTTCCGATACTCGGAGTCTCCATGGACCATCACGAACGCAATAATTTAATCAGATAAGATCAAGATCTCCCCCTTCCCCTACTCTGTCCCTGTCAATACGCCATTTGCTTCTCACAATGCTTCCCAACCTATTTCTCTTCCTCAAAGCCATCAGTGTCATATTCTCACTCGCATTCTGGAGACTCAAATTACGCATTCGAGCCAGTATCCACCATTGGACATATCGAGCAATCGCGGACCCCAAAAATGTCGTTGTCATAGGCGGATCGTTCGCAGGCTTCTTTCTTGCCAAACAACTCGCACAGTCCCTGCCGACCGGATACAGAGCCATCGTGATCGAGAAGCACTCCCACTACCATTTCACGTGGAACTTTCCCCGGATCTCTGTCATCCCACACCACACCCAGAATGCATTCATCCCATACCCCACAAAGCCCTCCCTTACACCTGACGGAGCATTCTCGTTTCGTCGAGGAAAAGTCGTTAGGATCGAGACCAATAAGGTGATCCTAGCAGACGGCTCGTCCATCCGATTCGAGTATCTCGCCATCACTACCGGTTCGAAAGCCCGGTATCCAGCTAAACTTGACGCGGATGGCAAGGCAGAATGTATCAAGTTCTTCGAGGAGCGACAGGCGCGCATCAAAGCCGCCGAGAGCATCGTCATCGTTGGTGGAGGAGCCGCTGGCGTCGAATTAGCAGGTGACATCAAGTCGAAGTACCCGCAGAAAAAGATGACCCTGGTGCACTCTCGCAAGCAACTGCTGAATAGCTTCGGGTCGGATCTGCACGAAGTCGCCCACAAGACTCTTGAAGAGCTTGGTGTAGACCTCTGTCTCGGCGAACGTGTCGTTGCTGGCTTGGACAGCGAAGAAGAAGACTCTAAGGAAGTCATCCTGCAAAGTGGCAAGAGACTCAAGTGCGACGCTCTGGTAAGTATCGTTCATCCATTCGACTGCCTGATCAATTTTCACACAACCACAGTTTCAATGCACAGGACAAAGGCCTTGTTCAGACCTTACTAGAGACGCGTTTCCGTCCTCTGTGGCACCGAATGGCTACATCACCGTGAAGCCAACATTCCAAGTCAAGGGTGCCGGAAATGTCTTCGCTTGCGGCGACGTTGTCGACCTGCCTGGTCCGAAGCTAGGGCGCTCAGCTGCCATGCAAGGCATGTTCGTCGCGGAGAACATCGTGCGGGCGATCAAAGGCCAGCCACTGAGGACGTACACGTCGGGTATCATGGAGAACTCGATAGAATTGACTTTGGGCCTGGTGAGTATACCACAACGTTCAAGGGTCGCGAGCGTTTTTGACTGAACGGAAGTAGGGCAAGAACGTTACCTACCTCAATGACGGTTCGACAGGGATGTGCTTTCCGAAGAAAGTCACGGACCTTGACATGCACGCCGCGCAAAGCTGGAAAATGCTGGACATGAAGCCTTTCGATGACCCAGGCAACGTGGACGACAAGGTTTTACTTGCTTGAGCATGCTGTCGATTCTTCCGCATCACAGAAACGGCAGTAATGATCCCAGATGGGGCGCAAAAAGAAGGAGGGCAATGAAAGGTTTCAGGAAGGTGTCAACACCGCTGTATGCAGGATTTCCTTACTATCCTAGCCCATCAAAGTGTTCGTCGAAAGTGCAGTCGGCCGCAAGGACACTCTGTACTTTACGACCTCAGGGTCCTCGTACTGTGCCATCCACATCGGATCCATCGTGATCTCCCACTGCTTCATCCGGCTCATGAGCTGAGCCTGTGGGTCTTCGAGAGCTTTGAAAAACTTCAGGTCTGCGTCTTTCTTCTCTGGAGTGGCCTTCGCAAGCCACTGCTCCATCTGGTGTTCGCGTGCGACATCGTCGATCTTCCATATACCTAGGGGATCGTCGCTGTACCCTGCTCTCTGCATCAGTCGCTTGTTCTCTATGGAAAACTCGTTCGTAAAGCTCAACCACTTCTCGCGTCGTGCCGTAGCCCATGTGTCCAGCAGGCTCTCTGGAGCTCGGCCCTGGATCACCGCTGCGAGGGCACGGCCAAGCGGACCAGCATCGAGCAGTCCGGTCGTCAGGCCCAAGCCGCCGATGGGATTGTTACTCTGTAGACCGTGTAAGTCATCTTGGAAAATCACCGAAGAGGGATGGCCTTACATGAGCAGCATCTCCAGCTAACAGGACTCTTCCTTTCCTGAAGGTCTTAGCACATCTCTGGTGCGGCTTGTACTTATTCAACTGGACGAGTTCATATTTGACAGGCCAGACTGGGAAAATCTCTTTGTAGTGTTCGTCCAATTCGGCTTTGATCTCCTCGTTGGTAAGCCCTGCCCTTACACCGAAGGCTATTCGCCAGAGATCTTTCTCGGCTCCAAGGATTGTTACCACTGCCCAATTGACCGGATCTAGGACGAAATTGGCCGTGCTGAAGCCGTGCTGGTAGAAGTCATAGCGGATATTGGTGGCCACAAAATCTTCCTTGGGCCAGGAGAATCCCTCAAATGCAATGTCCGAGAGTTTTCGAACGCCTGATCCCGCTCCGTCAGTGCCCACGAGCCAGTCACAGGTATATTGAGTCTTTTGGTCTGTAGTGGCGTCAAGAGCCGTTACTGAAACTTGGTCGTCATGCTGAGTTATTTCGATGACGTTCTGATTGAATTTGACTTGCGAATGGTAACGAGTCGTTAGGTGTTTGAGTAGAATAGCTGCCAATTGCGGCTGAGGGCAATTGATACCTGCCGGAAAGACCTGTCCACCTTCGCGCTTTTCGACGTATGCAACCCGTTTCTTATCGATCCAGTATGAGAGCCTGTCGTTGATCACAGCTTCCTTCTTCACATCATCTAGTGTGCCTGTCTCAAGTAGTTCAGCCTGCGCACAGGGTTGATATGCAGATGCTCGGGGAGACTGGTCGACCCCAGGATTTCTCTCCAACACCAGAACAGGAACTCCAAGCCGGGCCAAGTTGGTCGCGACTGTCAACCCAACCGGACCACAGCCAACGATGATGACCGGATGATGTTCATTCACAGTGGACGGTGACATTCTGCAAGGCTACGAAGCTTGGCCTCTCGAGCTTGCACTGAATGATCGCAGAAGTCGACGACGCTTTGAACCCACGATATTGCCCCCAACCCCACAATGTCTTCCCCACACTCATTAACAACATGAGCGTCCGGTAGTCGACCAGGGTTGATTAGCCGATGGCAGGAAACGGGAACAACTTTTACTCCACATCTCCAAGGACACTCGCATCGATAATCAGGTGGGGAGTATATAAAGCTGTGGTGAGAGGAGGTCAGGTCGCCGTGCGCGTGCCTTCATAAATAGTACCGAAATTATCATATTTGTCATTTTCATCCAGCACAATGGGTGAACCGGCTCCCGAAAGATTCCTTGGTTCACAACATGATTGCGAGTATGCTTCAGACCCTCGAAAGAATAAAGAGCTTGGTGCCTTGCTCAAAGATCGCCATGTTCTTATCGCTGGAGGTGGACGAGGTATAGGCAGAGCAACAGCTGAATTCTTCGCACATACAGCCATCAAATCACTCAGTTTGATGGCGTTGGAGCTCGCAGAAGTGGACGAAACGGCCAAACTATGCAAAGAAATCAACCCAAATCTGTTGACCAAGACGGCAGGCTTTGATGTCAGAGATTATAGCAAGGTCCAGGAATTTGTGGATGAGGTCGACCGTGAATTTGGACGAATTGATGTACTCTGGATGAATGCTGGTCGACCTCCCCAGTTCCTGGCAACTCATGAGTCGGACCCTGGTATATGGTGGGACACTGTGGCCATCTCTCTCCAAGGGTCTTTCAACTTCAGTCGAGCAGTCCTTCCAATCATGCGACGGGAGAAAGGTGGAAGGATCATTTTCACCGCTAGTGCGGGTGCCCATGTCAGCAAAGGGATGAGCAGCTATGCGATCGGGAAGCTGGGCATGGTCCGGCTGGCCGAAACTCTGCATCATGAGAACAAAGACAGTGGGATCAAAACTTTCGCCATCCACCCTGGTGCGATCCGGACTCGATTCTATACCGATTTCAAAGAGGCGGCGGAGGGAAATATCAAGGAGGGCAGTTATGTGCCGAGCAAGGACGAGGGGGACAAGCGATCAGCAGAGACGGCGGTTCATTTCTTCAAACAAGTAGAATGGGACACGCCGCAGTTGCCGGCTGGCATTGTTGTCGTCCTGGCGTCCGGACAGATGGACTTCATGTCTGGCAGATACGTTGATTGCAGCAGGAAGGTGGAAGATTATGTTGCAGACAAGGATAAGATCACGGGGAAAGACCTGCATAGGGTGAAGCTGGTGGTTGACGACGATTGGTTCATACCTCAGTCTCAAGATTGAACAGCGATCATATGGAGGCATTCTCGATCAGCGCAAATATTCAAATGGCCGACGTTGTAGTTGTCTTCCTAAACAATAACGATGTCCAATGCGCAAAGAGCGATAAAGATGAGGAAGGAGAGGAAGGGATCCAGGTGAATTGCGCAACAAACTTGCCAAGAACTACTTTACGCGCTCTTCGCGACTTCTACGTCTGTCATTGGTCGACCACCGATTTCGTGTCGACGCGACGCGTTCTATCTCCCTCAAACTCCTTAAACACCAGAAAGACGAACGGCAAGGTTGTTGTATGTATTACTGCCTCCCAAAAGTCAGCAACAATGTCGTCGACGCCCTCTTCTCGCCGACGAGGCCACTCCTCACGCAACTCACAATCTTCAACTCCAGCACAACAACCTCAAGCAACTCCAAGGAGTACCAGGCGAACCCCTAATGGAGGCGCCGCAGTTGCATCGTCTTCGCCTTTATTTTTCCAATCGTCGCCAGTGCGGTCAACGCCAGCACCTCCTTTTGCAAGCGATGGCATGATTGTCAGCTCTCCACCAGCGCAGTCGTTGAATGCTGGCGACCGTGAGATCACGCCTCGAGCGTCCACAAGGCCTGCAGCAGGTACGAAGGACCCCTTTCTTGGTATGGCATGTTCTGACTCTGTTGGCAGAATCATCTCCTGTTCGATATGACCCCAGCTCAAGTCCGGCTCGTAACAACACTCGCGTACAGTCAGACGCTCCGACTAGTAGCAGCGGACTTTTTGTGCGTCAAGACCGACCGCCCCGTATCTCTTCTCGAAGGGGTGATATCCATTCCGACACGTTTGCGTCCTCTCCAGCCAACCGCCGCCGCATCTATATCGGGGAAGATGGGATGCCTGTCCGCGAAGGTCAAGATCCGGGCTCGGAGGCTACATTTTCTAACCTCAATCCTGACACATCCGAAGCGGATGTGATGGGAGGCGAGTCCACAAGGGTAATCTGGGGCACCAACATCTCCATTGTGGATTCTATGTCATCATTCAAGAATTTCCTCTACAACTATGCCAGAAAATATCGCATGTGGGCGGACGGTGCTTCTGAAGAAGAGACACGAGCTCTTGGAGCAGCTGCTGACCAGAAAGAATACATCGATATGCTTGAAGACATGCGAAAGCTCGGTGTATATGGCCTCAACCTCGATGCGCGCAACTTGAAAGCATATCCTGCAACAATGAAGCTCTGGCATCAATTACAAGCCTATCCACAGGAAATCATTCCACTGATGGATCAGTGCATTAAAGATGTCATGGTCGAACTTGCACAGAAAGAAATGCAGGAATTGCAACGAGCCCGAAATGGTGCAACTGCATCCAGAGCAAGAGATGGGAGCTCCATGCCACCTCTACCTTCATCGGATCTTGGAAGTGCTGCACCGACACCTGCTGCCACTCCCGCCGCTGACGAGATCCCGGACCTGGTCGAGGAGGCCGAGATTCGACCCTGGAAAGTTCTACCTTTTGGACTGGATCAGACCGTCAACATGCGCGATCTTGATCCGGCAGACATTGACAAACTTATATCTGTCAAAGGCCTGGTTATTCGAGCCACGCCAGTCATCCCAGACATGAAGGAAGCATTCTTCAAATGCACTGTTTGCAACCATACCATGTATGTGTCTATCGATCGTGGCAAGATTGCAGAACCAACAGAGTGCCCCCGAAATGCTTGCAAATCTAGAGACAGCATGGACATTGTCCATAACCGATGCGTCTTCGCGGATAAGCAAGTCATCAAGCTGCAAGAAACACCTGACTCGGTGCCAGACGGTCAGACACCCCACAGCGTGTCACTTTGCGTATACGACGAATTGGTAGATGTATGCAAGGCTGGTGACCGGATTGAAGTCACGGGTATCTTTAGAGGCAACCCTGTCCGTGTTAATCCTCGACAACGGACAGTCAAGGCATTGTTCAAGACATATGTCGATGTGCTCCACGTTCAAAAGGTTGACAAGCGAAAACTCGGCATTGATGCTTCTACCATCGAGCAGGAACTCTCTGAACAGGTAGCGGGTGATGCTGAACAGACGCGAAAGATCACAGCTGAGGAAGAAGCCAAGATCCAGGAAATTGCAGGTCGTGAGGACGTCTACGACATACTCTCGAGGAGTTTGGCTCCAAGCATCTACGAGCTTGACGATGTCAAGAAAGGCATACTTCTGCAACTTTTTGGCGGTACAAACAAGTCCTTCGAAAAGGGTGGCAGTCCCAAATACAGAGGCGACATCAACGTTCTGCTTTGCGGTGATCCTTCAACATCCAAGTCACAGCTTCTGCAATACGTCCACAAGATCGCACCAAGAGGTGTTTACACGTCAGGCAAGGGTTCGTCCGCGGTAGGTCTGACAGCGTACGTGACTCGTGATCCCGAGTCGAGACAGCTCGTACTAGAATCAGGAGCCTTGGTCCTTTCAGACGGAGGTGTCTGCTGCATCGACGAGTTCGACAAGATGAACGACTCCACTCGCTCTGTGCTGCACGAAGTCATGGAACAGCAGACCGTGTCCATTGCCAAAGCAGGTATCATCACAACTCTGAACGCAAGAACGAGCATACTGGCCTCAGCCAACCCCATCGGCAGCAAGTACAATCCCAACCTGCCCGTACCGCAGAACATCGATCTTCCCCCTACGCTACTCTCCAGATTCGACCTCGTCTACCTCGTGCTGGACCGCATCGACGAAGTCAACGATCGACGACTAGCCAAGCATTTGGTCGGAATGTATCTTGAAGACATGCCCGAAAACGCTTCCCGGGAGGAAGTCCTGGTAAGTTTGCCCTGTTTCCCTCCTTCAGCCGTCCAAATACTAACACGTCTCTCTCTAGCCCGTCGAGTTCCTCACAGCCTACATCTCCTATGCCCGACAGAACATCCACCCTCAGTTGACACCACAAGCCTCAAAATCCTTAGTCGAGGCGTACATCCAGATGCGCTCCCTCGGGTCCTCAATCCAGGCCTCGGACCGTCGCATTACGGCGACAACCCGACAACTCGAGTCGATGATCCGTCTCAGCGAAGCGCACGCGAAAATGCGTCTTTCGCACACCGTCACGGATGCAGACGTCGCTGAAGCCGTTCGCCTGATCAAGTCCGCTATCAAAGCGTCTGCGACAGATGCCCGCACCGGCCTGATTGATATGGGACTGCTCTCTGAGGGCGGCAGTGCCAGCGACAGACGGCGAAAAGAGGATCTCAAGCGCGCTGTTCTGGCTGCTGTGGATGACGACACAGGTGTGCGTAGTGGTGGCGCCGCACGGTATGCTGATTTGTACCGCCGCGTCAGTGAAGGAAGCACCATTGAAATTGAGGGTAGTGAGTTCCAGGAGGTCTTGCGGAGTCTGGAGCAAGAAGGGAAGATCCAGGTCACTGGTGAGGGTGGACGAAGGAGCGTACGGCGTGTCACGGGTGTTTAGACTGTCTTTTCATGGGCACGAATGGCAACGACTCTTGGGCGACTTATGTAAATCAGTACGAGAGATGGAGTTCACGAATCGGTCCTCAAGGGTAGGGTAGGCGTTTAGTACGGTATGGTCATGCCTGGGACGGAATGCGTACATTACTACTTTACAACGGCATGAAAGTCACAATGATCACAATGAAGGTATTGTTCCAGCATAGATTTAGAGAATTGAAAACAGTATGTTCAATCATCAACGGCAATTGGTATTTTGTTTACCTGCCCGGCCGTCTGAACCCAACCCAACCTTTTTCAGCAACGGTACTGTATCCGGAATACATACTTGACATATGACCGCCATACGCCTGGTATCACGCTGAGAACATGACGACTAGCATCCTTATCCATCCGTCAATGTTCCAGTAAACCTTCAGCACCGTGCTGTTTTGGCCTTTTGAGAACCATTCCCACAAAATAGCCCGAACACCGCCCTGATAACAAAATCCCCATTCCTTATTGGAACTCCCGCACCGATCTGAATCAAATCACGCCGTAAAGTTGTAAACCCTCACCTCACCATCCTCTCCACCACTGCACATCCGACTATCGCTCAATCCAATACACGTCACAGGTCCAGCATGACCAGTAAACGTCCTTTCACACTTTCCCGTACGCGGATCCCACACCTTGACCATGCGATCCTCGGCACCAGACACGAAGCGCAAAGTATCTGCCGCAATGGTCCATACACCCTCGACATGCCCGAAGAACTTCCTGATACAGCGGCCAGAATGTACATCCCAAAGCCGAATCGTCGAGTCCAATGCCGAAGTCAGCATATATCGCGGCGGCTGGGGCCGGTCATGCTGTGTCAGCCACAGACCCGTATGGTCGATTGACAACGCTTTACTTTCGTTGTGCTTGCGCTCAGATTTGACAGTGACTTGACTGGAAGGACTACCTGGGTCGGAATCCTCGTCGTGATCTTCTTCTCCGTCTTCGGCCTCAAACTCGGGTGGCAGAGGCAGAACTTGCTGCACTTGGCCGACATGCCCTTCGAAAGTGTGGATGATTTTCTTGGTGTCTAAATCCCACAGTTTGACCGTGCAGTCGTCTGAGGCGGTGAAGATGGTGCGGGATGCGGAATCGATCTTGACGGAGTTGACCCAGTCGCTGTGTCCGCGGAGAGTGAAGACGGACCGATCCTGGAAATTCCACACGCGAGCAGTATGATCGACGGACCCGGACACGAGGATATTGGAGTCGAAGTGAAGTGCAATGACCCCCTCATGGTGGCCGTTGTACGTGGCGATACATTCACCGGTTCGCCAGTTCCATACTTTGAGTGTCTTATCCAGACTACCGCTGATGAGTTTGTTGTCGTCAAACTGAAGACAGCGGACACCCATCGTATGGCCTCTCAGGGTCCTGAGTTCTTCACCAGTATCCAGATTCCAGATCTTGATGGTGGCATCGTAGGATCCCGTTGCTAAGATGTTGTCGCACAATTGTAGTGACATGACGCCGTTGGAGTGTCCTTTTAGGATCTTGATACTGCATCGTCCGTACTTCCAATTGGTGCCAACCTTGAATCTGTCTTTGTACACATCTTTCCATGGCCTTGTCCTCCTGTATTCACTGTCAGTGGTCCCCAGTGCAGGTCTCCTCACTTGGACTGGGGATAGGTGGCCATCAGACAGCTTTTCGAGGTCGGAGTAATCATGGTGGCTCTCGGTATCGGAGCCGGTGGTGCATTCGAGAGGTTGTATAGGGATCTCTGAGGCTGCTTCGATTGAATGATTGCCGGCTGCGCGCAGTTCAATCTGCCTTTTCGAGGCTCGTAGCATTTTTCGCTCTAGCAACGGCAAGCCCCAACCACATTTTGTACATTTCCGATCGATATGTTGCTCGCACATGCGATGCCAAACCACATCATCGTCCGCCAATTGTCTCCACCTTCGCGAGACCTGTGCAGCTTTACATAGGGAGGTGGTATCCAGAAAACAGAGGATGCGAAAAGCGACTTCCGCAGGTAAAGCCGAAATGAAATCGATGCGAATCAGCTTCTGGACGTTCGCAGAGAGGAACGAAAGTTGCGGGAAACAGCATTGAGCCAGGATGCCCTGCAACATCAGGTTTCGGTGCTTGGATGGTGCAGCGGAGAACAAGGACCAGACCTGGACGATGCCTTGACGGTCTTCTTGAGAAAGCGCCTCGAGGCCCTTTTGTAGCTTGTCCATAGATGGCTCGTCCGCCTGTCGTCGGCATAGCATGTCCGGTCGATGGCGATAGCAGAATTTTGAATTGGAATCATCTGCTGCATCAATGTTTGATTTGCCATGCTTGCCGAGCGGAGCGTATTGAGAGGGTATATGTCTGGCCAGAAAGGGAGCGACAGTATTTCTGGCATGCTTTGCGGTTGAAGCGATTGTAATACTCTTGTCCTTTGAGGCATCAGGCATGTGTTGGGAATGTAAGTTCTCTTCACAATCATCCTTCTCTTCAGCTAAGCTGAGGCGCAGTCTCTTTCTGGATGGCTGTTCCCATTCTGCGTCCATCAGGGCGTGCTCTCGATGCCTATCGATCAGGTCAAACGGCATTGAGTCGTCTGTGATTTCTGGATATGGGTGTTTTACATATCGATCGGGATTTCGGTTATCGCAAAAGGTTTGACTTGATGTGTCGCACAAGGGAGATGTGTGTCTGTGTAAACGGAAAGAAACCAGAAGAAGCTAATTGATCGCAGAAGATCTGGAGTAATATGCAGGAGAGTATGACACAAAGGTCGTAGTCTGACGTGCGGGTTGGGGTTATTGTAAATGGTGGCGTCGATATGGTGCAAGAGGAGCAAAAAGCGAGGACTCGGTCTGGCAGTCAAAGTCACTCACTCACGGATGGCCGAAGAGCGGAGGGGCCAATTCTTTCAGACTTAATGGGCATAGCATGATGGCGGAGAATCCTGTCAATGGTCTTATTGGTTCTATACCTGGATTATGTCTCCGGGGGATCAAGGCGTTTCCCGCTCCACGTCGATCGTGTGCGATTGCGTGCTGCAGGCCTCGTCTTTCATCATAAACACAATTTACAAATCCGCCCAACCGTTGTCTCTGACCTTTATTAAGCAACGCCGAACAGCTCCATCTTGACCATTGATCACTCCCTGGTTCCTGCATCTGTGCCCACAATTCATTCCGGAAGCACGGAAAGGCGCCAGAGAATCCGGAGAAAGACTCTCTCGAGTGTCTGCACCCCAGTCATCCAATTGGCATCGGATACGAGGTGCATGCATCCGGAAATCCCATACTTTGCTCATCTGAGAAGATACCCATTGGCGTATTCTGAGTCTGTCAAGCTGACGACGTCCTCCTGATCCTGATCGCTCGTTTCCTTGGTCGTTGTCGACTGGTCGGGCGTGTCAGGCAAGATGACGCCCCTGCACTCGTATCATTGAACCTTCGATCGCTTGGGAATATCTCCTCACTTATCCTGGTGATGGCGCAATCCCCTTACTCTGCTCAGCAGCGCTCCGCGCGTTCCTCGCCCTCACACTCGTTACAGGTTGCGGATACTGGCTCAATGACCGTTGAGACAATAGTCTCCTACCTGGTGGCCTCCAAACGCTCCTTGGGAAGCATCCACCTTGTCCATCGAGCCACGACTATCCTCTCAGATGCACGTGCTGCCATCGAGTCGACGACAGCCCTCCTCGCAAAGACTACCTACCTTCGCCGGTCACTATCGACCCAATTGAAGACCCTCCGGGCCGTACAGTTCGAGTTGGAGTCGGCCGCACATGTCATACAACAAGACTTTCAAGCAGTAATCAAAGAGTTGGACGATACTGGTGCGAGACTGTTACAATGTGTAGATTTCCTGAAGCAGACCACCATCGAAGAGGCGTTCAAGTCGCACGGCGAAGTCGAAGGCGCCGCAGGTAAGGATACCTTGCACGATTTCGTGGATGACGATGGCCTTGAGAAGATAAAGGAAGCCATGAAGGTAGCCATCGATAACGTCCAGAATGATCAATATGAAATCAACCATTCTATCCAGACCCTCGAGGAAGACTTACAGACCATCAACGAAGTGCTCAACAACAGGATAGACATATCGAGCACAGAAAGCGAGTTACAGCAACCTACCATGGCCATGACACTTTCGCTTCTGGAGCATCACGCAAGAGAGATGGCACAGGGGCTGGAAAGTCTGGTCAAACATTTCGACCTTTGCGTGACTGCGATCAAACACACAGAAGGTGGTGGTGCCGCAGTCGTGCAAACAATGAATGCCAAAGCGGAAGATCTGCCTGACGCAATAGGGATGGGAATGGACGAACTGCAGGCGCCGGCTCAGCCCATGAACGAAGAAGAACGCATAGAGATGCTTCAAGTCCTCGAAAACGACGCGTCAGAGGTTGACGAGGTGGTCATGGAGCTACAAGATCGGAATGCTGAAATGGAGGCACATCTCGACCGAATATACCAGTGGCGTGAAAGGCAAGACAATGCCTACGGCGATGTCAACACAGCCTTTGGCCTGCTGGAGAAGATCTCTGGGCGGCTGTCGAGCTATGTGGTAGAAACGGTTCGGCACGCAACACGATGGCAGGAAGAGAAAGCCAAAATTGAAGATGGCATAGCCGGGATGGAAGATCTGTGCGACTCCTACTCAAATTTCCTTCGTGCCTACGATGGGCTGATTGTCGAAGTCGATCGGCGTCGGACGGCGAAGAAGCAAATGGAGCGTATCGTTTCAAGTGCGCATGCCCAACTCGAAGATCTCTACGAACAAGATCGACAGTTGAGGTTGAAGTTTCGTGCTGACTTGGGCGAGTTCTTACCCGGGGACATCTGGGGCGGAGTCGACGCACTGCCTCCTCGGTTTGCCATCAACAGACTGGATGAAGATGGCTTCGATGCAAGCGTGCCCGAGCTGCCCCAAAGCATGGTGGAGGAGGCGTTAAAGAGACTCCAATGATAGCGATCACGACCTTATGATGAGCCATATGTAATACCACATGATGACATCTTTGCAATGCCACGACCTGGCCGAACACCGCCGCATATTCTAGAGACCATGTTGTCCAATCGAGCCAAGGTCTGGACTTGAGAAAGCAGGCAGTATCTATCGACGCACCTCGTCTTGGACATTTGCAGTCCAGACAACAGGATGCCATTGTCCTTTGATCCTCTGCGGACATCCAATTGAGTTGAGACTTATTACCTAAAAGAAAGTCCACCAGTCCACCAGTGCACAAGGAGAGCATGCAAATTCCAACAGTAGCACTGTATGAAACTACCAAGTCAAACTGCTACTCGGGATGCCTCAGAGGTCGCTGGCCAACCAACCAATCGGGGTTCTTTCCCCACAAACCCCGTTGACATCTGGAACGCCAACGACCAACCTGCAACACCCGCACGAGGCTGCCAGTTTCAGCCTTTGCCTTTCCTCGTCTGAGACCAGCACTTCTCCTTTCTTCGTCTGGCCGATTATTGGACCTAACGGTGACATCGCGCATCTTTGATATTGCACGGAGTACACCGATCATCCATACCCAATAGCTCATAAAATAATAGTCACTATGCACCAGGCTCGGCAAAAGGGGCGAAGACAAAAGCCTCGACGGTAAGGCATCAATGCTTCAGGTAAATTCCTTCAAAATGAGCCCTCAATCTCGCATGGTCACATAACAGTCCTCCTTCACTCCTTCCAAGCCTTGTACATTTCAGTCATTTCCTTACGGCCTCGTTGCTCAAAGACATAATTATACATTCATTCAACGATCAACTGCTGGACCAGTTCAACTAAAAGCATTTCATTCCTTCAAAATGTCTTCCATTAGCATTCCCAGGTCTTTGACCGTTCTATTCCTCCTGTTGAACTGTAAGTCCTCCCCTCTTCCATCCACCAGACTGCAGACTAACCTCTTCGTCTCCCAGTCACTCTCCTCGCCCTCGGCAACGGCACACAATTCATCACAGGACCCTGTACCTCAGACTCAGACTGCGCCGACGGCTGCTGCGGCTTCAACACCGGTCTATGTGCCGGACCCGTTGTCGCCCAAGAACGTGACGGCGGATGCGGGTTCGGGGACGCCACACCAAACGCCAATGCCGCTGAGGCCTTGACCGGCGGCACAGCAACAGCCACATCAGCAGCGAGTGCCCCTCCAGTAGCGACTATTGGACCCACTGCTACCGCCACCGAAGAAGCATCAACAGCCATCAACAGCAACCTACCCGGCGCCGAGAACGTGGGTAATGGAGCCGGCAAGCAATTTATCACTGGCCAATGTCAAAGCGACGCAGACTGCGCCTCTGGATGCTGTGGCTTCAACACGGGCTTGTGTGCAGGAGCGGTCATCGCTCAAACCCGTGACGGAGGTTGCGGCTTCGGCAATACCTCGCCGAACAACAACGCCGCGCAAGCCTTGACCGGAGGATCCGGCGCTGCAACTTCTGCCGCCGCTGCTGACTCGCCAACCACTACCGTTGCTGAAGCATCAACACCGACTGAGTCTGCGTCGACCACAATCAACAGCAGTCTCGCTGGAGCTGCGAATGTTGGCAATGGCGCCGGCAAACAATTTATCACAGGCCAGTGTCTGAGTGATGCAGATTGTGCATCTGGGTGCTGTGGGTTCAATAGTGGCCTCTGTGCCGGTGCGATCATTGCGCAGACCCGCGATGGTGGTTGTGGGTTTGGAAGCACCACTCCCAATGATAATGCTGCTCAAGCACTCACTGGAGGAGCGAAGAGGAGGGCTGTACGAGAGTATATGGCATAGCGAATAGACCAGCTCCCACGCTGGTAGTGGGTATATCATGAGTGAATGAAGTGTACTTCTCCTTGACTGGCTCGATCTTCGTCTGCGTCCAAGCTTAAGTCGCCCACTGATTGTCAATCCAATCTTCTTCGTGGGTGGTAGTTTCCGGAAGTGGAGATTGAGGCGTTGAAGCTTGTTGTTCCATCTGCGAAGGATCAATGTCCTCCGAGACGTCCCTCGAAAAATTGATGTCCTTGGGCTTTATAAGATTTTCCTCCAAAAGATTCATGTCATTCGAAAGGTCAAGATCAAAATCTGCGGCAGCGGCAGGTTTCGCGCCTTCATTCGAAAAGATTAATCGTCCCTCTAGCTTTGTCTCGCCGAGAAAGCCACCTTTATGCTCAGCGACATGGAATAGAAGAGGCTCAGCTCTTCTGAACGGTCCTGAGTTATCTCCAAACATTGTGCAGATAAGACAGCGAAACGATGACAGTCCCATAGCTTGCTGATGTATATGCGACTTTGCAAGAAATAGCCATCGATATCGAAGGCTGACCGGGTGTACGCGTATCCCGTCATCTATTTCCCACCCTTTGTTCTTCCAGATGGCTTGATCTTTGAAATGGCACTTAGGGCTGGCGCACTTGTAGCCCACAGCTCTCCCCAGTGTCCCTTCAAAGAATTCCCATCGGAGACCCTTCTTGTAAGGATCCCGAAGCTCGTGTGCGTTCTTACAATATTCTCCAGAATAGTGGATGATAGGTCCCAGCGTGGATGTAGTACTTAATCTTTCGTCTTGTTCTTTCCCTCGGATGTCCCAACACTTAGTGGTGGACGCCAACGTGGATGCGGTACTCAAACTGTGGTCCTGATCCTTTGCTCGGATCTCTCTAGGCTTAGTGGTGCGCGCCAACGTAGATGCAGTACTTAAACTGTCGTCCTGATCCTTTGCTCGGATCTCTTGAGGCTTAGTGGTGTGCACCAACGTGGATGCAGTACTCAACCTTTCGTCTTGATCCTTTCCTTGGCTGGCAGAAGGCATGTTTGCAGTATTGAGCGATGGGAAAGTCTGCTTATGTCCATGTCCAAGTGAAGGTCTTGTGGACAGGCTGGATCCCGTGGGCCACCCTTTTGAAAGACTTGCCAAAACACTCGGCGTGAGTTGTTCAAGTCTTTCTCTGAGAGCGCGTTGTCTCGCTCTCAGAGCGTCAATGCGGCTCGGGGTCATCTCGTGAGCTTTGTGGCGTAATGGCTGCTCATTCGAGTCTGGATCGGGTGCTCGTCGGAGAGTCCCTTGAGGAAATTGCGAAACGTGAGGCATTCCATGGATACTGAAACCATACGTCTCCCAGCGGTGTTGTATGTCAGCAAAGATTGCAGATGCCGGCAACATCCAGGTCAACGGGGAAGTCTTGCTGTGGGCCACAACGATGCCGACCACGATATTTGTGTCAGGCTCAATAACCCAAGCACCACACAATCCAGGCCCTGCAGACGCAATTTGTTAGCGCCACTGATTTCCTGTACGCTGGCTTGCACTTACCGGAGGTGCACTCGACGGCCCAAACTTCGACAAAACCCTGTGCCCATGGAAGATTCATGGCTGACTTTGTTCCCAGGCTCCGCACTTTTAACTGTCCCAATAACCTCGACAGTATGATCAACTCGCCGCTAGGGGGTGGTCTCGTACTGATTTCCAGGCGTGGCTGGATTTGTCATCCCGCTGTTTGGAAGCGGTTATCAGTCCATAGGCGAGGGTCAGTTATCTCCAGCAGCGCCCAATCGAGCTTTGTATTATAGAGCAAATTCTGTGGAAAGACCGAACCCGGCTGTCTGGCGAAGGCGTTGGCTATGTGTCTTCCTGTACTGATTGGGTCGTTTACCCACCACTCTGCAAGGCCATTGGCACCCAGGGGCACATCCTGTGCAGGACTGAAAACCGAATGCATCGTGGGTGCTTCGTCTCCGGACTGATGTGAGAGCTTTTCGGATGATGCAACAGACCCTTCGGCATCGTCAATTTCACCGTCACTGCTTGATGTGTCTTCATCAGAATCATCCTGATCGTTTCCGAAGTCATGGAAGACATGTGCGCAAGTCATTGCATAATGAGCATTGGGACCCATATTTAGCACGCCACCCAAGGTCGTGAGCCGACTCGAGGACAGATTGATCTTGCTGGAAGGGCAAACAAGAACTGTTGTGCCACATAGACTGCTACCTCCTGGGTGGCTGGATTCACTTTGCGGTGGCGATGCGTCATCGTTGGCCGATATTTCGATGACTTCGATCTGCCATGTATACTGGAAGCCGTACCCTCGGAGGCTTTTGTGTTGCCTCAAGAACCCCGTAGCTTTCTTAGCCGCGCTTTTACGTTTTTTCGGAACTAACAATACCACAGAGGGTATGGCGTCGGCTCTGGCACCAAATTTGCTGAGCATAAACAGCATGGGGGACAGTAGTATGGGCTGCCTTCTGCGCCGAGAGCCAGTGAATTTCTTTGGTTCTCTTCATCGTTGAGTATGTCGAGTACTGTCTTGAAGATGATAGTATTCCATGCGCTGTCCAGGATGCCTGCTGCAGGCCATGCTTTCATGCCGACATAGTCATAGCGACAACACTCAGTACCGATGCACTGATTCTTTGCTTCAGCACTTAAGCCTTTCCAGCTCTTAAATGTCTCACCGTAACAGTCGGGCGCTATACGTGTCGAAGATAAAGCCGTCGCTCCGCTTTCAGGTAATGTACAAGCAGTATCGACCGATGCAGCTGTTGTAGACGTCACAGACCGAGACAGCTCAGAAGCACTGTTGGTCGACGACGTCGTAAGCGAGTCATCCTCTTGAGCGGTGTTCTCGGGCATCTGAGGCGTGTTCGCTGGTTCTCCTAGCTCTCCCAGCGTCTCAAACGGCGAGGCTGCACAAGGTGGGGTACTCGCCGGTCTTACAGAGAGCGACGCCATCAGAAGAGTCTCGCCCGCATTGATGAGGATCACAATGAGCTGTGAAACAGTTTCAACTACCTTCATGGAAGGCGCAAGCATACCAGCCCTCTTGGATGAAAAGGAAGGACAAGATAGAGAAGACTGTTGCCGGGTTGGAAGTTCGATCAGGCTGTGAAGTGGTGGAGGCTGAGCATCCACCTATTGGGGCTGAGCAACCCCAGGCAAATAGGAGAGGAGTCGGTTAGTGCATGAAACCTCACCCGCCTCAAGACCTGATACATCAATGCTGGACTGCTGGCAATGCCGTTTCCCGTTGTTTGCCAAATCGCCAAATAATCTGCTTCACCTCGTAGACATGAATCGTTGGAAGACTCAAAGGGACAAAAGACTTGGTATTATCGAGAAACTGCTCGCAGAAGTGTGGCATTTGGACTCGATTGCAGCGGGCTCTGCCGAGGCCGAGGCCTACTTTGAACATTACTTGCAGTTGCCTCAAGATCCATGTCTTGTCAACAAGGAGCAAACAACTCTAGGTCGAACAAGTGACCAAGCCACCAAAGTTGTGGCTCTTGTGCGAAGAGTTCGCCCCTTGATCGGAGGACGACTGCGGGATGTCAAGACAGCAATACGCAAAGACCCTCGGGGCGAATTCGTGGAACCGATCAAAGAAGCTGCTGTGGTAAACGCGGTAGACTTTGCTCTGCGTCTGTGGCTCTTCGTCCCACTAGTCCTTGACGTCGAAGATGCAACTTTTGCAGGCTTGATGAGAAGTGCTCTGCCGGCCCAAATCGGTGTGCAAGGCAAAGCCCTCTCATTCGGCGTTAACGCAAAAAATTTGATCAGGAGGGGTGGATTCTCCGTACGAACCACGAGTGACCTTTCAAAGCATCTCGACATGGATGATCTTACCATATGGATCTTCAGTCATGCAGCAGTCCTCAAAGAGTATCAAGGTTCCGGTTTCAGGTGAGATTCATGTCTTGGTCACCATAACAATGCATGGAGCTGACAATCCAGTCATGTCTTCCCTGATGAGTTTCTGCAAGAGGTAGAGCGTACCATGCAACTGCTCTTCCCAAACAAAGGCTACAAGTCAAGCAGACGTACGCGAAAGTATGTTCGAAAGCTGAAAGCGGATCTGGAAACAGGGTTTGAACTCCAGCTCAAGAGACTAGACTTACTCAGGCTTGATCGGTATCCCTACTTCGGGCAGCGGTTGGCAGATATTGAAAATCGATATGATTACAGCAAGCCCAGGAATCTGCGGCAATGGTGGTTTGACCGTCGAAATCGCATTGAATGGGCGACGTTGGTGATTGCAGTTATCGTCTTTGTTTTGACCGTCGTTTTCGGTGTCATTGCTGTGGTGACTGGAGTTCTTCAAGAGCATTATAGTGCGCTCTCTGCACACTCTTGAGATGCCACCAAGGAAACGGTAATCTGGAGTCCATTGACATAGTTTTTACAATGAGACCGGAGGTGGTTTATGTCTTTCTTTGATGTACCTGAGTAAGATTGCGGTAGGCGACGTGGTCTTGAAATGGTGGCCCCAGCGCGGCAGCAGCCGACAACAATTTGGCAGTCAATGTAATCAAACTTTGGCCCGGATTCCCTAAAACACATTGACCTCACCTTGCCCAGTAGTTATCCTCTCTAGCCTCTTTCTTTACCATATCACTACGTGTTAATCAGACTCTTCGTGGCATCCATGCAGCGCAGATGGTTCCGCGGCCAGAGAGTTCTCGAACTCACAATGCAGCCAGATGCTCCGATGCCAACGCCATCACCGTCGCCTCCCTCCCTTCCACCTCCCTCGCCAACTCCGCAAACCTGGGATATTCCTTCTGCATATCAAACCCCCTTCCCACTCCCCAACGGTAAAACACATACAAAAGCGCATCAACACCCATGAACCTCCCCCCAACCGTATATTTCGCTCCCTGCCCTTCCCCAAGCCAAGCTTCAATCTGCCCAAACCCCTCCTTCAAATTCCTCAACCCTTTCTCCCTGATCGCCTCATACAGTTTCTCATCATCCGTGTACCTCCCGGGTCTCAGCAAACCCCCAAACGCCTGACCATGCAACGTGCCAGACAACCAATTCAGCCACTCCAGAACCCTAACCTTCTCTAGATCCGTTTCGCCCATCAAGTCCTTTTCAGGCGCAAGTTGACTGGTCGCCAGCATGATGGCAGGAACCTCAGTGATGGTGTGCCCGTCCATGATCAAGACCGGAACGCGCATCTTCGGATTCACAGTTTTGAAATCAGCAGGAAGCCCCGATTTGACGGAGACTATGGTCGTGGAGAACGGCACGCCAACCTCGTGAAGAAGGATATGTGGTGCGAGTGAACACGCGCCGGGTGCTAAGTACAGGTCGATACTGTGGGTCGTCATGTCTTTGAGTCTGGGCTCAGTATAGATAACAGCTGGGAGAGCTATTGAACTGGGGATGATCGATTCAAGCTCGTAAGTATCGCTGCAAGAATGAGACGAGTATGATGTCTTCAAATGCTTCCAGGCAATATGAATGACTTCGCAGGCACCGGTCTTTTCACTGTCTGGAACGGAACCAGCCCAAAGACCTGCTCTCTTACTACTACATACTACGTCCCCGAATTCATGGCTTGATCATCGAGAGGGGCCGGATCAACTTGCCATGCCTCCTCGAAGGCGGCAAGGCTACCTAAAGGGGCAAGGCTGAACATCCTCAACGCTTCGTACCCACCAACCCTCCGACTTCTTAACTAAGCAGCACCCCGCTATGTCAAGGTAGAATCAGCATTAGTTGCGGAGACCGCAAGAAGGAGAAAGGCAAGCGCAAAAGGTATCAATCTGAGTTACACTAAGCAGCCGGCATCGCATGAATATGAGCAGGCGCAACATTTACAATCGTCCCCAGCAGGGCCGGGCAAATAGGAGACCATCACAGTCGCCCGGGGCATGTACTTTACGGAGCACTTCTCGCCTGATAGCACCCACTTTCATTCCAGTAGGACCTTGGCCCCCGTGACACCATCGGCCAGTCACTCGCCCTTCAGCTTATCCTGCTTGACATTGAAAGCTGCCTCGAGCAATTCCTTCTCCTCTTTGGAGTGGTTGGCCTTCAAGCCAGTAGCCACCGACGCACTAGGATCACGTCCCGCGTACATGACGTGTCTTCTGTTGTGGTGTTCAGTCTCATTCAGCAGCGTCTCAATACGGGGCTGGAGGAAACTCCAGGCGCCAGCATTGAGGGGCTCCTCCTGACAGTAGACGATAGTCTTGGCATTCTTGTATTTGTCAAGATTCTCCTTGAGTTGCGCCCATGGGAATGGGTTGAGCTGCTCGATACGGGTGATGGCGGTATTTTTGTAGCCATTGTCGGCACGATGCTTGTACAGAGCCGCATATACTTGACCAGCGCAAAGGACCACACGGTCAATCTCGTCAGGCTCGGCAATAGCCTTGCCGTGTTCTGGGTCCGGAATGATCCACTGGAAGCCCGTTTCAGCAGTGAACTCCTCGATGTCGGAACGCGCCAGAGGGTGTCGGAGCAAAGACTTGGAGAAGAAGACCATCAAAGCTAGAGATTGTTAGCAAATACTTGAGACAAACAGAAAATGCATCACTCACGTTTTCTGAATTGTCGGTTCATTTGTCGTCGGAGAATGTGGAAGTAGTTCGAGGGGCTGGTCATGTAGGCGATCTGCATGTTGCAGTCCTGGTGCTGTCTGTCAAGCTTGTCTGCTGAGGGATACACTCTTGGCTCCTCGTTGCAGAGCTGCAGATATCGTTCCATACGACCAGAAGAGTGTTCAGGTCCTTGACCATCGTATCCGTGGGGCAGAGAGCAGACGAGACCGGATCGCTGTAGCCATTTGACCTCACCAGAAGCAATGAATTGATCGATGATACACTGCGCGTTGTTGGCGAAATCACCGAATTGAGCTTCCCACATAACAAGCGCGTTCGGCGAAGAAAGGGAGTAGCCATATTCGAATCCGAGAACACCGAACTCGCTCAACGAAGAATTGGAAATCGAGAACGCACCCTGCTCCTTGGCCAAATTTTTGAGTGGGGTGTAGGTCTCTTCATTCTCTTGGTCGTGCAGAACGGCATGACGCTGAGAGAAAGTACCACGCTCCACATCTTGACCGGAGACCCGGACGTGGTGACCTTCCAGGCAGAGCGTACCAAAAGCGAGAGCCTCGGCAGTAGCCCAGTCGATGCCTTTGCCTTCGTCGATGGTCTTCTTCCTGCCGGATAGAATACGTTTCAAGTTACGATGAACGGTGAAACCTTCTGGCGCTCCGCCAATCTTGTCTCCAATCTCCTTCAAGACCTCACTGGGAACTCCAGTTGGGGGATGAGGAAGGACTTCGGTGGCAAGCTCCTTGGGTGACTTGAAGCCGTTCCATGCGGATGTCAACCACTCCTTGCCTGTTGGTTGATAATCTTTGCTTCGGTCGAAGCTGTCGTTGAGCATTCCCCAGACCCACTTCTTGTGTTCCTCGATGTCTTCTTTAGTGAAAGTACCTTCTTTCAAGAGCTGGTCGACGTATTTGTCCAGCACCGGTTTCATGGTTTGTACCTTTTTGTACATCAGCGGTTGAGTGAAGGAAGGTTGATCAGTTTCGTTGTGACCCTGTTTACGGTAGCAGACAATGTCAATAACGCAGTCTTTCTTAAAATCAGCTCTCCAGTCAGCAGCGAGTTGGCAGACGAAATTAACGGCTTCAACATCATCGCCGTTGACATGGAAAACAGGGGCATCAATCGCCTTTGCAATGTCGGAGCAGTAAGGCGTAGACCGTGAAAATCGAGGGTCAGTAGTGAAACCGATCTGGTTGTTGACAATGATGTGGATGGTACCACCAGTCGAGTAGGCTGGCAGGGCGTAGAAACCGAGTGTTTCGTAGACAACACCCTGACCTGCGAAAGCAGCATCACCGTGGAGCAAGACGCCCATCGCGCTTTGGTACTTTTGCTCATCGTCATTGTAATGCTGAATGGCGCGCGTTTTGCCAAGCACAACTGGGTCTTCGGCTTCCAGATGAGAGGGGTTGGCCACAAGAGAGAGTTGTACGCGTTTTCCGGAAGGCGTTGGTCGCTCGAAGTTCATACCTAAATGGTACTTGACATCACCAGAGCCCTCGTCACTGGCCTCCGTTGAGCCAGAGAATTCACTAAAGATGGACTCGTTGGGTTTGCGAACGACGTTGCTCAACACATTCAATCTTCCTCTGTGCGGCATGCCAATGACGATGTCTTTGATACCATAGTCCACGCTTCTGTCGATCATGGCCTTCATACCGGGCACGAGAGATTCACAACCTTCCAGACCGAAACGCTTGTCATTGGGGTACTTGGTGGCCAAAAACGCTTCAAAGCTGGAACTCCAAATCAGTCTGTCGAGAATGCGGCGTTTGTCGTCCACGGAATACTTGAAAGGCGTCGGAACCTCGATTCTGTTTCTGATCCAGTCGCATTGTTCTCGGTCGGGAATGTGGATGTATTCGACGCCGTAAGATGAACAGTACGTCTTTTCGCAGGCCGCAATGATATCCTTCAACTTCATCTTGGAGCTTGATTCATCCCCGAATCTAGGCAGAACACCGGGACCGAGTGTGAAATCTTGTTCCAGGTCTTTTTCCGTGAAACCATAATGGTCCAATTCTAGCTCCTTTGGTCTGCGATATCCGAAAGCTTCGGCCTCGCCACGGATACCCAAGGGATCGGTCTTTGCTTTGTGATGGCCTCTGGCTTGATATGCTCTAACAAGTAGTTGGACCTTCAAGTGTTTGGCGATGTCCTCATTGCCTGCACTGACGGCGGTCGGCGCTAGATCTACCGAACCTTCTGCTTGTGAGATCAGACCCGGGGGTGGCTGGAACGCTCGGGAGACAGGCATTTTGCCCTCCTCCATGTTGTGGAAGTAGGCCTGCCATGAAATGTGGACGGATGTAGGGTCGTGTTTCCAGGCAAGATACATTTCGTCGATGTAGTTGGCGGTGTTGCCTTGGAGGAAGGAGTCGTTGGGATCCTGTAACTCTTATTAGAATCTTTGCGCCGGGCAGGGCGAGCATCAACATACGACGCCTTTGTTGGTTTCCTCAGCTGCCATGGCATAGCCCCTGCGCTGCAGTGAGCTGCGAGCCATGACAGCCAAAGGTTTTCTTCCTGCAACGAGCGCATTCTGATGGCCTCTCGCGAGACCGTGCGATCCGCATGAGGTCGAAAACGATCTCGAAGCTTGGGCAGCTCTCAAGGAGAGCTTACCGGCGGCGGAACGATACATGTTGTAGAAGTCGGAGCTAATGATACAGCGAATGATCCATAGGAGAAGGCGAAGCAGTCGGGAGGAAGACACCCACCACTGATGAAGGAGTGGAGGATAGAGCAGAGGACACAGGACACGAAGCCTTCTCGAGTGGCACAGAAGATGAAGATGCAGAGATTGTGAGTGTCTGGATCCTGAGGCTGTTTGGGCTTTGACGCAGTTTCTCGGATCTCCCTAAGATGGAAAGGGCACGGACCAATGATGTTGCTCGCAACTGTGAGGCTTTTTATTATTTGCGGAGGGAGAACAGGGAACTGAATCCGAAGAAACCGCATGTCATCGTCGCCTCTGCCTAGTGAGCCGCGGCATAACATCCGCACTAATTATCGTGACCGCTTCATCCATCGACTGCCGACAAACAAAACATCCCGAATCCAACAAGTGCGTACTGTATTCAAATCTATAGGGGTATCATATCGTCGTCCTGTATGTGCTTTTTTCTTCCGAAAACAATATCCCCATACTCGGGATCCAATTCTTCATATATCCTTTATCTCCCATGCTTAAATTCGAACGCCCGCTAGATATTCGCGATCAATAACTTCAGTACCGCTTCCTTCATCGGTTCGCCTCCTCTCAAGAACCCATCTTCCATTTGTATCTTGAGCATAGCTGACGCTTTCTGCCCCACTGCTTGTCCTGCTGTGTTGCCCTTTCCGGCGTTCACCACCAGGAGCCGCTGCAGGTGAGAAGGGCATTTCCTCCTGTGACATGACTGTAACCGGCTCAATCACCTTCTTACGAGGCGTGTTCTGCGTTAGCGTAAGTCTCTCGGCTTCGTCGTCTTCTTCCTCTGACTCCGGTATTCCTGCTGGCGAAGCTCGACCCTGTATAGAAGATGCCATCCTTCCAGCTCCACCATCTCCTTGCGTGAAAGAATGGTTGGAGAAGTGGGCCAGTGGTGAACTGACAGGATGTCCTGCATTTGAGCTGTTGATGCTGGTTGAACTTCCTCCAAAGGTTCTTCCACGAAGCTTCAGCAAGGCACTGAAACTCATATCCTCGTCGTACGAAGGTGAATCAAGCTCCAGTAGCTGCGCAATGCCCGGGCTAGGCAATGAGTGCGCTGAAGCCGGCATACCACCGGGGAGTTGCAAAGACACCACCGAGTTCCGAGTGCTCCATTCACTGCGCTCCGTGATAGGAGTCAGGCTGGGCTCTTGAAAGTTTGCTTTACCACTGTGACTACGTTTCACCCCATTGGAGCCGCGTTCAGCGAAGTAGCCGCCATTGACGAGCTCCGTGCTAGCTTTGTTGTGAGATCGCGCGTAGAATCCAAATTCACGACCATAGAAACCTTCGTCGTCATTCTCCAGAACCTCGGCGTTGGCTTCCGCAATCATTGGGTCATCCTCAAGATCATCGTCAAAGGGGAAACCGTCATCATCTGCGACAGCGGGATTGAAACTATAGCTGAAGTGTCCGTCATCCGAGATCACTCCTGGCTGGCTACTTTCAAGGGCTGACCGTGAAGTACCGTTGGAGATCTGATCGAAACTTACTTTTCGATCGAATTTCCCGTTTGCGGCGGCTTGGTTTGCTGCAAATGCCAGTGCATCATGATAAGCTGCAAGGTTTGTTTCGGTCAGGCCAGTGACCTGGCCGCCGTGTGCTGGGTCGGCCTGGCTCAGCTGACCTGGTTCCTGCGACGATGGATGCGCCTGTCGCGACGGGCCTTGAGTGCTATTGCTTTCTGATGGTTGTGACTTAGCCTCCTCATCGTCAAGCTGATCCAAGACTTCGACCTCGTCATCTGGCCCAGCGGACTGTTTAGCAACTTCAAATTTGCGCGCGTTCTCGGCCGGTATGTCCCGGATCTTGCCAGTCTCGTCATCGAAAATTTGTTCGTCAAATTCTCCGCTTGGTATGTCTACGTTAAGGACATCAAACTCGCCATCGTCAAAGTAGAGGTCCTCGTCGTCAAAAATCTGTCCATAGGGACGCGAGGTGACAGAAGATCGCCTCCCACGTACTTCAGCTGCTGATATCCCGAGGCCACCAAGCATGGGAGCTTTGCTGGCATCGATCGGCTCCTCCTTGCCTTCAATATCAGGGTGGCCATGCTGGAAGGACTCTCTTGAGTTTGCGATTCCGATCGCCAACCCTTCATGGTCCCGGGGTGTTGGCTGAGAAGCATTGTTGGTGCTGGTCGGACTGAATGTCAAAGACTGCGGTGTGAAGTGGAAACCCTGAAGAGACTGCCCCTGCAATTCTGTAATATGGGTTACTGGTGGTGGACCAAGTTCAGCTTCAGGAGCTGCGTATCGTGCCACAAGTGCATTGCTAGGTGGAATATCATCGTCTTCGCCGAAGCCGTCATCTTCATCATAATCTGCATTGACACCAGGGATCTTCTCCTCGAATCCGTCATCTGCATCGAAGTCATAGTCGGCATACTCGTCGTCTTGGCCGGCGCCGCCTTCGGCAGCAGGGTTTCGTGTAGCTTCGTATTGCTTGTGTTTCTCTTCCAGCAACCTTTCCTGGGCTGAAGAGCCGGTCTCTGCTAATTGAAAGCTGAACCTAGACGAGGTGCTGGTCATGTGCTTGGGCAATGCTGCAGGCGGTGGTAGGTCGAGCTTCGGCGAAGGTGTAGACCTGGGCGGTGGTGTGGGTGGCAGAGGTGACTTGTCTCCACGCTGCGATTCGAAGAGGTTATCTTCCTTGTCTTGTGATGAAGCGTTGATGTGGGACTCAGGCTGCGGAATTACAGCTGGCAGCCGCTTCGCGAATGCCGGCACATTGTCCGGGTCTTGAGGGGCATACGCAACGCTAGAGGCATTGAAATTATGCAAGTAGCCAGTTCGGTCTGGCTGTAAGCTTGGACGATCCTCCTCTTGAAAGTGCTCCTTGAACATTGGACTGTGCGATATGTTGGGTGGCCCAGCCGCCGCAGTCTGGGTTCCTGGTGGATCATTGCTGCGGTTGACATCTGATCCGTATCCTGCGCGTAAGCCCGGTGAGTCGAGGGTGCCAACATCATTTTGAGAGTACAGTCTGCGGGTGCGCGGGGCCGAGAAATCGTGCACGACCTTTCCTCTGATACTTGGGTCAAAGTCGGCTGGAAGCGCCGGTACAGACAGCGTGTTAATGCTGAGGTTGATGTCTTCGAGTTTCTGGTTTTGTGATGACCGCCGTCGAGCCAGCAGACTCATTGGGTTCAGTAGATTCAACCTGCTTTTTTTGCCCACATGTCCTTTGACCGAAATCGGCTCGTCATGCGCATAGCGATCGGCCAGTGGCGAAGAAAAGCTGTGGTTGCGGAAGTGAGGGGACGATGGATTATCGCCATATCTGATCGATCGCTCCAGCGACGTCCCTTCTCTGAGGGTATTGGGACTGGAATTGTGAGGCACCGGACTCGGTCTCAACGGCAGTTCCATGGACTGATGAGAAGGCTTCGAGGCGACATTGGGCGAAGGGCTGTTGGGGTCCGCAGCATCGCTTGTCGCTGGACGAACAGCTTCGTCAGATGGACGGAATCGTGGCCGACCAGTCTCCTCGGAGGACCTTTGGAGGTTTCTGGGATCAGCACCCGAGGATCTGACGGGAAGAGGCGCAGTTGACAACGCCTGGAGACGATCGTAGGCAGGAGAGGGCAGAGGCAGCTTGCCCGACGGACTTTCCGACTCATCAGTGCCAGATGCGGCTTCTGCAGGACTCAGAGCGTCGCTATATCTGCCAGAACGATCGACCAATCTTCTCGAGAGAGATGGAGAACTTGGAGAGTTATGATCAGAAATCCGCCTGCGTCGATGCAAAGGCGCATAGTTCGCCATGTTGAAGTTTATCGTGTCCGACGTATTGAGGTCGCCGTGCAGCAGAGGACACTGCGCTCAAGGATGACCATTCTTCGTTGAGTGAGGCTACTACCACTTCCTGCTCATGTCTGAAATGTATGGAGTGCAGAGTATAGTCTGGTCAAGAGGACTGGGTGGGCACTGCCAGATCGTGAATGTTCATGTGCAGTGGTCTAATATTGACGGTCTTCAAGTAGACGTTGTGGGTGTGTTGGTGCTGTAGGAATCGTGTCGGCCTGATCGTATATGAGAGGGAAGAGGCATGTGGAAGATGGTCGTTGCGGTTCTTTTTTGTTGATGTTCCCAAAGAATGGAGACGAAGCGAGTGTCATGACAAGACGTGCGGGATCTTGGAGGTACGTATGCCACGGGGAACGAGCATGTCGCAGGTTGAATTCGTGTACAGCCATAAAACAACCAATGAACTGGGTAAGCAGGTCCCGAGTCGAGCACTCCACCCTGGCGATGGACCCGAAACTTTGGGGGGAAGCTTGCAATGCATGAATTCAACTCTCAGGCCACCTTCAAAAGGATTTCTCCAACTTCCCACGCTGGCAGAGCATTCAAAAGGTCCGCTGCAGGATGCCATCGGATGTCTGATGGTTCCCAGCACGCAATACAGCATCCGTCATAGCAGGCCTGACCAGTTGTGTCCTGCCCACTGGTAAGGCACCCGTCATGTCAATCCCTTCCTTGTCTTCACAATTAGGACAAAGGCGGCAATGGGCTGCTGCTTCGACAAATGCATCGCGCTACCTGGTCGGTCTGGTGACTCATGCCTTGAGTACTCGATACCTCATCGTTTGACCGGCGCGGACGATGTCAAACAGGTAGGAAATATTGTCTAGAGGCTTCGCCGACTTTAGTAGTCATCAACATGGGCATTGGAAGACAACAATGTTCCATTGTTGTGCCATGCAGGTAGGATCGTTGTCTGCGCCAGGCACAAAACAGTGCTTGGTTGATACATCCTGGCCGTGGCTGGCAAAGACAATACGAACAAACGGGCTCGCCCTGAATCATGACTACAGTCCAACTAGGTCACTTGATGAGTACTGAAAAGTCAAGACCATGGAGATCAGCCATTTACGACGATGGTGGCTTTCCTAGCGAAACACCTAGCTAGGGTCCCGGGGCGTTGTTGGATCTCAGCCCCGCGTCAATGAAGTTCTGCCATGGAGTGTACCTGCGAAGTCTTACAGACCCATGAAGGAAAGTCGCGACTGCAAGATTGTTGACCATGGCGGGTATCAAGTACTCTCTCCACGAAGCTGACCCCATGCCCCATATCGCGACTGTCCTCGATTGTCTATGTCCCTCGCCATTTGAATCTTCCTCATGCCTTGTTTACTCAAGCTTGTTCGCAGAAAGGAAATTCAATGGACCATCGCAGCGAGCAATGCATGAAAGATGAACACATTGGGGTTGAGCAGAAGGCAGTCTTCACGCAGTCATAGGTCACAATTCCATTTGATCTCTTCTCTATCTGAATCTGATTGCGCAGCGACAACGTCTGCTCTCAACTCATATCATGTACCCACCTCGTTCCTTTCTCAAGTAATCTCGAGGCTCGGTTTGAATCCTTCCAATTTTCTCGTCAGCCGCAAGCCGCAAAGTCCCCAAAAAAGAAAAATGACGCTGACATTCGATCGGGATCCAATTTGCTGGTGGCAGTGACGCAACCCCCGCACAAACCCTTTTTATGGCGTCGGGAGAAACCGCGACCAGTCTCGACGTCCATCGATCGAGTCTGGCCACCACCAATCTAAACTGACGATGTGAAGGAGGTTTGTCCTCACTTTTCTTCATGAGGTTGTATATGCTTCTTGTCTTTCACGCGACATATTCCTGCCCATCTAAGACACAATCATGAATTGTCCATCGCGGCCAGATGAAATCGAGGGCCATCCAGACTGGAACCAGAGTCCGCACGCCCTCAGCGCGGACCTGACAACCAGGGCCGACCTCAACGGGATCGTCAATCTCAGAGAACAGCGACAGAACAAATCAAGTCTCGACAACAGCGAACAAGAACTGATAGATCTCTTGCCTCTCAATGCACCGGATCCTCCACTGGTCAAACGAAAGACCGCCTCCTCCGTCAAGGTTGAACCAGAAAATCAGCAGCAATCCGGTACCTTGGGAATTCAACAACCCCCTTACCCTCCCCAGCGGAAGACGAATTTGCAAACAGCCTCCGGCCTTCTCAACAAAGCCGTCGTCACGCTCCAAAAGTACGCCAAGTTCGTCGGACCAGGCTTCCTCATCGCCGTGGCATATATCGACCCAGGAAACTATGCGACCGACGTCCAAGCCGGCGCGGCCACGCGCTACCGTCATCTGTTCGTCATTCTACTCTCCAACTTATTCGCCATATTCCTACAGTCTCTCTGCATCAAACTTGGAAGTGTGACCGGCTTGAATCTCGCCGAAAACTGTCGAAAGCACTTACCAAAATGGCTTACCATCATTCTTTATCTTTTCGCTGAGGCGGCAATCATTGCCACCGATATGGCAGAGGTAAGCAGAACAATGCTGTGCATGATATGCTCAAACTGACATCAATGTCCAGGTCATAGGATCGGCAATCGCATTAAATCTGCTTTTGCACATCCCTTTGGTCGCGGGATGTGCCATCACGCTCATCGACGTTTTACTCCTACTTCTTTTCTACAAGCCAGACGGCTCGATGATGCGCCTACGCGTTTTCGAGTACTTTGTCATGGGTCTTGTGCTCGGTGTCATGATCTGCTTTTGCATTCAACTATCTTATATCAGAGACACTTCGGCAGCAGAAGTCTTTAAGGGTTATCTACCCTCAGCCGCAGTGGTTCAAGGCAACGGCATCTATCTTTCCTGCGGCATCATGGGCGCTACAGTCATGCCTCATTCTATCTTCCTTGGTTCCGGAGTTGTCCAGCCTCGCTTGAAGCAATTTGACGAACGAAACGGTCTTATCATGATTCTGGACGAAACGGACGATGATGCCGAAAAGTATCGACCATCAGTCAGCGCCATTCGATCCTGTCTGAAATACTCGGTTGCGGAGCTAGCTTTCTCCCTTTTCACTTTCGCTCTTTTTGTCAACTCCGCGATCCTCATTGTTGCGGGATCATCTTTGTACCCTCAGACTGCGGCGACAGACGCAGATCTGTTTGGCATACACGACCTGCTCAGCAAGAATCTGTCGAAGGCTGCTGGAACTATATTCGCCCTGGCGCTGTTGCTATCAGGGACGTCTGCGGGCATCGTGTGCACAATGGCAGGCCAAATGGTGTCGGAGGGCATGCTTCAATGGACGATCAAGCCTTGGATGCGAAGGCTGATAACACGGTCCATAAGCATTACTCCCAGCATCATCATCGCCGCAGCTGTAGGCAAGGAGGGGTTGAATCAAGCTCTGACAGCCAGCCAAGTCGCCCTCAGCGTCATCCTGCCCTTTGTCACAGTACCGCTTGTATGGTTTACATGTCGAAGCCACATCATGAGTGTGCCGAACGAAGTGGGCGTCCGCGGTGGTGAGCTCGTCAATATGCGCAACGGCTGGGTGGTAGCAACCCTTGCCGTGGTCATTTGGCTGGTCCTCGTCGTGATGAACGTTGCTTTACTTGTTCTGGTTGGCCTGGGAAAGGCCTGAATTCGGTAGCGTTGTTTCCGACAGGCTCTTGATATTCATGTTAAGTTATGTAGCGTTAGGAGCTGGTAGGTGAATTCGATGTATCAACAGTAGCCGCAAGTTTCTTCTTAGCATCTTCACTCAATTTGCCCGCTTCCTGTCTCGTAGATTCGGGCAATTGGCCTAGCATGCCGAGCTTGTCGAAGAACCATGCACGGAACCCATCGAAGGGCGTCCCTTGCCCGTGTGATGGCTCGCAAATAAAGATGAAATATATGAGGGTAAACGTGATAAGCGTATGTTGTAAGATCTTGATACTCTTATTCCAAGCCGGTCTCGCCCACTTGAGGGCTGCTCTGCGGCGGTACGTCTTCTCAAAGTGGAACTGCTGCTTCGGGTCGAGCGTGTTGAAGTCCGGCGGCCACTGCTTGCGCGCCCGGTAGGGGTTGTTGTTCGCGCGGAATGGTGCTGGTTTGTATGTTGGCGTCGGTCGCCAGCCGAAGAGGGACTTGAGCCATGTCCAAGCCGTGAGCTTAGTGCCAGCGAGTTCGGTGGCCGCGAATTTCCGAGCTTGTGGGTGCGCGTAGGTCGGGCGACTGGACGGAAGGGAGTGTGTGAGCGAGGCCGACTGTGCCTCTGCCGCAGGCGATGACGACTGTGTGTTCGCAGGTGTGTGGTTGAAGTTTGATGGTGCGTAGGGTGAAGAGGTGGAGGATTGACGGGTTGTGAGGAGCAGGCGAGATGGGTGGCGATGGCGACAATGCTGCATGAATAGCAGTGCTTGGGACTGCCGTAACGAAGAGGCAGCCATGGTGGGTGTGATGATACGTTCGTCAATTGGAAAAGGTCGTTATGGCTGCGAATATGTCGGAGGAGGATGCGGATGTGGAATGGAGCGGATGTTCACATTATCCGGTTTCCGGAAAACCAGATTCTTTATCAAACATCCGACAAGGTCCAGTTGCAGGTTCCCTTCTAAATTGCAATTGACCCAGATTACAACTTTCATTGCTACTTACAAATGATCTGCGGCTATGTCTCCAGGGATCTAATTCTATTAGAAGTGCAAATTTACTGTCCTGATGACTCTATCTACCACCCGTAACCCTCTACAAGCCGAGAATGTTTCCTGAATCCTCCGTCAACTATCACGCGAGATGTCGTATCAGACAGACTTCGTGAGCGTTGCTTGGGCACTGTAATGGACACGCTATCCCTGCATCCTATACTTTGTGTCCCTTTCGTAGCCTACTTCCATTGTCATCCCCGTCATGCTGTTGTCCGCCAGCTTCCCCCTGCTCTTCTTCCTGCCCCTCTCCAGCATCTCCTTCCCCATCCTCCTCCTACTCTGCCTCTCCAGCTTCCTCGTCTCCTCTCTCCGGATGGCCATGATGGACCAACGCGCCGCGGGAATGCAGGCATGGTGCGCCAGCTATGTGTGGCTTCGAATTATTGGGTTAAAAATATCCAAGCTTACCTATGCCGAACTTGCTTGCTCTATTCTGGTATCCATTGTATGGAATGGTGGATACTTGTCGCTCCTGCTCTCGCCCTTGACCGAAGCACGCTATCAAGTAAGCTGACAATGACAGTCGACTGACAAGGCTTGCCTCAACTGGATTCGAATGAGACAAGGACGATCTCAATGAAGCGGGTTATGTAAGCTGGAGCTGGCAGCCACGGCTTAGGCATTCAATCACGATGCAGAAAACCCGTAGAGAAGCGAGCAGACGCTATTGGCTTGTCCCGGAGCGATTGGAAGATCTGCTAATCCTCGACTTTGTCACGTTTGTTCGCGGGAGCTGTGACTGGGGAGATGACCCTTTTGCGCCTTGTCGCCCTTCGTCTCGAGGGGTACAAAGCATGAGCCTCTAGGCCATGTTAATTGCGACAATTAGCATCCCAGCCAGTCCATAAAGCTGTCTTCGTCCATGTTCCGCGGGTCAACCAACATGTGAGTCGCACAGGCTGTTTGTGATTGGCTCAGGAGGTTGAACAGAGTATGCGGTCGCCCAAGCCGTAATGCACACAAAACGGTCACAGCTATGATCTTCACGCGCATGGGTCATTCGGGGAAGACACCCATGCATACCATCGTTGCCACTCATTTTCAAGATCAACGATACCAATGTCAAAGCTGCCCAAAAACCTCTGAGCTTTCTAGCTGTCCAAAAGACGGGGTTGACAGGATGTAGCGATAGATGGACCCTGGGTTTCCTTCGAATAGAGACTCCTGGGTGGACTTCGAAATCGTGCAATGCTGCAAGTCAATGACCATGAGAACAGGTCAATCCCGTCTCACTGAGAAGCGTGCGACAGATTCATCGCAAGAAGTGTGCCCAATGACAACCCCGACGACTGAAAGCATCAGACATACTGGCGCATGACCTCGCGTGCGGAATATGCTCCTTAAACCGCAAAGATTCAACGAGTGTGGAAAACGTGTGGCACGTCAGACAAACGGCTGCATCGAAGACGAGCTTGAGCAAGATTGTGCATGCGTGTCTGACAAGGCCAGCGGTAACCTCAACAGATGGCTGAAACACGACCAATGTTTGCAAAGGGCGTCTCTGGGATCAAGGAGACTGTCGGACCGAGGGCCACGTGAACTTCGAAAGTGGGAGGAACCGATTCAGAAAAGCCTGTCGCTAATAGCGATCCCAAGGGAAGACGAGTTGAAGAGCCTCAGTTCGGCGTACTCTTTAAGTCCCCACTGCGGAGCATGTGGCACTCAATAACTGCAGGCTGTCACAGACCACGAGTGAGAGGTTGTTCAGCATTGCTTTTCAACGAGGGGGGAGGATGAGACTATACAGCTAGTTCGTACTACGCAGGCCTGAGTAGGACTACCGGCCAGCAATGGATGCGGCGACGCGTACGTATCGTACAATAGGCCACCACTGATCATGGGGCAAGGCTCCGCGCTCTACCTGCATTTCGGCATATTCGGCGAGGGGACGTTACTGCAAATCAGACTGCTCACAGGTGGCAATTGATAAGGCTGTCAGATGAAAGAGTATGCACCACTTGCTGATGCGCAGCTTCTAACCATGAATCACGTTCAAGGAGGCTCCAATACGGGATAGATCACGACCATCATACTGCGACTGCAAGCTTATAAGCGGCTATCTGTCACGATCTACCGTTTATAGGCTCGCTAGAAACGATTTTCCGTTCTCGCCTGCCAATAGAATGCTATGCATTGACAAACAGCCAATCTCAGACCCTTTCCATATCTCTCGAGCGGCAGATTCCGTCACTGCACAATGTCGAACATACCACATTACCTAGGTATGCATGGCCTCATCTCTTGTAATTGTGGTGATACGGTGCAATGCCGGCCATGCCTATCTCAACGGGCAACAACTGACAGATGGGCGGTGACCTTTTTCATACGATGACGCGCAATGTGCCCCGGGCAATTCAGTGACACCAGCATCACCTGGCTCTGCAGTTCGCGCCATACGCTTTGATCTTCGTGCTTCATTGCTGAAGTCGGCCCGAGATGCCTCAAAGCGACCGCACTGAGCGAGTTGTACGCTTGGTGTGCAGACTTGTACACAACGTGTTGCTCGGTGAGCGGGGTTCGTCTGCAATGGTCCGACACAGCAACTAATGATAGGTTTGCTTTGACGGTGGAGAGCTCATGGGTGACCTTCAACGGCACTCGAGATCAACTATAAAACGGAACATCTCTCGCAAGTCGGTTCTTGCTTGTCAAACCATACTTCAAGTTTTCTTTTCTGTTCTTCAGCCTTGGTCAAAAATACAAACTCAGCAATCATGGGCAGGCCTCATCTTCCTGGTGTCTGGTACCTCAAAACTGGGGCTTTCATGGGAATACTCCCCGATCGACACAGGAATCACACAGTTGCTTTCCTGTCGGAGCTCGCAGGCACCTTTTTGTTCTTGTTTTTTGCTCTGTCTATCGTCCAGGTCGTGCACACTCCACCACCAACGGGTGGTAGTGGCTCTCCACCAGACGTCCTAGGGATCTACCTGATCTCGGTCGGGTTTGGAACCTCAGTGGCTGTGAATGTGTGGTTGTTTTATAGAGTGTCTGGAGGAATGTTCAACCCGGCAGTAAGTATTGATTCGACTTCTGCGTCTCTTCCCAATGCTGAATTTCAACTTTCACCAGGTCACCTTTACACTTTTCCTCATCGGTGCTGTGCCAGCGGGACGTGCGGTGGTTGTGATTGCAGCTCAGATCATCGGAGCGATCGCGGCATCCGCTGTGGTATCTGGCCTGTTTCCAGGTCCTATGGTGGTGAACTGCAGACTTGGTGGCGACACGTCAATCGCTCGTGGACTCTTCATTGAGATGTTCTGCACAACACAACTTGTGTTTACTGTTATCATGCTGGCCGCAGTCAAGCACAAGGCCACCTATCTTGCACCCCTTGGAATCGGACTTGCGCTGTTTATTGGCAATATGTGCAGTATGCTTGTGCATGCATCTCAGACATAGACTTCACTGACATTACGGCAGGTGTCTACTATTCTGGTGCTGGCATCAACCCTGCTCGAGCTTTTGGTCCTGACGTCGTGAACCACAGCTTCCCAGGCTACCATTGGATCTACTGGGTTGGCCCCTTACTAGGCTCTCTGCTTGCAGCATTCTTCTACTACCTCCTCGAAGCTTTCGATTGGAGAAGTGCCAACCCTGGTCAGGATTTTGACGATCTGGAAACTCAAATGATCACACCAGAGAAGAAAACAGATCGTCCAAACGTTGCACATGGCGCATTGCATGGTAACCTTCCCGGTGCCAATGCTGAGAAAGAAAGAGGCACAGGGGTTCCTTCGCTCGAGGGGCTCAATGGGCTGCGACCATCGAAGAGCACGCAAGATACTCAGCCTGAGTAGATATGGTTTCCAAAGACTTGCGGGTCATGGCGATTTGGGGCAGGCCACCTTGTCGACAGAGGCTGACAAGGCCCATATCGCCTCCAGCCTTGTAGGGTGCGCACTGCGGACACATACTCAGCAGACTAATCTTCGCATTCTTTATATATATTTAATAGTTTCCGGTAGTAACTTATAATATGCTTGAATCCTGTGCATCACTCTGATCGCATATCCGATCCTGGTGAGGAATCTTGACTAAACTGCTGCCAACCGGAAACAACCACAAAGATAGTGGTCGCATCTGCACGTATTTCCAACGTCGATGGCAGACATGGCAAGAAAGTCGGGCACCTGGAAAGGGAACTGTGAGTCACCTTGGCAAGACTGAAACTCTTGAGTCTTGACAAGACTTACAAGTGTGCAATCTGTCCCAGACTAATTGCGGGGAAGGCATTTGGCGCATTGGGTTCTTGAAATATCATTGGTTGCTCTGCCGTGTCCCTTCCTTTTTCGGCAACCCTACTTCTGCCTTGCGGCTGCCTGCTTCAAGTATTTGATCACTGTGTGCCTGAAGACATTTAAAGCGGTACCTCTCCTCCCTATGCTTTCCGAACATACTCAGCTGTATCTGGTACAACTTCTGATTAGGATACCCATGATGAGAACTACAGAAAGGCCAAGGATGTCGAAATATTCCAAGTACCAAAATCCTTGTGGCTGTTGGTATCCTATCCGTATCGAGAACAACAACAACCATTCGGTGGAGAGGCGATACCTTCCTCAAGTTCAACTGTCGTCATCGACAGACATTCTGACAGTCACCTCACGCACAACGCTCAAGCAGACCTTCTTCAATCCAGAGGACAAGAAGCTCGAAGAGGTCCACTACACCTTCCCACTTTACGATGGAGTCAGCATTGCACATTTCACCTGCACTATTGGTGCAAAGACTATCGTCGGCGTGGTGAAAGAAAAGCAGCAGGCCAAGGCTGAGTATCAAGAAGCCGTTGCCCGAGGGGAAACAGCTGGACTCCTCGAACAACTCTCAGAAGCATCCGACGTCTTCACCACCTCGCTTGGAAACATCCCACCCATGGAGAAAGTGCTCGTCGAGATTGTCTACCTTGGTGAACTTAAATATGATGCAGAAATGGACGGGTCACGGTTCACCATACCCACAAGTATAGCTCCGCGCTACGGCACTCAAAATGCAGACACGCTCAACCGATTCAATGCCATCAGCAGGGGCGGTATCTCAATAACGGTCAACGTGAGGCTCGAAGAAGGCTCGATCATTCGTGGCATCCAGTCACCGAGTCATCCCATCGCAGTGACAATGGGCCGAACCGTCGATACGAACGAGGATGACTTCGACAACAAAAACGCATCAGCGACATTGACCCTCGGCTCGACTGAACTCGATAAAGACTTTATTGTTGTTGTCCTAGCCAAAGGCGTCGACACACCTCGTGCCCTGTTAGAAACCCATCCCACAATCCCGAATCAACGAGCAATCATGACAACACTGGTACCAAAATTCAATATTCCCAACATTTCCCCAGAAATCGTCTTCGTTGTCGATCGAAGTGGGAGTATGAACGGCAAGATCCCCATGGTAGTCGCTGCCATGAGTGTGTTTCTGAAGTCGTTGCCCGTGGGGGTCAAGTTCAATATCTGCTCCTTTGGTTCGCACCATTCGTTCTTGTTCAAAAGGAGCCAGACATACGACCAGTCCAGTTTAAACGAGGCCCAGAAACACCTTGAGAATTTTGATGCAAATTACGGTGGGACGGAGGTGCTTCAGCCCATCAAAGCCTCCGTCGAAAACCGCTACAATGATCTTCCGCTCGAGGTCATGCTCCTGACCGATGGTCAAGTCTGGAATCAGCAAGAACTATTCGACTTCGTGGGCGAAACGGAAAATGCCCGGTTCTTCACATTAGGCGTTGGTGATGGTGCTTCATCCGCCCTGGTTGAAGGCATCGCTCGTGCAGGCCATGGGTTTTCTCAATTTGTTGGTGAGAACGAGAAGATCGATAAGCGAGTCGTCCGAATGCTGAAGGCTGCACTGACTCCTCATATCTCCGATTATACCCTCACAGTTCAGTACGACAAAGAGTCGGTTTCACTCGAGGAGGACTTCGAAATGGTCGAGGCCACTGAGAGTGCCGGCAAGTCCGTAGTCACCCACCTCAAGAAGCCTGCGGCCAAAAAGGTAATATCACTCTTCAACGCTGAGACCACGGAGGAACCGACGAATCCGCCAGCAGGTCGTTACGACCATCTCCCCGATATTCCTATTCCCAAGGCCCTGCAGGCACCACACAGGATTCCGGCTTTGTTTCCGTTTAGTCGTACCACAGTTTACCTCGTTCTGGGACGAGAGGGCCCTCAGAGTGTTCCACGGCTCGTCACACTCAAGGCCACCAGCAGCCATGGACCTTTGGAATTGGCGATACCTGTTCAGGATGTCGGTACTGGCCAGACTATCCACCAACTCGCCGCGAAGAAGGCCATGCATGAGCTCGAACAAGGTCGAGGCTGGATTCATGAGGCTCGCGACGCTCAACATCAACTTATCAAAACAGCTCAGGAGGGCAAGTGGGATCTCATCGTTGAACGTGAAGCCGTCAGACTGGGCGTCCAATTCCAAATTGCTGGGAGGTGGTGCTCCTTTATGGCAGTTGAAAAGGAAGGCGGGAACGAAATTGCTGCTCCCGTGCTGTTCGCCGAATCGGAGTTCGGTGCATCCAGCTCTGCTCCGCCGGCCGTGCCGGCGGCAGTGCCTGGTCTGCCCCAAGGCCTTTCTGCGATCTCTCAGGCGGCATACATTGGACTCATTAAAGGATTGGGAAAGGTAGACTGTAGGTTTGTCCCAAAAACTACCACTCGGCTCCCCAGTGTCAAGACCGATACAGGCTCGGAGACTTCTACAGTAGACCAGACGGCTACCAGCCTCGCTTCTCCTGATGGCGCTGCCTCATCTCTTCTGGCCAAGCCTCCTGATTTGGAACCGTCTGCTGACTTTCCTGGCACAGGTAGCGAGGCGAAAAAGCGTCGCAGATATCCACAGCAGGCTCAGTCCTTTCACTCTGCTCCGGTTCGTCGGCAACTAGCGAGCCAGCCTACTCAGCAGATGATGAGTCCGCCGCTTGGAGCACCTGGCAGCGTGAGTCGGTGCAGAAAGAGGACTGCCGGGTATGCATGCCGAAGCTCTGGTGCTGCTCACGCAGGTGCGGATAAGTCGTTGCCTTGGGAGGAGGCCGAGGTCAAACCGATGAAGCTCGACACAATGGGCAACTATGTCTCTGTGCTCTCAGACCCGGAGAAAATGCACAAGGTGATAGCGCTGCAGGCATTCGATGGGTCATGGAATATGTCCGACGAGCTTTTCGAGCTACTCGGTGTTCATGAGGGCCAGATGAGAGGCAGTAGTGCGGATGATGTGGCCAACGCCACAGCTCTGGCCATTGCTTGGTTGAAGAACAGAGTCGCCGCTGAGGAGGACGTTTGGGTGATGGTTGTGGAGAAGGCCACTGGCTGGCTGGAAGGAAAACTTGGATCGGAGGAAGCGAAGATGGCCATTGATGAAGCTGTGGGGCTCCTTTGAATGCATTGTTCATGAGTACAAATGCAGGCCCAAGATGTGCAATGGAACTGTATGTATATACGATTGACGGGAGCCTTGGCCATGGTGATCTTGGATGGTTGTATCCTTCGACTCGTGGAACCGTATGTCTTATGCTCTCGGGACTTGCTCCAACAAGCGTGGAAGGTCTGCAAGGAACTCATTAACGTTTGCGTTCGCCAGTAATGCTCAATAGTAGACATAGAAGCCTCCTCGAGGAGAGATACTGACGCTGCTGGATGTGCATTCCCTGCTCAACTCGCAAGCAGGTCTTTTTGAACATAGCTTCCGCCAGTCGCATAGATCAATTCAACCCTTTTATACCGCCCTCGTGTACCGACACATCGTACTCCTTCGGATACTTCTCGATAAGCTCTTTCAACTGCTTTATTTGTTGTTGTGCTTCCGGCGTGATTTCCTCGTATACATCTGTGAACATCTCCTTCAAGGCCGGCTTCTTGACTTTCTCTGCTGCCGAGAATTCTCGCAGCACATCTTTGCGTATCGACGCTCTCGCTTCCTTCTCTTTATCTTCATCCCAAAGTCCCTTCTTTTCCATCCATTTTCGTAACCTTGTGATAGGATTGTCTCTCCGTTTCCACTCCTCGACCTCCCTCTTCGCTCTGTACGCGAAACTGTCGTCGCTCGTACTGTGGTGACTTACTCGGTAACTCATAGCTTCCACGAGAATGGGCTTGCAACCGCCCTCGAGAGCACGCTTCTTGGCCTCGAGCATGACCTCTCGCACGGCAAAGATGTCGTTGCCGTCTACTCTGATTGTGTCGATTCCGTATCCCAAGCCTCGACTGGCGATGCCGTCACCCTTGTATTGCTCAATGCTTGCCGTGGATATAGCGAAACCGTTGTTCCGGCACACGAACACGATCGGACATGACTTTGTGGCGGCGATGTTTAGGGCGGCGTGGAAGTCTCCCTCGCTAGCGGCTCCTTCGCCGAAATAGCACGCGACAATCCTTGGTGGGACATTGGGGTTGATTAGCCTTTGCATTTTCAGCGCGTATGCTGCTCCGGAAGCCTGGGGAATCTGCGTGGCCAAGGGACTGGAGATGGTGTGCACGTTGAGTCTACCGCTGCCGTAGTGTACTGGCATATTTCGGCCCTTGCCGTTGTCATCTTTGTTGGCGAAGAGCTGGCTCATCATTTCCTTGATGGTGAACCCTTTTTGTAGCAGGACGCCTTGTTCGCGGTACTGTAGGAAACATACGTCCTCTGCGGATAGTGCGGAGGCGGACCCCACAGCTATCCCTTCCTCGCCGGCAGAGACCATGTAGAAACTTGTTCGCCCTTGGCGTTGAGCGTCAAACATGATCAGATCGAGGATGCTGACGGTCAGCATGTTTTTGTACCACGTGACGATCTCATCATCGGACGCTGATTGAGGGTCTCTGGTGTTGTCGACAATCTTGCCGTCGGCATCCATGATTCTGTACGTTGGCATCGCGTTCTGTTCGGCTGGATTGTGGAATTTCATTTCAGCCGTAAACCTGCTTTTCAGCGCGCCTGGAAAATGGACTCTAGTATATAGGGTCAGCGACCATGAATGGAGACAAAGTGACGGAAGCGTACGAATCTGATCCAACTTCCTGTGGTGGTCCAGAGGACCATGTATCGCTCGCCCATCTCAACCCCGTCCCGCGGAGTAGGACCCCGTGTCTGGACCGACAGGACGCCGCCAAGGGTCTGATCACTGCGCGCGTTTTCATATTGAATGGTCCTGTACACGGTAGCTCCTTTGATGATTACGCGAGTATCCTACACCATTCTGGTAAGAAGAGAGACGCAACGAAAGAAGAGGGATGTCAGAGCGAGAAGTACCTTAGACAAGGGCCAGGAGACGTCGCGGCTATCCACGGTTCGCGGATAACGGCTATCCCGATCTGCGGGTTCTCCAAGAGCTAAACCTCTTTTGGCGACGACCTTGCTTCTCCAGCAAAAAAGTTCCCGGTCGCGTTCGGAAGTCCTGGTGTTCAGGGCTTGGACCTTTAGGCGCAGCTATGATATCGACCATGTTTCGTCCCGTCAGTCGGCAGGCTGCCTCGCTGAGGAGTGTCCATATCTGCTCCAGGCCTGCCCAGCGATTGTACACCACAACCCAGCACCGAGGACAGCAACTCCCAGGCGAAAATGACCGGACCACGCATTTCGGGTTCGAAACTGTTGCGGAGGCTGAGAAGGCGCAGAGAGGTACGATGTCTTCTGAGGAAGAGAAGGCGAGTGCTAATAATTCCCAGTTGGAGCTGTTTTCTCCTCAGTGGCCTCGTCCTACGATACGATGAACGACCTCATGTCCTTAGGTGTTCACCGTCTATGGAAGGACTACTTCGTTAGAAGCCTCAACCCGGGCAGTCGAACTGACGACAAACCCTGGAATATCCTCGATGTTGCTGGCGGCACGGGTGACATTGCTTTCCGCATGCTGGACCATGCGACCAACGTCAACCTTGATCTCAACACGAAAGTCACAATCGCAGACATCAACCCAGACATGTTGGCTGAAGGGCGGAAAAGATCTCTACAAACACCATACGGAAAGTCGGGAAGATTATCGTTTATGGAAGGAAACGCAGAGTCCATGCCTTCAATTGAAACCAACTCTGTCGATCTTTATACTGTGGCCTTTGGCATTCGAAACTTCACTGACAAAGACGCTGCAATCCGCGAAGCCTTTCGAATCCTCAAACCCGGTGGCGTCTTCGCCTGTCTGGAGTTCAGTCACGTTGACAGCTCCATCTTCAATGCTGTGTACAAGAGATGGAGCTTCGGAGCTATTCCTTTGATCGGCCAGTTAGTCGCCGGAGATCGCGACAGCTATCAATATCTTGTTGAAAGTATTGAACGGTTTCCGACACAAGAAGAGTTCAAGGCTATGATACAGAATGCGGGCTTCATTGCGCCCGGCAAAGGCTATGAAAACCTGACGGGAGGAATTGCCAGCATCCATCGAGGTGTGAAACCGCTATAAATGGACAAGAGCAGAGCTTCCCTGAGCTTACTCTGTCTTTCTTCTCATACATGACGGAGCACTCAACGAGCTGGCCATGGAACCCAGCGGTTGGGCCTTGGACTTGATCGACGTTTCAGCCGCAAGTCCCAACTATCGCCAGCATATCCTACGGATCGTCGAGAATCGGCATTTGCGCCAAGGACCGTGGACAGTGGTCTCGCAAAGACTGGCTTGTGGCAGTCTTCTTCCAGGCAGAGGATGACCTTTGCAGCTTCTTTCCTCACTGGCGCGTACACATCGCCGAAAGCGGTCTTCGGCGTCTTGATCGCACCTTTCAAGGCATAGCCGGAGAGGAAAGTGAATATGTCTGCACCGGGCACAGTGTTTGACCATTGGCCAAAGGCTTCGAAACTTTTCAACCTGGCATGGCTTCACCTTGATTGCCAGTATAGCTAGCTGGATGCTACGGCAGCCTTTTCTTGGAAGGCACGCCCTACTGGGCAGACCTTTGTCTCGGTATGGTACGATGAGAATGGCCTCTAAACGTCGTAGAAGAGAAGGACTTTGGTTGGTAGTCACTCAAGTCAGTGAGTTGGTTTTGGTGAGCTATATATATGAGCTGTGGAGATTGTGCTCGTACGACCATGCTTCTGCTGGCGGAAGACGTGTCTAACAACTCGACCAATGCTTTAGAAAGGCTCGAAGTCATGATAAGACTATTCTTTTCATCGGCGAGTGGAGTATCATTAAAGATGTGCTTGTCATGACCACGTGAAGCGCAGTGCGAGTGTTCTCCATACTGACCCAACAACCCCAGAACCCATCAAAGTCAATGCATGAACGCGTGGCGTTCACGCCTCGGTTCCCACGACCTGTCAAAACCCCGCGATCAAAGACGGCGTCTTTCGAAGCTTTCCACTCTTGCAACTCCCAGCAATTAGAGGCGGGAAAAGGTCGACGGTCATACGTTGAAGGCCTGCTCCTCCTCGAGTGGCTATGCATCACACGACTCGGTCTGACGGGCCGACCTTGAGTATGGTACCATCGGTAATGTTATTCTTGGGTGGTTACTTTTGCCGGAGGGGTCCGACGGCCATTGACAAGGTAGCTGACCTACCTCCAACCTCATTGATGGCGCAAACATACAATACGACATTCATCCGGCCTGCCTTTAGACTACGGCGTCTTTCCTTCTTCTACATTCTTCGTACAGATATTGATATCTAGATATATCTCGTTATCGTTGCCGTTAACGACAAACCTTGAGCATCACCGAGATATCCAGATGCTGTAATCAAGAACCTGTCACATCTTCTGTGCTTACACATTGTATCTGGTCCATATCGTCCCCCAGATTTCTGTGAACACGCCACTATAATTTGGTCCGGACACGAGGTTTCCTATACTGATCTTACCGCACACCGCATCATGGGTTGCGGCGGCTCCAAATTGAAAGGAGACGACGTGCCCAACGTGAACAGCCAGCCCGTCCCTGTCAACCAACCGTTAAAGAAAGTCAACACCAATTTCTCGACCATCGACTACGACCAGAACGTCCAGGCTCAGCACCGACGACTAACCGAATATGCGCCGCACGAGACAGCCAGGGCGCCATCGCTAAAGCACGACATGCCCGTCTCAGCGACCGAGCAGCAACAGAACCAGGAATCATCATTTGCGACAGAGACGTTCGGAGCTGATGGTACCGGAGGCGTCGGAAGCACTCCCGCCGCTGGCTATCCTCACGACGGGCTAGGCTCACAGGCCGGCTTGCAGAGGGGTGGTAACCCTAATGACAACGGCGCGGCATTGAAACCCTATCAGACCAACGATCCTACGGACTGGGATAGAGACAGGGAGAACGGCCAGCTCCAATCTCAGCGCCATGACGCTCATCATCATCCAAGCACTACTGGCATGGGAGACCGTGATGGCGACCGCGATCCGACCTCATTACGCGCAAAGGACGAGTTCGCGGAGGAAAATGATCCTGCCAATCAAAGACATGGGCACCATGATCTTAACGGTGACCGTGGTGTCGATGGCGAGCAGAACCATGACGGAGCCGCCGTCGCCGCAGACTTTGATGACGATGACGACGAAAACAAAAAGTCCTGGCTCGGCCAGAAGTACGCTTCGTTCCAATCGGCTAAACAGGGCACGGGCGTCTCAGACGACGACCTGAAAACCTACACGGGCAAGGACCGGGCAGAGTTTGACGACTGGGCTGCGAATCAGCCTGGCGTTGGTGGGCGGCAGGCTTCGGGAGTGGCAGGATCGCATGGAGCGTATGTTGCGCCTTATGCTCCGAATTGAGGTATACACCTGTGTCTAGCTGGAAGCGTTAATTGACAATCTCGGGAAATGGAAGGAGGGGCATGTAATATCATTCTGGCCATCGAGGGCGTACGTTTGGAATCATCGTCTTTACGGGAGTAAATGAGTATATATATGGAGATCTAGCTCAGTGGGAAAAGCACGGATGGTTGAACAATGCTGACTGCAGAACAAGTGATATTCAAATCATGTCAAGACATATACTTTTCATTCGTGTCATATCGGCGCCAATTCTGTCTCTATGACAGCTACTACGTGCCCCTGTCGGGTGGAAAACAATGGTCCCGTTGAGCGGGAATGCTCTTCACTTGCTCATATCTGAAGGACATAGACTGCACCATCGCCTTGGCCTTCACTTTCTTCTGAAAAGCCAGGCATATCTAGACGATCCCAACGCCCGCTCCCTCGACCCTTGCAGAACTCTTTGCGCTCTAAATCTGCTTGAATGACAATCCATCGTCATGAACGTCACAGATCAACAAAAGATGCCGAGACATCCCGACTCTGTGCCCTGTAATCAATGAGTCGATATCCATTCTACCGTTCTCGTAAGTTTCATCGCTTGATACACCGATGGACCCTCTCTCGGCCCCGAACGGCGCTGGGGTATCGTTATGAGAGACACGCTCTGTGTCTCCAAGTTGTCTTCATTTATGCTCTTCTGATATAGTCTTCTAGCTGGCTGACGCAGCTTCTTTGGACTTTCCTTTATCGGCCTCCTGAGCGATAGAAGTGCTCGATGAGCGTTGATCGTCCCGATAGAGATGATTTTGTTCGATATACTCCACAACAGGAGCAGGAATGAGATATTGTACGCTCATGCCTCTTCGCAAGAACAGTCGTATCTTCGTGCTGCTGACGTCATTTTGTATCAGTTGCTGAATAACATGTATGTTTTCGCGATAGTTCCCAAGACTGGCCAAGGCCTCGTCGATATCTGTGCCAGAGCGTTCGATGATGAAGGTGCCGTACCGTCCAAGGATATGATCCAGATCCTTTTCACTCCAAACTCCTGGGGTTGACATGGTCTGAATCAAATCAGCACCCGCAAGAAGGGCAATTTTCAGAGGTTTTCGATTGCCGTCGCCTGTATCGATGCCCTTGCGGAGGACGTTTATCTCGTGATCGAAGTGATCAAGCACCTTCGCGGTCGGTTGGTAATCCTTTTTCTCCGCCTCCCAGGTATCAACCATGAGCCAGTTGGATGCCTTGTCGATAGCAAGTTGGCACATCGCAACTCTATCCAGGTATGTCAGCAGTCAAACAATGAGCTATGGGACCAAGAGGCTTACCTGTGCTCTGCGGGAGCCAAGCCTTGCTTCTTGTAGGCGTCCGACACGGGTGACAGATATCCGCCCACCATTTCAAAGTCGGTGTTGTGTTTAACATAGTCCGCCGCCATGACGAACATGCGCAGATGCAAGAAGGTGATGGGAGAGAAGGAGCCGCAAGCAACAAGAAGAAGTGGTGTCTTGGATGCATCATCCATCTTCTTCTTGAGCCGGGAGTCCGGGAAGTGGTACTCGTCCATCTTGTCGCCGTCCCCCGTTATCGCTTGTAAAACAGTGGACCGCCTCTGCGAAAGCAAGTATTTATTCCTTTTATAGCACCGGCGAAGTGGTGAGGACGATGAATGGAGGACCGAGGGAAGTGTTGTTGATTTGTCAGTGAAGACCGTTGTCACTGTTGTTTTGGAGACGGGTGAGTCGGCAGGCGGGGTTACTGCCGACAGAAAGCGATGGCCGGATGAAGGGACACAGTGAAGCGACAGCCGTTGAGAGCAATAGATGCTGATCGAATTCGTCGTAAGGAGAGGTCGAGAAGGGCGACTCAGCATCTCAGGGCTTCATGGCCCTGGGAGTTGTGAGAGTAGTAATCGGGGGTGGCAGGGAGTGTTGGATGGGTGCTGTGGAGGTGGTTGATAAGTAAAAAGGTGGGAGCTGTGGTTTTTCTCTCTGCCAGAAAGCGGCGCCGGGCTTCAGTTTCCGGCTGATTTGTCGTTGGAGAAGACGCCTCTGTCTCCGAGCACCGGGGCGCAGGCCACGCAGACTGCCCAGGCTCAAGGTTTTTCAGCGAGACTTTGCGGCGCAGGCTAGTTGGCGCTGGGGCCTATCTTAGTACGAGGGGAAATCGGGCGACAGAGTGGGGGAACAGATGGAAGAAAGGAAGACAAGCACCGGGACCCTGATGGATGATCGGACTTGGGGTCTTGTTGTTCTATGGTTGACACTTCAAAACAAAGAGCGATGAAGACCACGACGCAATAATTGCAAAGATGCTATAATAAATTAATGCGGGTAGCTCAAACGTCGAAGATCTCATACTATGAGATATATGCAGGGTCCTCAATATGATGTCTTTGGCCATGTTGTGCTACGTAGCCCTTCAAACCACATGTCATTGATCTTAAGAACCAGCACTGTGTAGTACTACTCCCCACGGCAGTCGAGATTGACAAGGATAAAGGTTCGTACTTCAAGATCATTCATGTCGGCTTGCATTTCCTACAACATCCATTTTGCTTGACCAGCGAGTCCGCGGGATGCCGCACGAGTATTGTGGACGTCATGCTGTTGACCATACTAGGTACCTAGATAGGCTCCTAGGCTTCAGCCGTAATTGATTTCGGCGAGTCTCTTAGTCATACAGTACAAGCCTAATTTGCTTCAACCGTGCGGAACATCTTTGGGCGTGTCTAGGTGTTGATGACAATGAATGACGGTACCTGTTCTACAGGGACCACTAAGACCTTGTGTGTCTCACCCGTGGACAGAACATACTACACCTTCTTTTGGTCCTTTCTAAGCCGGTGGCTAAGGCGACTCTAAGCTTGGCTTACAAATAGGGACAGGTTGGGGGTTTGGCGGGCAATATGCATTTTGTCCTCATGAGGTGGGAGGCGGGATCGGCTTCGAGGTGGCCTCCGAAGGCATCTTTTCATGGTCACGAGGACGTGACAGTGACACTGGCTTGTCCTCAAAAGCTGAACTGATGTTTAGAAGAAAAAGGCGCCACGGTTGATTCAGGAGATTCGGTGTTCTTGAGATACACCCGCGACATATATTGAGAATGTCAACAATCAACCAAGCGGGCCTGTGTAACCAGCAAGAGATAACCAAAGTGTTGAAGGACGGAGAGAGGATGATGGTCTTTATAATAACGAATAATGCGGCTACACGATGGATTTCCGGCCGAGACCAGCAGCCACTCAGATTTAGGCTTGTCGGGCGCCATCGTTTAACCCCAGCGGTTGGATTGCCGACGTCGTTTCTGAATCTTCGTCCTCCATATACCCAGATTGACTTGACTGATCCATACCGGTGCAAGAGACATATCACTTTCCAATGTCTCTGCACTTGATATCTAATACTTGATATTTGTGTCTCTAGCATTCCTGTCTACTTGCATTGATCCCTTCTTCAGCGACACGCCGCCCTTTCGATGGCGGGTTAAGCATGGCAAACCTGCCCGCACGCTCTTCAGACTTCCACCTTACGACCGGACATTCAGCAGGACCATCTGCTCACGACCATCAACTCGCTACTTCCCATTCACCGTCTCCACGCAGACACAGGTACATCCACCTTTACTGCCTTTGATTGCACCTCTTCACTCAAAACCTCCTTGTTTCTTGGCTGCGAAACCTTCCGCTGCCTCGCTTGCCTTGCCTTTTGTTAAGACACCGCAGTCCTCCCAATCTTTACACATCAAAAAATCTCTCTTTTCTGCAAAAGACTTTTCTTTTCTTCCTTCTATCTTTTGAAAGCGTCACCTGATGAGACCCGTTACTCATGTCTCGCAGAGTCACTCGTTCTGCTGCGAGGCTCGCCGCAGAGTCCGCCGCCCCGACCACTCCTACACCCGAAACCACTCAACCTTCACAGCCCCCTGCAACCTCTACGAGAAAACGCAAAGCCCCGTCCCGTCGAGCCTCTGATCCCACCGACAAGTCGGAAGAACCAAGCCCTGCATCAACCCGTCAGGGAACCAAAAGACAGAAGTTGGTCGAAACCACACCGACCCAAGTTTCCCCCGCACAATCTGTTCCTAGAACCACCCGGCGAAGAGGTGTGACGAACGAGTCGGCAATGTCTAATAATGCGTACGTCGGCAAAGAGTACGGGTCATGAGGTCGGAGGCTGACAAGGATAGTTCATCTTCCAAATACACGGACGAAGCCACAAAGCAAACATCGTCGAAGTCAAGTTCCAGACGCACTTCAAGTAGGGGTAACAAGAAGACGCAGCCCGGTATGCAAGTCCTGCTCCCCGGCCATACAGATTTGCTAATCTCTTTGCTAGACATCTCCCCACCGTCTGAAGCACTTCCAAATCGAAAGCAGAGAAAACGTTTGACCAAGAAGGGACAAGATGTCAACATGAAAGAAGACGGAGAGGACAACGAGAAGTCTTCAAGAAGAGACAAGGAGCAAACTCCACCACCTAATCGATCTAACAGCGATAGCAACGACGACGACCCCCACAGCGCGATGGAGGACGATGACGGTGGCCTTGATCCATTCTCTGCAGCCCTATTTGGGTCGAGCCGTGGTGCACCTTCTGGTTTGTCCAGCACGCTGAGAGCCCTAAGTGGAATGATGAGCGGCATGTCATCCAGACTCAGAGACATCTTGAACAATCTCCGACAGGTCGATAATCCTACTATGCAGATGGTGGCCCTTGAAGAATTGTCAAATCTCCTCTTGGTCTCCAACGAAGACAATCTATCTGGTCAGTTTTCGCCAGATCCTTACGTTAAAGAGCTGGTGGCTTTGATGCAGCCGAATCCCATCACAGGCGAAGAAAATCCCGAAGTGATGCTGCTGGCCTGTCGTTGCCTTGCAAACCTAATGGAGGCTTTACGAGGCTCTGTTGCCAACGTGGTATATGGTGGCGCGGTCCCTGTTCTCTGCCAAAAACTGCTTGATATTCAGTACATCGACGTCGCTGAGCAGGCCTTGAGCACGCTCTCCAAGATTTCAGTGGACTTTCCAGGATCGATCGTTCGCGAAGGCGGCCTGACCGCCTGTCTCCAGTTCCTTGACTTCTTCGCCACTGGTACGCAGCGCACTGCGGTGACCACAGCGGCAAATTTATGTAGAAACATTCCGGACGATTCGTTCCCTGTTGTTCGAGACGTCATGCCGATTCTCTTGAACGTCCTGTCAAGCCACGACCAGAAGGTTGTCGAGCAAGGCTGCCTTTGTGTCACTCGAGTCATTGACAGCTTCAAGCACAGCCCTGAAAAGCTTGAGCAGCTGGTGGACCCGCCACTGCTTCGAGCCATCTTAGGTCTGCTTCTTCCCGGCACGACGAATCTGATCGGAGCAAACATTCATACAGAGTTTCTACGTGTGCTGGCAATCGTTGCTCGGGCGAGTCCTCAGCTCTCTATGGAGTTATTAAAGATGAATGTTGTGGACACTCTGTATCAGATCCTCACAGGTGTTTCTCCACCATCCGATACTACAAATGCCGCCTTCAAGATTGACAGTGTCGTGATCATGCAATCTCTCATTCACCGACCTCGAGAACAAGTGTTTGAGACCCTCAACGTCATCTGCGAGCTACTTCCACCTCCACAAGTGACAGGCGACGCGAGTTTTGATGTTCACGACGACATGGAAGATGATTATTCGGAGGACGGCGATCAATCGAGCAGACCTTCGCGAGCAGAAAAGAGAAGAACGTTGTTGGAAGATTGCAAAGAGGAAACACGCCGGTTCGCGATGATTTTGTTGCCAACGCTCACCGATGCTTATTCCAGCACTGTCAACCTGAGCGTGCGCCAGAAAGTGCTCACCGCTCAGCTGAAGATCCTTTCCAACCTCGAAACCTCTGTCATTGAAGAGGCACTTCGGCCAGTACCGTACGCCTCTTTCCTTGCTTCTATCCTGTCTCAGGAAGATCATGCCAGTCTGGTGATGTTCGCCCTCCAAGCATCCGTTCTGCTTTTCCAGAGACTTGAAGGAATTTATCAGTATCAATTCCATCGAGAAGGGGTCATTGGAGAGATTAAGAAACTCGCCAACAGACCCGTCTCTCGCGATGCAAGAACAATCCTACGCCCCGGAGATGACCAGACTGGTGCTGCTGGTACCAGCACTGACGCCAATGGCACCTCACATAAATCTGACGACCTCAGAGCTACGCTTGCCGACCAGCCTGATGATTATCTAGCCAACGACGATTACGGAGGGGGCGACGAAGATGACGAGGAAGATGATGGTGAGGATGACCCAGAAGACGAGGACAACGATGACGAGCGCGAAGATGAAGAAAATGCCGCGAGACATCATGATGATGTGGATGATTCACAGAGCTCTGATTCATCAGACGAGGAGCACCTGCCATCGGCCTTGACATCCTCTGGACTATCGGACCAGGTCATCAAGCGAGCGAAGAAATTCCTCGAACAATACGACACGGCGAAGGGTAGAGAGATGAAAGAAAAAGCTCTCAACATTCGCAGCGATCTTCAGAAACTGGCTGGCGACATCCAAGAGTACTATCGTCAACCACATCCTATTGACACAGGGAATGATTTGTTCGTACGTCTCGCCAATTACTTCCATGGTGATGCACTTGAAAGCATAACGAGCTCGGAACTTCTGGACTCCGGAGTTATCCGTGTGCTGGTGCAGGTGCTCTCTGAGGATCCTTTGATGGCCGAGAATCAATCTCGGGCACATTTCGTGTCAGCCTTTATGGATTCCACCAATGAGGCGCAGATCAAGACTACCGCTGCATCTTCTGCGACCGCTTTCAGCGTGCTGATCCAGAAATTGCAAGATCTGCTCAGCCGTGCAGAACACTTCGAGGTCCTCACTGTCAACAACAACGCATCTGAGAGCAGCAGGAGCAGCTCTACATCGATGCTCTCGCGGCAACTTCGTTTGAGGCTATCGGCAGATGGTGATAGTGACATTCCTCCGTCATATCGCGAGATGATCGTCTCCATTCATGCAATCGCGACATTCAAAGCACTGGACGACTATCTGCGACCTCGATTTAGCCAAACCGATCGACCTTCGGCTCAGCGACGTCGAGACATGCTTCAGCAATTGGCCAATGCTCGACTTGCTCATCTCTCTGGCGCCGCAGAATCAGGGCTGTTGTCCCCATTCGGGCACGATCTCCGCTCCCCTGCTACCCCGGGCAATGCTGCATCACGGGTCTCGTCTCAGGTCAAACAGAAATCTGAAGAGGCACAGACACCGGCTGAAAAGAAACCTGAGAAAACCGAGCGCAAGCGGTTGACTCGACGCGGCCAAGCATCATCTTCGAGTCAGCAGTCTGCTCACCCACCGGAGCCAAGCACAGAAGACGAGGGAAACAAGCTCGAATGTGCCGATGAAAAAGTCCTTGATGACGAAGAAGGCCATGGTGATGACGATGAGGGTGCGCTTGAGGCTTTCGTTGACGATCTGGACGGGGAATCTGACGATGATACGCCTGAACTTGGTGCTGTCAACATGGAAGTCGGCTCGACTGGAAAGGTGACCGCCCGTCAAGAAGACGGTACCAGAGTCCTCACACCTCAACCCGGGACCCCGGTTCCAGGAACTACTCGTCCGCCTTCCTCAGGACAGTCTCCAGCTCCGTCCCCAGCGACCACGCGTGCGTCATACGCTTCAGCCCTTGCCTCTACTCCACAAGATTGGCACGTCGAATTCAGCATCGATGGTAAGATCATACCCAACAACACAACCATCTATCGAGCCGTTCACCACAACCGTAATCAACCTCAGGATCTTTCGTCACGCAGCGTGTGGTCAGGTGTTCATACCATCAAATTTAGGAAGGCTCGAGGGCCGCCACCGAATCCCTCCAGCCTTCCTGCCTGGGGCGAGACTGACAAGCAAGGTTCAAGCGACGGCCTGCCAGCGTCTCTCAACGGTCACCCCATCACTTCATCGATACTTAGTTTGCTTCGACTTCTCCATGAGCTCAACGCGGACTTGATTGAAGTCAAGGAGGTCCTTGGAAAACCCGATCTGCAACTCTACAAGGAGCCCCTAGCGTCGTTCATTAACACCAAGTTGACAGCCAAAATGAACCGACAGCTGGAGGAACCACTGATTGTCGCCAGCAATTGTCTTCCTGAGTGGAGCGAAGATCTTGCCAGGTCTTTCCCTTTCTTGTTCCCATTTGAGACGCGACACCTCTTCTTGCAATCTACTTCCTTCGGATACTCACGCTCCATGATTCGCTGGCAAAACAGCCAATCTGAGAATGATGATCGTCGTGACCGTCGCCGAGATGATCGGCAAATTCTCGGCCGGCCTCAACGACAGAAAGTGCGAATCTCTCGCCATCGGATCTTGGAGTCGGCCATGAAAGTTATGGACATGTATGGCGCGTCCCCAAGTGTCTTGGAGGTCGAATACTTCGAGGAGGTTGGAACTGGTCTTGGTCCAACGCTGGAATTCTATTCAACCGTCTCAAAAGAGTTCTCGAAGAAAAAGTTGAAGATGTGGCGTGAGAACGATTCAGCCGACGGCGAACAATTTGCATTCGGTAAGAATGGACTCTTCCCGGCCCCAATGAGCCAGGGCAACGCAAACACCGAGGCTGGCAAGAAATTGTCGTTGCTCTTCAAGACTCTTGGAAAGTTCGTGGCACGGTCGATGCTTGACTCCCGCATCATTGACATCGCATTCAATCCGACCTTCTTCAAAGTGGGCGCCATTTCGCATATGATACCTACAATCGCCTTACTGCGTACTATCGATCAGGACCTCGCGAATTCTCTGTCTCAGTTGCACCAGTTTGTTAATGCAAAGACAAAGATTGAACTTGACTCGTCCATGACGAAGTTGGAGAAGCAACAAGCCATTGATGATCTTACCATTCGCGGTGCTAAAGTCGAAGACCTCATGCTTGATTTCACCCTCCCAGGCTATCCAGACATCGAGCTCGTGGAAAATGGCTCTGAGATCGGAGTCACCCTGGAAAATGTTCAACATTATATCGAACAAGTCCTCGACATGAGCCTTGGACGCGGAGTACGGACACAGATTGAGTCATTCCAAGCAGGATTCTCTCAAGTCTTTTCTTACGCTACACTGAAAGCATTCACTCCCGATGAGTTGGTCATGATATTTGGACGCGTGGAGGAAGACTGGTCGATAGAGACTTTGATGGATTCCGTCAAGGCGGATCATGGCTTCAACATGGACAGCAAGAGTGTCAGAAACCTCCTTCAGACCATGGCCGAGATGAGCCCGCCTCAGCGACGCGAATTCCTGATGTTCGTCACCGGAAGCCCTAGACTGCCAATGGGCGGTTTCAAGAGCCTCACCCCCATGTTTACCGTCGTGTGCAAACCTTCGGAGCCACCTTACACCTCAGATGACTATCTGCCGAGTGTGATGACCTGTGTCAACTATCTGAAACTGCCAGACTACACCTCACAAGCTGTCCTGAAAGAGAAATTGTTTGTGGCAATCCGAGAGGGTCAAGGAGCTTTCCACTTGTCTTGAGCTAGGAAAACGAGATTATTTGCAGGCCACTGGGCAGACTGAGGCTGGGCAGACCAATTTGAAGTCGAGGGGCCGTCAGGACTGGATTCGCTCTGCTTTACGGATGGTAAAATGGAGCGTTCGAGAAGCACTAGGTGGAGCTGTGATAAAGCAACCCGCCTAAAGGGCATGGGAAAAACGAAATGAAGAAACGGACCTTTTTTCAGGAATGGAGCTGGCATTGCGCGGGGCGGGCTTGGTTCTGTTTCAAGGCGACTTCCGTCACGAACACCTGATGTTTCGCCCTGGGAACGTATGGTTGCGCCATGGGAAAAGAGCGATCACTGGCTCTGCCTGACGAGAGGATCCATCAAGGACATCGTGATTGTCCCATGCATTATGAAAGATCACATAGCCTTCAACCACAGTTAAGCATGTTTAATCAGAGCATATCTACTCAGTCCTTCAGGGGTATAGAATTTTCAATCGTAAACATTCAAATGCGGAAACCACCAAAGCAATTTCGCCGATGTATGTCGTTTGCTATGTATGAAAATACCAATTGTAGCCAATCTGGAAGCATGTCAAGTGATTTCAACCCCGGCGAGAAGTCTGAGGAGAATAACTCGCTTTGGGTTTCGAAGGACTCGTCACGCCCGTTCGGCCTCTCGTTCCTCGGATCTGGAACCTCCCCTTGAAGTAGTAGATCTAGAAGACGCAGAGCCGGACCTTCCAGGCCACCGCTGGCCGTCTACCTGGGAAACTGGCTGGGCGCCCCCCTGGTTCTCCACCGACCGCAGTGATCCCTTCCTGCTGCCAAGCCCACGCCTGGTGCTGTGCCTGCTCCCACTCCGACTCATGCTTTCGCTCCTGCTGCTGAACTGCGACAACTTCTCGCTCTGGATCTGCTTGATGAGTGCGTGGCGGCGGAGATTGCGCAGCGCCACCAAGAGCAGAGCAAAGTGCGACGTCCAGACGAAGCAGCCAAAAACGATGCCTCCGATCTGCAGCGTGCCGACGTGATACAGCACAGGCTCGCACTCGCGGGCAAAGATGTTGAGCATGGTGCATGGGATGACGCCGGACGAGGCGCGCATGGCAGGCCGCCAGAAGCGGAAGAGCGAGCCGTAGCCGGCAAGGAACAATGCTGGAAACAAGGTGAGGAGAAGCAGTGTTGATACCACGGCGTGGACGAGCTGTGAGCGTTTGGGACCCAGAGTCTGCGTCTGCATCTTTTGGAGGCTAGGGAGCTTGGGGATGAAGGGCAGGATGAGGACGACGGTGTGGTAGATCAGCGCGACGGTGAGTGGGCCGAGAGGCACGCCGTCGGTCCAGTCGCCGCGGGATGGACCCGTGCTGTGGAAGAAGTTGTGGTTCCATTGTGGGATGGCCGCTGCAAAAAGCGAGAGGGCAATCAAGCTGGCTGTCAGGCTGGTTCCGTGCAAGATCATGGTTAGCTGGCGGCGGAAGCGTTGTTGAGGGCCATTGGCATGAGGCGGTGAGTCGTTGGCCGGATAATTCGGTGTGAGGATGAGGGTTTTGGTAAGCATTGTCGGTTGTATTTGGAATATCCTTCGTAGCTCGATTGGTGCTGTCGGTGATCGGATGATTTTGTGATATGTTGAGCAGGTGAGGTACTGTACGTGAAGTCGTGTAGATATCGTGATGTCGTATGATTATGCCTTAGGAGACGGTTGTGATCTTGGCCAGCAAGATCGAATATGCAGTAAATGAACGATGCAGAAATGAATGAACCTGCGAACAAGAACTAGAAATGCACAGCACTAAAAAGTACGTCGATGGAAGCAGTGAAGAAATGAAGAAATGAAGAGGGAAGAACAGACAAACATAGATGAAATGGGATACTCATAGCAGTGCGTCGTGGACACATTTAAAATCACATTGCGGATGGTGAGGATGCCGAGTAGAGTTCTGAGACGGTTCGTGAAGGAAGAACGTGTGAAGCGTGACGAGGCCCGAATCAATTGTGAGCAGACGCGCAGGGCGTGATCAAACATGAAACAAACCCTGTGAGAGGAGGTCAAGTGCGGTGCTGCACTTGAAAGTTGAGACGCGTTAGAGATTGATTGGTGCCCAAGCCAACAGGACCGTTTTGCCGTGAACTAGTCCGCGGCGGCGATGCAAGACCGTTGTTCGTATCGTATTTGAGGACTGCAAAGCAAATCCGAAAAGAGCCTAGGGAGCCCGAATCAAGCCCCGTCATGCCTTATTCAGTCTTCCATCATTCCTACTCGTAGTAGATTTGGCGCCTTGGACGGTTGGACCTATCCCTAGGTAGGGTTCGCATTAGGGTTCCCACCATTGCCCGTTCTCCCGGCGGATCATCCAGACAATGGATCCCTCTCGAGGCTGCCCAACGGCACTTGATGATCGCTTAACGTCCTGGTCTGACTACTTCCTTGCTATCTTGGCAGCAATGCGGCGGGGAAAAGCCCAATTGGAGGGAAAAGCTGGATGCAATAAACCGCCGACAACGGTGTGCGCAGTGGGTGCAGTCGGATTGAAGCGCAATTGCAGGAGTCGGTCACAAGTCGCAAGGGGAAGCATACCATGGCCCCGTTACCGAGTCCAAGCTGAGCAGACAATGTCACAGTCTTCATCAATCATGTGCTTGTCGACGCTTCGTTGCCCATCGTCTGTTTTGTTTTCCCACCGTGTAATCGACTTGAATCCATTTGATTCGCGACATGGCCTCTTCACCCATCAGGCTGCGAGATTCACCCACTGATGTGCAGCGCAAGCTTGGCCTGACCAACCGGCAATTTGACAACTTCAAAAACTTCGCCAGGCAGAGCCATCACGAGTATTGCGCACGACATCCTCATTCCAGATGGGCGGATGTGGACGTTGTCTGGACAGCGGTGCCTGAACAAGAGAAACTGGCCGTCATCCGACTGATGTACAACCTGTGCATGGAATCCGACTTGTTCTCCCCTACCACCGGACGAAGCACCATCGAAACAGGCATCGAGCAGCGGCTGCATCAAGTGCGAAGAACCTGGCAACAAACATTAAGGACGAGAACCCGACCGTCAGCATAGGCTGGGGATCAAGATGACCGAGGCTGCATGGAGCGGTTGTCCCTGGCGGACAATTTGGACCTACCTTCTCCCTGGAGAGACACTCACCAACTGATTACCCTCTCCAAGCTACTGCAAGGATGCGACTGTCGCAATGGATGGCCCGATCCTCGAAAATCTCATCTGATTCCCATGTCACCCATTCGTATCGAGGATCGAAGAAATGTACGCGGATTTCCAGGAGGATAGGAAGACAGAGTGCTGGTCTCGATATCCTCAAATTGCGAGCATTTCTCGAGCGCAGGAAGAACGCCGGTGAGACGGCTGATATGTTCCGCACCTCCAGCCAGATGATAAAGACGGAGGAAGTTGATAATTTGAGTCGGTACGGCTGAAGATGGCGCTGTCATACCTAAATGGCGCCAAGTGAGGTGCACTAATTTGTGCCGTCGATTGAAGTGGGCAAGATGTGTCAAGCAGATTAATGATGGTTGCACGGCCAGGATCGATCGTTTGGCCAGCATCTTCGGCCCGCGCTGCGGGCTGATCAGCCGTTTATTGCGCCCACTAACTTACGCCGTGCTGGGACACCCGCAGATACAGTAAATGGATGCCGCTGAGAATCAGTTGGCAGCCCCGTTCATCCCTATTGATCGTGTCAGAACTTTACGACCCCTCGAGTTCTTTTCTTGAGCTGTTTGCAGCATGCAAGGAGTCGGAACATCCGGGGGCGGCCGTTTCATCAGGAGACCCCAATTGACCTTACGCATGATTGCAATTGAGCATCACTGTCTTTCAGTGCAGCTTCGCTACAGCAACGTTTCTTTGTAGGGCTAGATGGCCGCCATATCTGACCTGAGTGCTAGACTGTTGTACCGCTCACGGTAGACTTAGTTGTTGAGATCGAGAGCACATCTGCACCGTGCGATTGATGGATCCTGACTTCAGCTTTTCGTACTCGTCATTCAGCAGCTAAAGGTCGGCTCAAGAAGCAGATTGGAAGGGGTGCTCCAGGTATTACGCGTTAGCTTGCCGTCTCATTGTTGAGAATGACCGCGATGGCGAAACGTGTAACGCCGTACTCTTGCCTGCGACGGTCATGGCACGCAGCATATCATGGTTTATTCTGGGGACTCGGGAGTGCTAGCAGTATCATCGCTATATGCGCACCAATCTTCTCCTTTGCCTTTGCGGTGTTAGTCTGGACTCTGGAGAACTCAATGCGGCTGGCTTGCTGGGGAGAAAACGACTGGACGACTGCTAAGGTTTTCTGCAGCCTCCCCTTGCAGCTAGTAAGAACGAAGAGCGGATGATCTGCAGATGACGGCCGCCAGGAACATGTAAAAACGCCAGTCTCGGGTGGCTGTGGGTGGAAGCTAGCATGCATCATACAGTAATTAGCAATAGACAGTTGAGCCATTGACGATGCTTCAGCCAACAAATCGTACTGACCGGCTGGTTGAATGGTGATGGACCTCCGTTCAAGAGCCCTTATCTGGCAACAAGAGAAGGCGATCAGTCTGCGTACTAGTCAGAAAAAAGATCTTGAGCGGCGAAGTGGAAGATTTTGGGGGCCTGGCGGCAATAAACGTTCGATGCGGCTCCCCCGGAAAGTCAAAAGGATGCGCCTCCCGCCCCTGTCAATATGTGACGCAACTGCCTAAAAAACTTTCTGACGTCTATTTGTGTAATGCGCGTGCTCCGTGACCTGTTTCAGCGTTAGATGTAGTAGAACTTCACCAACATTGACACCTTTCACCACTCGAACGCACACCACAGTACCACAGTGTATCTGCTCGTTACTACCAACATTATGCAACTTTGAGCGATTCCTTCCACCAACGAACCCTCAATGCCGGCGCATATCCAAGTCGAACCGTCTGTAAACACTTACCGCCTCAGTCCTTCATGATCGTCGTCGGAACCTTTCACACACTTCATATGTTGCTATGACTGAGCAAGACTTGAGAGACTCTGTAGGCCATAGTGGCTGCAACAAAACATGGCAGACGCGCTGGCTCCTGTCGTGACAACAGCGATAGACTATGAAGCGGCTCCCGTCGCTGATCCACCACCCACACACTTTCCATACCCGACTAGAAAGAGCTCGGAAGGGACTGTCTCTCCGATCGGGTCGGACTCTACATTGTACGACGCTCCTAATGACCATGCAGACACGAAGGGCTCCAAAGCACTGCGAGATGGGATCGCCGCTAGACCCGTGCTGGCCGCCCGAAAGTTCGACACAGAAATCGCACGCCCAGTGGCACAGAGGTTGCCTCCTCCTACAAGACTGCACGTTTCCACCATCAACGAGCGAGTTGATACTGTCCCACGGGATGCTGTAGGATCAAGCGATTCCGAGGGCTGGAGCTCTTCAGACGACGAATCATCTGAGCATTTGCAGAGGCTACAACCGGCTCCACATGGGCACCAAGACAATCCCCTGGCAAAATCCCATCTCAACCGAGTCCGAACTTCACCAAGACCCTCAAATCTCCGAGTCGGGAACGAGTTCATCCAATCTAGAGGCCGTGTCGCCAAAGACGGCAGACTGAACCTGTCAATCAATGAAAAGGCAAATTCTGGGTACCTGGCGAAAGCCCTGGGTGCTACCATCAAACGTCATCTGGGCACCGACCATTCCCAAGATGACAAGGATGCTGAGCAGGCAGCGGCCAATTTTGTGGAAACGAAGCGTAATATGCAGTTTCCAAAAATGAACATTGTCATAATGGTAATCGGCAGCCGTGGTGACATACAGCCGTTCTTGAAGATCGGCAAGATTTTGAGGGACAAATATCACCATCGTGTGAGAATTGCCACGCATCCCACCTTCAAAAAGTTCATCGAAGAAGACATTGGTCTTGAGTTCTTTTCCGTGGGAGGTGATCCTTCCGAGCTCATGGCCTTTATGGTCAAGAATCCTGGACTTATTCCATCTTTGGAAACAGTCAAGGCTGGAGAGATTGGAAGAAGACGAGATTCAATGTACCAAATGTTCCAGGGCTTTTGGAGGGCCTGCATCAATGCGACAGATGACGAGATGGACACAGCCAACCTGAAGATGATCGGATCAAAGCCACCGTTTATTGCGGACGCAATAATTGCGAATCCACCCTCTTTTGCTCACTATCATTGTGCTGAGAGACTCTCGATCCCGCTGCACCTCATTTTCACATTTCCTTATTCGCCTACCCAGGCATTTCCTCACCCCCTGGCCAACATCAAGTCTACCAATGTCGATCAGAGTTATGTGAACTTCATGAGTTATCCTCTTGTCGACTTGATGACCTGGCAAGGGCTGGGCGATCTTGTCAACAGATTTCGGGTGAAGACGTTGGGTCTGGAACCTGTCTCCACGCTATGGGCTCCAGGTCAACTTTCTCGTCTTCGAGTACCCGTTACTTACCTATGGTCGCCAGGCTTGGTTCCGAAACCTGAAGACTGGGGTCCAGAAATTGACATTGCCGGGTATGTCTTCTTGGACCTTGCATCGTCCTACAAACCACCGGAAGACTTGGCCAAGTTCCTCGAAAAGTCGGACGACGACCGCCCACTCATATACATCGGGTTTGGCTCCATCTCAGGCATAGCTGATCCCACAGCTTTCACCAGGATGATCTTCGACGCGGTGGCTAAAGCCAACGTTCGGGCGGTGATTAGTCGAGGCTGGGGTGGTATGGGCGACGGGATGGAGAAATCTCGCGGGGTGTTCATGATTGACAATGTCCCCCACGATTGGCTGTTCCCCCAGGTCGACGCCGTTGTCCATCACGGTGGTGCTGGTACTACCGCGGCAGGACTGAGGTTTGGAAAGCCGACAATGATCGTCCCCTTCTTCGGCGATCAACCATTCTGGAGTGCTATGGTGGCAAGGGCTGGCGCTGGCGCAAGGGAAGCCCTTCCACTGAAGAAGCTAGACAGTGTCAAATTGGCCGAAGGTATTCGACAATGCCTGGAGCCTGCTACCAAAGCAAAAGCTCAAGCGATTGCCAAAAGCATTGAATTCGAGGGAGACGGTGCTGAAAATGCGGTGGATTCTTTTCACAGAGCGTTGCCCCTGGATGGTGCTCACTCGATGCGTTGCAATATCTTCCCCAATCGTGTTGCCGCGTGGAAGGTCAGAAACACTCCTATCCAACTATCTGCCCTTGCAGCAGACGCATTGGTCGAAAATGGCGAGCTCCTGTGGCATGAACTTGAGTTGAGCAAAAATCGTGAATGGAATGATTTTCAAGGACCAGGAGAACCGATTACTGGGACTGGAGGCGTAGTCGTTCAGGCATTCCAAGAAGCATTCCATGGAGTTGCAGCCATGCACGAGCAGACCAAAAAAGATCTCAAACAGTATGAAAAGCGTAAACGCAAAAAAAAGGGAGGAGGGTCTGCCACGGACGCAGTGATCCTACCAGGAAAAATGGTTTACGCGGTACGAGGCGCGTCAGTTGAGCAGCAACGAAAGGATCACGCCCAGCTCGAAGCGCGCCTCAAACTTCAGGGCCAAGCAGAGCCCGTCAAGGTCCCTTTTTCTTCGTCCAGCTCTGATGGATCAAAGCTGAAGCGAGCCACCACAGCATCATCTGAACAGGGGCCTTCACCAGCGCTGGTCATTGCGAAAGATGTGGGCAAGGGTCTTGGTCATTCAACGCAGGCGATTGTCTCCCTGCCATTGCGAATGTGGAATGCGATGGCCCTTGGATTCCACAATGCACCCAGGCTTTACGGCGACAAGACAGTGCGACCTGCCCCTCAGAAACATATTGTAGGCTTCCGCACCGGTGTAGCCGCGGCCGGGACCGAATTTTGGTTCGGAATATACGATGGAGTGACTGGGCTTGTGCGCATCCCCTGGCTCGAGGTGCATGACGACGGTATATCAGCATTGCCCAAGGGAGTGGCAAAAGGGGTGGGCGGCGTAGTCCTGAAACCAATCTCTGGAGTCCTCGGTCTGGGTGCCTACACATTCAAAGGCGTGCATCAGGGTATCCGGCGACGAGTGCTCGACACTGAGAAGACTGACCGATGGATTCGTCGGGCTAGAATATCTCAAGGACAACGCGATGCCGCAGCTCTGAAAGGAGACAACAGGACCATTGGAGATCGGTCGTATAATCCGAGGTCAGAGATTGTTGACATGCGCAACCACGCCCATCGGCAATGGACGGAGTATAAGCCCAAGGTGGTTGAAGCCCGCGAAAAGAAGAAACGCACGACTCTAAAGGATCTGATGCATGGTAAGAAGGGCCATGACTTGAGGCACAAGCAACAATAATGAGACATGCGGGGATGGGTCGGGCATTCCCCAGACGAATCTTCAAATCGATCCTCCTACCCTTCGGTTTGTCATGGAATTGGGTGTTGGAATGTACAATATGCACCAATGAGCAGTTGCCGATAACAAGCGACAGGGGAGCAAGCACACTTTTGGGGACGGCAACGGGAAGCTATGCAGCGTGACGTTTTTTAACCTGCAAGGCATGTCATTTTCATTTTCACAATCAATACCCATTGTGTTTTTGTTGTGTGTAAATGAAACGGAACACGAGCTTACGCTGAAGGGGTTTAGCCAGGTCGAGCTTCATCAGTGTACAAGGCACCGGGTAAAATCAAGCCTTCGTCAGATGGCCGTGGACGTGGAGAAAAGACCAGCAATCCGGAAATCGAAGGCAGCTGCAAGGTACGGATACCGGATGCGCGAGAAAGCTCTAAGGTTTCCAAAGCAAGTCCCTACACTATGACCATGAATTCCAGTTAAGTTAGATCTTGTGCTCCGATTTCTTTTTGCTGCATGGTTCGGGGTGATGTTGGGGCGACAGTGTACCGAGTAGCACAAGCCCGCTATGAGGATCCAGTCAATAGTTGTTGGTACAGCACTCCATACGGATCGTTAAAGTGCGCGCGGTTGTTGCCGTCGACTGCTCTTTGTCGTCGGCAAAATCCATTTTTCGTACGGCCCTTCCTCGTCTGCTACGACCTATGTCACCCGTGTTCTTCATTTCTGTGTTTTCCTGCTTTTTGGTGATTTCAACCCGTAGTCGTGTTCGTCATAAGGCAGATCATCTTACCTGGGAAGATGATAGCTCGTGAACAAGGGTCGGGTAAAGATCTCAGGTCATTCAATGAGGAAGCATCGATCGAGTGGGTTTCTTATCTTGCGGCTTGCTTAAGTTCAGGCGGGCGGTGAATGGTTGGAAAGAGACGGAGCAAGGCGTGGATTGACAGTGGGGTGGAAGCGATAGTCGAGCGTCGATAGATCGAAGCGTGCCGCACACACACGAACCCTGCGCCGTTCTCGGGCGACGGGCGACCGCTGTTTGTTGGGGAGGGTTCCGATGTTAGGCACTGTTCTAGGCTATAGGAGGGGCTAATCTTTGACCACCTGCGAAATGGGCGGGCACGGCGGGGCAAAAGAGTGGTTGCAAGGGTCCCCGAACCTAACTTACTGCAGTAATGCTGAATGGCTGCGTGGGTGACAAGTTGGTTGCGCATGCGAGCTGGGAGCTGCCCTTCTCGCCGAGCATGGAGCTCCAATTGATGGGTTCGAAGTACATTTTATTTATTATCTGCTGGACTATCCTCCTCTTTCTTTGTTATCTGCCCTTCCACAGCTTCCAATTTCCCTACAGCTTGACTCTCCCATAGACCTGTTCAACTGTCCCATTGAACAGCTCGTTATCCCGGCGTCAATCACCTATTAAACCCGTCCTACACATTACCGTTCACCACAGCCCACCATGGTATGTCTCTTCAGCATAGCAGATGGTCGCCCGGACAATAGCGTCATCATACTGATTCTCTTCTCAGGCCGGCGTCGGTGAATCGACCGTTGTTTCCAATGCCACCAACGTGAGTGTTCCTGCCTGATGCTCTAGTCAGACCTTTCTACATGCTGCGCCAGTTCTGACAACCTCCCTAGTTGGCGAAGTACATGAAATTGGATCAGAAGGGCAAAGTCCTTGCTGAGTACATCTGGATTGATGGCACAAATGGTCTGCGTAATAAAACAAAGGCAAGCCTACATATTTCTTTGTCTCCATCTCACTCAGCACCACCGGTACGACTCTGCTTTCGGCACTCCAAGATGAGGTCTGCTTTCTCGACACTCGTCTCAACAATCATCAGTCCAGGAAATCCCGCAAGGCCACGACAAACGACCGGCTGCGCATTGCATGGGTGACCCCACGGTTGGGTCAATGCGGCATTGCGCTAGGGCGTGGCTCAACTTCGCCCTTCCGACATTGAGCCGCCACTCAACACACTCTATTTTTGCCAATTACACCTCACCCGAAACGATCTCGGCAGCCGGCAAACGACGTCCAACTGACCCTTGCGCCCGGCCCCTCGTAGCCAGTGAAATGCGGTGCAACGGCGAATTGACACATCTAAACTCATTTGGCTTGCAGAACCAATCTTTGACTAACTTTACCGTTTCTAGACCTTGAGCAAGGCCCCCTCGAGCGTCGACGATCTGCCGGAATGGAACTTTGACGGTTCCTCCACTCTGCAAGCCCCGGGCGACAACTCCGATGTCTACATCCGTCCCGTTGCCATGTTCCCAGATCCAATCCGTTTGGGCGAGAACGTTCTGGTCATGTGCGAGACGTGGGATCCCGATGGAACCCCCAACAAGTTCAACTACAGACATGAGGCGGCTCGTCTGATGGAGGCTAACGCCAAACACGACATCTGGTTTGGTCTGGAGCAGGAATACACTCTTTTGGGACCCGATGGCTGGCCATATGGCTGGCCCAAGGGAGGGTTCCCTGGTCCTCAAGGTCCTTATTACTGCGGTGTCGGCACTGGACGTGTCTACTGCCGTGACATCGTCGAGGCGCACCACAAGGCTTGCATGTATGCCGGTATCGAAATCTCTGGCACAAATGCCGAGGTCATGCCGGCGCAGTGGGAATACCAAGTTGGCCCATGTGAAGGCATTGACTGTGAGTCCTCCCGCAACCGTTTATGCCTACCGCTTGTACTGACTCGTTTCCATAGTGGGTGACCATCTTTGGGTCTCCAGGTGGCTTCTCCACCGCGTTGCCGAAGAATTCGGTGCCGTCGTCACCTTCCAGCCCAAACCCATCCCTGGTGACTGGAACGGTGCAGGTCTGCACACCAACGTTTCAACGAAAGAAATGCGTGAAGAGGGTGGTATGAAACACATTGAAGCAGCCATGAAGAAGCTTGACGGCCGTCACAAAGAGCACATGAAGGTCTATGGTGAAGGCAACGAGGCCCGAATGACGGGCGCCCATGAGACCTCAAGCATCGACAAGTTCACCTGGGGCATCGCCAACCGTGGCTCCTCTGTGCGTATCCCACGACAATGTGCTAAAGAAGGCAAGGGTTACTTCGAGGACCGACGACCTGCCTCCAACGGAGACCCATACCGTAAGTCTGAGTCCTCAACTCCTTTTCCTTTTTCATGAAGACGACTTGTTCTGACTCAGTCTCCTACTACAGAAATCACCGGCGTCATGGTCGAGACTATGTTCGGTTCCCTGCCGGAGGAACCAAAACCAGAATAGATATGATACTCAAGATTTGGATGGCAACGGGCGTTGGCTGGTGATGCAATAGTCGCTGATGATCAAGTCCGATGAAGTTTTTTGAGTCGCAGGTCGCAATGACAGCTGCGCTTTAGTTAGACAGCATTAGAGCCGACGCTGAATGAATGGTCACAGACGACCACAACTCACTTTATTGTCGTGCCAATACAAGTGAGAGTAACTACCTACCTGGTCCGTTCAGTCTGCAACCTCAGAGGTACCTACCGTACCTAGGTATGCAAGTATAGTACCTATTATTGGTGGTGAATTCCTAGGCACTTCCAACATGCAACAATCTCCTGCCCTCTATCGGTCAGTTGAACTCTTCCGCGCCTGCATCGACAACCACCCACAGTCATTCAGCCGACTCGTGTGAAAATAACATTCATGATCATTGCTCTCGAGCTTCAATGCTCTCTTCTGCAGCAGCATGAGCTTGACACCACTTTTATACTGGATCGAAAGGAGACTCCAGCAAAAGTCCATGGGCAATAAATCACACCTGGTACACCAAACTCCATATCGCCGCTCCTCTCGACAAACCACAGCATGGCAATCCGCTGACCAGCTCAGAGATGATATGGGACCAACGAAAAGGGAGGGAAGACTTCATGAACATCGTCAAGAGGCGTGAGAGGTTGTGGTATTAAGACAAAGGGACTGCCTGGGATAATGTTGACTGCAAGGCTGCATGATCTGTTTGTTCCGATGGCACTCGGCAGATCTTGCTATATCAAGGACGATTGAGGTACCCCTGGTTACTCGCTCACAAGGACCTTCCTGGCGTGGTACGAACGAAGTCGATACGACGACGTTCCTCTGCACACTCCGGTTGTCAGCCGTGAGGAGTACTCCAGTGAATCCATTAATCTCCTGATATCAACTCTGGAGCAAGCCTGACGGACGCCAGATCGTGCAGAGCCAGCAAGACCCATTCATGCCGGCTGGACGGCCACGACCAGCCTACGGGGATCATGTCAGCAGGGAACTGCTCAAAAAGACATACCTCATTCGCAGGATGCATTCAGGGACGGAGATGGTCGACCATGCTATCTGTATTGCTGTGGGGCTAAGGGGCGAGAGGCATGCGGTATACGCCGATCTGGCATTAGGCTGGACTGTGCATACAGGCTTCCCCAAGCTTAACGTATCAACCACGATATGGCTCGAACACAGCAGACAAGGCTTGTGCTTGCTGACTAGGCTCGGGCCTGTCGGCTAGCCTTGTATGCAACATTATATCATTCGACACTGCCTGACGTGGAGTTCAGCAGCCGGTCTTGATCCCAATTTGTCATCGGTCCATGACAGCAACAACGTTGGAGTTGTCGGCCATGTCCAGCTGTGTCAGGAGCGATCTTTGAGTCCTCCTCTTGAGAACAACGATGCGGCATCGGGATGATATGGACCCCCTTACCAGCAACCTCGAAAAGTGTCATCGTCACCTCCGTCAGCATAGATAACCAATATCACTCTTGGCAAACACGCGGCATGCGATCAGCAAATGTCTGACATCACAATTTATTTGCATCTCTCGACGGTAATCATTTGGTTGGTGGGTTTCAAGCAAAGCTCCTCGGCGATGACATGACATGGCTCGCGTGAGAGGAGAGCAGGGATAGTAATGTCGATGAGACATGCACCAGAAGCGCGCTTTCCTATTCCGGCTTATCGTTAAGTGGTTTCGAGGTCGACCCTTTCCAAGGTTTCAAGCTGAAGCAGAAGAGCAGGGACGTTTGGTTCCAAGAGTACGAGGCACTGGAACCTCAGGTCCTGCATGACCCATTTGTTTCTTCCAGACATACTTAGCCGCTCGTCAAAAGGCCCTTCTCGCGACAGCAAGTGCCCTGCGTCACCACGCACCACACACACTGGTCCCGGCTCTCGACGAGAAGCACGTGAAATACTCGAAAACACTGGATATAACTTCCCCGGAAAAGTGCTGCTGCTGCGATGGGCCTACCACGCAAAGCGCGATCGACGTTGCCGCGGAGGCATGGCGTCAACTCACGTGCTTCTGACACTCACGGCCATTTCATTGGACAAAGATAAGGCTGGCCTTAGGTCGGCAGTCGAGGGTTTAAGCTCATTTCAGGAGACTAGCAGCATGCAACCAATTCGACCCTTGCTGACGGCTAATCCACAAGGACGGAGCCTGGATGCCAAAGGCGGGCCCCTGTCGAAGCCTAAAGGGCCTTCGAGATAAGGCTACAGTCTATGATTGGATTGACAACATATCACACGTTATTCCTTTCTTTGGAGGCCAAAAACGCACTGTCGAGGTAGATCTCCAAGCGTTACCTGTCGTGCCTGTCTGGTTTGAGCCTCAGAGGCTCTCAACAGCCTGCCTTGGCATTACGAGACATGAATCTCCTTTCTACGAGTTTGCCCGACTTCGGTGCACTGTCTCTTCAAAAATACCCAGTAAAAATCGCATTCACGAATGTCGCTGCTGATCCGGCAATTCAGTGCTGCACACGCGGGGCGTACTCATGCCGAGCATCAGTCCACGAACGCTTGAAACAGTCAAGCAGACCCCATGGTCATTGGTGGAGCATATCAGGCAATTAGTCGTGCTTCTGATGTTGCACGTCGGCAGGCCAAGGCCTTGGAGTGCTGGGCGCCGGGGACAGTGATGCACGAAACCACCACAATTCGAGGTAGGGACTTACTGATATCGAGATAAACAGAGGCTTCAACCACTCATGTGCAGTCTCGAGCCTGGGCATTCTGTCATGAAGTTTTCACCATGGACGCGGAGAGGACGGATTTTCAACAGATTGAATATTATGGAGGCTTGCTGAATGGTGGTTTCCCCTGGTCTCATCCACCACACGAACGGACCCCGACATCGACTCCACCGTGCAATGCAAGTGACGTGCGTTCCACTCGTCCACGCCACACGGTCTTCAATAATTGAAGATTCGAGATTCTAGCTCGACGTTATTGAGAAATGACGCTCGTCCGATTTCGCCCAAAAAACGTCAATGGCTCTCTCAACCACATTCACGCCAAAAGGACTTTCTGTTTCTCTCGTTCTTGTCAGAAGCTTCCATTGATACACGGCGGGGCCCCTCGTTGACGCATTGCCGGTTTCTTCTGTGTCGTTGAGCAGGGTATCTGTACCCATACAACTGGTCGCCGTTACTGTGGCCGGTATTCGTTGATGAGCCCAGCTCTTGACTGAGAAAGGCTACACATTGCTTATTCTGTTTGGAGGCCGACCACGTCCTGGACCGTCCTGGTAATCGACTCGGTTTATTCTGTCACCCGGTCTGAATCTGCCACCATGTCGGACGGCAAAGCGAACTTCCTTCCCGAGTATGCGTCCTACAACTGGACTGGGGCGCCAGCGGACTACACTTTGGTCACCGCAGGCCACGCTCGCACCGGGGGAGACTCAAGTATGTCATCTTGTGCACTGCTTATACCACTTTCCCTGACAGTTCAACAGGGCACGAGAATCTAAACAAATGGTATCAATCCGGCGACACCGCATTCATTCTCATTGCCTCATGTCTCGTTCTTATTATGGTGCCTGGACTGGGCTTTTTATATTCAGGTCTAGCCAGGAGAAAGTCGGCCCTTTCGATGATGTGGGCATGCATGGCCGCTGGGAGCATTATCAACTTTCAGTGGTATTTTTGGGGATACTCGTTGACATTCTCGCCAACTGGTCAAAGCGGATTCATTGGTGATCTTGTTCACTTTGGATTGAAGAGAGTGCTTGGAAATCCTAGCCCTGGATCACCCCTCATTTCCAGTCTCCTCTACTCGTTCTATCAGGTATGGACAAGAACACTCACTCTTCAACTCACCCATCTAACCTAAGGACCAGATGCAATTCTGTGCCGTTACAGCCGCCATCGTTGCAGGAGCCGTCGCTGAACGTGGTCGTCTCATGCCCTTCCTCGTCTGGGTCTTCCTCTGGGCAACGCTTGTTTACAATCCGATCGCTTGTTGGGCCTGGAATGCTAATGGATGGGCATTCAAATACGGCGTTATGGACTATGCGGGAGGTGGGCCAGTCGAGATTGGGTCTGGCCTATCTGCTCTGGCCTACTCCATGGTCCTTGGAAAGCGTCAAGAAAAGATGATGCTGAACTTCCGACCTCACAATGTCTCTTTCATCCTCCTTGGCACCATACTGCTTTGGTTTGGGTGGCTCGGTTTCAACGGTGGCTCAGCCTTTGGTGCTAATCTCAGAGCTGTCATGGCATGCTGGAACTCCAACCTGGCCGCGACATTTGGCGCAATTACCTGGACGCTCCTCGATTTCAGGCTGGCTCGGAAGTGGACCATGGTCGGATGGTGTTCCGGAACCATTTCTGGACTCGTGGCAGCCACGCCCGCATCTGGTTACATTGACACCTGGGGTGCCGTTGTGCTTGGTATCGTCACTGGCGTTGTTTGTAACTTCGCGACCAAGAGTGAGTTTTTCCTGATGTTTGTGGACAATCTGAACTTTCCACTGACCTTCATCACAGTCAAATACTGGATCAAGATCGACGACTCTATGGACGTGTTTGCCGAACACGGTGTCGCCGGAATGATTGGACTCATGTGGAATGCCCTTTTTGGCGTGGACTATGTGGTCGGTCTCGATGGCGTCAACACGGGGAGCAGCAACCCAACAACAGGAACTGGAATTGGAGGATGGCCCATCGGAAACTACCGCCAATTCTACATTCAATTGGCCTATGTCGTGGCATGCACCGGCTACGCTTTCTGCATGAGCGCCATTCTCGCATACATTGTCAACTTTATTCCAGGTCTTCACCTGCGAGCTTCTGAGGAGGCTGAGCTTCTTGGTATGGATGACGATCAGCTTGGCGAATTCGCCTACGATTACGTTGAGGTTCGTCGGGATTACCTGGCGTGGACTCCACAACGGACTGATCAATTTGGTGCCGATCCAAATATGCCTCAAGAGGACCGTCACGGTATTGGTGAACATTCCAAGATGATCAAGGAGGGTTCACATGATACCGCATCAGGCAGCTCAGGCCCGACTGGTGGTCTCCCAGCTCAAGGAGATCGCCATGGTGTCGCTGCGGAGGATGAAGAAAAAGAAAAGAACGTCGCAAACCATGGTTGAGATTGAGCATTCGCACCATCTTTATATTCTTGGTGTCTGTTATCCTGCTGCACAGCTACGGGGCCTTCACGAGACGAAATGCCCTGCGCTGCAGATGTATGACGTGATATGAATTAGCGAGCGACATCTTCCTTGGTTCGAAAACATTCGGGTGGTACGACAGGTGTTCTGGTATACAAAACAAATGGGCAGACGGTTTCCGAAATAGACACCTCATCGGATCAAGTTTACAAAGCATCGATGACTTGGCAAGCACATTTAAGGTCCACGTCCTGTGTGACGGGTCGTGTTTTTTGATACAAAATGGAGCCAGATGCTTTCTTTCCCCAAACCCACTCAAGCCCTGTGAAGCCCCGGTCTATTTTCTTCTATGGTTCTGCTATTCCATCAACAGTACTGCCCTGCCCGCCAACCCGCTGTTCTTCAATTGAGATGAGTGGGCGAGGATGACGGGGAAATGGAAGTGATTTAGCAAGCCGTACCCGGTGGGCGAGGAAGATAGGCTGTTGAGCACCGTATTGAGAGATTTGGAGAACGGCCAACTCATTTTGTGTCTGTTGATGCTCTGGTACGTATACAGAAGTGTTTGGGAGCCTAGCTGTCAAGCTCACCACGCTCATGACTCATATGTGGTAAATTCATCATGGTCTTCCCGACAAGAGTATACTCAGTCGCATATGGTGTGCCCATTCTTGCTTTTTCGTTCTTGAGGTCAATAGTACTTCCGACCGTTTCTGCGAGCAGTCTCGGGTCCCGGAGTGGGTATGTGGATGCTGTGCACTGCAGTGTCTACCTACCTAGGTAGCAGTGGGATAACCACAGGTATCCTCTGTGGACCCAGCATTTTGTTCAATTCATATTTTGTACTCGCAAAATTTGGTTGACCAATCAGCGGCCATGGCTCAGGTTAGTGAAGACAAGAAACCACGTTGTTGGTACCATGTTTATTAATATTTCCTCACAGTTGGGAGAGCGTCAGTATGGGTTTACCGTATCAAACATCTCATGGACTAGGACACTGACAATTTGAAAAAGGACTGAAGTAGAACTTCGGTTTCAGAATATCTGAAGGGTGAGTCAAGGTTATGAATTGAAGAAAAACTTGTCCAAACTGAACCAATCACAGTCCTCGGTTCGATCCCGAGTGGCCGCATATTGCCCTTTTTTTTGGACCGTTGGTCACTATTTGGGGGTTTCTGAATGTAGGCTTGGAAAGTGGACGCAAACTTGATGTGAGGTGTTGCGGTGGTGCTGTCAGTATGCGGTGAATGACCATAATGTGTATTGGGAAGAAAAACACCTGCTGCAATTGCAGTCTACGTATTGCTATATCTAATCTGTGTAAGTGCAAATTTTATGGTAACTTCTCGCCTATCCAAAACTCCTTAACATCCCAATGCACCCTTCAAGGTCCACGGCTCTTTCCATTTGTCACGGCATTTGCATAACGAGTGGCGGCTTAGACAATTGACCATAGATGATGCACAGACGACCTTGAAGCAGAACCCGCTGTGATACTCGGAAGAATGGCCGCTCTCTGCCGTTGGATAGAGCATTTCAAACATGTGTTGGCTGGTGAAGAGCCTCGCGCTTCAAAAGCATAGAGCACCACCGTCAACTCGAAGGTCTGCACCGGTGATGTATCTCCCACCTCTTTTGCTGCTCAGAAGTATGACAGGGCCGGTGATCTCCTCGATATCTCCCATCCGTCCCATCGGACAACGACTATCCCAGATGTCTCTGACTGGCTTCAAATTGTCACCAGCATTGAGCACAGTGTCCATGTAGCCTGGGGACACACAATTAACACGAATACCGTGGGTGGCCCATTCGGCCGCCAGATTGTGGGTGAGGTGCGCAACTCCTGCTTTGCTGACATTGTATGCAGCCTGTGGTTGAGGGTAGTTTGTAGAGTGAGCGGAAATAGATGCCGTAAACAGGATGGAGCCTCCTTTTCCAGATTGTATCATGTGCTGTGCTGCGGCCTGCGCGCAAAGGAACGATCCGGTCAGATTGACGTCCACGACTTTACGGAACTGACTGGGAGAGGCCGAGATGGAGTGTACACATCCGACGATGCCGGCAAAGCAGCAGAGAATATCAATGCTGCCCATAAGCTTCTGCGCGTCTCCAAAGGCCTTCTCGATTGCAGTTTCCGAGGTGACATCGACGGGAACAGTGTGGATGGGGACTCCAGGGAAGCTGCTTTTCAAGTCCGAGATGGAGGCCTTGGAATTGTCAATGGTGGGCTGTAAGTCCATCAACGTCAGACCGGAGAGACCATGCTCAAGCAGAGCACGAGCGGACGCCAATGCTAATGTGCCGGCACCACCAGTAAGAACAGCGTTGCCCTCGACATGGAATCGAGCTGCGGCCCTTTCTGCGGGAGACACTGATGCTACGGCTGGCAGAGGTGCTGTCAGGGGGTTCTTGGTGGTGGAGAGCGTCATAGTCGGAATGACCCTAGAAACAAGGGAGGCTCGTTCGTCTTGAGAGGCCATCGGCGCCGCTGGGGTAGCACTTGATTCACCCATTCTATCGACTGCTTCTCGAAGGTAATACTGGACAGGTAATGATGAAGCGGGATGCACTGGAAAGAAAGACAGAAAGAGACAGTTGATGAGCGACGAAGGAAAGTGGAAACTTAGCGGAACGTGATATCAGAATGCATCGGGCCACTGTCGTCCGGTCCCAAGTCATCGCTGTCATCGCAGGCATTTTGATGCTCTTAGCAATTCTTCCGAAAGGTTGTTTGTTCGTTTCTGTGGTACCGGCAGTCAATCGTCAATCCTACTCAGGTAGCTTCGAAGCTGCCAAGAATCTTGTGTAACATGCTGTTCAAGCAAATGATGACCTGAAGATGATTGTTGTTGTTCGGCAAAGGATGCCCCCGAGTCGGAAACACTTCCGCAAGTATTTACTATTTACATACTGTAGTATATTTTTTTTCTCCAACTCGTCGTCATTTTTTGAGCCTGCGCAACGAAGAAACCTTCACCACACACTCCTTGGTCGCGATTCCTTTGACTCGCAGCAGACCGCAAATCGTACCACAGACATGGCCGAAGTCAACTCCAATGGCCCTCAACAGGCGTTCTCACAGATTACACCTGGAAACATATCATCTCAGATCGATCTGCTCGTTGCTCTAAATCTGTGGTCATGGCCTGCGCTTACACTCGCCATCCAAAATGCCTGGGGCGGCTCTGCACAAGTCTCCAATGACAAAAGGGATTGGTTTGCAGGTGCTGTGTCTGATCTGCTGACGTCGACTCCACCACAACTAGAAGATGTCGGCGATCTCGAAGAAGTCCTGCTCCAAGTAATGGTTGACGAGTTTGAAATCGTCGTTGACGACGAAAGCGCCGAGGAAGTTGCACGAAACATCTGGGCTGGACTGACGAAACTCAAAGGTGGTGATGCCAGTGGGTTGGAGGAACTCTACAGCAGGTGGCAAGAAAAGCAAAAGAAGGGCGGTGAGAAGGTGGTGGGCATCGTGCGCGGCGAAGACAAAGAGGCGGAAGATACAGACTGGGATGAGGATGATGATGAAGGAGAGGAGTGGAACGGCTTCTCTGACCGTGCGGACGTCGATATGGACGACGCTCCTCCGCTCGTCGACGCGAGCAAGCCCAAGCAGAAGCTGGAGCCCGAGGTCGATGATGAGGGATTCACAAAAGTCGTCGGCAAGAAGAGGAGGTGAATTCGTGGCATATGAAGAGCTGGCTTGTTGAAATCAACACACAGCCTACTACACTCGACAAAAAGTACTACTGTACAAGACGGTACAAGACGCCGTTTTGTACCTCTTTGGCTTCGACGACCTCGGAATCTACATCCGCTCGCTCGAGGACGTTGCATCGTCTCAATGATCCTCGGGTTCGACCAACCCGAGCTTCTCGTTCTCAGCCTTACTTCTCTGGCTCCATTCCGGTGCAACATCGATACCCTCCTCCTCCTCCCGATCGCCCTGCTCCTTATCCTTGTGCACGCTCGTCGGCTTGTGCTCAGCTGGGGAATAAACAGTATACAAGATCAGTGGTGTTGGGCCAGTGTTGATGAACTGGTGCTGGGTGCCAGCAGGGACTATGATGAGATCACCGGCCTTGACATCTTGGTCTTTGCCGTTTATCGTGGCTTTGCCTGAACCCGACGTGAAGGTCAGGATCTGGTCGACGGTGTGTTTCTACCAAGTGTTAGCATTGAGTCGTCGACTAGCCGAGCTCCCGGCGCGTCACAGTCAAGGAGAACGTACCTCATCACCAATTTCACCATCGACGGGAACAGTCATCAAGACCAATTGACTATACAGCCCTGTCCACAGAACACGGCGGAATTCTCCAGACTCGCTCGGCAGCGACGTCGTCATGTTGGGGAAATATACCATCTCATGTTTCGGAGGTTCTTCCGAGGGCGGCGTGAACTTCATTGTCGCGGTGGCTGTGAAAGTTCTACTTCTGGAGGCTGATGCTGCAGCAGAAGGATGATGTATATGTTGTCCTGGCCGTAGTGTGGAACTTGGTCGGTAGGAAGCTCGAGAATTCAGTATCGATGGGATGCCGGATCTCAATCGCAAGTGCTTCAAGCCTTGTACAGACATACGGTATCAAGTTAGGTCACAGCAGGTTGTAGGATCTTGTGAGTGATTAAGTTAGAAAGCTATGGAGCAGTGGAGCAATCTCAAAAATTGTGTAATATGCAAAGAGGCAAAGCACTATTTGAGTCTTTTTGACAATATGATGGTGGAATGATGAAATATGACAAACATGACCGTTGTACCATATTCAAAACTATCCACGACGTCATCATCAACAAGTATACTCGGAAAAAGCTTCAGAGTTCGTTCTCTTCAAGCAACACTTCATTGGGATGAGGACTGGATCAATGTCAAGGCTTTGAAAGGCTCAGCACTGAGACAGCCTTTCCATGCTTCGGCGAACAATGCAAGAGAGATGGGTGACCGCAGCCGACATCAACCAAGCCCCTGGCTACTTAGATACGGCAAAGCCCTCCATCGACATCATCTCCGTTAGAAAGTGTATACAGTTCCGCTTCCCTTGTCCTCTCCTCATCAGCACGCTGGCATTCTGAATTCCCTGGAAACTTTGGAGTCCTGCAGCAAGCCGACGCAATTTGCATCACCTAGCTTCGCCAGGTCCAAAACATGGCTCCTGGCAAAGCAGGTAGACAACAGCCACGGTAAGGTATGTCCTAATCTAACCTTAAGTGCAAGTCCCTCGTCCACTAGGAAAGATGCTATGAGGCGGCCATAGCAAGAGCCAAACCAATTCCTCAAATATTCACAACCCAGAACCAACCACATCGTCTACACATTCTCACCAGCACTCTTTCTAAGAAACGCCGTCGTCTCCTCCACCCGACTCAAAAACGGACTATGCCCACAGCCCCTGAGCATCTCAGTCCTAACCTGACCCTCCACCAATCCCGCCTTCAAAATATTCACCATCCTTTCCTGCGTGGCCAATTTCACCGCCCTATCCTCATCCGCCAACAAATAGTGCACCGGAATCACCTCGTGTGCCGAGAACGTCGAGCGCCCGAACAACGCCCCCGAGCTCATCGGCCTCAACAACGCTGCCCACTTTTTCCTGTCTTCCTCGCCCAGATCATTGTAGAACAACTCAGGCGGAGGATGGTCCATGATTTCGGGTAAACCACTCGGCATCGGTTTCTGATCTGCTTCAGGTATGTTCATGCCCTCGGGCAGAATGAACGATGTCAATGCCGTGATGGCGATCACGCTGGTTTGACGATCCTGCGCCGTACGTGAAGCAGAGTCGAGGCCCCTGAGCGCAGATGTCGTGGGGATACCGCCGTAGCTGTGCGGCACGACGATGACGTTCGCCCCACTGTTCAGCTCAGCTAGTATGCTCTTGCGGACGGTGTTGGTGTCTTCGTTTATATCTTTGCACGGAGCGGTCTGCACGTTCGCGACTGATGGCAGCGCAGGCGCGATGGTCTTATATCCGTGGGCATTGAGCGATGTGATCAGTGGGTCCCAGTGTGCTGGTTGGTGCCATGCTCCGTGAATGAGGACGAACGTTGGTTTCTTGTTGCTCATTGCTGATACCGGCACTCGAAAACTGCGAGTCTGCTTCAAAATGTCTGGTGCTTGCTAATACAGAAATGCCGTGATGGACGGAGCGAGACCTGACGAGGCTTTGTAAATCTGCTGCGTGTATACCTGTTTCTGGACAAACAACACTGTACTGAAGGCCCACGAAGGATGTTAGGTAGACGTCGTGAATATCGCGGATACCAACCCGGGTTTGAGTGAATCGCAACTTGATACTTTTTGTAGTGCTGCAGTCTGTATTTACACCCGGTCCTTACACGACCTTTCGACCCTTGACCGACATGGCCTGTAATTTGCGAGGCAGCAATCTCTCCTGTCGCAATTGCAGAACGACTCTGTAAGCACTAAGATGGCACTTCTTCAACCAGGTCAAGCCTCCTTTAGTACTTTATGGCACACATTCCAGTAAATCTGGGACTAGCTGTCAAACGAGTTGTAATGCCCAGTGTAGAGGACGGCGGTCGATTTGCAGGGTTCTGGTCGTCATCCCCTGCTCGTCAGCAACCACTCGCATTCAACATATGGAACATGGGTCACAGTTGAGAACATTGGCTTTCTCGGTGCTCGGAAGCCACTTCAGCCCTGCAGCCCCGGAATATCGAACCGTTTACCAAGCTGGGACTATTCGTTGCCCGACGAATCCTCCCTAATCGTATAACTTATGCGAGCTCTCCGTCAGCTCTCTCACGTAAGCCGCTAGCAGCCGCTGGTCGAAAAGCTGATTTCACGGCACCTCAGCCTGGCAGCCCGCGGAGTCGGAATATTCGCGAAATTGCAGAAATACGACTTGCAAATGAGGCAAGACAGTGTGAGGACCAAGTTGATGCTAGGTTATGCAGATGGCATGCAACCGCCTGCTAGCAGGTAAGAATGGTAAAGACACTTTCAGTCCCCAGCCTTCATGTTCCGCGACTCCTCTACCAATTCCGTGCTCATTCATTGGCAATATCGAGCAAGCAAAAAGCAAACAGCGACACGAATTGCCGGCCCAAGCCTATTTCTACCTCAGCAGCCATGTTCAGGGTATGGAAAAGTCCCAATCGAGCCACCCACTGCGTCCAAAAATGCCCCAATCACGTCTTGTGTAAAACCCCGGTCTATCGTCCGTCATGAATCGTCGTGATCTCGTAGCTTTGAACACCGCAAACTCCGTTTTCGCTCACTGACAATCATAAAGCAGTTTCCCAAGGTTGCTCGCCAGGTCTATTCACCTTCCCGCGTCTCTTCTTGGTTGTCGCCTGTTTCGGCATCCACAAAATGCTCCCCATCTGTGGTGGCGATACTTGGTTTGCGGCTCGAGTCTGGAGAGCCATAGTGGTCTAGCGTCTGCTTAGACAACCAGCTCATTCTCTCCGCACCTTCATCGTGGTCCGCGATAGTGGGAGGCTGGTCCTCATCCACCCCCTCTTCGTCCGCGATGGTGGGAGGCTTGTCCTTGACCAACCCCTCTTGTGCGGCCTTTCTCATTTTCAACCTCTCTTCATTCGACATGCTCTCCCATTCCGAAGACATGGTAATGACACTGGCTTTCTTGCCATGCAAAATGAAACTTCCAGTCCCCCGTTTCAACTCCTCACTCTCACCGTTGACCGACTTGTTTCCATCCTCGGTTCCTGCAACACTCGAACCAGAGTCTCTCCCCTTCCTATGGCGGTGAATACTTGGCGTATGATGATGTCCCTCTCGCAAACTCCTGTGAAGACTTCGGCGTACGCTCTGGGTCCTGGTTGTATCATGTCCTGCTGATATCGTCCCGCGCCGATCCTTTTCCGACTCGCTGTTCTCGTGTCGCTTACTTTTAAGCGTATCACTATCCACGCCCACTAAGCCAGCGTCACGCAACACCTGCTCCTCAGATTCGTCGGGCTTTCTACTGAGTCGTTCTTTGTCCAGGCTCAGACGGGAACTGGCAGTCGAGGCTTGATGCACGAGTGAATGTGAATCCAGACTGCTTTCCGCCTTCACCAATGGATGTTCTGCAGACAATGTAGGATCCCTCGAAGAGGAACCCTCGGGGATGCTTGATTCGCCACAACCGCCCTCGTTCTCCGAGGGTTTCAGCCTGTCTCCCAGGTTTGACGTTCTAGAGGACGTCACGCTGATGGGGGAGAGTGTTGCGTGGCTGGTATCAGTCATCGTTCGGCCCAAGGTAGGCTGACTGATCCTGAGAGGAGTGGTCCTCAATGGTGTCGAAGTCGAAGTCGAAATTGGGCGCGGAGCTGGGAAGGCTTTGCCGCCCTCTTCTTCCAGGTCCTTGGCTAGAATCTCTCGGTGCGTCTTCGTCCTCCAAATTTCGACCCTTGTCCACTTTAGTTTTGCAGACATTCGACCTGCAGCCAGCATGAGCTGTTCGCGAGTCTTTTGCTGAATGGGCATTAGGATGAGCAGATGCCGCGCATTGCGCAGGAGGTTTTCGAGTTCCTTTTGAGCCACAGAGATCTTTTCATCGAAGTCGCTGATTTTTTCGTTGACGAGTTGCCGACGATAGTACATGATCTCCCAAGCTGTTTGGAGATCTAGTCTCCTATCCTTCTGCAGAGTCTGGCCACCCTTGACTGAGAAAGTCGAGTCCTTCTGCAGCAGATGGCGTCCGTCGTGATTACCACCCAAAAGTCCACGCATTCTGACGCCGACTGTACGGAAAGTGGCAGCATAGTTCAGCTTGCCGATCCAATCGTTCATCTCATGTTCGCTGTTTGCCAGAAATACCTCTTCGAATCCTCCATGTTTGATGAATGTGAACGCATTTTTGTGCCGTTTATAGCTCGCATCCATCAATGCTACCGCATCATCCATAGACATCAAAGCATCAGGCTCGAACGAAGACAGCGGAGGCTTGAAGGTTAGATACCCTGGTTTGGTGCCTGACTTCGTGTGGGCCTCAAATTGTGAGATCAATTTTTTAACCCATCCCACATCCTTGAAGAAGTAGAGCTTTGAGTCGGTCAAGATGGCACCCCATTCCTGCCACGGTCTTTTCGCCTTCTTTTTCTTCGCATCCTTCCGCCACAACAACCCTACTTTGGCGACCTTGATACTGACAAGCCCGGCTTGACCTTCGTTGGGATTGCTAATTGTCGCTTGAGACAGGAATGCGTCCGGTCTGGACCTGGCGGAAACGAGTTGCAGTACTGCTGAATTGACAAAAGCTTTGTGAATCTCGCCGTAGTCCAGTATAGCTGCTGTGCCACTGGAGCTGTAGCCGTCTTCAGTATCTATCACATCTTTGAGTGGAGGCCGTAGGACCTCGAGCTTGTTGTCTAGGATCAGCGTGTATGGATCCACAGGCCCACGAAAACTCTCTGAGCTTCGCGTTCTGATCAGGGTCTTCCTCCGAGGTGCAGCCAAACGATGACTATTGATGGCCACATCGTCCTCAAAGTGGATGAAAGGTGTGTAGCATACATTGTCGTAGAAGCAGTCCAGGATATCACTGGAAATCTGTACAGGTCCCTGTTGGGTATTCTTGACGTAGTCATGCTTTTGCATTTTTCTCTTGTTGTTCTTGTTGTGGGTGTCGGAATGAAGAAGAAGTATGGAGAAGGCCACAAAAGCGGCTTCATCGCTGGAGCCGAAAATGCCAGGGTTGCATTCGTAGTATCTATCAGCGAACCCGGCAAGTAGTCGATCAATTTGCTGAGTCTCTTTGGGTAACTCCACTTCCATCAGCATTTTCCGAATCGCCATGTCAATGGATTCTCCGAAGTATGAGAATCCTCGCATGTATTTACGTAGGCACGTCTTGGAGAATTCGTCAGCGCTCTTACAAAGGATCGTCGCCATCGTGCCCCTGGAAACCGCCGCTTCGAGCTTTTCCAGGTAACTTGCAGGCGTATCGCCATCCTCTCGTTGAGGATAGACACGACTTGGTTCTGGTTCACGTGACAGCTGCATTGAATTGGATTTCGAGGCCGGCGTCCCTGGACTTGTCGTTGTACCGTTCCTAGTCGGGGGAGCAGAGTTTTGGCGAAGTCGATGCGGGAGTGACAACAAATCTCCGAAACTCCTTCTGCCAGTGGTCGAGGTTGATGTGCGTGCAGAACCCGGCTGCGCCTCGAGCATCCTCTCGGCCGACCTCCCAAGCGAACTCATAGTGGAGGATCTACCTCGCCCGCTAGTCGTTGGGAGCCCGAGGTTGACGGAAGGTGTTGATTGACCCGAGTGTGTTGACCACGTTGAATCTTGTCGAACTATAGTTGGACCCGGTTGTCCGAACGGTGCATTTGTAAGTGCAACAGCTGATTGAGTAGGCGACGGCCCTGCTGAATTCTGCCTGCTCGGCCCGGTGTCAAACCTCACGGCTGTAGTTGACCGCCTGCTTGGAGACATGGACTTCCTGCCACCATTGGCGTCCGGAGCATTTGAGATGCTTGTCCGGCCAGAGTCGGGACGGGCAAACTTTTCTGGCAGTGGAAACAGCGGACCCTTGTCTTTCTTTCGTCTCTTGAGCTTGAAGAAGGTTGTCGTGGTAGAGATTGTATGCGTTGTCGTAGTTTTGGCATAGAGACGGTGGCTACCAGAACTGTCGTCCGACCGTGAAGAATCGGAAAGTCGTGTAACTGGAATAGCCAGTGAGGAGGTCGATTCGTCGCCATATGCTGGGGGCGACGGATGCGCTGGATGGCCATCGCTAGTCTTACTTCGTCGCAGTCGTTCGAAAGTGTTCCCATGCGGTACCCTCGCTCTTTCGGACCCTACAACCGCCTCCGGTTTGTCCTCATTCAGATCTTCTTGCAAGGAGTCGGATGCGATGTTTCTAAAGGACAGGGTCTTTCGGAAAGGGCTGGGAGCTCGTGGGAACAATCTCCGCTTCGAACGTTTCGTAGACATGTCTCCAAATTCTTGCGTGGTGGGTGCGGTGGTGATGATTTGCGGAGCTAACAGACAGGTGTCAGAAGATCGTTGTGCTTCTCGAGAGATGTACTTACGGGCAGCTTCCTTGAAAGGCTGCGAGTCCGCCTGGTGTTGCCTGAACCGTGTAAAAAGCTGAGGATCGGACGCGTGCCTGAAGCCCAGAAGCGAGAACCGTTGAGGTTTGGGCATAGTGATATCGTCAACATGGCGTTTCTGTGTATCATCTTTCCCCGGCTCATCGGGCTGCATTGTCGTAGCAGCATGAACACTGGCGGTCTTTGGCCGTTGTGGACTGTCTTCAACAGGACTACTGGGTGCAGCACTCTGATGGGACAGTCTCTTCTCGGCGTCATGGTTTGGAAATGGATTGAAAGTGTCTTCACCCGCTCCAGACAATCCAAGGCTGAGTCGTTTCATCGAGTCTGCTCGGCCCCGTGCAGGTGATGGGACGCCATCTTGTGATATAGGAGTATCATCTGTGATACTGCTATGTCTCCGGTGGGTGGTACCTGTGGCGGACCTTGCCAATAGAGTCCGCAAGGGCATGGTAGGGTCTTATGTGAGGAAGAGGGTCAGGACATGGCGGATGCCGTTGGACTCGTACGAGGGCCTAGTTTACAGGCGAGGATCAGGATTTGTTTAGGCGAACCTGCCGCGAAGTCTCCGTAAGCAGGCCCGCTGCAGTGATGAGATTATGAGTGGCCTCAATAGTGTGAAGCCCGACAGGCATTTGAAGCGAGTGTCAGGAACAATAGAAAAACTAGCAAGAACAAGAAGCCAGAGTGCTAAGAGATAGGAGCCTCGCCATGAAGCGGAGGTTGGGCTTGGGATGGATCAGTGCAAGTCCGCAGTTGCTGAAAGTTGCGCACCCCAATCATCGAGAAAGGAGAAGGCTCGACTTTCCACGTGGGTGCGTGCGTCCTCCGGGCCTCGACTGGACTTGTGTTGACCTGACCAACCCAACCGACCCTCCTTCCGAGTTCCGGGTCTCTTTTTCAGCTCCAATCTGGATCTGATCCTTGCATATGGCCTGAAGTGGTTACCGGGTCATACTATGGTACAATAGTTCGAGAGCCCTGCATGCAAATCCTCCGGGCTTATGTCGACGAGGACTCACCCACAGAAGCAACAGTGGTTCCTTTAAAGAGGAGCAACGCACTCCGCACCTCGAACACGCTTACGCACTTCTCCTACGCACAATGCATGCTCCGTAGAGCGCCTTGGGGTGCAGATCATAGGATCCCATTTGGAGTATGTACACATTATTGATTATGTTTGCTCTATTCCTTTTTCATGAGCCAGCAACAATGCAAACCCTCATAATGCAGCACGAAGAACGCTTGAATGCAACAGCTGCCCGAATCCAGGCTATCATGCAATGTCGACGTCCGGATCGTCCACAAAATGCAACTCGTCCCTGCTCAAGATGCCGAGATAAGCATTAAAAAACACCCACGACCTTATTATGCACCATAATCGCCCTCACGCACGATAAGCGCTCTGTGAACTGTGATAGATTCGACTTTGACCACGTTGCAGCTGCTGAACCTGCTCTTCCTGGACTTGTTGTTGATATCGCTGTATCTGCCGTTCCATCCATGGTTGCTGTACTCCAGACATGGGTGCTGGACTGCCACTCCGGGTCCAGGATATGGGTGACTGAGCGATCGCATACTCATGTGCCGAATACTGCTGATAAGCGTGATTCCGTTCGGCCACTTGTCTTTGCCACGTCGCCTGTTCAGCCATATAACCAGCGAGTTCTCTCCTCACAATCTTCTTTTCCTGTTGTCTGACCTCGATGGCCCCCACCAACCCAACGTGCGGATCGGGCGTCTTTGTCCTCTCCACGACATGAATGAGCGGACCACCAGTCAGCCTCGCGATATGTTCCCGTTCTCGTGCTGACAACTTTGCCGATGGATAGTCCGCTGTCAGAGAATTCCTTGAACTAGGTCGACCAGGCAGATCTTTCTTCCTCTCAAGCTTGGTAGGAGATCCCTCAACATTGCTGTACGTAACGCTCCGGTGCGTTGAATAGAACTGAGGAGTTCGAGCTGCCGCAGCCCGCTGTTGAACAAAGTCCTCTGCGGTCAAGCTCCTAACAGGGCTCTGTCGTCCTATATCATTAGGTTGCCAGACGCGGCTTGAAGGCCGAGCACCTTGGCCATTGGCATAGGACCTTCGTTTATCTTGTGGAGAAGTCGGGGGTCTAGGTGATGTCTCGTGGTCATTAAACGAGTCTTTTTCACTCGCCGTGGCGGGATCATTGTGGACTCCAGGCGTTAAAGTCGGCGTGATGGTGGTACCGAAGTCGACGACGGGTATCTCCACTCTGATATGCTCCTCTGATGGAGAGCTGGTATTGCCCAAGTTCGGATCTCCAACAGTTTTCAATACTCCTGTTCTGATGCGTCGTGAAAATGTGGAAGAATTCGAGTCTTCACGGGCGCTGTTGACATCGAAAGCGTCACGGAGATCCTCGCCAAAGTTTGACGCTGGATATCCTAACATGGTGCCATGATACCGGACCGCCATTTGGCGTTGGGATTCCGACTTTGTGGCAAGGATCGGCTCTTGAATAGTATGTGTTTAGACGAGTCAAATCGTCACCAGAGACTCGGCCGGAGTAGTTGCTCGCTTCAGCTGGCCCTTTTTCTTCCTATCGTCATTTGCAAAGTAATGATGCTTAGGAGAGCTGGTCGAAGGAGTGATATTAGCAGACACATTTTCAATTTGCCAGGGGTGTGTCACTTACCCCTCGATATCTAAGACACCCCTGTTTTTAACTGGATCCATTCCCGTTCCAAGCCAGTTGGGCGGCTTGCCCGGCATACCCCGCCGAATTTTGCCTCGCGTATCTATTCACGTCTACCATCTGAGACAAAGTTGCATCCGACATGCGACTTTTCTCACGTCGTAGGTCTGGTCGGGGATCCGGTCTTCTTTGTGGGACGTCACCAGTATGATGGTGAAAGTTTGGAGTAGGTACTGGCGCAGGCGGCGTTGATGTTGGGATGTCGGCCTGCACATCTCCTGGGTTAGTTCGAGGTAATAGACCATCGCTGTCAGAACTATTTCGACTTTCAGGCGACTCAACCTCAGGAGTGAGGGTAGTGTTCCTGTATACGTTGCCGAATTGGTGAGGAGGCGTCGGAGAGTATTGGCCAGGTTCAAGCTCCGAAAGCTCAGTTGACAATCTGGATGGCTGGTATTGATCTCTTTGCCGACGAAGTTTAGTCGGTGATACATATGTGACGGATTCCGAGACATGCCTCGAGTGATGACTCTGCCCAGGAGCGGAATATGGACCGTTTGCTGGTGCTGTGGAAACTTTCCTTGGCATAGCGAACACAGCATCCGAAGATTCGTTGCGCTGGTGTCCAGTGGGGGGATTAGAATGTATAGATGCTCTGTCATCATGCTGCACGCCGTTTCTGGACTCCGAGGCAGCCCTGCCAGGTCTCTTCTCGTCAAGATTGGTGCTTGAACGACTTTGTGAAGTCATCGCCATTCTCTTGGAGGTAGTCTCTTTCAGCTGTTTACGCCACTCGCGTTCGCTCCATTTGTCACTGCCTTGGGTGTGAATCAATGCAGCAACATCGATAATATCCAAGTAACCGTATCTCCGCTGCTTGGGCATGGCAAACATTAGACCGCGGGTGTCCCACGTATCCGCAACCAATTTTTGAGGGCGGCCGTAGAGGTGGAAGATGTCGTAGACTGGGAAGAGCCAGCGCAGCATCATCTCAAAACCCGACACGGCTGGGTGTAGCTCAGGCATAACGAAGACGAACCCCTCGGTGGTGGACTCAGGCGATGAGTGGATGGTTATGCGGCCCTCGACCTTGACCAGAGTGGACTGATCAATCAAGGGCTTCGACTGAGGGTATATAGCATATGCCGAGTACGCGTCGGAGATTGTCGCTATCGGGGTTGCCTTCTTGGTTTTCTTTGTGTCGTAGAACTTGATGTGCCCTTTGGGTGCCGCCGGTCGTTCATACGCAGATTTCTTCTTGAGCATTGATTTGTTGGACTTTTGCCATTCCTTCTCGTTGGGAGGTTCGATGACACACCAGCAACGTCTCCATGGAGTGCCAGCACCAAATCTCACTCGCGCCCAGTCTTCTGTGGCGAACTTCGACCGTTCCATTATCGTACGGATATTGTTCAAGTATCGGCCTTTGCCGGCGATCAAGGAACCGGTGTATAGCTCTTGCAGAGACGCATGCTCAAACATAGCCAAGCGTATGCCGGCCGTCCATTGTGTCAGAGAATGAAGTGAGTTGAAATGGAGAAGATATCGATTCTTGCCGGCTGTTGATATGGAGAGGACGTTCTGTAGCGGCTGAACCTCTGGATTGCGTGTTGGGAGCGTTTCGATCTGCAGCGTCTTAGTGAAGGAAGATCAAACATAAGTCGACCATCATACCATCTTGATGGAAGCATCCGCTAGATTGATAAACGTGGGCGCAACCTCTCCATCTTGACCCGCAGCGTCCAGTGCGGCTGCATCCCAGAGGGAAAGCACAGTCCCGACGAGCTGAGCAAAGCATTCCGTCCAGTTGCGATCCCCGAATGGTCGACCGTCTAGACTAATGTTAACACTGCGATTGGCACCAGAGATGGGGGACCACTCAACGGGAATCAAGGTCATTGAGCTTGAGGAAGTATCCTGTAAAGGATCAGTACATTGTCAGGCACAATCTTGTCAGGATCATTGTGTCAGCACCTTCTTGATACAGTTTATTGCCATGACTCGACAGGAAACTAGGAGGCCTGTCAGCACTAGTATTTGATATATAAGAAAGAGTCCCGCGAACCTGAAGACCGGAACCAACTCTTCAACGTGACTGTCTTTTGCCGACTCCATGGATGGGGGCGTATAGACCATGGATGTCGGTCGTGATGAAGGCCGATCTGTCCGTGGGTTCGCTTGAGTGCTTTCGGATGTTGGAGGAGGGGACGTGGCCGGTGAGTCTTTGTCGACGATTAACGAGTGACCGTTTGTCGAGGGTTTTGATAAGGACTGAGCGGAGTCATTAGAATGGTTGAATGCCGCAGCCCGAAAGCTCTGCGACAAGTTTCGAAGTCGGCCCATTGTTTATGTTGTATGGCACCTGCGTCCTGTCGTCGACAATGTATGACACAAGAACGAACGAGTGACGGGGGCCGTGCAGGCGCAGCTTTGGACAGCCTGACAGGCAGGTGTTGATGTTGCCAAACCAAAAAGTATTTCAGCGGGCCATGAGGGGCGTTATAGGGATAAAGTGAGCGGAGCTGTCGGAAGCAAAGCGCACAATTATGGCCAGGTAGACGGAGGCTGCGGACAAGTTGCGGACAGGCTCACGATCTCTTTTCTTCTGGGTGCGTTGATGGGATATGAGGTCGGACAAGAGGCGCAAGAGAAAAAGAGTGTGGTGACAGAAGCAGAACCTATGCACAACAAGCAGTGGGAAAAAAGAAGATTGCCCTACGAGTAAATGAAGGTTCCAATGCTTAACGGAAGAAGTGGATTTAACAAAGGCAGAGTCGTGTCTATTCCATAATAAACTGGAGACGTGCGGTACGAGTAATGGTGGTGGTGGTGGTGGACAAGCGTAGCGGTCCGTAAGTGCAGGTGAACTATTGCGGATTGCCTGGAAGCACTAGACGAATCAGGGCAAGGAGCACTGGACAGCCTACAAATCACCTAGAAACTCTGCTTAACGGCCGCCGCATGGGGTGGCTTGGGCGTCGTCATGGACTTGGTTGGGTGGCCGTGAAAAACAAGGTCATGGACACGCAATCAACTTTGACGCTGACGTCCTCACCTGCGGGCACTTTTTTCGGATCACTGTCGAACAATTAATACCTACTCCGTACACGTGGACCGATCGAACTTCGTTAGTTAGGCGAACGCAGTGAGACTGAGGTCTTATGATCTGTAATCACGGATCTCTGTTTATATACTTGACACCTTGTCACCGTCTGGTCATGCATGAATTTGTACATCTTGACTCCATCCTGTTGGGCTTGCCGACTCGGGGCTGATTTGTTTTTTCATAACTTACATCATATACACAAAAGATGCCCCTAACTTTTGTACCTAACCCAACCCTGCAGAAACTGCCGAGCGAGGATTCGCATCCCTGTAATCCTCCTAATCTAGCCTTGCGTGGCAGGGATTGCGAGCGGCTGTACCGACATGATCGCATCTCACAAGCCACACCTGTAGATCTGATATTCACTGATAACGAGACGCAGTAGTCCGTATCTTATCAACGGGTCCAGGTACATTCCTGGAAGCACCGCAATAGGTGTACGAGTACAAGCCAATAAGCTTTGCTCTTGCAGACTACAATCAACCTCATGACCATGTCCAACAACCCTTACCCCCTCTTCCGGGTGAGTGAGGCCTTGACATCAAGAACCACTTGGTCGGTACATTGCATGTTGTCGTTGCGCAGGCTGTGCTCTGTCCTACAGCACAGCAACAGCCTGGGAGGCCTGAGAAACCACAAAAAGCTTGGGACGTGAGTCTGGTTGATGCCCCTTTTTGATGGCGCCCAAGTGTTGGACGCGATCGCAAGGCAGGCCGAAGATCCAGAGCGTTGGTTCGAGTCTTTTGCTTCCACGGTATCAAGTTTCTGCTATCTATGCTACACCGTGTCTTTCTGGGCCTTTTCAGCCACATCCACAATCCAATCGACCACGGCCTGCGTCGCCGACCAATTCGGGCAATGGTCCGCCTTGATACTGGTAACGTCTACTTTCCTTCCACTCTCCTTTTCGATGATCTTAATACCTTCTCTTTGGAGAAACGGTGGGATGCACAAATCCTCCTCGCAGACCAGGTATGAGACCGGAACATGCTTGTAACCCGGATACGTCAACTCATTGATGAAGCTGACAGCCGAGTGCTTGGGGAATTTCCAAACAATGGCCGTGCCTTCCTCTGCAGGTATTGTCTGCAGGATAGTCGCCGCCGTTTTATCTGGTTGGGACTGCAGCATCCAACCTCGCTCCTGTTGGCCACAGTCAGTGCCGAGCGGAGACGGAAAGCATTGAAAGGAGCATCAAAGCGGGATGGGGAGAACGAGCCAACTTACATCAGTCTGCATTTCCACCTGATTCTCACTCGGTGCCTTTGACAGCACGCTGACTGCGGTTCCTCCGACTGGCGGTACAAGGCAAGTCACGTATCCGAGCCTCACTAGTCCTCCTGACTTTCCCTGCTGTTGTCGCTCCTTGATGCTCAATCCCTTGCCGCACTGAGATACCGGAACGCCTCCGTACGAATGGCCGATGACGATCACGTCTTTGCCCTGATCTGCGAGTTCCTCGACCGCCTTGTCTATGAAAGCGGCATCGTCATACATAGTTGGCGCCGGTCCCGGCCGGCCTTCACGGGCTTTCAGGCCTACAGTGGGAAGATGCAAGCCTTTGATCTCGTTGCCTTTGGCGGTCACGGGTTCCAGGGTCTGATTGTAGAACTCAGGAAGGGAGAACGAACCGGGGACGAGAAGGATCGAGAGTTTACCCATCTTTGAGAAATCTGGACGTTATATTGTTCTGCTGGAGAGCCTCTTGGGGAGTTTAGAAGCAGAGAAAGACCTGGTATTTATACTACAAGTGTAATCTGCGCAACACCACTCAAAATGCTTGCCATTAATAATTATGCTGGGACACTGACGAATCTGGGGCCTTATTCCACCATTGTATGTATAGTACTGGGCCTACGGATTGAGTTTCTGACAATGCTTCTATATTCTGATTTTCTCTTAGCCGTAACACAGCCGTTCGTGTACCGCACTGATACCGAGGTCCTCGCCCTTCGTCCGCAGTTTTCGTCCGAGCAGAAACGTCCGAGAAGCGAAGTGGTTCGCCTACTCATCGGATCTCATCCCGCTCTTTGAGAATGAATAGCAGATCAAGATTCATGTGGATCTTTGAGGACTTACACAAAGTTATGTTCTTCGGATAAGTTCCTCCAGCTTAGTAAGTCAACGAGGCTATGTTCCAGCCTTGTCGATCGTCACTAACCAGGGTGTTAATCGATGCTTTGTGTCACATAATTTCAACAACGAGCAACAAGGATCCATCTATGATCGGTTTCATATCTATGTTACGTGTAGCATAGGGAAGAACCTGCACAGGAACAATCAGGGCACGGCAAGTTGCAGCACCATTGTGGTGAGAAAAATTCTCATCCCTGGGTGGATTCAGGGGTGCACGCTCAAGCAAACAATCTCACCACCATGGTGCAAAGCAGGAAGCTTGCAGTAAACATCGAACTTCGTGTCAGCCCCTTTACATTCTGTCTTGCAGCCAAATCTGGACCTGATACGACATCTACCTGGTATTTTGGTCCCTGCAAAAGCAGATATTCCATTGACAATGCAGCGACCAAGCCAGCCGCTGCCCAACGACACAGATATCCTTCGAGCAGCACGCGCCCTCCACTCCCAGTCCCCACAAATCAGCCGCAATGAGCTCTGCGTCAAGCTTAAGCAGGACAACAACTGGGACACCGTTTCAAACAAGCAGATCAAGAAGGTGCTCGCAGAGTACGGCTTAGATGGCAACGCCGAGCCCGCACCTCCACCTACACTCCCTGCAAACGCCCTGGCCGCCCAGCAGAAATACAAGGACGAAAGTACACGGCTATTCCGACTCTACGGCCGAGGCAAGTACGACTTCGGTGTCAGCCCAAATTCAGATCAACAGATCAAGATCGACATTATGCACCAGCGGCTTTTGGATGCTGGATGTCCTGGCCCTTTCGATCCAACCAGCAAGGCCGCACTCGGCAATGCGTGGCCCCTGCAAGACATGTATGAGTTCTACTGGGCCGCAGCGCAAAAGACAGGAGGCGCCGTCACACGGGAGGATGTGGGCAGGCAGCTCGAGGCAGAGTATGGGGTCAGCCCATTGCCATACCTGAAAGAGCAGTCACTGGCGGAGATCAAGGCGCGAAAGGCAAAATCCAAAGAGGCAGCATTGAAGTTGAAGCGAGAATTGCTGAGAACGCCAGAAGGGAGAACGTACATCAAAACCAATGCGCGGGGTGAGCCACTCTGGGACGAAAGCATACATGGTGAATTTGTGGTTCTGGTGGTCAAGATTAACAAGGGGGATGGTTTGACTGAATATGTTCCGGTCTGATGGAGCACAAATTCAAACTCAAAGAAGCATAGAACACAACCACACTTGACCAGTTGAATGGCATCTCGTGTGGAGTGAACCGCTTCCAAGCTCAGCTCGACGCTTGTGCGTTGCTGGATGCTAGATGTTGAATTTAAATGGGCGACACCACAGGGTTTGACCTTGTTGAATGGAATGGAGCCTGTAGAGGGCTGGAGGTCGCCTATACACTCATCAGCATCACCAGTCAAGAGAATGTGCAACTGGAACGACAAGAGGAGACGCTTTTGATGGGTGGGGTCAGTGCTCTCTTTGTATATCATTGTCTCACACCGGTAAGGGCATGGAACACAAAAAGCGAAAGGTGCGAGGTTGAGCAATTTACGACCATCAGCCGCCTTTCGCCTTCGTATCATATCAAGTGTTGTTGTGGAATCTTCATGTGTGTGAAAACCAAGATGGAAGAAATAGAAAAGTGCTTACCTGAAGAGAGAGTGAATGTGCTAGAATAGCATGGACTAGCATACTTCTGTTGTAAGCTTATAGGTGGTCATATGAGGCCGAGGCAGCCACCTCAGCAACTCTTGCAAATCCCATGGTGTGGTTGAAGTGATCGAGTGTCAGGATTTTGCCCCGACTTCCATTACCTAGCTATCGTGGTTATTTCCCTGGAGTTGCATAGAAGTCATTCTTGGCTCTCAATGCCTGCACTAAGTCTCGTGCAAACTCCTCAGGATGCGATGCGAAGCCGACATGCATCCCGGCAAAGAGGTTCACCTTCAAATCAAGCTCATGGCCGAGCACGACATTTGCACGGAACTGCAAGGCTTCCTTGTTGGAGTCTCGACCATTAGCCAGAAGCAGCTTATCCTTGTGCTGCTCCAGCTCCTTCACGTCGAAGCGGCGAAATGGATATACCATCACCTCCCTCTCGAACCAGTACATGACATTGGCAGCGACGAAAGGACCTGCTCGGGCGTCCATTCTCGAAACGAGCCCTTCCCTCTCGGCGCCGGCCTTGATCATGTCGGCGAACTTCATCAAGGCAGGTGCGACGCCTGACTTTCGGTAAGTGTCATAGATATTCTTTTGTACTCTCCAGAGCTCGTCACAATCGGGCAGAAATTTCATCGCTGGAGGCTCATGCGGGATTAGCGTCTTGATGACGTCTGGATGGCGACAGAGAAGTTCGAGAGACACGATGGCGCCTGAGCTGTTACCCAAAACGGTGGCCGTACCGTCCTTTGAAAGGTGATCAATGAGGCACCGTGCATCGTCAGCATCTGTTTCGATGCGTTGATCGTAGTCTTGAGCCCCGATCAGGTAGCTGCGCGAGAACCCTCGACGATCCCAAAGTGCCACAGCGAATTGAGACTTTAGTTGCCCTGCTAGCATCCGCCAAATGTCAGCCGAGCCGTTCGCACCAGAGATGCACAACAGCAGAGGTCCATTGCCGACAGTTTCGTAGTAGAGACTTGCGCCCGGCACGTCGAGGTGAGGCATGTTTTCGTTGAAAAGACAGGTTCGTTCTGCCGGTTATCGTTCACAGACGGCCACTTCATAGCAAAGGGTTTCAGACAGCAGGAGCAGATACCTGGACAGATGACGTTGGCCGAAGCATGTCGTGTCAGGCATTCCACAGCTCCATCTGCTTGCGCAATTGAACAACGTGCGGAGTCATGGATCCTGAAGGCACGTGGCTAGCCGTTGACCCCAAACGTCCCATCGTTGATTTCGCCATAGCGGATTTCAAACTCACTTGGGTAGGATGCAGCATGCAATGAGGCAGACATGGTTTCGGACAGCTGGAGATGTTGTCGCAAAGTTGCACAGTGAAAGCAAAGGAGACCCATACAGGTATGCTTCACCGCAGACTGTGGTTAATTGCTTGGCGGCTCCAGTCACGTGGGCGCTCACCTAGAGGCTGCCGCTGACAACATCATCGGCTGGCGACTCACATTCTTCTCATCTCTCCCACCATTCAAAATCCGCTCAGACTCACCCATGGGCCGACAGCCTCTTTTCTGTTGCAGTCGCCTTGCATCTCTCAAGACAGGATCTACCATCGGCAACATTTGGTGAATCGAATTTTCAGATCTTTGTGATCGGCTTTTGCTTCCAATTAGTACTATCCACAACGATCCTGCCTCGCTTCAATCCTACCTTATGGATGTGGACAAGTTTTGTCGGTCGCGTCCACCGAACTATCAACAAGTCCGGTTAGGGCATACAGGTCCTCCTGAGGGGCCTTCCCCTGGTGCCGACCGTAAACTAAAATGGGTAGTTCCCCGACGGCGGGGATGCTAGGATAATGCGGAGGAGTACGAGTAGACTCCGTCATGATCGACGCAGCCGTAAACATGCGACCTTCCTTCTGGGGACGTTCCACCTTCAAGTTGAACTCATACTCTTGCGCCGGCGACGCATCGTGATCGCACCAACACCATCGGAACTCGAATCCGATTGACCACCCATTGAGGTACCTTTCCCTGCAAATACTACTCACATGCGATGTGACCAACTCGATCACCCACGCGTGCTTCTGCTACGCCAAGCTACATGCGGGTAGCTGTGTTCTCTCCGGAGGTTCTCCGTCTCTACGTTTCCTGTGTACTATTGCATTCGCCCCACAGCTCGAAGATGCACTGCCAGGTACATATTGAAGCTCGCTCCCAAATCCAGTCGATGCCTTGGAGGCATCATCGGTGGTTGAGCGTTCAGTCTTCGACTCTTCCGCGCAAACATGGCCAGGACATCAACTTTGGGAAGGTCCTTCTTGCATTCGTTCGTGCGTCTTCTGTCGATACTCGCCCTTGCTCACGCTCAGAACGCCTCAAGCTCAGTCTCCCAGTGGCCGGTGCATAATGATGGCCTTAGTGACTATGTCTCATGGGACCACTACAGTTACATCATTAACGGCCAGAGGACATTCCTCTTCGGCGGTGAGATGCACTATTGGAGAATACCAGTCCCAGAAATGTGGGGTGATATCCTCGAGAAGATAAAAGCCGCCGGTTGTAATGTGTTTACCTTCTACGGTCACTGGGGATATCATGCTCCCAATTCGACAACATTGGACTTCGAGAATGGTGCACATAACTTCACGAAGTTATTCGAACTTGCTCACAACCTTGGATTATACGTCTTCGTCAGACCGGGCCCCTATATCAACGCAGAAGCAAATGCTGGTGGCTTTCCTCTGTGGCTGACAACAGGGGACTATGGGACACTGAGAAACAACGACACCAGGTACACAGCAGCTTGGACTCCTTACCAGACAGAATTCGCACACATAGTGTCCCAATACCAGGTAACAACTGGTGGCAATGCTCTTACATACCAGATTGAAAATGAGTATGGGTATCAGTGGACCAATGCGACCTCGAAAACCCCCAACGAGATCGGGATTGCCTACATGGAGCTTCTTGAAGCAAACGCCCGACAGAATGGAATAACCATTCCCCTGACCCATAACAATCCAAATATGTACTCGCTATCCTGGTCTAAGGACTATGACACTGCCGACGTGGGTGGCGATGTGGACATTTACGGACTGGACTCCTACCCAGCGTGTTGGAGCTGCAACCTTGCCGAATGCACGAGCACCAACGGTCCGTATGTGGCTTTCGAGGTACAAGAATACTACGACCACTTTCAGTTGGCGGCTCCTACACAGCCGGAATTCATGCCTGAGTTCCAAGGTGGATCTTACAATCCCTGGGGTGGGCCGCAAGGGGGATGTCGCAACAACACAGATGAGTACTTTGCTAATCTCTACTACCGGCACAACATTGCAGAACGAGTAACGGCAATTTCCCTGTACATGTTCTATGGTGGTACGAGCTGGGGTTGGTTTGCCGCTCCTGTCACCGCTACCAGCTATGACTATTCGGCACCCATCTCTGAGGATCGCTCAATTAGCTCCAAGTACTATGAAACTAAGAATTTGGCCTTGTTTACGAGAGTCGCACAGGACTTGACCTTGACAAACAGAATTGGCAACAGTACATCTTATTCGACAGATCCTGCAATCTCGACCACGGAGCTAAGGAATCCGGAGACATACGCTGCATTTTACGTGACTATTCATGCGAACTCCTCGTCATCTTCTGTGGACTCGTTCAAGCTCAGCGTCAGCACGTCTGCGGGAAATTTCACCGTTCCACAGAAAGGCAGTTCTATCGTTCTCAATGGTCATCAGTCGAAGATCGTTGTTACAGACTTCCATTTCGGCTCAGAGACCTTGATCTACTCGACCGCGGAGGTCCTCACATACGCAAATTTTGATGACGCTCCAACGCTGGTGTTATGGGTCCCTACTGGTGAGGGCGGCGAGTTCTACCTGAAAGCCACCACTTCCGGCTCAATCTCTAAATGTGATGGCTGCTCAAATGTCGGGTTCTATGCAGAGAGCGACGGCCTCATTGTCACTTTCCAGCAACAAGCAGGATCAACCGTCCTCAGCTTCAACACAGGGACTCGAGTTGTGATCTTAGACAGAACCTTTGCCTATCCATTTTGGGCACCTGCACTGAATACAAGTCCGCTAGTATCACCGAATGACACCGGTAAGTGCCGGAAATCATATCCCGCCCTCCAATGTGCTGACGTTTTGGCAGTCCTAGTGCAAGGGCCATATCTGGTCCGTGGTGCTACCATAAAATCCCAAACACTTGCACTTACTGGCGATATCGACAGCGTGACAGAGGTTGAGATCTTTGCTCCCAAGTCTGTGCAGTCAATGTCGTGGAACGGGAAGTCCCTGAACACCACGGCGACCGCCTACGGAAGCCTTGTCGGTCAGTTGGCCGCGCCAGCTGGGTTTGTAGTACCACAGTTTGGTCCCTGGAAGGTGCATGACAGTCTTCCGGAGCGTCTGACAAACTACTCCGACGCAAGTCCTGCCTGGGTCGACGCGAATCACAATGTTACACCGAACGTGTATCAACCTGCGACACTGCCGGTGCTGTACGTGGACGAATATGGATTCCACAATGGCATACACCTATGGCGAGGATATTTCGACGGTCAAGCAAGCGGAGTATTTCTCAACGTCCAAGGTGGAACGGCATTTGGTTGGAGTGCTTGGCTGAATGGTGTTTTCGTCGGGTCTTTCTTGGGAAACGCTTCCCTCGAGGCAGGGAATATGACGATTTCCTTTTCCAACGCAACCGTCAACGCGACCGGCAACGTGCTACTTGTGGTTCAAGATAATAGTGGCCATGACGAGACAACTGGTGCTCTCAACCCACGTGGAATAACAAATGCCACTTTGATTGGCGATGCGGGATTTACCGCCTGGAAAGTCGCGGGCACCGCAGGAGGTGATGCGGCTCCTATCGATCCTGTACGAGGGGATCTTAACGAGGGTGGGCTCACAGGGGAAAGGCTTGGCTGGCATCTCCCTGGGTTTGACGATTCGGCTTGGGCGACCAGCTCTCCTGCAACCGGATTCACTGGCGCAGGTGTGCAGTTCTACCGCACCACCTTCTCTCTGGCTATTCCATCGGTTCAAGACGTGTCACTGAGCTTCAGGCTAGGTAGCCCGGGGCCAGTCGAGTTTCGGTCTCTGCTCTTCGTCAACGGCTATCAGTACGGGCGTTTCAATCCGTATATTGGCAACCAAATCGACTTCCCGGTCCCACCTGGTGTGCTCAACTATAATGGTGACAATACGGTGGCAGTCGCGATCTGGGCACAAACTGAAGCTGGGGCAGCGGTGGATGTTGATTTGAATGTTGAATATGTCGCTGACACATCGTACGACTTCACGTTCGACAGTGATTACCTGAGACCAGCATGGAATGCAGCTAGGCTACAATACGCATGAAGGTCAATAAAACAGCAAGAACAGCTCTAGCTATTCATAGTCATATACGTCGTGATAGTATTTAAGATCATGTGGTGGATGTCTAGATTAGAGCATAGGGCGGCGTTACCCTCGTCCCCGAACGGGCTGAGCCGCGAGCAGATTTACTTTGACCACAGCTTGACATCATATGACATCAAATGACGGATGTTTAAATTCCACTCAATTTTTTGTGGCAAAGACTCGTCGAAGGTTTTCCAATTCATTTCCTGTAGATCTTTGTAAACAGAACAATATGGCATCAGAGGACTCGAATAATCAAGGTAGCGGCGCCTCGACAAGCGAGTCGAAAGCCGGGCTAGCTGACGGGCTGGCTCCATCTCATAAATACGTGCCAAACCAAGGATATATGGAGAATGATGCGACCAAAGCTGGGAGACGATTAGCCTCGGGCAAGCTGATTCAAGAGGATGACGATGACGAGGAAGACGAGGAAGACTACGAGGAAGATGATTTCGAAGACGACATGGATGATGCTCAATTGGTCGACCCTGAATTCCTGGCTTCTTCGAACCCGGCAGATCTGACCAAGTCGTACAACCGGCAGAGACGATTGGACCAAGTAGCGGCAGATCCTGGTGTACCATCCTGGCAGTATCCCAAAGGCAATCCTCAGAAAGTGTCAAATGCCGACGTGGATTTGGGAAATTCCATGAAGAAGCTCAAAATCGAGGGCCTTGAATCTTTGCCGGCCGGCCACCACAAAGGAAAAGACAAAAGCGACCGGGCCACCTCCGAGCAGGTCCTTGACCCGAAGACGCGAAGGATATTGTTTCAGATGATCAATTCCGGTATCGTTTCCGAAATCAACGGCACCATTTCGACGGGCAAGGAAGCAAATGTCTACCATGCCGTGTCAGCATCTGAAGAACCTGACACGCCGGACACTCAGATTGCCATCAAAGTTTACAAGACCAGCATTCTCGTCTTCAAGGACCGGGAGAAGTACGTTACGGGAGAATTCAGATTCCGGAAAGGCTTCAACAAGGGCGACAATCGAGCCATGGTGAAGTTATGGGCAGAAAAGGAGATGAGAAACCTCAAACGAATCCACGCTGCCGGAATTCCTTGTCCAGAACCCCTATACCTCCGACGCCATGTACTGGGAATGAATTTTATTGGTGACTCGAAAGGCAAAGCCGCCCCGCGACTGAAAGACGTTGCATTCGAAGACGAAAATCCGACTGCAAGGTGGCGATCCGTGTATATCGACATCCTCGCATATATGCGTATCATGCTACAACAATGCAAGCTCGTCCACGCAGACTTGAGCGAGTACAACATGCTCTACCATAGCAACAAGCCATACATCATTGATGTTAGTCAAAGTGTCGAAGGTGACCATCCTCGGAGTCTGGATTTTCTCCGCATGGACATCAAAAATGTCAGCGACTTCTTCAGACGTCAAGGCGTTGCGGTTCTCTCTGATAAGAAGGCTTTCATGTTGATCACGCGACAGACCAAAGGCGACGGGTCTGACCTTGAGATGGACGTTCTGCGCCAGGAAATCGATAAAGTTATGGCCGAGCGGACAGACGATGAACAGGACGATGAGGTCGACAACGAAGTCTTCCGCAAACAGTATATCCCACAGACTCTTGATGATGTTTACGACGCAGAGAAAGATGCAGAGCAAATGAAGACAGCCGGTCGCGATACCCTTGTTTATAAAGACCTGCTTGCACCATCGAGAGACGAGAAGCGGCAGGCACTGTCACTTGAGGAAGACGACGCTCCAACAGAATTGGACCAGGATGTAAATCGTGGAGCTCCCCTCGAGCGAGGCGGAACACATTCTTCCTCGGAGTCTGGTGACGATGGCTCGGATGCGGGATCAGACAGCGAGTCAGACGGACCGCCCCGAGGAAAGAGGTTTCAGGATAAAGATGAGAAGCGCGAGCATAAGCGCAAGGTGAAAGAAGAGAAGCGTGAAAAGCGTGCGACGAAGATGCCGAAGAATGTGAAGAAGAAGTTGGTCAAGGACTCGGCCAAGCGGAGGTAGAGTTGCAGCTGTTGTTCTGTATTGGTATCAGGTCATGCATGGTCAGCGGCATTGCAGGCAGTATTCGACATGATTTACATGTGCATCGTGCGGCACATGCAGAGTAGGACCGATCCTGCAGTGGGCTAGTACAGGTCACCTGTCGAAGGTCAGCGTTCAAGCACAAATATCAAGTCCATAACTGGCGCCATTCAAAATGTGTTCAGCACGCCATAAGTGAGTACTTAGTTTCATGATGCTTGATATGTCTGTGATATCCGGACATGTATGTGTGATCAATCAGTCGTATGTCTTGTGCAACATTTTGTCCACAGTGTCATGGTCTAGACGTTTAGAATCACATCCACCTGAGCCCTGCTGTGTGTGCTAGCTTCGATGGAAGAGAAGATGAAAGAGAGACCATCCAAATCGGGACAGTCACAAGGTGTCTCGTTTCGCCGGATCTTCTCCGTGCGATGGAGATTAAAAACTTAACCCGCTCCATTTCATTCTCGCGGAAATCTTTTCCCCACAGACGATCACAATGTCTAGCAGTTGTCAGCAGCCCTAGCCTGACTGATTCCTCGGAAAGTTCAGATCGCAACTACTCGTGCTGGATCGTGTCACTCTCGCTGGAGTGCGACACAAGACTCAATCTCAAAGCCAGAACTTTCTGGGAAGTACTTTCTGATCAGTTCGTCAACTGCTTGCCGGGGCTGTCACTTCTCACACGACCGGTGGTCTCTTCACCGCACCTGGAAGCTTACGGTTCTCGTGAGCCCGTAAATAGAAAGGTCGGTCTGGTCAATTTCACATGGCTTGCGTTAGCGCCGTCTCTTGATACCTGAGAACCGACCGGCTGGCCGAAGACACGCAAAATACCGACTTTCTCTTGATCACGCGTGCAAAGAAAGCGGAGCAGAAAGGCGGAGTGCTGGACGAAAGTCAGGGTCGCTGGCCTCTAAAAGGTGAGGTACCCGCCATGTACCTTTCAACCGAGGCCACAGTGCAAAGATACAAGGAAAAACACGGGTCCAGGCCATCCAGTCGGCAGTTGGGAATTTCCGCGATTCAGGGCAAATTTCTAGCCTCAGTGGATCGTCAGGCACAAGATCCCAATTCCAAGGACCCAGAATTATCGTTCCAGAATCTTGCGCAACATGCAATCTCAGCAGCGCATTCTTGGTCACGCGCATCACCCAGCTTCATGTTGGTCCAGTTTCATCTCCATCCATTGGTCCAAGAGTCAAAGCAAACAAAACCCGAAGATGTAACTCGACAAGTCAAATTGGGCCTGTTTCGCTGTTGACTTGGTCCACATTTCGGGAAGTTTCTGAAGGACACATCAATAAGCTACATGGAAAAGGAGATACACTGGCCAGTCAACCGAATCTCACCCTTCGCCCTCTTTTCGTGTGTATACATATGTGGCTAACATCCGTTCGCCGCAGCAAGACGGTTTCCGTTTCTTCTGGCCCTCTGCTCGGCCTCCGCTGTCACTGTACACTTCCAATCACATGCCAGACAACACATGGCGTACTACGGTACTCGCCCTGAACTCACAACGGATTATTATTTTCAGCCCTGTCTCGCTGACGGCCTGGACCTGAATTTATCACTTATCGGATCATCTTTCCAACAAGGGGCGATTCCCTCAACAAGGGGCCATATCGCCAACTGGCGTCATCTAAATGGCCCAAATCAGGAACGGGAATCAAGCCAGCATCCATGTTGGGCAGAGATGGTCGTCACCCCTGCCCATCCTGCCCATCAAACTAGTCCTGTTCCTGTTCCCCGACCACTGATTAATGTTCCGGAACCCTTATTTTGGACCCTGACACTTCCGAACATTCATTCCAAACCCTGGCCTTGCCTGCTTCCCTAAAGGGGGTGGTTGCCTCTCTACCTTGTCGCATCCAAGGGACACAGGGTATATCACAGTCCTTCTGCCTCATGCTCACACCCCTTGATCCTCTCAACTTTCTTCCTCTTGTCTGCGCATATAGCGTGCTGGCGACAATTCTGGTCGGGTTTACCCTCCAGCAGACATGATCATGAGCCTCTCGACTCGCGACACATAGCGATAATGGGCTAAACGTTCACCACCTCTGCGCCATCCTCTCAGGGGTAATTGCGCCGGCAATACCAAATGCACCCTATTGCGACTTTCGACGGAACATTCTATCGCAGCGCAGCGCGACTTATTTTGAGCCACCAGCACAGTCATTGCAATCGAATATGTTGAGTGTTGGGAACATGTCATGACGCCTTTCATCTGCGCTGCCCCCGATAAGGCTGCGACCGCGCCGTCCCGCACCCGCTTTCGGCTCGATGTCGCTCAGGGGCCTAACCGCATACACCTACCTACCAACCACGAAAATACAACGACGTCCATATTACAATGATCCCATACGCCTGATGGCTTGAAGAACATGGACTAGGCAGACTTCAGACAACGCCGTCTCTAGCACGTCGCCGCCTCACTCGCCTCACCCTACAGCAGGCCTAGGCACAGACTGATGGGGCCATTGAAGAATGGAGTTCTATACAACCATACCGTTCCACATACTGGCAGCTGAGGCGACCTCCAAAGTGCCTGCCTCGTTCATGTCTTTCGAACCATTCGTCGCGTCAGCACGGGCATGGCCATCTGTCCAGCAGCATATTGTCCATCCCACACAGCCTCGCCACAAGCGTGGAACATCTTTCAAGGTTCAAGCAACGTTACCTCTCGACCTCGCCCTGGTTCAGCAAGTATGCCATCAAGCGCATGCTCTTACCGCGACTGACACAACGTCACTCGTGTACACTGAAGACACCTTATGCACCTGCGGCCCCGGAGTACCACGACTGTATGCTGCTCACTAAGATCATTCTTCACCAGAACAGAACACGTCTGTCAAGGCACAATGGATATTCTGGTAGTGTCCGAAGTCCACCGTCGCCAATACCAACGGCCCCGTCCCATATCGAAACACATCACTCCTGCTGCTACCGCATCCTCTCCTCAGCTGCCCACGCAACCCTACACATTACTCCGTCACCACATGGCTACACCAGTGTCGGGAAGAAGCAGGTACAGGTATGCTCTGGGCAGCACATACACGAAAAGCATATCGAAGGATTTGCCCTCCGGCATCGCCTCTAGACTAGCTTGTTGCGCCTCGATATCTACCAAATTCACAAGGATAGCAGGACACGAGCAGGACTGTACTGCAAAGCCCAACGAACCCAAAGTCCGAATACAGCCAGTATAATCTCCACGATGCACAGAAGTTGAAGTCAACGCACAGACCGCATCACGAACTTCCGTAATGGCGAAATGTCAACAGAAAGTCTGCGGCAAGGAAGAGTTTGCGTGATTGTTGTCGATCTCATTGCTATCATATGTGCTTGTCTCATGGTATGGTCGCTAGCTATACACAAAAAGAATAAAGCAGAGTCCGCAAGATAAGGGTTATCAACTCAACACCCGCCCTTGACGAACCTCGATACTTTTTGTCGTTCAACCAACATCCAGCCGTCGACATCATAGACACAACCATCAATCCATCATCCGAGCCCATGCAAGATTTCGTTAGACAGCATTGCACGTGGAGCGCTTGCTTCATCCATGCTGATCCTTCGCAATGCCATGTCCACCAAGTCCATCACCCCACGAACGCCAGGCTACCATGCAGTGGGACGTTCCCGCACAGGCCACAATGCCACGAGAGTAATGGACCGGAGAAGAGATCCCATTCCCCAGACAACTTAACGCCCGATCTTGATTCCTGAACCCGAGCCAAACCCAAACCATCATTTGCGAAAAAGGCAATTACAAGAAGAGAACACCAGATGTCAAAACTTTTTTAGCCCTTGGTATGGACCAACTGTTGGTCCCATTTCTTCGAACCTGGTACCGGTCTAAGCCCATTGCCCCAGGCTGGATTCGTACCAGTTCACTGGAGCGAAAGTGCTGTGGATTTTATCACCGTTTGCAAACAGGAGGCGCGTCTATTAACCATGTTTAGGAGGTTTCCGCCGAAGACGCCGATCGAGGTAGGAAAATGCCGCTGAAAAGCGGCCGCTCAAAATGATGAACTGGAAACAAATTGTCTGAGCGCTAAAAGAACAGCAGACAAAATCACAAATGTCGATTCAGCTTGCGCTCAAGATGCCGATTGTTTGCTTCTCATGTTGTGTTGGAAACGCTGCCGGTATTTCATGTGCCGGCATGGCGCAACACACAGAGCAAGAAGGTTTCAGACGTGGGAGCTGCTTGCATCACATCAACCCGTGCAAATCATGTCCCAAAGCCTTTGTCGACAAAGCTGGCCCCAAGTGAGACAAAGCTTGGCGATGACACCAACGGTGACTAGCCTCGAATTGCTGTCTGAGTGGGTGTCTCAGACATCAAGGTATGGTGTGATGAGTTGTGATAGGGATATCCGAAAGCAACTGGCGATTGCGATCGTGACCGGAAGTATGAACTGGACCGTGACGATGATCGAGACAGGTAAGAGTCCTTCGCTTTGGTCGACTGTGATGAAGGTGTCGGCGACATACTCCGAGGAGGTGTGGGAGTTGAGGAACCAGACGAATTCGTGGATCGAGGACTGCCTTCAGCACTCAAATCCAACGGAGACGCAGAGTCTGCAGCACCATCGACCATACTCAAAGCAGTCTTCGTCAAAGGTTCAGCCTTGGCCGTTCCAAACTGCAAAAAATCAAAATTAGCACTTCAATGTGTCTTGACTTCCTCGCTCTTTCCCCGATGTTGGGCACCTACAAAGCAGTACTTCTCGACCAGATCCGCATATTCACGGCTACTGAGTGAGGGTTTTTCGGACACCAGAGCAGCTGGCTTGGATGTCATAGGAGCAGTGGCTGGAGCAGGTGAGACAGCTTCAGGGACTGAACCATTGACGCCAGCATTCTGCTTGGGTGGAGCAATTGTGACGCTCTTCGTAGGAGTGGTTGCAGGACCATCGCCGGAAGACTGCTTTGCATCTGCCCTCAAAGTCAAGCCACTATGTTCACCAAGAGCGGCCACGGCAAAGTTCTTGGCGGCGGTCAATGATGAGTTGAAGTCATATCGATTGCCAAATGCTTGTCCACCGCTCACCTTGCGACGGGACGGTGGATCCGGCATCAACTCCGTCTTGGATCTTGGGCTCCTCAGCTTGAGCTTGGGTTCACCCATGAGGGCTCCTGCAGACTGTCCGAAGCCGAAGCTTTCGAAGCCAGTTGAGAAGTCATCAAACGAAGTTGGCAAGCCCTTTGGTCTTCCGGATGAGGTAGGTGGAGATTGGCGTGTGCGTGGCAGTGCTGTTATCGGCCTTGCACCAAGACCCGGCATGCCGTTCTTGCCATGTTGAACTTTCGTCTTCTTAGCAAAGTCGACTTGGTAATTGAAGCCAGCATTGTTGTCCCAGAACTCCTGACCATTGACCGTATAGCGGATGCAGAAGAACAGTGTCTTGTTTTCCAAGTTGGCTTGATCAGCTAACCTGATGCTGAAGTTGAATCGGTCGAAACCATCGCTTTGACCTCGACGCACATCGTTGTTGAAGTCGGCGACAACTTCGGACGTGGTCTTCCAATAGTCAAAAGTGAATCGAGCGACCACCTGTTTGGAGAATGCCAGATTCTGCACAGCGACGGAGCCGATGAGGTTCTTGTTGTCTGATGAAAGGAAGACACGTTCAACAGAGACGACCTGGTTTTTGCGAGCTTCAATGTCTGCTGCAAAGTTGGTAAGTCGCAGCTCCCATTCAGGAGATGTCGTTCGTGGCCGAGCACTGGCTTCATCAGAACCAAAGGGAAATTCCGAATCACTTTCATAGTTCTCTACAGGTGAGGATCCAGCGCTGACGGCAAGAGGCCTGTCGACCTGTAGGAAATGTCGAACGTGTTCGAGATGGGAATCGAAGTGGACTGCTTTCGAGTAGGTTGGGGTACCTGGCATACTTGAAGGCCGCCGTCTAGAGGATGCCCTGAGAGCTGGGCGAACCAGTTCGCCTGACTTCTTTCGGACCATCGGTGGACGATCGGTAGGCGGACCTTGGCTGTCGCTATCGCTGTCATCAGTGTCTTGTCGGGTGATTACAGGGGCCATCTGTGTTTTCGGAGACTCGAAGACGATGCTCGAATCAGTGGATGAGCGTGAGTGAGAGATCTTTCTGGCTTCTTGGGACAACGGAGGCCGCCGCAGTTGCAGGGTTTCTGTCTGAACAGGGCCGTCGAGTTGAGGGGCCGCGAGATCCATCTTGATGGTGGTTGTCTCGTTATTACCCTGGCGTCGGGTTGGTGAACCTCCTTTTCTTTGTTCTATCGACCTGATGGCTGCTTGTAACGCTTCTAGGTTTCCAAGCTCGATATCCCTCGATCGACCTCTTGTATGAAGATCCTCGTCATCGCTGGAGTTGTGGGAGGATTCGGGTGGGGAGATGGTCATGCCTGCGGGTATCAATGAATTGGATGCAGGAGGCGGCGATTGGCGGATGCTACCATATGGATCCAATGCCCGGTTTTCTTGGTATGCCTCTCCGTTGTGTAGGATCTCGGTCTGAGCGTCATTCAACGAAGGACTCCGTCGATGCTTGGTCAGATATGAGGATGATCCGTTGGAACGAGGGAGATTTGGACGACCGGATGGAGCCGGCGGCTGTGGAGACAGGAACTGTCCTTTGATGTATGAATGAGACCGGCTCGGAGTAGGACTGGATTGCTTGGAGGAGGAAGGTGATAGCTGAGAAGGAGGTGTGTAAGGCATTCGGTCGGTTTTGAGGTTGTTAAGCCCAAACCGGGAGCTGCAAAGAAGAGCGCGCTACGAGGCTCATCAAGAGCAGCCCGAGGAGGGCTGAAAGAATTTGCGGGGGAGAACAGTCTAATATAGACATCAATGTCAGTTACACGGTCAGAGCATTGTGCATAATAAAAATAAGTGTCGTGGTAGGAGCGTTGTAGGCGGAGAAACGATGGTGGAAGACGTGAGAGTTATTATCGCCGATTGCCCAAAAGGTTGTCTGAGCGCAGCCAGAGCAGCCGCGTTCAATATTTGAGGGCTTGTGCAGATCCCACAAAAATGTTTCGACGCCGCTACCATGAACAGAGAATTGGGAAAGGTACTTACGAGTTTTAGAAAGTAGCAGGAACGATGCTGGAAGAAGTCGGAACTCGAAGACGCTGGCCGCAGCGTGTTGGAAGGTCGGTGGGTGGTGTCCAAGCAACCGTCACCGTTAAGAAGTGCAGCAAAAAAGAGTCACGCCACGGGATCAGAGATCGACCGTACGGCAGTACTCGTAGATTGTCTTGCACTCTGGGACGTGACAGTGTACTTTAAGACACGAAGGAACAATGTGTCTTGCGGTGACAATGCAATTTGTGTCCTCCTCTTTTTCTTTGTTGCTGAGAAATGTTCCCACGCTGATCCGGATATGCTCGCTAATCGGTGGCCGACCGCTTGTCCAAACAGGCACCTTTTAACGTGGAAAATGCCCAAGACGCTCGCAAGTCGTTTGAAATTCCGGCTCTCCTTTGGTGATGTCGACAGACTAGGCTGAGGGTGATGCCTAGGATATGGGAGGAGAGGAGGAAAGGTGTTAAGGATATAGGACGAGGGTGAGTTTGGTGGATGGTGGGCAGAGGAAAAGCTGGCGAGCAGGGTAAAGGTGTTGAGTCTCGAGTGGCCCAAAGTAGGCAGGCAGTTGGGGATCACCGCTGGCAGCCCAAGGAAGACAGACACGAGAAAATGGGTGGACTCTCCCCTCTAGCCTGGAGAGCGCGGGTCGACCGCAGAGGCGAAAGACAGAGATATGACCAGGGTCAAGTCCTGCAACCAGGAAGTGGGCGGACTTTGTCGGTGGCGCACCAAGCAAGGATTAAGTGTCAAAGTAAACTCGGGTCGGTCGAAATCAAAGCTGCGGCTAACGCGTTGGTAGAGTTTACTAATGACGGGAAGACATGGGCCATGCGGGATAGCCAGACATGGGAGGGTTTTGCTTTGACGGACTTGACCAACAGAAAAACAAAAATGGCGTGAGGTGCGCAGGAAGATTTAATTGTTGAGAAGATGAATAACCATCGAACCGCAAGGTCAACCGCTGGAAGTATGGAAGATCGATCATGCAATGCCTCACGATAACACAGATTCACCGCCTTGGGATGGAGAGCAGAATCTGGGAACGACCACGTGATTGTATTGTGCACCATTTTGCACTCGAAAGAAACACTCCCCCCACCTTCTCCTGTCGTCGCAAGACTCAGCAAGAGTGCCACATTATTTCGTGTACAAATGCCGGATTGGCGCGGAGAAAATGTGTAGAGCGGTAGTACCATCTTGACGGTTCGGTATGCTTGCGGTAAGTTTTGAGGTTTAATTCATTTCATCCCCTTTCGAAACCCTGAATTGACGGACGTTGAAATGTGAATTCAATGACATCCAGCACACTGTTCGCAGCATCATAGTATCAAGATAGTTAGTTACACTTGTCACGTTGGCAAGTGGTGCTGTAGCATCATTAATTGCTGAAAGCGGAGTGCCGCTTGCGGAAGTGGACGGGCTTAGAAACCTCTAGTATAGATCGAAGGGGCCTGAGCGTTGAGATTCAGGTTTTTAGAGGCTTGCACGCGTTGCCGGGTGCTTTCATTTTCAAGCCTCCCCCGCTAGATACCTGGTACCTTAGAAAAGTGGCCGAAGGAGAAAAAAAAAGAAAGCTGTCTGGCACAAAACTGGGAAGTTTGCGACTTGTTGCCCACGATGATAGCAGTGGCTGCGCCAACCGAATGACGACTTGGAGCTTAGTACTCCGTACCGGTCTTTTTGTCCGGCAAGATCTGAAATTTTTTCGTTTCTCCCTCCAGCAACCACGGCCAAGTACGAGTATGGAAATCATGCAGTCAGCGCGATAAGCAGGAACTGTCACAGTCAGCATAACCGCTTCCCTCGTCCATCTCTGCTTCCTTCCGATAATACTTCCTATCTTGGGAACAACTTTGACCCTCCTACGCGTCTCCTGCACGGGGAGGTATATGTGAGTGTTGCCGGATATCTTCTGGCAGTGTAGCACAGTTTCACGCCTTTCCACTTGATTCACCTTCTGACAAGCTTACCGCCCATATCGCGTAGCCCAACCACTGGGGCTCCCCACGTCTTCCCACACAAGGCACGAACCAATCTCCCAACAAGAAAAGCTACCCACGCTGCCCCCTGTCTGTAGATATTCGTCGGAAGAACGAACCGCATCTCAACTTGGCCGCCAATGGAAAGCCTGGAGGCTCCCTCCGCAGACCTCTTGAGCCGTCTGACAACCTTTTCCCGTCCACGTCCCAGCAGGGGCTTATTCAAGGCATTTTGTGTTCCGGTCCGTCACCGAGCAAGATCGCTTGAAAGTCATTTTCAAACCAGATTCGTGCCTGGCAATCCATCGCGTGGAAAGCGCAGATCTCTACGCATTCGGAGAATAAGTGTGAAGACGAGCGAACGCCAGCGCATTGTTCCGGATAGTTAATCTGTACAAATACTCCGTGATGTTAGCTGGATTAAGTGCCTATGCCTGCACTGGCCACGTCTAGCATCGTAACAGTGGTAAGAGTCTTTTAGAAGCTGCCACACAACTATGTTTGACTTCGACGCCGAGGGGTACCAGGCAGGACACTCGAGCCTTGGAAACATGCGCCACAGTTGAGACCTGTAACAGCCCGGAGTCGTGACCTCTAGATTTAGAGTCGTCTTCTCCTCATCAATGTTTTGGGTCACGTCTATTCACTATGCACTAGCAAAGACAAACAACACTCGCCAAGTCCTTACATATGGCAGGAAGGATAAAGCACTCCTTTGTCTGACAGGGGAATTTTGTGGCACCCATCAGTGTCCGTCAAAGCGATTCATACCCCGCGACGTGCAAGATCCTCTGAAATCAGCGAAAGAAGCCGCATTCATCATTTGAATGGTGGGGAGGCCCAAGCACAAGTTACAAGACCCTGCGCACGTCGCCAACGCGCTCGCACTTGGCTGTTACCAGACTCAGGGGCTCCCAAATTCATAGGACGACGAGGCGACCATGTTGAATACTGGTTCCAGACTGTAGTCGTTAACAAGCGGTGAGCATGGAGCGTTCCCAAGTATTGACAACCAACATCCCTGGCGAAGCTCCACCGTGGTTCGATTATGGACGCTGTGTATCAATCCATTCGCTCTTTCCGCATGGTTCCCTGGACCTACCGGATCTCGCGGCTCCTCTCAAGGTCGTCATGAGGTACGTACCTTTGGCATCATGTGCGTCCTTGCGCCAATATTACTTCAGCATCAAAGTATCGACTCGAGATGACGTACAGCAATGTCCTTGAGATTAATCGTTGCTCATTCCATCCTGACACCCTGCGACCAGATTATCGACACTGTGATATGGACGACTTTCCGTGTCGCATTGCCAGCTAGTACCACCTGCAGGCCATGCGTGCCGCACACCCCACGAGTCATGACTTGAAAGGGCGGTATAGACGGTCAACCAATCACTTCGAACCGTGGCGCGGTCTGACTTTATTTGTGGGAGTTCGGGCAGATGCACGTCCTTTCGACAACCCCATGGCGGAAGACACGGTCTCAGGCCCCAGACGAAAACCTCTTCCATTACCTACTCCGTACGGAGTGTGGAGTTTTCAAATGCAGCAGGGGTATTGAGCCACACAATCATTGAGAGGCATTGGCTTCTTGCTGGCTGCTGTTCGCCTGAGCAGCAACCTGGTCCTCGCAAGGGGTGAGAGTAGGGGATATGCAGCACAACTCCCATACGAGTCAATCGGCCACAATTCTATATTCCTGCCCAAAAGGCAACCCACCCCGAACATTGCCCGACTAAGCATCAGAAACGCGAGATCCACGGTCATTTCCCACTGAGCACTTCGTACCGCTGCGACGGTCCAAGATTAGACACGACCAGAATAATGGTGCTGTTGATTCATATAATATGCACGGATTGTCGCAGGCCAGCGCCACTTTTTGCCGTCACATTTCTTTTGGCTGTCAAAAGCCGTCTCCAGGGATTGAAGTTAGGGGACTGGACTACAATACAAAATTCGTCCCACATTTCTCTTGACGAGTGTTTCTATTATCACATCTGCAAAGGGCCACAAATTGAGCAATATATCCCTTATTACTGTCCAAGGGTAAGATATGCAAGCGATTGCTGCAGGCGGTATGCAAGCGAGCCTTGGCCTCCCATCTCCAAAGTGGCTTGCCAGCGTACGCAGACAGATCCAGCAACTGCTCTTTGGGGCATCATGTTAGTGATGGTGTTCGAGACTCGCGCATGTTCGATGAAGATCTGTCACCAAAAAACCTCGAGGTGAGAATGGTCGAAACTGTGGAGCAATCTCCAGTTTACAGACTGACGCGAACACACTGGAGTGCATTGTTTGACGTGGATGACTTGCATTGTTGCCTCCTGTCATCGCTATCAGCCTATTTTCGCAGCATATCATTTGTATCATGGTTGATTTGGGTATGTTGCCACCTTTGCGCCCTCTTTGGGGTTTCAGGGTCTCGCGTCGATCGACCGTGCCTGTAAATCTCAAGAGGCACTTGAAGGAAAGGTTAATCGGAGTCCCTGCGGCGGGATACTACTGATGGTGGTTGACAAAGTCTAAGCCAACCCAACCCCTGAACGAGACGCCTTCTCGCCACAGGTCACTCGACTCCAAGACACCAGAACGCGTCGGGTAGACCACCCTCCACAACTTAGCTCCCGTCGACACGTCCTGGCCGAGCCCCATAATATTCGTATGCTAATCCATAGAAGTGAAGAGTTGATCCTGCAGTTTTGGGCGGCATATCACGCAACCACAACCCTCATGCACCCAACAGCCGCTATTCGGAGATGGTCCACAAGGCCAGCATACCAGATAATCATTAATAATCTTGACTTGGTAGTCTGAAGAACATGATGCCGTGAGTGCCGGTAGAATGGTTGCTTTCGAGTTTGAAACATGTGCACTTATCTCGTTGTCACATGATTTCGGAGAAATAAATCATCCGGAGCGAGGGGCAGGGCGAAGCCGCGCCTCTATCAAAAAATATTGGTAATTCCTCACAAGAAGCACCAAGCAACAACAACAATAATGCGGTTTCCGTTTGACCCTGCAGATGTCCGAAATGTTTTTCTTGTCTGCTCAGAGTGCGGTACCACTGTGTGCTAATCCCATCCCCATCTGGTACGGTGGCAATATGCAGTTACAACACCTAACGGCGCCCACCGATGTGAACATGTTTGTATACGGAATCTAATCCCCACGAAGGCGAATTCCTCAACAACACTCCAGATCCGTCCCGCACCGCAATAATCCAACCCTCAAATCTCTAAACGAACCCCTCGATTCTCCAGTCTCCAGTCTCCAGTCTCCAGTCTCCATAGCAAACCTCGTATCCCATGAAAATTCTGCAGCGTTGTGCATGGGAGCTCCACAGAGGCCAGAACCAAACCTATTTCTCCGGTGTTGAGGACGTGTTGTCTATCATTGCTACAAGAGGCGGTGTATATGCACTCCGCCAGAAGTTCGCTGCACAGACGAGGTCTCGCGCACCCAACAGAATGCATATACACTACACCGGTGGATCCGATATGGTGGTTCAGCGTCAAGAGCGTTTGAAGTTATGGTTCGAGCAACAGTTTGTCCGGCGCTTTCCCATTCATCTCCACTGTTGGGGTTTGGGGTCCATTGTTTGGTTATCAAGGGTATGGCTGAGGCTTATGCAACCCATCGCGCCCATCCCATCGCTGTATAAATATTCGCCGAGCCAGCCACATGTATCCAGTGAAGTGAACCTCATGCAACTACTACACTCTACCCTCGTACGGACATCCTGGCGGGACACCGAACGCCGACACCCCGCTTTAATGTGCAGCACTGCTCATAGGGATCGAGTTTTGTCATGACCGTCACGTCTGTCACTTTAAAATCTTGACATTTCGTCTGTCATTTTGATCTGGTGTCCGTCACATTAGAGACTTTCGGATAGAAGGCTTACTAAGGCGGCGGTAGCCGCCGAATTTTTAGTGATATTATGTAATACTCGAAGATTTTGGGAGATTTTTTAGGACTTATTCCCGAGTTAGACCCAAATTTGAGTACTAAATGTCGGGTGCTTCCTAAATAGGCAATTGACGCGGTTGTCTGTCATAAAACACCTTGGACAGTCATTTTACCCCTTGACACTGTCATTTTAGCCCCTGTCATGTCGGACACGATCCCTAACTGCTCACCGTTTCAATATGCCATATATGGCTGCGTATCTATGATCGCCGCACGATTTGCAGAAATTATGGATTCATGGCACACGGAATGTTACAAATAGCGCTTGAAGAGGGTTTTCTGTTGGGAACGCCTCCTTGCTGCAGTGCTGTCTATCTGCATGTCGGTGGTTTGGCGGGGTGCAGATTGGCCCCACGATCAGTTGATTTCTTTTGCATCTTGTTGTGCGATTGGGAGAAAGGGGTTTTCCATGGAATTGCCAAGTTTGACATGTGAAAGTGCTGGCTGACGCCTTACTCCACCTCAAACGTCTCTCGAAGAGGCCATCAGTCTGCACCCTAGTCACCATACGCGTTCATGGTGACTCTGGAGACTCGGTAGCCGCCGATATTGAGGCCCTGCTACCCATCTGGATCATGATCGTCTGGAGCAGCCGCTGTCCATCATCCCGAGACGTTACACACGGCTGCACGCATGTCGTACACCGCGAATTCACCACTGGAGTCTGGACCATCTCAACACACTGAGACATGCTGTTGCCAACCCCGCCTTACCCCGACCTTGAAATGCATACAGGAGTTTCAACTCGCTTGCGAGGTGATCGTCGCCGTTGCACGTTCGTCGCAGGACAGGGCTAACAGCAGTCGGCCACTACGATCAGCTACGCCGTTGACGTCGGCGATCTTTTGGTCGATATTCACACGAGGTCGTCCTTGGACACTACGGTCAGAGAGACTCCGAATTGAAGATCATGGTTTGATTATCGGGTGATATGACGATGATCTACCTCGACACTCCACCCGACATGGTATGCCACGACTTAGCACGCTTCACATTCAAGGGCATTTGTTTATCTGGTGGGAAGCTTCCTGTACTGCTTACACGTCCACCTTCCTCTTCAAACCTACACATGGATATCACGAACCTACTGTGCCATTCCCTTACCGGCATTCCCTGGCGATGTCGATCGTCGCTGCTCCTCATCATCCCAGACCTAGACTATCCTCTCAACGTGTGACAAAAGTGGTGGGTTACTCAGCAACTACTCTCCATCCAACTACACCTAATACCTCCTTCCAGACTGGACACGGCCTTCGGCGACCGGACATATCAGTCTGCGACAAGATGCATGGAAACCTTGTGCAGGAATCCCTTCAACTGTCGTGGCATGCCGTCCACGCCTATCATGATGCTTCGATGTTCCATGTTACGACACCAGGTCGTACGAGTATCACCCTCGTTAAACCCCGCAATATATGAGAGTTGAGTGCTTCGCCACCGCCCTAGTGGTGCACACATTGTGATATGGCAGCTCTCAATGATACTATCGTTGAACGACATGTGCACTACCAAGTTCGAAATCTCGCAGATCCTGCTGCAGGGTTTCTCGCTGACAGCATGACCCTTTTTGGCGACGGGATCATGCTGAGGAGGATCATCAGAGGCAACGAGACTTACCCAACGATGTGCCGGGTGCTTGACAATGTTCCAGTACATCCTCGATTCGCGTCTTCACGATGTGTTGCAACGCCTCTAGTCTGACCGTTGTCGTTGGCGGGACTCTCAACATCTCTGAAAAGTAAGTCAGTCGCTGGCACCCTAAAGTGCTACAGCTACAATTTACCCTTGCCAACCACTGGAAATGGCTTTGAGTTTCAGGAGCCCTCTCCCAGTGTCATTGCAGTGTTCCTTTACCGAAAAGAATTCTCCTTCTGTATGCCAGATGTTCAACGCTACCGCCTCGTTTCGTCCAAATCAAACGTACGCTAGCTCTTGTGAAATGCAAACATCCAACAACATCAATATCACTGTAGTAGGCGATCGCTCTCAGAACGCAAAATCGTCATGAGCATCAATTGGTAGGTCCCATCACCTCGATCGTCCTCACGCACACCTTGAACTTCTCTTCAACTCTTCTTCCAACTTCGACGCGCTGAAAACTCTCCTCCCTGCTGAAAAGCCCGAAACTGCCGAGCCGTTCAAGATCTTCTTCCATAGCCTCGTCTTCCAGCCGTCTGTATCCCTCGTTCTGAATGCCGGGCAGGAATTGAGAATGCCACGCCATGTAGATGTCTTTAGCATGCCGATTGGCCAATATCGACGTTGTGAAGTGTGCAATCTCGTTGTTCGGGATGGTGGTGGTCTCAGGCCCGTTGGCAACCTGTTGCGCAGTCTCATCTCCAAAAAGACTGTCTGTATCGTTTGCATTACCGTCCGCAGCCGCGGCGGCAGTCTCAGCCTCATCAACAACCGGCGTAAGTGTCTTCTCCCATACGACAGTATACAATGCTCGGTGTGCGACCACATTCTTTCTCTTCGCAGACCGAAAAGCCTTCTTGTCCAGATCGACGATTTCCTTCTCGATCCATACTCTGACTTCGACATCGTAGTCTTTGCCAAGCAGGAGGTGCTGCTCCATCAGGCCGTCCGTGTAACTAGTGTCCAGAGTGAAGTCGGCGTCCCGTCTGCCGCCCTTTGGTGGAAAGTGCTTGTGAACGTCCTCAATGGTCTCTCTCACATGCTTCATTGCCGAGTCCAGCTTGTAGGTTGACTTCAGAACATACTCTTCAGCGGTTTTGTAGGTGTCTACACCTGCGAAAGTGCCCATGACGATGTACTTGAAGACCTGCCGATCCTCTTCTTCATCTTCACTGTCGCTGTCAGAGTCGTCAGACGAATCGAGTTCGCTGTCATCCTCAACAGTCGTGGCATTGGAAATCTGGTTTGACGTGCTCAGACCCAATTGGGCTAAGTCTTTCTTTCTTTGCATGTTTTTCAGCAACTCAGAGTCGAATCGCTGGCTTCGTGGTGCTGCGGTCAATCTCTGCGTGGCATGTGTGCCGCTTTCCTTCTGTCGTGCATCCTCAAGGCGGTTGATCTCCTGAAGATCTTGGATGGCGTTGGGGTGTTGAATGTTTGACATTGCCGCCGGATCTGGGAAGCTGGACGTCGACGCACTTTGACCAGCACCGTAGACAAAGTCGGCGCCTTCATCTTCCTCACTTTCCTCGCCATCACTGTGGCGCACTTTACTCTCAGGGTTCTCGTCATACTGCTCAGGTAACTCAATCACTTCCAGTGGCTCGTTCGCTTGATCAAATAGTCTGAGCTTGGCTTTGTACTGCTCGCGAAGACAGTCTTGGCGCGCATACTGGGCAAGTCTCCGGTTCTCCGTTGCGTTCGCACCGTCGTACTTTGATCGCTGTGGTCGCTCTGGTCGCGGAGTCCGTACACGAGACGCACCGCGATCTTCAATGGGCTCTGAAAAGCGGACATTCTTCTTTTTGTAGCGCTTGTCCGCCTTGCTGTGTCGCTTAGCATGCATCCCTCGGCGCACATCGCCTAGCTCTGCGACTTTCTCGTCCACGCGAGCCAGCTCCTCCTTCACCAAATCGAGCTTCTTGATATCGAACAGCCGTAAGAGCCATTTGTCAATTTCTTCTGACGGGGGTTCTTGATAACTCTGAGCTCTTCTCCTCATATTGTCTTTGATATCGGCAATCCGTTTCCGTCTAAGTTTTCCGCACTCCCTTCGGTCGACGACTTGAGTGATATACTTGCGGACTTCGTCGAGCTCATTTCTTTCTGTGTCGGTGAACTTCCCTAAGCAGCGTAAAAGACCAATACTGTGCGTGGTCCTATCAATTGCCTCAAGATCGCGTTTCCGCTCCTTCACGGTCTCGTGATCAAAGATAACCTTTTGCTCATCTTCGCTGAAAGTCTCGAAGTTTGGAGGCAGTGTGAGACCGGCGAATGCGCCGGAAGGCTTTGTCATAGGTGCCTTGGCTCTCGGAATGTGTTGGTGTCTCATGGTAGAGGCCGAGGAAATTGGTCCACGCCTGCTGGGTAGCATGTCCAGGCCTGATAGGCGCTGATTTGGCGCGTTATCCTGGTCATTCTCGTCTTGATTGCGCATAGCGACAGACTTTGGCAACGGTACGGGCGTGATGGAGTCGGTATCCGCAGTCTGGGTCGTATCGCTTGGCTTCGAATGCACCACATCTGATTCCGAAAATTGTTGACTTGGTTCTTGTCCGCTGCCTTTACTGTTGGAGTATTCATTCACGCATTCCTCGTAGGACATGGTATCGCCAGCCCAGTGGCGGTAAGGTTCCACTGCAGTTCCTCGCTTTATGGCGAGCATTTCAAGGCCCGACGGTTGTGGACGCAGGGCGTCGCGCTCAGCCAGATTGTCGGAGTGTACTTCAATGGGTATACGCCCTGGCTGTGCGGTGCTCGAAGGATGAGCTTCGCCATTACGTGTAAAGGGCTTGACACTCTCGGCGTGTCGAGGCCTACCAATGTCATCTTTGGTGAAATGATTGCTCAGATCTGGAGAGCTCACGCTGTGTCCTATAGATGACTTTATGCTAGGGACAGTCCGCGTCAGCTCAAGCAATCGTCGTTCTCTCTCTTCCAGGGAAGTCTGAGAGGCAGGCGTAGGCTTTTGTACTGTATGGCCTAGGTGCCTGCTCTGGGTTCGGAACTGTTCAGCGGCTGCTCTTGAGGCAGGATTCAGTTCGCTAGGATCTTTTCTGGGACGGTGCGATCTGTACGAACGGTTCGTTAGTTGAGACGGAGTAAATCGGCTCGCTAAACGTACTTCAAGGTGTGTCCAGACATAGACTGTGTCGGTTTGGAATCTTGCAAAACATGTTGCTGCACGACATCGAGTAGATCTTCCGTATCCGGCTCGTCATTGACAGTGATGGCTTCGACACTTCGACTTTCCTGATCGCTTCTTGCAAAGGGAAGCATTCCTTCGTCAAGTTCAGAGTGGCCCTGATGTTCCTTTACTTCATTATCGACGATGCTCACATCGGAGCCATCGTCTTCGACTACCACAGTTGGGGAGGTGGTGGAAGACCCAAGAATCTGGCCCCGTTGCAAAGTGCGTCGAATAGCTTGCTCACGCAGCTTTCGACTCCGCTCAGCACCAGCCTTCTGCTCCCTTAACATCCATTGTCGGGCCTCTTGGAGCGTATCATCGTGTTCTCCATTGTCCACATTAGAGTCCGTAGAGACACTGGCTGATGTGGCTGGTTGAGAGACTGATATATTTTCACCTCGGAAGGCTGCAAGCATTCTTACAAGCTGCTCTTCCTTTTCACCTGCAGGTTGCTCCGAGCTGTCTGACAAGCCGGTTGTGAAGGATTGGTACCCTTCATCATCGAAGGTCTCGCCAAGATCGAAATCCTCATCTTGATAGAGCGGAAACGCTTTCTGATCACGCTTCTCGGATAGGGGATTGCTTTCAAGGGGCGACATTCCCGTTGTGATGAGATCATTGTGGTTCAGCGCTTCCGACCAGTCAAACTTGAAGTCGAGGACATTTGATTCCTCTCCGATAGCTTCCATCGTTACAGAGCCAGCATCTTTCTGCGGTGTGGCGAGACCGGCGATCTCTACCGCCTTAGGTGTAATCATGAGCCTGCGTTTCTTCTTGTGACCCGGGGACGGAGAACTCGCTCTTTTCGCAGGTATACAGGCCTTAGGAGCTGGGGATTCGGCACTTGTTGAGGTGGTTTTGGCGAAATTTCTCGTAGCATCGACAGTAGGGGCAGCTAGATTGGCAGTATGTGTGAGGTGGAGCGTGGAAGGTTGTGAAACATCGTGGCTTTGAGACGCTGGCAAGGCAGCGAACTGAGAGTTGCAAGATTGGTTGGCTGGTAGTGACTCGTACAGGTCATCTGATTCGTCAAGCAAACGCCAACGGCGAAGTTGACGTGCTTGAGATCGGATGCTCTCACGGCTTTCGATAGGAGGGAGTCGTTCATGGTGTAGTGTCGATGTCGTTGCCGGGCTTGATATTGCTTGTGTGTCGGTGTTGGATTCATCTAGTGCGATAATATCATCATCGATCTTTGAGGTGTTGGCACCCAGGGTGGACTTGTACCACTGAAGATAGGTCATTCTTAGAACAGCCGTTTCCAATCGACATGTAGGTGACGGTCAAGGCAGTTGAACTTGCGGGTAGGAACAAAACAGCAAGAGAGGGTCGGTGATGGAAGGGCAGCACAAACCCTAGGAAGCCCCGGAATGTGCAACGGTGAGGTATGTGGGGTTGACAAAGGAGTGGTAGAAGCCAAGCTAGCTTCGATGACAGACCCGGACCCCTTAGGAGAGACAAAACCGGAGGAGAGGGATGACGTGACTGGCACCAGTGTGAAGGATCAAGAGCTCTTGCATCCAAGGCACATTGATGGATGAGTAAAGGTCGGATGGTGACAGGCACAAGAAGGTTAAAGTGACCAGGAGGGAGCAGCGTCGTGAACACAGAAAAGAAACACAGAGAAGTACCCTGAAATGTTGAAGGATAGTGGATGGGAAATATCAGTGTGAGCACTCACATGAGGATAGATAAGGTTGTCGTAGTGGTGGTCTGGCAGGAAGCATGTGAGAGGCTTGAAGCTCACACCTCGAGTGATGGTGACTCAAGCAATGGGCGCTGCAATGATGAAGTTCTTCGCATCCAGTGCAAGTAGTCATGTCAATCATTCGAGCAAGTTCTCATCGAAATAAAGCTGACAGGTCGAGCAGGAAGTCATCCTTTCCCGCCAGTGTGCGACCGCCAAAACCATCAAGACAAAGAAAAAGTCGACTGACGATCTGCTAGGTCAGTAATAGGAGGCACGCGAGATGCGCAGCTCTTTCGAATGTAAAGGGTTCATGATGTGAGTGCAGCCACGCAGAGACAGATGAGATCAACTCGGCTGATGTGATGTCTGGAGATGAAGGAGAGGTAGAACGTGGACGGAGCCCGCCACTGCAATCAGTTCTGTATGGTCGAGCATGTCGCACCTGGCGCGTTCATCTTGACTGACCATCGAGGTTTGTATACACTGGCAAAGAGCTGGCATTTGGTGACATATTGTCGTCAGATTGTCGACGTTGAAGCACAAAATTCCCGAAGACTCTCGCCCTGAGTAGTGCAGAACGCGTGCCAAACAGCGGCTGCGCCATCTCCAAAGGAATCGTTTCCTAGAGTGTTGCGAGAAGACGCTGGAAGACTGAGTATTGTGGTTTTACCACGAGCCCACGAACATCAGCACATTGCGTCCTTCCCGGTGTACGATATAAAGCATGCAATGCCTTGGAAAAAGGAACTCTGAGGTTCTTAACCAGGTTCAACCCAAGACATATCGGCGTGCCAAGTTACAACACATTCCCGCTGTTTAGGATGATTTCAAAAGACGGCACCATTCCATAATGACGGATCGAATGACGGATCGAATGACGTCGGCATATCTTTCACCGTCTCCACAAGTTCCACCTGTTAACGCGTCTCCATTAAACGCGTTCAGACGCATCGCATTTTGACCATCTCGACAGGCGACACTGCTGCAACATCATATGCACACCACATCCTAGTCCATACACAGTCCGAATAAGTCTGAGTCATGCCATCGATAGCTTTCGAATCCCAGCCTCTCAAAGCGCCGCTCAACGACACTGCTCTCCGATTGCTAGGCGAGCTCACAACCGACAAGACCCGTACCACAAAACTCGCCAAACTCCTCAAAGATGCAGCCCAGCATCTGACCGAGACCGTGGGAGATGTTCGTGAGACCGCGCACGATCGGACAGAACGCTACGAAAGAGAACGGAGACGCCGAAAGGATAACGATGACGAGAATGACGTTGCCGAACAAGCACACGAGGAATTCCAAAAGGAAGTCGAAACTCTTACAAACAAGATGGACACGAGCATCCGCGCCATAGTCGACGACCAGATCTGGCTCGAGGACCTGCCAAACGTCCTGAAGACAGCATTCGACAAGGCCGCAAGAGCATCGCAACGCGCAGAACAATCCGGAGGTACTCAAATGTCGCAGTCCACCCGACATACCGTTAGCGACGACGAGGACGAAAACCAAGACGAAGAAGACGAAGAAGACGAAGAGCCAACCAACGGTCGCACCCGCTCTACCCAGACCGCGCCTGCATCATCAAACACACCACACGCTCTCCTCTCTTCAGCCCTACAAAAGCAACAAAAGACCTGGTCCACCAGAACACCGACCGAGAAATACGCCCACAACAACACCTACACCGGCTTCAAACGCAACTGGTTCGAAGGCGACCACCCAGGCGACGAGAAACCCCCCATGCCCGCCCCAGGACTATGGTTCGCCGCGGAAGAAGGCCGAGAAGTCATATCATCATCGCAACGACACCGACACGGCACCTCAGCTGAAGCCGATAACGACGACAACACCAGTGGCAGCGAGGTCGAAATCGCCAGCGAGAGAACCCGACTGAAATGTCCCATCACGTTCCTCTCCTTCAAAGACCCCGTATCCTCCGACAAATGCGGACACTCGTACGAGCGCTTCGCCATCCTAGACATGCTGAAGGCCTCGCAAGACAGACCAAAACAAGTCCGCTGTCCAGAATGCAACGTCCCCATGACGGAAGACGATCTGCAGCCCAACCCCTCGCTGAAGCGACGCGTGCAACGACTCCTCGCGCACGCCGCGAAGAAAAGAGCCCGCGGAGGAGAGGCGGCTACAAGCGAGGTCGATGGAGACGAGGACGACGAGGTCCGCGATGCAGGCACGCACAGACGACCAGTCGGTCTGGGAAGTAGTCCTGTTCCAGCCTCCACCGGCAAGAATAGGAGAAATGTCAAGGCAGAAAGGGCGTCAGGGAGTCGGCCTGGGACTGCGCAGACGGAGTCGTCAACATCGGGGATCCTGGATGTCGAGGACGATGATCTTGCTTGAGTCTGAGTTGATACCAGACAAAGATGCCTGTCGGCTGTATGATGCCAGGGCAGTGCACAATAAAGCTAAGATATTGAGTACGGCATCTTGACTAGCATTCGATATGGACAGAAATGATAGCGCACATCCAACACCGCACCTATTTTTTGGATCTACAAACTAATCCTACAGTACACAAGAAACATCTTCGTTTTTCTTTTCCACACTTCACTCATCCTCCGAATCATAGTCATCATCGGGCAAAAGACTCCTATACCTCCTACTCGCCAGATCTTCCTCCAAGCCACCCTCGCTCTCGGGGTCGATATAGCCTGCGAGTCAAAGTCAGTTTGCGTGCTGCAAGACAAAAGGAAGAACAAACTCACCTTCACCACCGAAAAAGCTCAACGCAACCGGCAACCACACCAAGGCATGAGTGCTAGCAAATATGACCAGCGCCAACCACACGCGGAAGTAGTAGACCTCGAAGATCTTACTGTGCGTAAAGGCCAGCACAGCCACGCCCAGAAACTTTGTGATCGTAATGCCACTGAACACACTGCCCCCAACGTTGACCAGGGCAGTCCAGGCTCGCACGTCCTTGCCCCGGAACTTGTGTCTCGCGCGCTCCAAGACCGACTTGCTGGGGAACATGAACGCGCGGGCAATGTGTGCGCAAAACTCGACGCTGATACCCACACATATCACCAGATTGACCAGTGAGACAGCATTGAGCGAAACATTAGCGAGAGCCATCACCCCGATTATGTCCACGACAATCATGACCACCGTAGCGGCAACGACCGCGCCTGTCTGCAAGGAACCCAACAGCGAAGATGTCAGCACAAATATGATCGCCACGGCCAGGCAGAGCAGCGTCGCGGTCAGACGGACTATGTTGCTGTACTGGTCGAAGAAAATGTAATGCTTGCTGTAAGGGAAGACCTTGATTCCATGCCGACTGGATATGTCGTCTGAAATCCTTCGTGCTGCGGCGTAGGAATTGATGAAGTCGTCTTGGCCGTGCAGTGGGGTGTGGAATGTCCGGAAATGACTCGTGGGGATGTCTGTATGGTTCTTGTCGATGACCACCGCATCCGAATACGCAGCTTGTCCGCCATTGGGACATTCTTCGTCCGTAGGAGCGTGGATCCATTTCTGGATGTACCGGATGAACTCTCCATCCTCAGGCATGCCACCAAGGGTAATGTTCCATTCTCCTTCTTGGAAGCAGGTATCTCCATTGTCCTCCTTACAGCAGTCAGAGATTGGGTTGAGCCAATAAAAAAAGTCGTCGAGCCAATTTGCGGTAGCGGAGTTGATGTAGCTGACTTCGGGCCGCTTAGACTCTTGCTCCAAAATATAAGCCAACGAGTATTCGTCGCATGTGGTAAAGCCGCCACAGAGTTGTTGCTGATGTTGTCTTTCCGTAACGTTTACGTCGCGTGTCACAAAGTACACAGGCGGCCCGGATCCGAAATAGTCATACAGATCATCGAAGTATTGAATCATGTAAGAATCCGAAGGTAAGGCGATACGTTGGTCCAAGCCCAATTCCACCCTCGGGATCAGTGCAATGCCGGTCGCGAACAAGGTGACGAAGAATGCCATTACGAAAGTCTTGACTTTCTTGTCCAGGAGACGCGGAGCGTAAACCTTGCGGATGAAGCGTTGCAACCAGCCCTCTTCGTCGCTACCGAAAAAGTGACCACCAGGCATGCTGACCGAGTTGGCTCCTCTCACCGTGACGCAAGGGAAGCAATCTGCTCGGAGGCTTTCAACGCGTCTCTGATTCAGAGCCAGAACCGACACGAACATTGTGACTTGCAAGACAGCATTGATGAACACAGCTCCTGCGGCATATGCTGCAAAGTTCTTGACAGCAGGCATTCCGACGAAAGCACCCATTGCAAAAGCAATTGTCTCGGTGGATGCTGAAAGCAAAATGCTAGGACCCATACGACCCAAAGCCTTTGCAACACGTACATCGATCTCCTCGTCAGGGTGGCTGACATTGACTCGCTCGAATTCATGAACAATGAGAAAAATGTTGTCGACTCCAACTGCCAAAACCAAAAAGGGAATGACTTCTGCGATGATCAAAGTGACTTTCACCCCGGCAGCAGAGAACAAACCGACAGAGCCGGAGACAGACATCAGGACAATCACAATGCCGACCACGCCCAAAGTGAACTTGGACTGCACGAACGCATTCGAGGGATGATTGAGAAGCGATTTCATGGACAAGCTCGCCGAGCCCAGAGCGAGCGAAGCGTAGATGAACATGACAACGTAACTGATGGCCACAATTTTGGCATCGGTGTTGGTCGACTTGTTCAGCTCCTCCTCGAGGCTGATCTCTGTGTTGAAAGACATGCGTAATCCGCGAGCTCGGGCAGATTCTTGATAGATTAGCAGGTCATGTTTCAGGGCACGTTCCCATTCTGAAGCCCTGGCCTCGCCTTCTGTTCCCGGTTGGTGATTGTTGACTACCCAGGTCGTGACCAGTGCTTTCGAATTCAAGATGTCGTCAACGCTATCATAGCCTCCGAGGATACGGCCGGGCTGCAGGGGGTCCATGAACTCTGGAAGACACCTCTGGTCACCAGGATGGGCCGCGCATAGTTCGATCTGGTCTTTCCAGTCGCTGGTAAGCCCGGCCCCGAACCATCCGCTGACAGACTGAACCACGCATGCCGAACCGGTAGGCTTGAAACAAACATCCTTGAGCGTAATGCCGTTCTCTGAGGTCATCATGCGCGAAATGCGTTCTTCAACGTCGAACCACCAGTCTAGGGTGTCATACTGCAAGACGGAGCTGTTTGAAGCCGCGGAGTCGTTGACCAGGAACACTTGCTCCGTTCTGTAGAAGGGACCGAAGTTCTCATCGAAAAAGGTCTTTTCTTGAGCTGCGTCAGAGCTGGGACTAACCCATAGACGAACAGGATCTCTCTCGACCTCGAACCTCAACCACCCCAAGCTCAACAGACCGATAATCACGATGTTGGTGCCAATGGTCAATGCTGGATATCGAGCACAGAAGCCACCAAGCTTGTTGAATGCTCGATCAAAAACCTGATTTAGGTAGTAGTTACGTTGTGGTCGTTCCAAGAGGCCAGGATTATGAACGAGATCGCCCTCATCCTCATCATCGCTCGGGGCAGCGTCTTGAAGTAGCTGCAGCCTCTCGCTTTTCCACTGCCTGTGCTTTCGGTAGGCCACATGGCCGGAGATTGCCGTGATGAGCAGAAGCAGCGCGATCGAGTAGATTATGATTACCGCGAAGGACAGACATGGCAGTTTTCCGACATGACAATACTCGACCGAACTGACAGGTTCTAAAGTGGGACACACAGCTGGACAGTCGACACAGCTGCACCGGTAGTTCGGGTCGGTATCATTGCAGGCATAAACCCGAGGGTCTTGCTGCTCCATACCTTGCGCATCTTCGTATCGAGGTTCTTCAAGAAAGTTGATCTGAAACGGGCTGCCCAGCAGCTTCTTGTCGCCCAGAAACTTCGTAAATTCGGTGTAATTCTCCGCACCACCACCGATAAAAGCCATGGCTTTGCCGCCGCTCGCGCCGTTCTTGACCTCTTTGCAGCTGTCGTAGAAGCCGCTCTGGTATTCTGTTGACCATATGTTATCGAGCTCGGTGACGACATCCTTCCCATTACTGGACTTTCCCGTGTTCGTGACGTTGACGAACATGGACTGGTCCGGAGAGCAGGTGAATGTACAGAAGATGTTGAAGAAATTCTCCTTGCAAGCAGGACATGAAGCAATGATCCTCTGTGCGAGGTTGAGATTCTTTTTCAGAGTGTCCACTTGTCCCTCTTCACAGCAGACATCGGTATCCTGCCATTTTGGTCCACACAGATCCACTAGCTTCCCACGCAGTTCGTCAGAAGGAGCAGATGCCTTTCCATTGTCAGGACAGGGCAGGTCGGACCCGAAGAAACCCTGCTTGCCACAGCTGCCACGTATTGCGCAGCGACCAGCTTCATGAAGGGGTGTCGCAACGGCGGACGCGAAAGGCATGGAGCAGACAGCAGCCAAAGCCGCAACGGCTGAAGTGGAAAAGCGCATTGGAAGGTTCGTCAGTCGGAGGAGGAATGGCTGGGGTTATGTTTTAACTCGAATTGGGCGTGAAAATGCTGTGGCTCATCGTGTAATCGAATAATGCAGGTGCTAGTATGTGCTCCAAGAAGCTGATGCTAGAGGAGTAGGCTCGATAGCAATAGATGTCCAGGAATTGGTTCAAGGAAGGAAAATGAGTGGTGTGTTTGTAGAATACCCAAGCAGGCAACATGCGGAAGTTGCAGATGTAGATGCAATTGTGGTTGGAGCCTCGGGCGTTTCCCACGTCACCGTTTTTGCTGGTCACGCTACAGTACATGCAATTAGGCGTTCTCCCCACGGATCGCTTTTACCCCAGCCACGCCACTCATTCAGGCACTGTCGTCGGAGAATAAGGTGCCTAGGTAAATTAACAGCTAAGAGCCAAGTTTAACGGGCGGCTTGCAGTTTCAGGCACCAAGAGTCCCGACACGTCATTTTCAGGTTCGCAGATGCTCTTGCTCGAGCACCAGCACCCACATCTTGTAGCGAGCAGTGGTGAGGGAAAAGAAAGAATCTGCTGCTCCACAGCAACAAAGCAGAGAGAAATCCTGACCCATCTTTTGTTCTCGATGACTTTCTCGGCTTGAGCACACTATTGACTTTTTTTCTGTTCTCTAACAAAAGAGTAAAATACATATGTGAAGGGAATCTTCAGCCGTAGAAGGAACCCGCCAAATCTCCCTCCTCAAGGTCGAATGTCAGCCGGTTCTCGATTCCAGCCAGAGCCTCCCATTTTTGGCCTTCCCATGGCGCCTCAATGATGCTCAAATCCGTCTGTCGCTGTAAAATTTGCGACAAGTTTCCTTCGCTCAGCAGAATGTGAAACACGCCTACTTCGAGTGTCGATTTGCTCAATTCTCTCCCGAGGCAGCTGCTGGCTTCGTCTCGCTGGGCTTCGACTCGCTTGGTTTTGCGTCCGATGCGCCTTCTGTCGCTTTCTGGAAGCCGCCTCGTCCTCCGCGACCACCGCGACCACCGCGATCATCCCCACGACCACGGCCCCGGCCCCGGAACCCACCTCTACCTCGTCCACCTTCACTGTCACTTGCTGCTCCACTCTGATATCCTCCTCGAGTTGGGGGCGTGCTGGTTGCAGTCGATGCTCCACGGCCACTGCCTTGCCATGTCCCGGCGCCGCCTTGGCTGTGACTGTCGCGCTGGTGCTGATGGAAGCCTGTGCCTTTCTCTTCAAAGAATACAACTCTCGGAGATTTGCCGTTGGGGCCCTTGTGCTTCTGGACTTCGGTCTGAGCACGAGTCAAAGCACCCTGAGCAACCTCGTGGTTGTCAAACTGGACTCTCCAGTTGTTGTACTTGTTGCCCATGCGGAAAATGTTCTTGATCTTCTCGCGATCCTCCTCGGCAAAGCAATCCTTGACAGCCTGCTCCGTATCAACGAATGATACGTAAAGTGCAGTCGGCGGTTTGCGCTCTGCCGCAGGAGTTGCAGGCTTAGCCTTTGATGTTTCGCTGTCGCTTACCTTATCTCCACCAGCGCCATTGGTGGCGGGGGTGGCAGGTTTGGCCTCGAACGAAGATGTGGTGGGAACTGCACCAGACGAAGGCTGTGGCGTGAGTGGTTTGCCCTGAGTCACGGGTGGTGCAGGTGAGACCGCAACAGGAGGCGTGGCTGCCTTTGAACCCGGTGCCGGTGCTTGTTGGGCGGGTTGGTTGGGTCGGGATTGCTGTTGAGCAGCTTTCGCTTGCTGAGGGAATGGCTGTGTTGGCGCGGAGAATTGCGGTGTACGATTCTGCGCTGGACCGGTTGGTGCTGTCAATGGTGGTGCCTGCGCTGCGCTGACGGTAGCCGGAGGTGCAGGTGGCTCTTGAGAAGCTTGAGCGTTTGGCGACTTTCCGCGATGCGCAAAGTTGAAGCCCTGAGCACGCATCTCTGTGCCAATACGACCGCCCTCAATTTCAAGGACCAGATAGCCAAAAGCGGCATCCGCAAGGTTGAAGTTCCACATATTCTTGAAGGCACTCTCGTCCACCTGCCCTGCTGCAGTGCCGCCGACTGGACCGCCGAAAGGATTTCCTCCGTTCGCAGTGCTCGGCATCTTTTCAATTATGTCCAGCGCACTATGGAGGAGTTGTTTGTGATTGACATTGGATTCAATAGCCTGTTCAACGTCGATCTTCACCGTCTCCCATACATCCTGGAAAGATGCCTTGGATGCGGCCAGCTTACCACGGTAGTGGTCCAAAGACGGGTTGACAGAGAATTCGTTGTAGGAGCTGCCATATCTGAAATGTAGACCCGCGGAAATCGAGAAGTCGGCCTTCAAGGTAACAGATAGCTGGTTGAGAATACCATCTCTTGCCGGAGACGCATGCGTAAGAAAGATGCGGGTTTCTGAAGGGTCATAGACACGATTGGCGGTGTCAATCAGAGAGCCGATCTGCAGCAACGTTGTCCACATCGTTCCTTGACCACCAGCAATGTATGTCTTGCCCTCGCCGTTGTCGAAGAGCTTGTGGATTACGACCGCACCACCTAATCCAAGCAACCGTAGTTTCACGCCACCAATGTCAAGTAATCTGGAATTGACTTCGTCGATGATGTGTAGGTTGTCCACCTTGTACTCCCCTGATCGGAAACGCTCCAGGACCCGCACATCTTCACAGGCTCCCCATACAGTGTAGACCGGCACGTCCAAAGTTATCTGCTTGTTGAGGAGAAGAGGCAGTTCGGACAGAGGGATCTGCTCTGGAGGGAACATTTGTTTGACCGGCCGAGGAGGCGCGGGCTGAGTGATCTGTTTCTTGACATGTTCACTCAATAAGGGTGAATACTGGGCGACATGTTTCAGAGTCCTGTTATGATTTCAGCTTGCGTTCATCCAACTCCGCCTCAGAAATGTCTTACTTCTCAGCTATTCTCTCCAGCGAAGTGTGGTCATAAAATCCAAAATCACCGGTGTGAAGGATGTAGTCGGCTCTTGCAGTTCTTGCCAGGTCATTTAGAGATTTGAGGTTACCTATAAATCTTTAGTTCGGGTGGTGCGATGTTTGATGAATGGGGAAGCTCACCTCTGACATCCGCAATACATAGGACACGAACGGCACCAGCTTGGATCACACGGCCATTGTTTGGAAGAAGGGCCTGCGCTCCTGGAGTAGGACCAGATGCAGTTCCGTTGGGTAGATATCCTTGATTAGGGAATTGCGGTCGTGGCTGTTGACGGGTCAGAATCGACGGAATCGCAATTGGGGCGAAGCCTCTGGATGCCATGATGATTAAGAGCAATGGGGATGAAGGGAAGAAGAAGTGAGAAATGGGAAGATCATCAAAGACTTACGGAAGCCATGAGTGAGTGCAAATTCGCAAACAGGCAGTGAATGATTCGGTCTCAAGACAAGGCGCAGGCTGGTTCAGAGGTCGCGCGGCGGAAAAAAAGAAGAGCGACGCGACACTATTAGTATTACAGGAGCGGCTGGTGTGATGGAGAATATAGAGGGGCGATCCGATTCACAGGAGCGCGGACAAGATAATAGTCGACAATGGTTCAGAACCTGAAATGGAGTGAATGTCTGAAGTTGTCTGAAATGTACATTTCACCCTCACGAAGCACAGCCAAAGCTGCACCAATCCATCCGCCAAAGGGAACCTTCTCACATCGGGCCTTAGCCTCACTTGGCATCGCATGCCGCCTTTCCTCTTTTATACATTGACTGACCTTAACATGTACAAACAGGCGACACTGGGCCATAGATGAGAATGATTTCTGCACATCTTATTGAGATCCTGCTTATATTGTATAGTTGGATTTCAACTATAGCAATCTGATTTCAAGATGTCTGATAAAGAGCGTGGTAGCACGCATCACGAGAGAAGTTGGTACATTCAAAGGACGATTCCTCGCAGCCATAACTCCAAATATACCACGAGTGGCTCCATAGCTCATGCATACTCGTTTTCCTCCGTGATTCCCATTTTGATGATGGTCGTAGCATGTGGTTCGCCCTCGTTACTCGCCGTAACTCCAAATCAATGGACCTCCAGCCTGCCTTAAGTGGTACCGAGGATCTTGTCGACATCCTTCCTGTCCACCACTGCACCGCCTTCAGAGCACTTCGCCTTCGCGCGTAGCTCGCTACAGAGGTTGTCAATGTCAATTTCGCCATTGCGGAATTTCTCCATCGATTGAAGACGATCCCTGGAGCAAGTGTTAGTCAAGTCTAAACACCCAAATCCAGATTGTACTGACCATATCTTGTTACAGCTCATTGGTTTCTCAGTGTCAGGAACGACATCTCCATTCTTAGCATCCTCGACCTGTCTCATGAGATCACCCTTGGGCTGCTGATCTGCCACAATATCGTTGTAATTGTGGAGGGGGCTACCCAGGTCAGGCAGTGGATACGCATCGTTGAAAAATGCTCCAAAGTCTTGCGACAGAATGTTGTCTTGAGTCTCCCGGTAATCACCGAACAAGACTGGGTCGAAATTGTTGTTGTTTTGCTGGGCAAGCCAGTTGATGCCGTTGTTTTCAAGGCCAGGAGTGCTGTTAAAGAAGCCTAATGAATTTTCGTTAGCCATTTGAAAGATAGCCGACACAGGAGAATCTTCTACGTCGCCAGAAGCCAGCTGTGATTGATCACAGCTATAGTACTTACCACCGAATGCAATTTGGTTCTCTTCCTGAATAGGATTGAGGCTGAGGTCATTGACCTTATTCGCCGGTGAGTTGAGGCTCGGCTCAGGAGAAGTGCCAATGGAAGATATGTGATTCTGTGACTCTGTGGAAGAACTTGGCGAGTCGGAGTTTGAGTTGGAGATACTCGAGTTTGGGTATAATCCAGGCGGATTGCTTGAGACGCCATTCTCGATACTCGGCCGTGAATTTTGTGTGGTGGCGTTATATGTAGTCTGGGGGAAATAACCACCCATGGACGCATGTCGGCTTGCTTCGAGAATCGAGGGACTGAACAATCCCGTCAGGCTATCGACACTGCCATGCTGCTCCTTTTGAGTGGTCTGAGATGTAGAGGACGCCGCCTGGCCGTTACTCAGAGGCGATTGGCTTAGAGATCCAAACCTAGCGGGCTGGTTTTGAGAAGCTGAAGGGGAACGACGATTGTTGGTACTCGGATTTGGAGACTTCGAGGCGGCTGTGGGCAATGATTCTGCTCGCTTGGCAGTTGCGATCTGCTGTTTTTGAGCAGTCGAAGTGCCGAACAGCTTGGTGGCGGGCATTGGTGGAAGATCGCCAAACTTGGGAAACTCGAATGAAAAGTCATTGTTGCCCGTGTTCCGGGCTGGCTGAGTCACGACTGGCTGAGACCTGTTCAAGCCGTTACTGCTGATCCATGACAGTCGTTTTCTATATTCCTTCAGTTCGACCTGGAGTCGTTCCACCTGGGCTCGGAGGAGACCGTTTTCATGATTGGTGGATTCCGAGGCCTTTTCAAGGTCCTCGACCTTTACTTCCAGATCCTTAAGGTGCTGCTCCTTGCGTTCGCGGAAGGCTCGCTGAGCGGCACGGTTTTGAGCCTTTCTCTTCTATGATAAGGATTAGCACAAAACTAGCAGGATCGTGAGCCTTGTACACATACCGACGTAGGTTCGGAAGTCAATGGCTTCCGTCCGGGCTTTTTGGCAGTCTTGTCTTCTCCCTCGCGTCGCTTTCCTCCTCTTTCATCGTCGTCATCCTTTCCGTCGATGCTTTTTCTCTTGTCATGGAGCACGCCAGGGATATCTCCAATCATGCGGGCGTTCTCATCAAAGTCGAAACTTTCATCGCCAAAGTCGACCTGAGGATCAAAATCCAGAAAGGGGCTTTCGTCGCTGAAGTTGAGGTTTCCGGATCCCGGCGCACTAGACATACTGGGGGTAAAGTCGAGGCCGTGGGAAGACGTCTTCCGTCCTGTCGAGGACTGATTGGAATTTAGTGCAGCCATAAGGAGATCTTGTTGTTCAGGTGAAAGGAAGAGGCCTTCTGTGGACTGACGCGACATTGAAATTGAAGCGCCTGGTGAATTGCAATGTTTGTCTTCTTCAGAAGTACGTCGACTTAGATTGAATGGAGCAGTTGACCGCGGAGGTGAACGGAACGATCGGAGCAAGAGATCTGATCCAAGAGCCTCTTTCCACTGCGTGTAGGAGCAGTATCAAGAGGTCAGCTATGCCGGCGTGGAATTGCGGTGGTATTGGAAGGCTGGATGGGAAAGAAAATGAGTTGAGGATGACAGAATAGTGGGTAGTAGAAGTCAGAGCGTGGGTAGGCGGGGCGGTGACCGCAGAGCAGCGCACCCTGAAATATAATAATGGGGCTTGAATATAGTTTCCGGTGCCAGTGAATGAGGTATATGACAGGGAATTGACCTCCTTGATAGGACAATATGATGTATGCTAACAGGCCGAGATACCAGAGCGAAAAAGGTACCGGAAAGACAGAGTGGTGAGATCTGGTATGGAGAGAATAATGGTGGTTGTGGTGGTTCGAGGGACTGATGAGCCAACGAAGGAGGAAAGTTGCTCCCTCCCTCTCTGCACCACGCCTCAAGCGATAATTCAGTCCCCTGCCAAGAGGTCCGCCATTGAACGCAGTCCACTCTTTTAATTAAAGCCGATACACAGTAGGGACCCCTCGAATACCAGGTAGCTAGTATGAATTCAGCCCTGGTAGCCTGGAGACCGCCCGGGAATACATGGAATATTCTCCCGGGTTTAGGGATCCGGGTGCCTTCTCTTCCATTTCAGATAAAGAACCTCAGTCTCTCCATCAATGCAATATGTTCCTTCTCCCAGAGACATGACTAGAACTGGAATAACGAGGAAGATCCTGGCCCTGTTACAGCCTTAGGGCGTTCAATCTGTGGTTCTGAGTGGAGGAAAACCACTCGGAGGGCCTGGGTGAGATGTGGCGAACTATCCCCCAGTGGGAAGCATTGACTTGCTTTGAAGTTGATTTCTAAGCTGCTCAGAGTCGCGGCTGGTCCATGCCCATCCATGATTGACCACCCTCAGCACCGATTGAGTTGCGAAATTTCAATCAGGCACTCTTCCCGACCGTTATCCTGCTGCAACCAATTGTAACTTGATTTTCGACTGCTTGGACAAATGAAACTCTCGCTGGCGTGGCATCTTTTGAACATACATTCTTGCAGGAGACTTGACTCACGTTGCTTACTAGTATTGAGGTCCTAGCCTCAAATTCGCGACGTCATTCTTCTCATGGTCTCGTATTTCGTTCTTGTCACCTGAGACTCTCGGAATCACTGATGCTTCTGCGTGCGGAGCAAGCCCAGCACGCCCGGAAAGGGCCTGGGAAGACTGCATCGTTGTCTTGAAACAGAAGACAATTCAGCATTTGAAAGCGTAGTAGAACCGGTAATCGGAGATAGCTTTTGCAGCTGGGAAGATCTCAGCTGTTTTGCTTTGCATTCTGTCTGGCAAGCCAGGGCTGTGACTCTGAGAAGCGTCGCGGGGAGATCGTCGGACTTTGCGATCGGATCTGGCAGTCTTGGCAGAGTCGCCGTGTCGAGTCGGCAGGCGCAATCTTCAACTACATTTCATGTCAACGACATCTGCACCCGATCAACTTTGTGACTCTCTCTCACGCATCCCCCCTTCGCTCATTCCGTTTATTAGGTCACAAGTCCTCCGATCTTTTCCAGCATGAGTTCCAACGAGGTGACAGCGCTCGAGAACGAAGTCAAGGAATACCGACTACAACTGGAGACGGTGCAGTCGAGTCTGCAGGATGATCCTGATAACAGTGAATTACAGAGCCTGAAAGCAGAACTTGAAGAAGTCATATCCCTCACCGAAGCTGCCATTTCCGAACTAAAGCCTGCCTCAGTATCAACAAACGCTGCACGACCGTCCTCGACCGACGTAAAAGAGAAATGGTCGAAAGAGAACCACCCAGCATATCAAGCTGGCTATCGAAAGCCTGATGTCGAGCCAGAAGAGTCGGCCGGTCCAGTCACATTCTCCGTCAATGATACAGTTATGGCCAGGTGGAAGACCGGCGATGGCGGTTTCTATACGGCTCGCATAACGTCCATCACCGGCTCAAAGAGTGATCCGGTGTATATTGTCACCTTCAAGAGCTACGGCAACACCGAAACCCTGAAGTCTAAAGACATCAAGCCACTTTCGAATGAAGCAAAGAAACGGAAGGCTGATGGCATGTCAGGGTCATCGACTCCAGTCGCACCACCGTCAAATCCGAGTGTCATATCTGCTGCAGCAAGCGTGGATCCCACACTGGCACAGCAAGCGAAACGTGAACCGAGTAAAGTCAGTGACGGACCCCTTCGACCAGCCAAGATACCTCGCAAAGTCAAGGCGAACAAGGAGCTAGAAGCGGGTAAATCGAAATGGCAGGATTTCGCAGCGAAAAGCAAAGCCGGCAAATTCACCAAGAAGGACAGTATGTTCAGGACGGGCGAAGGAGTCAGCGCGAGAGGTGAGGAACAAGTGCGTTTGACAGCAGATTTCATCGTACTAACTGGCTCTCTTAGTTGGATTTACTGGCAGTGGACATGAGATGCGCAAGGATCCGACCCGATCACGACATATCTACGAACAAGGCAATCAAGACGAGTAAGGAGTCTTTGGAGGGGACGGTTGGCAGGAACTCTTTTCGCATCCAGTATTTGTTTTGATTGAGCGTTCAAAGTCTTTACGAGGCACTCGCTGACCGCCTAGCAAATTGCAGATGACAACATCGACATATCACTGCATTTACAGCAGGACCTGTGGAATCAAGAATTTTTCAGACAAGTATTTCCTTACCTGCATGTTTACGCTCTCTGACATACCACGTTGTCGTCTACAGGGTCTCGACCAAACGTCAAGGTTTCGACCTACTTTTCGTAAGACCCTCAACGACGGAGCAAGCACTTGTTAGCACCCTGCTATGGCTCGTCCTCCGTAGCTACCCATCTGTACTGACAGAGCAGGATGTAGAGTCTCGTTTCATCCTTCTCTAGAGCACTACCGTAAGTGCGGGAAACAATGATCAGGTCTGGGAGTGAGTCCCGAGACCACCTTCGGCCTCCTGGTTTTATATCTGCCGCACCACTCGGCGCACAGCTATCTAATGCTGCCTTACCGCCTGCGATACTGCTATCTGATTGGTATATCATCCTTCCAGCAGAAATACAAGTAATATATCTTTATTTCATACAATTTTGCCTGACAATTAGCTTGTATCTATCCCGTGTCTTGACTTTGGTAATGATAAGTTCTCCCGGCGAACTTGAACCATCGTTGAGGCGTGAGGGTGTGGCCACCAGATATGAGCCGGCTTGTGCCTGGAAAGTAGATCGTGAATCCTAGAGAGAAATCCTAACCTCCTCAGACCGCTGAGGGTGTTGACTTGGGGATCGTGAGTTCTCGGACTCCCGTGCAGTCAACACTTAATCTGGTTCCCGGAATTCGGGGGTGCAGCTTGACATGTGAGCAAAGAAAATCCCTTCCTCAACTAGGGGTTTCCCTCGACCTGTGACCTTAACCATTCAAAGCCAGGTGGTTAAGTTCCAGGTTAGAGTTTTTGTTGTTCAAAAAAGGTGTTGATATCTTTGTGACTCTGTGGGAATCGAACAGTCGCATGGGTTACGGCCTAAATTATTGTGAGTGCCCGTTGTCGGGACCGCATGATGTGAGGTGGCCGCCATTCCTCGTAACATTGACAGTAATCTGAGAGTCCTGGCGCCTACTTTCAAGTCCGCGTCCAGTCAGCCATTCCTTCTGGAGCAGATGCATCGTTCATGTCATGCAGTTGCAGAATCATATCCCATTGTTATCTTTTTGGTCATTGTGCCGCCTCATAATCCACCCTGTATCCTGAAGCTGCTCACCACCAAAACCAGCATATTAATGACTCCCCACAGAAGCGGCGTCCATGTACTCATAGCAAAATAACCAGCGTTGTAGACCGCCCCAAGCACCAACCCAACCATGGTGCCTGCAAGCAACGCCTCTAAGCCACCGAGAATAACATACACCAGCGGAACAATCCATACCCAACCCAGTGTTTCGCCGATCGGATTGTCCCCCAACAACTTCCTGTTCTTTGCACTCATTTTCCTCCCAGCAGGCGAAGCAAGATATTGCCTTCTCTGCGTTGCGGAGCTGAATTGCATTAGGACCGCCCAACACGCAACACAGAGGTGCGCCGACACGATGGTGATAGTTGTCCAAAATAGCGTGTATCGGTAGATGTCGCCCAGATAGTAGAGGTATTGTGCCTCGCCTGGTTCAGCGCGTACGGGCCAGTACAAGGCCGGGAATTTGGGTGTTTTGTAGGTGCTTGGGACGCCTGCGCCGTAGACATAGGAGCCTGACATATTGGAAGGAATGAAGGGTTCGCTGATTGAGGTCTAGATGGGGAATGACGGTAATGCAAGTGGTGGTCGTTGCCGCATGGCCGAAAAGACCGCGGACAACGAACGAGTACGAAGCAATACAAAGACTGAAGAATCATCAATCGATGTTGATGGGACATCGGAGGTCAACGTGCGCTTGTATTGTGATTGGTTTCATTTTCCTACCCCGGATTTTACGGCCATGAGACAGACGGTCGACATGCAAGACTACCTAGTTACCTCCACCCATGTCCTCGTTCCAAATGCACAAGTCCGCTTGAGAGAAGCGAGCTTCGACATGGCACTCTTAGCCCTCTCGTGCTAGCATCCCACAATCGCCATAACTTGTAGGAGTGTCATTGGGTGAGAGCGGATGATTAATCCGTCCTAAACCTGGGGGTCCAATTGTTTCATCATAAGAGCGTCATAACTCTTGACGTAGGCTTCATCCACTAATATGACGGGCTTCACTGCATTCGAAGTGAAAAGTGAGGACAAGAAGGTACTACTTCCTTTTGACCTTATCCCTTGATTATCTAGACATCTTTCCATCAATGCCAACCAAAGTGCCCATTCGAACCCTCAAGCCATCACAACCCTCTCGTCGCCTACCTGTCACGATATCAGCACCACTTCTTCTTCATCGACCAAGTCTTCCTTCCATCACGGCCGCTCAACCTCGTCTCCTCGGTCTCAAGAACCACTTCAGTACCATCCCCTCCACCATGGCTTCAAACAACAACGCAGACTTCAAGCTCGACAGGCTCTTCGATGTCAAAGGCAAAGTCGCCCTCATCACCGGTGGTGGCTCCGGCATCGGTCTAATGGCTACCCAAGCGCTTGCCGTCAACGGTGCAAAAGTGTACATCGTTGGCCGTACCGAGGAGAAACTCGAACGCGTGGCCGAAGTGTACGGCAAGGACATCGCCGGTGAAATCATCCCCGTAGCTGCCGACATCTCCAAGAAGGACGAAATCAAGAAACTAGTCGAGTACATCAAGTCCCGCGAACAGTGCCTTTGCATCCTATTCAACAACGCCGGCATCTCAATCAACACGCAGCAAACTGAGGCAAAATCTGCCGAGGAGATGTCTGCCAACCTCTTCGACGACGAGAACGAGACTTTTGAGATGTGGACCGACACGTACAGAACCAACGTGCCTCAACTGTACTTCATGACCACTGCCTTCCTCCCACTCCTCCAAGCCGCGCACAAGCACAACGACAACTTCTCGGGCACGGTCATCAACAACAGCTCTATCAGCGGCATCGTCAAGACCTCGCAGCACCATTTCGCGTACAACGCTTCCAAGGCCGCTGCCATCCATCTGACGAGTATGCTCGCCAACGAAATCACCCAGAATGGCCTCAGGATCCGTGTCAACAGTGTCGCACCCGGCGTGTTCCCCAGCGAAATGACTGCGTCCGAGAGCGACGACAAGCAAAAGTCCCATATCCCCCGTGAGAAGTATGCCGAGAAAGTGCCAGCATCACGACCTGGTGAGGAGAGAGACATGGCGAATGCCATCTTGTTTTTGGCGACGAACCAATACCTAAACGGCCAAACCGTGGCGGTAGACGGTGGTTACATTCTCAGCGCGGGTAGCGGGCCATGAGTCTGCATTTTAGAACGACGACGAGGTCAATCAGTAGGGCTCGAATAGGAGAAATGAAGTCTGATGTAACGATACTCATGCACGACTAAAAGAGGCACATGTAGCCAGAGAATGCTTCACAAATGAAAAGTGAATGAACAGCCAAATCGTTTCACCTTCGTTTCCAAACCAGAACTTCTTGTTCTCGATCAATCGAGTGGAGATTACGTATCAATGCACATTACGTCGCTGGTAGACAGTGTTTCATCCTGCATCAATGTTCCTTCTGTGTTCCAATGCCGATAAGTTTGCCATACACACTCAGAAGCGACATCCTGTGAAAGATTCCTTCAAGCCTCCTCCACCTCCTTCTCATGCTTACCTTGTTGCCCTTGCGACTGTTCTTGTCGAGTCTCAGCCGTTCCAGCGGACCCAAGCGCATTTCTCTCCGCCTTTGCAGCAGCCTGTTGCTCGGCAGCCGCCTTCTTCAAGCTCTTCCACTCCATAGCCAGGCAGCCGAGTATGGTAGCTGCGGCAAGCGAAGCGCAGACGTAAAACGCATTTCTCAGAGCCAGGTTATATACCACCAGAACAGCCTGCAGCGATTGCTCCGGCACAACCTTTCGCAGGTCTGTCGCGCCAATTTGTTTCACCACATTTGAACTGATGCCCGGGATAGTGCTCAGACCCTCGGCCAGCTTGTTGTCGAAGATGTTGTTGGCGACACTGACAAAGATTGCCCCACTTAGCGTCTGCGCAAAAAATATGACTGATACACCTGTCGAGACGTCTTTCCTGTTGAGCGATACCTGAGCAGCAACACTCGGCTGCTGCATGCCGAAGCCCAGGCCGAGACCCCACATTGCTTGATAGCCCTGCGAACAGTCAGAAAATGTGTGTAGATGAATGAAAACGAGGCGGGGCCAAACTCACGATCCAGCGACTGTGTCCGGTGGACACAGTGAACGTACATATCAGCCCTGCGGCGACAGAAGTGATAACAGTACTCAGGTACATCCAATGAGTAAAGTATCCGATCTTCCGCGTAGCGAAGCCTGAAAACATTGATGAAATGGTGATGCCGAGAACCGCTGGAATGTTCATGATACCAGAGTGGACCGCCGAAGCGCCCTTGATGGCTTGGAACCAGATGGGAAGGTAGTAGACCATGGTCATCATGTTGCCCCCACTGAAGAATGAGAAGATCACCCCAGCAGCCACTGAGCGGTGCTTGATGATATGTGGAGGCACCGTAGCATTGTCTTGTCGCCAACACTGGACAAGAACAAATCCGATAAAAAGGAGGACGAAGAGGATGATCAGGACGATGATGCGGGCATTGGCCCAGCTATAAGTTGTGCCGCCCCATTGTAGGGCGAGAAGAAGGCAGATGATCGAAGGGACGAACAGAGCTGTGCCTATGGGGTCCAGCCGGTGCAGTTGTTCCTTGAAAGTTGACTTCTTTTTAATGCTGGGCAGCTGGAGTATGAATGCAAGGGCCACCATCGTGACACCGCCAATTGGCAAGTTGATGTAAAAACACCATCTCCAGCTGACTTTGTCTGTGAAAACACCGCCCAAAAGTGGTCCGGCGACGGAAGCAACAGCGAAGACACTGCCGAAGATGCCAGTATAAGCAGGCCGCTTTTCCAGAGGGACAAGGTAGACGATGATGACAATGGCCCCTGACATGATGCCTGCGCTACCCATGCCGGCCAAGGCTCGACCGATGATAAGAGCAACCGAGTTGGGGGCAGCGCCGCAGACCAAGGATCCGATTTCGAAGAGACCGATGCAGGAGATGTAGACCCATTTCGGTGAATAGAAGGTATAGATTCGACCAAAGAGAAGCTGAAAGGCTGACATAGTCAAAAGGTACGCCGAGGCATACCAGCCTACATCGTCAAGGGAATTGAAGTGGTTCGTGATTATTGGTATGGCGGTTGCAATGATTGTTCGGTCCTGATGGCAATGTTAGTGGTAGCTTTGAGAGCGGACATAGACAGGACATACCAGTGCAACGAGGAATTGAGTGAGCATGAGGCAGGCGACGGTGATGAGAACTGTCGATTTGGGAGGGTAGTCACCGTCCCCTGAAGGAGCAGGTTGTCGCTTCTCAGCCGCATCCTTCGAGCTGCTGTTATCCATGCTGTTGTTGGTAATGGAGTTCTCTTGAGCTTCTGTCATTGTAGATAATACTGCAAATGATACGAAGTATATGAATGTCAAGTTCTCGAATCTCTCAGAAGGTACCTACTCTTGAGATTTCGAGGATGGGGGCACGAGAGAAGGGGGGATGTTTATAGAGCAAGGACGTTTCTGTACTCGATACCTTGGATCTGAGATCTTTACAGAGATTTCTGTTGTTCATCATCTCACCAGGCTCCAGTAGATGGGCCAGATGGCTTTTCGGACGCGAATACGATTGCATTGAAAGTGAAAACACCACAATGGACGGCTCGGACATTGAGCAGACGAGTGTAGGAGTGAGTACGAGCGAGGAAATGTTGACAGGGAGTGCTCGTCGGTGCCGAAGCACCTTCTAAGAGCCCGAAATTCCAGACGATGGCGGTCGTTAAAGGAGTCCGCCAATGATATCTTGAGGAGGGGAAAGATCCCGCCATTGGTTGTAGCAATGGAATGGGAATGTCGATGGCTTTCAATCCTGCGCTACTCTTTGCTCCCGTCTCATTCGGCGACAACCTCAATACATATTGTTTGATTGTGGAAAACGTCTGATACCACGCTGTCGATTCGATCATGATTCTATACAAAATGATGAATTGACCGTGAAGAGATGCTGACTTGTCATCAAGGCGGGATTGAGCCCCGGACTCGCTGTTGCAATGTCCTCAGATTTGTGACATCAGTGTTGACTTATGACGTTCCCTCTAAGAAATTTCACGGGCATAATTGACTTACCAGAAGCCATTTATTTCAATTCTCTCTCCAGACAAACCAACTGACCTCGACCGAAATAATTACAGTTGCCTCAATACTTCCCTCACATAATCATCTCACAGACCCCTCATACAAAATGCCCGAACAATTCGAAGTAGGCTTCCAGCCTCCTGTCTCCCATCAAGATCTGCCCAGCAGAGAAGGTGACTTGCCTGTCGAAGCCATCCATGACAAGCTTCCAACCGCAGATGGCGGATGGCAACCGTACAAGGCGGCCGGCAAACTCGAAGGAAAGAAGGCTTTGATCACTGGTGGTGATAGCGGTATTGGGCGAGCTGTTGCTATCCTGTTCGCCATGGAAGGCGCAGACAGCTTCATTGCCTACCTACCAGAAGAAGAGAAAGACGCCCAAGAGACAAAGAGTCAGGTCGAGAAGCATGGCAGGAAATGCTACACCATGGCCACCGACCTCACAAGCCCAGAGAATTGCCAAAAGGTTGCAGATGCTGCTAGGAAAGAGCTGGGACACGTCAACATTTTGGTAGGTCTTTCATGCTGAGGTATAACCACTGGCAATTAACTGACTCCCAACAGGTCAACAATGCTGCTTTCCAGATGATGCAACAAGACATCACCGACATCACCAACGACCAATGGACAAAGACCTTCAATACCAACATCCACCCATACTTCTACCTCGCAAAGGCCCTGGTCCCTCACATGAAACGAGGAGATACTGTCATCAACAACGCTTCGATCAACGCTTACATTGGTCGCCCCGATCTCCTGGATTACACATCCACCAAGGGAGGCAAGTAACCTTTTCGGATTTGGAGAGACGACTTACTGACATGTGATCCCAGCTATTGTCGCCTTCACCCGTGGTCTGGCAAACCAACAAGTCAGCAAAGGCATCCGTGTCAATGCAGTCTGTCCTGGTCCAGTCTGGACACCCCTCATCCCAGCTACCATGGACAAATCGGCGCAAGAGCAATTCACTGCTCCTCTCGGACGTCCTGCACAACCAAGTGAGATCGCTACTGTCTTCGTGTTCCTGGCTGGCCCAGATAGCAGCATGATGTCCGGACAGAGTCTGCATCCCAACGGCGGTACTGTGGTCGGCAGCTAGAGAACCAAAATGGAGTAGAAGAAAGATCTCCTCGCGGCACAAAAGTGAATGGCCAGTCGGGGAAGGCGAAGAATCCAAAGCGGCAATGGGAAATGTTTTAATGAAACCTGCATGAACGTGCTGTGAGAGTCCCAGCATACGGTGCTTTAGCCAGCAAGATCAGCCTCGCTGTTACCTGGCGTCGATAAATTTAATCAAGTAAATACAACCGTATGAAACGAGATGTTGTTCCTTAATGTATTATGCACGTTGTCTTAGCCTCCAATAGCAACCTGTCACCAGCCTCTAAATACGAGTAGCTTGTAGCCCTTTCGGGTCGTATTCGGAATGCGGGTGGCCTTAAAATAAAGCCTAAAAGGCCATGCCAAGGCTGCTTTCTTGGTGCCTGATTGACGCCCGTTATTGTTGATCTACGTAAATAGTCTTCCAACCAGAGCACTGGCGATGATAGGAAAGGTAGGTGCACGGTGACAGTCAAGTCGTTGCTTTCATTCTCTTCATTCCTCAAACCTTTCCTAGAGCGCATGTGCAAAGAGCGTTGCGACTGCCCTTTTACTGAATCCTCTGATCGCATATCAACCAGATACGACGTTGTTTCCGAGTTGGGGCAGGCATGTCAGGTGCCATAAGTTACAAGTCGTAGTCAACTTCAACGTCTTCATCGCGACATGAGCAACGCATCAGACCGCCCGACAAAGGCGTTCTCATGCATCCGATGTTTTGAACGCAAGGTCAAATGCGACAAACAAAATCCTTGTACAAATTGTGCCAAGTCACAAGTCGAGTGTGTATTCCGCGTACCACCACCACCTCGTCGTCGGAAGAAACGACTCCAGGAGGATGCGTTGCTGGAGCGACTCAGGCAATGCGAAGACCTCCTCAAAAGCAAAGGCATCAGTATTGATGGCACGCCTAGCACGACAGAATCTCCCACTCTCGCATCCGACGATTCTACAGTGCCTCCAACTGATGATTTTGCAGCGGCCCTAAGCCGTTTCAATGTCCTTCCACAATTCCCAGCCAGCAAAAACGGACAATTGTTGGTGGATAGGGGCAAATCACGGTTCATTGAAAACAACCTGTGGACCACCATCGCCAATGAAGTAAGCAGCCATGTCAGGCTCAATTCTATGAACATTGTACTGATTGACCTTCACAGTTCCACGCAAACGAAGCCATTGGAGAGCACTACTCTGAAGATGAGGATGAGGATGGCTCTCCAATTGGAGAAAGCAGCGACTTCATCTTTGGCTACACTCCCTCCAGCAATAATATTCAGCACCTACATCCTCCACCTGAGCACATTATGGTTCTCTGGCAGGCCTACCTTGACAACATGAATCCGATGATAAAGGTGATTCATTATCCAACGCTTCAACAGGCCCTTATACAGGCGTCTACACATCTGGACAACTTGCCACGAGGCCTTGAAGCCTTGATGTTTTCGATTTATAATGCTGCCATTTTCTCCATGCAGGACGACGAATGTGGGATGAAGCTCGGCCAATCTCGAAAGGTATTACTGGCTCGATATCGTCATGCGACAAGGAAAGCGCTGGCGAGGGCTGGATTCCTAGGAACCTCAGATATCCAGGTACTCCAAGCATTCATGCTCTACCTGATCACAATGCGAGAAGAATACGATTCTCGAACCCTTTGGACTCTGACTGGGGTGGCCAGCCGCATTGCTCAGGGAATGGGCCTCCATCGTGACGGTACAATCTTCGGAATGGCGCCTTTCGAGAACGAAATGCGCCGACGTCTTTGGTGGCAGCTCATGAACTTGGACTTTAGATCAGCAGAACTCAGCGGTTCCGGAAGATTCGTGGATATTGAGTTGTTCGACACGAAACCGCCAAGTAACATCGACGATGCCGACATCTGGCCCGAGATGAAGGAGCCACCGATTCCTCAAGAAAAACCGACCGAAATGATAGCATGCATGCTTCGTACCGAGTTTGGTAGCTTCTGGAAGGAGAAAGTCACGTCAAAGAAGAGCCTTGGACTTGAGAACCTGCGGCTCTCAACCCCGTGGAACACCACGCTAGAAGACAGAGATGTGCACATCAATGAACTCGAACAGCGAATTGAAGAAAAGTACCTGAGATATTGCGACCCCTCGATACCCATCCAGTTTATGTGTATTATAATGGGTCGAGCAGCAATGAACAGCATGAGAATCATGGCTCATCATCCAAGAAAGTATCCTGATCCAAACCAGCTGCCAGCTTCTGAAAGAGATCTTTTGTGGAAATTGTGCATGAACTTGGTTGAGACTGACAACCTGGCACATGCGTCCAAAGGCATTCGGAAATTCATGTGGCACATGAACGTCCATTTCCAGTGGCAGGCCTTGATATATCTGCTCGACGAGTTGCGAACGCACACTCTTGGTGACAAGGTCGACAAAGCGTGGGAAGGTATTGGCGAACTCTTCCAGAATCATTGGGTTTTTGTCACCAACAACAAGAAGCCACTACACGTGGCTGTCGGTAGTCTGTGTCTGAAAGCATACAGCGCCAGGGAGGCCGCCTTACGTGAGAAGACGAATGGTGTGTACCCCAAGGTCGTTCCTGAATACATCCGCCTGCTTCGCGAGCAGCGCAAGAATGTCCCTGTAAAGCATGATGCGTCGAAAACGGAGGGGGAGCCAGGCAAGCCCAGCATTTCAGGCTTTGCAGCTGAAGTTTCGTCTGCCGCCACCAGCCAGTGGCAGGGCGATGGTTCAACGACCTATAGTCAGCAGCAAACTCCTTTACAACAAAACTTTGGACCACAACAGCCACTTCCGGCTTTCATGCCGCCTCCGGCCACTCTAGTGCCGACTCTACCGAACGCACCGAGTGACGAGTGGATGTTTCCCTCTGATCCTGCCTTGATGCAAGATCTGGCGATGGCCGATCTGCCCATGGACTGGGCTCAGTGGGATTTTGCGATGCAGGGTTTCGAATCGGGCTCGGCTGACTGGTCCCGGAAGGGCTAGTACTTTCCGGTATACAAGTATACGCAAGGAAGGGAGGGAGCCATGTCTGGGTTGAGAGTTGTCCTTGTGAGGCAAAGCGAGACGACGTGTATGACTATATGGGAGATACCCAACTCAGTTTAGACGATTGCGGAAGCTAGTGTAGCCGGACTCGAGATGTAAGACTAGTCAAGCAAGACACATATAAAACATATATCATCTCCAAAGTTATCACCAATGTCGCCACAGGCGACGATGAGGCATTATGCAGACGTCCGCAGTTTCCTCCATTCATCGACAGGAAGTGCTCGGCACTGAAACAGCGCGAGGCTGAGCAAGGCGCGAGTCGAATACACCGCGAGAGTTGGAGACATAAACACTTCCATGTGATTTTACACAAAATACCAAGCCGGTGGCTCTATATACAGTAGAGATGTCCAGGAGATCTCCTGTACCGACTCAGATGATCTGACATGCTTCCCATACACATTCCCGCAACGCCATGCCAAATGCAATGCCACGCGATGCAACACAGTACTCCTCAATGCTGTACAGATACTCCGTCAACTCCTCCCTTAGCAAACGCCACCATACAATCCCTCCGTCACCACCGTTTGAAACCCCATTCATTCTCCCAACTCAAATCCCTCGTTCTGCTCAACCGGCTTCGGATCATCCGTCTTGTACCAAACGCCATTAAAAGCATTGATCAAAAACGTACTCAACTTATCCCACACAATGTGATTAGCATTGTGGAAGTAGATACTATGATCACTGTCCGGAAAGACATGCACATCATAGTTCTCCACGCCCGCCAGATCAAACTTGTCAAGCAGCGTCAAGGTATTCTGGATATGCACATTATCATCGCCCGTGCCATGCATGATCAGAAAGCGCACACTCTGACCCAGAGCCGTGACATTACTGATCGCGGTCCGTGCGTACCCGTCGGGATTGTTCTGCGGCATGCGCATGTACCGCTCCGTATAGATTGAATCGTAGAAGCGCCAGTCCGTCACGGGTGCGACGGCCATGCCATAACTGAACGTCTCGCCGGCGTCTTGCTCGAGGACTTTCAGTGTCATGAATCCGCCGTACGACCAGCCCCAGATGGCGATGCGCGTGGGGTCCACGTAGGACTTTGCAGCCCACACCTTGGCTGCTTCAATTTGGTCGTGCGCTTCGTAGTGGCCTAATTCGTTGCGGACGATGGTGCGGGTCTTGCGGCCGACAAAACCTGTCCCGCGCCCGTCGAGAGTCACGACGATGTACCCCAATGAACTGGCGACGTAGGACTGGAAATCTACTCCAAACCGCCGAGTGACTGTCTGCGAGCCGGGACCACCATACAAATAAAATAGCACGGGGTATTTCTTGGACGGGTCGAAATGGGCAGGTCGCCGCTCGACGAGTTGCAGTATGTACCCGTCGATTGTGACGTTCTGGTAGACTAGATGAGGGAGTTCGTGCGAAGAAGCCATTTGGGCGAGGGCTCTGTTGTCTTCGAGAGTATGCTCGATCTTTTCGTCGTTGGTGGGCGTAGATACGACTTTCTGGTAAGGGATGCCGGGGCCTTGGTAGCTGAGCAGCGCGTAGCCTGCCCCGGAAGAGAAACTGGATCTCCAGTATGCTGCTTCATTCGCTGGTACGAGAGCTTGAGTGTCTGTGCCGTCGAGCTTCACGCTGTAGACGTGACGCTGTGTCGGCGCCTCTTTCGCGGCGACATAGTAGACCAGATTGTTCTCGAGGTCGACTGCTGCGGGGCCACCGTCTACCTCCCAGTCGCCTTTCGTGAGCATCACAGGCGTTGAGCTGTTTAGAGGAGAGAAGTACGCCAAATGGTACCAATTGTCCGTAATGATTGTGTCGACATAGCCATCCTCGGGCCGATTGTTGTCAGGGTCTGCCGGAATGTATTTGGTGCTTTGAGTGGGCTCGATCCAACCACCACCAATATCTTTCGAGTCAACAGTCCTGACAGTCTGACCCTTCTGACTTACAGCGTCGACGAGGACGATCCTTACCCGGTCAGCCTCACGGTTGGACTCTGACACCAAGGCCTTTCCGTCGTCTGCCCAGACAATGTTGAAGATGATGCGATCATCATCGGGGAAGCCACCATCGATATCGACGATGAACACTTGCCCATTTGCAATGTCGTAGAAGAGCATATCGACCACCGGGTTAGGAGCGCCCGCCTTCGGGTACTTGATTTTCTTGACATCGGGGTAGTTTTCAAGGCCTTCCTCTGGTTCTTCGCCGCTCGGTCTCGATAGATAGTACTGTACGGAATACTCGGGAACGGCGGTCTCGTTGGTACGTAGGAATGCAACGTATTGACCATCTCTGGCCCACCAGGTTGCGGAGTTGGTGCCGAAAACTTCCTCTTCGTAAACCCAGTCAGGAATTCCGTAGAAATACTCGGGCCCACCATCATCCGTGATCTGCGTGACCTTGGGATTCGAGAGGGACCTCAGGTAGAGGTTGTTATCTCGAGTAAACACAACAGCATCACTGTTGGGTGACCACTGCGCTAATTGGATCTTGGTATCTGCAAATGCAGGGTCCAGTGGCTGGACATTCTGCGTTTCGACGTCCAGAACGAAGTAGAGTCCGATGAAAGAGTGTCGGAAAACTTTTTCTCTCTTCGACATGAGCAAAACATGGCTCATGTCCGGGCTAACCCAGAAGTTCTCTGTCCAATATTGTTGTCCGTTGACGTTGTACCAGCCACTCTTCATCAGACTCCTGCTGTCCACCGCGTTCGCTGATGAATTCGTCTGGCTTCGGACATCCTCGACCACCAGGTAATCCTTGCCAGGCTGGTTTGTCTCCAGCAACAGACCGTCTTCACCCTCCGGACCTGTGATCCATTCTATTGAGGCAGATTTCGCTGCCCACTGTCCTGATTGGATCTGTTCAAGAGTGACCTTCTTTCCCGAGCTCTTCGTGGGTTTCTCATGGTCATATTCTAACGTTGAAGCATGCTTGTGTCGTCCGGTAGCCAAGAAAAGAAAGATTGCTAGAGTCCAGCCGACGATGGCTAGTATGCAGAATATCCATATCGATCGCCGCAGACTTTTAGACATGCGACTTGCGCCTATGGTGTAATTTTTATCGTTAAATCTCGGCAACTCAGGGTCGCTATCGTTGTCGCGATACTGGGGAGATCGCAGTGGCTCCTTCGTGGCGTATATTGAGTTGAGGTTCTCGAGGACTAAGGATGTGGTCGACGCAGTTGAGGTGCTTTCGATGGATTGGCTCGAGTCCGCCGTCGAAGAGGACGACTGTTCCTTGTTCATCAGTGTCTCCATCTCCTCTCCCAAGGGCCGCCCGTTCCTCCCCATCGTTGAGTTGGGGGTCCGTCCAGGGACTCCGTTCAAGACGTGGTTGAAAGCGAGAGAGGTTGACGTGGATCGAGGGGAATCGATGTCATCGAGACATATCAAGGGAGAGTGTAGACGTGGTGACAGTACGCTGCCAATATCCCTTCGGGCAACCGCAGTGATTCTTTTTCGAGGAGAAAGAAGGGGTGGTTCTCTGGCGTGTAGACTGGTGATGATGCGAAGGGAATCGCTGTTGTTAGTGGCACTGGCACTGGCACTGGTGGTTGTCCGGGGCTCGTTCGAGGACTGTGGAGTCGAACTGAATCTCGGATTCGGCTTCATTATTGCCCGCCAAGGATCTTGACCAACATCAACAACTTGTCTTTCTCACTACTACGACTTCTTACAGCATCTTATTCATATTGAACTGTGATATTGAGGCCTCTTGACCTATTAGGTGGTATATACGTGCTGCTCACCGCTCGCAGCATCTTGGCTGTTGTAAAGCTCGTTTCTCACGAACGCTTCCGTCAATGTCCGCAAACGGCCAACGAGCATTTCGACCATGCTAAGACCACCTTTCGGCCACCAGGCATGTCCGATGGCCAGGTCCTTGATTGCTCTCCTGAAGTCCCGCTCTAACTCAATCACCGCACCATTGGGAGCAGCCAGAATGAACACCAAAAGTAAAAGACGATCGTCCAGCACAGCATCGAGAAACTCAACGACCAAACCGACTTGCATTCCCGTGCGCTATGCTTGAGCACCAACACACTCCACCATGAAACTGCAATGGCAAATGTGTATGATAATGCTGGCACAATAAGAATGGTATAGAGGTACCTCTTCCGTTCCAATGCAGTCAGGTCGTCCCAAGCATGCTTGCGCCCAAAAGAATGCCACAGGATATAAGGTGAGAAAATGACCGCCAGCATACTGAGAAACAGAATCGAAGCCCCAATTTTTACTGCATGTGTAACTTCCTCGGCCAGTCGCTCACACTTTTGACAGCGCTGTGGACTCCGTTCAAGGGCAGCCGCGCTTTCAACATCCTGCTGTACTTGAGCTGCCACCTCCTGTCTCTGCTGCTGCTCTTCTTGCAACTGACGCTCAAGACGTCCTGTTTCCTCCACATGGTCCCTCAATGTAGCTTCTTCGGCGTCCAGGAGTTTTTTGATGATTTCACATTGCCTGTCCACAAGTTCCAATGTCTCGGTCAATTCCGATCCCCTCCGTTCTCGTTTGTTGTCCTCGTCATCTGGGCTTGCAACTCGAGTGTGCTCCTCACTGCTCCCTGTTGAGTCAGAGCTTGAACTTACAACCACGTTCGAGCACGAACTCCCATTTCGTCTCAACGGCCAAGGTCCCAGATGATCAGGCAGGTCAGATCGGTCGACGATTTGCGTTGGCAAGTATCCGATCTGTTGGAGTGTGCTGCTGGCGATTGCGCTTAATCGAGGTATGTGCTCTACCATCTCGGTCGCCATGGCTTCAACTGTGGATCGGTTTATTCCTCAGCACCGTTGGTAAGTAAGTGTGGCCTCGATGTGTACTCGACACCAGAAGATTCAATGTGAACGACTTGATTTGAGTAGCAGGCGGACTCCTGCCTGAGGTGAAGGAAGGACTAAAGAGTGCCAATCCAGCAGCTCACGATCTGTATATGAACGTCGAAGTTCCAGCCTCCGCACAGGACGACAGACAACAATCGCCTCCACCGAATCAGCCCTGCCTCCGCCTCTTCGTGATGATCAAAACAGAAATGATAGTCGGGGCCTCAGTTGCACCTGTCAGAGGAGGATTCCAATTCGTTCCAACGCTTTTCTGAAACGACCGTGAAGAAAGATCTACACCTTGCACGCGTTCAGAAAAGAGCAATGGCGCTCTGCAGTAAACTCCATCGCGCAAGGTCAAAGTCCCCCAGACCAATCTTCAAGATACTTCGCGGCAGCTGCTGACCATAAGCCAATGGAAGACGGTGCAGATGGACCATTCTAGCTGGTCGAGGCAGGAAAGAGGGGTTTACAGAAGAGGCAGCAGGGTCCGTTCAGACGCTGCTGGCAAGATCCCGGAGCAGACATGAAGAAGAGCAAGAAACGATAGACTTCCAGGCACGGGGCAGGGGCTGACAAGGGTGGGAAACACCTTGGTGAGGCACAAATGACAAGATCCGATTTCAAGGCAGACGTGAAGCTGGGAAGAGGGGTTCGAGACGGGACAGGCCACAGGTCGAAGTATCAAATGGAAACATCTGATCTCAGGGCGGACGCGAACTTGAAGGCCAATGGCAAAAGCAAGATCCCAAGGCAGACATGAAGCTGAAGAAGAAACGGTGCACGCATCGCCAAGTGGAGGGTCAACAGCATCGCGAAACAAGAGTTCTGGCTCATTCTACGTACCGTGGTGCTGGATATATATCCAAACGGTAATCTAAGATGATTGGTCAGGCCCGACTGACGATGCTGGGCGAGTTCAAGGACAATACATACACCAACCTCAGACAGACCACTGACATCTCCTGACAAGGGTGGAGGCTGTCGGCAGGTGCATGAGGCATGAACTCACTGACATCACTGACAACCTATATGGCAGTGACACGAGCGGAACCACCAACTGTCAATGTCCCACTCCTTAATCTGTGAAGCCTGTATAGTCACGAGGATCAGTTTTGAAAGTTGCGATTTGTGTCGGAATTCTCACTGTTATGCAGCCTGTGTATCCTCTTGCTATGCAATCTCGTGCCTAAGGGAAGTGAACTCATCACGACATGCAAACATTGCATAGTCGTATTTCCGCCAGAGAGTGTCCACGAAGGGTTAAAACATGCTCATCGATATGAAAACCTGCATTAGGTTTCCATGTCTCTCTGTTGATGAAGTGGACGCACTGCCCGTCACACCTCATATATGGATGTCCCCATGTGGTCACGAAGCTTCAATATTGACGATCTTGCCATCTTTGCTGTATGCCTGACGGTTATTCCGGCGTACCAGTCCATGACCACCTCAATCATGCATATTTTCATGATAGTCGCTAGATTTGATTCGAATGTTCCAAAGTCTTGACGTATCTCACGAAGGCTTTCTTGTGTACCATCCCTCGAAACTCCCCCTCGTTTAATACACAGATATACCTCAAGCCCAGCTTAACGAAACACTGATAGACCAAGTCCATGGGGGAATGCATGTCCAGAGCAATAGGCGCAGGGTCAATGAATGGTGTCAGGTCGACCGGGTTCTGGGTTACTGATTCTTCCCCATCAGACTCGCGGCCAGATTCATAACCCCTCTCGTCCGATGCTCCCCAGTATCGATGATGGTTGTTGTGAAGATGGTTATCGAGGGAGAGCATGCAAACCGCTTTATCCTCGTCCTCAATTCTGTCCAGCGCGAACTCGAGATCTGGTGCTGGGATGAGGCCCACTAGAACCCTGTCTTTGAGGATAGGCAGACCACCATCGAGCTGCCCAAGGTCTTGTAATCGTTGAAGTTTGACTCGTAGATCTGTTGCTTTGACCAGTGATGATAGGCTGATGTCAATCACTTTGTCTCGGCGGAATCGTGGAGTAATGTCACCCAGTTCCGAGTCAAAGACAGGATTGTTCCTGTTGTCCAGAAACGGATAGGAGTTCATGTCTGTCAAGAGGTCGTAAATGCTGTGAGGCTCAACGGCATCTGCGGTCCACTTGGCACACAGGACGCCTAGAGAAAAGGGCAATACATGGTCCAGGCTGCCAGTGAGTTCGAACAGTATGACTGCGAGTGTGACCGATAAGCGGGTTACTCCACACATTGTCGCACCTGCAGCCACCAAGGCGTACACGCCAGGTGTAACACAGGATTCCATGTCTCCAGAGTCATAGCATCCGCCCCACAAGAAGAAATCTGGAGTTTGCAGCACGATATATTGAACGAAGTGACCCATCGTCCTCCCAAGGAGCCCGCCGACCACCATCGAAGGTACATATATACCGGCAGGCACCTTGATGCCAAACGTGATTATGGTAAGAAACGCTTTGATCACGAAGGCAGTGCCAAGGTAACGGCAGACTGACAAGATTTCGTCCTGCTTCGGACAGAGCCCCGTGTCCGTCTGCTTATTGCAAGGACTTGCAAGCTCGAAGAGCAACTCCGTGACAGCGAGTCGGGTGTATCGATTCCAAAAGCTGATAAGTCCGGTGACGAGCGCCACTAGCATGACTTCTAGCATTGGATAAGTCTTGATGAAATTGATTCGGCGGAACGTAGTTGCCCAAAAACGAGAGGCTTTGATGAAGAGAGCGCCTGCCAGCCCACCAAAGATGCCCAGGAGCACAAAATTGAAGAGCTCGAAAAATTGCCAATCTGTGACATACCGCACCTCGAACAAGACGATTTTGTTCGTGCCGTACGGATTTAGGAACTTTAGTGAAAGAGCCGCAACAATGCAACAGAAAAAGGTGCGAAACAAGGTCTTTGGTGGGAAGTAGTAACTGACCTCCTCAAGACTGAAAAGAACTCCGCCCAAAGGAGAACCGAACGCAACAGCAACGCCGCTGGCAGCACTCGCAGAGAGGACTTCCCTTCTCTTACCGTCGTTGAGGTTGTACTTGGGGAACAGACGGCAAGCGATGTTGCCAACACATGTGGCAATATGGACGTAGGGGCCTTCCTTCCCAAGACTCATGCCTGAGGCGACACTCAGGATGAGAGCGACAGTCTTGATCAGCAGGACACGCAGGCCAAGGTACCCGTGCAGAACGAAGCCGCTCAATATGACCTTGACTTCTGCAACACCACTTCCAGCGGCGGAATAGTAGACATTCGGCGGTCCCGATTCCTCATTATTCAGAGATTGCTCGCCAGCCTTGTTAGCCTCCTCGTTGTCTTTGTTGTACGTCGTTTTCTTGGCGCTCAGGTCCTCGTCAAATGTGGAAGCAATGGTAGAGGGCACTACAGTCTTCGAATAGAGCGTGAAAAAGCAGGAGAGTGTAGCAAGGGCGACACATCCGAGGACAAAGGCGATGAGATCGATAGAATCCTCATTAAGACCCGATGGCCGAATGAGTTGGGACCACGTCCGCCACCTGTCGCAGGAGTGTTCCCCGGAGCAGCAATTGACCCTTCCAAGATACCAGGCATCTCGACAAAATCCACGTTTGATATCGAAAATCGCGGACTCGGTGACATCCACAAAGTATGCTATACCTGCAGTGGCAATGCCAATAAGAGCAACAAGGATCCATCCCTGAGAGGAGTCAAACAGGAGCATAAGCCGACCTCGAAGTCCTTTCTTCTTTCTCATCTCAAGGACTCGATAACCGTCCGCGATACTGTCATGAACCCAATCGGTGGAGGTAAACTGGTCGTACCATAGGCGGTCATCTTTCGACATGGAGCCCATCAACGACTGAGACAATTTTGGTGTCCGTAAGCCAGAGCTTCGCACCCATGTAGGACTGACTTGACCGGATGGAAGAGCACTGTGGAATCTGCGTCTCCGTAGACTACCACTCGCACTGTTTACCCTTGACAATTGTCTCGAATAGCTGTCCTCCACCATACTGTTGTCCGTATACCTGCGGACGAGGTGTTGAGAACCCCCGAGTAATTGGCTCGTCTCTGTTGACCCGGAAGTCATATTCAACGACTGCGGAAGCCGGCTTCTCAAATCGCTTGCAGAGAGGAACGATGACTTTCGATGTGTGACATCCGGAGAAGGTGGCATTGTAGCCGAGCGAGGGTGGAGGTATTCAGGGTCATCGTCTTCAGCGGGCTCCTGGAAAGAGACATAGGACTTCGGCATGTTGAATGTAAGGGAAACATAGACTGCGGTGTGAAGGAAGGGGCGAGGGAGGGACAACAACAGGCATCAACGGCGTCGCGTGCAGGCAGACGCCGCCGTGCTGTCTTCTATCAGAAGGCCATTCAGTAGTGAATCATAAGACTCGAAAGTGTGGCTGTTGAGGCAGTGATGATAGCAATAACTCTGGGGTTCGAGTGTCAGCAAGGAAACAATGTAAGATCAGCTGCGTTGCGGAATCTGAGATAATGATGATGAGAAGGGAATCCTGATAGGAGAGTGAACGTGTTGTTCGAACAGATATACGCTACGAAGCCCCGAGACAGGAGATCATGTGGGCGAGTTGTCAGTAAACGTGAATGTTCGACATCATATGACAGTGATGGTGGCCCCCCGAGGGTGTGAAGGGTTGACAGCGAGTGGTGAAGAATGCGGGCTTCCTTATTGCCCCGCCACGCGCTGTTTGCAGCCAGTCACGTCGGATAATAGGTGCCCAAAGTACGCGGCGCCTGTCAACTAATTGTCCTAGAGGTATGCCGACAGCAACAAGACATTTGGGTCAACAGTCCGTCGACTTCAAGAACGAAGAATGAATGGACGGTTGATATAAACTGGACCTGTTGGTGGACGGATTGTTATGCAGAGTCCGGAGTGACGGATGTCTTGCAGATAAACAAACAGGGGTTAAATATGCACGCGAGACCCTCGATTAAATAAGTGTTTTTAGATGTGCAAGTGTCGGCTCGTCGTACCGAGGCTCGCAACTAATCGCGACGAAACCGCTTATAGAGTCTCTTTTTCCTAAGGCATTGCAGCCACATGAGAGGAATGCTGGAGTCCTTGTTGGCGTTCGCTCTGATCAGTTGAATGCATGGAGTCTACGAGTCTGCGCATTTTATAATGAGACAGACTCGGGAGTATCCGTATCACTTCCATGACCCTGGGCGGCATGAAACTGTCAAGGCGGTCTCCGAGAAGAATCGCAATGTCTGACCCGGGACTTGTCGTGAGAGCACCGTGCAATTTGAATGGATATGGTCAGAGTACTCTGTGTCAGACAAGGCCACTTTTCTTGCAAATGGTATCACTCTATCCGTACTTTGATACGTCCAAGGTATATTCTCACATCCACCATTCTTCCACGCTTCAATATCAGTACCAACACGAATCTCGGACTCTACCACAGACATCGCATCAGAGAAATCTTCAGCATGTCGCTTTCGCCAACTCACTCCCACTCCCAACCTATACTCCCCGACACCGTCCCGACCCCAACTCCAGCCCAGTACCCTCAATTCATCCTCTTCGGCGACAGCATCACCCAAGCCTCCAGCAAAACCCTCGCGGCCCCTTTAGCAGAATGGTACACCCGGCGCCTTGACATCCTCAACCGGGGCTTCTCAGGCTACACCGCGCCCATGGGCTACGACAATCTCCTTCAGTTCTTCCCATCAACACCACCCTCCCCAACAACACCAGCCATCAAGCTAATGACAGTCTTCTTCGGTGCCAACGACGCCTGTGTGCAGGGCTCACCACAACACGTCCCCCTCGAGCGGTACAAAGAGTACTTGACCAAAATCGCTACCCTTGACCGTCTAAATCTCCACGGCACCAAAATCATCATGATCACGCCCGCACCAGTCGATGAATGGCAATTCTCACGCCTCGAACGAACAGCAACAACAACACGACAATACGTAACAGCATGTCGAGAAGTCGCTCAGACACTCAATCTGCCCGTCATCGATCTGTGGACGATCTTCATGAGCAAGGCTGGATGGACGCCAAATTCGAATCACCCCCTGATAGGAAGTCGAGACGCTCCACGAAGTAAAGTGCTTGGCGAGTTACTGTCCGATGGTCTACATTTCACGGCCGCAGCCTACCGGATTGTCTTTGATGAGCTGGTCAAGCTGATCCGGGAGAAAATGCCGGAGCTGACCCCAGATAACATGCCGTTCGTCTTTCCGGATTGGAAAAAGAAATTGGGGTTGGGACAGTGACCTAGAGCGACCTTTGTGCGAATACACTGTAGAGCTATGCACGAACAACGTTGTAAGATTACACTTTCTAACTTGAGGGTATGCAAAGGAGTGGATTCAGATTCTACATATATTATCGATGCGCAAAGACAGGCTAGGCTGACAGGACCTCTCGACACAATGACCTGCTTGGTCACCAGACTGACCAGAACCGACTGAAGGAATGTGACCGGTGGCGCCGGAGTGGAGTGTGTGTCAAAAGCAAGAAAGAGCATAGACTTCGAGGAGATTTTGGATAGACAAAACAGACAGAGGGTGCTGAATCAGGACCGTGTCTATTCTTCCTCGCTTTCGTCATCTTCGTCGCTCTCAGCCTCATCGAGCCACTGCAAGAACTTCTCGGCAGCCTGGCGGACCTTACGGCTGGTGGCGATGTCAACATACTTCTTGCTTGCCTTTTGTCCCCAAGCCTTGGCGATCTCCTCGGTGAGAAGATCGTGCTGGTAGTAGCCCATGAGAATGGCTGGCACCTGAGGAATGAGGTCTGGATGATCATTACCCACAAATCGCTCGGTACCACCGAGGAATGCTTTCATGTGCTTCTCAGAGTCGCCAATCATGGTCTTGAGCATGCCAGCACGAGCTGGAATTTGCTTGACAATGTTCTCATCAAAGATGGTCTGCGCCAAAACGGTCAGAGTCTTGTGCTTGCTCTCGATGCCCAGTTCCTTGGCCTTCTTGTAGATGTCGACATCGTCCACTTTAGTGACAGATCCTTTCTCCTTGGCTTCGTCAATGATCCAGGTTCCGAGCAGATCGTAGACATTGGTGCCATTCTCGTCGCCCTCTTCGTCTTCATCGAATGCGAGCGAACGCTTCAAGTCAGACGGCAGCTCTTTAGCACGCGCGGCAACAGCTTCGGCAGAAGTATCCACAGCCCACTCATCGTGGAAGGTTCCATTGGTGTCGTTCGCAATAACCTTTGCCGATTCGGTAATCTGCTTGGTGAACTCGTCGTCACTGCCAGCCTCAAGCTCGTAATCAGCCTCCTCGGCGTCTCCCTTGTCGGAGTTGGAGTCATGAGGGCTGCCGCCGTTCATGGATCCATCCCCGTTACTTTCAGCCTTGGCTCTCTCACGTCGAGTCATCTTGTCCTTCTTGGTCTTTTTACCACCTTTTGGTTCGTTCTTGAGAATAAAACCGCTTAATTTATGGCGTATGTCGACATTACTGCGTTGACCGCAAGCCTTGCAATCCAACAGAATGCGTCCATCCTTGATGTGGATCTCCGTCTCAGGATTCTTGCATGATTTGCACAGGACAAACCGGGAGATGAAACCATCCAAGGAATCCTGGAGTTTGCCTGCATCATGGGCTCCATTGATGATCCAGCGATCATCCTTGGGGTTGGTGTTGGTTTGAGCACCGAGTTCGAAGCCGAAGTACTTGATCAGGTAGGCTGAAGGACGGGCCAAAGAAGCCGAGACGCTGGGAAGGTTTGGAATAACAGTTCTGTTAGCATTGTTAGTATGGGTATATCCTGTTGAAACATCTCCTATACTTACTTGATACCATTTCCCTTTCCTTCGATCTTGGACTGCAAGCGCTCCATTTTGTACCGGTAGAAGGGATCGGTAACGTCCCGACGGATGTTGACGTTCGCCATTTTGAAGTTTGGGAGATTCTCTTAAGAACGATTTGACTGAAGAACCAACTGACTGGATATTTTAGGTGGCCGCAAAGAATAAAGATGTAGAGTCGTTTCTTTCAAAAACACCAGACATGCGTGGATATTACCACTGGGTTGCAAGATTTGACATGAAGAAAACGTCCGTTCTTTCTGGTATATCAACCATAAGATGACCTTGCAGGACTACAAGGATGTCTGCTTGCCGGAAATATGTCCAGCTTTTGCTTGGTTTTGGTTTTGGAGGTGTGGAAGTCTGCCCGATACATGAACAATCCGGCGTGTATGCGCTTGATCGAGTGGGTGAGGTTCAGCAAGTCCAACGGCAGACAGCGGGCTGACGCGTTTAGGAGATTTTGACAGTCGCAGCGTTCGAAGGGTGTCTAAAGAGACGAGCGTTTGTATCGATGGTGACAAGAAAGCCTGATGACACAGGAGATTCTCGCAGATTCACTGTGTGAGAGTGATGATGGTAAGTAGGAAGAAGAAACTCCGGGAAGAAAAGAGGCGAAAAATGCATTTGTGAGGACTTTCCCGAGTGAATTGAGTGCGCTAATGTTGACTTTGTTAGGCGTCGGTGGTAAGTAAGGCGTGAGGGGCGAACAGAAAGAGCGCGGCAAGTTTTCTGCGGCCTCCGCTGTGCGTGGGCGTTTGACTGGATATCGGCGAGACGGGGAGAGTGTGGAAATCTCTGCATTAACAACGGGTGCCCTGCCGGGTAACCATGGGCAGTGCACATTCACTCGGGCCTCTCTGCAGGCAGCAATGCTATAGGTACCTGGTACCTTTCTAGGTATTCTTCAGGCCGTCACTGTATTGCGCAGAACGCCTAGCCGGCTCTCCTTCCGTATGCCGTATTCAGCCGCTTCCGGCGACACGCAATTGTGCTTTCAATTGTCCCGATGACTTGGTTTGCTACAAGCAAACGTCTTCCTGGTAGACAACAAGAGCATTAAGACTGTTTGGCATCACAGGGAGTTTAGCAGATGTTACACAGCACGTCCTTAGACATCGTATGATACTACTCTGGCAATAACCATGCTGAGCCTTGTACCTGAAGAGAATAACCCCGGCCTTCTCTACCTCCACAGTATGAATATTTTTGAAGCTTTCCCCATCTTAGACAATGACACAATCGTGTTTGGTTTCTGCATGCCTCCGAGACCACTATGCTTTCAATAATGTAGTATACCATTTCCGTGGCTAGTCGGTACCTGGATATATCTGTCAAACCATTCTCTAGCTGCCATTGATCTAGTACAGGGCACTTACAAATCGTACTCGGTGACTGTCATGACTTCATGACGGTCCTCAAGCAGACTTCACATTTGCGACGAGGGACCTCTGCGAAAATGGCAGCACGTGCCAGTCTCAAGAACCAGGTAGACTGGTCTCTGTACTTGGTAACCGATTCTACAGCTGCCATACTCGGCGACAAGGATATCGTGCAAGTGGTTGAACAGGCGCTCCAAGGAGGCATCACTGTCGTCCAATATCGAGACAAGCATGCCGATACTGGGGTAATGATCGATGTGGCTACCAAATTACACGCCGTGACCCAGAAATATAATGTGCCTCTTTTGATCAACGACCGACTCGATGTCTGTCAGGCCGTGGGTGCCGAAGGCGTACACATCGGCCAAGATGATATGGATTGTACCCAGGCCAGGAAAATCCTGGGGCCTGACACTATTATAGGAGTTACAGCGTCGTCGGTGGATGAGACACGGAAAGCGATTGAAGATGGCGCAGACTACCTTGGGATTGGAACGACGTTTGCAACACCCACGAAGACCGACACGAAACATATCATCGGTACTCAAGGCCTGCAACAGATACTAGCATCTTGCGACATAGGGACAGAGAAATCAGTGCCTTGTGTGGCCATCGGCAGTATAAACGCTTCCAATATCCAACGAGTTCTGCACCAATCCGCCTATGGCTCCAACCGACTCAACGGCGTGGCTGTAGTCAGTGCCATTGTGGCTGCCACCGACTCGCAAGCTGCTGCCAAGTCTCTCTCTGAGTTGATCAAGTCCGCTCCAGAGAAGTACTTCGCCGCCGTACCACCCAATAAACAGCCAGTCACAGACTTGAAAGGTCTCATGGCACAAGTTCCTGGTATCATAAAATCTCACGCCTCTTCCTCGGTCCTCTGCCACAACATGACCAACACTGTCGTCCAGAATTTCGTGGCCAACGTCTGTCTCGCGACGGGCGCTTCGCCCATCATGTCGGAGATCATTGCTGAGGCGCCTGACCTCGCCAAACTGGGTGGTGCGCTTGTTATCAATATGGGCACAGCCACGCCCGAAAAACTGAATAGTTTCATCGCAGGCATGAAAGCATACAATGCCGTCGGCGCACCTGTGCTCCTTGATCCTGTAGGTGGAGGAGCGACCGCTCATCGTCGCAACACGGTCAAGACACTTCTCGCTTCCGGATTCTTTAGCGTCATCAAAGGCAATGAGAACGAGATCTCCGCAGTAGCAGGTTCGTCCAATGTGCAGCAAAGAGGCGTTGATTCTGGGCCGTCAGCCTCGACAGGTGAAGAAAAAGCAGACCTCGTCAAACGCCTTGCTCAGCGCGAACATTGCATCGTACTCATGACGGGCGAGACAGACTATCTGTCCGATGGCGTCCGCAGCATAGCAATCAATAACGGCTCGCCATATCTTGGTAAGATCACCGGGGCCGGTTGCGCTTTGGGTGCTGTCATAGCCAGCTACCTTGCTGTGCATCGAGAAGACAAGTTCCTCGCAGCTCTTGCAGGAATGATGCACTATGAGATGGCGGCTGAGCGCGCAGAAGCTAGACAGGACTGCAACGGGCCAGGCTCTTTCATTCCAGCATTTCTGGACGAGCTGTATCTTCTCGGACAGGATGTGAGCAGCGGAGGACCAGGTGCTGAGAACGGGATTGTCGAGCGTGCGAAGGTCCAATTGATATCGTCATGATCGAGCCGATGAGTAGATACCCTGAAATGCACAGCAAATGCTGCTCCATTTCTGTGTGACGGTGATCAGTCCAAACAGGCGCATGTCCCTTCCGCACAAGGTCGAATATCCCTTTCGATATCGAGCCTAAGCCACCGTCTGGTCTGAGGCTCGATTTCAAGCTCCTGAACACCTCTCGTGGCTGTAGCGAGGATAAAATCCTCATCATATGCCACGAGCTCGATGTCCACATCCTCAACCTTATTCCCACGAAAGAGCGTAGTCAGCCCTCTCTCTGCCTTATCCGGAGGTGTCCACTTTTCACTTTCGTGCTGATAGCCGTCCGGGTGCAAATGTGCGTGATTGTGCGCTTGTGCATTCGGCACGGCGCCGGTGGTACTCGGTCCTCGTTTTACTTTCGCCTCTTTCGGCATAGGCGGAGCCACGACGTGCAAAAACTCGAGTTCCCTCAACCAGTCGGCCAACAATCCCTCGCCTACCATCTTGATGTAAGCCTCTTTGAGTGCCCAGTAAGCATAGAACCTTCGTAATTTCTGCTCGATCTGTCTCGCCTCAGCACCCCTTTCATCGACTGACGAGTCGTCGCTGTCAGTGAAAGGTTCCCCATACTCACGTTCGACGACGGGTACATGGATTGGTGCCGCGCGCATGTCCTGCCGTTCGCGGTCGGAGAACATCTCTGCGAAGATGTCTACCCACTCTTCGAACTCGGCCTGGGTCTTCGAAGTTGGTGTGCGCTTATCCTCGTTCGTACATGCGATATCCACGCCTAGTCTGACTTGACCGGCTGGCAGGATAGGCGTATGATGGTGCTTTAGACCATGGTGTTCGAAATGGTCCAGTGGCGTGGGTGAGATAGGTGTAATTTCGGATATGGAAGTCGAGGGGTTGGGTTCTTGTACTGTTGGCGTCGTGGAGCCAATGAGGGCGACGAGGCCAGCTTGGTGGGAGACATTGAATTCCAAGCCCTTGGAGTCTGGGTCAGGACTGGTCCAGATAGTCGGTGGCTCCCAATATGGCCGGCGATGAGGGTGTGGAGTCCGGGAGATTCGTATCTGGGACCACGCCACCTTTGCGCGCCGGTGGATGAATGTATACTTTAGGAGTGCGCTGGCAAGTGACATGAAGCGATCGGCTGGGCGGATGAAGCGTGTGATGGCCTCTTCATCGGCATATTGGAGAGTTGATAGTAGGGGATGGGTTATTTCGGATTTGGGTGTCGATGGAGGCGGCACCAGGGGCCGAGTGTCAATGTAGTAGCGAGTTATAGAGGTCGCATGTCTCTCTCGAGATGGAGATTCTGCTGGTGCTTGGGATGACATTCTGCAGCCTCGTAGAGATGGGCTGGCCCCGGGTGTAGAAAAGTTTTGGTAATATAGGAGACTTTACACAGTCTGTCGGTGTCCGATGAGTAATTGACTCTGAAGGTGATAAACTCCTACTTACGTGCCCCATTACGAGGTTCGTGTGATGTCCGGGCTCTCAGAAAACATATGTTGCTGAAGTGCGACACATATGCACCAATATGTCAACGTAATGATGAGACCTCTTTAAATGTCAAGATTGCATTCTGTTGTCGGTGAATGTAGCGCGCCTGAGAGGCATCATGAAGGCAAGCAGCATGGAAAATGTCCGAACTCCACAAGGCTACCAAGCATCATGATTCCAAGTAAGTTACTCGTACTCCGTCGATGATGGCTCCAGTCCGCCGTAGGCTCGTTTTCCGTGGTGAAGATGGCAAATAGAAACAGAGATACGGAGGATTGCGGCTGAGCCAATAGATCAAAGGCGGCTGTTGGGCCGTGGCAGAATCTTTTTCTATGGAATTCGAATCCGAACCTCGGACAAGCATGACTCGAAATGCTCTTCTGCATGATAACGAAATACTCCATGTCAGGTCAATGACGATAACCATTGGGGTGCTGGCCTTGCAAGGTGCCTTTTTAGAGCACCTGAACCTTCTCAAGAGAGCTGCAGGCCAACTAAAGAGTCAAGGGTTTGAGGACACTTTCGAATTCACAGAAGTAAGAAACGTGCAGCAACTGGAGCGATGTGATGGCTTGATTATCCCCGGTGGCGAGAGTACAACTATGTCTCTCGTCGCTGCACAGTCAGGATTGCTCGAACCCTTGCGAGAATTTGTCAAGTATGCCAAATCCTACCATACCATGGCGCTCAACCTTCCGTGAACTGATCTTTTGCTCTTTAGAGTCGACCGCAAGCCAACCTGGGGAACATGTGCTGGATTAATATTGCTGTCTGAAAGCGCAAACTCCACCAAGAGAGGCGGCCAGGACCTCATCGGTGGTCTGGATGTTCGCGTGAACCGCAACCACTTTGGGAGACAGGTCGAGAGTTTTCAGGCCGGGCTCGATTTACCATTTTTGAAGTCCAAGGACTCTCCTTCCAGTGAGCCCTTTCCAGGCATTTTCATTCGAGCGCCAGTTGTAGAGAGGATTTTGCCCAATGTCGAAGGAGTCCAGGAAGAAGAGCAGGCAAAAGCGCAGACTGTTGTAGCGCCCTCAAAATCCGCTAAAGATGACCAGGCACGAGGTGCCATGAGCTCGCATGTTGACATTATGGGTGTACTGCCTGGTCGGCTCAAGAAGGCTGCTGCCATGGGTGCTGAAGTAAATGCTGATGAGAAGGCCGGCGATATCATTGCAGTCAAGCAAGGCAATGTCTTCGGGACCAGCTTTCATCCCGAGTTGACGCCGGATATTCGAATACATGTATGGTGGTTGAAGCAAGTCTCGGATGCCATCATCATCACCAGCACTGCGACCCGCTGATATCGCAGTGTGAACAACCACCTTTTGATAGATCGAATAGACGGGATGCTCGCGCCTTGCGGAAAATAGGCCTGATTGGCGATTGGTCATCTTCCAGCACCATATTCGTCCTCCTCCTTCTTTCTTTCGGCGTCGACAGCTCGACCATAACCTCCACGTCCAGGGTCGAATTCATCTCGGTATTCATCGCGGACCTGTCCACCTGATCTGCCCCGACCGTATTGTCTTCCCTCTTGGAATCCAGCGTCAAGGTCAGTTCTGATGACACGTTCGTCCAGCTTTGTACCACCGATATATTTCATGCAATCAAGCGCATCTTGATGCGTATAGTACTCGACGAAGCAGAAGCCGCAGGGTGTCTTTTGAAAGCGATCCAGACCCATAACCAACCGTTTGATTTCGCCGCACTTGGAGAAGAGCTCATGAATCTGTTCTTCGGTGGTGTAGAATGAGCTAGGTAAACATTAGTGTCGAAGGACAGAAGATCGATTCCACACCTACAGATTTCCAACGTAAAGCGTTGTCGCGTCCTTGAGTAGCTCATCCTCTGCTGCTTTCTTCGCCTCCTCCTCTCGGTCATCTGGCTGGTCTCGACCATACTTGCGCTTCTTCTGCAGCACCATTGTCAGACGGGCCCGGCCCTGGGTTAGGAGGTGGTAGGAAACTCACTTTGGCTGAGTAATAAGTGCTTGGTTTATCGAGTCGATCGACTGTAGAAATGGGTTCTCGGATCGCCATGCTTGCTGGGTGTTACGTTAACTTAGTGGAAGAGGAAGAGGCAGCGAGGTTGGTGACCCCGTAGAAATGATGAAAATGCGGCGGCGCGTGCATGTCTTTCAAACGCGGTCTAAATTGGAGAGACGCTTGACCTTGAACCTCAACTTTTTGTTTGCGCAAGCACTATCCAAACAATCATTGCACCTTCATAGTCATTCCTCATTTTCCTTCCTCCCTAGGATTATGCACCCCTAAGAACAGCATAATATCGGCCTGGAGTCTCAGCAATATGCCTAAGGTCATTGGCCATACTCCGCCATGGCTGTCTCGACCCTCCGCAGGCGCTCGCATCTTCACTGATCCAGCACCCCAGTCGCCCGAATCCCCGTCGAAGCGCTCATCTTACCTTGGAGTACCACCCTCTACAGACTATCAGGGACCGAGAAGGCTTGTTGCGTCCCGAGGAACAGAGATCTTCACAGTCGTGGGCAACAAGATACGCTGGGCCGACCTCTCCAACGTCAGGGACGAGTGGGAAGAAGGCACACAATCCGGTGATAGTCGCCATGGTCTGTCACGGTCTGGAGGGGGTGCTGCAGCAGAGCAACTTGCTTACAGGGCTCTGGATGTTTCCATCTACTATCAAATCCGCCAGATCGCCATTTCCCCCTCTGGCCTTTTCCTCGCTATATCGACAGAACACACTGTTCACATCGCAGTTCTACCACCGACATCGAGGTTGACTGAACATGACCGATCGCCCCTGAAGTTAAAGACCTATCAGCTTGGTCCTACGATTCATGTTATCCCAGAATCCCCGCTGGCCTCTGTGCTATGGCATCCCCTGGCGGCTTCCACTGTGTCAGCTGATTGTATCGTCACTATAACCGCGGAAGCAGCTGTACGTGTATGGGAACTTGATCGATCCAATAAATGGTCATTCGAACGTCCCGCTCTCGCAATTGACCTAAGAAAACTGGCCGATGGCGTGTCTTGTGATCAAGATTTTGAGCCATCCGGATTTGGGAAAACAAGAGGTTTCTCGGTCGATGACTTTGACATGGAAGTCTCTGCTGCTTGTTTCGGTGGCCATGGACGAGACGAAGAAGACGCCTGGGCAGGCATGACACTTTGGACCGCCATGAGGAACGGTGATATCTATGCTTTATGTCCATTACTACCCGCAAAATGGAAGCCGACGTCTACTACGATTCCTTCTCTATCTACAAATGCTGTTTCTCGGATGGCGTCCATCGCAGGAGAGGATGTTGATGTGGATGAACGTCGTGCGGCTGACCAGCAATACGAATGGGTGCAGGAAATTGACAATGACGATCCCGTGCATCTGGACTCTGTTGATGGCCTGGCGGCCGAAGTGCGTCTCAGACCACAGAACCCGAGCGCAATTCCTCGCCTCCAAGGTCCCTTTGCGATTCAGCCAGAAGATGACACTTCCGAACTCGAGATCTCCGACATCTTCGTGTTTGCGTCCACCATCGACGAGCACGATCTAATGGTGGAAGAAGACGACGAAGACTTCGATCAATTTGCTTCTCATGGTGTGCCTTTCACCACTATCTGTGTGGCTACGACAACGAATGAAGCATTGTTCGCTATTGACCTCGATGGAGTTTCAGGTCAATGGCTCCCTAAGAAGGGCAAAAGCGCGTTCAGTGTACCGACTTCAGATGCAAAGGATCTCATACTGATCGACACACTCACGTTCGAGAGCTCAAGCCTAAATGTCGCCAACGACTGGCCAACGTTCACCGGTGACGCCGTACACAATTTCAACCTCTTTTTGACTGCTCCCAAGCAGATTTACTCTTTCTCCTTGAACGAGTGGATCATGCATCTAGCCGCGGAACTGACCGGGACAGAGCCTCTTGACCCTGGCTTCAAGACCCGACTGGAAACCACCTGTGAAAGCCAGGTATGCGTCACCAACAAACTTCTTCAAGTTGACGAAGCATCAGACATACTTTCTGCGCCTGCCATAGTAGATGACATTTCCCTGGGTTACTTCATCCTAAGCAAGGCCAAGTCATCTGCCTACGTGGTCTTCTTTGATCAAGCTCATCTTCAAGCTTCTACAATTGGACCATCCTCACCCGAGCTCACCGCAACCTCACCAAGTCGTCTGAACCCACAGCATGTCAGGATTGCCGAGCAGGAGGATCCGAATGAGCTCGAAACTGTTCCTACAAGATCACCTTATGTCCCGAACAAGGTCTTTTATGCGAATCATCTCAATCCGTTGGAGCAGATGAAACAGAGGCTACCTCCTAATCTAAAGCGAGCCATCGCAGAGAAACCCATGCGCCTTAGTCCCGGGGTCTTGGAAATCATGACGGCAACGCACCGCACTATAAGTGCTCAATCAGGCGAGCTGGAAAAGGCGGCCGCTGAACTCTTCCGACGATGCGAACGTCTCCGAGAAGAACTTGGCAACCAAGTCAAGCAAATGAGTGAATTGGCGCAGCGCTTGCAACATCTCAAATCCGGGGGAGATGAAGATGAAGATGGAAACGTCACTGACAAAAAGTCGGTGGAAACGAGGATTCAAGACGCCAAAGAGAGACAGTCGAGCTTAATGGCGAGGTATGAAGCTTTAAGGAGGAAGGTTGGCCGTGTAGGGTCAGCAAAGAGGGAATTGAGCACCAGGGAGACCGTATGGATTGAAGAAATTGATGCTTTCGGACGGAATGTCGGTGTCAGTGATGACGCTCAGGAAAATGGTGACCTTGCTAGCAGACTGGACAAGAGATTCGAAGAGGTATGTTTCTGTCCCCGCTTGTCACGGCAATCGCTAATGACTAACAGGTCAAACAAATTGCGCAAGAGCTCTTGGACGAGAGCAAGCGCGTCACACAGGACTCTGCACCATCGCCGATGTCAGCATCTATGTCCACATCTATGTCTACCACAAAATCTGCCGGATCTGGCTCTACATCGTTTGGCGTGTCGAGTCGGCTACAAAAAGAGCGTATCGGCGATGTCATGGCCATGGTGGAGCGTGAGGGCGCCGTCATTGATGCGGTGATGAAGAGACTCGAGCGGCTCAAGGTTGAGTATTAGTTGTGCTTGACTCCGCCACCGCCGGTTCTAGCGAGCGTTCAAGAGGAAGAGGACTGGGTGGTGGTAGACCATTAAGGTGTATGGCAAGGCGAAGACGCGCTACTGGTGTCCTTGATATGTACTGTTTGGGTATAGATGAGCTGCTGTTGACCACCACGGCGGCAGCAGCGGCATCTTCGGGACAGTTCATTGGGGCCTAGAAGACTTGAACGAAAAGCATCACACGTCAACATAATACAGGTAGTGCTGCCTTGGAAATCATCGTGTTGCTCATGACGAGCACGCCACAAACCGCTGTTTCTATCGTGACCGATCGTTAGATTTCTTGTATATCGCTGTAGCGTCCAACTCGTACCCCTAATTCAGCAACTTAGAACCTTACCTCCCTGCTCTCCCCGTTATGCGTTTTGACATCATACTCAATCCATCTCCCCACTCCGGTGCCCCTACCGGAGACTCTGCTCATTCCCAACTCATCGACCACTCGCCCCGGGTTCATAACATGGCATCCCTCATACGTGATGGCAAACCCAGGCATTTCAGAGTCTGCAAGAACTAGCGCCGTGGGCAGAGGGTACAATGACAATGACCCCGCATGGTCCCAGAAAATAGGACGAACGGAGTGCGCGAAGGGCGTGAGGTGAGATTGATCCAGAATAGTCTTGATGAGTTTGCGCGCTGCCTGCATTGAGTGTCTGGTCGTAGAGGTGCTGGTGGTGCTAGGCATATGTGATGTCGCAGCGTGGACGCTTTCGCTTTCACTCTCACCCTCTCTATCCATCCTGGTTTCTTCGAGGTCGTTCATAATGTCATCAGCATCACCAGGTGCATCGGGTGGTGCTTCCTCGTCGCCATCCATACCCTCAGGTTTGACAAAGGAGACGGCATGCCGTCGGAAGCGGCTGGTGATATCATCTCTAAACAGCACGATCTCTTCCAGTGGTCCAAACAGGCTCAGTCTAGCAGGGTTCGTGGCCCAGATGGCCTCGCCTGCAGGTGCATTCTTATCTTTCTTACCGGCCTCCACATTCGCCGTAGTAACGGCCCGGCGTATTCGCGAGGTGAACACTTCAGGTACTGCTTGTCGAGGAAGCGCACACGCGCCGCCTGCCGAGAAGGCACTTGCCCATGGATCGTTGTCGCCTGGCACGAAGACAAATGTCGTATTTGACAGGAGGAACGGAAACTCGGAAAGAACAGAAGCAAGGGCGTCGAAGTGTTCTTTATATTCCATGCTGCCGCCACCTTTGGTCGAGCCGGCCATTGAGGCGGCGGACACGAAATTGCCTATTAGCACAATGGACAATGGGAGGTCCTCGACCTCCGTGCTTGACGAGTTGTAGGACGAGAGGATTGCACGGATGGCCTCTAGCGTGCGTGGGCTGTCGAGGGTACATTCACCCAAAATGGCAACTTTTGTTCGGGGAGGGTGTGACTCCGGTTCGTCTTCTGCTGGGAGGCTGATATCGTGGGTCGGTGACCGACCATAGACTCGTTTCTGGATACGGCGCATTTGCTGGCCGATGCCCTTTTCGCTGCCCACGCCTAGGAAGTCGATCCAGCCGAAGCCAGCACCTACGCTGGTGTGTAAGTTGTCCGAGTCTGTTGAGCCGATTGTCAGGGCTCTACGTTCGGCGGGAGGTCCGGCGAGCGTCTCTGCGAGGAAGTAGCCTTTGATTTGTCCACCTACGCCTGCTACGCTGCCGAGGCTGGAGGTGTGGGAGCCGTCTTCTTCGTACGTGCCTTCGACGAGGACGATCATACCCGGGCAGAACCAGGCGCCTTCATTTGGGATCGGGCGTGCTACTGAGAGGTCTAAGACGACACTGCCGGAGAGGTCTGCTAGAGCGAGGTCCCCGGCTGCTGAATGGACGAGCATGCCGAGGAGCAGGTGTGATGATCCTGAGCGGCCTAGCAGGTTGGAGATGGGTGTGATCTTGTATGATTGTTGTATTGAGGTGACGCTACTTCCTGAGTGGATGAGGCTCGGAGGCCTAGTAGCGGTAGAGAAGGACGGGGTTTGGAAGGACTCATTTCTCATCAGGCGTTGATGGACTAGGTGGTATCGATTTCTGAACATGGAAATCTTGTGCTGTATAGGTGGGAGGAGGCTGGCCGCGCCTGATATGTGCTCTAGGGTTTTCTTCGAGGTCGAGTATGATAATTTGGGCTGGTCAAATGCTGCAACGACTTTCCAAAACGAGCGAATGTCAAGATGCGTTTCGTCTTCTTGATCGAGGCTATTGTCCTCCACATTCAACCCAGAAAATCCTAGGCTGGTCTGGCTGTCGTCCCTGTTAACATCGGGACGGCTGATGGATCCTGTCCGCGACAAGTTCGGCGTTCCGACTGTGCTGTTGCTTCTCGAGAGCTTGCCGATGTCGAGACGACCACCTGACATACATGGCTCCAATGTCTTGAGCAGACTGGACAGCTTTTTGTCAGGTCCATCCTCGATGATGAGGCCTCCACCATTTCTTTTCCAGGTTTTCGCAATCTCGTCTAGGACACGTTCTGCGAGACCTTCTTCTCTCCATCCACTGCCACAGAACTTGCCGACGAATGTGGACAGGGAGCCTAGTCCCGAGGATGTGAGAGTCAGGTTGTGTTTCTTCGTAAGTGTCCGAAAGGCAACCGGGCGGAGGGTCTGGGGTGGCAACAATATCGGCAGGACGGTAGAGGCATTGTTCGTAGGATTGTTTACCGGTGCTGCAAAAGGTTGTCGTACCGCTGGCGCTCGACTGGCGATTGGGTATGCAGGCGTACCGAACCCAGGCGACGACGAGAGGAGTTGTTCTTTGCTCGATGGTTTTGCGCCTGGTTTGAAGAGTGGCGGTGGTAGCCTAGGGGTCGAAACGGGGTCTTCCATGGTCTTTGCAGCCGTATAAGTTGCGAAGAGTCGTTGTCATTGAAGTTCTCTAAAGTGGTTTTGTAGAGAGAACGCGTGAAGTGGTTCCGCACGCGACGACACGCGTTTGGAGATTTTATGACGCGTATCGCAAACTGGTCTTGTTGGCGCAGGCCATTCATCAATCTGTTAAGTTTGTCGCATTCTCCAACATCATTCTTCGCATCATACACCTCCCTCGTTTTCACACATCCTGCAAACCAGTCTTCTGCAACCGCATCTTCACCGTCCAGCACCCGCCGCCGACATGTCGAACCTTGCAGACATCTTAGAGAATGAAGTCATTCCAACCGCTCCGCCAACTGAGGAGAAGTCAACCCAGTCAGCCCATGAGCAACTCGCGGAATTGACAGCCAAGGCAACTGCAGAATATGCCGTCAAGCACTACTCCGAAGCAGCCGAGCTATACTCCCAGGCCACAGAGTTGCAAGCCGAGGTGAATGGGGAGATGGCACTAGAAAATGCAGACCTATTATACTCATACGGAAAATGTCTTTTCTTCCTCGGGCAGCAGACCAGCTCGGTCCTAGGCGGCACTGCAGCGTCGGCGCAACTGTCGAATACCAAGAAGAAAACAACGTCAAAAAAGCGCAAATCTACGGGGCATGCCAATGGTTCTACAAACGGCGCGCAAACAGGTGAAAGCTCCAAGGCAGCCGGCGCAGTCGCAGAAGAATCAGTGCCCAATGTGGGCGACGTGATCCCAGAACAGGATGTGAAGCAAGAGGACAGCACCACCGATACACCATTCTTCCAAATCACTGGCGATGACGAGAATTGGGATGAGTCTGATGATGAGGAAGCAGACCAGGATCAAGAGGCCGAGGGAGATGAAGAAGAAGACGATGATTTTGCAACCGCATACGAACTCATGGATCTGGCTCGCGTCCTTTACCTGAAGAAGTTGGATCAGACTCAAGAATCTGTTCTTGAAGACTCGGAAAAGGGCAAATACGTCGCATCAATAGATCTGACGCCCGAAGTCAAGAACCTCAAGAATCGAGTCGCGGACATCTATGATCTACAGTCAGAGGTCTCGTTGGAGGGCGAAAAGTATTCAGATGCGGTGACTGATCTCAAGAACTGCCTAGCATTAAGAGAGGAGCTCGAGTCTCCGGAGTCCAGCATTCTGGCCGAGTGCCACTACAAACTTAGCCTGGCACTTGAGTTCAGTTCTCAAACACAACAGCGCGATGCAGATGGAAATCCTAGTGGCGACCTCGAAGTGGACTGGGGGATTCGAAATGAAGCGATAGCTCAACAAGAAAAGGCGATTGAATGCTGCAAGCTACGAATATCCAAAGAGTCGGCAGCGCTTGAGAAGATGGAAGCGGGTCCACCGAAAGACAAGGCGATGGCGCAAGTTGAGGATGTCCAAGACATGGTTGGGGAGATGGATGTGCGACTGGCCGAACTTCGCAAACCGCCTGTCAGTGTCAAGGCCGAGACCGAGATGAAAGAACAGATTTCGGGTGTCTTGGGTAGCCTGCTAGGCAGTGGCGCCACGGACCAGGAAAGGAAAGAGAAACTGGCGCAGGTATCGGAAACAGCGAATGATCTAACAGGACTGGTCAAGAGAAAGAAACCGAAGACGAGTGGCCTTGACAGCGGTATCGGGTCTGCTGCATCAACACCGGCTGCAACAGAGGCCTCGGAAGCAGGTCCGGCAGCCAGCAAGGGCAAACGCAAGGTTGAGTTTGTGGACGAAGTTGAAGACGGTCAGAGCGATAAGAGAACGAAGGTAGAAGACGTGGTATAATGTTGCGAGATGTGATTGAGAAGTGGTGTCTGCGGCGAACACAGGATCGGCAAGAGAGACGTGGGAGCTCGCCAACTGTTCAGCTGCTGTTTGAGGTCAATGGCCTCTACACTATACGAGTACCATTGATGTGATTGTATCTGATATCCATCAGGCGGATTTAAGTTGTTCCGGTAATCATAAGCTAGGCCCACTTGGTATCAGGCGGATCACGTGAGATATGCCGACGACGAGGTCCTTTCTTCTTGCGTTTTTCGTTAGCACAAATTCTTCTCATGAGTCGATCAAGGCGTCAATGTTAAAGGACAGCGCTTCTTTTTCATCATCATCGGCCTCCTGCAGTCGCTACTTGTATGAAATGACTGAGATCATCAACCTCCCTCGGCTCAGTGGCCGAACCCCATTTCTTGGGGGGCAGCAAAATGTGGGCGAAAAACTCGCGTGACGCGGGTTGAGATCTTGGTGGCTTGTGGGGATCTTGCAATCTCGCACCACAAACCCCGAGCTCGGTTCCCTCTCGGTCTTTTTTCCTCCTCTTCTTCCCACGTTGCGTTGTTACACAGTGACTCTGCATGAAGACGACTCCACCCTTATCAGAACCCAGACCCGTTACAAGTACAGAGTGATTCCAGATGACAACATTTAATGGAGTTCAAGTCTCCCCTACAGAAGCCTCAGAGCTTGAAGAGAGAAACTCCTCGGTATCGGGCAGTGACGCCGAGAACGATGACGCCGGCACTGTAGATACTCTCGACGACAATGGGAATCCAAGCAAGAAGAGGAAACGATCTTTAAAGATCTCGTGAGCTTCTCCTCTGCACCAGTGGTCGTTGTACCCCTTTCACTAACCATTTCCACCATAGCTGCGAGCTCTGCAAGACAAGGAAGGTCAAATGCGACCGCGTCGAACCTGCCTGTGGCTGGTGTGCACGCAACAATCGAATATGCGTCTACAAAGAACGACAGAAACCCGGCCTTCGTGTAGGCTATGGCCGCGAGCTCGAGGAGAAAATCAACCGCCTCGAAGCCCTTCTCCAGGTCATGGGCCGTCGGCTCGAAGAGCATATTGTCGACCATAGCGACGGCTCACAACACCGACCAACTCCTCTGCGCTTGACCTCTCAACCAATGCAGTATTCAACAAGTTACTCGCAGAATGACCCACGTCCGTCAAGCGCCAGTATGGCTTCTCAAGACACTCCCACTGCCGACCCTCGTTGGGTTCCGTCCAATGCCTACGAACGCATGCAATATCCTCCCCGTGCTCAGGATGCCATGTCCATCCGCTCGGTTGTTGATACGAGTGGTCACGATCTAGCCTCTCGGAGCGACAGAGCAGCCTCGACAGCATGGTACCCAACTTCAACTCCTACAGCGTTGATTCCTGAATCGGAGCTTCCTCCATATGATCTACTGTACACTCTAGTGGACTTGTACTTCAAGCACGTCAATCCATGGTCCCCAATTCTCGACCGCAAAGCTACCTTGGACGCCTTTTTCGGTTCCCAGTCCATGGACGAAGCAGACCGAGTGCTTATGCACGCCGTCGTTGCCACAACCTTACGATTTTCCAAGGACCCACGCTTGACCCCAGAGTCACGAACACAATTCCACGACATCTCACGGCAGAAAATCACGCTCTACGCACTTGATAATCCCAATGTACGCGCCCTCCAAGCCCTAGTCATCCTGTCTGTCGATATTCTGGGAACCTCAAACGGCCAGCAGGGCTGGAATCTGCTCGCCCTGATCGCACGGAACGTTGTCCAACTAGGCCTCGAGGTCGAAAAGGGCGCATACCTCGAATCTTCCACCGCGTACCCGTCTGCAACACTCCTTGAAGCATCGCAGCCTAAGTCGTGGATCGAGAGTGAAGAACGACGGCGATTATGCTGGATGACGTTCGTTCTCGACCGCTACGCCACAGTCGCCACAGCCGACGCTTTTATCTTGGACGAACGGGAAATGGACCGCTGTCTCCCTTGTCGATACGACCTGTTCTCCCGTAACGAGCCCGTCGAAACGCGATGGCGCCGTCGAACCGCCTTACAAGCCGAGATGATCGTCAACAAGCCCGAAAATTTGGGTAGTTTCTCATACCATTGCGAGGTGCTAGGCATTCTTAGCCGCATCCATCGCTTCCTGCATCAACCACTCGACATTACTCGCCACCCGGACATTCAGCACTGGCGCGAAACCTACCGCGAACTCGACGGCGAATTGAATAACTGGTTACAGAACCTGCCTGGAGAGTATGGCAAGATCTCGCAACTATGCCACTCGGACCCAGGAAGCCGGATCTCCAATTGGATCATGCTTCACGCTGCTTTCGTGACATCCGTCATCCGCCTGCACTCGTCGGCGGCGTATCCGACCATCAAATCTCCTGTGTTTACGCCCTCGTACCATGCTATTCAGCGGTGTCTAGGGGCAGTGGAGAGTCTGCGGGAAATAGCGCAGGATGTGCTTAACACCGGCATGCTCTCTCTGCTGGGCCACCCTTTTGCGTTCGCACTCTGGGTGTCCGCAAGAGCTTTGCTCGTGCACGCCGCGACCATGGAGTGTGAAATCGATCCGAAAATCACCTTCTTCATATCCACGCTGGAACAAATGGGCCAGCATTGGCAGGTTGCAAGAGAATATGCTCGAATACTGAACAACGTTGTGCAAGAAGGTAGTACCGGGTCCGGCAGGACATTTACCGCCATGAGAAGGTAAGATAGACACCACACGGTGCCACTCCCTGAAGCTAATTTTGGCAGAACGGCATACGAGTTGAATATCTTGATCTCCAAGGGTCCTCGATCTGTCCTTGATCCTGTAACGACGCACACTGCGCCACAGAACGAGGTCGAGTACCTTGAGATCTTCGACTTCTTCAACTATCCCCGCTTGAACGCCATCGCTGGCAACGGGTTTGATCCTGCTGTGGTGGTTTCTCCAGCTGGTGGTCCTCCAACTCAACAACAGCAGCCGTTCCGAGCCACTCCGGCATTCGCCATCCCGAATCCAGAGTCGGATTGGTTGATATTCAAGCCGCCGTACGAATAGTGAAGTGGGTGTCAACTGTAGTGTTATATGTATGAGATATCAACCGAGACTCTTGCTGTTGTTCGCAAAATATGCTTTCCGTGCCCTCCAGTACAGATGCCGTGTCGCAATAAGCCAATCTCTGTATCTGCGCCATATGTGATTATGGCAGACGTTATCATACGTGCATCACATCCCCATCCACTGATCAGAATCAGCACACTGAAGCACACCGTCCCCAGCCACCCTGCCAATATACGCCAGCTCCGCGCGAAACCACTCTTGCTGTTTCTGGTCGATCCCCTCGACACTACATGCAATCATCAAAGGCCACACCGCTGTCCTAGCCTGATGCGGCTTGATCTCTGGTCCGTCGCTGGTGTCTGTTGGTACCACTGATGAATGTCCTGAAGTTGACACCGGGACCGACCTCGACAGCAACCCTGACACCGAACATGACAGCGATTGCGACCTGCTAGACCCAAAGTCATACTGGGACACAGACGTAGGCTCAACGGGCGCGAAATGTCCCGCGACCGAAGGCAGTGCGCACGCTAGACTATCGGCCATCGCTTGCAAAGCCATCGCAACATCACTGCGTTGTTCCTCATATGCCGGACTAACGAGCGGACAGGACGGAACGACCAGTAGTTTGAGGATGCGCAGACGCATGCTGTTAACCAGCATTCTGGCGGAATAGTACTGCGCCCAGAGCGCGGCGTATGCTGGACGAGCGTACGCGTATACCATGGACGAATAGAAGTGTTGCTGTGGCCAGCCCCTACTGTTCGAACCGGCCAAGATATGTCGTGTCAATGAGTGACTGACAGGAATCTTGATCGCCCAGTCTTTCAGCGCTGCATCGAGGTCTCGAGCCTGGCTGTTCAACATCTCAATTGCCATGGGTCCAGGGCCGTCGCCCTTGCAAGCCCGGGTTTGCATCTCACTTAGCTTGTGCCTGAGAGCGACTATTCGCACGATGATTCGATCATAGTCAAGATCCAACTCTTCTTCGCCGAACGGTACCCCGTCAGACATCCACTCTGGCAATGGTATCGCTCTGAGCAGTGCGGACCGAATAAAGCCCCGGCGCGCGTGCGTGATGATACAGCTTGCAGTGTTGGTGGAGCTCAAAACATCGTACCAGACTTTAAGAATCGCAATCGCGCCGTCGTGGTGCCACCAGCTCGTCATCGACACGAATGCTGCACGTGGTGGGAGTCCTTCCCTCCTCGGGCAAAAGATCGTAGAATCGTATTGGCCCATTAGCATGACTGTCAGAAGGCAGCCTTCGATGTATGTCTGGTCCAGACTCGGTTGGTGGACATCTTGGACTTTAGTGAGGAGCCGTCGAGCGATAGGAAGTAATTGGTCGTATAGAGTGGACGCCTGGACAGCAGCAGCGGGCAGGTGTGTGGTTCTGAAGTACACTGCTAATGCGAGGCTGGAGAGTGCGAGGTTGACCATTGTGCATGTCCGGCCGGATTGGTTCCAAGCGTAGAGACAGCTTGCTACGCAGGATATGGTCTCTGGCTGCTGGGAGTTGAGTTCGAGGTGGTGGGCTACGAAGTACGTCATTGCTTTGCTCTCCAGATCCGAGTCCATCTGCAGCGCAGGAACAGGGGGCAGGAGACCACGACCTTCTGCCTGCCGCGAAGAAGGCGGGGCCTTATCGAGACCTTCTTGCTGCCAGGGGACTGGGCGAGGGCCCTCATTCTGTTGCAAAGGAGGCGGATGGACATTGGCTCCTGTCGCAGCCGTCGTCACCATCAAATTCAGAGCCGACCTTGGACCCCGAGGACGTTTAGTCTCCCCACTGGCATATTGGTTCTCGACGTGGATCAGAAACGAGGCTTGTTTGACGGCCTCGACTGGGATGCATTCTCGGTGAGACTTGACGCAGCGCTTACAAATCGGTTTGGTCTGGTCGCATTTGACTCTTCGTGTTTTGCAAGTCTGGCAGGCTCCACTAGGGATTGGCATGGCTCGCTCAAAGGTTTGGTTTAGGACGCCCCAGCACACAGCTGAATCATTCGTCAGGCGGTTGTGCTGGAGGCGGATGTGGTTGCGATCGTGCGCCGAGATTAAGTTCGTGCGTTCGAGAGGGTTTCTCCTGATCTGGAGGCATGGCGTCGATGTTGAAGTGGATTGGGAGGGGGAATATCATCATATACTCGTTTCGAATCTGGGAGATGTGATGGAATGTCTGCATTGGTGGGCCTGTTTAATGTCGATGGGTAAAAATTTGTTTCGTCTGACTGACACGCGTCCCTCTTTCGGCCACTCTTCAGCCTGCTATCTAAGAGAAATCCTGCCTGTCAGACTGTCAGACTCTCTCTGCTTTTCGATGTGCTTAGTAAAGGACCAAACTCAACCGAGACACTATTCCATATCCGACGAAACCCAGCGATTGGTAAGAAGAATCTTTGTATCGTGAATGGCCAGCCTTGTCCTATCACTCCGATCTCTGCAAAAGACGGGCTCAGAAGCCACCGTTGGCCGAAGAGCTGCAGCGGTACTCCATCATTCTGTACCCATTTCTGTTGCCCGAGCATTGACATATCCACCGTGGTGCTTGCCCTCGACCCAAGGTTTCCGGCCGTCGAATTGTGTTGATACTCTCGTGCGAGATGCGGAGGGTGCACGTGGGTGTTGACCGAAGTAGAAGCTAGACCATGGAATTAGGTATAAGTACTGCAGCTTTTCTATCTTCCAGAGCATCTTTTCTTGAGTAGACCTACCGTCCTATATTGATGATCCCTAAGTCTTTCATATTACTTGCAATCCTTGGCCTTGCTTACTTACTTTTTTGCAACCCACGGTCTTGCTCACTTGCCAAATATATCATGTCATCCCAACTCAAACCCATCAAACTCTACGGCGCCCATGGAGCCAATCCACCCAAAGTCGCTATCATCCTCGAGGAACTAGGCCTCCCCTTCGAAATCATTCACATCCCCTTATCCGACGTCAAGAGCCCAGACTATGTCGCTCTCAACCCCAATGGCCGTCTTCCCACCATTCAAGACCCCAACCTGGACATCACCATCTGGGAATCCGGCGCTATAGTCGAATACCTCATCGAGCGGTACGATACGGAGCACAAACTCAGTTTCGCACCCGGCACGGTCGATTCGTACCACGCCAGACAATGGCTTTTCTTCCAAGTATCCGGCCAGGGACCCTACTTCGGACAAGCCTCTTGGTTCAAGAAGTTCCACCATGAAAAACTGCCCAGCGCCATAGACAGGTACCTCCGCGAGGTTGAGCGTGTGAACGGCGTGCTTGAGAGCTGGTTGGCCAAGCAGAAGGACAAGGACCCCAATGGTGATGGACCTTGGCTCGTCGGGGGTAAGATGACGTTTGCGGATCTCTCATTCGTGCCGTATCATCGTGCAATGGGGATGGCACTTCCTGATGATTACAGCGTGGAGAAGTTCCCGCTTGTGAAAGAGTGGTGTGGGAAGATGTTGGCAAGGGAAAAGACGAAGCTCGCGTTCGAGAAGATGACCAAGGCGTCCTCCTGAGCAGGCGGCCTCCTGAGCAGGGGATTGCTGCGGCGGAAAGTCAGGTTGACATCGGTTCAGTCGTATCAGTATCTGAACATGACTGGGTGGTGGTATCATGGAATGGTCCATGCAATCGTTCCATGGATTGCAGTCCGCTTCAAGTAGTCCACCTCGAGTAAAATCAATTCACCAGTTGAAGAGCCCGCAACCAAAACAGGATTGGCGTGGTATTGGTGCTGAAGGGTCGCGCTCCACTTGTTTCGCTCCGTCTATCGTATTCGAGGCTTTCCCAATGCATATAGGAGAATGCTAGGGGCGCTTAGACCTTGGCAATTTTTACGGCGGCCCGCGCTTGCTTCAAGCACGATTCCCTGAAAGTCATCTGGGTCACTTTAATGTCGGAGTCCTTGCCCAAGGGCCCCTCTTCAAGTCTGACCACGACCCAAGCTCGCAACAGAAGACAACAAATAGCCCCACCGAGCCACATGAAGCCGGTGAAGAGTTGGACAGGAAGGTAGGCTTCATAGCCACCTTGTCGGAGTTCCAGCGCAATTGGTTCGGCAACTAGAAGAAGAGAAGTCAGGTTTTGTCGCGATGGGGTTACATGATGGTTACTCACACATAGTCGGAAAGACGATGATAGTCCATACGATTGACAAGGCAGCCGGCAAGTGCTTGATCCCAAGGACTTCAACAAGTACCGGAGCAACCGTCTGCAAGGTCGAGTAAGTACCAGCCAGGACGAACAGAAAGAATACTCACAGCGTAGTATGTGCCACAAACCGATCCACCGAGCAAGGCGAACACAATAAGCGTAGCATAACTATGTGCAGATGTCCAGATACACAAAGAGTATATTGAACATAACAACGTCGCGATGCCGACCATATTGATTCGTCCGATGCGGTCACTGAGTAACCCGACAGTTGGCCGCCCAATGGCCATTCCTAGATTTGCCAGGGCGCCAGCAATGGCACCCTGCTTGAAGGTCAAGCCGATCTTGAGAGCGTTGTCCGGTAACGAGAAGAAAACGAGAGTGTACCCCATGGTGCTGAACAGTGCCCAGCACACAACAAGGATGAACTCGTAGTGCTTGAAAAGTGACAGGTCAAAAGCCTTCTGGTTCGGGTCGATTTGTTTGTTCCGATCGCGCATCAGCAGCGTACAGCCCGCATTCATGACGAAGGTAATCATGGCAATGATACGGAACGCCCACGCTTGGTCAATGTCCTCGATCATGGCCTGAACGCCCAAGCTGTAGCACATACCGCCAATACCGCTTCCAGCAGCTGCGATGGCGGCGGCGAATGAACGTCTTTTGTCGAACCATTGCGGGACGATGGGAATGGCCCCGACGTAGAGAAAGCTGGAACCCCAAGCGAAGGACAAACCTTGAGCAAGGAACAGGTGCCAGACTTTCGTGGCGAAACTTGCACCGATCAATCCCGCAGTTTCAAGCACTATACCTACTGCGAGGGTTGGCCGCGTACCGTATCGTCCGCTGAAGTATGTGACTAAAGGTGCGACGAAAGTGATCTGGGAGATGGAGACGCCGCCGATGAAAGCATAAGTGATCTCCCTGGTGCCTGGGTATTCCTGAGTTTGGAGATAGTGGGCTAGATAGACACCGAAGGCCTGGACATGGGTCAACATGAGGACAATCTGTCATACTATACTATGGACTCACGCCGTTGACGCCCCATGTATTCGCTGTGATGAACAGCATGCAAGCAACGCACACCCATCCGTAACCGCCGTCTGGAGCGACGTGCTCGTGGGTGGTTTTGGGCTCGCCAACTTCAGCATCGGATTGATGGAGGGCATTGTCGTTCGGTGGACTGCTCGCTTTCTCGTGACTTGCTTCTTCTGAGAGTTCGGTGCTTGTAGCCATCATGAATAGATCGTAGCTTCACGATTGTCCGAGCTTGGATGTTGCTGGAGGCTTCGAAAGGAAAGAAGATCTTTGTTGGGAAATCTCAAGTAAGTGTAGTGTCTGGGCTACAGGACGGTGGGACTGTGAAGTTTGTCTGCTCTCATATTCCATGGAGGCATCATGGTATGCAGATATCTGTGGGTATGAAGAGAGTTCGGTGACGCAGCGTCCCGCGGAGAACAATCACGCCCTGAACGATATCAAACGTTTCTCAACAATTGATGGGGACATGCCTTGAGCACCTACAGTACGCTCCAATCTCGGCGAATGCATGATGTTGCTCATGACGGCGGGCGCTGCACTGAGAATGCGGGATCCCCATTGCCGCTTGGGAAGACGTTATCTCCCGGATGAGTTAAGAGAATGAATCAACATCGTTCAGCCGGCATCAAAGCGGATGGAAGTGGACCTTGACCGCGATAGGTCCAGCTGACATCTCATCATAGGTGTTGGGGTCTGATAGTGGTATCTGTTGCTTGTCCGCGTAGAGGTGTAAGGGAAAGGTGGATTTTAACAGCTGAATAAGTCGCTTATCAGTGTATCATTCCGAGAAATTCGCAGCGAGCTTCCCGTTGAGGAATGTAACAGCGAGTATCGACCAACGACGACCAAAGTGCTTACTCCGTACATCTGATGTTATTCGAACTTTGGAAAACGTCCCTAGTATTGCATAAGCAACGTTAGATGGCAAGAATTCACCCCAGATGTTATCGCGGCAGACGTACGAAGTCGATGGGCTATGCCACGGCAGACTTCAAAAGCACCCTAGAGCCCCACTGCTGCAACCGCATCCTTACGGACCATAATCTGCTTCCACTTGACGAATAGACCTACTGTGCTCGTATCAGAGCCATCCTCAAAGGCCCGAATCAATCTGGTCAACCATGTCCTTGCTGGTAAAAGCATTCCAGCTGGTGCAGAGGTTGCTGGCACTGGTCGGGACTTTGACTTGCGAGAGTATGAGATCAGGACGCTCCTATCGATGTGTAAGCTTGGGTACGTTGACAATCCAGCCTGCAGTAGCCAGACTCACCAGTATATTCACATAAAGGCCTCCGCTAACATGCCAGGCAATGTGACAGTGGAATGGCCATACACTCGGATTGTCCGCAACGACCTCGATTGCAATATAGCCACTGGGTTGTAACAACTGTACATCCCGTCGCATCGGATTATTTGGTCGGACTGTACTGCCGTCCCAACTACCCACCCCCTCGTGCAGAACGTACATGTTGTGACCATGAATGTGCATCGGATGAGCAACAGGTGACTGATTGTTGATGACAATGACGAAGCTCTTGTTGGTGCCGAATTTGTAGACATTCCATTCCGGAACGTACGGATAGCTGTCATTGCCAGCATCTGCAAGCAATAGAATAGGGTCATTGTAGTTGACGCGGAAAGTGGAATCATTCATGGTCCATAGAAAGTGTCCCGTAGCATTGATCTCAAAGTTCAGAGCAATATTGACCGTCGTGTCTGGGCTGGGTGGAGTTATTGCTTCGTACGGAAGGGTCATGTTCAGGGGATCGTTTGCACACCTGCTATCATCAATCGGCCAAGCAGTTGAGTTGGGGGTCGTGTTGGAATTCGCGTTCTGGTAGTATACAATGGCGAGACCGTTTGGCTGATTAGTGACGGAGCAGGTAGAGCTTATTGTAGACCTCATCCAGAAAGTGTCAGCCCTTGAGCCATTCGCATGGACAATCACATCCGCCCTTTGCCCAATGCCGAGCGTAACTACATTCGTTGTGTACGGCTGAATGGGGCCAAGATCGTACGCAATGACCTGCAAAACATGTTCGTCGATGCTGAAACGTTGTATGCCTTCAGCTCCGGCGTTGATCAAGCGAAGTCGATAAGATCGCCCAGAAGTGAATTGGGGCTTGGACAAACCCGCATTCGGGGTGCAAGTCAAGTTGGTCATGGCGCAGTCAAACACGCCTTTCCCGTTAATGAGGTTATTGACAGAAGGGGGTGCAACCTGGGCGAGATTGGTACCCATGACTTGCTCCACAAGGGTGAACTAGTCGTTGTGATAGTAGTCTGTCAAGATTACAGGGCCCAAATCTTGGTCGTAGGCTGCATTAAGGGGTCCGTGTATGATGATCGGCCCGAGTGCACCACCAGCGTACTGTGCGCTGTAATGGGAGTGATACCAGGTTGTGCCTGTATCATGCGGTGTTATAGTACATGTGTCTCATCCAGCAAAAGGACCGAGCAGCGAATGCTTAGGGCCTGTGGAGGATACCAGGAGCATGCAGAACGTTTTCTGTCTCGGGACAACTCACCATACAAGTCCGCATTGAAAGAGTATGTATAGGTTTGCCCTGGTAAAATAGGGCACTGTGAGATGCCCGGCACGCCGTCTTCGTAAGGAGTACCCTTCTGAAGGAGGGCATGCCAGTGTAATGCGGTACCCTCTTCCGGACCGGTAATGTTGTTTGTCACGGTGACCTGAATAGTGTCGCCCCAATTAGCTTCGATAGTAGGGCCTGGAAACCCTCCGTTGATGACTAGCGCAGATCGCTCAACGCCATCAGGAGCAATGATGCCTCTGGAGACCACAAAGTTGTATGAACGTACAATCCCAGTCGTTGGTGCGTTTGTGTATGGGTTCGTACCAGCAGCTGTTAGTAAGCCCCAGGGAAAGCCACTAGGTGGTGGAATTAGGGAGCCTGCCCCCAGAAGTCCAAGAATGTCACCGATGAAGCGGAGGAATGTCTGAGCAAGCAACGTCCCTAAGAGAGAGTTGCCATTGGTTTGCGCCTGAGACAGAGCATTGTTTCCCAGCGACGCTGTCTGTTTTGGGAACCCGACCCAGGGCAGATCTGAGGGAAACAGGATCTTTGACATGGAAGCAGGCAGACGCGCGGTTCCAATGATAGGAGTGCCAGTGTACGTGACAGTGGTTGTGGCAGACTAAGAATAGAATAGGTGTCAGTAGAGCGGCTGTACTTGACGATGACCCATCTATTGACATACCGGTGGGGTAACACTGAGTGGTGCGGAGGTCGACACACTCGTTGGTGAAGCCGAGGCAGGGCTTGCTGATGTTTGACGCTTCTCGACGGCAGGATTCTGTATAAAAGCCAGACTGTCATCCAAGATTCCGGGATTGTTTGGGAGACCCTGGGAGAAAGTTGTGAAGAGCAGGAAGCACAACAGCAAAGCCGAGATCGCCAGCATTTTGTCAAATTGCTTCTGCGTAGATCAACGATGGAACGAGTGAATCGATAGGGAGTAACGAGTGACCGATCGCAACAGGCAATCAACATAAGCAAGATCGATGAAAGAGAGGCGGCGATGTGCTTGGGCTATTATCCCATATGAATTCCATCTCTTGATCATTAAGTAAACTTTCCCAGGAACTTGGGACGGTTGCAAAAGACGTTCACACCCTTTGCAATACCACATCCACAATGCATGATGTCGTGTATCAGGGATGAGACCCGTTCCAGGTGGATGGGACTGTGGTGCGTTGAATTGATGGGGTCGGACCGTTGTCATACACACCATGAAGGATCAAGGTATCACAGCGGCAAAGCGTCTGGATCTGGTCTGCATGTGCATGAACTATACCCCACGGACACCGAGTTTGGCCGCGTTTGCGAATGGTGGTCGCATTGATAATGTATGCAAGGTAGGCCAACAGCACATACCTGATACTCCATTGAGCTAAACCGCCGCCACTCTCGTTATGTGACCGCGGAGATCGCTATCATGGCACCATAACTAAGGGCCGGAGCTGCAGTTGCCTTCCTGCAAGAACGGTAAACCAGCCAGCGTTAGCATTGTTCGTCATCAGCTCCGCTTCCTTGACTTACTGTGGTATGGCCGGCAATCTTCGGCTACAACTTGCTGCTTCTGTGTTCTGTGCCCTGACCTTCTTGGTCGTTGAGCACGAAGTACCACTTCACGCCTAACATATTGGTCCATCCATCACCGCAAAGCCCTTCCCGGCTCACAACTTCCAGGATCTGGTCAAACCTTTCTTTCCCCGCCACTCCGATTGTAATACTGTCTAGGCCTTCAGGCTGGGACTCGGCGCCTGGGACGAATTTCAAACGTGCGTTTGTGAAAAGGAGTTCACTTCCATCCCTTTTAACACCAAAGTATTGTTGCCATTGCTCGGCAGCGGCTTCAGTGTCCAGCTGATCTGGTGCAAGCCGGCATGTTGCTCCGAGCAGTTTGAGATGTGAGCAACGTCTCATTGCCTCAGAATATCTGGCATAATCAGGCCCGCAAGCATGCCATGGACTAAACGTATTCTCAAGCGGTTCCGGATTGGCAGGGGAGGCTGTATGAGAATCCAGCTCTGGCAGCATCCCTCCTATGTTGAAATCAGCGAGAACACATGGTCCGGTCGCGCATATCTCTCTCACTTACCAGCTATGCCTTTTGGATGGTACTGAATGCATTCACTATCACCGTGGGAATGGTGAAAGATGACTTTTGCTAGCTGTTTCGACTCGATGTATCGCTTACGAGCGACCGCATCCGAAGTTTGCATGATTATCATGTAACCGCCATCGCCTCTCTTCTTGAGCAATCTTCCGACGGTAGTGTCGGGTTTGAAAGGAGAACAGACTTCAATGATATCGCCGCCAATTGCAACTGCTTACATAAATGACAGTTTGCACATGATTCCAGTAGGCCTACCTAGGATATTCTTGAGTCCCCATTGTGCGACTTGTGGATCCACAAACACGACTTCGGTGCCGAGTACCGTGGTCTGTGAAGGTGAGCTTGTCCGAGTACTTGCTGCGCCCGTTTGGGATATGTCTCACCAGTAAGTACGTAGCTCTGTCAAGATCTTCAGCAATCAAAGCTATCTGCCTAAGCCTCGTAGGTTCGGTAGCTGCCATTTTGCTGCCGTGGACTGGACTGTATTGCCTCAGGGGCAGAGTATTTTTGATGACGAGGGGAAGACCACAGAAGCGTGCCCTTCACATCAAGCACATGTGGCTGGCGATGAGCTGCCGAGTCAATTCGGGGTCCTAAGGGCACAATATGCTGCTCACACCATCAAAGCCGTACGAGAATTAGGAGAACATGTACTTGTTTCGAAGTGAGATTGTGATAAAGTGATGACAAGCTGACGTTCATGATGTGGTTGGACCTCGGCATTGCATTTCAACTTGACGTCTCAGCCTCGTCAGTTCGGCTGACAAGGCTGAGACAGAACGATTACTCGTACAAGGACTACCGATATGAACCATAGTAGTAGAGTCTAGGGTAGATCGTGTGATAACGGTAGGCAGAGCTCATACAACGCTGCAGAATCTGTCAAGGTGTGTCGACAGCCATATTGACGGACTATGGACATGATAATTTACTCCTTCCATGGAAGAAGTGACTACTCTTCACGTTCTCACAATTTCGCAGTGCCTTTTCCTTTCGCTACATCACCGTCATTAGCATTGAGACGGACTCCCACTTGAAGCGCTGGTCAGTACTCACAATTCAACGAACGATTTCTCTCCTGAAATCTTTTCTTCTGGGCATCCTCGACGATTCGTTCTGCCAAAGCTTCGGCGGCGTCGTACACCGCAAGCATCCGATCCCTCCTGAGAGGTAGATTCTGCAGTCTCTTGGCCTCCATCATGCTCTTGCCATCATTGATGTCCAGCTGCTCCTCCAGAAAGTCAAGCACCTTCTGCTGGAAGTTCTGCTTAGGGAAGATTCTATTCACCAGACCCCATTGTTCGAGTTCTTGCGCTGTCAGCTTCCTGCCGAACATGAGAAAATCGTTGGCCCGGTGTGCGCCAATCGAATGGTAAAATGACGTGGCGGATCCGAACTCGGGGACCAAGCCGAGAGCACTAAATGGCACTTGCAGGTATGCATCGTCGGCAGCAAGAATGATATCGGCAACCCCTTCGAACCAGGCCGCACCACCACCAACAGCCGGCCCGTTAAGGGCGAGAACAAAGACTTTTTTATGGTCAATGATGGAGCGGAGCAGTTCCACTGTCGTTGCATGTGTAGCCATGAACGCTACCTTCTTTTCAGCTGGCGTAGCATATTCGACGTCTGCTGCAGCAACGGCGGCTTTCACGTCGGCACCGGAGGAGAAAAACCTCCCTTCACCGGTGAGCACCGTGAAAACAGTGTCTGGGTGTTCATTCAGCTCTCTCAGGGCGGAAACCACCTCAATCAGCAGTTTGCCACCAAAAGCATTGAGTGATTTGGGTCGATTGAGCTAGAGTCGTCAGGATCAGCCACGTTTGTCACAAGATGCCTCATTCAATACTCTGATTATCCCTATTTTCGCTTTGATCTCCAGGATTATGTCGGTATATTTGTACTTGCCTGTTGTTGCCATGGTGGCTTCTTCGGGCAGCAGACTGTCTCCTACAGGGTCAAGCTCTGCAGTGAAGTATCTTAAAAAGGAGCTGAGGACGTTCATAAAGGTACGGCAACGAGGGGAGGTACAGTAATTGCAAGATGGATGTCACCTTTTATCGGAGAATTACCCCACAGACCCCGGTAAGTAATCAAGAAGCCTCGGTCCGTCAGGGCTACGAGGTCCTAGCCCTCTTACCTTACCTCAGTACTTCCAACGACCAAAGTGAACCTGTGGTGACATGCAGTGATATAGACTTGTCCGGGTAACTCGTCAATAAGGGAGACAAAACCTGAGAGAGCATGGCATTACGACCAGAGGCACGCAAAACACGAACTGGCTGCTGTACATTGATATTCCTCTTCTGAGGATGTCGTTCTTTCAAGGTCAATACTACTGCAGCGACGTTTCGGACAATCACAAATATCGCACATTCGGTTCAAGCGGAAGTCAGGAATATCGAGTATTGGAAGCAGAAGAAGAAAGCAGAGATCGTTTAGACGCGCAGAGGATTGTATAGTGCCACGTGACGTCATTTTCAATATGCGCAAGGCTTCAGACTTTGAACAATTTTATTATTGTCCCGCAAAGTAGACTGCCACGACCAAGTTCTCTCTTGCCAACGGAGAGTCTTCTACTCTTTATATACTTGTACCTCGTCGCCTCCCAAATCATTCAAGATGTCAGAACCAATTCCCGAGTCCATACCCACATCCGCGGACCGACGCTCGAATCGTCCTGTCAAGCGTGCCCGCGGCGCCAACACAGCCTTACTCTCCCAAGCGCACGAGATCGACAACCTCTTCCTCGACCCCGACAGACCAGTCGACCTCCCTCCACCATCGACCGCTAGCAAGGCCACCGTCGCTGCACCACCAGAAATAGTCGCAAATGTACAAGGATCCTCCGCGGGTGCCGGATCAGGTGAATTTCACGTCTACAAGGCGAGTAGGCGGCGCGAGTACGAAAGACTAAGGGCGATGGACGAAGAAGCCAAGCAAGAAGAAGACAACGAGAAATGGGAACGTGAAGAGAAGGAGCGACGTGAAAGAGACGAAGAGAGGACGCGGAAGAACCGGGAGAAGCGGAACCGGAAGAAGGGTAAGAACGCGAAGGGCGGTGCAAAGGAGGAAGAAGACGGAGGTGTTGATGATGTGGTCGGAGAGACGAATGGCGTCAAGAGGAAAGCGGCGAGCTTGCAAGTTCCCAGACGAGGGAGCAAGGACGAAGAAGAAGGAAGTGATTTCGGGATTGCGCAAGTCGTCCAGGAAGTGGGAATAACGATACATGAGGACGATTGAGACCATGACACACCCACCTGGGTCAAGGGACTGAATCACGCACCGCTGGCAGACGATCAAAGCACTCATGCGACCACACAGAGAGGAGCTGGAACACCACCTATACCCTCCTATGCCTTCTTATCAACCGGCAACATTGCCCCATCAATCCCACTGAACCACCGAAACATGAGCTGCACGGTCCCTGGCATCACACCGAAATACGGCATGAACTTTGCATAAAACGGCAATCTGATCGATCCTCCATCACCCCTCTCGATCCTCCGCACAATCTCTTTAGCAATATCTTTAGCTTCCACCACAGGACCAAAGAAATGCGCATAGAAAGGCACAGTCGTCTTGTCCGCAAAGAGCTGCGTGTCCAGCTGGCCAGGTTCAACAAGGAGTGTCTTGACCTTCGCAAAGACTGACGGATCCGGATGAGATCGTAGTTCATTGCACAGCGTGTGATGTAGTGAGCTGACTGCCGCTTTGGAGGCAGTGTAATCTGACAATGACGCGGGCGCGAGGTGCGCGAGTAGCGAGGATACAGTCACGATATGCGCTCCCGTTTTCGAGGTGATCAGATAGGGCAGCAGCACTGACAGTGTGTTGAAGTGTCCTAGGGCATTGATGGTCAAAGTGCTGGATGCTTGCTCAGCCGAGAGTGTGGTCGGTTTCGTGGGTGTTGCAAGAAGTGGTAAACCCCTGACGTTCGTCGCTGCATTGTTGATGAGGATCGTGGGAGATCCAAACTAAAGATACCCATCGGTTAGCTAATAGTTCACCCATTTTGTCCCAATCCTCGTGAAAGTGCAGCTCAGGGGAACTGTGGGGCAGACAAACCTGATCAACGACCTTCCCAACCGCCCCTTCAATCTGCTCTTTCGAGCTAACATCCATAACTTCCCATTGCAAATCCCATCGCTCCATCTCTTCAGTCGCCTCCTCGTCTGGCTCTCTGACGTCCAGCACAGCAACTTTTGCACCCTTACGCAAAAACATCTGCGACAGGACTCTGCCTAGACCGGTCCCTCCACCGGTGATCACGATGACCTCGTTCTCCCAGTCCACCTTCCGATGCGGTCCATACGTGATCCGGTGGTTCGCCCAGATACATACCTCCACTACCGCCAACAACGCCGTGTAGCATAGTGTATAGTAGGCGAGAGGTTCGCGGTGCTTATGTACGGACGCCAGGCACAGGTAGAAAACCATCGTGATCCATGGGTGGAAGATGGAGTTGGCTAAGATGAGAAACAATAGATCTATCGTGATGTGGTAATGCCATGGTTTCGGTTTCGATTGTGTCGTTTTAGATGTCGTTGAGAGTTGTGCCATCTTGTCTCTCTGCCGTGCCCTGGCCGAGTCGTGTAAATGTCTGGCTGTATGAAAGCGCGCCGAACTGGTCCTAAGCTCCGTACTCTGTCCCAGCTGAATATGCGTGTGCTGTAGGCTTCTGTGGATCTTCAATAGCTGTGCTGGACTGGTGGTTTCAGTTCGGAATGGTCATTACGTAGTGGTGATTAATATATGGTGATTTCGATGCCCACTGGAACCTGCCAGTTGTGGTGTACAAGATTGAAATTGTTCAGAGTGCAATGAATGTCAGCAGCTACCATAAGAATACAATGAGAACAGTGTCTCAAAAAAAGGGAACTATGGATCGAGGACTTGTGATCGTGGTTTCAGAGAAAAGGAGGTATTGAACCGTGGGCGCCTCTCCGCAGACCAATCATATGTCTCGAATCTGTGACGACGATGAAACAGCCACAAAAACCCAGAAGGTCATGGAATGATGTGCCCTTGATTGAGGCGGGATAATTGTTCGCTTGTTCTAATGATACAACACATAGGTGTCTGTGTGTGAGCATCTAGAATCTACTAAGGATATCTAGGATAATGGATAGTGTACAGCTCTCCTCCAAAGCAGGCTACCTCGATGCCGTTCTGATCAAAGCAGACCGCACAGTCCTCTAGGAACAGCAGGCAACCGGCATCAGCCTGTCCGTCAGTCAAGCTCTCCGGGAAGCTCGTTAAGCAGCCCTTCTTCGTCACCTCTGCCAGCTTCATACGGTGTACGGCCACCACTGACTCCACCATATGGATAACCTGTGCTTGTTCGCCATCCCATCATACCTCCACCGCCCCATTCGTATTCGTCTTCAATATTGAACTCAGCACCTTCCCGGGCACAGCCATTGCCACCCTTCGCGATAATGGCGAGATCCTGCAATTGTCTTGGGTCAAAGTGAAAGCCGAACTTGCGAGGAATGGGCATAATATCCGGATCTTCATCTCTGGGACGTTGACCTCTCACTGTGTCCGGATACAGCGTAGCAGGAACTTCCACAGGCAGGCATTCCACGGGTGAGTCCTGAACTTGGCTCACGGCATTTTCGTGTGGATCGTCCGGCGGATCGTCTGATCGAGCACCGTTGTTGTCCGCTTCCTCCACAGCGGCAACCGCATCAAGACGATGCTTCACTTTCTCTTCAATTGCGAAGGGTTCCATACTCTGTTCTGTGCGGGGTTCGCCCGGCCCACCCGAGACAGGAACGTCTAACGACGTCTTGCCTGGAGTCTGCGCAAAGAAGTGAGCATTGCCAGTCGGCCCCGCATCACTTTGAGGCGATGTGAATTGCTTTGCGAAGAACGCGAGACGCCGAGCTCGTAGAGCTCCTCGATCTGAACCGCTGGCCTGGCTGCGTACTTTTGCTGGAGATGCGGCTGGCTCCGGCTCCTGAGGTTGTTCTGTGTGGACAGACCTTGGGTTCACTACACTGCGCTCATTTCGACCCAGAAGACTGGACAGGAGTTGCTGGTGGTGGGCGGATACAGGATCCGTCTGCCTCGCAATTGGGTTGTCGTACAGCTGGTATGTTTGATCAGACGCCATGGGAGACTGGTCGGCGTTGCATTTCGAAGGGGTTTTCTCGCCATAGACCGTGGTTGATTCAGCGGCAGCATCATTAGACGCCGTGGTCCCACGCAGCTCTCGCGGGTGAATGGTCTTGGAATAGTACTTGCGCAGCAATTCGTTCTTCTCTTCGAGCTCCTCCCATGTCATCAGCTCATTATACGGAAATTCGTTGCTGAGCTTTTTCAAATTCTTAGAGCCCAGGTGGTGTCTCCATGTCCCTTCACGAAGGTGCTTGTCTCGAGATCGAAGCCACCGGCCCCCACGAGTGCTGTTGTCCCAAGGTGTTGCTTTCCCGACCTTATTATCCCGAGGCTGTTGTGGTGTGTCTGAAGTTGTGTCGACATGACTCTCCTCATGTGGTCGGCTTTGCCTTGCGTCCAGTGACTCGGCAACGACCCGTATCGCTTGACGCGGATGACTAGCTGGCTGTGCAGAATCTGGAATCGAACTATTTTCACTATTTGCAGGCCATGGTGGTTGCTCGGCACGCATCCTCTCAAATTGACTCCGGTACTGCTTAGTGCTGTAAGGGGACGGTCGATTCGGATCATAAGGACATTGCTCGTTCAGTTCACGCAATGTCGGGTTGGAAAATTCTTGCATGGTACCTTTGGAGATTTTTGTGTCTCGCCAGTGCAGCCACCGGCCCTCTTGAGTGTCGATGTCCCAAGCCACTGGATTCCCATCTTGATCTAGTCCGTTGGCAAGTAGAACGTCTTTCCGTGAGCAGAAAAAGTCATTGGCTTTGTCAACCCCTTCAGATCCAGTTCCGCCTGGCTGTGGTGCATTCGACTTGGGACTAATAGAGCCACCTGCCCTGTCGGCGGCCTCGTGTTCGGAATCTTCCTCTTCGTCATCACTGTCCATCGATACCTTCCTGAGCCTCCAGCTTTCCGATATCTGTCGGCTGCTCTTTCTTTTCCTCATCTTGATGTCCTGATGCGAGTGGGTCGATGTCAGCTGCGAGTCCGGCGAGCGGCGTTCTTCTTTTGAGGAGGAATGGGCTTGGGGTATCCCATGATCAGAGTTTCCCGACGTACCATCATTTTGAGATCCAGGATCTTCACTTTGCATCTTTTGCATCAACAACTTTTCCTTGAGTTCGAGCTCTTGTTTCATGTCCAAAACCTTCTGCTTGTGGAATTGTTGGTCCTTTCTTAAGGTGTCAACACGGTCTGTAACAGGTTCGAGAAATTCGTCCACAGAAATTTCAGCGCCGTTTCCGACCTTCTCAAGAATTGACCATGCTCGACGAAATTCGTCTCGGATCGAAACCAGCCCATGGTGACCAACGGTACGTCCAACGTTGTGCTCCACCTCGAATGGGTCTTCGATCGAGAGCAGATAGCGTAGACGAACGTGCTTCTTCGCCGGAGCCCATTTCGCTTCGGTCCAGCCCTTTTCTGACTTGGACAAGAGACCGCCTCTCTGTCGAATCGAGATAACATCTCGAGTCCAGTGGAAGCCCTCACGTGTCGCATAGTAGCGGAAGAAGCCTCGGAGCAGCTGTGAGGAGGTTTCTCGATTCTTGGTAGCGGCCATCTCTTGCTGTAATGCCTTGATCTGATCAGGATCATGGATGAAGCGAATATCAAATCCTTCGAACAAGGGAATCTCCTTGTCAGGATTCCAGCCGTCGCTAAGCTTGGCTAGATATTGCAGATTGGGGATTACTGGAGGTGATGCAATATTCATGAGATAGTGCAGCACCAGCAATATGTAGCCGTAACTCGATAGTGTGCCACGATACGGGGTATTGATGTCCCTGGCTTTGGCCCAGATCTTGACAAAGATACCCACATCACCCACGCGTGGATCAAAGCTCTGGTAAAGTTTCAGCAACGTCGAGTTGTGCATTGCCACGAAATTGGCAAAATTGATGTCGCACTGAATGCCACAGTCTCCTTTGAATTCCAGATCCGCATTACCACGGGTGGCTGGCATTGGGGAGGGTAAGTCTTTGATCTCGAGCTCGCTCAGAGCTTGATTGACAGCGTCTATACTCGTGGAGTCTGGTTCTTCAGCAGGTTCGGTGATTGGCTGGTCTGCCGGAGTTTCGAATGATGACTTTTCCCAAGAAGCTCGATACTCACAGAGGTTGTGAAGTAATTCAGGAGAGGGACGCTCGCAAATGCGTAGAATTGGCACCCGAGTATTCTCGAGGAGACGTGCGCCATACTCCTTGTCGAGGAATGCTTTTTCCAGAACACGACGAATTTCCATGTTGAACACCCGTTCTTCATCCTCTTCTGCGTCCTGCTCAAGCTCTGGCCCATTTTCAACATCTGGTGGAGTGGTCTTGCTTTTGGTTTCTTGATATTCAGGCAAGGATAGAAGCAAGTCCATATCGCAGCCTGCCAGAGCAAACCCATTCGCGAGACTGCCATAGCATTTCAACTTGATATTCTCGGCATCGATATCTGGATATTTGTTGGTCAAAGCCTCCTTCGCAACGCTTTCCAAGTCTTTGCGAAAGTTCTCTTTGAGCAACGACTCCTCGCGGCTGAGTTTGTGTGCTCCATAGGCTTTCCTGCCAACCTCGTTGAGATAATCCGATTGGCTCATAAGAATATGTCGCATGTTTCGTTGTTGCTCAGCAGTCCCATAGTTTGCTGGATTGTGTTGGTACAATTGTGCATGACGTGGTGGAGGTCGTCCATAATTAGCATATTGACCTGCATCCATAGCGTGTGCTGTTGCGGGGATATGTGGTGGCTGACCATAACGCCCAGGATGACCTCGGTGATGGCCCCTCGCACGATCCTGGAACTCCCTCGGTGTGCCGTGACGGAAGTTATCAAACTGCTGGACTGGCGGCTGATGTTGATATTGAGGTTGATACTGATGTTGAGGTTGAGATTGAGGATAGAAGGGAGTATTTCTCGAAGGAGCTTGCTGGGGCGCTCCTAGTGGTGGGAAGTCTTCGGAATTGTTTGATGATGGAACCGACTGTTGATTGCTGAAGAAAGAAGCTTGACTGCCATTCATGTGATGGTGCTGGTGGAATCCGTGACCTCTTCCTGTATGTCGGCCACCTCGATGACCACCGCGATGACCTCTCCCTCTAGGCGTCGACTGCTGCGACATAGACTGCAGTTGAGACCATACATGGCCGGTGAAGCCAGGTTGTTCCTCGGAACCTTCCATAACGTCGAAGAAGGATGAGGTTATTAGATGAGACTAGGAAACTCCAGACCCGATACGATCGTCACTTCAGCCCACCTAAAGCCATCGAAGGATTTGACCATGGACCACTTTAGAACACGGGTCCTAGACGCCGCGCGATGACTGATCCCTAGTGCACGCTCATCACAAGGAGAAAGGGTAGTTGAAAGAATGTGATGAAGATCGGCGTGGCAGAGTTGAAGGACAAGTTCATGCAAAGAGGAGTGTCGCGTCTTGAGTGTGAAATGAAATGAAATGATAGAATGAATGGATTAAGTTAATGGATGAATGGATCTTCATTACTCCGACGCCGGCCCATCTGTTCTTCTTGGCACCCGTCTTGCCTTGCCTTGCCGTGCTTGCCTTGCCGCCTGTCATTGCAGTCATTCCATTTCATGGGACTTTTGGAGACAGACAGGCCAGTCTTAGACCAGAGATCATTCAGCCGCTTGACGTATCGTACACCAAGTACCGACCAACGCGCCCTCCACATCGCATTCCTTGCCTAGACATCTTGGTTTACCCTCATACTTTCTTTTCCTTCGTGCGGCATAGCGGCTTATTGTAGCCTCTTGCTCCCTATTTCACATCTGCCTTCTTCATGCTCTCCTAGTACACAATGAATGGTTCCGCCCCCTCCGCAGGCGGACCTCCGAGCCATCCTGGCGGTGGTGCTCCAGTGTTGAAGCGCAAGAAACCTCTTTCCGACCCTTTCTTCAAAGGCCCCAGAAGGAATCCAGCAGCACGACCTCAACTGAACGGACATGCAACACCCGCTGCAAATGGACATCTGCCTCTAAAAGCACCGGCGTTACAAGCCTCGACACCGAACAGTCAACGAGCATCTTCCCCTGCCAAACCGGCAATTCCAGATAATGAACGTGTTAGCGGCTTCAGCGATCCACGAGTCACCGCCGAAGGAATCCCCTACAAGGACTACAAGCTTGTCACCACAAAGAGAGATCTTCTGCATGGCCTGAGATACCATATTCTACAATTAGCAGGAGACAAGGTGGTTGACATTCGTAATGAAGCCGAGTTCTCAAAGCCTGCGCGCCTCCATCGACGCGACCCTAGGGCACCTCCGCCCGGGCAACATCAGCACAAAGAAGAGGAAGGGGATTTCCCAGACCTCAAAGATGGCCTCAATGCCGCAGAACGAGAAGAGCTGGGTCGAAGGAAGGAGATACGGCAAAGGGAGCGAGAAGCAAATCTTGCACAGATCGCACCCTCACAAAACGCAGCCCGAAAGATGAATGCTTTCAAGAAGAAGACTCAACAAGTATTCAGGCCCGACCTGTCTGCGGAGGATAAACGTCGAATACAAACAAATTACGAAGAGAAGCTTCCCTGGCATCTGGAGGACTTTGACAACAAGCACTGCCTCATCGGTCATCATCAGATTGGGTCTATGAGTTCTAATGCTGCTCTTGTATTTGAGCCTGCCGTCGACGCGTCTACAGGGAAATTTCGACTGATCCCTATTGAAAAGGCATACCAGTTCAAACCCAAACGAGAACTTGCGCAGCAGATGACTATCGAAGAGGTCGAGGCCGCGATGAAAAAGCGAGGTTCTGACCCAGAGTGGTTGATTCGTCAGAGAGAAGCACGGGTAGCCGAAGCTTCGAAAGAGCTCGTGGCAAAACGAGCCAAAGGTATCTTTACAGGGGCTCAAACGCAGAACGTTGCTGGCAGAACAGGTGAAGATGCAGATCTGGACTTTGAAGATGACTTCGCCGACGACGAGGAGGGGGATTTGTTTGTCGACAAAGACGAGGATGAGAAAATCGCCGAGAAGCGTATCAAAGAAGACCAGCTGCAAGCTAACTTCCTCGACTTTAAGGATCTTAAGGAGTATGACGAGGCCGAAGAGCGAGAAAAGAAAGAGGCAGAAGCCAGAAAAAGAAACTTCCGAGAACTCAGAAAGGCACTGGAGAAAAGAGAGCGAAACTACAATCATGGTAGTGACTCTGAATATGAATCTTCGGTATGTGCTCATGGTAAATTTCACATTATTTCATTGCTAACACAGTGGGCAGACCGAGGACGAAGAAGAACGCGAGCGCATTGAACGCGAACGTCAAGAAAACCTCAAAAAGGATGAGGAAGAGAAGAAGTCGGCTCTGCCTTCATCTGGCAACAACACACCATCAGGCCGCAAAGAGAAGAAAGCGGGCACAGGCAGCGATCGTGAACGGTTAGCTTCCCGTTCTTTGAAACGACCTGGCTCGCCAAATCTGTCCGAAGGATCAGGCACAGATGCCTCTGCAAGACGAAAGAAGCTGAAATCAAAGCATATGTCCTCGACTCAGCCCACGCCAGGCCCGTCACGACCAATGTCTCCGGCAAACGTACTTCCAAGCTCGTCCGCGCCCGGGTTACTCGACCCCAAAATCCGCAAGCGCACTGGCGGTGCTGGCTCAGACACCGATGCTGGTATGAGTGACCGCGACGGCGCAGCCATGTCGGATGGCAGCCGTACTGCGAGACGGTTGAAACTGAAAATGTCCGCGTCTCCACCGGGCACGAATCCTCCCTCACGCGCGGCTTCGCCTGCACCTGGTGCATCACGCGGTGCTCCTAGTCCTGGTGCCAGCAACCCGATCGCGTTCCCGTCAGTACAGGATATCAAAAACGCGGTGCCTACGCAAGGCATTGCCATCAAGGATCTCATGAAGATTGTGGCGCATCCTAGAGAGCGGAGAGCGGAGTTTGTCAACCTAGTCAAGGAGGTGGCGAGGATGGACAAGGAGAGAGGTGTGCTCGTGCTGAAATAGGCCCACAGTATGCACCACGCTGAGCCTTGTCTTGTTCTTCGACAGCCAGAGATGGTGAGCTGAAGATCAGCCCAGTGAGCTCGCGACGCACCACGCTGTGTTATAAAGATTAGACAGTGTTGGGCGTTGAAGCTGTGGCAACTCACTGGGCTCTTTTGAGTAAGGAGTTCTGAATTCTGGCGAGCAGTCGCAACCATTCACAGACACAGAAGGTAGTATCACGATACATTATACTTGCCACTCGGCAGGTCGTCTTCTTCATCATAGCACATTAGTGACGATTGGAAATTCGTACATCAATTAAGGTACTCTTGCGTGCAGCATTCTATGTCGTGGACTATCAACTCGGTCTGACGAGGCACGTCCAGCTCTTTTCGTTCTGACATCCTTTTCGTCGCATCCAAAGCAGCATCGCTATGCCTATTCACAGCAGCTGGCACACTCAGGACAATTATCCAATCGAGCTTTCACACTGCATGGGATTGCGTGATTAAGAAGCGCTGTATCGTCCACTGATCAGCTTCGCCTTCGTAGGAACGACCTCGAACATTTTCTCCTCGGCACTCTCCCTCGCACTACTAAGATTGTCCCCAGTATCATCAGCGAACGGATCCGAGTCGGTGCCGCCAGCCGAAGTAACCATCTTCTCAACGCCGACACCACTGGCCGTCGCGCCTGGGATATCAAACTTCAATTCGACAGTGCCCTTCTTTGGCATGCCGCCCTCGGTCATAAAGCGCACCAGCAATCGTTCCTGCTGCGGCTTCACGCTGAGATCATTGTACCGCCAGACCACGGCGGATGTCTTCCTGCGGAAGGTCGCGCCCTGAGTTGGTGCCATCATTGCCGAGACGGCTTTGCCGGCTCCTTCGCCCGAGGTATCCAGGTTGACGGTGATTTGGACATTCTTAAGATTCAAGGCCTCGGCTCCAGATTGGAAGAGGGGGTTGAGACTGTATAAGATGATGACGCTGACTTGGCCTTCGATGATTTGCCATGCTGGCGTGATGAGCACGGGACTGTATCGTCCAAGGTTGTTCTCGTCCATGTGCAGTTGGTACTTCAGGCCGATCAAGGGCGATGGCCTGCGAATAGCGGAGGTTGACACGGTGTAAGAGCCTGCTTGTTCTTCTGCAAGAGTACCTCCACTGGACTTTACTTGTGTCAGGAAAATAGGGTTCACAGCGACCTTGTCCAGCAGCTCGAACTTCTGCATGCGGATAGTTTCGTGGTCTGATTCAGCAAAACCACTTGGGTTGTACGCAAAGGCGACTTCGCCTAGGACAAGAGACTTGCTGATGCCGGATTCTGTGAACCATGATTGAACGGTCTCCACGATGGAAGCGTTCAGACCTGCCTCGTGGAGGTCGCTGTGCAGACTTGTGAACGCCAGACTTCGAGAAGAATGGATGGATGTGGTGTCTGAGCCGACACCGTGCTCATCTTGGAGTGTTGCGGCTGCCGCTAGTCTGGGTATCGGAGACGCTACAATGTTTTCGAGAGGACTTGTTGCTGGAGGCGTCATCACAGGTGGGAAGGCGCGCGACACGGACTGGGTTGGTGCAGATGGCTCCCCGCTGCTTGGGACATACATGGTGTTTCGTACATCTCGTCTTCCTCGAACAGTGCCTGATCCACGGTTGAGACCCGAAGTCTGCGCTTGTGTCCTTAACTGGTTGGCCATGGTGTTCAATGCTTGCTGTGCCTCGCTTTCATCTTCCTGGATTGGCTGATCTCTAATCATAAAGTTGCGTGCGGACTCTTCATTGACGAGTGGTGAAGCTGGAGCCTCTTGGTGGGAATCTGGGAAAGCACCAGGAGCTGACGGTGGAGGTTCGAATCTCTCGGCAGGCTGGGGTTGAGTTTGTGGAGTGCTGACTGTGTCCATGAGAGTAGGTTGCGAGGGTACTTCCCCTGCGCTCAATTCTAGCGGTGTTTGCGACGTCGCTGCACCATTGGTGAGCCCAGTGTGGTGTTCCGGCTGCCTGGCTGATGGCAAATCATTCAGTCTGTCATGCGATACTGAACTTGTCGGTCGTTCATCCTGGGTAGTACTAGGTGTCAAATCTTGTCCCGTCTCTTCCAGGTCCTGGAAACTTTGGGAGGAGTCTCCTCTTCTAAATGGAACGAAAGAACGTGTTTTCCTCTTCTCGGCTGTGGAAGACGGCGTTGAGGGTACGGTACTTTTTCTCCTACCCATCACAGTACCAAGTCGCTTGAGTCCGCCAAGTTTACTCTTTTCTTTGGTTGGAGTAGATTCAGGCACTAAAGTCATGTCAGCTTGTAGATCCCATTTGCGCCCGGGAGACTTTACAAGGAGTTAGTCTATCTTGACCGGCAAAAGAATTCGTACGTTGACTGTACGTATCTGCGTGTCGAGGCGGCGGTGGCGTGGGGGGTGCGCGGTTTTGGGAGCTCGGAGGCCTTGCACTGCCGGTCGTAGAACTGGCCCTTCTTGCGAGGCTACCACGTCCCCCAGCATGTCTTGCGGCAAAGGTTTTGATTTCGTCGGCTGTTTCAACATTCAAGAGCGCATTCAGGATAGATTCTGCGCTGAGCCTGTTCTTTTCAATTGCATCCACTTCGTGTGTCTGGAATTGGGTAAGGACGTCTCTTAGGTGGTTCAGTCTTGTCTCGTCGGCGGCCTGAAGCTGCTCGAACACAAAAGGTGCTTGAGACTCCCACTGTCGCGACGCCTCTTCAACGTCTGTGCTCGCAGTATCGGCTCTCCGACCGCCCTTCGCAGCCTTCTTCTGCGCATTGCTCAAGTCTTTCGCAAGCGAGATCAGGTTGCCTTGAGTGGTAGCCAATGACTGCATCTCTCGATTTCGAGTCACGAAATTCCTCAGAGGATTTTCAACATCTGTCTCGATCTTGGCTGCAAGAGCTTCGTGGGAGGCCGCCAGGTTTTCGGTGCCGGACACAACTCGCTGCCACGGCATTTGGAAGATGCTGCATTCGTTCAGCAGTGTGATACCACGAAAGAAGCATTGTTCCTACCCCAAAGCTGCGGCTCCATCTTGTTGTGGCCTTCGCGCCAGCTTCCGCAAGCTTGCGACATAGGTTTCTTCTATTCTTCGGCGTTCCTGCGACGAGTTCAGTCGGCTTCCTGTCAGGTGCGCCATTGTGACCAACCTGGAGCCAATCGGCAATGTCATTGTTGATCTTCTTGATGAGTCCGACACGATCGTTGAGTACGTCCACAGCCTGTTCTGGCTGTAACGAAGCCTGGCGCAATTCAGTGAGTCTTTTACCATTCGGAGACTGCGGGATTGTCATACCAACAAAGTCGGATACTCGGTACGTGAAAACTCCATGGCAACGGTGGCGCCGATGTCATTCAAGCATTGTATTCAGATCAAGCAAGCTGTCGGACACCTACTCGAAGTGGTGGAACAGAATATGAATGCTGTGATAAGTATTCAGGTGGTGATTGAGTTGGTCAGACTGTTGATGCTGTTTACAAGCGAAGGAAGCTTCGGCTCTTTATCGGCTCTTTGATTAGTAGTGCTGCATACAGTACAAGGACAAGGACAGGGACAAGGCCACTATCCTATCCGCCTTTCTACGCCCGCCGCACCTTGTATTCTTTCACTCAACGTGTCAATCAATGGCTTGTTCTGGAATTTCCTGACACAGAATATGCAGCACAGGGCCAAACGCAGTCTCAGCAAGTTTGCTGGTTGTGAAGACCTCCCACGCCACCATGTCCATTGACATTGGTTTTGCGGAGAGACTGACCAGCATCGTCTCACTGTAAGCCTTTGTGGATATTACGTTGCTCTCGACTGACTGATGACCGGAAGTACTAATGCATTCACACTGCTTGGGAATGATGCAAATGAAGCACGCAGTACTGCTAGGGATCTCGAAGAAGAAATTCGGAACAAAGCTACTTCGCCAGTAAGAATATTTTCTACATCCAAGACTAAAACAATCGCTGACCATGCTAGGAAGAATACCACCAAAGCCTAGAGAAAGCCATCTTTGCACTGCAGCGTGTGAAAGACTCTTTGGACGAAGAGGAGAAAGAGTCGCCGGACGAGGCTGAAATCCTAAACCATGAAGGACCCAGCTTTGGGAGCTATCAGTACGCCACTTTTCACGCAGATGGCCTCATGTCGACTGTTTTTAAGGCGGAAGCGAAGGATAGAACCGCTCCTGCACGACTTGTGGCTCTCAAAGTTACTCATCCAGCCATGATGACTCCTCCACACAACAGCGAGAGAGAGGCTCGGCTTCTGGTCAAGGCTCGTTCTGAGCATGTTGTGCCGCTGTTGGAGGCTTTTCACGAACCAGGAGGACAGTTCATCCTTGTCTTCCCCTTCTTACGGCAGGATCTGGAGAATCTACTTCGGTCAGGACGGCTGGATAACAGCCAGACGAGCATGATTTTCGAAGGACTCTTCAAGGCTTTAGAGCATATCCACTCGCTTGGGATGATTCATCGAGATGTCAAGCCTTCCAACATCTTGCTGAAGACGATGCGTGGCCCTGTGTATCTTGCAGACTTCGGTATCACATGGGACCCAGTGGACAAAGACTCCGAGCCGGCAGATGCCAAAATTACCGACGTTGGAACCACGTGTTATCGTCCTCCTGAGCTGTTGTTCGGCCATCGCTCGTACGACGCATCCTTGGACATGTGGGCCGCTGGTTGTGTGGTCGCTGAGATGGTCAAAGATGACCACACTCCACTCTTTGATGCGGGCCCTCTAGGAAGTGAACTCAGCTTGATCAGGTCAATGTTTACAATTCTCGGCACACCCAATGATGAGGTCTGGCCTTCAGCTCAAGCGTATCCAGATTGGGGTAAAATGAAGTTCCAGGCCTTTCCGGCAAAATCCTGGAAGGACCTTTTACCCGGAGCGAGTGCGAAGACTGTTGATTTCGTCACCAAGACTGTGTGTTACGAAGCAACTGGAAGACTCACTGCTAAACAAGCGCTTGACCACGAAATCAGAAACGACCTTCAAGGGAACTTGGTACCTAAAGAACAAACCCTTGGCCAATGAGATCGAAGGATGACATAAGATCAGACGGTTCGCGACGCGGGCGTAACCTGCAGGTACACCTTCGTGTTCGCGGCATGCCACCCGTTTAGTATCTGGTACAACGATACTGGTCCATTCATATCCCAACAACAGTGCGTGACCCAATCCACTTCGCCGCTTGACTGGCTGTATCAAAAAATGGACCAGGATTTATTCGCCTGCTCGCGAATCCTACGCAGAATGCTTCATTCAGGCGTCCAGCACTCCCCACGGCTGCGATCACGAATGCACAAAAGTCCACAAGCCGGAGACGTGGTAGGTCAAGCCAGGCACAGATCGTGCCTGCTGGTTCTATAAAAGTCCTTGCTTGCGCCATGATATCAATATGCTCTCTCGTTCCTACCTTTCTCATTTTCCCATCACTCTCCTGACGTCTGGCTATACCGTGCGAACTCGAGAACGAATCCGAGCTAAGTATGGCTGATCCTTCTACCCCGGCTATACCTGCAAATGGACCTGTTACTTTGGAACAGCAGGAACACGAGGTCAAGGCAGCACGATCACACGATACTCTGGGCCAGCCACCACAGCTTGACACTCAAGCTGCTGAAGCTGCCATGCAAGTCCAGCAGAAGTATGAAGAAGAACGTCAGAAGCGATTGCGCCCAGATGGAGACGCTCAATATGTCGACCTCGACACTTCGGATCAATTCAAGTACTATCGCGATGATCCCTGGCTCGACGAGCGATCCGACAAGATCACTATCAGCGACAATGAACATATCAAATATTTGATCCTTGGTGCTGGCTGCGGCGGTCTCCTTTATGCGGCAAAACTGGTGAAGTCTGGGGTTCCTGCCTCGGAAATCCGCATAGTCGATTCAGCTGGTGGTATAGGAGGAACTTGGTATTGGAATCGTTACCCGGGTTAGTGGTCACGCTACATACACGGTGTTTGGAGCTTCAGGCATCACATATGCTGACACGATGCACTAGGTCTCATGTGCGACGTGGAGTCGTACATCTATCTCCCACTTCTCGAGGACATGAAGTACACTCCCAAACACAAATACTCGTACGGTGGTGAGATTCGGGAGTACCTCACCGCGCTTGCTGATAAATTTCTGCTTTCCGAGACAGCCATGTATCGCACCAAAATCAACAGCCTCGTTTGGGACGACGAACAGCACCAGTGGAAAGTCAACATGAGCAAGGCACGAACCGACCAGCCCTCACTGGAAATGAACGTTACGACTCGATTCATCATAGCGGCATCCGGCCTGCTCTTGCATCCAAAATTGCCAGGCGTCGTCGGCATTGAGACCTTTAAAGGCCACTCCTTCCACACATCTCGTTGGGCGTACTCAGTCACTGGCGGATCTCAGTCGAACCCAACTCTAGACAAACTCTCGGACAAACGTGTCGGCATCATCGGTACTGGGGCTACTGCAATTCAAGCCGTTCCGCATCTCGCCAAGTACGCCAAACATCTGACAATCTTCCAACGGACACCTTCTTCAGTTGACACACGTGGCCAACATGAGACCAACCACGAAACATTTTCATCCACGGTCGCCACACATCCTGGCTGGTGGAAAGAGCGCAACCTCAACATGGCCCGCCATCTTTCAGACGCCATCAAACCTACCGACACGAATCTAGTCAACGACAGATGGTCCATATGCCATTCATACCGCTCGATAATCGGTGGTCCCAACGGACCTACCTCAATGGAAGACATCCCGGCATTCGTAGCGTCCCTTCACGCAAGCGACCTACCTCGAGCAGAGGAGATTCGACGGCGCGTGGATGATATTGTGAAAGACAAAGGGACCGCGCATAGCTTGAAGCATTGGTACGCGTCATGGTGCAAACGCCCAACATTCCACGACGATTACCTGCCGTGTTTCAACCAGTCCAATGTCCAGCTCGTAGATACGGACGGCAAGGGCGTAGATTCACTGACTGCGACCGGCGCCGTGGTCGCTGGCCAAGAATATCCGCTGGACATACTCATTTTCAGCACGGGCTTTCGCGCCCCTTTGAGCGGCGGTCCAGCTGCCCGTGCTGACATGAAGGTCACTGGTCGTAACGGGAAAGACATGGACGCAAAATATAACGAGGACGTGGCAACTCTCCACGGCGTTTTCACGCACGACTTTCCCAATTTCTTCATCCCAGGACCATTTCAGGCCGCTGCTACAGCCAACCAGACCTTTACTGCTGATGTATTGAGCGACCACGTTGCATATATCATTACCCAGGCTCAAGCTAAACACCCTGGTCAGAAGGTGGTCATTGAGCCGACCAAGGAAGCGGAGGAGATTTGGACGGGAGAGATTTTGAGGCGGAGTATGGCTTTTGCAGGCATGGCAGGTTGTACACCGGGTTATCTGAACGGTGAGGGTTTGATGGACAGCCTCCCGATGGAAGCGAGGATGAAAGCTGCAAGATGGGGTATTTGGGGAGAAGGACTCGAGAGCTTCATGAATGTATTGAAGCGCTGGGAAGATGACGGCAAGCTCGAAGGTCTGGATGTACGTGCTGTTTGAGGAGACGATAGAATATGAATATTGTATGCATATCATTTCCGCAGGCGGGATTCCTGCGACAGACTCCCCGTGCTATATCGACGCTATATGAACCTCGGATAGAAAAGGCCAGATTCCACACAAATATTCACCTGGCCGCCGTAGGCACCGTAGGCACCGTCCAATATCATTTCTAAAACCGACCCTGAGCCTTCATCTTATCCACCACCTGCGCCGCCTCCCTCAATTCACTCTCACTAGGATAATTCACAATCATCAAATAAAGCACATCACTCTTCATCAACCCCTTGATCCCACCTTGTGGAGCCCGTTTCTCCAGGCCTGACTGATCATACCTCGGTTCCCTGCCACGTGCCATCCGTCTCTGATCTTTATATTGGCGCTTCATCGCTCTGCGCTGCTTCTTCGCGTTATCCGCCTCTCTCGTATCGATCTTGCCACCACTCAACAACGCGACAAGACTGCCGCTATTGGCAGGGTGATTCGGATCGCTGAACCTGCTGACAAAGTGTTTCTCCGTGGGGATCACCAATTTTGAGTCTGGATGCTGTTGCTCGAACTTGACTTGTGCGCGTCGGTCGAAGTAGTCGCCCAGCCGTCCGCCCACGCGCTTGAATGCATTTTCCTTCTCTGCCTCGCCTAACGCATCGAGCCCCGGAAAAACCAGAGGCGCCGATTCCGGGATTTCGAGTTCGCGTGTCTTTCCGGAGGCGTTGGCAAAGCGGGAGGCTTTGCCGGCATCGCGGGATGCGATCGACGACAAGACGCTGGTGGACATATCTGCTTTTTCTACTAGATCGTTGGACTCAGGGTCGTAAGCCATGACCAGTGCAAAGAGGCCGTGCGGTTTGAAGAACTTTTCGTTCATGTCGTCGAGGTATTTGTTTGACTCGTATTTGACGTATGTTCTTCTCGAGAGCTCGACGCTGGTATGGACGACCATGGCGCCGACGTGGACGAAGAACATTGGTCCAACGGCGATATCGGTGGCGATGACAGCCCCGGCGCAAGCCAAGTTGAAAGCATGGAAGAGCGGGTGTAGTTGAATTGCCTTGCCGAAGCCGTCCAGGAAGTCAAGAAACTCGGCTTGTTGGATGCCGCATGTCTGGAGCATTGGCGCGTACGCCCTGACGAAGCCTCGTTCCTTGTTCTTGGGTCGGCGCTGGGGCAGAATCACCGGCATTTCGAGTCTGCCAGCAACGGGGTTGTACTTTGGCGGTGGGTGTTTCTGCATAAACGTGTCGAGAACCTGGTCGACGTTTTCTGCGTGTCGGAGATCGAGCTGTTTATCTCCGTCGGCAAAGTGCTGCTGAGCTTCGTCGAGTGTTTGTGCGGCCTCTTCTCCGTCTGAAGAAGAGATCGATGAAGTGTCTGAAAGTTCGGCGTGGTGTTTGTCGGTAGCAGATGGAATGGCCAGGTGAGACTGGTAGTGAGCCTGGTCATGGGTTTGTTTCTTGTGATGGTCGTCTCCTATGGCTTCTCTGGTGAGGGCGTATGCGCCGGTCACGCCTTTTGCTGCTAACTTGACAACGAACATCTTTTATGGAGGCTGTGGGCAGTAATCTGTTGTATGAGTAGGTTCACGGGCTGAGATGCACGATAGAATTGACCTGGCTACAAGAGTCCATGTGTGCGTTAGTGGTCGTCTCTTTATATGTCCCCTACCTGCAGAGAAAGAGCTGCTCAGCAGCGGCATTTTGCATCAAACACGACGAGGACTTAGCCGCCGTTCGGTGGATGCGCCAGTATGGGATAGCCTGCAAGTATACCCATATGACTTCGCGTGGATGGCCACTTTTAGTCGCACTCACCCACCCTTGGATATGATATGGATACTGGTGGAGGGTATCGCGCCAAGGTATCCCCTCTTCGCATATTGAACTTGAAACAGCACAATTCGGCGGGTGGCAGTGCCGAGCTGTAGAAGCTTTTGGGCGGCGCAATATAAGCTATGGCATAGGCGATCTTTAGCTTAGTCAACGATCTCATTTTCGAGACGGTGTGGGTGGCCTGAAGAAACCCCTCAACACAAGCTTCTTGATGGCTAAACGGCCCAAATATCCCAGGGTCCGAACTAACCGTATTGCGACATCCATTCGAGCCAATCGCGGAGATATCCTCGTTTGTTCCGGAGTCGACGTCAAGGGCTTTTAACAGAGAGAAAATGACTCGAGATAAAGAGATCTCATCTCAGATGCCGTTTGTGCAGACCTCGTTGAATGATCTTCTTTAAGTAGGACTATCCAATCCTTTGCTTGCGGACTTCGACTGTATGGCATCATTGTTGAACCCCAAGTAGCGACCTCCTTCCTTTGGGAAATGACATGATCGATATGTCGAGATGGAAGTTGTCGTGAACAAAAGCCTAGACCTACCTCTCGTATGCCTAATACCGGCCTATTTCGAGGTGAAAGCTGAACGACGAGCTGCCGTGTGTGTGTATGTGTCCCTTGAAGCGTCACAGAGCCTCGTCGTAACACGGCCACGGTGTAAAGGATCCGCGGTGAGACACGGAGTGGGATGACCGATTGAGACAGTCGGTCACTGTTATGGCGAGACTGTCTTCGTTGAATGTGTCGCGGTCTCCATTTCCATAGTCCGCAACTTCTCTCAATTGTAATGGGCACGATTGTCAGCAGCAACTGGCTGGAGTTTGTTGCTGAGAACGAGGCGCCCTTCCATTCGCAACACGCCACACTCCACGTCGAACATGGTGTTCTCTTTGTGGATAAGATGCAAGGTATACCTTACACCACCCTGACATCTGCCATTTCAACGCACGAGAGGTTGGCGCATGTCCATGGCGACAGTCCCCATGGTATCAAGTGATACAGGCATCATCACAGGGGAGTACGAAAGAGAAGCAAACGCGTTATCTTGCCGTATAGAAGTGGAGTACGAGTGAGACACAAGGGCATTGTGATGCCTGATAGAATGGGAGTACGAATGGGAAGCAAGAGCATTGCAATGCGTCACGAGAGCGGAGTACAGCAGAGGAGCAAGAGCATCATGATCTCTTAATAGAAGGGGAGTACGAAACAAAAGCAAGAGCGTGGTAATTCATCATGGGACTGGAGTACGAAAGATAAACAGAAGCGTAAGTGTGTGCAATAAGCCCTCATGGGCACTCCATGTTCATCATTGATTGTACAGCCAACTGGACGCCTGCAGCGCGCCCGGGGTATCATTTTCATCTCTCTGCAGTATTCGCTAGACCATTACACAGATGTCTCATTGAAGTTCTTCAAGGCCATAGCCACGGAAGACTCATCTTGTCCCTCGGCTTGCTCGTCACTACCATCACCAACCGCCTGCGCCGCAGCGTGTGCAACTGTGGCCTCGAGGTTTGGATCAATCATCATTGATGCATTGTTCGCCTGTGTATTGAGAAAGTCCAGATTGTTCATGTGATCTCCTTCTGTTCCGTGCTGCTGTTCCAAAGCGACGAAGCCATACTCTGGGTGTGGCACTGCTTGACCTCCGCCTGCGGTGTAGTATGCAGTTGCTTGTGGCGGGTATGAGACATGATCGGCCGCTGCGGTGGAGAGAGCCTCAAGAGTGTGCGCCGCGACTTGTTGGTATGCGTTGTCTGGAGTGGCAGAAGTCTGTGGAGGAGGAGTGACTGAGCTCGAGTCTTCGGCATTTGGGTCAGACACCAAGATCCAGGTCACTGATTGTTATAGTTAGTATTGCGCAAAGCGCATATGAAATGGAAATCAACGTACACTGCTGTGGCACTGGCAAGAAAGCCCCCCTCTCTTCCTTGGTGAAGTCTGACGCATAGCCGAAAAAGGCACTCAGACTGTGTTCGCCATTTCTGGTGTTGATGGACGGGTTCTGATGATGGCGGAAGGTCACTCCTTCAGAGCGCACGCATGGTTTCTTAGCCTTCACGCATTGTCCGCAGATTGGTGCCGCCTACAACTCACTGTTAGTTCACAAAGAACTCACAAATGAGTCCAAGTCGCGGTACCTCGTCACATTTGAGTTTCCTCTGGCGACATGTCTTGCAGCCGGTTCTCGTCCTCTTGATAGGAGTTGATGAAGACTTGGTGGACTTGGTCTTTGGGGCCATGACTTTGAAATTGAAGCGATGGTTAGAGATAGAATTCGACTTTGGTAGGTTGGCCGAGACGGCAAGGACGGAGATGTGAAATAATGGACGGGGGAGTAGCCACTGCAGTGAACTGAAACTCACGCTAGCAGTGACGCTTGGCGCGAGGCAGTCCGGTGCAAGCCGAAGCCAGCCAGGTTGAACCGAGGCAGGGTGAAGGGAAGACAACTCACAGTGATGGCAAGGACATACGTCCTGCCCCCAAAAGGGGACGCCCTTTGTCGCGTTGTTGATTTTTATATATATGAAGAAAGAAAAGAAAGAATATGGAAAATTCGTGCGGTCGTAGAAGTTATATTATTCTTACAGCAAAAATGCTCGGCGCTGTTCGGCGTCCATCACGTCGCCAGCAAGGTCACATGTCGCCTTCCGGAAGCATCTAAGGAAGCATGAATGTAGGACAATCAAGACTTTACTTCTTGGCCTTCTTCTTTGGCCGCTCCTCTTCGACCTCGCTGACACCGTTGGCACCATCGTCGTCATCAGCATCAGCCATCTCTGCATCACTTCCAGCATCGCTACCACTGCTATCATGATCCGAATCGAACTCCTCAGCAACATCACTGTCGGAATCGGCCTGGAAATCCTCATCCGGCGATTCATCATCTTCGTCTGCTGAACCGCGGTTGACGCCCGCGTCGTCTTCGTCGTCCGACGAGGCAAGCTGGTTCTCCATAGCAGCCTTGAGTAGGTTTGATGATTCGTCCAGCATCTCGTTCTTGAAGCGGATACCTTTGGCCTGTGCACACAGTCAGTAAGGATGACCAAGGATCTACTAGATTGACTCACCTGGAAGAATGCCTCCAGAGGCTGCTGCTCCTCACGGTTGATGTTGCTGAATTGATGCTCACCTTGACCACCCTTAAGCGTCATGGTAATATCAAACGTCCTGCTTGCTGCCAAAGCACCTCCAACTCTCGACATGGTGATGCTTGCTATCGATTCGATCTGGATGTATGTGGCAGGTTTCGGCACGAACATGAAACTCTTGTCCAAGCAGAAGAGGAGACCTTCATTGGCTTTGATGGAGCACTTAACCCCATTCATGTTGTGATGGCTAACAAAGTCCTTGGAAGGCATGATGATCTTCTTACCGGACAGTCCCTTGAAGACCTTGGCAATGACGTGGTGAATGGGAGCTTCGTAGTGTGAATCCAGCTTGTCCTTGTACTTTGTCTCGAGCAGCTCTTCTGTCATGTTGAGATCCAAGTTGACTTCGTCGTCCAGTTTTAGTTGCATGACAATGAAGGGATATCTCGTTTGACCTTGTCGTAGAGGAGGATCGAGTCCGAGCGTGATAAGAGTGTGCATCTCGTCGTTCTTTGGTAGAATGAAGAATTTCTTGATGGATTGGTACTGGATCTTGTAGTCGTATGTCTTGCCGCGCAGTCGGAAGGAGTTTTCGTACATGTCGATATCGAAACGACCTCTGGGTGTAAGATGCAAGATGTCCTGAAACGTGGCAAAGGTGGCACCCGCAACTTCCCCAATCTCTGCCTTGTCAATCAAGGTCTCGTAAAACAGGTTGGCGGCATTTTGTTCCTCTTCTTCCTGGTCTTCTTCGTCGGCACCACTGCCCTCCTCGCCATTGACCTCCTTTTTGGCTGATACAGTCCCAGGGATGTAGAATCGCATCTCCACCAATTCGTCCCGACCTGCAGCGGCTTTGCGTCCTCGGTTCTTTGTCGTTCCCGCTTTCTGACCATTCGTGCCATTTTGTGTTGGCTCCGACAGGTTGAATTCGACCGCAATCTCGTTCTTGCCCGCCAGATTCGTGTTGGAAATCTCTGAATAGGGTATCTCGAATGCGGGTCTGTTCTGAACATTGAACGCTAGCTCTGCTCTGCCAAACTCGGCTTTACCCCAGTTCCAACCTCGTAACGCATGCTCTTTGTTTTCTAGATTGATGCCGTACCAGATCTTGAACGCTTTTGCGGCACGGTCGAAGTCCTCTTGGTCAAAGCCGTCGAGTTGAATGACTTTGGAGTCGCGTGTGATAATCTTGATCTCGTAGCCTTTCGACGCTCTGCTCCATTGTGCCGCGCCGATCTGATTGCTGTCCAATGTGAAGGGTTCGCTGCCGCCACTGGGTTTCCAGCCGAGACCGGATTCCGCCAGCCTACATCTTCCAGATTGCTTGCTGAGGTCAAGAAAGGTGTTCTCGAATGTCTCCCTAGTCTGAAGTCAGGTAATGCGCAACCTCACCACCACAAGATGTACGTACATGACTGGGGTGTTGCGCCGTTCACAGCAACGGCAAACTGTCTATCAAGGTTGATGCCAGAGATAGATCTTGCAATGAATTTACTGGAGGCGAAAGAGAGGAGAGGAGATCCTAAAGGAAGGACAGGCAAGACGAGATGAACCGTGGTTGAATTGTTGCAGTGATTGTCGAAGAACGCCTGGTGCTGGTGCCACATGCGGTTATTCAAGTCATTTGAAATAAGTAAATGGCGAAGTCGCGCTTTTGCGCGACGTGCCTTGGCGCCCGAAGCGCGTTAACTCTCCCTACAGGCATAAATGGATTCTCCTTCCTACATACGTCCCTGTCTTGAAGCAGCCTACACTCTGTCGAGTCAATGATTTCCCAGCGCGATGATGGTTTTGCATTTCTCTGTGAGGGTATCTCAATACTACAAACGAAACTCCTCCAACGCAATCCCTAATGGTACAATCCGTGTCCTGTTGTCATAGTCCCATCCATCTTTTCCTTGCCAAACGCCACAAGCCCGAAACCGCAGCCAAAGCATCACTGGAAGTACTCCCGCAAACAAGGATCTCTCAAGAGACTCTATGACAATACACGCACCAACGATGACATCTTGTCGCCGTGTCAATGTGGACAAATGTACATGAATCAACCCAGGCATTTGTTAACTCGGTCTGCTCTCCCGCCGCTGTGAACAACTCAACCCGTCGATGAAGGTGCATCGACATCTGATCTGGATAGGACTTCTTACGCCACAATTGATCTTTCCCTGTCCTGGTACACCTTGAGCCTGCGTTGCATTCCCGCACGTTTGGTTGGGGAGCCGGGACCGAGCGCTGGCGACGATCTTGTGTCTCTCTCTTGGAGGACTGCTAGTGAATGTCTGTCACCACCTAATGAGCTCTTGGAAATGCGCGACGGATTGTGCCTGCGAACAAATGTAGGACAGCGTTTCAGATCCGTCAGGCTTTCGCGCTTATTCTTTTCCTGATCGTCATTCTGATCGTCGGAACCTGTAGTCAGGTCGTGGAAAGACTTGGGTTGGGTTGGTATGTCATTCTCTTGACCAATGACGACTGTGATGGCACGCGACCCGATCTCCTTGTCTGGCGTTTGGGACTGCTCTTCAAGGTTTTCCTCATGCGTCTGAGCCAGTTGGGAAACGCGGTCTTCGGCACATTTCTGCTGCATCAACATTTTCTCGGGTGCGATCTGAATGCTGGAGCTGTGGTGATGATATCCTTTGTGCTCAATCGATCCATCCTGCTGGTCTCGATCTTGTGGTGGACTAGGGCTCTCGGGACAAGCCAACCGTATGGTTTTCATCCTGGAAGCTATCTCTTCGGCCTCAAATGCTGCGAGGATATCGTCCAGAGTGTTGCCGTTCAGGAGAGCGGCGTGGTACACCTGAGAAGCGCGTTCAGACGCTTCATCTTGAAGATCGATTGAGTCGTCGGGGAAAATCTTTGGACTTGCACAGCGCTCGCTCTGAACATCGATAGCACTATCTGGTGCATCATCGAGGAGCGGTATCTGGGGAGGTGCTTGCCGCAAAGCGTTGGGATCTTCGCCGATGAGCTTGGCAAGCGCATAAAGAGTCCTGAATATTCGATATCGGGCAGATAGGGCGTTGCGAATGTTGTGCCATGTTCCCAAGAGCATTCCCCTTCTGTCGCCGGCCCCACAGGAGCGGCATTCCGACACAGTCCTTCCAGGAAATAGAATAAAATCCCACGATGCTGGATACCATGGATCGTCGCGCGTGGTGAGTTTGTGCGATATGTAAAGCAAAGGCAGCATATACAGTCGAAGTGTCAATAAGGAAACAAAGACTATGTGTTGCAGCAGCCGTCGGACGGTTTCCGAGATTTCGGCACAGAGACTGGTATTCCCTTGGGCGTTGTTCGTGTAAGCTTGCGAGTCTCCATGCCCAGACGGAATGGTCGACATCGTCGCGACAGCGTAATCTATGGATGGTTCTCGACAGTTGTGACCATGGCAGTTGAAGCCAGGTTGAAGACAACAGAAGACAAGGACGACGGCGCGAGGCAAGGTAAGCAAGTAATCATATGCACAGTCAAAACAAAGATGAGCTTGAGCTTTGGACTAGTCGAAATACAAGCATGAGGATGAACGAGCCGATATGGAGTACAAGGTACGAGTTACTCGAACACATGTCTGACAGTTGGTGTGTTGCTGGCTCGTGAGCCGGAAGGAACGTTAATGGAGTTTGACAGGCGGCCCTTGCGCTCAACATCCGCACTCCATCTTGATTGCTTCTTTCCACATGCGGAAAGACCACGTACATCTCAATCTGCTTTTCGAAATGGATGGTATGGAAAGGCCATCAGCAGAAGCCAACTGATCTGAGCACCTCCATGTTCGCCAGATCATGTGGTGCTGCCTGCAGGGTAACAACACTACAAAGTTAGACACGGACGGGGATCAGGAAGTGATGTACTGTCCCACATCAGAGTTTGCGCTTTCACAGTAGCTACCTTTCAGCGCGGGCACTGTTCGTCTAGACCACGGCACCGAGGTTCTCAGGGTAAACGTATGGAGATGAGGTATGGAGATAGAGGTCGGGGGTGGAGATTCCAGATGCTTTCCGCCTGTCACAACATCGACCCTGTTTGGAGAAAAAGTGACACTGTCTGACCGCTGTTGCTCCTGAGGTTCAAATAGTTACCATTGCATATTGTCATCCCGAAGTCCTTCGCACAGAACGATATAGCGCGCCCTTAGACAAAAGGAAGGTCATACGGTGTAACTTATAGCCGTAATAGGTCCCTGTCAAGGCACCTGCTGTTTCGGACTTGCTGGACTTTGAACTGATACTTTCGGTTTACTCCCTGTCAGACGATGTCACTTTCACTGGAAATGGGCTCGACATACCACGGCCGACCCTTGCGGCAGCGAGACATCCCAGCTAACTACAGGAACCAACAGAGGAAGTATCATCACGCTGCTATATAGTATGTAATTGAGTCTCCAGAAAGCCTGCAGGTAGCACTTTTTTCCTGAGTAAGATATCATCAACCTCAGACTAATTAATCTACGCGACATACAACAGGGATCTCGAGCTTAGGGCGCGTCTGATTTGTCCGGCTGTGCGTCTCAATATCGACTACGGAGTACTAGGATTTGGTCTAGGTGACTTCCGCAGGACCGATTCCCTTGTGATTGATGTTCGTGGTGGGCGAAACCGGTGTCGGTCAGACGCGTTTAGCAAGTCAAAAACTCCACCGAAAAGCCCTTTGACGAGCCGAAAACATCCTTACTGAACTCGTCCTTTGCATGAGCGTATCTAAAACGTGCGCGAATGAGAATTATGCGTGCAAACGATCCTTGCACCGAGTCAATTTTCCCCTGGATTTCCGACCATCGTTTGTCCCGGGAGGTCTCGATATTGCCGACACCTTCATCCTTCTGGAAAACTCCTGCAGAAAGTTCCAGTGAGGCGAGCAATGGGTGACCCTGCTCCCAAGGGGGTCACTATGCACGTATGAATCAGGGGTTGCGAGGTCCAGCAGCCATACGTCACAACCCCTACCGTAGTATGCATGTTAACATTATGGGCTTAGGGGTGCAACAAAACGATGCCACACATTCTGGAAAATCAGAATTGGCTGATAAGCATCTGGGCTTTCAAGGACCCTTGTTTTTAAGTTACTGCATCGGAAGTCCCCACGAATCTCAGTTGCGGTCTAAGGACCCCAGCCGAGACCTTGTTGTCTTCTGGAAACCTCGGAACGCAGCGACTAAAGTGTGACATGGGGACTTCATCGGCCGACCCATGTTCATCATCCTTGTTTGGGGAGCTGAATTCTGCAAACGCCATCTTTTTGCAGACGCCGTAGTGAACATGCCCTCAAAAGCACCAATAGACTTGGGATCTCGGGCCCTGCAGCAGTCACAATCCGGGCCTCCCGGCTACAAACCCGTTGTCGACGAGGCACTTTACCGTCGTGAGCAATCTTTGAATGCACTCCGTCCTCGAGTCTGAGACGCGGTGACGTGATCATTGATCGACCTGCCAGGCCCGCACCAAGATCTTGGGAAGACGGAGTTGGGAAGAATGCTTGACATAAACACACTCGGGCCGCCCTGGCTGACAAGGCAGACTGGGCGGATTGGCGAGCACTGCGTCTTTTGAAAGATGTGGCATCATTTGACAGCGGCCACTTGGCTTCAAACGTCCATTATGGCGACCATATGAGACTTAATGGTAAGGGATGCGCCAGTTTCCTACGACCAGAAACGAGGATGACAGCAAAAGCCACGATGACGTGGATTGAAGGCTTGAGGATGTGGCCAGAACAAAGGGTGGCATGTCATGTGTCGCTCTTTGCGGCTCTGCTCGAAAATACTGCACGTTGTACGAGGTGGTCTGAAATATGGTCGCCCATTATTCGTGGGCTTCTGGCTCCCGCAAGCGCCAAATGCGTTCGACTCAATCAAACCATTCGAGAATCGTCAGGACTTTGGAATGTGGATGGTGCCTCCGTCGCACTAGCAAACTGGGCAGACTGGCAATGTCATTCTCCGGAAGATCTAGCATTATTCGATCAAAATTCCTGGGGTGGGCTCTGGATGCGGCATTTCACAGTGCCAGGCAACAACTATCTGAACCATACCGTAAGTTACAGCGCCTTCATTCCACAACAAGCGGTGTGTCTGTTGAAAAGTAGGTACTTATGAGGTGAGCCTATCTCTTGATTCTGTGCCTGGAACGCTCCGTCCCAACTGGGTTCGCTGCCTGATGAGTCGTAACGCTACAATGTCTTGACTTCGTGTCGCTGTCACCGCCTCGTTGCCACCTTCGCAATTAGAGGGTATGTGACGATGGGTGCAAAGTTTGTTCATCCAGCTCCGACTACATGACTCTCGCGATGCGGACTCCAGCATGGCGCAGCGGTTCAACTCAACCCTACGAGGCATTTCACAAGACTGTCTCAACGGCCCCGCTCGATGCCATCCGGTGCCGTCAGTCCACTCCAGTCTCTCACCTCTCGTCTTGGGGCATCAAATCATCGAGAATCTGCGGAAAGTGCCACCCCCCAGTGTTCTTGACGTATATCACCCCTGCCTCTTCTTGCCGTCTCCCTGAAACCTTAGCAGCAGGTCTTCCCACCCCTGGTTCTTTTGCTACTCCCTGCTCCATGCCACCGAAGTCTGCTCTGCCATGGTGGCAGGGCTGTTCGTCTTTCTCAAGTGGTCCTGCCAGCTCCCGTGGCGTCAGCAGCTCCAAGCATTGAACTATGTGACAGGCACAATGACAGGGGTTGCAATGATATCCGTTTCCGCAAGAGACAACTGACTTCCTTCCACCCATGACACCACAACATTCTATTTTATCTTGTTCAAGACGTATCACAGACTGCTAAATTAGACTTTTCCCGGGGAACGGCTAGGTGTAACAATTCGAACTCTCGCGCCGCAACACCGTGGCCACTCATCATCTCGACATCATCTGTCTCTAGCCCGAGCGATGCGCATCTTCTTCTTTGGGCACCACCAGTACAAGCTGCCAATTACGGGCCCACGTCTGGTTTATCAAAAGTTCATGTTCTTTTTACACCGACTTTTCGATCATGAAGGGCCCTGGCGACGCAAGCAATCAAAAGTTCCTGTCTCGCTTGTTCCCACACCCAACTCCCACCTGCTGCAATATATACCTTGAGCGCATCGTCTCTTTTGCGAGATGCTCTTCAGCATCATTTTCTGCCCCGAAGCTCATAGAATTGCTTCCTCGTCCGAGATAACATCTTATCCATTGAAGAACAGTTGAGTTGGCCGTCCTTCATTCGTACCCTTCAAGATGTCTATGCGACGACTCTTCAGACCAGAAAGAGCAATCCGGCGAAGCGCCCCAGGACGTTCGCCAGGGCAACAACGTTCTCCTCCCGGTACTTTCATGCTCAAAGCATATGAAGCAACAGCGGATACTTTGGATGCCTTCGTCCTTGGTGTCTCCAGCAGTCAAACCACACGGATCAGACACAATCTGTTGTTCTCACAGCTCGATGCTATTTCCGCCATGTTCGAGGATCATCACCAGGTTCCTCAAGCGCAAGTAGATGTGCAAGACCATAACCTGGGTAAGTTTGACTCTTCGACTCGGTTGATTTTTCGGGGTTGACATTGGGTAGCTTTCGTTGGTGGTCAGTTTGCAGATTTGCCAGAACACCCTTGATGAACGGACGAGTTAATTCTCACAACACCCAATTAGGGCACTACATCGACGACCCTGTCCCTGTCACTCGCCGGGTTGAGCGCACGTCACTGGTATGCCGGCAAATATGAAGACCTTGCAAGGGATATATAACCTCGTATTGCCGGCAGTACGAACCACCTATGTTTCTTTCCAGGCGCAGTACCACGACATCAACGCCACATCCGTGTTGCCTCTGTCTTGAACCCTCTGACACGTCCTCGGTCAACGGTATTCTCGTTTGTGCGTTGTGTCGGGTCTCTTCACGAAGATTGCCTTGCTGGAGTTCTGATTTGCTTCACCTAAAGGATCTTGGCTTCTGGCGGACAGCTCGGGTGATCGGTTCAGGTGGGGAGAGTTTAACGGGAAGGATTCCCCGGTGTACTAGTTATGATAAGCGATAACTTTGACGGCGGGCTCAGTGGGTCAACGAGAAGATTTGGCTTTTGGTTCTGACCGTTGTCTGTTGATCTATCTTGATTTTCCGAACGACTTTGTACAAAGGACAGAAATGCAGAAATTGCTGGAGGCTGCGACGCTGAGATACTGAATTGCACCTGCGCTCAGACTGCGGGGTCAACAAGGTGGTGGCTGCGCTGCCCAGCGGCTAGGTACTCAAGCGCCTTCCTCTACTGTCCTAGAATGCCACCATGAAGCCCATGGGTCACATTGTTTATCAACAGATAACAACTTCTCTTCTTTTTCCACCACGGTCATGAGTTCGCGATCGTCGCAGCTCGACCAGTATGACAAGCCCGGCCGTGTCTCGCCGATCCCATCTCGTCACAAGGACCTTCCCGTCTTCTTACGCCAAACGAAGTTCGACCAGAGTGCTGCCGTCAACGCTATAGCTATGCCGAGGTCCTCTGTACCCTGTGGCAGGGTTGAGCTCATGTCCGTGTTTTGTGACACAGAGTCTGTTCTCAAGTGTTGAAAGCATGCTGATGTGTTTGTTCTGACGTCGAAAACAGTGACATTTTCCAGATGATGCTCAAGATAGCAGCCTCCTTCGCAATTGTCTTAACCTCAATCATACCTTGTATGCACTCACCCGTGATAAACAACCTCTGGTTGTCACAGTCGCACAGAGCACCCTGAATGACGCATCGATCATCTGTTGTTGCTCCATTCCTACGTGCACCCTGCGATTGCCAATCATCAACATTTGAGATACTGGAGGTTGGACAGCGTCAACGAAGTGCATTCTGAGAAGGTGACATTGTTACAAGCCGATTGTCAGTCAGAAGCGCCCTCTTTTGTACAACAGCTACGAAGCTAGTTGTACCGGAACCTCCTTCCTTCTCGATATCTAGATGGAACTTTGCTGGCCGATTGGACAAGCCATCTCGACGCGGTGCGCCAGGTCTGTTCACGCATCGCGGGCACTTTGCGAGCGCGTCAGCTCTGGTGTCTGCTCGTATCCGGACGTCAGTCTCCTGTCGAGGGGGTCGACGTCTGCATTATGACATATCTGAGACCACCTGCACCGTTTCTGCGGGTGGTCACCTTTCGAGAACGGCGCTGCCCGACACATGAGTGCCTGGCTGATGCCATCCCACGCAGGAAGAGTCGGACATTTGGTACAGACGTTTGATCTATGCTTGTGTAACATGTTCTCCATTACGTCAACGCCAATTGAACCTGTCTAAAGAGGAAAGAGCCGAAGGGGTCGGAAGGACAAGCGGCCTGGATCAGAGTCATACTGTTAGTTGCTGAAAGTGCAACAGGCTTATTGAAGAGAGTGTGACAGTCAGGCATGAGACGGTACTTAGGCACTGGAAACATTACTGCCACAGGCTCGATTGTTTGGTCTTCCAGTCCATACAGACAATATCAGACCCCGCACCACGCAGGATATGCTCCAGCCACCCGACGGTGTCAGCTCACCGGAGTAGAATGGGTGCGTCTGGGCTATTGGGAGATACTGTGTCAAGGTGAGTGGACGCACAAGGTCCAGACAGCACCGCCATCGTACCTGTGGTGGGCTTATGCCAAATGTCAATGCTTGACCTCGTCACAGCAATTTGTGCCGTTCCCCGGTGAGCGGATTACAACATCGAGTCGTAGACGAGATCTGCATGAAGCTATTTTCTAGGAATTCACTTCCCCGATGCAAGTTTCTGATGCTTTGCAGTCATGGTTATTCAGAGGACCGTTAGTTTGGGACAGCCACATTCGGGGAAACTCGATTAGCTCCCGGCATGCATCAACATATTCGGCCCGTCGCCATAGCCGAACCCATTCACCAGGTTTTCACATGGACGTCCAACGATCTGATCATTGATTTGCTGTCCCCGGGCTCCCAATCAGCTAGCCTTGCTAGGCGACCAAGGTTTGACGCCCATTACAGCCGAGGGTCCATGGTTGAGAACGTGAACCGAAGTGATCAATCACTGTTTGGAGTTCCTGCCACTCTGCGCTGTCCTGCGAACCTAAGTGAGGTTACACAACATCGTCTCATGTTTATGCCGTCAGCCATGATACTGCACGTCATGATACCACTTTTCATTTGCAGTCGAACAATTTGAAAGTCGATCTAAGGTTGTCGAACACTGGCTATCATGGCCCAACATACAGCTGCCGTTGGCATTGACGACAGTGCCTCAGCTTGCGCCTTCTGCCGTTCCTGCATATGACTCTGCTGGAGATCGACAGCAGTGCCCCATTGCTACGTGACCTAGCTTATGCCAATCTGACTCTACATCCGCAAGTCGGTCGCAGAATAAGTCTTGTCGAGCTGTACGACTATTTCAGTCATCTTACGCAGCCATCACGATGTATGCTCAACCTGGCGATCATTACTACATCATTGGGTGTTCGAAGAGGTATAAAGCTTCTCGTCTCTTATCACTGATGCTTGTCTCACATTACAAGTATCTTTTTCTCTCCAGTACAATCATTGTCTTTCTGCAAACCAGTGACATCAAGTCACTCATTATCAAGGGATGGCTGACCGAGGAAAAATCAGCACTACTGTTGATCAGTCTATCACCAACGACTGCTCTTCAATCAACGCTGGTCAATCATGGTATACGCTTCGTCCATCGGCCGGGATGGAACGCTCTTCATGGACCATCGACAACAGCACAAGAAATGCTGTCACCACTATGAGACGTACGAACGTGGAACTTAGTGAGCAGAGGCCACTGATTCCAGCAATAAGCATGCTAAACTGCATAGTTCATGTCGGATCACAATTTGACGATTCGCTTCAGGCTAGGACTGACAACAATAGCCAGAGTGCATCTCGCGATCGTCTGGCAAGACTCTGAGGTGTGCTTCGGTCGAAAGGAACAGAAAAATGGTCGAGAGTGTGTAAAGAACGTTCATGTTGTGCTGCACAGGAGACTGTCATGTTGCACGCTATTGTTGCAAGCATCTGTTGTGTTTCCACGTGGTTGATTGACAGATCAACCTCTTGTAACACAATCCACCTGTCATATTCAGGGGATTGGATATACATGGATCCACAGTCGACGAGCAATAGGCGAGGAATGTACGACATGTTGTCCTGACATGTTCAGGGGACGAATAGGATGGTTGATGCGTGAAAAGGATGTTGCGACCTTGCATCCAGTCATATCTTGGTGGACCCCACTGGACATGGTGTTGGAGTATGACGCTTATCTGGCCGACTGCACTATTACTGATGACCCTGCCCTATGTTGCATGTTTTCACGGTGTGATAAGACTGACCGAGTCAAGGATTATCTGAAGGCCGACTGGTCGACGGCTAAGTGAACTAAGTATCATGGCCCAGCCCCTGAGTTCAGTAGCCTCGTCAGGGTGGGTCAACGCGGATGAAAGATCCAGAAGATTTCATTTCTAAAGTTCTGATAGGTATTGAAAGCAAGTAGCGATTAATTTATAAAGAAAAACGAAGAGAGCGTACCTAGGTAGTAAGAAAGAAGGCCGTCTCTACCGCTGCGACACAAGTCTCCCACCGACCCAAACGCGGTTCACATTGCTCCTACTCCCATTCCAAACCCACTTACTCACCCGTTCAGTCCATGTCTCCCAGCCGAAGATATCGACATTAGTGCCTTCCGCGTCGAGCGCAATCTCCTGCACATCCCAAAGCATCCCCGGCTCAAACCCACCAAGCCGGCCCTCCATACTCACGACTTTCGCTCCGCCCATGGTTCCTAACCAGAGTGCCAGCGTCGTAGGCACATCAAGCGACCTGTCGTCGTTGGCCAGGAAACTCAATTCTCGACTCACGAGGAACGCCTGACGGACTGTCTCCAGAATACTGGGGTTATACCCACCGGCGGTATCCGTACCCAATCCGACGTGGACACCCTTGGCCAACATTCTGCGCACCTGCGCTATACCGGATCCCAGCGCGGAGTTGCTGGCTGGACAGTGACTGACACCGGACCCACGTGCGGCGATGAGATCCATTTCATCATCTGTCAAGTGCACTCCATGCGCAAGGATGGTGCGGTCTGTCAGGAGGTCGTGCGCGTCGTAGACTCCCGCGTAGGATGATTGATCAGGGTACATTTGCGCCACGAGCGCCACCTCTCTGACATTCTCGGAGATGTGCATTTGCAGACGCAGATTTGTGTCATTGGCGATTTGAGCGAGCGCGGTCATGGATTCGTCGGTCACGCCGGGTGCGAACCGGGGTGTAACGATGGGCGCGACGAGGTCGCCTGTTGGATCGAGGCTTTGGATGTACTTGATTGATGACCATGTGTTGGCAATGGCTTCGGCGGTCGAGTTGTCGCGGTAATAAATTGGGTTGTTGTCCTTGTTGTCCTGGCATGTGCGGCCAATGTACGCACGCTGGCCCATGGACAGAGCTAGTTCCGCGAGTATGTTGGTAGCGCCGACATCGACGGTCGCGAAGTAGGATGCTGTCGTCGTCCCGTGAGCCAGCGTCGATGCGACGACGTGGGCGTAGACTTCGTGGGCGCGGGCATAGGGGTCTGGCGGAGTGGTCGAGTTGGCGTAGAGCGGTGATTCAGTGGTTGAGAGCGAGGATTCCATTGGATAGGTGTACTTCTGGAGCCAATCAAGCAGAGTCCCTTCAAAGAGACCAAGATTGGGGTATTGAGGGGCGTGGATATGCGAGTCTGGAACATGTGTTAGTGAATGGGTTTCAGTGTCGTGGACGGGAAGGGGCACTCTTACCGATGAAGCCAGGGAAGAAAAAGCCATTGTCAGCAGCGTAGATGATTGGGACACCGTCTTGAACATCGAGTGCTGACAGAGCAGTTTGCAAGTCTGTGACATTCCAGACGGCATTCTCGATTGTTCCTCGACCGTCACTACTGGTCACGAGAACTGCGCCAGTGTTGATGGACAGTTGGTCTGGACTTGGGGTGGAGATAAAACGACCGAAGAAGACTTGTTGTGTACTGCCGCTAGGACTGGCAGTGGGACTGGCACTCGACGAGGTGGATGCCCATGAGGCACTCGGACCCCAGGGAGAAGCAGTGGCCGCGGCCGCCAGCAAGAAAGCAGCGAGAAAGACCCTCATCTTCGGTATTTTCCTGTAGGTATGGACAATGGAGTGAATCGTCAAGGGAGAAGTCTGCGTTTCGAGCCTGGTTTTATAGCTCGACCTGATTCACAACATCTACAATCGAGGTCGTGCTGACGTTGCATTCTCGCGAAGGCATTCCGATAGTTGACTCCAGGCCTTTCGTAAGGTTCAATCCGGGGGTTATGGCCACCAACGCTCGGCTGATGTCTATTTGTATGGAGAGCGTGACTCTTTGGTTGGAATACGAGGTGCCTAACTGAGTTTATTAAGGCCAAGCCGAGCTAGAGGTACGCCTTCGAGTATTTTCGGTGCTGATATTGAGGCTGAAAAACATTGGCGGTTCTTCAAACCAGGGACTGGTGCTTGCCTAATCTGTATTAGTGTGGGAGAATGTGACTCTTTTGGTCGAATACGAGGTATAAGGCGAGGCCAAGGCGATCTATATGCAAGCCCTCGTGTCTCCGTGTTGATATCGTGGCTCAACGAGACCTTGGCGATCGTACAGACCAGGGACTGGTCTGAGCGTTCGATAGGATGGGCCGCTAGTCAATGTACCCCAGAGTCTCGTGGAGAAGCTCGGATCACATTGGACTGACCTATCAGCTGGGAGGAAACCCCGTTGCGAATTTGTCCTTGGGGCTTTCCAGATGATTTTTGTTTGGAAAGATATGGCATGCAGGGCTGCATTGTGCAACTGCACTCTTGCTTGGGAGCTCCAAGGGGGCACAGCCTGGTCACGTGCTCCACGGATATGCCCTCCGCTAGTGGCTAGCGGCGCACTCCATCGTTGGGGCTCTCTGTTGTGGTCAGCGGCGATATTGTGCACCCGTTGGCCTACACTTGTAGGAGCGGTAACATCGATATCCAGAGCCATCGAGGTCAAACGTTTCGAAGAAGTTTGGCACCGTGGTAGTCCAGAAAAGTCTTACGGAAGTCATATCCATGGTGTCCCTGCCGGCAATGAACGTATGTGGCGACGGACCGGAAAATCCTTGTCCCGGTCGACCTAAGGCATCGTGGTCACGGATTCTTCACTCAACTACCGAGCAACTACACAGTACTGTCCTTCTGCCATTTGTCCTACATTTTTCGGATCAGTGTACCACAGTAAGCGAATTATGTAAAGGCAGCCACTGGACGGCATCAAAGCCATGTGGACCGTTGCCGGAGGTCTGAACCCGGCGATAGATACATACTGACCTCATCATGACATGGCACAAATACGAACCCACTGATTCGATATGATGAATAAAAATGGGAGGGCACCCTTCATGGGACATGGGTACCAGGAAGCACACAAAGTTCGGAGCTCACAATGTCAAATGTAGGTGGAAGGCCAATGATTTCAAGGGTGTTGCGAAATTGACAAACATGCCCAGTCAACAGAACCTCCCGTATATACCCTTGCAGAGGGAAGACCGGTCCATGACCCGACTTCATCAGTGGTCCTCCGTGGACCCAAAGTCCGTGGTGGTGGTCTAGCATTGTTGGAGGACACTCAACTGATCGAGACGTTGGCTCATTTTCCACGAGAGAGAATCCCAGAAAGGTCCGGTCCAACTGAGAAGCGCATCCGGGACGCCCCCAACTAACAATACTACAGAGTCGTGCATGCAAAGGCAGCCGGAGCTTGGGGAGAGTTTGAGTGCACTCACGACATAACAGATTGGTGCTCAGCCGCCTTCCTCAGCAAAGTCGGCAAAAAGACCGAAGTCCTTGCCCGTTTGTCCACTGTGGCCGGCGAGAAAGGATCATCCGACACAGCGAGAGATATCAGAGGTTTCGCCCTGAAATTCAAGACCGAGGAAGGCAACTGGGATTTCGTGGGCAACGACTTACCGGTGTTCTTCATCAGAGATCCAATCAAATTCCCCAGCTTGAACCGCTCTCATAAGAGGCATCCACAGACTGGCGTCGCCGATGGCAGCATGTTTTGGGACTGTAAGTATTCATCTTCCAGAAAGGCTGTGCCGTTGAACCACAAGCTTTCGCAATCGTCCCTTCTTTTCTCCACGCAGCTTACTGACGATTCAGTCCACAACCATAACCAGGAGGGCGTTCACTGCCTGATGCAATTGTTCGGTGGTCGTGGTGTGCCCGCCTCCCTGCGCAATGTCAACGGATTCGGCAACCACACATTCAAGTTCGGAAAACCAGAAACGGGAAGTTTCAAGTACGTCAAGATCCACTTCAAGCCTGACGCCGGCATACAGACACTCTCCCAAGAGGAAGCTGTTCGTCTCGCAGGAGAGGAACCCGACTACCACGTCAAAGACATGTTCAATGCAATCGAGCGTGGTGACTATCCTACCTGGACGATGTCTTTGCAAGTCATGGACCCGAAAGACGCAGAGACGTACAGATGGAATATTTTCGATATCACCAAGGTGTGGCCACACAAGGACTACCCACTCATCCCCGTGGGTAAACTCACCTTGAACCGCAATCCCGAAAACCACTTCCAGGAGATCGAACAGGCCGCATTCTCTCCTTCCACGTTAGTACCTGGTATCGGGCCGTCTGCAGATACAATGCTGCACGCGCGAATGTTCAGTTACCCCGATGCCGCCAGGTATCGTGTTGGAGCCAATTACCAGCAACTGCCACCGAATCGACCTTTGAATGCGTACTCGCCCTTCCAACGAGATGGACCGATGAGGTTCGATGGCAATTATGGTTCCGACCCTGACTATGGTGAGTGCATCATGTTGTTTGCCTGATGGGCTGGTTATTGACATCAATGATAGTTCGGTCGTCCTTCCGCAAAATCAGAAGTGGTCCGGCAGACGTTGCGCACGACGAATGGGTCGGTCGTGTCCAGGCATACTCGTCGGACGTGGAGGAAGAGGACTTTGACCAACCGCGAATGCTGTGGAAATTGTTTAAAGAAAACGGCGAGGACAAGGAATTCTTGCACAACCTCTCAGGCCACGTCAGTAAGGCTTTGCCCGAGGTCCAGAAGGGAACTATCGGTGAGTGTGAGATATCACTCCAAGGCTCACAGTGCTAATCATATATGAACAGAAATGTGGAACAAGGTCGACAAGGAGATTGGGGACCGTCTGGCCGAGGCGCTGGAGAAGTCCAACCAGAGTGCTGATCATGATACAGCACCACCCGTTCAGACGGTACTCGCCGCTCATCGCAAGTGAGCAGCATTGCGTGAAGAAGACTGGAAGAAAGTCCAGGACATGCTGATGCGAGATGCAACGAGCCTGTCTCCAGAAAAAGTGGCACCGTCTGACAGGGAGTACTTCGACAATACAAGTGCGAGGTCCAGCAGGTTCGCGACAACAGGTGCCTCGACACCAAGTGGGCAGGACTATACGCTAGAACTGATGAGCTTTACCCCGTCAAAGCTGATCCCATTATCGTTGTATGCGGAGGACTCCGAAATGACAACAGGGAGCAATATCGATGTAGCGCTGGGGGGCTACGGCGGTCAAATAGTGCCATTCTCTCTGGATACATGCTCGACAAGTCTCTCATAAGTAGGTAACTCAAAAGCCAGTAGGCCCCCGGAATGAGCTTAAATGAAGTGGAGATCAATGAATAGAATTTTACGGCAAGTTTTGATAAGGTGGATGCTGTTTTTGTGAGCACGATGACTCTGATATTGAACGAACTTTTGTGACCCATTGATCGACTTAGGTAAGCCATGTGAGACTAGTGGTATTGTGATCGGGCTACCCCCTAGGTGACACTGTATATCGTGAAACCTTGTCCAGACGTAGCCATTACAACAGTTCCATTGGTGTCAATGGTGATGTACTTGCCGTTGGCATTGAGCACTTCGTAGCCTTTACCACCACCAAGGTAGGTGATGCTATGCACGAGGGCATCTTTCTGGCTGACCAAGCTCAAGTGCGGGCCGATATATCTGCCATCGACCGCGGTGCTGATGGTGTACAGCCTGCTATCGGTCGCCGTCTCGTGAATGACCCAGCGCTGACCAGTGCCATCGTGGGATGCAACAGCTTTCGTGGCATTGTACGTTGCACACTTAGCACCGAGGTTGGTCAAAGCGTAACCCGACGCTTCAAAGGTCAAGAAGCGGCCCTCAGTGAGGTAGCCTCTGACTGATTTGAATCCCTTCTCACTAACGAGAGACTTCTCTTCGGTCTGGTTGGCGTAAGGAACCGGTGGGCGCTGCACCGCATATTGGGCCTCGCAATAGGACGAACTGACGAGTCTGGCAGGGTGTGAATTGATGATCATGCACGGAAGACTTGGTGGCAACTCACTGATACCACACGGACTTGCCATTGGGGTTAATCTGGACGTTCGGATCGGAGAAACCTCTGACGCCAGCCATTGATCCAAAATACTAGATTCTCGGAATATTGATCAGAGGTCATATTACGCAAGAAGACATGCTGCAAGAGATGACCAGCGCGGCATGTACAGGTAAGGACGAAATATACATACATGATCGAAAGCTCTGTTCTCTTGCATGAAGAGGACGACATGATCAATGCTTGCCAGAGAGTCCGCCCGCACCAAGCTGGCAATGAAGCTCACGCTGACCAAGGCCAGGCGCGTGATTGTCACCATCGTTGCGAAGTAGTATCTCGGACTTCGTGAATAGTCGGTCTATCGAATAAGGCTTCAGCTGGACTGCCATGGACGATACCGCCACTATATAACGGTGCATTCCGTCTTTGTTGTTCTCGGTCATCGTCAGCTTGTCGCTTTTCTCCTCGCGCTTGCCAAAGCCAACTTCGAGATGACCTATCAGGCAATATTCATTACATGCAGGGCCCCATGCACGTAGTGAGTAGCGGTTGTAGCCTTAGCTGGTAGTTTTGAACAGAGGGTATGCCTTGGCCAATGCTCTACCCTCGTGGCAGAAAGCAAGAACGCGGTCTTCATTCCGATGTTACCTTCTTGCAGTAAAACGACCAGCAACAAGCTGCAGACGTGAGGTGGAACGACCAAGGAGAAATTATGTGCCTTGAGCCAGCATACGATCTGCATGGCCGTTATTGTTCAAAAGCTTGAAAAGAGTATGGGGTCCGCACACGTTGGGCATGCATCAACTGTTATTCGTCTATGTGCTGAGGCGGATGCTGAGCCAAATGCGGAGATCCCCTTTGTGCGACAAGCCTGTCTGCAGAAAAAGTGGCACCGTCGGTTCATTGTACCTCTTCGAGATTCAATGGATACCTTTCCTTCTTGTCGTCCAGGATGCCTTTGCACACAACGATATAATCTCAATGTTTGGCAGGGAGGAAGCGCATCAGCTCTACCGTCACCTCGTACTAGCTTGAAGTCAAGTCAATCACTGTCGTGAATTGCTGAATCATGTAGTTATATCGTCGTTGTACTCCCTGGTCAGACGGTGCCAGTTCTTCTGGAATAGGCTCGGCGTGAGGAGTCCACAATTCGGCGGATCAGGTTCAGGAGGATTTCGGACGCATTTCACGTGCAATGTTTCTTTTGGAATGTCGGTCAATTCACTACCGAACGTCCCAACTCATGGCCATTCCGCTTCCAAGATGCCACCCCACATGACAGTGCATCATCCAGATGCCCTTGTTGTCAGCTTGAAATCGTATGACTGCATATCCTCTCGATGGGACGAAGACAACGTCTCTCTTCACCGGATTCAGTAGATTATACTCCCCTGCAGGCGAATTCTCCGGTGCACTTTTGAACGGATTGTATGTGTATAGGCTGGTGCCTCCGGGAGTGAATGGAGGCTTTTCGCTGGTCCATGCCCGGGGATGTGGGAATATAGAGACAACGTAGAATGAATAGCCATGGAGATGAAAAGGATGACCTCCATCATCAAGATTGTTAATGACAAGTTCGACCCAACCATTTGAAGGATCATCGATTTCTGAGTCATTCGCGAGCAACGGTATGTGAGGCGAGAGCTGGTTTCGATCGTATTGGTCTCTGGAGAGTGAGATCAATGGTCCTGACGGTAATGCCTGAGGTTGCCAGCTGGTATGGTTGATGAAGCCCATGGGTACGTTGGAGTACCTTGCCAATTTCATTGTTGTTGTGTACACGACAAACCTCAACGCTTCCTCCGGCCATGATATCGGCCCGGTGGAATTTGACACAGCGGCCTGAAGATTATAGTACTCAATGATCGATTGGGGAACTTCCCGGTCGCCAACGCCCTTTGACGTCGTCTTGACTGGAAAGTTCTGTTGTGGATCAAGGGCAGGATTCGGATACTTGAAGTTCTCGTCATCCATTTCGATTTCAAGAAAGCCTCGATCGTCTGAGGGATAAGTCTGCAATATGGCATCCGCACGCTCGCCAGGGTATATGATACCAATTTTCTGCGCTTCTGCTGTAATGATTTCGTGCCCGCCATCTACCTGCACAGGCAACAGGGTGGCATTGCTGATTCTCATTGTAAATCCTGTCAAGGAACCTGTGTGAACCACACGCATGCGATAGCGTCTACCATTCACGAGTGATAGTTCGGGAAGAGTCTCTCTTTGCTCAGGTGCTGTACAGTGGACGGGGCGTGCCGGCACTGCCATGTCGCAATCATAATTCCCCTTTCCATTCACAACCAGGGAGTCCGGAACAGGTTCGTTGCCAAATGACCTGGAGTTCATATACCAAGCAAGTACATCCGTGCTTGGTCGATGGTACCAGTCACCTACCATGAGTAGTATTTCTTGGTCATAATCGTAAATCTTGCTCTCAACGCACTGCTCTCGTGGGCGATGTACAACCAAGCCACCATAAAGGCCATCATCTCTCTGGGTCTTTTCGTGACCATGATACCAGAAGGTACCGTGTTCATCTTCTCCAATGGTGAAGTTGTACAAGAAGCTTGAGCCAGATGGTATGGAGTTCTGGGTTATTCCAACTGCACCGTCCATGTCATTGGCACCCTTCAGCCTCAGACCGTGCCAGTGCATGGCAAGGCCTTCATTGATCAGTTGGTTGGTGACATTGACAACCAGCCGATCGCCAGAACGAGCCTCGATTGTTTCGCCGGGGAAATTATCATCAATGAGATAAACAGACTTACGGACGCCGTCCGGGGTTCTGTAGCCTTTCGTGATTGTCCAGTCATAGACTAAGGTCATTGGGGGACGGTTGACATGATCCTCCGGATGGAGTATGATACGGAGATCTTCTGGACCGTCGTAGTCACCTGTTGAGTGCTGAGACTCGAATGGTGTTTTGGCGTGGTTTCCAACTGTCCGAGAGAATGATGTGAAATGTCCCAGCAAGTATGTGCCCAGCGAGCCGAGAACTAAAAGGCTGAGAACAACATATGCCAATCTGGCTTGCCATGGTGCGGGCGTGAATGCAGCATTTTCGCAGGGGCGTGATGGTGATGGGTTCTCTTGTACTTGACAATCATCTTTCGTCGCTTCATTCATGTTATGCCCGCCAGGCTTGCGTCTTCTCGAATTTGTCCTCTCCATGCTGAACGAGGCTGCCCAAGAAGACGTGCGCCGATAGAATGTGTTGAAGTATCCATGGTCATGATTATCAGCGAATTGATTGGACGAGAACAGAGGCTAGTCTTTGCTGACTCGTGCTGCAGCAATTGGCCAGGAGGACTTCGGCAGGAAAAGCGGTATTCTCAAGAACTAGCGATGATTTGCGTAGAATGGAGTTGAATGTGTTATCTGCGGTCAGGGTATGAGCAATGGGTCGGACATGTCCATTCAAAAGTGTATAAAGGAGTGAGTCGACAATTTATCGAGTATGAATGGTTATTTGAGAAGTGAAGAGGGAGTCAGGAGAGAGACAGGGCCGGTGCTTGGCATCACCACGTGATGTCTACCGATAAGATAAGATGTAGGTACCATGTACTATTTTGAGCACTGCCACCTTGGACACTCTTTTTTTCCATTCTCCTTTTCGCCTTTTTCACTTTTGCAGTCTCGAACAACTTACGCGTCCAACATCCACAATGACCGTCGTAACGCGCAATCACTGTCATCAATGTCCTTCTTTCCACGTTTCAGTTGGCCTGTGTTCCTCCAATGCCTCTTTCCTTATCTGCCCTGCCCTCTGTATCATGCCTTAATGCTGCATCACCTTCTGTATCAACACCTGCTGCAATTCCCGCCCGTTCCCACCTTTCTACAAACCTTCGTGTTTTGGCTTTTTGCTGGGACTTTTTCCCTTCGAGACTGTAGTCGTCGCAATCACTCTTTAACAAGGCCAGAACCATGATCCCTTTCCTTTTGCGTTCCATTTCTGTTGCCATTCTCTACCTGTTGACATAGACCATTGACTTATCGCATTCGTTATACTCTCGTGGTCATGTCTTACCCTCGTTCTCAATTCGAAGAGGCGCCCCCGTCATATGCAGCAGTTCGTGCATCCAAGGCTGCTGCCGCTTCACGAAGCGCACCTCTATACGAAAAAAATGAATACTCAAGAAGAAATCCCAGAAATTGGTCGCGAAGATGCTGGATCATCTTGGGCGTTGTTATCGCTGCAATAATTGCTATTGTCGTTGCCGTTGCAGTTGTGGTCACTCGGGAGAACCGCTATCCGAACTATTCCGAATTGAACTATTCGCTGGTCGACACGTACTCAGGAACGAGTTTCTTCGACAATTTTGACTACTACACGGGATATGATCCCTCAGACGGGTTTGTCCAGTGAGTAGAGGACTAATATGTTTTATGTACTAAGCTAATTACTGTCCAGCTACGTTGACGCGGACGGATCTGCTGATCTGAACCTCACATACGCTTCCAGCTCGGCCGCTGTCCTGCGGGTGGACCTCAGTGATACCGACACGACTACTGGTCGAAAATCGGCGCGAGTTACATCCAAGAACACTTACAATGACGGTTTATTCATCTTCGATGTTATTCACTCGCCATACGGTTGCGCGACGTGGCCGGCATTGTGGCTGTCGGATCCTTCCAACTGGCCCGAGAATGGCGAGATTGATGTCATGGAAGCAACCAATCTCGCGCCTGTGGGAAATCAGGTCACCCTCCACACCACGAAAGATTGCACGATGAAGGTGAAGCGAAAGGAGACAGGTACCGCCCTGAACTCGAACTGCTTGAACTCCACCGACGGCGACGCTGGCTGTGGCGTTCGAGGTTCAACTGCCACGTTCGGCGAAGATTTCAACAACAATGGTGGTGGTGTCTATGCCATGGAGCTCAGAGACGCCGGGATCCGGGTGTGGATGTTTGATCGTGACAGCATACCCTCAGACATCACTACGTCCACCTCGAACACCACAAACTCCACCACCACTCCCGACCCATCTGGATGGGGCGAGGCTTTGGCGGACTTTCCCAGCACAGACTGCGATATCAGCAGCCATTTCCGCAACCAGAGCATCATCGTTGACATTGATTTGTGCGGTGATTGGGCTGGTCAAACGGCCTACTACAACACTCAGTCAGGATGTTCAGGCACATGTGTCAACTATGTGATGGAACAGCCCGGAAGTGCATATGACGAGGCCTACTGGGAGTTTGGCAGTTTTAGAGTCTATCAAGCGTCGTAAACTTGGATTTGGAATTTGATGTTTGGCGTGCGGTCTGGTTTGGTTGCAAATAAGGAATATATTTGAATAGTACATATGAACCCCAGAGTCTTGTCGGTCGTACAGCACTGGACTAATCATGAGCAATCATTGAGGAGTCATCGGTTTTCTAAGTGCGCTTACTACGGGCCTCGCTTCATTGGCGATTGCGTGTTTAGGCTTTGACCAGGGTTGTTTCCCGGCCCTCCCGGGGTTGAATGCGGGACGATTAAAGGTACGGAACAGCAGAGTCTCACCCGGAACAGGCGATGATGGCGCGGAAGGTCACCCGAAGGGCCAGGAAGCGAGAGAAAAAGAGACTTTTGATCGGTACCGGAGTTCTTATGGGCATGCATCATTGTACCGAAACTGCTCCCTAAGTAAGGTTTTCCAGGGTACGAGTAGCTTTAGAAGCCCCGAACCTTCTTTCAACACGGAATCAATTGCAGATACACCACATACTTGCGACTTCTGGCAGTAAGTCAAAAGAAAGCATCGCGACTCGTCAAACAACTAAATCCAATCGCACCTGGCAGCCCTCCTCTGTGCCTGTGTATTGCGCCTGTCACGCCCCTGTAGGTAAGTGGCCCACCACCCGTACACCTGGACGCCATTGCCATTATTTCGCCTGCATACCAAAAAAGTTCAAGGGCACAAAATAATGAACAGCAAACAAGATGCACCGAATCAAGTGCATGTGCTCCCACTCTCTCTCCAGTCAACGGCGGCGTAATTGACACTTTGCCCAGTACTCAAGCTTGGGTTTCCGCTTTTGCGTTCTTGAAGTGTTCAACCATGAATTTCTCCAAGAAGTCCGTCAACAGTTTCCCAGAAGCAGCGTCTCCAAGCATTACATGGCCCTCGACTGTGACATTGGTCGTTACAGACGTAATCGTGTGAGTTACCGTATCATTACGGTCATTGTGGGTTGAGGTCCGGTAGTCGCAGTTGTGTGTATCTCCTTGTCGCTGCCCGGAGGAGTACGCACGCGGTACTGGCTGCGACGGCTCCTCCGATGACATCGACTCTTGGTCGTCCTGAACATACTCTGTCGAGGCATCGTCGTTATATGACGGCGGAGCACCATGCGTGCCCTCGCGGAAGGCCGCTGAACGGGCAGGAACCAGCGCCCGGTTGTTGGTGCTTTGGTATGGACTCTGCTCTTCGAATGGAGCCAGATTGCCTCGATGGGCTTTGGAACGATCTCTGCGATACGGGTCCGAGGCGGTCTGAACATCTCGATGATCAGTCAAGTTATCAATAATGATTCGGGCATAATGAAGCAGCCTTACAACTGGCATCCTCTGTTTGCCGGCCTTCTTGGAAGACTGGTCAGAGGAAGGAGGCATGGCTTGCTCTATCCCTGCGTTTGTGGTTGGGGAATGACCGATCTATAAGGATATGTCCTTCCTGGACCTGTGCAGATTAGCGAGATGCAGCCTTGTGCGACACTGTTTGCAGTGGTTGTACTGCCAGCAACATCTCAATATGGATACCCACTGAGTACTTTATGCACTCTCTTCCAGGGTCTCCCCCAAGCCCCTGAAGTTTAAGGTCGATCAAAAGGCAAAATGGGTGATACTAGCGACAGAAGTTCATGTCTTTCGGGATGTCGTCTGTCTGAGGTCGAGGCTAGTGGGGGAGAGGTCTGCGCTGCGAGCGAATCAAATGTGAACAACAGACCGACTGCATCTACGACCGCGACCGCCAGCACCCGGCAGCACTAGCCGTCCCGTGCAGCCTGCTTCTACTACACCAGGGATCCCATCACAGATCCACAGGTGTACGTGACAAGCTCGCCCTGAGAATTCGGATGTTACAAGAAGATCCGAAGTTTATCGCTAGAGGGAACTGCAAGCTGAAAGCAGTCTGGAGAATGATCTTTGGAATTGGCGTTCCGAACCTCTTTGCCGGCCAGCTTCCCCTCGCAGCAACCGCAAGTCCTTCTTCAAGGATGCGGCCAGGGTTCCGGTACCAAACCCCGGCTGAACACCGTGGCATTCAACAGTAGACAACGTGATTCATCACAGGATACTTCCTGTACCTGAACACGGCGACTTTTCATCACGTGCTGTCCGCTGAACTGTTCGTTGGCACGTCGCTCTCGGCGATGCAGGTCTGGCGCAGTCGAATATGCATTTGCTGTCTGTGCGTCATAAAGTCCAAAAAAATGGCAGAGTGCCAGCGAATACAGTGGTATGCAGCCTTGCAGTCACACTTATCACCATCAAGAGTCCCAAAAACACGAAGCCCAGAGCTCGTGATAAGGGAGATCAAACAATGATGTACGTCAAAAATCTGTTGATGGTATCACAACGGAAGGCGCGACCTCATAGTTCTGCAGAGGATTTCCATCACGTGGTGGTGAAGCATTTTGTACCACTCTTCGGCAATTAAAACTGGGAGCTGAGGGTGTACGTACTTTTATCCGCTGTCTCATCACGAGGAGTGCACCTCGAGGGCAAGGGGGGAATCACGGACCTTCGGCAATGCTTGTACCAACAGGTGTCAGGCCGTGGTTGGCGTGTCAGTAGCTCTCCCTCTCCTTAGCCGAATTCGCCTGTACGTAAAGGCTGAGCAAATCAGAACAAGGAGCGACCCCGCGAGCTGCGCGAAAGTACCTCGACCTCTTTAATAAGCGACGTGGGTGAGTGAGCAGTGAGGTCATCATGAAGAATACCCATTCCAGCACAGTCACTCATATGTGAAGGAGCTTGACCGGGAGTCCCCCAGAGATGATAATGGCCACGAAGAATTGAACTCCGGAAGTCGGCTTCCATACTTTGCAAGCCCCGGTTAGTGTTGCTCCGTCGTCCACGCCACCTACGACTGGGTACGGATGGCGAGGTGCTTGGTGCCACAATATGTAGGAGGTCAAGTATAGGCGAGTTCTAATCTTCAGGTTGGCCCATGCGCCAAAACGTGTTGCACAAAAACGGTCCGTCGAGACATGGCAGCAGACCACGTTACACAACACGTTGGTGCGCGGCCATGTTATCCACGGACATTCCACCCTGATGCGAACGGTTCTTATCCAGACTGGTACAACGACACATGTCTATCTCAACGCCGACTGACCCAAAGCTGTTACTATGTCAGCATTCAGGAACGATCGCCGCATACGGATGAAGTCATCCAATCAGCCGCCAAATGCCCAGCGCATTTGACAGGCTGGACAGGAACAGTTCAGACGCTTCTGCAAGCCATGTTCGACCGACAAGGTAAAGAGTGACAAGCCTAGCGAGCGTTTTTCGGTTACAACCTCCTAAGAGGCCCAATGAATTCGTAAAAAGGTCGCCATTTGTACGGAACTCCGCAATCAGCAATCGAAGATCTTTAGTCAAAGAGAAGTATACTTTTATCTACATATACTTCCCCCCCGAACCCTTTCTTTCCCGCATTTTGCGCATAATCAAAAGCATATGGGAAAGGCGGGTTGAGCCTGCAGAAAAACAATGTCTCCATCCATGCCCTCGTGGCTGCATTGGTACAACAAGCCTTCGTACCTCGACCCTGTATCCTTCTCGAAGTCAGCAAATGCAGATATCGAACAAGGCATGGGCTCGGGCTCGAGGCCGTCGTCCATCAGCTCTCAATCCGACACTGCTATCCCAGCTGACTTATCGCTGGACCGGGTCCTCGCCAACAAGACATGTATGCGACCTATACTCCCTGGACATTGACCACGACTAACCCTTACTCAACAGGCAGTCCATTGTCGCTATACGACTTCTACATGTACCTCAAGCACATAGAGCTGTCGCCCGAGAATCTCGAGTTCTACATTTGGTAAGTTGACCAATGATCTTTCACTGCAATAACAATTCTAACACTACCATCCAGGTTCAAAGACTATGAAGCTCGCTACCAACAGCAGTCCCATCCTGATCTACCGAGTCAAATGACACCACTACTCCTCGCGCCCACGGGCGAGAAATCAGCCACGTACTCCTACGCCGGCGCTATGACAGAAAGTGAACTCGACGACGAGAAACCCGACTCAGGCGCCGAGTCTGGTACGTTACTTGCGCTTATCGCAATCCATCGCGTGACTAACCTTACTAGAACTTCAATCGTACATCGAATCTCTCGTCGCCGTAACCCAAGAGACTCGACCCTGCCGCAACCCCAACCCTCTATTCTGGCCACGGCCCTCAGCAGCCTCAGACCGCACACTAGCTGCGCGCCCCTTCTCGAACCGCGAGGAACTATCGCACGTCGCAGCCATGTTCCTGACACCGAGCTCCCCCAAAGAGCTCAACATCCCGCCCAGCATGCGCGAAAAGGCGCTCGAGGGAATCGCGACCTCCGACTCACCAGCCCATCTCGCCCCCGTAGCCAACCACGTCTACTACCTATTGCGCAACTGCTCGCACCGAAACTTCATCAGACTCGGCGTCAAGAACGGCACCTTCGAGACGCTCTGCATGGTGACCATTGTCGGTTGCCTATTTACAGCCCTGGGATTACTGACAATACTCCTCGTGGCGTTCGCATCACCATCGATCCACCACTCGTCTCGCTGGCGCGGCCTTGCAAGCGTCCCATTCTGGGTCATCGGATTCAGTTTCCTGTTCGCAGGCTGGCGCGGCAGTTGCTTCTTGTTGCTCCTGTTCTCGCGCCGACAGGAATTACCCTGGGAGCGACTCGAGGATAATGCCAGCACGAAATCAGGACGCAGTGTGCGATTGCAGCAACTATGGCTGGTCCGGTTCGCGAAGAAGTTAATGATCTTTGAGCGCAAGATTAGGGTGAAAGATCAGGGATTGAGACATCTACAAAGGAAGATTGTTGTCCAGAGTGTTGTTGCTGCTGTTATCGTCACGGCGGTGTTGGAAGTCGTATGGCTTGTGCTGCCAATCTGGAAGTGAGGATGTCATGATCAATGTGATATGATGTGATCTGACCTGGCAGGCCGGTGCTGGATTTCTTGTCTTCTTGTTTACCTCTTATGTTTCATTGCGCTATGATACCAAGGTGTGCCTGTCCTTTCAGCTTGATCAAATATTCGAATGAGATGGATATGATAATACTACATAGTAATGTGAAGTGTATCACCAAGAGATTCGAGTGTGATGATCTTCATGACAGATTGAGTCATTCACTTTGATTCAGGCCCGGGAGCAAGTCTCTATGTTGGCACCATTATATGCAAGGTCGTGCTACAGGCATCCGAATTGTTCCTTCAATGCCCGCCCGTCTGTGCTCGTCTGGGTCCGGTCCGGTCGGCTGGGATGGTTCGGACCTTGATCCTCAACGGTGCACAGACAAAGCTTCTTCGGTGTGGCTGCACTACTTTGTATCTATCTTACTTCGATTCTCTCAATATTTGCCCTCGTCAGGGACTAAAAGAACACTTATATAAGTCTGCCTTGGAGTGATTGTCGTACGAGCTCCTTGTGACGATATATGAAGATTCTCGAACTCATACCACAATATCCCATATAGTCCTTGATCAACATTCTGCATTGTTCACATCTTTACTCGTCCAGTCCGCCCTCACAGCTCCGCGACTCCCATCGCCGGACATACTCAGTCAGACATTTCAGGTGTCTGCAGCGAACCTTGCCGCATACTTGTCCTGTCGTGAGCTTTTGCGACCTGCTCTTGAGCTTCGCTGACTCTTTGCTATTGCCGTAGCGTTGGTCCCATTCACACTGCCTCCTTTACGAAAGCCAGACGTGACCGGCGGAGATGTTTGCCCAGCTGTTTGGGACTTTCCACTTGGTTCACGTCGTCCTTTGACTTCGAGATTGGCAGGATTGCGCTTCATCTTCTTCGGAGTATCTTGGGTTGCCTTGGACACGTCGTCATGATCCAACTTGCGTTTGGCAGCAGAGTTTGGCTGATAACGCTCTCGAGGCGTGGCAGGTGTCATGTCTTGGTGGTGGAGAGGGTCAGCCGTTTGTCCTGGAAAAGGTGTGGATTGTCTTCCTCGAAAATGAGACTCGCTCCTCAGCCTCCTTCGGCTTGGAGCATTGTTCCAATCTGCACGATTCCAAGGCATTGCATTAGCTCGATCCAATTCGCCGACCACATCCTCGTCTCCACTATCCTGGCGAGATGTGATCGTTGATGGTAGCGTGGACAACCCAGGAACAAACCCAGAGTCATTCTGGCTCAGTTGATCCAGCAGCATCTGCTCGCCGTGCGAGCTATACGAGCTTGACGGTGCTTGATCCATGACTTGGTGCTTGGTTTGCATCTGATCGTCGTGCTTCTGGCTGTCTTGATCTTGACGCTTGGGCTGCGTGTCATTATGTCGGTCATCTTGATGGGTCAAATCTTCGGGCACACTGCTCAACTCGGAAGTCGAACCATCGTTTAGCAGGCCTTCGTCCGCCAGTAAGTCGTTCTGCCCAACATGAGCACTGGCCTGGTGATCAAACTGCGTTTCTGGGACCACGGTAAGGTTCCCCGTCGATCTGGGAGTTGGTCTCTCCAGTTCAGGGTCAGCTTCGTCTCTGAAAACTTCCACACCTTCCACATTATCCGTCGATCCAGAGCAGATAGGCCCTTTGACGACCGGCCCTCTCTTGCCTGACCGATCGGCAACCCTGCGTTGAGGCTGAGGTTGTGCTTCCTTGTCGAGTTTGGCATTGGCAAGCTCGCCCTCGCAAACTAGCAGTTCTTGTTGGAGATCAGCCTTCTCCTGCTCCAGAGAAGTAATTTGCTCATTTCTGCGCTGTAGCTCCTCGTCTTTACCCTGGGCCTCCTCCTCTGCCTCAGTCATGGCAGTCTTCAATTGCTCTTGGAGGGTGGAAATGCTGTTGTCTAGGTTTGCAATGGCTTCATTCAGAGACGGAAGCCGTGCACATTCATGTCGAGCTTGCTGCAGATCTGCTGCCATTGAGCCGATGGACGTGACGAGCTCTTGGTTCTTCAGCTGCAACGCATCTGCTTCCGTCACCCTCGTTTTGGCTGTTGCGAGTGCGTTGTTGAGTGCTTGCGCTTCTTTACGAAGATTCTGAATTGTGGTCTCCAGTTCAGCCTGGTCCAGATTTTGTGCTTGTAAGTCCGAAAACTCTTTCTCAAGGACAGATTTCTCTCTAGCCAGATGTTCATTGCTTCGAGCCTTTTCTTGGAGATTTGCAATTGTTTCCTGCAATTTTGATAGTGTTTGTTGCACAGACTGTGCCTCAAGGTCCTTCTGATATATTTCGTTCTGCTGAGAAACGGTCTTCTGCTGCAGGATTTCAAAGTCAGCTTGCTTCCGTCGAAGTTCATTGAGCTCCGCAGTTGTCGTTTGGAGAGCATTGCGAGTCTCTCCCAGTGTGCGAGTAGTGTCTTGCCCCTCAGCAACACCGGACTCCAGCAAAACAATGCGAGATTGCAGAGCCTCTTTGTCATGAACTGCAGCTTGCGAATTGACCTGGATCTCTTTCAGAAGTTCTTCGAGGAAGGTTATATGGTGACTGAGCTTTCGTTCGATTTCGCGACGTTGCTGGATCTCACCGTCGAGGTCATCCTGGAGCTCGTGGATCTGCCATCGTTAGTCACGTTCCATGTATATTGCAAGGTTCGTACCTCGAACTCGTGTTGCTGCTCTTCATCCTTTAGACGGTGGATCTCATCTTTGGCTTTAGTAAGAGCATCATCAAGTAATCCCTTGTTCATGCGCGCATCCTCCAACTCTTTCTCCAAAACCTCGAGCTCTTCACGCCTCTCCTTAAGCTGGTGCTTGCATGTCTGGATCTCACCCCCAGCCACATTCAAGTCTACTGTGACTTTGCCAAGTTGGGATTCAACCGCCTCACACTTCTCCGCGGTTCTGGTCCATCCAGTCTGGACCTTCATGTACTTTGTCGAAAGTTTGTCAAACTTCTCTTGAGTGGCGTTGCGTTCCGCTGCAAGCTCCTCCTTTTCACGCTGGACCGCCTGATGGTTCGCTGTAAGTTCATCGACTTCTTTCAGAACAGTCCGGTTTTTCGTCGTGAGCTCGCTGATACGAATTTCAGCCGTCTTATTTTTGGTCCGAAGCGCAGCGATATCACTCTGAGCCTTCTCATTGATGCCCGCAAGGTTCTTAAGTTGAGTTCGAGCCGTGTCGCGTTCCTTTGTAATTTTGGTCTTCTCGGTCTCGGCATTGACTTGGTTTGTCGAGAGTTCGCCGATCTTAGCCTCAGCAGCGTCAAGCTGCGTCTGAAGGCCTTCCTTCTCGGCGTGAGCCTCCTCGTACATTATTAAAAGCCGGGCGGCTTTGCTCTGAGCTGTCTGGTGTTGAGTCTCGAGCTCGTCGGCTCGTTCGTCAGCAGCCTGATTTTTTGTCGAAAGCTGAGTAATCTCACGCTGAGCCGCCTCACATCTCGTTGAAAGATCGTTCATTTCGTTTTGAAGAGTTGTCATCTGTTGTCGATAGATGTCTTTTTGAATCTCAAGCATCTCCCGAATGGCCTTTACCGCAAAGGGTGGCTTCCCTTGCCCATTGTTGACCCTGGGCGTTCCACTATCAGGCAGATTGATGACCAGTCTCAGCTGATCAACTCTGTCCTCCAAAACCTTCTTGACAGCTGGAAAGTCCTCCTCAGTCTGGACCTTGTTGGCCGCCAGCGGAGACCGTTGCTGGAGGTCGTCTAGCAGATCCGCGATTGACACGTCAAAAATCTCCGTGACCGAATCCAAGTGCTCCTGCATCAAGACTCTCAACGTGCCAACACTTTGCGTGACATCTCTCAAGTCGGCATTTGTTGCAAGGTCTTTTTCACGTATCATCTGGCACATTTCCATGAACGCATTGAAAGCGTTGACATTTCCCGAGATCCTCTCTTCTCTGTCATCCAAGAGAGTTTGCAGCTTACCTGACATGCCTTGCAGGGTCGTGTCCAGCATGTCAGCCTTGCTGGTGATGCTGAGAGTTTGTTTGTTTCTCTCCTGCTCCACATGCAAAATGTGACTTTCCAGTCTTCCGCACCTGTGCTTTTCGTCCATGAGACGTTGTTCTTGTTGCAGATATTGACCGCTGAGGTGACTCATGGCAGTACAGTGGTCTTGAAACGACTCTTTGACGTCGCGAATTTTTGCACGTATAGCTTCCATCTGCTCGCAACCACTTCCGGAAGCAGTTTGAATGTCTCTCAATTGTCTGGACAGATCATCTCTATCCCTTGATACCTCCGCGAGAGACCGTTTCATGACGGAAGCATCATTGGCCAATGCTTCGCAGTCGTGGTTGGCCTCCAATGCCCACTTTTTGAGCTTGTAGTACTTCTCCTTGAAGACTGCCAGACTCCTACATAGCATGTCTTTTTCTGACTCAACCTGCTCCTGATACTGCAAGCTTTGCTGGAGTTCAGCATCGGAGGTCGCTTTTCCATGTCGGAGTGTCAAGGTTTCTTCTTCAAGATGCTCTAGCCTTTCCAAAGCATGGCGGGTCTGCCGATTTCGTGACATGAGAATGTACAAGAGGTCCTCTTCTGATGGTTGTTGTGGTTCTGTCGTAGCCGGGGTTGGAAGACGTTCGACAAGGGGTGCTCGAGCTCGAGCTTGATTTTTCTTTAGTGCTTTTGAAACCCTAGAGGAATGTATGGCAGACGAGCCTACGCAACTTGGACGGCTTCTTCTTGCTGGAGTCAGGTGAGCTTGGTCAGTTTCTGGTGAGACCAGGGTTTGAACAGGTGGTTGAGGAGTTTTTGGTCCTGGTGTTTGGAATTGATTTTGGTCTGAAGAGGCTCTCCTGCAATGGTTTGAATTCATGACAGCGTCGCCAGACTGACCCGGAGGTTTGTCCTCAGTATCTGACTCGGAGGCAGCTTTCAGAGCCTCAGTCTTGGGCGTCGTCAACCTGTCCATCGCGGGAATTGCTGTCTCTTGCTGCGGGGAATGGCCATGGAGTTCATCAGGCATGACAGGAGTACGAGGTACCGGGCTCGGGGAGGTCTGTTTGCATGCTGTCTTCGTTGTGGCATCTGCACCTCTCGGATTTTGCATGCTCACGTCGAGCATACCGGCAGCATTAGGTAGGTTGCCAGAAAGGTTTGACGTACGCACACTGATGACATGGCTCGTTAGCCACAATAGCACGTTGAAGTCTCGAGTGAGGTGCCTACCTAGGTGTAAGGACAGAGTGAGGAGGTTCATGCCCACTAGATCTTCCCTTGTAATTATAGCCTTGCTCTTGCACAGGGCCCAAAGGTTTGTCCTCCTTCAGATTCCGACTGGCATACTGTGGAGGTATGAAGTTGAATTGAGCAAAAGCATCATTATCGAGCACCGGTCTCTGAACCTGTATGGTAGCAGCAGGCGTTGGCTGTGGAGCATATTGTAAAGTCTTTCGGTTAGCCAGTCTCTTCGTGATAGGGCTCTCGTCGACATCGTCTGAAGGTGGAGGAACATCGTCGAGTTCGTCCTGATATGCTTGATCGAAGTCGTTGTCTGAGATTGGAACATCCATGGCAACATCATCACAGTGTTCAGTCAGTTCCTGGCAGTCTGCCTGTGCAGGCTCAGGCTCGTTGTGCTCCATCGTGGCACGGTTGTGTAGGAGTCGAAGAACAGAGTAACAGCAGAATCTCAAAACTCGAGGAATGATCCGACATACAACGGCAACAAGGGTGGACCAGACAAAGTGGGCAGCTTGGAACCGAATGCTAATTGAAGCCAGGTTGGAGGATTGGAGGGAGAAATTGAAGGGTTGAGAAGAAGTGAAAGGAGTTGAGATGCAGGAAGGTACTGAACTGAGTGCAGCAACGCAGTCGCTCTTTCCGTCTTACTAGCACAACACTTGAACTCCACGTCCACCATTGCATCTGAAGTTGATATCATCACATGGCTAACTTACCGGCTGTGAGTACACATTCCTCCAACATGTCTTTCGTGCAAGCCATTTGCGCACCACTCTGCGCTGCTCTGCCTGCCAATACCATGCTGCAGTCCTGCTATCCGTATGACCTTCCTAGCGATCTGCTTCACCTATAAAGTATTTGGTGTCTGCTCCATCCGCGGGCAGATATTCATGATTTGCAGACATGGCATCCGAGGTGCAGGAAGATAAGTTGTCGATTGTTGTTTTGCAGGAATTCATACCGTCGCGTCGTTATCGATAAGTGGACATCTCGTCTTGGAGATCGCCGATTAAGCGAGATGAATCTGCACAAACACTGGATATGCAATACATAGGTAAGCTGGAGCTATGAAGGTCACCCGCCGTCGATATATTCACCTTCCGATTATGTATACAAGGAGCCATCACCTATCGTGTATCCATCGTAACATCGTGTTATAACCTCGCTCGCCCTACACTCAGTACCACCGGCCCCTCTCACCGCTCACACACTCGTATCTACCGCCCAAACACCTTCTTCCACATCGGCGTCTTGGGACTATCCATCTCAAAGACCGAATTTGATATCTCCACCTTCGGCGGCCTCCTCTTCTCCTTCTTCGTCTCTGTCACCGTATCTATCCCTGTCCGACCCTCACCATCCACCACTGGAGTCACCGACACCGGCACTGAGCCACCCTTCTCCAGATCAGCAGTGTTAACTCTTACTCTCCGTCCAGTACGCCCATCCAGCCCCTTGAACGGTCCCTCCTCATCTGCAGGCGACCTCCTCTTCTCAACCGCGGAGAAGTTGAAGTTCATCTTCTTCGGCGTAATCGGCGTCGCAACCGCCTTGATCGCACTAGTCACTCGTCTTGCCGATCTTCTCAAGCCCTCGGCAATCTTCCACTGTCTCTTTTTGGCCAGAAAGAACAATACCGCAATCGTGCCTGTGACAATCAAAGGTCAGCATTCAGCAGCGACCAACGACTCACGCTCGATCCAATGACCATAACAGCGAGGGGAACATACCGACAAGCACCACCACTACACTAACAACCACAGCTATAGCAATAGTGGCGCCTTGGCTCAAATTGACAGATTCCGCATTCCCACCAGACGCCCCAGCATTTTCTGACCCCTGCGATCCCGCGCCAATATCGCCAGGCTGTACACCCGAAGCAGCACCGCCATCACCATTTTGTGCCATGACTCGTGATCGCGCGCTGTACTCCAGACATAGTAGCAGCGCAAGGCAATTGAGCAATTGTTGGCGTAGTGGCGAGATCATTGTACAAGAGGTGTGTTGAGCTCGCGTTCGAAGTTCTGAAGTCTCGTACCCGGTTGCTTATCGCCCAAAATTGTAAATCCTTAGATGGAAGTAGCCCTCACGGTATATTCGATTGGTATGTCACAACGAGACACAGGTCCGGGCTACCGAGAGATATGCAAAGAGAAACAAACGGAATCAAGAGTGCATTATCATGCAGCGCAGAAGAGACTCACCTTATGTCGTGCAGCAACGGGCGGCTGCAACGATCTTCTTTCTTCGACCTTCCATAGCACCGTCTCTGACCATTTGATCGGTCGGCCACCCTCAAGGTCACACACCGAAGAACAAGCACACTGTCATATCGCCATTGGGACGGTACGGTGGAATGTGAAACCAGGGAAGAGGATGTGAAACGCTTGTTGACGCCCCCTCTAGCCGCCGGGCGTGGGCCAATCATATGACGAGTTTCTGGTGACGCCCAGCTTCAAGTCCTCCGAGGCGTAGATGGCGAGCCTGTTTCCAGAAAGAGTGGCACCATCTGACAGAGAGTACATCAACGAGCTAAGTTCGGAGTCCAGCAGGTTCACAAGTTCCTCGATATCAAGCTAGTATCACTATGCGATAGCGCCAGGGACTGTCACTCAGTCGAAAGCTACCGCATTGATGTTGCGTGTGAAGGGCGGCGGCTTCACAATAAGGAGTGCTTTCTAAGGTCATACTCATATACATGTCTCGTGGCTCGTTTCTCTAATTTGCCTGGGCCGTGTTCATAGACGCTGTGCCTACAGCGTCTCCCATCCACCAGCATTTACTTCGCTCTCGAGCTTTCTAGCAATAGTACTCCAGATGCTGCCGTTCGTCATCAACCATGTGTCCCTCAAAAGCTTATCGTATCTCTTCTGATTGAGGATCAACTGATGTTTCGACCTCAGACCAGAATCAGTCTCTCCATATTTCGTGAGGTATGGCGCCGAGAAAAAGGACCCGTGACTCAAGGTAAGATATCCAGGCGGTAAAGCTGGATTTCCTCGTGCAATTCTCTCACGATCGTTGTCCAACATCTTAGGATCTTTGGCAACGTGCAATAGCGCAACGTGGCATTTCCGGATGAACAGAAACATGCCAATCGGACTTGAACATTTTTCCAGATGCGCATTACAACCGCCACGGAATTCATCAGTAAGACAACACACCGTCTGCGAACAGAATATCTCGCCACAGAAGAGGCATAGAGCGGGATCCAAGACTTCTTTTCCGGTTGTTGGACACTTGCGACGGTGAGCCTCATCCATCAAGGTGTCGAAATATTTCGGCAGTCCGATCAACTCAAGCGGAGCAGGGTGCAATAGTTGGATCCCAAGTGGCAGAGGGCGTTCAGTCGTCGGATTGTATACTTCATAATTGAGGTTGTCCTCAAGCCAACGACCTGCCAAAGATTTCAATGCTGCATGAGGGGAGAACTCGTCGAACGACATGAGCAATTCTGGAAGCTTTGGTATCTGGAAGAAGTGAAGGAGGCGGTCCAATTCTGGCAGGCTGGCTTCCGAACCTGCCGTGTTAGGGAAGTCAATGCCATGTGCAACGTGGAAGAAGACGGCGCATTTCCGCAAGAAGACAAGGGCATAGGCCTTGCATAACCCGAAGAGTGCACCACACTCGTTTTCGGACATTCGTTGCATCGTGCCTCGGAGCTGATGCACAGGACTACCTTCGTCGGCGCCTATTCGTTCAAGGTGGCGTTCAAGCCACCCGATGATGCTTTTCACGCTGCGCAGCTCGTTTGCTTCCGTGGTCAACGGTGTGGCATGACGGATCTTTTGCTGGAGTAGGTTGTCACAAGACTTGAGGAAAGCATCGGAGTCCAGCATGAAAGCCGATACGACCCTCAATAGTTCCAAGGTGAGACATAGCTGTAGCACATGGCGTAACTCAAGCTGTCGGATAGGACAAAGCACCATCGTGGCTTGAACCAGAAACTGGAAAGCATCCTTGCGCAGAAGAGGCAGCGGCTGTTCAGGGCTATCTGAGTGTGATTCAAGTCCCGTCACATTCCCGGTCAATTGACGCTCGGTCAACACGCAGAGATCCTTGAGTTGAGCCTCCACAGGACCGCGAACAGTCAGAGCACCAGTCGCTGCATACGCTCGCAAGGTTGAGGAAAGGGTTTGTAGATGACTCAATGTCTGTTGAGGAACGCTGGTTAGGAGGGGTGTGCCATATTCAGCTTCTCGACCTCGATGGCCAATCTCGACAGACGCGATGGTGTTTGCCAGTGTGTTGATAAGCATGTGGAAGTGATTCAATCGCCATTCCTTCTTTGCGGGTAAAGGTTGACTTGCTTTGGACACAATAGACAGAGATTCTCTCAGGCGACCATAAATGCTCGTAAGCTCTGTAAATGCTGCTAGCTCGGGTCTCTCCGCCCAAGCCGGGCTCGTTGGATTGATGGAGAGTTCTCCTGCCTGCCAGAGAGCGATTGTTGGTGTCAAAGAACTGTTTGAAAATGTATGCAATGTCTGAGAATACATCTGCGAAGCGAGGACATCGAAATGTATTTCTGGATCCGACAGACCGACAGACAGTCGGGAGACATCCTTGTCCAAGAAGAAATCAAAATCTTGCGACACGCCCAGAGTACCTGGATATGATTGCTGAGAATGTTTCCAGACAATCGGCAGGAATGTGTTCGAGAGTGCCTTGCACAAAGGACAGACGAACTCTTTGAGCGCTATTCTCTCAGGATGATTCCTCGCAACCTGTTGAGAATGCCTCCTTGCGACCGATTGATAGTAATTCTCAAAGCAAGTAAAGTGCATGATATGTCCACAGCTAGTCGACACTGGCCCCTTCATAGTGGCGTCCTTGGGCCAACCTTTGCCCAAACCCTGGAAGTCCACTGTCACCTCCTCACCAGTAGTGGTGAGACGCCTGGCTTGGTGATGATTGGAGCCTGAGACACCAAAAGGTCTTATGTGTTCGATGGATCGATCCAGGTTTTCGGGAATGGCAAACAACTCGCCGACAAAATCATCGTCGGATGTATTAGTTTGCCGTAAGATATGCGCGTCGCTCACCATAGCAAAAGTTCCGTACAGTCGAGAGTCAGAGGTGTCTTCGCGGCACTGTATGCATAGGCCAGAAGGGTATTTCCAGTGACGTGTCTCTGTTGATTTGGGCAGCTCTTCGTCAGGCGCTTCCAGATCCTCGTCTCCCCAATCGAGTACGCCCTGCTTGTCCATGAAATTTTGCTGTTGTTGCTGAAACTGAGCCATGACCCGCGCTTTGCGTTCCAATGCTTGTTTCTTTTTGGCTTCAATTTCAATCTCGACATTGGCAGGAGAAGCGGTGTCAAACCTGCCAGAGGGAAAGTCAAGATGGTGAGTCAAATTGTGGGACAATCGAGGCTGCTTCTGGTTGAATAGACGAAGCACATGCTTAATCTTGCTCCTGCACCCATTGAATTCTTCCATTGACCAGATCTTGTGCAACAGCGCAAGTATTGTTCGGTCAGGTTTGCCGTATGGGAGAAAGGATTCCGCAATGGCGTTGCAAACAAATGACGACACTCCACCATTTTCATGCTCGGGCGAGTTGTCCTCCAGAGTAGCGATTAGTATCAACTGTAGGACGATCTGCAAGAACGCTTCGACACGTGTTGATGAGACTCCAGGTTTGGTCTTGTGCCCACTCGCGACATAAAGTAGTGCCTTATGGACAACATCCGCGAAAATAGTGGTATGGACCACGGCGCAAAGATTGCTATATGCCTCGCAAGGAATTGGGTGGAGCTTCGGCTCCAACACGATGTCGTCAGGCGACTTGTTCAGCTTTTTCGCCATCCATTTCTTGTAGATGTTCTCCGCTTCATCTCTTTGATTTTTGCTAAAATGGGAATTGTATGGATCCAATTCTTGCAGGTACTCTTCTTTGAGCTCAAACAACCCAGAATCGTGCAGACCCTCTGGTGCACGATACCTGGTCATCTGCTCAAGGACCTCGTGCAATTCCTCGTGGTCTGCTGCACGTTCTGTCAATCGAGCACTTAGATCTGAGTATGAGAGTGGTTTGAAACACAGGGTATGTGCAATATCTTTGCGTACTGCCAGAATTTGTGACTCAGGATTGTTCCGGTCAGAGATCAGAGCATCTCTGTCTGACAAAAGGTTGATCAACAAGTATGTGAAGTCCTCGGCCAAGTCCAGCATTTGGCTATCTTCACAAATGTCGAGAGAGACAAAATCGTTTTGCATCCAGTCAGTCAGGCCGTATCGGTCCATGATCGAAAGGAGGACCCGTCCTGGCATGCATGTCACAAGGGCTGTTTGTAACAGAAAGAGGTCGCGGTGATGGCCGACATCACGGTGAGCCACGCTTTTATATTGCACCATCTGATGTCGTAGGCTCATTCCGTTCCGAACCCATAGGTTGGCCCTCATCTGAGCCAGCCAAGCGCAAACGCGTAGCGGAAAATCGAACATAGCCAACAACGCGTCATCGACTGATGTGACGGCGGCTTTGAGGGAGGCGTTCCGAGAGGTTGGAGGAATGTCGTGGATGTGTGACAAAACTTTCTGCGCAGCGTCGCGGAGAGCGGCTATCGAATTTTTACTGTACTTTCCGCCCTCCAGCAACCATGACAGTGTATAGTGTAGAGGATGATGGAAGCTCAAGGGGCCTTTTTCGATGACGAAGTCAACCACGCGATAGTGTGCCGGAAACGACATGTCCTCGACCCCTCCTCGATCTCCAAAAGATCCCAGAAGATGGAATTTGACCAAGTCTTTGATCTCTGCCTGATCAAATCGTCTTCGTTCAAGCCCAAGTGAGTTTATGATCGCGATTCCGGCGGCATGAGAGATCGCTTCACGGGTAGCACGAAAAGCCACCGGACTGCTGTCTTTTGAGACGTAATATGCTTCTGCAAATTGACGGCATAGCTTGTTGATGTCTCTTGTCAAAAGCGAGGCACTGATCCAGGCATCCGTTTCGTACTCGACGTGATCACCAATAGCTCTGACATTTGGACATATGCCTTGGGACAACTTTGCAAGATCGAGAAACTGGAACAGGTAGTGTGGCTCACTACGCGCCTTTTCTTGTACAAAAGGGGACGCAAGAAAATATCTCAGGTCGGAGAAGAAGTGGTAGAGACGACGATTGGCAACCGAGCCAGCGTCGAAGCCCAGAGTCGCTCCTGGATCCAGATCCTTCGGGAAGCCAACTTGCCTGGTCGTCAAGAACGTGTACAGGATAGCCATTAAGTTTGTGAGAAAATTGCCTCTCTCAATTACTTCTTCCGTGATTGACGGCGTTGTGAGTAATTGTAATGATAGGTTGATGATGGAGTGGTCTGGCTCTCTATCGGCGACGAGGTAAAGTTGAGCAAGAGTAGTGTACAAGCCGGAAAATCTCAATCCGAGCAAACGTTTGAACTGTGGTATGTGGACGAGAGTGCTGATGAATAAGTCTCTCATGTTAGTCCTCGCAAGTTTCCACAACCGTAAATCGAAGAGAATCATCGAGTCAACCCGAATGTTCTTAGCCAGATCCTCATATACCGGTAGTGCGGTACTCGACATGGCATGGCTCGGCACAGAGAATTTCCAATGATTCGGCGGCGGAGATTGTGGATTCGTCGGGCGTACCGTTGCGGCGGGTGTTCTTGGAATGTTGAGGTAGTTGGCATTACTGTCAGGACCTGTCGGAGAAGCCTCTTCGCCAAGCTGAACAGCGTTCCCTGGATCGATCGTACCTTGAACGGTAGGCATAGGTGGTGGCGGAGGTGTTGCGCCATCCATGTCCATTCTTTCTGCGACGTCCAGAAAATCGCCATCGCCGTCGTTATCACCGTCAGTGTCCATTTCTTCGGCGTCATCGGTGACATCCGGATCGCCTGACTGTTCTGCCAGCGTCTGATCAGGGTCAACATCCCCGAAGACGGTTGCTCGGAGGATAAGGTCGTTCATCTCTCTGTCAGCCTCGACGTCGTTGAGATCGTCATCTTCCCCATCATCCCCGTCATCCACGTCTCCGAGATCATTGTCGTTGTCGCTCAGGCCATCGTCATCCGCTTCTTGGCCCACGGCTCTTTGCATGGCAAATTGGATGGGATCGAAGAAATGTAGTCTGGCTTTCCTCAGGAATTCGCGCTCTTCCTCGTTGCCGTGGTCGTCAAGGTCATCTCTGCCAATTTTTGCATTCCAAGCTTCGCTGCCGACGCGCCAGATTTGTAACATCTCCTCGCAAATGACACGACGTAACACGTGGCTGTCGCCTAAAATACTGCAGCCAGCGACATCGGCAAGCCAGTCAATAATCGTTCCGCACATTTGTTCTCGAAAAGTGTCTCTCGCTGATCTGATCGTTACGGTGATCTTAATCTCTTCTATGATTTTGGCCATTCCGGTAAGCGCTTTCAAATCCCTGGACCATCTGATCACGCTCCTGCCGATGTCGTTGGCCTCCTCTGCTCTGGCAAGGCCCCATGCTTCACGTTCTCGACATGCTCGCGCGACTTGCGATTGGACTTCGCGAACTGTGTGCTTCTCATCGTTCCAGATGATCAGGCAGAACTCAGGATTCGTCTCGACGTCGTCGCCTGTAACATAGTGCTCGGGTTTGAGGCGACTCCTGGCTTCATCTTGAGTGACGGTATCGACGGTCTTGGGCATACGTAGATTTTCTGGAGAACAAGATATGATGTCGCAGAAATAGTCCAAGACTCTGCTGACCGTAGTCCGGATCGACTCTTGCAAATCGGCCGGCAAGGGCGAGACATGTTCGTCTGTCGTAGTCCAGTCATCTCCAGCAGTGTGTATTGCACATTTAACAGGTCTCTTCCATGCCTCATTATCACCACAGTCACAGCATCCACTATTCCCAGCACTGAATCCTATGGTATATTGATGTCCTTCATGGTCGCTGGAGACAAAACATCGGCTGCAGAGAACTGCGGTGCTGTCATCAGTACAAGTACTGCAATGATAACTAGCCTCTCCTGCTTTGAAAATATGCCCACATGGGTGACCCTTTGCAGCAGCGGTGTATTCGGCGTTTTCTTGAACTCCCTGTGCGTCCTGCAACTTGTATGAGGTCGGGAATCCGTTCGGAAAGAGTTCGTTGAGATAGTCGGCTCGATCGTTGGTTAGCGATCTGAAAAGACCCTCTAAGAGACTATTTTTCGCAGCCTCCGTATAGCGGTCACCATGAAGGCCAGGATGGAGACATAAAGCCTGGCAGAGTTGGCGGTCCAGGCTTGTGGTCGGTGGACGACTCATCTTGGATAGGTAAATGTCTTTGCGGTCTGCATTGGGAGGAAGCCATTTACAAGGCAAATGTCATGAAATAACGAAGCAAATACGGAGCAGCCATGGATTTGGAATGTAGTATGCCGTCTACAAAAGGTAGGATGCGTCGAGGGCGTTTCGCAGGCGTTGATAGTATATCTCGCCGCTTTGCTGTGACGTCGATCGTCACTGATGGCATAAAAACACCCGATTAACACCTGAATCTTTCTCCACGCCAAACGACCTTAGGTATGTGTTGTTGCACAGGTGCCTGGCATACTTGTTCACTGGTTTTGATGTCACGTCTACTTCTCCGTCTGCAGCGAGACTTTGGCGTTGTCTAGAAGGCGGGCATGCGGTGCAAAAGGGCTCATCACAATGTCAACCACACAGGGCATATAGCTTTGGCACATGTGTTGCTTGTCCTTACACCCACAGGGTCAAGGCGAAGCAACGTCGCCACGAGACCTGCTGTGTGTCATGGTACTGCCTCATCCTCCTGCTTTTGAATGTCCAAGACCCAGCGTGTTAGACATAGTAATACGAGCACTTTTCCCACGCGGGTAGAACCGGTGGTACCTTGATATCTCACCGATGAAGGCCAAGTGTATCACGACACGGTGATGTGTCTCGATATGTCTCCTTCATTCAAGACGAAGGATTTGATCTGGCAATGCGTTGGAGAGCTTTCTTCGAAGAATTCCAGATGCTGTCTCTCGTAATTTATGTACAGGGTCGTATCGCAGTTGATGTCGACGGGATATCTTTGTGACTGCCTAATCTCTGCCTATCCAGTCGTATTCTGTGACCCCAACTGAGGCTATCTTCCTCGGCTTCAAGGCTCGAATCACTCTTCTTCATCGTCGTGTTGAATATATTTAGCCTTGATGTCTTTCCATTGTCGCTAGACCTTGTTGTCAGTACTCGTAGACATGCCACAGAAGTCCTGGGAGACGTACGCCCTTGTTCCAGCTATTCCACATGGCATTCGTGCCATTTTCAAAAACGCTGCACCAGGTCAGTACGATGCCTGCTCAACAACCTCACATGTGTCCTTCTTACAGTTCGAAGGCGAAGGCGCCGGCGAAAACGCTCGTCAAGAAGGCAGCATTTTTTCTGAAGAGGCCGCTGCCATGGTCAGTACCGGTATATCTATGATCGGGAGATTTCGTACTCGAAGATGCCACCGGAAATCCGTGACTGCACAGGTTAGTAAACTTCCGTCGCATCAGCTACTTGACACCTACCAGAACCGACATCTTGAATGGAAAGGGTCGCTACTTGCGCGCGTTGTTGACTAGGAGCTGCTTTGATGAATGTTGTCAGACTACCTTGAAGTCAACGACCGATCAAGGGATCTGAAGTCGCAGCTTGGAAAGCTCGCTAAGCTAGCTGCTATAAGAAGACCTTCTTGCCGCTCTAATCCAATGTTTTCCTATTCCGCCAATAGTATCGCTCACGATAACAACCTCTTCCGCCCCAAGTTCTACCTCTATCTGCTGCAACATAGACGATGAATTGATTTTGTGCTGCAATTATCCTCTCAGGCCACCATGTGTGCTTCATGTCAGCCTGAGACTCGCATGGGAAACTGTAGGAAAGCGGTCGATGTAGCCAGGGTTTTGAGATGGGAGGAGAGCCTTGCCAAGAAGGAATCCGGAGTAACCCTGTACAAGCGGAGACACTTTTAGATCGTTTACTCGTCGCGCTATTCAACTTGCAGCATCTGAGATCTTGTGACATCTCATGCACAGCACCACATCCGTGGAATATCTCGTAGTCCACAATGTGTGAATGAGACATTAGGCACGAAATGAGAATTCTCTTGTCGACCCGGTGACAAGCAGCCTCGCTGGCGCAAACCTCAAGTAGCGACACCTTCGGCCAGTGACTCCATCCACCAAAATGCCCGCACCCAGCAAAGCCGGCATCGCGACTACTGCCGACGGCTCGGCTTACATTCCTGCATCAAAGCGTGCCGATGGATCCACAAGAAAAGAAATCAAGGTGAGGCCCGGGTACCGACCCCCAGAAGATGTCGAGACGTATAAGAACCGAAGCGCGGAGGCATGGAAGAATAGAGGCACAGGTGGTGTCCCTGGTGCCGATTCAGTCGCTCTCAGCAAGGATGATGGTCAATCCAAGAGCAAGAATGCCAAAAGAAGGGAGGCTGCGCGCAAGAAGGCCGGCACGGACGACGCAACCGAGGAGGAAGTCACATCGGCAATGCAAAAAACCAACATAACAGACGTGGACAAACGCAATGAAAACTGGCGCGATCCCTCCAAGGCCCACATCAGCGACGAGGCGACTCAACAGGAAGACATCCAGAAGAAGATCCGTAACCAGCTTAAGAAATTGAAGGCTGTGAAAGAATTGAGGGAGAAGCGCGCGGCCGGGGAGAAATTGTCGCACGACCAAATCATGAAGCTGGGAAAGGAGGGCGAATTACTCCGTGACTTGAGGAAGTTGGGTTACGACGGACCAGAACTACAGCAAGATGCGGCTGATCATAGTACTGCCGCTGCTGCACCCTCAGATTCAGCGGATTGATACTGAGTCGAATCGAGACCTTTTGACCAAAGAGGGCCTCCCAATTAGAGGCTACCAAAACATCCAAGGTATTCATTTCGGCTCGAGCAACCACAGCCACGAGCAGAACCACCACCAGTGTCGAGAGGCAATCCCTCAAACGCAGATACTGCTTTCCCAAACCAAGCTACTGCTTTGGGTAAAACCCGCCTCAGATGGATCAGAGGCAAGGCACTAGACGCCGGCTTCGAGACGATGAGTGGCACTCTTCAGAACCATTATACATGTGCCTGTATGAATAGGTCGTATGATCGATCTCGTGGAGGCACCACTCGAGAACGATGCCTCGAAAGCGGTAAAAGGGGCAGGTGCGCCGAAGGCACGCATCATACATTCCGAAGATCATCCATAGAACTTCAATCCCTTCGTTGGATAGAAAATCCATATTCCTCCGTCCCTGTAAACTCCCTTACATGCACCGCTTGGTGTAGCTCCTCTGGAGATGCGCTTGAGTGGTCATAATGTCATCTACAAACATGCCGTAAGACGAGTGACAAGGCCTCGAACGGGGCATGTCTCATCACTGCGCTGCGTCCACTCAACCTCGAGCATTAGCAGCAAAACACTCGCCGACTTCCGGACTATTTATGATCGCAGCGATGTCAATCCCAATGCCAAAGAGATCGCCATCCTCGGCGGCGGCATTACTGGGCTTGCTACAGCGTGGAATTTGAGCACGAGGACAGATGCCAAAATCACTATATATGAGAAGAGTGATCGATTGGGAGGATGGGTCGATTCAGAAGTCCTTGAGGTCGACGGCGGAAAGATATTATTCGAATGGGGTCCCAGGACGTTACGTCCAGCACTGGGTTACGGCCCAGGCATGGCCACCGTTGACTTGGTAGACAAACTACTTCTCAATCACTATTTCATGTGCTGATCCTTGTGTCAAATCAGCTTGCGGAGCTCAATATAGCCGACGAGATCCTCCCCATATCAAAAACAAGCCCAGCCGCACGCAATCGATATATCTACTATCCCGATCATCTTGTGGTTATGCCTGGCCCAGTTCGAAGTGTATGGGAAATATTTCGCCGAATTGGCGCATTGTGGACAGAGCCTATATTTCAAGGAATATTGTCCCACGTTCGGAGCGAGCCCTTCGTTAAGATACGCGACTCCCGAATGCAAGATGAGTCTGTTGGAGACTTCTTGACAAGACGATTTGGAAAGAATGTGACAGATAACCTAGCTTCGGCTTTCTTCCATGGAATTTATGCCGGAGATATATACCAGCTCAGTGCTCGCACCTTACTGCCCCTTTTCTGGTATCTCGAGACCAGACACACGGATAAAGAGCTCGGTATTCTTTGGCAACTTCTGATCGAAACCTCAAGCTTCTTCAAAAAAGCAAGCTTCATTCCGGGAAGGCCTGTTGGAGCCAAGGACCTCAGATCCGACATCATGTCTTCTCCACTTAAAGATGCAGTGTTGGACATTTCTATCCTGCTCCACCGTTCGAGTGTGTACACTTTCAAGCGAGGTTTGGGCGAGATCACGTCTTCGATAGAAAAGGCCCTTGTCGAAAATCCCAATGTCACAATACAGAAATCCTCGGCTGTCGAGGAAATCACGTTCGACAAGAACACTAAGCAGATAACCGTCAACAGCAAGAACACGACATCGAAGTATGATTATGTGGTGTCCTCGTTGGGACCTGGCACGATGCTCAAGTTTCTGGATGCCACTGAACAGCATAAGTCAAGGAAAGGGTCCCCTCCAAGCGGAGTCCGACAAGCCTGTGATCACAGCAATACCTCCGCGAGCGTTATGGTTGTCAACCTCTACTACAGCAATCCAAACCTGATCCCTGCTTCTGTTCGAGGGTTTGGCTATCTCATTCCGCGCTCCGTGCCTTATGAGAGCAACCCCGAACGTGCATTGGGTGTCATTTTCAGCAGTGAAACTTCCACACCACAGGGACCATCCAACGAGAGTGTAAAGGCCCGGCAGATGCTATCACAGCGTATGGCGAGTTCGACTGGAAACGACAACCTTGCAGCGAAAAGGGCGAGATGCGAAAACTTCATTCAAGAGCGTGAGATGGGCGAGGGCCAAGACACGGCACCAGGCACCAAACTCACAGTAATGATGGGCGGGCACTGGTGGAAGGATTGGAAACCAGAAGATCTCCCGAGCGAGGACGAAGCCATCAAAATGTCCAAAGCTTTATTGAAACGACAGCTCGGCATCGAGGAGGCGCCTGAGGTGGCGAAAGCCCGATTGAACCGTGACTGCATTCCTCAATATCCCGTTGGGTATCGGGACGATATGGCCACGATCCACAAGTCTCTCATGTCCGAGTATGAAGGACGGTTCAAAGTCGCTGGGCCATGGTGGCAAGGTGCTGTGGGCTTCAACGATTGCATTCGCAAAGCACGCGAAGTTGCATGGGCGATCCAGCATGGCAAAGATGAGTTTACAGGTTTGGAGGAGTATGACAGGGACGAAGTTTGGTACTTGCAGAGTAGAGACACAGGTAAAATACGCCGAGATCGGTGGTATGATGAGTAAAGGAGCAGTGAAACTTGCTGGGGATTACCTGGAAAAACATGTACAACAAATCTCATTGTGGAAAAGTTATATACTGTACCGAGTCCTCTCAGGTTCGAGGCCGCGGGTCTAACTCTAGCCAACTCATCGCTGACGTACAAAATATGACGCTGCGTTGGTGCTCGCTCGCTCCATCAAGACACCGCATCATTTCTTAGTGCTGTGAGTGCATTTCGCAAACAGAGTGCGGGCGCGGGGCTTGAGAGAATTCAGGCCGAGCTCGGGGACGTTCAGGGCCGGGGCCAAAATCGAGGATGAGATCCATTTCAAGGCTTCACTGGGCTTGAGGACGTTCATGCCCTGGCCCAAAACCGAGTTTGGGTGAAATCCAGGGCTTCACATATCCTACCACACCTCCATCACCATCATCACTATCAGATCCAGGCCAAGCACAGTAAGTGTAGTTGCACCACATTTCGCGACAGAGGCATCACTCCTCTGTCCTTCTTCAAAACCATCAGCCTCACCACCAAGGTACGTTGCCCCCAACTCTGTCAATTTCCCACTATTATCAAACATACTCACACCACCACCCGTAAAGGCACCCGCGTCGTCCGTCCTGAAGGCGCCGAACCAGCCATACCTCTCCACGTAACTAAGACGATCGAGGTACGTCAGACTCTCGTTCATGAAAGATAGCGTGTCTGTAGCGGAGACAGCCGGCACGGCAAACTCAGTCAACCATATCTTCTTGTTCGGGTAGAGTGCATGAAGTTGACCAAGCCACGAGGCTAACCCGTCAAAGTCGCCGTACCAATGCGTCGCGACGAAATCGAATTCACAACCCGAAGAGTTGAGAGCGTAGCATGAGGTGTTGAACTCGCTGAGCCATGTGAGACCCTGGCTCGAACCAGTCGTTGCGGGGAGTGAGATGAAGAGATCATATGGCGGAAGACGCAACGGTGCAATGGCGTCGAGCCAGATACTTGCGGCGTCGGAAGGGGTGGTGTTGGTGCCGCCCGATGCGGTAGAGCCGTCGGGTTCATTGAAGGTCAGGACGTGCGTGACATCGAGGGACTCGATGGTTGAGATTGCGTCTTGTGCATCGGACGCACTGTGTATCATGGGGGCGAAGGGCAGGGATATGGAACTTGGTGTGTAGGCGTAGTTGTAGTACCATGTTAAGGGTGAGCGGGCAGTGGTGAAGATACGGTCGTCGGTTGACGAGTGGGTGGTTGATATGTAGGTTAGGCCGCGTTTTGGGGTTGTCGAGTTGGTGGATGAGGCTGTGGTTATGGACAGGAGGGCGGCAAGGAGGACAATTCGAAGAAGAATCGGCGTCATCGTACCGCTAGCTGGTTGATGAGGATGCCGTTACGAGTATATCGGTCGATGTCAATCCCCGTATACAGCTCGTATGGATCAATTTCCAGTAGTGGCAACAAATGCTTTGCTCCCTGGGCTTTGACAGATACGATGAAGACCCGCCAGAGGTGTTTCTTCGACAAAGATCGATCCCCTGTGCTCAAGTATATGTCGAAAGCCTCAGCATGAGGGAATCACGTCGCAAAGGCTTAACGCTCGTGAAGAAAACAGAGGAGATTCATCTGCTGTTCAATATGAGGTTGATGTCGAGGACAAGGATACCGGAATGCTTTTGGCTCGGTCGACATCTTCTTGGGATGTATGTCTCAACACCCAGTCATAGTTTCAGAAGCGCATCCGAGACCTTCAGCCACCGAGTCTCACACACGGCGGCAATGGTGGACAGCTTCGTAAATCAAAAATGGGCAGCAAATATCTCCTTGAACTCAACCTGCTCATCCAAAAGGACATTCAATGGTGTGAATAAATCCAAAAAGGAGAAACGCAGTATGTAGATGTAAGTTGGGCGTTGACGTCAATTTGCATCGATAAGAGACCTGTGCACAGCACAGCCACACGGACCCTGGAAGGCTGCAGCCTTGTTCTGCTGATTACGATCCAGGGACATGACCACTCCAGAAATTTGGTTCTTCAATAAATTTCATTCTTGACCTCATATCAATCTATACCAGCTCCTTTTTGGTACTTTATGGGACGCCGCCAGTTTGCATACAAGGTGCTCTTCCGCAACATCCATTCTCGTCCCATGTCTAGAAGGCGAAAACTTGATCCTCCAACTTGCTGACTGGCCTGGCTTTCTGGTAGCCGAGAGCTTCTGTGGCTTTCTTCATTGCGCTGACCATGGGTGGAGGGCCACATAGCAAGATCTTCATGTCGGGTGCTGGAGGAGGTAGTCTTTCTTTGATCATATCAGGTGTCACAAATCCCACACCACCGGTCCAGCCCTCGGGTGGATTGTTCAGCACGTAGTAGACGCTGAAGTCCGAATCCTCTTTGTCCAGAGCATCAAGCTGTTCCTGGAGCAGGATATCGTCGGGGTTGACATTGGCGAAAATGAGGTCAACTTTGGTGGTGTCATTGCCACCGTTCCTAGGTCTGCCACGGTTGATTGCTCGGATGATCTGCAGCATGGGAGTGATACCGGTACCACCAGCTATCATACCAATGCGCTTGCAAAGGTTGGGGGTGTATACCATGGCTCCCTTGGGACCACGCACTTTCATTGTGTCTCCGACCTTCAGGGTGGTCATGTGCGCACTGATGTTTCCTTGAGGATACGCTTTGATCAAAAGCTCGAAGAAACCCTTGTCTTCGTCCGAAGAGATGGGAGTGTATGATCGCACCACCTCTTTTTCCGCTCCCTTGGGCGTCGCTGCCAGTGACATGTGTTGGCCGATTGGCAGACCGATAATGTCGGTGGGTTTAGGTAGACCAAATCTATAGATGGCGACATTGTGTGACGTATGCTTGATGTCGGTGAGAGGGAACTCCTGGAAGGCATCTGGTTTGAGGACCTTTCGCGCCGCCGGTTCTGGATGGTTGTCAGTGTGACGGACTTTCGATCTGGTTTGACGAACACTCACCACCGGACGCGAACAGTGTATAACCACCAAGCACTGCAGCGAGAGCAGCCGCATAGGGAAGCCATTCCTTCTTGACGATGGCGACTCCGACAATCAGAAGGACGGAAGGAATGTAGACAACCTGGATGTTCTTCTGCGAAAACAGTGAGCTCCTACGGAAGAGGTGAGTAAGAATGCCAGACTGGTCAGGGTGTGGGATCCTCGTACGCCATGGTGTTTGTATTCCTCTTGATATGCAACTTGCAAGCTCGCTCCAACACCGAACCTGCGCCCTCAAAGTATCGTGAGGCTTACTGTTTCGTGGTGCGATTGTTTGGTGGATGCGTGATCGGAGCCCAAAATATATTGAGAAATTGGGGAAACGGTATAAAACCGGGTGAACTATTCTGAACGTGGGGCTCATTTGCTGCCTCTTCCAGGCCCTCATCTATTACAGTACTATTGTGATATCTATCCGGAAAGCAAGCTGCTGCATGCGGGGCCTTTCCGTGGTTTCGGAAAGGCACAACAGCCCGAAGATTGCCCAAATTTCCATCTCATCTCATCTTCGGGGCAAATCGTGAGCCACATTCGGGTGTCCCCCTTGTTCGTCCTCTTTGGTCAAAGGCGTCCGCTGAACCTTGGGTACCTGTGTTTGTGGTCGCAGTCATGCCACCAGAGACTACGGGCACCCCATCTTCAACCCCGTTCACTCTTACAGCTATCGATAGGGATGTGCTATCTATGAGCGATGATGACTTTCGGCTACAGACTTGGGAAGATCTTAAACAAATCATTGGTGTGTAGTGATGTACAACTAAATGTATTCTGGTCTCGTCAAAATCATCTCTGATCTGATACAGCTGAGAACAACCTCAGCATCCTCAAAAGACGGCCTTCTGATTTGAGACGATATATCAAATGGTCGGCTGAGACCAAAGCGGCCTATGGAAGCGTGCCCAACTTTGTCATGAAGGAGAGGCTGAAATGGGTGCCACTACCTTCGTCGACCCCTGAAACCGGGCCTATGTTCGCGGTCAGGAATTCCGTCCCATTCGCAGATGAGGCCGACTATAAGATCTTAGTCAACGACTGGCCGTACGGACTGGCTCCAGGTATCCGACATATCATAGTTTGGCTCAAGATCAGGTTAGATTCGGAGCCTACCAGAGGTGACATGACTCCCAAGTCCAGGCAGCTTGTCGAGGACTTCATACAAACCAGGTTTGTGAATCGTGTCAAGGATTCACCTGGTGAAAAGGATCAAGTCATGTGGTTCAAGAACTGGACAGCCTTGCAATCCGTGCCGGGCATGGAGCATGTACACGTCCTGGTCAGAGATGTTCCTGATAGCATCATTCAAGAATGGACTGACGGAGCTCGATCTCTCAGCACTTAGACCTGACCTTTCGCAAACAGCATAATAGAATGACGACAGGGAGATGTGTCGTAATTGAGATTATGATCCATGATCAATGATTCGCGCAACAAAGAGCTCGTTGGGAAGCAATCCCAACCGCAGACTCATTCTGCCTTACTTCACCTGGCAATGTGCACAGGTGATTTTGCTTTCGTGAAGGTGTGAGAGCCATTGTAGAGGCCTGTATTTGCTGACATGGTTGATTGCATCTTCTCCACCAGACACCCGTTGGCAATGGTTGTATCTGTTCCCCCGTTACAGTGTAGCAAACGTTGGAAGCTGGATGTGACACAAGATGCTGGAGTGAGTGGACATGGTTTTATCATTTGAACCAATCTACAGTGCCATAGCATTAGAAATACATGCCTTGTGCCTAATGTCGAAACCCCAACGCCTTGTGCCTAATGTCGAAACCCCAACGCCTTGTGCCTAATGTCGAAACCCCAACGCCTTGCTCAGAACACAGCCAGGTTAGTAATACAAATCAAACAACAAAGGATCGTAAGCCTGATTGAGGCTGCTCAATCTCGATCCTATTGCGTGTGCACGCAGTCAGTTGGCCTCTCCAGCGATCATTTCCATCCGATCTCTTCTCATGCCCTCCAGGACAGCAACAACGCCACCATTCCGAAGTCGTTCGAGAACCACATTCATACCCTCTTTCCCGTTGACCAAGGCCGTCTGCGTCCTCTTGACCCCAATCAACTCAACCGTGCGCTGAATGCCGGCGGTGGACCACGACGCGAAGAATCCTTGCTTGGGTGTCTCGTCCTCGGCGGTCTTCTGTGACTGCTCCTTATTTCTCCTACTGAGGATGCCCTGACCCAGGTGCGATACAAATGTTACCACAGTTCTGCAAGAGGTCATCTCCTTGGCTCGGTCAACCTCATTGTTTGAACCGGGTGACAAGTCGGCCAGTCGCTGTCGCTGATAACTTTGACGTTCGACGACGCTCAGAATGCCGGTCCATTCCATGTTTCGGGACTCCGTCTCCATCCATCCCTCCCGAACGTCAATGGTGCTTTTCTCTAGAATGTAGCTCTGAGATGCGCCACCAGGGCCAGCAAAGCCACGAGGAAGAAACTTGAGAATGCCTGCCGGGACTTTTGACTTCTTCAGATGCAACCTGGTAGTGTGCAGCCTCTGTGTTTCAGGGTCGACATAGCGATCGATGACATCCGAGCTCACGACATGCTTGGCATAAGGATTCGGGTAGCGGAGAAAGTAGGCGAGGGTAACGGCAGGGAAGGTATATTCGTACTTGAAGGAGCTTTCGTAGACTTTCATACTGTCATGAGGACATTAAGCATGCGTTGAGGTTGTTAGAATAGTTTGAAAGGTATCGAAAAGAAAGGCATAAAGTGGATGACGATGGATAGAGGGTCTTTTTTACTCGCGTGAGCTTCTTCCTCATGTCGCACTTATTTGCCACTCGAAGAAGAGGAGAGAAGCACCAAACCGTCTTGGCTGCGGAGGTCGGATCGTCGTTAGGCCGTGAGCCCAGGCCTCACAGGGGCTGAAGAGGCATAGAGATCTTATCTTATCTGATCTGCGGGACCCCCCTTGTCCGCATGTTTGTGGGAATGTTTGATGGAGAGGTGCTAAGCGTTTACAACCAAATCCTTGATACTCCAGAGAACGATCGTGCCGCAGGTGTTTTATGACTTGCTGTCGGAAGATTTTGCTTGACTCAATCTTGCAAGTGGTATTCTCGTCACAAGGTAGGTTAGCCACTCTTGTCTTCCATGTAGCCTGACTCAGGAATTTAGTGGTAGGGGAGAGAGGACACTTAGAGAACGCGCCCACCGAAGCATAGAACACAACACGTTCAATTGCTGATACTTCTGTCGAACCCTCCTCTTTGCTCAACGTGTGCGATCATGGCTTCTCACGGTCAAAAGGGCCTGCCGCCTGCAGATGAACCGGGTCAACCTCCCAACTTGACCACCAGCGCCTTAGCAGACAAAGCACATGCAATGAGCTTGGAACAAAAGATCACACCATTCGAAGTGTCTGGGGGCGTCGATGAGAGTGGCAAGCTACTTCCCGTCGACTACGAAAAGCTCACACGACAATTCGGCGCAACCCAGATTAGCCCACAACTGCTTGAGAGGTTCGAAAAGGTGACGGGGAAGAAACCACACAGATTCATGCGGCGAGGTATCGTCTTCTCGCATCGCGACCTGGACAAGATTCTGGACAGATACGAAAAAGGTGAACCCTTCTATCTCTACACTGGCCGAGGTCCCAGCAGCGACAGCATGCACGTTGGACACTCAATTCCTTTCGAATTCACGAAATTTCTACAAGACACTTTCGAATGTCCGCTCGTGATACAACTGACGGATGACGAGAAGTTCATGCACTCTGAGAAGATCACCATTGACGACACCGGACGCTTCTCGCGGGAGAACGCAAAGGACATCATTGCAATCGGCTTTGACCCGGCCAAAACCTTCATCTTCTCCGACTACGACTACATGGGCGGTCCATTTTACAAGAATGTGACGGCTATGGCGAAGCGTATCACCATGAACCAGATCGAGGGCACATTTGGTTTCAACGGCAGCAACAACGTTGGCGAGTTTTTCTTTTGTGCGATTCAATCAGCCCCGGCGTTCGCAACATCCTTTCCTCACATCTTCGGCGAAAATACCAACAAGGTGCGATCAATACCGTGCCTGATCCCCTGTGCTATCGACCAAGACCCTTACTTCCGTCAATGTCGTGACAATGCCGAAAAGATGAAGTTCAAAAAGCCCTCTATAATACATTCGGTCTTCCTTCCAGCCTTGCAGGGGCCAGGTTCGAAAATGTCCTCGAGCGTGGACTCATCTGCCATTTTCCTCACCGATACCCCCAACCAAATCAAGAACAAGATCAACCGTTACGCCTTCTCTGGAGGACAGGATACTGCTGAAAAGCAACGGGAGTTAGGTGGAGACACCAAACAAGATGTGCCTTTTCAATATTTGACCTTCTTCTTGGAGGACGATGATGAGTTGGCACGCATCAAGAAGGCATATGAGTCCGGTGAGATGATGACGGGTGAAATCAAGCAGATATGCATCAAGCATTTGCAAGAGTATGTCGCTACTTTCCAGGCTCGGAGGAAAGAGGTCACGGAGGCAGTGAGGGAGAACTTCGTGGAGCGGAAGAAGCTTGAGTACAAGGGCAATCCGAATCCCAAAACTGCTTGAGCATTACTGCTTGAGCATTACTGCTTGAGCATTACTGCTTGAGCATTACTGCTTGAGCAACAGACTGCAGTCCCAGCGGATCCATTTGACCGCACATCAAGGGCGAGGTGGTGGAAAGTGACTGATATGGCCTGGGGCCATGGTTTCAATGTGGCGCCTGAGGTGCACTATAGTCTTGTGAGCTGAAACTGTGTCGAGACTGCAACAGCCGGTACTTGAGGCCACATTAGCATCTGTCTGATGCCTGTGCGTCATAGCATTCATAGACGAATCTTGCCAGGGAAAAATCCTCTGAGCGCATTGCTAAGCCAGACAGCTTCGCCATCCTGAAGTTCATCAACTTTGATCAGTCCTTCTACACAGAGCCCAGCTTCGAGCGCCCATGTTTTCGTGACACTCTGCATACCACCGGTATCTGAAGCTGGTACGACCCATTGCCGTTGACGGTAGAAGTACACAGTGCAGAGACTGGCCTCCATGATCTCGTGCTTAGGATTGAATAGGAGCACTTCCCGCTCGCCAGGCGCGCATTTGGTGATGCCTGTTCTCTCACGTGCCCTGTCCCACGGAGCTCGGTATGTAGTCTTGTACATGGTATACCGACCCGGCGTCGTGGGCAAGGAGTCCACGGATACTATCGAGTAGCGAGAATCTGGCGAGAAACCTGAAGAGCGTGCATCTAGTGGAATGTGGAGAAGGGTGTCGTTGCGGAGAGTCTCAAGGACCTTTGGCTCGCCCATGGGGGTACCCTCCGCTCGAATGTGGCCGTCATGGTCTATCAAGATCCGTATTCGCACGTCCTTGATCATACCCTTCTCTGGCTTTTGGTACTGCGCAGAAGCTTCTACGATGGCGTGTCTCAGCCGCGGAATCGAATCATGGCGTTCGAGGTGCTCGCAGACTGCGGTCCAGGAGTAGGCCGATGCTGCGGCGTGAAGTCGGTGTTGGTGCAGAGTCAGGAGTTTGGTCTCGGTTTCTTGCCACTTGGTGATGGGTGGCAAGAGTTGTTGGATGTCTTCCGTATTGAAGAGTATGTGCTTCAAGGTGGTGATGATATTCAGATCAGGGTTCGTGTCGATGGAACCGCCCATATGCCCTGACTCCATGGGTCATATCCGAACGTTCGGTTACCCACAGATTAGCCGCAATATGCAGGGTTTACATAGAGAAGTGCATACATGCCCTCCCTATTCCTGTTCTTGTGTTCGGTCTGTATATCCGGTGCTTGTCTCGATACGCAGACTTTCCACGTGAAAAGGTGTGCCTTGAGACGAAGCCGTCCCGGCAGTCGAATGTCAATGATGATTAGACCGTATTGCGGTTCGTGAACAAGGAAACGTATTTCCGGGAGATTTCAGTGCGGTCTTTGGTCAGAATGCCAGATCTAACGACGGGCCAGAGATTTGCACGGCGAATCTAGATGCGTCATAACAGCTGCACCCATAACAAGTTGAACGATAACAACCACTAGGATACACTTGATCTCGATCTCTTCCTGACGTTGGCACATATGGCTACCTTATGCTGGCCTAGTTCCGTGAAGTACTATCATGACAAAAGACTTAGACTTGGTCTCTCCCAATCTGTCCATGCCTTCATTGCTCAACTGCATAACGACACGACCTCGCTTCTAGAGACTCTCAGCAGCAGCAGCAGCAGCAGCAGGAAGAAGACCTGCCGGACGAGGATGAGATAGCCGACATGCCAACGATAGCCACAAGTACAGGATGTCATCATGCAGAACCTACACAGTAAGGTGATTTGACAAGCAGAAAATCATGCGGTGGGTTTGGCACGTCCCTGAAACCCGGAATCTTTTTGCAGTAGTCTCTTCGTTTGTCGGTCAGCTAGCGCTGATCTTTACTCGTGTTCTTCGGGGCCCCAATGTCGCAAATCCGCTTTTCTGCTGCCTCTCTCTTCATGGTATTTTCGGGATCGCCATGGAAAGGGACTATGGATATTACATCCATCTTCTCGACGATTCGGCGTGGCATTTGCGAGTGTAACATACATCTACATAAACCGGCATATGGTCTAGCAGCATCTTAGGTCATCTCTCCACACACTACCTTCTCAGCGCTTTGCTGGACTTTTGTATCGAACCATGGATCAGGGAGAGAAGCATGCAACACCAGAGTCGCAACAAGGACTCTCTTCTAAGCCGCTCAACGTGCCTGGCTTGAAATCAAATGTGTCCTCACCATCCCATCAGGAGTGGTCCAAGAGACTGTTCTCGTCCTCGGGCTCTACGGGAAGGCTGTTAGCGAGCCAACGTCGAACTTCTCATGCTTGTGAGAGATGCCGCCTGATGCGCACAAGATGCTCCGGCGAACCACCTTGCACGAAATGCACAAAAGATGGTGCGACGTGCGCGTTTCGCGATCGTAAGAGGGAGCGAAACAAGAAGTTTGCAGCCTCATACCCGCAAGTCAAGCACGCTCGCTAAGCAGTCAGCTAGAGACCTCAGCGAAAGCAAGGAGCGCATTCACGAATTAGAAAAGAAAAATGCTGCCCTTCGGCGAGTCTTAGACAACGCTGTGGGCACTTTACCTCAGAGTCCACAATCGCGTGGGGGCCTGGATGGTACTATGTCACAGGTTAGTCGTTCACTGTTTGCAATGAGTGGCTATGAATCGCGAATATGGGACGGAGAGTACTCTCACCTCAGCTAGGCAGGGTGATACCCTGCAGAGGAGTAGAACGGCTCCAGCGCGAAGTCGGTCGGGATCCTGGTTCGCTGGCGTGGCCATTATTGTTGTCAATGTCTCCGAGACCCAGAGTCGCATCATGGAATCTGCCCCTGCCTAATAGTTTGTTGTATCTTCAGCTGACTAGCAGGAACACAGAGCAACTCGCCGAGAGCTTCGACTTCAGCAACTTCCTCCAGTCACTCGAAAGATCAGCAATCACTCATTCGACGGATCAAACAAGTGCACGGCGGTGAACGACATAGTGACAATACTGTTGGCTCACCAGGCCATCAGGATGTGCTGGTACACAGTGTTGATTATGGGCAGGGCGAGGGAGCGGCAGGGCTCGTGGGAAAGAGATCAGAGATCTCCTGGATCACTCGGGCTACAAAGTACTTGCGCACCCCTGCAGACGCGCAGTTTGACTGGCACAATGAACCAGAATGGCTTTCTAACGAGAAGTACTCCTACTTCATGGACGACGAAGACGTCCTCAGTATCGATGAAGACTATGTCGATGCATTTCAATTACCGGACAACATGGCTATGACCGTCTTATCGGAGGCCTTCTTTCACGCCTGTCAGGGTATCTTCAATTTTGTCGCCAGGGACCAGTTTCTTGACAAAGTCGCGCTAGCCATGAAGAGACCAAATCGCCTGTGCTGGGAAGACCGCAGGTGGTTGGCTTTAGCAAATCTCATTTGGGCCATCGCCTCCAAGTGGTTACACATGGCGAAACTCGCCGATGACGACGTGAACATAGAATCACACCTAGTGTTCTATTCACGAGCACGAAGCTTGGGACTCGACCATAGATTGCAGCAGGACCATCCGGATGCGCGTGGTGTCCAAGCTCTAGGATTGCTTTCTCTCTATCTAATGATCAACGGTTCAATAAGCAGGTAGGTTGGCCTCTCCAGGCCACAGAACGAAGGCACTAACTAGTCTGCAGAGCATGGTTAGTCGTAGGAATAGCTATTCGCCATGCAAGCAGCTTAGGATTGCACCTCAAAAACATGGATGCAGCACTGTCTCGTGTGGACGTGGAAGAACGGGCTCATACGTGGCACTCAATCTACAGTCTTGAAGTGGTTCTATCGGAAATTCTCGGACGACCGACGTCTACCTCTGTGGCAGACACGACCGTTCCAATGGAGCCTTCCGAAGATACAACACACTATCAATCTGCCAGCAATGAAGGGAGCACTGAAACAAAGGCTATATGGGAAGCATTTCTTCGACGCAACAGGGACGTCAATCATAGGGGGAACTCCTTGTCTATTGACAATGTTATACCTACGATGCATCATTTCTATCACAATCGTCTTTGCACGATAAGCCACCGTATCGAGCGGAGTTTCTACGCACCACAGATGAATACTTCATGGCTGAGTGTCCAGGAGGGCCTGAATGACCATCAGGCGCAGCTGTGGGAGTGGGAAAAGAGTCTCCCAGAGGAATTGAATTTCTGGAGTGATGTGGCAGTCGACAGCAATCCGCGAGCGAAGATCACACTGGCTCTGTACCACAAAAGTCTCGAAATGATGTTGCACAGGACGTGTCTCTGCAAAATCAGCATCCCTGACGAGTCTGCCGTGTCCCAGCAATTCAACATCAACAGCGGACAGGCATGTATCCAGGCTGCAATGACCTTGGTGGACGTCCTACCAGAAGGGCCTATTATGCATGAAGCAGTCCAGCTCCTTCCTTGGTGGAATCTGTTACATTATCTCTGCCAAGCTATGGCAGTCTTCGTGTTGGAGCTCTGTCTGGATGCGATACATCTTGACGGGTGTCCCGATACCCTGGAAGCTCGCATACTAAAAGCAATGGCGTATCTTCAATGCCTCGCCACAGAGTCGAAATCGAGCTACAAAGCCTGGAGGATATTTCGACGGCTGCTGTCCTACGCGAACGGGAGGGTACCCAAGCTGAATATCGCAGATGTTCCCATGGAAATGAGGCCACCCAAAAGCTGGACAGACGGCAACGAGGTGCAGCTTCTGGAGGACCTTTCGTGATGCGATGTCATGGACTGGTTATGGCGTCCTCGAAGGCCGTGTAAATTGGGACCTATCAGCCCTCCAGAAGAGTGATCAAGCCCAAACGATGCGTAGATAGGTGTAACCTTCCCTTCGGACGGGAAGTAAGCTACCATTTCACTACTTTATACTAGGACGGTATGATCCGCTGCAGCATTAGGTCCGGTGGAGCACGATAAGTCTGAGGCGCCTGGCAAACGAATGCGACTCCAAAAATTTTATGAATTCCATGCAGCCTGGAAAGCTCAAGTGATTGGTAGCTTGGGCTGTGAGTCTCCATCTGCGCTTCTTGAGATCATTGCCGCGACGGTCGAACATTTCTCGAGTCGTCACTCCAACTTTTGCCTGTCCCATCTCCGCCGTTGTCAAGTATCCAACTTCATCCTCATAGCTTCCTCCCCTTTGTACAACAACCCTCTAGATGGCAGATCCAGTGGGGATTAACGCTGCGCGCGCGGCGCCCTCTTCATCTTTATGGGATCGCGTATCGAACTGGGTCTCGGAGAACAAGGCGGTTGCATACACGATCGCTGGAACGGTCGTGGTCATCACTAGTGCGGGAGCCATCTATTATTTCAGCAACCAGAATTCGAGCACATCTACTGTGCCTACGGAAAAGAAGAAGAGCAAAAAAGAGCGACGGAAAGAGAAGAAGGCCGCCGAGGATGCACAGAAGTCTGGAATCAGTCTCAAGGACGAAGAGGCCGGTCAGTTTACACTTGATCCTCTCGGAAATGTTGCTTTATAACTGATAAGAGGCAGCTCCGGTCCCGAAAACTCCCACCGTCGAAACGGATGATGAGCTGCCTGAGATTAACGAATCCACCATCGAGAGTTTTTCGCAAGAGGTACGCCGAGTGTATCTCACTCTCACTCCATCGGCAGTACTGACACCAAGCAGGATAGAGAAATATATGCAGGCAAGCTGAAAGCTGCTGGCAACAAAGCCTATGGCTCAAAAGACTACAACAAGGCCATAGACCTCTATGGCAAAGCAATCCTCTGCAAACCTGATCCCGTCTATTATTCCAATCGAGCCGCCTGCTACAATGCTCTTAGCGACTGGGATAAAGTAGTGGAAGACACGAGTGCGGCGATTGCGATGGATGCAGAATATGTAAAGGCATTGAATCGACGAGCACACGCATACGAGCACTTGGGAATGTTCTCCGAGGCACTCCTGGATTACACCGCCAGCTGCATCATCGACGGCTTCAAGAACGAAAACAGCGCGCAGAGTGTGGAAAGATTGCTGAAGAAGGTGGCCGAAAAGAAAGGCAAGGCTATCCTGGCAGAGAAAAAGAACAAGCTGCCCAGTGCCACATTTGTCTCCAACTACCTTCAGAGCTTCCGTCCGCAACCGCCTCCGGCTGGTCTGGAGGAGTCAGCCGAACTCGAGGAAAACACCGGCAAAGGCCAGCTTCAGCGAGGTCTCATCTCGATGAAGAAGAAGACGGCAGAAGGTTACGATGAAGCGACGGCAGCATTCAAGAAAGCTGTGGAGCTTGGAGATCTCGGTGAGCACGAAGCCTTTGCCCTTAACATGCGTGCAACATTCCTGTACCTGGAAGGCGACACGACAAAAGCACTTGAAGACCTTACCAAGGCTATCGAGCTGCAACCATCTCTTACTCAGGCCTACATCAAGCGGGCCAGCATGCAGCTGGAACTGGGCAACAAGGATATGGCTGCGGACGACTTTGAGAAGGCCATGGCGCAGAACAAGGAGGATCCGGACATTTTCTATCACCGAGCTCAACTCCACTTCATCTTAGGAGAGTTCGCCGACGCCGCCAAAGACTACCAAAAGTCGATTGACTTGGATCGAGACTTTATCTATTCGCATATTCAACTGGGCGTCACACAGTACAAGATGGGTTCTCTCGCCTCCTCTATGGCTACATTCCGCAGGACGATCAAGAACTTTGACAAGGTTCCGGACGTGTACAACTACTATGGTGAACTTCTGCTCGACCAACAGAAGTATGGAGAAGCTGTTGAGAGATTCGATACTGCCATTGACATGGAGCGACAAACGAAACCCACTGGCGCGATCAACGTGCTACCGCTCATCAACAAGGCTCTCGCACTTTTCCAATGGAAGCAAGACTTCAAAGCGGCAGAGGACCTGTGCGAGAAAGCGCTCGTTTGTAAGTTTCAACACAGATGTTATGGCCTTATTGATGCTAATCATGATTATAGTGGATCCTGAGTGCGACATAGCCGTTGCTACCATGGCACAGCTCCTGCTCCAGCAAGGAAAGGTCGTCAAGGCCCTCGAATATTTCGAACGCGCAGCAGAGCTTTCCAGAACCGAAGGCGAGATTGTCAATGCACTTTCTTACGCCGAAGCCACCCGAACACAGCTCGAAGTATCACAAAAGTATCCTCAGCTCGCAGCTCGGCTACAACAAATGGAAGGAGCAGGACTAGGTGGACCTCAGTTGAGGTAGAATCCACCACCCACCCTAGGTGTCATGGTCTTGAGATTGTTGATTGATGCGAGGACTCCCTCCTCCTTTTTCTTTTTCTTGGTGCACATGGGCCACGTACTGACGAGCGATCTATGTGGGACTTCTGACTTGTACGTTTAATACTACTCATGAGCTTCCAGTGCCCTGCGCAGCCTTCCTGCGCCCAGTTGGTGCAATGATAGGTGGCGGTGGATCTACCGCAGGGGTTGTGATGAAGGATAAAATGGTGTGTAGTGTGTATAATACAACGAGATTCGAGGTGTTTTGGACTGCTGAGTGATTTTATGATAGTCGGTGCACGCAAGTGATTGATATCAGCCTTGGACGTATGGATTGCCGCCGTGCCCCATACTTGCCCATCTGCCCATCGAGCGGAGCTGTAAGTTCCAGTGATTATCCGCAGCGTGGCTTAAGCTCCAACATAATTTTACGATAACGATAAGACACTACGGCTAAACTGTTTAGGGCAATAAGTTAGTGACTGCCTCACGGAACCCGCGTGAACCCCTCACTGCCGCCTGCTTGTCGAGTCCGTCCGTACAACTGTAAACTCACTTCTGTCTCAAACCAGATGCTTTCACTGAACTGCCTTCTTTGTGGTGTCAACTACCTTGACCTGGGTCCAGTCCTTTCTTGTCTGGATACATGAACCTACACCGTTCTTGACCCTGCCTCTTCCGTCTTCCGACCTCTTGACTCCTCGTATCATCCGCCGCGCTGCCCTGCGGTATCAGCCTCATCGTTTCAACCCTTCCGGTTGCCTGCCTGCAGACGGCAACCTCACTTTGACCTCACTTTTCATTACTGGACTCGGCCCTTTCTCACTTCGCTACTTCCATCGCTATCTATCCTCCATCCGCTCTTGTATCCTGTCCTGATCCCTGCACTTTGTTGGAAGGCTTCATTGTATTGTCTGAAACATCAGCACATCATGGATTCCCTCGTCCTCGAGCCTCAAGGTATGACCACAAGGCCCTACCCAACCTAAATGCAATCAATACTGAATGCTCATAGTGACTCTGACCCTCCGCAATCTTGATAACGTCGATCCTATTCCCGAGCGACACATCGTCCTGAAATCTCCCAAGTGGAGCGTCAAGATCGGTCGGGGTACCCAGAGCGGAGACGAACAACTACGTCCCTCTGCAAGCAATGCCTGGTTCAATTCAAGAGTGATGTCAAGAAGCCATGCTATGATCTATGCAGACCCAGAAAACAAGGTATGATGTCCGCTCGCGGCTTGGATACTGGAGCTGACAGTATTAGACCGTCCACATCCAAGATATCGGCTCGATGCACGGTACACACTTTGCAGGCAGAACTCTGAAAATGAATGCCCCTGAACCACTATTCGTGCGCGATGTTGTCACACTGGGGGCCAATGTAACGAGGGGTAGCAGTGAGTACAATGGCCAACAACCTTCCAATCCCCATGCTGACATCTCGCAGACTACTTCACGGCACTGAACCTCATGGCCGATTGGACCTGGTCAGACATCTTGTAAGATCTCCTGAATCAACTTCCCTTTGTGCCCTGCTAATTTTCCAAGGACTCCTGCAATCGACACTGCTGCTGGACCTTCCAAATCTATCTACCACAACACATTCTCTGCAGATTACAGCGAAGACGGCTTTGAGCAAGATCCGGAGTCGGATGTGGATTTCTACGAGGAAGAAGATTACGACACGAATGCCCATGTACAGAGCAATGCGCACCAAGACCCTGACGTTGACCAGGAGCGATACTTGGCAGAAACACACGTCGAGGAAGTCGAAGAACGCGAATACGTCCAACTCGATGACGATGACGATGACGACGAAGCCGAAGAAGACGACGACGAGGTCGAAGTCGTGCAGGACTCTCTTCGTGAGCCAAGTGTCGAAGTGATATATCCACCACGTACCTTTACCGTCCCTGAATCCGATGACTCCGACGCACCCAGCTATGTCTCCAGCAGAGAAGAGTCGGTTGCTGAAAGCCCTACGTCCAGCCAGGTCGATATCGACGAGGGATACGAGGTCAAACAACACGAATTGCCATTTGGGTTATTTGACGATGGTAAGGGACTTCAGGCTTCTGGTATTGCAAAAGATACTGCAAATGGTCCCGGCGAAGCAAAAAATATTATCTCAGATAACGAGCAATCGGCCGGTGACGTGCAACAGCAAGCCGACGCACACGCGGTACGAGCACCAAGTCCCTCTGATGCGGCGATGGTGAAGCCTACAGCCGAACAATCCCAAGCCCTGGCTGCTCCTCCCTTCATTCAAGACACGAACCATCACGGTGATACTGCACATGCTGACACGGCTGTCGGATTTGCACGGTCTGAATCAGCCTGGGCCGGCCACAACTCCGTCCTGTATGACAACCTGTCGAGCGTCTATCAGGCCCAAGGTCCATCATCTGCAGCTGTTACACACTCCTTCGCAGCATTAACCTATGATTCACCATATTTGGGCAACGAGCATCCTTGGAGTGAGGCTGAATCGTACTATGGCCTGAATCTGCCTCCTCTCCAGCCATTTGCGCAGGCTGTCAATCCGGCATCTATCAACAACACTTCCGAGTCCAGTGCGAGGCCACTCAAGCGAAAGGCAGAACTTATCACGTCAGATGCTTCTTCATGGGATGGGTCTCGGTCCCCTGAGCTTTCCTCCAAGCAGCTCGAAGCTTTGGATGTGACGCAGGAACCGCTCTCAGAGGCTGATAACCAAGACGTCCACAGTCCACTCTTGGAGCCAGATGTACCTATGCAGTCTACAGAGGTTGCAATGCCGCCACGCAAGAAAGCGAAGAAGAGCAAGCAACGATCCTCGGAGCACCGGGACAACACTGGTGGTGGCTTCCTCAAGATTGCTGCTGCCACACTTGCAGGCATGGCAATTGGCACTGTTGGTACGATCATCGGTCTTGCTTCTTTGCCCCCTATTGCATAGTCAGCACATTACCATTCCAACATATCTGTTAAAGTTTTCCAGCTTTATGAAGCCGCCTTGGCTATGGCTGTCTTCAGGAAAGGGCAAAGATGCATGACTTCCGTGGGTTTATGATTGAATGATGGGGATGACGGGTGGATGCAATCGGGTTTACAGTATTCGCTGACTATTCGAGAAGGCGCATACAGTTTCATGGTATGGTGGTTTTGCACAAGGAATCAGTATGGGGAGTCTCTTACTGCACACCGAGGGGTGAGACCATGAACTGTTTTTTCTTCACAAGGCCAAGAGACGCAGTGGACGGGACTGGGGACTTTTCAATGGTCTCAGATTGTTCAAATTCTCGTTGGCAAAGCTGCCAATGTCTTCAAGTTGTCTGCTTTTCCTTTCTTTAATACAAATGACAGCTGAGTCATGGAACACTCCCAAGATCAGTCAAGCTAAATCCTGATTTCCCCTCCCTGTTTTGGTCCTTACCAAGTACGATTCTTGAGCACCAATAGTCGAGTTGCATGTCATATATACGCAACTCGTCTCATAGGAGATGTCGAAGCCATCTAACAGAGGGCCACAAGTTCCACTCATGACGTTCCCTCTCTGACGAGTCTTCCCCAGCAGGTGATCTGCAGATCGGCGACCTCGGAACCCGACGTGGTTGTGTCCACGAAGTCCTGAAAATCCAATATAATGGACGTGATGGGCAGGAGTTCCAATTCATTACTCGCAACTTCCACTGTGAATGCTGAAGTAATGATGGTGCAAGAAGCCAGCCGATAACCTATGCTCATCCCACCGCGGCCGATGTCAACTCTTCCGATCTGACCTCTACAGTCTTGGTCTCAAAGTTGACGACATCAAACCCTTTTCCGTACCATTCGTCCCAATTCCAGTCCGAGCTGCGGTGATTCTCTTGACCAAACGCTCTAATCATCTCTTCACCTTGCTTCTCGGCTTCAGGTCCGTCCAGGAGTTTCTGTGCTGCCGTTCTCTGCTTGCTTGTCGCGCCTTGACCCCAAATAGTCTTCTCAGCAGGATCGATGAACGTGCCGATGTACCGGAAAGTCAAACTAATCCTTTCTCCATCGAATGCTAGTTCGGCAGGGTCCTTTTCAAAAGCAGGTCGCTTGTCTGCTCGAATGGAATGCAGCCAGTGCTGATTCGTCTCCTGGCCTAGGATGAAGAGTGAGTTGTGCGGAAGGTGTATGCGTTGTGAAGGTCTTGTCTCGTTGGCGTCAGCTTCACTGGCTGCAGCTGACGTGGCTGATTTTTTCATCCTAAGAATCATTGTTCTCTGAGCACCTAGACTCAGGTTCACAATACTGGAGCCACGAACAATGTCCAGTGTCTTGTCGGAGTGTTCTGAGATGTTGTCCTCGCTGCTGCGATACATTTGGACCAGGGCGTGGTTCAGTCGATGGCCCACTGCTCTTTCGGCAGCTTCTCGTAGCATGCCCACGATAGAGTCGAATGGAAGCAACTCGGGAGACTCATCAGCCGGATGTCTGTAGATAGGTACCTGGGAGTCGGCCTTGGAGATGTCGCCTTGAACTGCCACTAAGCGTGGCACTTCACCAGACTTGTGGAACATTTTCTGCCATTTGATGGATTTTTTGCAAGAGTGAAAAGCCCTCTCGGCGTCACTTGCGTCGAGCAGCTTCAGGTACACATGAGAATTCCCCTGCCCAATCTCGTCGTTGGGCCCAAGAACATTCAGACCGACTTTCTTGTTCTTCTTGGGTGCCTTTCGCTGTCTTTGCACGTTTGTGGCTAGGTCAGCTCCTGCAGATGATTGCCCGTCTTCAGAAACTATGTCATTCGAAGCGGAGGCATCCTCGACTACTGGCATCTGCGTCATTGCTTTGATTGTGCCAGTAGTGGCAGAACGAGTCGAGGTTTCGAAAGGAGGCCGGCGTTGTCGGGCTGTGGGGCTGTTCTGCTTCCGTTTTGACTGCTCTGGGTTGTTATGATCCGAGCTACGGCGCGAGGATGGCTTGTGGGGTAATTTGGAAATGCGATCTTCCCCCAGAGGTTCAAGGTCGCTAGTTGACCTCTTTCGAGAAGTACTGCGATCGTCCAAAGTGGTTTCGGTTGACTTTGCCGATGAGTCACTAGTCGTCTTCGAATCCTCCCGATTGACAGTAGCTCCACCGCTTTTCGACGGGTTCCGGCCTTTTGCAAGATCCGCGGCACCAGAGTCTCCGTTATCTAGCTTGGATACCCAGTCATGAACACGGTTTCTAGAGGTATGTGATTTCGACCTGCTGGTGGGTGTTGGTAGGCTCACTTCAAACTTCGTGGTAAAATCCTCCTCACGAATGACATCACCCAGTAGACCGGCAAGATCATCTCGAAGTTCCTGAGAGTCGATGCCCTTCGCACCCATATCGTCGGCCATTTGACGCACGGCCTCGACATGACACGATGCATCATTATACCCAAGACAATCCTCGATGATAGTGACCTGTAGGCCATGACAGACCGCGTCAAGAACAGTAGCGTAGACCGCAATGTTCGATAATGAGCCGCAGATGTAGAGTTCGGTGATGAGTCTTGTCCTGAGGTGCATGAGCAGAGAGGTGTCGACAAAAGCTGAGTAGTGTGATTTGAGCATGACCAGATCCCGTTGTGAATCCATGGCGGCATTTATGGCGTCTGGATATTCAATGCCAACCGAACCTGGTATACAGCATCTGTACCTAGTCGTGGTCAAGACCGGAGCAAGGAATGCTTCACGATCATGCATGACATCGGGCTCTTTCGACGGAGCTAGGGGATCTTCGGAGGGTGAGCGTGTGTTATCAGGGTCACCAAGACACTGATTCTCTTCGTATTCACCGTTCTGCTCTTTGAGGTTGTGTTTGAGTAGGATTGAATGGGAGCCCGTGACAGGAGAGATATCAGACCGCGGCTGCTTGTATTCTGTTCCGACCCAGATGACTTCTCCCTTCTCACGAAAGTCTGCGACGAGCGGGATCAAGTTTGGCAGGAACGGGAGAACATTGGCCACGGGCATCTTCCCATCGAGGCTGACAAAATCATTCTGCAAGTCGAGCAGGATCAATGCCTGCTTGGTTTTGACAGGCGGGCCTGTGGGCAGTGAGTCGATGGGGAATAACATTCTTGGATGGGGTGACAGCTGGTCGCATGCTTTGGTCGAGTGATGCTGAAGGCGGACAAGAGGAGTCGCGACATTGCTGGCGATATACCTCCCTCACAACGAAATGATGTATTTCTTTGTCCGGACGTACTCTTGTCCCGAAGAGGAAGGTCAAAACATGGGGTGGCTTGAACTCGATACACTCGGCCAAGGCCGCAGGCAATAAAGGTTGGATATCGATAAGGTCGGAAGTTCTCGAAGTGGATGTGTTGGAGCCTTGAGGAGGAGTCAGCAGAGGAGAACGTGGGCCTTGGGGGTCGTCGCAGACTATTCCTGCGAGAGCGGAGATAGAGTGGTCGAACAGCAGTTGAGTGTGGAGTGCGTGTGTTCTGGACTTGTCGGTGGATTTGCGGGAAGATGAAGAGATTGGGCGGTAGGTGGTGATGAACAAAGCGTGGGAGGGGTGAATTGTCAGGACTGTTGGCAAACGTAGTGAGGTGGCCGTGGGGGCGACGTTGGCAGCGAAGGGTACGTATCGGTTGGGTAAAAAGTTGGGAGGTGAACAATGTAGTATGTGTGGCTTATCGTAGCGGTGTCCTTCCGGTGAGGGAGACTTCAAAGAACATGTGTTGGTGTATAGGCGTTGAGATCAGACGGAAATAGGCAGACTGATGAACTCAATTGCTGAACGGGATGAGCATATGGCGGGGCAGCCTGGCGGGTACTGGATATCGGAAGACTATCTCGAGATCGTTTCTCGAGAGGGGAAAGAAGTGCTCAAACAGTCAAAGGAAGTTCCCAATGATACACAGGAATGGGGATGGGAAGATTTTGCTCCTACGAAACCAGGAGTGTGTAGATTCGAACATGATGTGACACGGTGAGAGAGGTTACGGATTAGGGATTGGAAAAGCGATGCTGAATAACGGCGTCTAGTCAAGCGAGGAGCAGGGATGATGTTGATGGCAACGGCCGGACTGCATGACTGCATGGCAAACAGGGAAACAGGCAGTAAACTGAGTCGAAAGGTTCGATGCAGCTGCAAGGATCCCTGGACAGAACGAGACATATCATAGTCATTGGCTAGATTGTAGCTGCGATGAAGCTGATGGTGCCTTAGTGGTGAGATTGGGAAGAAAAACAACGCATGTACATGGTACACGTCGTTGATCGTCCGATCTAGAAAATGATAGCTTACAATTGCCGTAACATGAAAGAAGTTAACAAAGCATCGCCATCAATATACTGGTGGTATGATCACTGACAGGTATGTCATTTCTATACGAGTTGCATTAGTCCCTAAACAATCAAGCTCCTCGGTTCCCACGTCCCTAAAGGGGCCACCCGGGGAACTTGAATGTACGGGCATTATTGTAAGTAGCTCCGCACGGGGTACGGAGTCCTCGTTCCTGTACTTGGGTTTGCCATGGAGCACCCCGCCGGCAACCGCTTATTGAAACTCTCATATAACTAACCACCTTGAAGTGATCATCCAGCAGATCCTGCTGCCCATTGTCCTTCGTCTTGAGAATGCTAGGCACATCCTTTCCTGAAATGCAACCATACTCATACTCCACGAGAGATCTTAACCTCGTGATCTTCTTCCGCATACTGACCCCCCCGGCACTATGGCTGACTTGCATAGCCGTCGCTGCAGATCAATACTTCATCTCCTCAGCGCCCATGTTCCGATGCGATGATCACCACCAACATGCAAATCAATGCCTTTCTCCACGGTCCACCTACGAGAGATGAACGGTGCCTCTCCATCTCTCGGAGTGTTCCACCATGTCATATCGGCAGTCCCCATTCCAAGATGTCATTCTTGCAGGGACAATGGCACATTTGTCCACGAATTTGTTTTGGTGGTGTTGGCAAAGCAGAATGCTATTCCAGTATCATCGATTATCGGAGAGTAGGAAGCATCGAGCATGATGCCGAAGTGGACAGGCGATTGGCGTATGCCAACATGATAGAACAAGACCTGCTCAATCAAGGTCACTGTCCTTGTCATCGTTGTCGTCCTCGTCCATCCCCATTGCCGTATCCATCAATTCCTTCACTTTGGCCTTGATCTCTTCCACCTTGTTTTCCTTGACGAGACAAGTGTGGTCGTCGATCTCCTCAATAATGTAGGCATTGTTGGACTCCCTGTCGATCTTGCGTACCATGGCCATTTGAGGCGGGTCGCATTGGAGAAGTGCCCCCTTGAGGGCTTTAGGCATGATGTTTTCCGAGATGTGCGCAGAGCCCAACTAAGAACAATACCACTATCAGATGCACTAGTTCTCGACGGACTTGACAAGAAGCTCGGCAGCAGATCCAGTCCTTGTATCTTAACAGAATGTCGCAATCATGATAGTTCGGTGAACGACGATGCCAGCGAAATATTTGTCCCCGGCTTGGCGATTATGTAAGACTTTGGCTTCGTTTCACGGTTTCACCGGGACCTCCAACATCTGGATTTTCGACCTTTGGGAAGCCTGCTTGATCATTTTATTTGTTTGGTCAAATTGTAACTGCTCGCAGCGAACGAACGAAACCAAAAATGCAAAACTATGGATCATCAAGACCAGTATCTCTTAGTAGAAACCACCAAAGCTCCATCTCGGGGTCAATCTCCTTGGCCCTTCTGGTCGACTCTCCAGCATCAGAGTCTGCACGCTCCGCATCTTCTTTGGCCCATTCTTCCTGCAACTTTCTGGCCAACTCTTCGTCTGTAAGCGCGTCTCCTGAAGTGGACTCATCATGGGGGGGAGCTTCCTCTGCGTAGCTCGTAGTCTTGTGAACATATGTAGGATCATTGGGTCTCCAGACAATATCCTCCTCCATTCCAGTATCTTTCGCGCTCCTGACAGACTCTCGAACATTGAAGTCAGTATCTTTTGCATCGTTGACAGTCTCTGGAACAGTCGCAGGATCATTACATCTCCGTACATACTCCCGCCACACGGTGTTACCAAGGGTGGCCACAGGGTCGTCTTCTGTCTCTCCGCTAGTAAGTGGGAAATCGACGAGGGGGTCTGTCTCTAGGCCATCCGTTGCGAGCTCATCTGTTTCAAGCTCATCCGTATAAGACACTCGCTCCTCCTTGACTGTCACCTTGTTCCTTTCACGTAGAGCTGGTTGACGCCGTAGCTGCGGCAGGTCCATCTGGGGGGAAGGAGACAATGGGCGAGGCTGCCATTGAGGGTGCAATAGGTCAGGCTCAGCAGGCCGCCCCTTGGGCTGAGGAGGCACTAGGCTGAGCTGGGGAGGCAATAGGCCAAGCTGGGGGGCCAACAGGCTAGGATGAAGAGGTTGTATTGCTTGTGTCGCCGGAAGGGTGTCCTCAAATGCCTCACATCTCTCATCCTTCTGCTCAACATCTTCGTCCATTGGCTGCGCACGTCTGTGGATCTGTTGTTCCTCGAGCAACTTCTTCCGCGTGAGCTTGAACTCTGCTTTGAAGGCAGGCGACCTCCCAATCCACTTGTTCAACCACTTGTGCTTGGGCAGGAGTACGCTCGAATTGAAGAATATATCCGTCATGAATTGAGTTCGAAGTGTGTTGAAGTATTCGACTTTGGACTGTTGCTCGAAGAGGATCTCTAGAAATCTTTCAATGCTGGCGCGTGCCTCTTTGTGATATGGTGACAGCTCGTCGTCGGTCAGGATCATGACCTTGGTTGGTAAGATTTCCTCTACCGTTTGTTGAGATTTGCGCAATAGATCATGGTCGTGTTGCTTCCTTGACTTCACATGCGCTGCGAGGATTAATACCTCAAGGGCTCCCTCCAAGTCGTCTGGCCAGAGTTGGTCTCTCCATCGACTCAGGAGTGGGTAGTCGTAGGTGTACAGCCACAGTAGATAGAGGTTGAAGCGCTCGGTGGTGAGCTGAATATCGGAGATTTTCAAGTTGCTTTGGGAGTAATTGTCATCATCTTTCTGGGAGGTAATGTCAGTCAGTTGCGTATACGAGTCTCGGCAACGCGTAGTTACTGACCATGAACAAATACCACGACCTGTCACATACAATGTCTCGGTGGACTTCCTATGTCTGACCCTAGCATTCAATGGTAAGGTCGAAGTCCTCGCCCGCCTGCACATGCAGTCTATGAATGGTCAGTGCGGCCTCTTGCTGGTATCACGATCTTGCACCTACAGGAAAATTTGGCGTAGGAGCTCTTCTCCAATACCGATCTGGTCCACGAGCTGCCGCACACGCCTAATAATTGCGGGATCCACTTCCGAGCTTGAGTCTGGCCAGATATCAAGGATTGTATCCGAGGACGACGGCTCCGACTCCGGCGGACTTTCGATCTGTGGGATGCCGCCTCGGTTCCCAACATCTTCGACGTGCTCGGCTTCACCAGGGATGTCTCGGATAGGCTGTTCACCCTCCCTGGTCGTATCGGAGGCAGATGCCATTCTGGAGAGTATCGAACCAGGGCAGGAAAACAGTCTGGAGTATCTCTGGGCAGTTTGGGGAACTGTGGGGAAGAAAGAGCAACTGAATAAGTTGACGACGGTTCGGTAGCTATACCACCAAGGAGGAAGACTGCAATCAGCGCGTGGGAGATTTAGTTGTACAAAGACAACCAGCTTGGAAGGAGGGGAAAAGTCAGATCAAAGTGATCTAGCTGCGAGATGGATCAGATACTGAGGGGTAAGAATGTCAACATATATGGCAGTGTAACAGATGGGTCGGGTATGCAAATGTGATTTGGTAAACGAATGATTCGATATGAGCATGAGCAAGTCGTGAGGATATTGTCAGAAAATCTGCGGAAGGGAAAGGTCAGCCGTGGACTGGGAAGGTAATGGCGGTCTATCAAGCAGTCACTGGCGACTGCCTGCGCGGGAAGCGACATTGAGCCGTGGTAAATGTTCCTTTCAGTCACTCCTGCCGATGACAGTACAGAAGCTCGTCTGCTGACATCCAGGAAAGATTCCACCCTCACAAAGGCAACTGGAAGCTGGAGAAAAGGCCCCCTTAGCAGTGGTTCAATATCGCTATCAACAGGGGTAGACACACACATGAACAGTAGTTTACATCGTCTTCTACCATATGCACATTGAATGTATACCCAGGACCAGCGGGCTGGGTGCGCACATGGATTAATCACAATATCCAAACAGAACGCTGTATCTTCATCTGAGCCGACGAGTGGATACGGCTAGTATTCCACAATTTGGCAAGCCGCGCGAGCGACTTGCAGACATGACGGAGGGTCGACTCTTGATATGAATGTCCTGCATCTGCGGCGCAGACAGCGAGCGAGGCTTTGTCCGGAATGCTGCTCATGTTCTTGATGAAGACGGATGTCTTTTGGCCATTCGGTGCAATATAAATGTGCGATGGCTTCTTACGTCGAACGTCTGCGCATGTCCATACATATGACGGCGATTCACAGCCGTACTGGCAGCTTTCTTTTCGGACCGACTAGAATAGTGACAGCAAGTCCTCATTCGTCTTCTTTCCGCCCGCCTTTTGGAGTTGCTCGCCTGGGGGCGGGGGTTGAGAGTTTGACAGATCCATGGACGCAAAGCCGTTCATGATATCACTGTCTGACATGGCGGCAAAACCGGCAGTATTAGGCATGGTGGAGGATCCTCCGTTGCCGAAAACCCCGAGCAGATCATCCATATTGTTGGCAGGCGCTTGGCCAACGGCTGGTGAATCAACTCGCTGCGGCGTCCCAGCAAGGCCTTCGAGTCCGGAAAGACCATTCGTCGGCTTCTCGGATACCGATGCAGGAGCAGACCCATCAAAGTCTATATCCAGCAGATTTTCCACGTTATTCTGTGCCTCTGGAAGCGTGCCCTCCACGGCAGCTGCAGCGGCTGCCGCTGCCAGAGGATTTTCTCTTGAATTTTGCACTTGTTCATCGATGGCTGCCTGTTGGACAGCATCGGCTCCGAAGCGGCCTTGGCCGACAAACTGTTCTGGCGGTTTGTGATACACCGAGGCGAGCGTCGAGAGCTCTGCGAGCAGTCTGTCAAGCAATGCTGGCGGTAACGATTGGATGGTTGTTGTGATTGGGGACTTTTCAGAGAGAACAATGTTTTTCGGGGCGTTTTGATCGGTTGTGTTCGAGAGAAGTCGCCAGTAGACGTATGCTCGATCGCGAATGTCTGGATTGTCGGACTCCGCAGTTGCAGCATGGAGGACCTTCTGCACAAGACCTTGGGCAGCCTGCGGCCGTTTCAAGAACAGCTTGACGACTGCTGTTAAGATTTGGAGCTGGGTCTAATTCTGGTCAATTTCACATTGAGTGAGCGGGGGACCCTGACGTACCTGTGTGAACTCTTCAGCAAAGCCATCCACAAAACCACCCAGAATATCACCAGCATTGCTGATCTTTTCAGCATACTCGCCCACGATCCATATCAATGAGCCTCTCGCGTTGGGTTCGTCCAATTCGTCTATGCACTTGCACAGTGTGGGGATGATGCCTTCATATCCAGGATACTTTCTGAAGATATCTTTGATGACAACGATGACTTCTTGCACGACATAGTTGACCTTGGTGTTGATCAGGTCCAAGAGCGTGTTCACGCATCTCTCACTGGCACTCTCGATCTTGATAGCGACCTGGCCGATCGCTTTGACTGCTCTGCGCACAAAGTCCATGTCCACTTCCAAGGCGTATTCTTTCAATTCAGCTAGCAACTGGTCCACATTCCCCTCGTTTGCAATGCGCACCATGATATCAAGTTTCTGGAATTTGAGGTACGGAGGATCATTGTATTTGCAGAAGAAGACTCTGATTTCTTTGCTGAGAATGTCTGGCTGTTTTTGGAGTAAAAGGTCGATATTGCGCAGTGCCACGTATTGCACTTCAGGAGCCGAAGCAACCAGTGTGACGAGGGGAGGAGCCGTTTTCTTCAGGTACGACTTCTGAGTTTCCACAGGAAGATGTTGCATATGCAGAAAGACCGCCTTGACCGCGGATAAGACAACGCTGGAGTTAACGTGCTGAAATTGAGGAGCTACTCTTTCACAGATGTGTTCGGCTTCTTTTAGGTCGTGGGCCTTATAGTCCGCAAGTGTACTGAGGATCGTCACTCTTCCCCATTCAGTGCATTCGTTGAGTGCCATCAACAGCTTCTTCAGGGTATTTGGCGTAATCTGCAGGGCATTGGTTTCGGGCGCGGATTCTTTGATCTCAGCCAGTGCTTGTACGGAGTTGGCGACCACCATCGGATTTGGATCCCCAATCATCTCCTGCAATCGTTCGAGGAAGCCATTTTCGAGACACATGGCAGGGTTGAGGTCGAATAGCTTTGCAACACATATCGCAGCAGTCTTCCGCACGTACGGTGATTCGTCGCTCAGAGTCTTCCTCAGAGGTTCTTCCATATAGTCAATCATCTTGTCCACTCTTATGCAACCCATTGTTCGTATTGCCAAGGCACGGATGAGCGGATTTGGGTCTTCGGAATCTTGTACGAACGTGTTGACGGCGAGGATACAGAGATCGGGATGTGATTTTGCGTAATTCCTGGCAAGCTTGGTCAGTATCGTTACTTCGTCCCATATCGAGGTATAGACGCACATGAGGTATAGATACACCAGCTTCTTCTGGTCAAGGTCTGCGGTCGCAATGTTCTTGAGGACGTCTGGAAATAGGGCCGACACATCTTTGCCTAATGTCATTGCCATGATCGTTTTCTGAATCGCTTCTTTGCTGCATGATATGTTAGTCAAGGCGCAAGACATTAGTGCACTGCATCGCTCACCGTTCATAGGCATACTGTGATCTGGACCGAATTCAGTCAGCATACTTCGTTCTGCGCAGGCTGCAAAACAAGACATACACAAGTCCGGCCCTCAGCTCAAATGTTTCGCCCTTCTTAGGGGGCGCGAAGGCGTTCCTCATCCTGTTCATCGCCATCTTGCTGGCGTCGAAGGACCGGCTTTCGTTGTTTCACTCGTCAGAATGTCGTGACGGTCTCCGGAGTAGAGGGGCTATCGTTCCATGGCAGGTGCTGTTCAATTCGAAAGGTATTTACAGATCGTGATCGACGCTGCGAGGGTGGAGAGGGTTGTCGGATCAATACAAGTGGACAGACTGTGTATTTCAGTGCAAACTCGCAATAGACACGCCGTCGACACTACTCGCCTTCCTGTCAACCTGCAAGCAACGCCGAACGGAAAGTTGTCACGTTAGTGGCCTGCTGGCTCCGGCCGGACTTACTTATTGCCGCCCTAACATGGTCAGGTCCATGGAGCGGACCCCTTTTCATTTGGTAAGTGGTGGGCGCCAGTACTTTAAAGGATTTACATTCATTCTGGAGTTCGCTGCAATAGTGACGTTACAGACTATGGTGTTTCTTAAGACAAGTGCGCCCGCTAGCCCAGTTATAAATCCTTGTTCTGAGCATGCCCGGAATCATAGGTTACCTCATCCATGAAGACCCAGGAACCAATCTCAACATATCCAACAGATATTCGATCCGCAGTCTTACAAGCACTCCTTCCCTTATCTATGAGATTGGATGAACCAGACACTTGCAGACCCGTATATCTCCCCTACCACATACGTGGGATGCTTCGTCGCCAGGGTGGATGGTTTTGACTTTGCACCCGTCGAGACTGTGTCGAATGATGACGGGAAATAACCCTTAGTCAACGTGAGGCCATAGCTTTGTGCCCCTTTCGCGCTTACCACCTCACATGATTCCGCTCCAGGTTCGTTGTATTTTCATAGAACTGTTTGCACATGTTTGGGCAGGTTCTGGAGTCCAGGAGGAGTTCACCACATCGTGAGAGACTTTGCGCGTCTTCAGAGGCATGATCTCACGCCGGTCCTGTGGGCGTTCCCATCCAGGTCGCCCCTGTGTAACGACAAAGGGAGTGGTCAAGTGAAGACACGATTGCCGGTCAAGTGCTTCAGTTTCTTCAAAATGAGCTTATACTCATACGGGAGAGAAAGTGCCAGAGGCCTCCATTGCTTCCATCTGTTCCCTTGATCTCAGCCTCTCTTGTCTTCTTCTATTCAACTTTTCGAACCACGGCTGTTCATGTGCTCGAGCAACCCTAAGTAACGCCGCAGTGAGAGCTTGTTCATCATCTTCCTTGGACAGCGCGGCCTCGACGAATGCGTCATCCTCAATTAGATCTCGCAGGACCAGCTCATGTTGTTCGAGAGAATCGTGTGTTGTAATCTCTCCCAGGTAGGGACTGTCAAACATGACTTCGTGGTATGCATAATCGAAATGCAAGGTGACCTTCAAATTAGGTTTACGGGTACTGAGTCGTACGATCGGAGTGGCTAGAGCAATAGCGTCGGTCAGTCTCTCGTAGCTGTCTGGTGGCCGCATGTGTGCCTGGACGACAAGCTCCTGAAAATTGGAAAGTGCTACGCCGACGTGCTCAATTCCTGCCCGCCAATGATACCGATTGTCGTCCTGAATATGAACCCATAAGACAAGGCGCCGGATCTTGTGGTTAATAGAGGGCACAGGGCCTCCTGGACAGGTTAGGTCATCCAGTCCATTTATGCCATCTCCGAGATGTATGGTAGTGGACGACAGTAGGATATTGATCGCTTCATGGAAGATTTGTTTGCAGGTCAACAGTGGACGAAAGATGTCTTGCCATGTCTTGTCCAAACGACGATGACCACGGGAGGACTCGCACGCTTGGCAACCCAACTGATAGACCCTCAGCGCTTTGGGTGTCGGTACAACATGTTGATTTCCGAATGCCAACTCCCAGATGTGATTGCGGATCTCGCTCGGCAGTGCTAGAAGATGTAATGTCGACATTTGCTCCCTCAGATCGTGGGCGATTGTTAACGCCTCCGTGTTGCCGATGATAGCAATCAGCCGAACTGGCTGACTTCTGCCTCGTGCACGAGAAACGAATGTTGGTCGCCGCCGACGTGTCTAGAGATAGTAAAGATAGTGTTTGCAGGAAAAGAAGTTGCGACCGGATCCAAACAAATGCAAGTCGGTCGAGGTTGATGTTCAATATCTTGTAAATCATCTGCGTTCCGGGAATGGAGGATGTTTGTTCCGGTCTACACCCTCCTGGTCAAAGTCCATTTATCAAGGCAGCATCGCAACGACAAAATCTAGGTACATTGGAATCGGAGAAAACACTAACCCGGGAGCTAAGAGTACCTTCGCAGGTGGACTATTGTGACAATAAGACGAGCCCAGGCTTCACTACATGAGGGTTTCGACCTTGTAGAGCACCAGGATAATACGGACAAGGGATCCGGCTCCATAGGTAATTTCAAACATCAACAATTGCCTCTACCACTGCTGCTGGGAGTCTCTTCAGGAGCAGTCTGAGCACTCTCGCCAGGAATACGAGTATCGCGCCCGTTGACACCACGAAAGTGGACAGGAACTCCAAAGGCATCGAGCTTTTTGGGCTGTCCATGCTGCACACCCCATGTCTCTCCACGTTTGGGCTTTGTAAGAAGGATATCCGAGGGCGTTAAGAACGGCCTATCCATGTCTGACCCAGATCGCACGGCGCCTGCATCATCACGCTCTGATCGGAGCTTCCCAGCGCGAGGGTCAAATCCCCAGAACATACCGCTAGTGTAATAATCTCGGGTTCTCTTCTCCTCCGCCTGCTGTGACTTCTTGTCGTTTCGGTACTTCTCTGCTTGCTCATTGCTCGCTCTTCGTTGTTCCTGCCTAGCCTTTTCGTCGCCTTCTCGTTGCGATTTTCGTGCCCAAGTCTCAGACTCCTTGAATACTTTCTCTCTTGATCGCTTGCGTTTGTCAAAGCTGTCAAGAGTCGACTCTTTCATGCCTGTTGTCTTCTTCTTGTTGCTCGAGAAAATATGGTCTAGGAGGCGCTTGGACCTGGACTTGGAATGAGATGGCGCCATCTCGTTGGTAGGATCTGGCTCAGAGGCTTCATTAGGTGACATGGATGCAGGGACTGTGGGTGACTGGATGGCAATGGCGTTGTCGCCGGAGGTGGCGTCGTTGAACATGTTTCAGACAGGATTTTCTTCCGATGGCGTACGCTTGAAATGAAACGCTTGAGGTGTTAAGGAGTTGGACCGGAAGGCGCGTTGCTCGCACTTTCGATGCAAAGTCAATACGCAATGGATGAATGGTGCGAGTGCTAAGACAATAAGAATGGGAGCGACCAAAGATTCGATGAAGGTGAACAATATGTCGTGGGCAGCCATGGTGTCACTGGCTGACGTTTGAGGTGCGGTGACAACCCGAAGCAACCTCTTTCATCTGAACTTCCTGACAGCGCCTTCCGATTAAATCAACACTGCCTCAGCTTCGTTTTGAGCGTCCGGACACCTTTCCTCGCAGCGACGCTGATTTACGCCACTACCCTACGATACCGCTTCGAGCCCTTGGATTTTCCAGGTCTTTCCATTTTCGGGCCCTGTTGATTGAGATCAGTGCATAATTTGAGGCCTCTTCAGGCCTTTACATCGGGCCTCATGTAGTGAAGACCGGCGACAGCTGAAGATCAAATGGTGAATTGACTGCGGCTAACCTTCGAAGGGTGACACATGTAGACGGGTTGTCGAATGTTGAAACACCTTATCGAAATGCGACCTCGGTTTGCGTTCATTCTGCGTCTTATGAAATCTCACTTCAACCAAATGTTCTTGTTTCATCCTCATCGCCTGTTATCGTCCATGCCGGGAGGAGCGCCCATACTGTACCCAGGCGGCGGTCCTTGACCTGGGGTAGGAGTAGCGCCAGGCGCCGGACTAGGAACCCCTGGTAGACCTAGCGGAGGTTGTTGACCCAGAGGAGGAAAGCCACCGGCGGCTCCTGGAGGTGGGATCTGAAAGTTCGGAGGGAATCCGCCAGGAGGCGGGAATGGAAGACCAGCTGGTAGGTTCGGAGGAGGAACGCCGTTTGGAGGAAAAGGAGGGAAGGGCATGCCACGACCACCAGGAGGAGGAATCATCCCTCCGGGCCCTGGCGCTGCACCGGCGGGCATACCGAAGGGTGGCGGCGGCATTCCTGGAAAGCCTGGCGGTGGAGCGCCGAATCCAGCAGCTGCCTGCAGCATGGGATTTGCTTGTCCTTCTGCGGCATATGAAGAAGTAATGGAGTCGATGACCGATTGTGCTTTTTCATGTCCGATTTCTGTAGCAGGTCAGCGAGCTGTAACCATAAGGCGAGATCTTGACCCACGCTGGTAATAATCCGTCACGTTCCTGAGATGATTTCTGCCAGTATTGTGCGCCTTTCGGACCGACATCGAGTCGTGCGTAAGGTAGACATCACAGTAGTCGCAGAAGAGTGCTGCGCTAGTTAGCTATATGCAACGAAAGGGTCGTGAGACTACTTATATTTCGGCATTGTGAGGATAACGACCTGCTCGAGGCTTTGACCGGTACGCTTCCTGGTACGATGTTTGGGAAGTTGTGGTGATGAAGGTGTGCGTCTATAGTTGTTGAGAAATATTGACAAGAGACAGTCGAACAAACTAATATCTAGGCGGTGGCAGAATTCTGCGGGTAGCCCCAAAGAGCGCGTTCCAATTTGGGGTTCAACGCGCAGTGAGGTGCGCTCTTCCCGCAACTCCTGGAAATGTGTATGCACGAATACAACTCGCCCACTTATGGCTGCGCACTTTGATACAGCATGTTGATCTTATGTCTGAGCGTCTACATGATGACCTGATGCTCATTTCAACATCCAGTTCGCCTTCGAAACGTTGCGGTGACCATGGCCGGTGAAGGTAGCCTCCACAATGCCCCGATCGTCCTAGACAACGGCAGCGGTACAATCCGTGCTGGCTACGCGGGAAACGACCTACCAGCTGCATATTTTCCCTCATGGGTTGGACGACCCAAGCATGTTCGTGCGCTTGCCGGAGCGCTGGAAGGAGACGTGTTTATTGGAGCTAAAGCACAAGAGTTGAGAGGCCTCCTCAAGATCCGGTATCCTCTCGAACACGGAATTGTTACGGATTGGGACGATATGGAAAAGATATGGAGATATGTCTTCGAACAAGAGCTGAAGGTCTTAAGTGAAGAGCATCCTGTTCTTCTGACCGAGCCTCCGCTGAACCCAAGACAAAACCGGGAGACCGCCGCAGAGATACTGTTCGAGCAGTTCAACGTGCCTGCGATATACATGTCAATTCAGGCAGTCCTGAGTCTGTATGCGAGTGGTCGAACCACCGGTATCGTGCTCGACTGTGGAGACGGTGTCAGTCACGCAGTGCCAGTATACGAGGGATTCGCAATCCCCAGCAGCATACGCAGGATCGATGTGGCCGGGAGAGATGTCACTGAACACATGCAGCTTCTGCTGCGCAAGAACGGTCATGTTTTTCATACCAGTGCAGAAAAGGAAATTGTCAGATTGATGAAAGAAAAGACGGCATATGTTGCGCTCGATCCTCGAAAAGAAGAGAAGGACTGGTCGCAAGGACTGTGGAAGAACGAGAAAAGGGACATTGAATATGTGCTGCCCGATGGCCAGAAGATCAAGCTTGGAGCAGAGCGATTTCGAGCACCAGAAATCTTATTTGAACCAGACCTGATTGGGCTCGAATATCCTGGCGTGCACCAAATGGTGGTGGACGCCATCAACAGGACCGACATGGACCTTCGAAAGAATCTGTTTGGGAATGTTGTTCTAAGTGGTGGCACGACATTGTGCAAAGGGTTTCCAGATCGACTCCTCTATGAGATGCAAAGACTGGCAGTCAAGGATATGCGCATCAAAATATTCGCACCACCTGAACGAAAGTATAGTACCTGGATTGGAGGAAGCATCCTAGCAGGACTGAGCACTTTCAGAAAGGTAAGTTACACGCACATATCGCGACATATCCGAACATGCTGACAAGAACCAGATGTGGGTCAGTATCGACGACTGGCATGAGAATCCAGACATTATACATACGAAGTTTACCTAGTCTCGGACACATGATTGAGGTTCAATTACGAGTCGAAACGATATGATCGTACTCGCGGCGCTCAGACCGCCACTCAAGAGGAAGTTTCCCGGTGGTAGATCCAGCGTTGACTAAACGACGCGACAGCAAGCCGGTCCTTTGTTGAGTTCTATCCAATGATACCCCGGAATCCAGCGAGACGGGAGCCGTCGACACTGTATCACCTGATCAATACTACCTTTGCGCTGTCTTCCCAGATTGTGGAGACGAAAGGAAATCCGGGGGATTGACCAGCCAGCAGGGCTAGCCCCATCCAACAATGCAATCGAGCCAGCCGGTTCAGGAAAGGAGACGCGCACCGTGCCCTGATCTCCTGGACCTTGGAAATGTCAGCGATATCTTGGTATGTTTCCAATACTGGTCCGGAATGTGTTGGCTCCATCTCAGACAGCCCCCAACACGTGTTCGCAGGACTTGGAACGAAAGCGCAACGACCAGCAGCCCAAGAGACACTCGCTGGGAGCACAAGTCTCGAGATAGAATGAACGTGAAGGAAGGACTGGAAACGAGGGAAGGGGTGCTTATGTTTCTATTACCCCCAGGAAACCACGTTCTCCGCTCCAGGCCAAAATCGATTACCCCATAGTTTGCTCGGAAAGACGCGCGTGGCACCGCAAGGCTCGGCATGACTAAAACATTGCCTCAAAGTCCATTTTATGACAGCTGGATCTTGCCCACTCTTACCAATCACGTCTTTCGCCTCTTCAGGTTTTTCCTCCGTGGTACATCCACACGAGAGAAAAAAGACTTTGTGGCTCATACAATTTACAAGGCTGATGCGTGTACCTGACCATCTGTCTCAGCAACCACGCGAAAAATCTGGGGGAGAGCCACTTGTCACTGTCACGAAATGACGCCAACCTTGTTCCTCCTGTCCTCATCTTCGTGACCTGAAAATTTGCATTCGCCATTTCGCACTTTGCAGTTAACGGCATCTGGAGCACATACTCGACGTTTCTATCGAGTAATCAAACCTCCCTTGCAGTCAAGTCGTGGTCATGGCTCGTCACCTTGTTTCCTTTGCGTGTTTGTGCCTGAAAATTTGCAATTCCCCTTTTTTCTGTCGTTTGTCAATATATAACCATGGCCGTCCGCTTGAGTACTCGTGACAGACCCTTTTGAACCATCATAACATCCTGAAAAGCAGCTATAAATAACTTGCATACGCCACACACTCGCCACACATACTATACCATCTGCCTTCTAAACTACATTCGGCCATCAACACATCAACCAATCACAAATAGTCAAGCAGTGCTTGCACACCATCTTCTCATATCAACCAGCATGTCCGTATCAGGAGCGTCACAAACATCATCCAAGCGCTACTCAATAGTCGAGCCACATCCATCAGTCCCCTCAACACACTACCTGACAACGGGCCGTGGCGGCGCCGGCAATGTCACTCGAGCACCCACGATCGTGACAGCAGGCAGCGACGCTTCAGGTCCCGCAGCACGCACATTACTCTGCTCTGTCACCGCACCGCGCAAGACCTTCACCGCTGGCCGCGGCGGGGCAGGCAACGTCTACCCATCCAGTGAGCGCGCCATCTTCTCTTTCGACGAGGAACTCGAGGCGCAGCTCGCCCAGGAACGCCACGCCGCGCCCGTGTACCATGTCGGTCGGGGCGGTGCGGGCAACAAAGCACCAGCGTCCTCGTCATCATCAAACAACAACAGACTGTGGCTCGACGTAAACACCAGCGGTGCTGGTAGACGGCGAAGCAGCGACCAGAGCTTCGCGAGCACCAGTTCCGCTGAGAGTGGGGCCGACGTCTTCAATCGCAACATCAAGAAGAGCATCAAAAAGGTGATGGGTGTCGGATACTAGACGGCTGGTTAACACCGTCGTTTTCTGACGGTTCTACGAATCGTTTGCTTTTTGGCGTGGCGTTTTGGATGGACTTAATCATTTAGCATGGCAAGGAACAGGATCAAGCATTACGCATTGGGAAATGGGGTTAGGGATGCAAACAAATGCTCCCTGGGATCTGTGAGGGTGCATCCGCGACCTGGTCATGGTACGCTTCGGACATAGCATGGCACAAGCGGGCATCACATTAGCATAGCATTTGGGATGACACGGTACTCATCGGATCCCATTTCAACGAAGTTACGACGCACAAAACAAAGTGCATACGCATCAGCGACTTTAATATCATCTCAATGATCCAAATGACTTTTGAAACTTTCGATATCATTCAACCCTTCGCTCGACTCCTTGCCTACTCACTGTAAGGTACTTCACTCCCTTGTACGGCTTAACCCCATCACCTAGACCTTTGGACTTTTTCACGTCAATCATCAAGCTATCCACTTTGACGCCGCTCGGTAACCAACCCTTGACGTTGAAGGATACGGATATCGAACGAGGCATGAGTGCTTTACTTGCTTGCACCTTCCTGTTTATGACATCGCTGCCATTCGTCGTAGAGCCGAGTTTCTCTATCTCATTCGCAACGTTGTCTTCATTGTAGTATCCGGCAATGCTGTTTGACTTGCCAACCTCGGCGGCTTGCAGCTCATCGTCCACCACACTGTCAGCGTTCAAGGGCCCCACGACTGATCCAGTCAAAGTGGCAATCCCGTTCACGGATGCACCGTCCTTGGTTGAGACCTTCCATTCAACGACCTTGTCAAATGCGTTGAAGGTCGCTTCACCTCGGGACGCCCTCAGCTCGGTCACATTGCGCACGTCCGCTGGGAAGGGGATCGTGACCATGACCGCTTCCAGCGACGGAGCGCTTGAACTGCCGCTGTTGTTGCCAAAGGACAAGGAGCCAATAGGCCCAGAACCCGTGCGAGTCGTGTTTGGCTTCGCACTTGAAGCCACACCAGGGAAATTGTTGTTCAGCGTCAAACGAGCTTCGAAGTCAGAAGATGAACTGCCTGTACCGGTGCGTAAATCTGCATTCGCGGGGAGAAAGAGTCGATCAATATTGCTAGGAGGCTCATCACTGTTGAGACTGGAAGGCATCAGGTCGGTTTCGTATCCAGCAAGCATAAATCGACCGTCCGGAGGGATGAATGAGAGCTCCCCAGGATGCTCTTTCCACCGTGCCAGTCGCACACAAGGATGGAACACGGGTATTTGCATTGTCCGGGCAATACCTGCAGACTTCGCATTGCTGGTTCCTCCCGGGGCAGACAGGTTCAGAAGCAGGTCCGGTACTCCGGAGATCTTGGCTGTGAAAGCTACCGACCCGTGCGCACGAGCTGAAATGGGTCGGCCCGAAGGTGCGAAAACGACAGACAGTGTTTCGACAATGTCAACATAGAGCTCGTTCGAGGTATGTCGAACTTTAGATTTGCGCCACGGGATTGCAGGTCCACTGGCTTGCGTTGGGCCCGCCCGTAGACTTGAACCAAAACTGCTGGACGGCGCAAGAGCCTGAGAAGACCTTCACAACGTCAGTACAGCTAACACGCTTCCTGTCGCGATGCAAGCATACCCAGGCAGTCCGACATGAGTGAGAAACTTTCCCAACCCAGACGATACTTCCACGGACTCTCGCAGAGCATTCGGTTCCGTATTGCATATTATGCCACCATCGCATACTTCGCCCAGTATTTGTGCCACGATCTCATAGTTCTCCTCAATCTTGGTGGTTAACAAGGGGCTCCCAAGAAAGTCCTCGAAGATATCGACCAGCCGGTGCAGGAAGTCGAGGATCGCAAGTGACTGAGCATCTTTGGCCGCAACCGCGATGATCAAGAGGGACGAATGGGATATTGAGTAGACAGTGACGGGCGGTGCAACATCTGCGAGTTGTAAGACCGCGGGCCGAGGAGATGGCCGACTCGTGTAACTGGCAATGAGCACCTGGGCGGAGGGAGGTCGCCCGGTGTAGATGTGCTCTAACACAGGGTTACTGTGCCTTGTCAGCGAGAGTAAGGAGCTTTCAACACAGTAACAGTGCTTACCGATGGTCGTCAAAGATGTATAGAGCGTCAATGCTCACACTCATGGTGAGATGGTCGATCCATTGAGTCGCAGAGAGGCGGAGGGACAATGTCGTTGACAGGCAGTTATCTTATCTACACGTGACGGCACATGATTGCTGCTTTAGTGTTTATTAGTGTGGCTGTGAGGCTGCTAAAGGTCATCTTCCGCAGCGTTTGCTCCTTTTAGCTGAATCTCTTTAACTATTTCTACAAGTCTAAAAGTCGCTCTTGCAATGTCCCTACTTCCCATAGTCATGATAAGCCTCATCCACAGTTCGTGATGCGAAGCTCTATCATATCCCTGCGTTGTTTCCGCCAGCGAACGGCCACAACAACGGCTTATTCCATAAACATGCAGAGACACCTTCCAAATTCCAAACATGACAATCGTGAAAGTCACTCGGTCGCGCGTGCGGATGGTTTGTGTCTCTATAACAATGCATTCTCATCTCTTCTTGCCCTTGGATCGACTTGCTGGTGCTGTGGATGACACGCTCTGAGCTCGCGACGTGGCAGGCGAAGTATTCTTGCTACCTCGACCAGACTTGACTGCTTTGACTTGTTTGTTCTGCATGATTAGTTAGTAAAGGCTCATTTCTGGCACAAGTGACCAAACATACCACAATGCCATTCTTCGCTTTCTTCTTCGCTGGCGGTGCTTCGCTGTCATTGTCTTCGTCATCGTCCTCATCTCGGTCTCGCCCTCGTCCTTTTCCAGGACCATGACCATTAGTCATTTTCTCATCCAATTCTCCGAACTCGCGTAGGACTGTGTTGAGCAACGTCGTGCATCTTCGACCAATTTCCACAGGGGTTCTGCTGAGAAAGAACCAATCAAAGCGGAACAGAGGTGATTCTCGAATTTCATCGCGGATCTTCTCATACAAGCCTTCGCCATCAACACCATGTTTATCCAGCATGACCAGCAGGAAGCGGTCTTCTTCCTCAGTATACACTTTCTTGTTTGTCGTAGAAACAGTGTAATTAATCTTTAGCTGTTGCAATGGTACTCTGTACATCTCCATCTTCTTCCGAAGCAGTTTCCGCTGCAGATTCGTCTTGCGCAATTTCTCTTCGCCAGCTCGGATGGCCTTGATGTGCTTGTCGTACTCCGTAATCTCAGGATAGCGTTTCCAGAAGGCTTTGGCATATTGTTCGATCTCGTCAGGCTCTTTGCTATCGACTTCGGTGGCAATGCCTTCATAATTTGTTCGGCCGAACTTGGCAGAGCCGTTGATAAACTGTTGGAAATCGCGTCGATTCCAACTACCAAATCCGTGTTCTTGCATCTCGGTTTTGCGCTGCTTTTCCTCCTCAGTGAGAGGCTCGGCGTTGTCGATTTCATCTTGGCCCAATCGTTGGTCGGCTTCTCGATCACTGAGATCCTCTTCAGTACCTTCAGCAAGGGGCACTTTGTACCCAATCTCCTTGTGATAATAGGCAGTCTCTTTCTCCTGTAACTCTTGAAGGCCGGGAGGGAAAAACTGCCAATCGTGCACGTTGACTTGCTTAGGAGCTCGAGGGACTTTGGGCTTCGTCTCGGCGGGTTTTGTTCCGGAAGACAGCGCTTGCCTATAGTATTTATCCATCGAGTATTCCTGCACCTTTCGCTCACGTTTGGTCGGATTGATCCAGTTGACGCCAATATTCTTCTTGCGATTTGTGAAATCTTCACCATTCCACTCATACGCACTTTCCGAGGAGAACTTCTGCAGGTCGTCGATACCAAGCTTCTCGTACTTCGCACTCAACTGAGCGGTCCGAGCCTCACCACGCCGAAGAATCTCGTCAATATCATCGAGATCACCAATCGCGCCCTTCGTCTCGAATACCTTCTCGGCACCATGTTGGATCATGTTAAGTAGATCGTCTTTCGAGGCTGCCTGCTTCACTTGCTGCTGAGCACGACCTTGTTGGATGACCAGTTGATCCAGGCGCAACTTTTGTGCAGCTCTTTCCAGCACTTTTTCTTCGATAGCATTTTCGGTGACAAAACGAAACACTTTGACTTGTTTGGTCTGACCAATACGATGTGCTCGATCCATGGCTTGCAGATCTGCTTGAGGATTCCAGTCGCTGTCGAAGAGGACCACGATATTAGCAGACGTCAAATTGATGCCCAAACCACCTGCACGTGTGGTGAGCAGAAACACAAATTTCTCGGAATCAGGTTTGTTGTAATCATCGATGGCGGCAATGCGATCTTCATGAGCAGTACCACCGTCAATGCGGCAATACTGGTGGCCTCTGAAGACGCAGTAATCCTCCAGGATGTCCAGGACTCTGCTCATCTGAGAGAAGATGAGCACTCGACTTCCCTCTGCCTTCATGCGCGTCAAAATCTTGTCCAGAACAAGCATCTTCCCAGAATTGAATATCAAGTGCTCGTCGGTAGTGTATGGTGGACCAGGTTCAGCGCCCTCGAATAAGTATGGATGATTGCAGCACTTTCGCAGCTGCATAACAATGTTTAAAAGTCTCGTCTTGGATTCTCGCTTGCCTCCAGCACCGTTGACTGCGTCGATATCTTTTTCCAAGATTTTCTGGTACCATCTGACTTGCATTTCAGACATACCGACGTACAGATTCAGCTCTTGCTTCGGCAGCAAGCTCTTCTCGACGTCGTTCTTCACCCGTCGGAGCAGAAACGGCCTCAGTACACGGTGGAGTTGTTGGACGACAGTATCCTGATCCTCGCTCTGGCTCGAGAACCACGAATCGAACGCCTCAGAATCTCCAAATACGTCAGGAAGAAGGAAGTTGAGGAGAGCCCAAAGTTCGTGGAGGTTGTTCTGTAATGGTGTGCCGGTGATCAGGAGTCTGTTTCGAGAACTGAACATACGGATGATTTGCGCAAGGGACGATTCTTCATTTTTGATGCGGTGTGCTTCGTCGATGATGATATATTCCCAAGCAAATTTCTTCAGGTGAGATTTCTCTCGTAGAATCATCTCATAACTTGTAATGCAAACGTCAAACTTCTCGTCGACCAGTCGCTCATTTATCAGGGCCTGACGGTCTTCTTTGGCACCCTGTAGGACCAGGACATCAACCTCAGGCGTCCATTTCTTGAACTCCCTGGCCCAATTGTCGAGAGTTGACTTTGGAACCGTGATGAGGTGTGGTCCCTTGATACCGCAGACGTGGCGAAGGTATCCAAGGAAAGAGATGGTTTGGAGAGTTTTGCCGAGCCCCATCTCGTCAGCCAGGATACCTGAAATACCGTTCTCATGAAGAGAAACGAGCCAGTTAAGGCCAGCGACCTGATAATCACGCATTTCACCGTTCTGTATGTACGACGGCGACTCGCGGAAGATTGTTTGCGACGCTGCACCACGCTTCTCGTCACGTAATAGCTCCGCATCTTCTTCTTGTTCGGTTTTTCGCTTGTTCCCAGCAGCTGCGCCGCCTTTGCGGGAGACCACCTTCTTGGCTTGGGCCTCTTCCTCAGCGTTTTGACGGTCGATTTCTGTCATGATCTCTCTGATTTTCGGATTAGGGTTGGTGTCGATGAAGTGGCGGAACAAGTCTGTCAGGCCCAGCAGGTATTTAAACCGCCGGATAGTATCGTCTTCTTTCGACTCGTCCAGCTGTCCATGCTTCTTGCCCAGTAAGCTCTTTCGCAATTGAAAGGCCTCGGTCCGCTTCTTTCGTCCATCAGGTGCGGGAGCATCTCCGGCTATGCTGCTAGCTGTAGTGTTTGGGTTCGTGTCTGAGTCCTCGGTGTAATCTGGTGTATCGTCGACATATCGATTGAGGTGACCAAATGATGGTCTACGTGGATGAATAATGTCACTGGTATCCGCCATTGGCGTGTCTGCTATCGAAGAGGTTTCGGAGTCTGGCTGTTGCAACTTGGAAGGAGCCATGATGCGCAAATGGCCGACACGGCCCTGATGGTTGAATAGTTCGTTCAATGGGCCGGAACGCGACTTTTCGGATTGACTGAGATGTCGAATAATCAGTTCCCGAGTCAGACCTACGCGATCAAGGACGCGCCTGATAGCGAGAGGATCGGTAAGGTGCGACAAGACAGAATTGAAGGCGAATGAGAAGGTTATGATGAGGAGGCAGTGGGAAGGAGGATAATGTATCGCGCAGCAGGATACCATTATCTCATTGGTCGGTCCTACACGCGGTCCAAAAAATGAGCTCGGCCAACTTACCAGAACCATCACTGCCTTTGTGTGGTGAAGCGGAAGAACAACCGGTGAAAACCACGTGATGAGGCACACCAGCGAGCCTGTTGTCTGAGAGGAGTACAACGACGATATAATTCATGATCTAGCATGCTCATGACAGCGGGTGCCTTGCTTCCAACGTAGAAGGGATACACGGTGTAACTGATGACCTTCCTCGTGTCAAAGGCTAGCGCTATATCGTTCCGTGCGAAAGACTCCGGAACGACAAGAAGGCAAGGCATCCAGTTGGTGCTGGAGCGCAACAGCGGTCAGACGGTGCCACTTATTTCAATAACAGGTGAGGGAAAGCGACTGTGGCCATTCAGTAGCATGGTATGCTAAAGCATGCAATCACAGCGTATGATTCCCTTAACGCCTGTCCCCTTTTTTGACCCCCGGATGACCATGCTATGCAGCTAAAACAATTGAAGCTATGGAGCCTGCCTCCTACACGCCATTTGCAGCATCGATAGGCAACCCGGCAGCGACCGAGTCCAACTTGGCCTTCTTGTTTGCAGCCTGGTCAAGAACGGCCTCCTCCTCCTCCAATAGGCGCTTCTCTCCTTGAGTCAGGCCTTCGACCAAAGGCACGTCGGCACCAGCAGTAACGTTCTTGTGGAAATTGCGGATGATAGCATCGGTATCGTCCAGGGTCAATTTGCGAATATCAGCCAAAGCCTTGACCTTTGCAGTGCATTGCTTGTATTCGATGTCAGACATATGCAGCCCGAGCTGTTCGCATCGACTCTTGATTGCATTCCAGCCAGTCAGACGACTTGCGAAATGTACGTATCGAGATAGCCCGAAATCCGAGGGGTTCAATATCTCGTATGTGGAAGGGTTGTTAAGAACTAGCACAGCAGAGTAAGCATTGCTTTGATGAAGATGAACATCATCACTTACTTGCTTTGGCATGAATGCCTGCCTTGTGGGTGAAGGCACAGAATCCAGTAATCGGGTTGTTGAAAGGGACGTTGATCTCGACGGCTGAGGCAACCAAGTTCTCAATGTCCTTGAGCTTCTCAAGCTTATACTTGCTCTTGACGTAATCTCGATCGCCGACGATCATTCGTGCCATCAGACCACCGAGGGGACTACGTCAATCAAGGTTAGTCCAATGGCCACATTCAGAGAAAGACGGGTTTCGTGGGATGAAACAAAGGTCTTCGGGGTCGATTCATAGGCTGATGACCCCAACACCTAATCTTCGCAACCTAGACGCAAAAGCAGAATGGGAAAGACGGATGACTTACGTGATTCCGTTTCGCTCGCCAATGCCCAGGACGGATGTGTCGATGTGTGTAGCGCCAGCTTCCAATGCACAGAAAGCATTGGCAGTTGCACAGCCAGTATCATCGTGGAAATGGCATTCTGTTACGTCAAGTCAATCGACGTACGTTTTGGTTGGAGACTGTATGTCTTACCGATATCGCAGGATACCACACCACGAAGTGTTCGTACAAGGTCATAGACTTGTCGAGGTGAAGCACACCCGACTGTGTCTGCGATGCCCACTCGGTTGACACCGATCTTGTCCACCTCGTGGTAGATTGTGAGAAGATCAACCAGATTGCTTCGGAACGAATCTTCTGAGGAGAATCGCACTTCCAATCCCTGACTCTTGACATAATTAATCACTTCCACGGCTGTTCTTCGAATATGGTCCATATCTTTGCCGTGTGAATGTTCCCGAAGGTGAGATGAGGTTCCGATGACGATATCGAGACCGCTCAATCCTGGGATTGCGCATGCCATACGAGCATCGTCCATATGACACCGAACATGGGTCAGGATTTTGGCCTTGAGACCGAGAGCGCATATCTTCTCACAGTCTAATCTTGACTGCTCCGACGCAGCAGGGCTCGTGAGCTCTATGTAGTCGACTCCGAAGTCATCCAGAGCTTGTGCAATCTTGATCTTGGTTTCGGTATCGAAGAAGCTGTTGGCGAATTGTTCTCCTTCTCTTAACGTCGACTCGATGATCTTGAAGCGACCTACGTTCGACAGGAAGTTATCCACGGTTGCGTATGGGTTTTGCGAAGGACGTTCGGCTGCTGAACCGCCGTTTGTGCCATTAACGCCGTTGGCTCCGTTGCCGTTGGTGGTCACCATTTTGACAACGTTGGTTTTGTCAATACTGGTTATCAAGAACTGAAGAGCGTAATGCGAGGTGAGAAGGTGGATGTGGTGAAAAAGGTGAAGAAGGTGAATGAGGTGGTAGAAATGCACGTCTTTAAAATCGGTGCAAAAGTTTGGGTATGGACTTTCCTCATTTGCCAGTGACTCACACTACTGCAGGTGCGTAGCGGCATCGGAACCTGGGCAGAATTTTTCCACCTTTTTCTGTGCATCATCGTGACTTTTGCTTCTCCGCACCTTCCTCCGCATTGGCATGTACGAGACACCACCTGAAAGTATTATTTCTCCTTGCTTTGATTCGCAGCGCTTCCTTTTATGGCTACAGAGCTACTTACTCCAAATGACCGAGGTACGAAGCTACCCAGCTAGACATGGGAGCGGGAATGGTGCTGCGTAGATATTGTACTACTCGTGCTTATTAGATATCACGGTCAAGCCATAAAAGGCGGGTCTAATCTCTCGGTGAATACTGCTCGACTCGGCAGTTGAGGGCGAGTCCTTCCTGTGCCTGTGTACGGGTTAATCCATAGAGATCACGTGGGAGGGCCTGGAGGTTAGGGCAGCGACACCTGGAGTGAAAGCAAAACACACCTGCTCTTGGCAGGCGGTACCGGTGCCCAAGCCATGTGACCTTGGGTGAGCTGGAAGGGTGCAGTTCTTTCCTTGCGCAAACCTGTCAGGCTTTGTCAGTGACGACCTTCCACAACTCAAGTACACTTTCTTCACTGATCGGTACTTTTCAGATAGAGAAATAAAGCGAGATACTCCGAGGGTGATTGACTTTGTCTACATTTTCTCTGCATCTGATAGCCATTCTTTCATCAATCAGTTGAACTTTCTCATCTCCAGGCCTCAGACGGATAGACGCCTGTCAACCTTCGTTAGCTGCCTCGGCGGGAACAACACAAACCCCTCCATCGACATTCATCGACTGCAGATTTCTTCAGCTGCATACTGTTCGGCGAGTCTGAGAGGCCTATCGAGTCGCAATCATGGACTCGATGAGGTCTCTCAACACCTCACTACCTTCGACTCGACCACCACCTCCCGAACAACTTCTTCAAGCCTTCAAGAACGCTGCCCTTTCGGTCACCAACCTCTATAAGTCTGCCGTGACAGATCAAAATGCCAGTCGGCAAGCAGGATATCAGGAGGCTCTGGAGGATTTGTTGAGTTTTTTGGACCGCGAAAACCTGGGTTTGCAAGATGGGGAAGGATGGCGAGTGAGACAATGGGCAACAGAGCGATATGACGGATCTGCACACCCACAAGGCAATGACAGCGATGACGAGCGCAGCGAGATTTGCACACGACCTAGGAGCCTCACTCCTGCCAAAGAAGAACCACCCGCACCATCAATCACTGAGAGCGAGCCGGCTAGAGCAGAGTCCGCAACACAGACTGATGAACCCGACGCCTCAACTGATCATGAACCCGCCCCGGCCACTGAAGTGTTCCGATTTACGGGTCATTCATCTACCAATCATTCGGATCACATGCAGACGGACGACGACAGCCATATTGTCAACGCTGCCGAAGCCTCGTCCTCGGTCTCAGCCTCATCCAGTGCCCCGGTCCGGCTTGAGATTGTGAACAATAAGGGATCACGTACACCTCACAGACATGGTGGAAACCAACGCAACGTTAACAACAGATCGTCCACTCGCGAATTCACATTTACGGCAGGCACCAAACGGAAATTGCAGTTTCCCGATTTTTTCGACATATCCAACATTGGCTCTCGTGAAGGGTCCGGAGGGAACAAACGGGGACGTTCTTCGTGAGGTTTGATTACGACGGGGGGTTTTGATTCTGCCTGTCACGTTTCTAAGACTTCAGCGTTTATGGACTTTCTCATGAGGACATGACCAACAGCATAGCGAATTTTGTTGATTAGCATACATATATGATAACTGCTCGTGTTGAGCAACTTCCTTCCAAGGACCAGTCGTTGGTGGTCTAGATTTGGGCCAGAGCCTAGTCTAATACATTTCATACAAGCATCCAAACTCTCTCAGATTGTGTTGCACGTAGCCTCGAGATCTTCACTCGTCACCACTCGAGCTCTCTTGTGTCGTTGAGAAGCCATCCGGTGGTTCTCCTCTCCGAACGTTGGTCAAATTCGCACAGCGGATACGTGTCCACGCTGACCAGGGCGGCTCCTAGTTGAACATCCGATAGATTCCGAGCCCAACCAGAGTCGCTGACAACGAGACAATGCCCAACTGTCTTGAACCGTACTTGTACTTCGACTTGCTCAATTCGATGACCTTTTGTTGTGCTCTGAGTTGCTGCATGCCGGAAAAGTACACGTAGCCGCCCAGGGATGTCAGAGCAGTAGAGCCTGAGTTCGCGAGTCAGCTTGGGACTCCAGTCACTCAGTCTCATCAAAACGGACCAACTATTCGGCAAGAGAGACAATCATCCTTCCCAAACGCTTTAGGGTCTTCGAAGTCGTCGAATTTCTGCGCTTTGGCAGAGAGCAATTCCTTGAGCACCATTGCGGTGGAATTTTGTTCTCATACTACGAGTCTGGTTGTCATGTCGACTTATAGAAGCTCGTCCACAAGACCCACGAGAAGTCGACAAAGACAGTGGTGGAAGACGGCCACCTTGGAATGACAAGAAAGCTGTACCGGCGGGCAAACATGCCAAGATCTACATAATGCTAGTCGGCAAGAAAGGCTGCGGAGAATAGGGGGCAAATGCCGACTTTCCTATCTACGATGGTTTCGTTGTCGGCCGTCGTGGCGGAATACACCGCCCGATGGCAACATATTGCCACCAAAACCAACGTCCTCTTAGTGACCTCTGGATCTGCTGTTTCCCAGGTACATTGAGATCCGACTGTCTTTAAAATGGTGGCTACGAAGCCGTTGCAGAAAACAGATGCTATCATCGTGGTAGGGGCTGGGATTTTTGGCCTGAGCACGGCGCTACATCTCGGCTTACGAGGCTACAAAAATGTGACTGTATTCGATCGACAACCTTACGATGACACAAAGTATGAATACACCGCGGGGGCCGATTCGGCATCATCAGGTAGGACCCTGCTCTTTTGAGTCACACAGTCCTGCTCCAGCTCGGAGAGCTGATCTGGTGTTGGTCCAGACAACTACAAAATAATTCGCTCTGGGTATGGCTCGGAAAAGGTGTATCAAGATCTTTCCACCGAGGCTATTCAACACTGGAATGCCTGGAACGAAGAGATCCTAAGCGGAGAATGCGTTCCAGATGGCATGACACGGTCTGATAAGGTCTTCATTAACAACGGACATCTATCATTGACTGACAAGGACGACCTACCTGAATTCGAGAAAGCAACGATCCAAAACATGGAGGCTGCCGGACAGCCTAATACGCAACTTGTCACAACTGATCCTGGCCAAGTTGATATCGCGGATCGCAAGGGATTGGGATTTGCTATTGACCCGTTTCAGCGGAGAGCCAAAGGTAAAGGCTACCTCGGTGTGCTCGACACGACAGGAGGCGTCGCCGTGGCACATAAGGCTTGTCGATTTGCCCTTCATAAAGCCAGATTGCTTGGAGTGAATTTTGTGCTCGACCCACACTCCGGCGCCGTGGAATCATTCTGCTACGATGCTGGGGGCAAGGTAAACGGGGTGCAGATGAAAGATGGAAAAAAGCGTCACGCCTCGAAGGTCGTCGTAGCCTGTGGAGGCTGGACCCCGTCTATTCTACCCGTACTAGACGGGATCTGCGAAACCACCGCTGGATCCGTGATATTGATCAAGATACCACCCGACAGCGCCCTCTATGAGCGACTTGCTCCGGAAAGGTTCCCATCATGGGCGTGGAACATGCGTGACGGCAAACTCGGTGGGCTCTACGGCTTTCCCCGCGACGAAAACGGATATTTGAAGATTGGCTACCGGGGCACGAAGTACACCAACCCCAAGGTACAAGAGGATGGGAAGGAACGCAGTGTGCCGGTGACGAGATATACTGCCGAGGAGACGATCACGCAAGTCCCGCAACAAGCCATGAAGGTGTTCAAGTCGTTCATATTGGAATATTTCCCCGATTTGGCAGAGAACGGCATCGACATCGAGCTTACCAGACTGTGTTGGTACACTGATTCCTTCGATAACCATTATGTCGTCGACAATATACCTGGACAAGATTCACTCATGGTCGCTACTGGTGGAAGCGGACATGCATTCAAATATTTGCCCAACGTCGGCAAATGGGTCGTAGATATCATCGAAGGGGTCGGTCTTGAGCGTGACTTGGTGAAGCACTGGCGCTGGAGAACATTGCAGTCTGGTGAGAAGCCCTTCAATGTCCTTCAGGAGGGCAGCAGTGGTCCAAGAGCCTTGAGAAATGTTGAGATGTCGACGGATAAGGACTTGAAATTGTCTGCGCAGTCCCGTTTATGATGACACTCTTTTGCGACGCGCAGAGATTCGCGTCAGACTTCCACGTATGAACTTATTCTAGGACTTTTGACATGTTCTTCCTGTGCTCCGTCTAAAATTGCATCTTGTTATTAAGAGCATATATCAACGACATCTGTTCCGGGAAACTCCGTACGCGTATTCATTTCGCGGAGATGGGCAACTTCAATACTTGCAGCTCAACAAAGCCCATGCAAGTACTTTGCGCCCTGTGGCATACCACGTTACAATGCTTCGACAAGGAATGTTACTATTCTTAATCATCAACCCGTAACCACCAAGTTAAAGAGCCCCGTCATTCAATCATGGGCAAAAAACCCCTAGTGGTGGCGCTCGGCGACCCCAAGTACGCCGGCGAGGACTTTATCAGCGACTTCAAGAAGGATTTCGACTTCGAGGTATGTATGACATATCCCACTCATTCCAGCCCCTGCCATGCCCGGCATGAGAGAACTTAGTGTCTCATATATGCGAGGTATAGATCCTCCTTGCCACAAATCACCAAGAAACACTAGACTCCCTTCCCAAACTCATCGCCAAATCCGGCCCAGTCTCAGCCTTCATAGTCCGTATGGGCACACCACCATACGAGCCCTTTGACGAAGAAATGTTCAGCCCCCTCCTGCCGCACTGTAAGATCATCACTTCCGCATCAGCGGGCTTCAACGAATTCGACCTCGACTGGATGACCGCCAACAAAATATGGTTCTGTAACACGCGCAACGCCGTCGCCGAGGCTACAGCCGATATGGCGATCTTCCTCATCCTCGCTGTCCTCAGAGACACCACGCGTGCTGAAACGGGCGCTAGATCTGACACTGGCGCTTGGAAGACAGGACTCGTACCGTGCCGCGATCCAACTGGCCTGACTTTGGGTATTGTCGGTATGGGGGCCATTGGCAAGGTATGTCTACGCCTTTTCCCTGTGATCTCCTAAGAGATGCGCCCAGCATCACGGAAGGTGCCTGATAGGCTGGTGCGGCTAACGCCTGGTCAGTACACTGCCAGAAAAGCTTCAGTCTTCAACCTGAAAATCAAATACCACAACCGGCACCAGCTCCCCACCGAAATAGAGAAGGAGTATAACGCAGAATACGTCTCAAATCTCCACCAGCTCCTGTCCGTGTCAGATATAATCAGCATATCATGCCCACTGAACGCCGAGACAACGAACATGATCTCGCACGCCGAATTCGCCGCCATGAAACAAGGTTCTTTTCTCGTCAATACCGCCCGCGGCGCCGTGATCAACGAAGAGGCATTGATCGAGGCTCTCGAGTCCGGTAAAATCACCCGCGCAGGACTCGACGTCTTTTGCAATGAGCCGAACATCAATCCCTATTTCAAGACGAGCGATAAGATCGTCGCACAGCCGCATATGGGTGGGCTGACGGACGTGGCGTTCATGAAGTCAGAACGGGAATGCTTTGAGAATATCAGGAGTCTGTTCAAGACTGGAAGGCCTGTTGCGCCGGTTAATGAGGTCAAGACATGATTGACCAACCGTCTATTTCTGTTGTACATTCTATATGTGGTCTCGGTCACCAAGAACATCTTTTTACATCATAACTCGTCTCTCTTCCGCTCATCGCTGATCACTTCTTCAGCGGCCTCCTTCAGTTCTGGTGAGGGATCCTTGCTGTCTGCTGCCTGCTTGAGGACGGCTGCAATCTCCTCGTCATACTCTGTCCACTCGGGGACTTGTCGCCTGGCCCTGTCCAGCTTGGGCTCCTTGGTCAAAGGATTGTTGCACAGATCTATGGTCTTCGCAACTGATAAAGCCTGATCGCTGCACCACGTCTCACACCACAACCACTCTTGACTAAGACTGTGGATGGGTAGCACATGTTGCATATGGTTGGGCAGATCTTGATCAAGATTGCTCAGACTGTTTGGATCGGAGGAAAGAGACTGATACTGCTGTCTCAGCCGGTCACCAGCTGCCAATTGACGGAACCGCTTGAGGTCGACCACATAGAGAGCCGAAATGTGATAGGGTTTGCCGCGCAAATATGTCTCCCAGTATCCTTGTTTCCAAAAACGGAACCCTTCCATCTCTGTTCTAGAATCACACATCGGCGTGAAGCCGTAAGGTGCTCCTTTCAGATCGACTCTGTTCAAGTCCATCATGTCGACTCGGACAATTTGATCTGCGTCCACGAAAATGACTTTGTCTAGGTCCAACGGGAACAGTACATCCAGGAACAAGATCTTGTAGCCCCAGATCTCGCGCTGTTTCTCCTTTTGCCCTCGCAGCCAGTGTGGCCACTTATATGTGACCATTTCGAAGTCGAAACCATAGTGCTCCGCAAGATCCGGCAGAGTGGCCTTGAAGGATGGCGACAAGAACTGTTCGATGAACCAGAATTTGACTGTGTGCTTTGTATGCTTCATAACAGACACCATCATAATGTTGAGCATACGCTCATACAGGTGGCCCGATGCGACCGAAAAGATGTTGATTTCGGCGTTGGTAGACGATGCTTTCTTGAATCCCAAAGAAGATAGCGCGGACGAAGCGAACGATGCGCCTTTATTGAGATATTCCAAGGCTCCTCCAAGCATCGACGACTCTAGGACATCTTCATCTTCCATCCCAGGTTTTCGTGAAAGTCGTGGGAACAATGTTACACCTTGGAACGACAGGAGAGCTGCCGAAGTCGTTTCGTCTCCTGTTCGAGCCGCATAGCCACTAGCTCCAACACTATCGAGGTTAAAGATTTTCGAAGACTTGCCCGGCTTCAACGAAAAGTGCCAGAAGCCAGGATTTGCCTTGAACTGGAAGTATCCCAGGTTTGCCATAATGATAGTGTCTGTGAAATGTGGCTCCTGCATAGTACCAACTACAAGTTCCACACCTCTTGGTGGAGGACCAGTTGTGACGTCCCGCGCATGCCCTTCGATGAGTATATGTTCAAGCTCGTACAACGCATAAACGTTCTCTCCATCAGGTAGGTTGCTCAATTTGATGTTGTCAAGGTCGTAGATACACTCCTTAGGCGCAACTAGCCAGGACGGAGGCACGACCATACCAAGATTGAAAAGAGTATCTTCTGGTATTCGTTGGAAGGAAGCCGTCGGTCTTTCGAGCGAGCCATCGCTGTCGAAGGTAGGCTCGGCGCTGATCACCTGGCGGAAGAATCGTTTGACTGGCAATTCCGTCAATCTGTCCTTGGGATTCAGGAAAACCTTCACGCTGACACCATTGAGCTGCGACAGTGTTCTGAGTATCGGCACCCATTGTTGCACCAGCTCCGAAGCTGGATCAACGACAGCAACAATCTGTATTGTGGGCTCATCTGTATTGGACACCTTGATGGCTGTATAAGTGTCATTCCAAATCTTGTATCGATCCATTCTGATTAAAGGTGCCGACTCTCTGAGACCCTCCGGCAAATCAGACTTCAGTGATCTGGCAACAAGTGAAGTGACTTTGGCAAGGTCCAAGGCGTCGTGAAATCGTTCTTCGAGTCCCAGCCGGGTGATGGCAGTGGTGACTGGTGCAATTCGTTCTCTGCGCTCATATTCGAGCAGCGACTCGAGATCGTCCTCGGTGAATGATTGATCCAATGGAGCTATAACACGTCCATTTAACCATAAGCCACTTTGACCCGCTAATAGACCAAGGCTTTTGACTAGTCCCTGCATTGAAGTCCAATAAACGCTGGCGGCTTCTGCTGCATCACCTGTGCCAGCGTCAGTGCTGGTGTTGTCTTCGAGCAACCTTTGCAACTGCTCCAAGCTAACATCCCGACCGGTGTCTTGAGTCAAAATATGGAGACTAGTAGCTGCAGTCCCAGAAACAGCAGTTGTTGATGGATTGTGCAAGATCAATACATCAATCTCAGTATGCTGCTTCTGAAGCTCCATAGTTCGTGACAGAAGTGCTCGACCATCTTCAGAGTCAATGTCTGCGACCACAAGAACATGAGCTCTGTCGCTGAGAAGCGTTGCTTCAGCACCGAGGACTCGTGGTATATCTGAAAGCTCACCGGGAAACTCGGTGGCAAGGCGGTTCAGATCAACTATGTGGACATTCTTCGGGTCACTGGGAAAAACAATCTCATTTCGTCGTGTAGCAGCATCGAAGAGAAAGGCAGCAGGTACCCAGGCGTCTTCCAGTACTGCACCTTCATATATAGCTTGTTGCAACATTTGCAGATCCGAGAAGACGCGTGAACTCATAACTTCGAACCAGTTGTCACCGCGTGGCAGTACAACTCCGTTGACGATAAATGGAAGGGTTGAGCCTGTCAGGGCAAGCCGTTCGACGTAGCTGTCTCGTGCCTTGAGGCGTGAATTCAGTGATTCGTCTTTCAAGACCTCTTCGTACGAAATCTGTTCTTTGCCCTCGCGAAGCGAGTGCTCCTTTATAACGGTGGTAAAGATCTTTCCCGGGCTTGTCGGTAATCTCTTGGTTAAAGCGACTTCGGTAAAGAAAGCCATCAACGTGCTCAGGCCGTAATTATCCAGTAAGTGGTACGATAATCTCGAATAGAGGTCAGCCGCTTCGCCGGTGCCGACCGGAACCAGGGCAATTCTAATCGGCACTGTTCGTTTGACAAGATTCTGCAATGCGGTCGCGGCAAGCTCAATATCCTTGATATTTGTTATGTTGATTGGTACAATGAGGTTGTGAATATCACGAGCCACTTGAGGTAGTTGACCTGGGTACATTCGCTGAAATAATGTTCGTAAGCTCGAAGGCCATGCCGCGTACCTTTTGTCCTGCTCAAGGTTGTTCATCCACATCAGAACCTGATCGTCTTCTGTGTCATCTCGCCAGTCGAAACGTTGAGGAGACTCATTTGCTTGTGCCTCGGCTATGACTTCGCTGGAAATGAGGCTAATGGCTTCAGATGAGGTCAGTCCAATTTGCTGAAGGTCGCTTATAATCCGCCTTTCTCGTCGCAGATGGTCAAGGAGGGAGTACGCATTGATCTGACGTGGCTCGATCTGAACGCCGTTGATCCAGAAGACGTTATAGCCAGATGGCAGAAACATCTCTCGATTTGCTCTGTGCTCAGTCACAAATTCTTTGCTCGCATTGGCCGATGCAAGCACTGAGGAATACCGAGGGAAATCGGACGAGATCTGCAATAGGCTTTCAAACGGATCCGAACTCGATGAAATGAAACTGGCCGCATTAACTCCCAGACTGACCACCTCCGAAGACGTCAAAGGTTTCAAGTCCGTCAAATCATCTTCTTGTATTTGCTCCAGGGAAATGTCCGCGGCTTCAGCGGCGTCGGTTAGCTGGGCATCCCGGTCGTCAATAACGATATAGTCTGTCCGCTTGAGCACCAACTCAACACCATAGCCGCTGACATACAGAGGTCTGTTACCCGACAGACTTGACGGCCGATACCGCAATCTGTATGTGGATCGTCCTGCACGAGCGGTCTGGCTGACAATCCGGTGGAATTCACCAAATATTGGATGGGTAATGTCTGCATAGAGTATGGACGACGGGCCCTCAGAGTTGCCTCCCAGCACGTGGTCGAAGGGAAGCTCGTCGTCTACATCTGGCAGAGGAATCGGCTGTTGAGCATGGTCCAGGGCTGGTGAACAGTATTGCTGGCCAGCAAGATACACCCATACCGGACATGCGGCATCCTGCGCCGCCATCAAATGAGGTTGGACCGATGTATTGTAGTACTGAAAGTGGGCTTCGACGCGAGGTGCTGCTGCATGAAGAGCCAGAGCGAACTTGAACGACGACAGAGACTCTGGATTCGAAAGGTGGCCATCATGTTGTAACACGTCTATGAATTTACTGTACAGCTCTTTCTCGGTTTGTAAGTCTGAGAAAGCACCGTCTGCTATGCGATCGAGGAGAGGGAAGTAAGAGGAGGAGTTTTCCAAAGCAGCCGTTTCACTACATGGGTGTCAGTCTAAAGTCTTCGGGAGGTTTGGCACTTTCGACGTACAGCAATTCGACCAGATAGGGTGCGGCGGAGAAAGAGGTCTCGAGGGCGACGTTGATGGAAGCAGAGGAGCGCGCGAATGAGTTGAGCAGTACTAGGGGCAACAGCCCTGCTGCAGCGAATCTCCAAGGTAGTGTAGAAGGCCGCATGGTGACGAGGCTGTCTCGAAAGGAGGTCGGAGGATTGAATGAGATGTTCAAGGCATAGACAGTATCCTAGGGAGGGGACATGGCAGAAATCGACGCAAATTATGAAGACGTCCAGGTGCTCGATAGTTGCCCTACAGCTAAGCGAAGAACGTGTAAGAGTACCTACCAGGTAGGTAGCAAGCAGGACGGTACAGTATCAGAGGCGTCAAAGGCCAGCGTGTAAAGAGGACAAATAAATAGAATCCCCAATTCAGGAACGTATCCATCTCCCTCTCCATTCTCATGCAAGGCGGACGATGAATCTCCAACTCCGCAAAACTCAAAAATATTTCCCTAGATCGATCCCGCACTCATCACTTGCTCTGACTTATCGACCTGGAACTGTGGAAGAGGTCGCCATTGATCTGGCCTCCAGTCGCGGCTGGACTATTTGCTACATGCTCGCGCCTTCCCCCAGAGGATGTCCGTTATCCTTTCACACTTCCGCAATGCAGCCCTTTCGTGCTCCAACGGCGGCCTGCGATCGAGAAACATCACCGCATCGCTCAAAGTCGTGTACAGCTCTATCTCGATACCACGTCCTGTAGTACCTCCTAGGAGCCGACGTCCGGCCTGCTTCTTAGAGCGCTTTAACCCTACGTTTTTCTCGAAGGACCCCCAGTACCCGGATATCAGCACGCGACCAGAGGTATCTCGTACCCGCAATAATGTCCCACGAGATCTGGCAGACTTGAGACCCACCCCTCTCGAGCAGGTTGAGTATGTTGAGGGTCCGGAAGAGACTGAAGATGGCCGCATCACGTCGTATCAGAGGTTTCTGTACTGGCGTCGTCTAGGAAAGGCTTACTACAAATTCTACCAAGAAGGTATGCGGAAAGTGTCTGCAAACCAGAGAGAAAGAGAACAAATCCTCAGCCGGTATAAAATAGCCCAGAATTCCATGGCAGACGTTACGGTGACCTACATGGTTCTCTACCAACTATATGCGGGAGAGGGCATGAGGCGACGGGCATCGGACGAAGTACCGAAGTTGACAAGAAGAGAGTACAATATATGCATTCGCACCATGGAGGATGTGCGGAACTCGTGGCCATTCTCTTTTATCCTGTTCTTCTTTCGCGGGTTGACACCCCTAATACAGTGAGTCGATTCCTGTTTGTGTACAAGCCTTCTTATCGGGTGCACAAGCAGATCTTCCGCAGCTCTCGAATTCCAAACACGATACTGATAATCCCCTTTCCAGTCAATTTATCAGCCCGCTTATACCGGGACCTTGCCGGCGAGAACAAGATCAATTGAGAGACATGAAGAGACTTTTCAAGGGCTGGGAGTCCTTAGAGAGACGACTTAACGAGCAGGACGAGCTCTACGCTAAAAGCCGCACTGCCGCATTTCAAGTAACAAGAAGACGTCACATGCTATACACCGCCGTCTTGAGAACATCCATCTTCAGCGGATTTGCCAAGTACATTCCCCCAAGTTTGACTTGGTTTGGCATGCGTCTATATGGGAAGGGACTCATCAGTCGCCACGAGCAGATCCTGGCAGATACTGTCCTCATTATGCGGGAGGGTGGCTTCAGCAAATTGAGTACGGAAGATGTCGTCGACTACTGCATACGAAGTGGATCAATAGCGTTCTATGAGTGGGCCAGGAAGGCGGTCGAAAGGGGCGAAAGTTACAAGCATGCATTCATGGAAAGACACATGGTGCCAATTCTGGAACAGCACGCGAAGAAAATGCTTGACTGTGACTGGCCAAGGTTGTCCACTGGAAGCCTCTGGAAGCAGGAAATTGTTGTCCGGTTTTATGATCGCACGGCGCCTGACAGCTGGTTTTTCAACGCGCACAAAGCCCGCCGCTGAAGGCAGGGTCTTGCCCTGAGTCCAATAGCCCACCGCGAGGCATCTCCAGCATTCGGTTGCGACGAGGAAACACTGTACACGACGTACAATCGTGGCACTAGCGTGCCTGGATGCTTGCCCGGCGTGGGTGCCCATGACCGAAAGCGGGGCACTTCTCGAGCTTTGCAAGAAGACACTTGTGCCGGTACAACAGGAATAGTTCAAGCGGCGTTCGCACAGAGTTGTGCAACCCAGTGCCGTGCTCAGGTTGAGTATACTGGAACCCCTGAGGCAACGCTCGAGAATGCTCGACCACACACCGCGTTCGACATCGACCTACTCAACTGAGGACAAAAGGTGGACTACAGGCGACTTATTCTAGCCCGGAACAACGTCCTCGTTCAACAGCGTTCTCAAAAAGGCCGAGTCCAAGTTCGTTAGCGTGGACCGTGTATGATCAAGAGATGAAGGAGCAACTGATACATTTGCGCGGCGGTGACGAAGACGTGTGCCGTGAAAGTGAAAGACGTGGAGAGCATCCCAGAAATGCCAGTGGCGCGGTCAGAGGTCCCAGGAATTCGAAGATGTTAGCATCCCGTATGGCCCGGCATGCATTCAGATGGGAGACACAGAGAGACGAGATCGAAAGAGGATGTTAAGAGCATACAGGGAGATTCCTTCAGCTCTTGCCGAGCCAAGAGAAGACATCAGTATCTCAACTGCTGTGCTAAGGAGTAATATACCGCCAGGGTGTGACGCTGTACCTACCGGGCGCAGTGTATCACAAAGAACTATGTACAATATTAATCAGCTTGCTCCGAATCATCCACCATCGTCATCCACTACTGTTCATCTTCACTCTCGTCACTGCTCTCACTCGGACTCAAACTCCACCCCTTCCTCCGACTTGACCGCGCTGAACTCTGCACGAAGCGAGGCTGGAGCTGGCTACTCCGCACCCGCTGCGCCGACTCTTCAATGCTGTTGAGAAAATTATTACTTGCAGCATCGTCATTACCCTCTTCCCTGTCATCGTCTTCGTTCTCGTCGGAACCGGCATCAGACTCAACGGCGCCCTGATCAAGCGGTATATAGTCATCTTGGTCTGTGACAGCGCCTCTTGCATTAGCGTCAGCACCTTCAGGTCCGCCGGTAGCTTCCTCATTTTCATCCTCGTCCCCATCTTGGTCTTCGTCGTCTTCCATAACAAGTTCACCGTTCTCTTTAACTTTGATCTCCTGGAGCGGCGACCGTTGAGACAAAGCACGCCGTTGGATGGGGATACTTGGTGAAGGTACATCCTGACTCGGGGCTTGTCTGATGGTTTCCGGAGATCGTCCCAAAGCCGAGGTGTTGGCTTGCGTGCGGTTGAACAATTGACTTAGTTGTAGAGCACCCTTGGGAGTCTTGTGGTTCAGAGGGTTGCGTGGTAGACGAGATGCTGATTCTGGTGATCCCTCATCCTCTTCATCTGGGTCTTCAACATTTTCTTGGTCGTCTTCGTCCTGTCCGTCTTGCTCTTCATCAGTATCTTGTTTATTTTCATTCTCAGCAGCTGTATCTTCGTCCTGATCGTCGTCTTCATCCTCACTTTGAATGATCTCTGGAGAGATCGGGTTGCGGAGACTTGACTCGATTTTGTCGCCCCTTAGTCGACGTTCCATCTTCGACGGCGTCAGGATTCTGCTTGACCCGGGCGTCTTTTCGAGTCCTTCGACTTTCACCCATCGTCCCCCTTGCTTCATGCCATGAACAGCTCGATAATGGTTGGAACATTGCTGCGGGGTTCTTGTCCCGACCTTCTGGCTGATTTTGCTCCAGGGGACCTGCCAGTCCTGCGAATCTGCAACAGGGCCGAATTCTCTGCGAACCTGCACGAGTGCATTGCTGAACTTGGCGATCTCGTCCTCAGTCCATTGGCCCTTGTCGACGTCGCGGTGTTGTAATTTGTGTCGCCATCGCTGACTGACTGCATCCGTCGTTCTTGTGAGACGTTTTGCAATCTCTGACCATTTTGGCCCGAATTGCTTGTACAGCCGGGTCAACTCCTTGTCATCCTCTTGTGTCCAATTTCGTGAACCCTCCAGGTTCTGGAAGTTGCGCTCCCGATATCGTAACATGGACCGCTTGTTCCGCCCCGGAAGTACTTCAACATACTCTTTGAGGAACTGTACTCGGGTGATGAAGTGCCAGGGCCATGCTGTCGAGTTGATACGATTCAATGAATCAGTCATCATGTCATTGAACTGTTCAGTGGTGATATTATGGTCTCCACAGAAAGTGTCCCTCCAGTTTTGGAGTGCTCTCACTTCCTTTCCACTGAATGGTCCAGTACGGCCTTGAGAGAGATCCTCCTTGCCATGTCCAGTATCCTTTTCGTGCCTGGTGAGGAGGCGGGTGTTCCAGAACCGCTCCGTACAATCATCGCACCTGTACAATTTTGAGTGCACATTAGGCTTCTTCAGATGCTTCATCAACCCGTCTTCCGCTTTGAACCTAAAGTGACATGTGCGACATTCCAATTTTTTGTCCTCGACATAGTGCTGTCGCGGCTTAGACCGAGAGCTGTTGTCAGCATCGTCAAAGTCGGAGTCAGCATCTTCGTCTTCGGCCCCTGCACGTCGAACTTGGCTGCTGGGAAACGTTTTCTTGGCGATGGAAGTGGCCATCTGTGAGGGTTCTGCATCAGAGCCGTCCACTTCGTTGTTTCCAGCACGTCGAATAGTCGCAGGCGTCGAATAGTCAACATCAGGGTCTGCTCGCTTCTTGCCTTTCGGCGTGGTGTAAGCAGCACGTCGAGCCTTCTTGAGAGCAAAGGCATCCAATCCACTCGGGCGAGTCTCCTTCTTGCTCAACGTCTGGGAGGCCTTTTTCGTCGTGTTCCCATTCACACTGGTGAAGCCCCCGGAGGGACCAGCTTGGCTGAGTGGGACAACGACTTCGACATGTGAGTTTTGGGCAGGAGGGGCTGGGCTTTGACTGGTAACAGAATTCGACCGGGCCCACCCATCGATAGTACCCTGTCGACCTTTTCGGAGCGTGGGGACTATCTTGTCCGTGATCTGCCCACTAAGCGCTGTCTTCTTGATAGTAGTTGCGATTGCCGGAGACTCCGATCTTGTGACTTCAGATTGAGCAGAAGTCGGAGGAGAGTTTTGGATGCGTTTTCTCCGCTTCGTGGGCTTCTGCAATGTCGGCGTTGCGACCTGCGCAGTCTCCAGCGAAGTGCGTTTACGTTTCAGTCCATTGGCGCGAGCAGTCTCGAGGTCAGCAGGTTTCTCTTCGGGCTCCTCGAAGACGCTAGAAGGCGTGGGTGACTGAGTTTCGGAAACTGCATCAGCGTCAGAGGCTCTGCTCATCTCTTGCTCGTCTTCAAGCATATCGTTTTCCGGCACATTTGTGTTACTCAGCGACCCATCCTGGTCAGAACCATCGGCCTCTGGAGATTTCGTGACACCGATGTCATATTCTTCCACGTCAGCCTCCAGCGCCCCGTCAGAGTCAGGCCTTGTACCCTCCTTTGAGACAATTGGTGCCGCTTGTGTCGTTTCCAGTGGCGTCGAATATCCTGGAGAATCTCCGTCCGGGGGTTCTTTCGTTGCGCCGTTGTCCAGCGGAGCCGATGCTTCCACTTCGTCTGCGTCCTGCCCATGGCCCACACGAGCTTCAGCAAGGGCCAATTCCACGGCAGTATGCTTAGCCATGTGTCTTTTAAGTGTGTCTGCTCGGCTCAGCTTTTGGTCGCATACGAGGCAGGCATAGCTCTGCGTATGAATCGAAGCATGGCGAATTGCTGTTTTCCTCTTTGCGAAGGTCTCTCTGCAATCGTAATTCTTGGCGAATGGACATAGGAATCGGCCTTCGTCATCGCAATCGGGCTCCGGGACTGACGCATTCGTGGGACCTGGAGCTGGTGTATTGGGATTCAGACCAGCTTTCACAGATACCCTTTCTGGTAGGACGTCACTAACGACCTGAATAGCAGGTGTGTCATCAGCGCCGGTAAGATGTCCATTGGCAAGGGGCTGACTGTCTGCAATGGCCTCCTCGTCATCGGCGCCAAGTGGAATTTCCTCGATAGCTTCCCCATCATCGGCCTCGACTGGACTTTCCTCAATAGCTTCCTCGTTTTCGGCGGCTGGAGGACTTTCTTCAGTTGCTTCCTCATCGTCCGCGTCACCAGAGACCGAGTCATGCGGCCCCGGTGGCGTTTCTGTCGCGCCTCCTTCCCCGTCACTAACATCCGAAGTGGCATAGACATCGAATGCCTCGGGCTCTCGTTTTCGCAACAACTCTATCTGCTCTGGCGTGGGTACGACCTGGCTCAGGACGGGTATTTCCTCGCTAGAATCTCGTTCTGCTGATATCCGTCCCCTTTTCTTCTTCCTCTTTTTCTTCTTCTGCGTCTTCTCTTTCGCAAGCTTTGGCACTTCGACGGGCGGCGCCGTTATTGTTGTGTCTCCGACTTCATCTGGTTCTCGATCGTCCGGAATATCTGAGAGGTCGGTTTCTGCCGTTTCAAGTCAGTCTCACTTCGTGACCCCTCTCGTCCTACGTCGTGCGGACTTACGTTCTGCTTCCTCTGGCTGGGGCGGGGCGCCGGATTCTTGACTCTGCTCGTTACCCATGGTAGCCGGAAGAATAATATTGCGCCAGCGTTCAAGGCATGATGAGGGGACGAGCTTTTTGGAAGACGCGACGCCTTCGCGACTTGAAGGCTCGATTGGAGGAAGGAGCTGACCGAAGGTTCAATTGCGAAGTTAAGAATAATGCCTTGCCGAGTCCACTTGCGACACCAAATGCATGCACACACGCGCGACAACCGACGTCGCGGTGAAGGTCCCGCAGTGGAAATTTGTGTGGAGAAATTTAGCTTCACTTCAGCCTTCTCTGGCATCCCCCGCAAGGCTACATCATACATTTGACCTCAAAAGTCCGAAATCAGCCAGGGAAAATATTGCTCCTTACCCTACCGACAGGTCGAAACCCAGGCCGCAATGGTGCTTCTAACTACTACTCCTCGCATTCTTGCAGCCATCTCCACTCTATCCCACACCGAGCGTTCATCTCTAAATGCGCTACCTTCGGATCCTGGCGCACCGATTGAGCATTCAACCCTCATTAGTCTCTCGAAACTCGCCCGAGAGACCAGTTTGAACAGCCTTCTACGTGGAACGCATATCTACAGACCTCCTCCACCTCCCAAACCGGAACCATCGCCGGGATATGTCGCTCTCATGGCAAGATTGCGGAGGGAAGAGGAACAGCGAGAGTATGCCAACTTGGTGTCTAAACGAGGTCTCGAGATTGGCTTGGATGAGGAGAAAGACGACATAAGCCCTCAGCTGGTCTTCAATATCTTGTTGAGCATCGTCATGTGTGCGGGTGCTATATTCTATTTGACCAGATGGTGGCACAGTGACGGACTACGAGTCTTGTTATCATTGTCTACGGGAGTTGTGGTCGGGGTCGCAGAGGTGACAGTGTACGCAGGATATCTGAGGAAAGTCAAGCTGAGTAAAGAAAAAGAGGTGACCAAACGAGAAAAGAAGCAATTTATCGGCGAGTATAAAGGAGAGGTGATGGACACGACGTCAGCAGCGACAACCATTGAGAAGCAGGAAATATGGGGGCGGGGCGTCAACGGAGGCATAAGAAGGCGAGTAAGAGACAAGTGGGAGAAGGGAAATGAGACGAACTGAGTAGAACAAGTTTGTAAGAACATGATCATTTCAAATCTCAATAAACCAGCCTTGATGGTCAATTTTGAGGAGAAGCAAACCTTTGCGCCCATCTATGCTCGCTTTAGATAACAAAGTCAACAAGGCTGCTACATCATCGTTCGTAGTCGTAGATCCATCTCTTGAACCAGCTTTTTACTCTCTTCAGCTCTTTGAGTCTTGGCTCCATCAATAACTGCCCAGAGCACCCTTTGCCGATGAAGCCATTGTTGGGGCCTCCTCGAACGAACACTTGCTGACCACGGAGTAAAGTTTGCTTGACCTGCCCGGTCATCGTCTTGCCTTGATATGGGCTGCACTTGTTCCTAAACAGCATGGTGCTGGGCTCTACCACCCACTCCGCAGTATCGTCAAAAACACAGATATCAGCGTCGAACCCAACAGCCAAATCGCCCTTTTGTTTCTCCAAGCCCACCTGAGCGGCGGTGTTGATGCAGCACCACTTGACGACATCGGTAATGGCCGATTCGGGGGAGGTCAGACCTCTCCTTGTCATTTCAGTCCATAAGATGGGAAGACCTAGACCAACGGAGGAAATACCGCCCCATGCGGAGAAGAAGTCGCCCGATTCCGAATCCAATGGCAACGCACTTGCGGTACCTTTCGGCAGGCTAACGTGCCCAGGTACGTGAGAAGGAAGGAGCTTGAGATCTGGCGTGCATGGTGAATGATCTGAGACCACCGTCTTGATCACGCCTTCGTCGAGGTGTTGCCGTAGCTCTTCCCAGAGCCTATCCTGGTTTGACTGCGTGCGAATAGGCGGACAACACTTGTGTCGTGTATCTCCCAAGGCCACTTGCTCAGCAGCCAGTGACAAATAGTGCGGACAGGTCTCTGCTGTAATGTTGATCCCTTGCGCACGGGCTTTTCTCAACAAAGGAATAGATTCCATAGCCGACAAGTGGACAATATGTAAGGGTAGGTTGGGAGCCAAATGTGCCAAGGACAAAATTTCCTCGACGGCATAAGTCTCAAAAGCCGGCGGTCTCGACTCGAGGAACGTGCTGTACGCGTTCAAAGGTCCATGAGGCGCTAAAGGAGGGAGAGATGTCTGAACGTCGTCACCCACAGAGTCGGCAATAGGTGGTATCATCTCGGCATGGAACATGACTGTTGTGGGCTCATCTGCGAGCTCTGCGAAGACCTTCTCGATATCTGATGAGGAGACGGCTGGGAATTCTTCAACACCACTGTCAATCAGGAATCCCTTGAAGCCTCGAACACCTTCTCTGACAAGGGCCTTGAGTTCGCCCTGGTTGCCAGGGATGATACCTCCGTAAAACCCAACATCAACCCAACATTGTCCTTGTGCAGCCTTGACCTTCTCTTGCAGTCCTGCCACAGTGGTAGTCGGCGGTATCGCGTTCAAAGGCATGTCCACAACTGTGGTCACTCCACCAAAGGCCGCAGCCTGCGTGCCGGTGTAGAAACCTTCCCATTCCGTTCTGCCTGGCTCGTTCAGGTGCACATGGGCATCTACAAGACCTGGTAGTAATATGTGTGGAGAGTAGTCTGTGTACGGAGTGTTTGGAGGAAACTCTGATGTAGGGACCACCGAATCGAATGTTGCGGTGATCTTTCCAGTCGCATTGGATATAACAATAGTGGCAGGGGAGAGCTGCCCTGACCTTATGACTCGGGACGAAGCGACCACGCTAATGGGTGAATCGTTCCCGGCATCGAGATAGCCATGCGGAGGAGAGCGTGGAGGAGTCGGATATGGATGAAAAGTGTCCTGTGGGTTAGACATGGTGTTATGTGTATAGTCCTGCCGCTTGTGGATTGGTATGGAAGACACAGGGTCAAAGAGTGAAACGGGAGCGTGCTATCGGAGTAGTGAACATGTGAAGGGCAAACGAGGCTTATCAACAGATGATAAGCAATATCACACTGCCTGTGAATGATAAGCGGATGCAGGGCTTGGGCACTTTTCTGGGGGAGCTTTGTGGGGGATAATACAAAGGGAAGCCATTGTTGTATATAATATACGCCCCTTTGAGAGCCGCAAGCGACCGGGCCATCGCCTCGACTCGGGTTCTTGCACGTCTTCTCAACCACATCGGAATGTCCAGACGATGCTGAAGGGGAAGTGTGGAGCGATGTTGGCGGAGGACTCCGACATATCGAAACTTGGTCAAGCGCATGGAGACCCTCTGATTGGGCTTTGGGTATGGGAGCCATCGCCGAAAGAGCCTCCAGGTGTATTCGTTACTCGATCATATCGAGTAGAGATAAGGAAGCGACGTGCGGTCGAAATCTAAATGTGGGTGGGTTGGGAGAGGAGTGGCGGGCTGACGCGCGCGTTATCGTTGGGGGTCAGCTCCATGCGCCCTGACCGCATTGACCGATGTAGGAAGGACAGTTGATTGTTCGGCGAACTCGGCACCGTGCGATCAGCCTAAGCCTCATTGAGTCTGAACGGCTCTCCCGCTGGTGTCTTCATTACTCGATATATATCTCCTTTTTACTCGATCAAAACCTCTGACTGGCACTGTTGTGAATATTGTCTTTCGCTTCCATGAACCTGGCGTGACCTCAATATGACATCCACGTAAGAATTTCTTTCTCAGCCGACGAACTTTGTATGTCATTTGGTGCATTTCCGCGGCGGTCTCCGAGATGACGGTGGTGCCGGTGACGATGGAAGTCTCAAACGACAGGCAACCGGCATGGCTTGAGGGCATCGAGAGTGTTTCAACCAGAGGCCAATGGTTCCTAGGGACCAAAGAGGAAGGAATCTCAGTCCACGGGTCGCACTGGTCATTGTGGCCCACGCACGGGTTCTGCCGCTTAGTCTCTTCTCTTACCTATTCTTGTCGCTCCAGGTATGATGGATTCGAGCAGTGCTATGCCCTCTGCGGCAGTCTTGTTGTACAACAGTAGCAGAAGACCACAACAGTGGCATCATGTAGTCGAGATGTTCTTGAACTCATCTTATCCGTGCAATCGTATTACTATTTACTACCCCTCAGACACCCAATCAATCAAATGATGAAAATCTCCGCCAAGACTGCGCTCATGTGTTCTCCACCTCGGCGAGTCGGTGTGCGGCTTCGAGACTTTCGATGTTCGTCCTGGAACTTTTTTTCGCCGCTGAGCTCGACAGGATCAATGAGGGTAGAAAGTGAAACCAAGTGTTAGGAGATTCAGGAAGATTACCGTCAAGATGCCTGACGAACTAGAGGTATTCACTTCTCTGCCAAATCTTTTATTTACCGCCTGCTGACACAAAACTCAGGAACGGCTCAAAAGCCATGCACGTGCCTTTGACAGTCTTCTGTCTTTGATCCCTGCGAAGTTATACTATGGTGAAGATGTCAGCGTATGCCAGTTCCGCAACATTATACCCCAGAGAAAATTAGCTGACGGTACGGCCAGGATCAATGGCAGCGAAAAAAGCAAACACCAGAGCAAAAGCGAGCGGCCAAGATGGCAAAACTCGATCCCGACAATTGGAAAAGTGCTAAAGATGTCATGGACGAACGAGCTGCCTTGAAGCGGAAGCGGGAGTCTGATAACGAAGAAGACGAAGCAGATCCAAGTATCCTAGAAAAACCCGGCATGGAACAACCTAAAGCAGCCCCAACCGCGCAGGCTGCTAAGGTCAAGAAGCAAAAAATTGAGACCAAGGCCACAACGCAGCCGGACAGCGAAGAGAAGGAAACCGAGGAAGACATCAGACGTCGAAAGGCACTCCAAAGAGCCGAGAAACGAGCACTGAAGAGTGAGTTGAAAGCACAGGCAAAGGAGAAAAAAGAACGACAAAAGGCCAAGAAGAATGGAACAGAGCAGGATGGACAGTCAATACCAAGGGAGGTACAGCTGAAAGAGCCCATCGATCTAAAGTCACAACCCTTGGTAAACGACGATCAAGCCTCCACCGCCTCTTCTGAAGAGGAACTACCAGAGATTTTCTCCCCACCGCACGAGTCCACCACATCATCAACATCATCCATTCTACCATCAACTCTCGACGAGCCCATCAAACCTCAACTCTCCAATCTACAAATCCCTTCAGCACCTAGTGATGAGACCAGCTCCAAGAACACGTCCGCCTCAGGAACACCTCGCGAGAGACTACAAGAGGCCATTCAGCGACTTCGAGCAGAGCGTAAGGCGGACAAAGACGACGCTCGCGGCCCCAAGAATCGACAGGAACTCCTGGAACAACGACGCAAAAAGGAAGAAGAGCGCAAGGCCGCCAAGAAAGAGCAAAAGCGACGAGAAAAGGAAGAAGAGGCACGTCGACAGGATGAAGAGATCGCCCGCCGCTTCTCACCAGGAGGTTCGGGTTCGCTACTGGCGTCTCCTCGCTCTCCTCAAGTCGGTGACAATGGTCCCAGCACCAACTTCAGCTTTGGTCGCATCGCCTTCGATGACGGCACACAATTCGACCCATCGTCCTCCACGGTAGTCGAAGACCATAAGAAGAAGGGACCTCGAGACACCGCTTCAGAACTCAAAGCCGCCATGGCCAAGAAGCAGCGACTAGCCGGCCTGGACGAGGACAAGCGCAAGGAGATCGCGGAGAAGGACATGTGGCTGAACGCCAAGAAACGTGCCCATGGTGAACATGTCCGGGATGATACAAGTCTGCTCAAAAAGGCCCTGAAAAGACAGCAGGGTCAAAAGAAGAAGAGCGAGAAGGAATGGACGGAACGCCTCGAGGGTGTTCAGAAGGCACAGTACGCCAAGCAAAAGAAACGAGTCGACAATTTGGCCAAGAGGAAGGATGAGAAGGGCTCTCACGGGAAATCGAAGAAAAGACCTGGATTCGAGGGTAGTTTCAAGGGCAGAACTGGTGGAAAGAAGAAGTAATCTTCTCGAGCAACGTTGTGAAACGGACATGAAGAAAATGATAATAAACATGGTACTAAGCTCACACTTCTCCTTTCTCTCTTCTCGTGTAATGGTATCACATATAAGGTGACCTTCTCGTCTACGGCCTCCATAACAGCCTTATTCGACCAATTAACGACGTCCTGAAGGCTCGCATGTTACCTCGCTACAGGCTGCGCATGCTGCGCGTAGGCACTCCTCTGCCGAATTCTAGGTCCAAACTTATACAGAACCCACGGAATAGGCAGGAGCGCAATGGTCACAAATCCTAAAAGGCTTGTAGCCCATGCCACGCCCAAGGCACGATACCTGCCCCACAGACTCATCAGCAAACGCTCATACCCCATGCAGCGGAAACCAAGGACAAGGAGAAAGGGCACTTACATCTGCACCGTGAAAAGCGGAAACACCGCCCCAACAACATACCTCAACAACCCATTCGCCGCAGCGGCACTCGCCCCTGCCAACGGCCCATACGTGTCCAGCAGATACAACACGCACGAGCAAAAGACCAACAGATTGCCCACGCCGAATGGGATCGTCGCCAAGATAGGTGAGATCCAATGGACATCGCTGCGCGCCGACCACCCAAACCAGAACAAACTGATAGGCAGACAGAAACTCCCAATCATCGCAGGCCAGAGTCTTTCCTCGGGCGGTAGAGGTGCAAAATCCCCCTGAGCGCGTTTCTTCAACGTCTTCTTTTTGTATGTCAATCTGTCCATGATACTGAAAATCAGCGTCGCCATCACGACGCCGATTCCAATGCCCAGGAACACTAACCCGGACTCGCCGACATTGAAATGATACACCTGCACCTGTGGATACGGCGATTGAAATACAACCGGGAATGCTGCGAAAAAGCCAAACAACACGGCGAAGTTGAACGCTGTGTAGATGCTGAAGAAAGCGACAATACTCTCTGTGGCAAGCATAGTCAAAGGCCTCAACAAGGTAACAACCAGGATGAAATGCATCTTCGACATTCCCGGTGGGAGTGGGTTCTTTGGTGGTTGGAGACCGAGTTTCTTCGCGCGCCGCTGAAGTATAATGCGTTTGTACGTTTCTTTCGAGAAAATGGTAACGGCGTACGCGAGGACGCCCCAGAAAAGTATGATCCACTGCGTCCAACGCCATCCTTTCTTCATGGCGACGTATCCGCCAATGGCCGGTCCCAGCGCAGGCCCGAAAAAGGGCGCCATGAGGAAGAAAGCACTCGAGACGGCGCGATGGTAATGCGTGAACAAGTCAGCGTTGGTGCCCGCTCCGACAGCAAGGCATCCTGACCCACAGAGGCCGGCGAGAAGGCGGCAGGCCACGAGCGAGCCGAAGGATTTGGAGAAGCCGGCGCCCAATGTGAACAGTAGCGATGCAGGGAAGAAGAGGATGTACACTGCACGACGGCCGTATGTTTCACTGATTGGGGCGCTGACCACAGGTCCAATGCCCAGGCCTAGCACGTAGATGCTCAGTGGGATGATTGCGGCTGTTTCGCTGATATGAAAGTCACGGGCGACTTCGGGGATGCCTTGGATCACGATCGTTAGAAAACCGGACGCGTAGCTTTTGTCTGGGGACAGCTGAGCTGAACTTACTGGGGCTATAAACCGACGATCCAAAGGTGCTAGGTCCTGTCAGCGACGCATCAATAGCAGTGATGAAAGCCGCACATAGTAAAGCTCTGCAGAGCAGGCGTAAGGGTATGGTATATCTTCTTCGGAATCGACCAGTTATGAGGGTTGTCGGGATCATCGTCTCGGTCCCAGTCCTGTGCGGTCGTCGCTGGCGCTCGATCTGAGCGGCCAGTCCGCTGTGTCCTCTGGCTGGCTTTGCTGGTGGACTTTTCGAGCTCTGGCTCGGCCGTTGCAATCGGGACGGGCATCGAGTGCGTCGAAGAACTATCTGAATCGAGCGGTCTCGACATCTTCTCTTCTGGGGCTGGTGATGGGTGACTGTCTGCCATGACCACAGCTTGGACTTCCGAAGGGAAATGAGAGGATAGTGAATTGCTCTTTCCTCCGCAGAACGGGGTGAGGAAAAGGCAAATATACAGCCAGCAGTCGAGCTCCGAGATCGAACTCAAGCAAGCCAGGACCGCTCCTTTAAGGGTCTGGCAGCAGCTAGAGAGCCATGCCTCCTCAGCCACTTAGTCACCACACAGATTGAAAACCGAGGTATACCAATAGCCAAGCAAAATTTCCACGGCAGCTTTGTCACAAAGACCAAGGAGAAATAGTGATCTGGCAGGAAACACCCCAGCAGAAGCCTTCAACGAAGTTGCAAGTAGTGAACCGCGCTCCACACGAAATCTGGGTTAGTGAACAGTCACAGCATCAACATTGGACTTGCCTCGGGAAAAACATGCAGATTGTATGCGGAGTATGTATGTGGTGCCTCAAATGGGACGGTGGAGGGTTAGGCTGAATAATGACAACATAAACAGCGAGATGTAAGGGCAACAAAGGCGCACTTGACCTTGCAAGCGCAGCAAAGACTGGATCGAGAGTCCATTGCCGCTCTTGAGTATACTCCTCCACAAGATCCTCGTATGGATCAGTAATCATGGCATTCCATGGACGTCAGGGGCGTTGGTTCAACGGCTAGAACGGCAGGGATGGCCGCCAAAGTGTAGCAGGAGGGTTCATGTCTTCGAATGGGTGAGGAAGGCGAGAAATGCAGGTGAGGAGTGACATTTAAAGACTGTTCGCGAGCGTCAGCCTGGTTGTCCTGGATTTTGATGATTTAGTCAGGGATGGTCATCCTTTGTTATCAGATTCTTGTGCACATGGAAAAAAGGGTCCAGGGAATCTTGCCGAGGTACTGCTGACGTAACTGAGCATATCTCAAGAGCACGCACGCGGATGTATGTTCAAAGGCTACAACAGATGCTCAGAATGAGGCACTTCTTGATAAGAACAGGCCAGGTAGGCACAGTCTAGGATACGAGACTTCACCATAATCTTCGGCCGACTTGACATGATACAGCAAACGCGTTGAAACTCAACCTGAGCATTCCCGTACTATCAAAACTAAGTAGCGCAGTTCAGCCCTAATTCATGCTGGTATCTTGTCCTGTCGTTGATTCATAGTCTCCTCAGTGCTCACCAAACCACCGATCCATCAATTCCTCGCGTCTTTGACCAAGTTCAACTCATCAGACTTCGTTTCCAACGCCCTACGTAACAGTCTTCGATTGGCTGAGAGGATCCAGGTGATCTCCAGCATCGTACTCTTCCCGTCTCATGATACTCTCCACAGGTCCAAGAAGTCGTTTGAATCCATCCCTTCCGAGCTTCGCAACTTTGGCAGCGCTTGCTGCTACCACAGTCGCAGCACGAGGCTTGTCGTCCAGGAGTGCCAACTCACCAAAGAAATCACCTCGGTGATATTCTTTGACAGCTTTCTCGTCCTTGTATGCGGTAGCTTGGCCGGCTTCCAAAAGGTAGAAGGCATCACCAGGCTCGCCCTCGACAATGATCTTTTGACCTGCTTCGAATTTGACAGTCTCCAAGGCATCGGCGATCTTGGATCGTTCGTAGGGTTTGAGTGATGAGAACAGAGGGACTTCCTCCAGAAATCCTTCGTACATCTTTCGCTTCTGGAAAGCATTGTCCATGAGAATCCGGCGGAATGTGAGACGGTCCAAGGCCCACAGTAGTCCACCCTTGGAAGCACTGACTACTGTAGCAGCACGAGCAGCGTTGTACATCAATGCCAACTCACCAAAGCTGCCTCCTGGTCCAATTGTGCCGACCTTGTTGCCCATCCCTTCGGGACCAGCCTCAACTGAGCCAGCGGGGTTGATGTAGATGTTAAACTCGCCTTCCTCGATGATGTAGAAGTAATCACCTTCGTCGCCTTGAGTGATCACTTTGATGTTCTGGGCAGGAATGGACTTTTCGACCAAAGCATCCAGCACCAATCTGAAGGAATCTTCGTCGAGACTGGAGAACAAGAAGTTGCCAGCCACGGCATGTCGGAGTCGTTCGTACTGATCAGGTGTTTTTGAATGTTTTGGAGGTTTCCAGTTGCCAGAGTCACCTTCTGGTTGCATGGACTCTGCAGAGACGGAAGTCCTACGGCCTGCTGCATATTTACCTTGCACCTGCTCTGTTTGTTCTGGTTGCTGCTGTTCTGTCTCGCCCTCTGTGCCTTGAGTACCTAACCAGTTGCCAAACAGTCCTCCCCCTGCGCCACCTGCTGCAGCCCCAAAGCCAGAACCACCAAAGGGCGAGCGTCCTGTATCTCGGGATTTGAATGTAGCATCGGTAGGTGAGGCGAAGTGATCACGCTCTTCATCCTCCTCTTGTATGCTGTTCTTGGCTGCGAAGGGGTTGCGGTTGTCGAAAGGACCAGCAGTGTCTGCCATCTTGCCGTTGGATTTCGTACTAGGTGCTTTGCTTGTGGCCCGCTCGGACTCGAGCTTGCGTTGGAAGAAGTTCGCACAGTATTGTATGGGGTCGTCGGGTTTGGCGTTGAGCAAGTCTTTAGTCAGAGCATCAACGAGGGTTTGATATGAAGCAGGAAGTGACATTGAAGAGGCGAGGTTTTGAGAGGTGGGGTTGGTTCTACTGGAGTTCGGGTAGGTAGGATATCCGTGAACTGGGGAGGGATAGGTGAGGATGGATCCCTTGTGGTACTGTAGACAAAAAGTGGTCTGTGTGATGATTCGTAAAGGGCGCAGGCAGGGTAGAATGCCTATCCAGTGAGCTCAGTCTTGATCCAATGTCGTCTGCGTATCGTCTGCTGCAGTGGAGTGAACCAGGTCTGCTGGTGGGGCGAAAGCAGGTGAAATCGAAGATGACGCACTGGAGGGGTAAATGGTGGTGTTGCTAAAGGCTTCGAGAAGCTTTAGAACCAACTTAGCGATTAAATGGGAAGTCGGTGGATGATAAAGGGAAAGGATGGAAGTGGTGAAAGCGGGTGAGATCAAAAGGTAATAAGAAAGTCAAAGCTTGGAAAGAGTTGCTCTGACAGCAGATCAACTTTCTGCCTTGAGAAGCAGCCACCATGCAACGACTGTATACAGGCAAGCAAAGAGCTACAATATCTAGTAATTCTTGTCGAGGGAGCCAGCAAAACTGCGCGGAGCACGGGCGGCTGCGGCCTCTTTTGGTAGCTTTAAATTATTGCTGATCTACAGCACATTGGCAACGATGGGCGTGTGCACCCTCTCCTTGCATGGTTCATTACAGTCGAGCTTTGACGCTGGCGGCTCCTAGCTGCACATTCCATCTACGCTCGTGCAGGCGCTGTGCAGTTTGATTCTACTGCTTCTTTCACTTTGCACTCCGGCTTATCGACCGATGCGGACCTCTCAAAAGAGCGAAACACCACCTGTACCCCTCAACAAGTGCGTTGCATACCACCATTGAGAGTAAAGCACTACGGGTGGAAGCGATGTCATAGCCAGAAGCTTTCTAGCGGTCAGGGCGATGGTTCAAGGCCCTGATTGGCCTCTCATGCCCATCTTATGCCTACCCTAGTTCAAAGCTTACCCTTAGGCTTTCTAGGCTCACGCTACAGATGGCTTCTAGCTTCCTTTGCATCTTGACTCTCGAGAGGTACTAGGCTTCGAATCAGAAAGAGGGCAGGAAAGAGACACAACATACCGGACAACCCTGAAGAAACAGACTCCGTCCGTGGTGTTGCTATGCTGCCTCATGACAAAGAAGCATGTGCAGCAGAAGATAAGCCAGAAGTATGGGTTCGTTGCTCCATGTGATGCTATTATTGATTGATGATGGAGCACGGGCGATCGAAGATGCACCGCATAGATCATCATGATCGTCCAAAGCCAGCCACCGGCCCGTTTATGGCTGCTTCTGCGTCTTCTAGAAGGATTCTAGAATATCAAGACGCAAGATGATGACTTTTGAACGATGAATTAGCTATTACACGAACAAAAATGCCTAAACCATCTCTGCCAATAACCACACAACTGAAGGGGATATCTACAATGACAAACAAACCCAGATCAGAGGATCCGCTGTCCAAACCCAGCAATGCGCCGTTACCTCGCAATGCACCCCGTTGCCCCTTCAGAAACCCCTTTCATCTGCACGAGATACATACAAGCCGCCAGGCTGCTATTCGTTTGCCGATAATGCAAACTAGAGACACTTTTTAGTCGAAGATCTTCTTGAACAATGAGCTGATCCGGTTCTTCTTCTTCTTATCCTTGCTTGTCGACGCAGGACTGGCGGTAGGAGTGGTGGTGGCAGGCTTCTTGGTAGGTGTAGTAGTAGCGCTTGATGGAGTTGTCGTGGTCTCCTTCTTGGATGCTGGAGCAGCAGATGTGGGTGCTGCGGACTTTAGAGTCTCCTTGACAGGGGTAGCCGAAGTCGCTGGTACATAGGAGCTTGTTGTGGCTGGTGCGGCCTCAGTCGCTGCAGGGGCAGTTCCCTGGGCGTCATTCGCGTTCATCATACGAACCGCGGGTTCGTCGGCCAGCGTAGGATCCTCCGTACCATCCGAGACTGCCGCAGCGGCTGCGCTCGACACACCTGGAGCACTACTGGTGTTATGCGGAGGGGCATATTCGGTGTTGTCGCCTTCCGTCTTCTCGGTGACAGTGCTAGTCTGCGCAACATTACTTGGAACCTCGGATCCTTCAGCTCCGTCGGCGATTGCGGCAGCGGCGACCGACGAGGTTCCAGGAAGAGTTTCGCTGGTGGTCTCCCTTGTTGTGGATGGGGCAGTCGCAGAAGTGGCCGCTGCAATGGTTGGTGCAGGCTCACCAGCCTCTTCGGTTTCAGGCACTTTCGTTAGGAGCTCTTGTTCCACTTGAGCCTTTTCTCTGACAGCTTCGGTAGACGCAGCCGCTTCGGGAGAAGTGTTAGCCTCGGCTACCGACTCCTGGACAACTTCGGGCACCACTGAGGAAGTAGCCTGAGCGTCTACATCTGTGGTAGAGACCTTATTCAACAGCTCTTGTTCCACTTCTGCCTTTTCTCTGACCGCTTCAGTAGAAGCAGCCGCTTCAGGGGAAGTGTTAGCCTCGGCAAGCGAATCTTGGACGACTGAGGGCACAGCTGAGGAGGCAGCCTGGACGTTTGCATCTGTGGTGGGGACTTTATTTAACAGCTCCTCTTCCACTGCTGTCTTCTCCCTTACAGCTTCAGCAGAAGTGGTTGCTTCTGGCGAAACGTGCGCCTCTGCGATGGACTCCTTGACGACCTCGGGAACAGCAGAAGTAGTAGATTCAGGCTCATAGACTGTAGCTTCCTTGCGCTCTTCCAATGGGACCTGACCTGCCAAATCTGCAGTCGTAGAAGTAGGTCCAGCTGATTGAGTCGTGGGACCAGCATCCTCAAGCCCGGCGTCTTTGCTCATTGGAAGGGAAGACTCCGGGATCAAATTTTCCTTCTTTTCAGAGGATGTCAAAGACGACGCAAGCCCTCCGAGACCAAGCGCTGATAGCGCACCTCCAATGTAAGATGTTGAGCTACCGGCATTGTCATAGTCCTGCTCTGAGGTCGTGATTGAAGAGTAGATGGAGTTGGAGGTAAATTGATTGGAAGGAGGCACCTTCTCACCAGCCGGAAGATCCACTGGGTTTTTGTTTTCCGTGGTGGGTGGCAGTGGGTTGACGCCGAAGGACTGTTCTTGTTCATTTGCCGGGGTTTCTGGGAATGCTCCTGGCGGGCTGCTTTTAGTGGTTTCCTTATTGAGGGTAGGGTAGGACGCAGATTCAACTAAGGGTGGGACGTAAGGTCAGGATTTGATGCATGTTGCACACAAGACAATCCTCGGTGTAGCTTACCTTCGGTCGCCTCTTTTCTCGATTCCAAGGGCACCCCACCAGCCAAAGCCGCGGTGGTGCTTTCTGGCGCTGCACTTGAAGTCGTCAAGGCCTCAGGAGCGACGTCACCCTTGCGGCTGATTTGCTCCGGGTGCAGAACGTTATTGACATTTCCATGGCCGTCGTCTTCGGTAGCGGCTTGAGGGTCGATGACCCAGTTGTCGTTGACGACGAACTTGTAGAGTATCTTCTTCCCGGCCTCCGGCAATCGCACCTCCTTTTCCCAAATGTCGCCAACCTTATTCAACTTTTCAGTCTTGCCCCAGTCGTCGAAAGTGCCGGTGACGTGGACATCGTAGGCGTCGGGATGTGGCCTGAAACATGTTAGTAATGATGGTGAAGAATTGGACGCGACTCAGGAGTCTGCAGTTGCGCTGTCTCATCAGTCAGCAGCGCAATTGCGCGCTTACTCACCATCTGAACACAAAGCTACCCATGATTGTTACGTCGGTGTGCAAATGACAGGATAGTGGTGGAAGGAAGAGGGGATGTAAGTATGCAAGACTATGGCGTAATGCGCAGGATCAGTGTTCAGGCGACAGCTTTCAATGCTCGAGCTTTTGCGGAAGAGGCGCCGTCAATCGAAGACTCGCTTGATCTGTCTTCCAGTGGACTAAAGGAATGTAGACACGCAGTAATAACAATTAATGGCGCGAAGAACCGACGAGTGAGTATGTGGATGAGTTGTAGGAGAAAATTGTGTATCTGCTTAGCAAAAGTAAGAAATGGAGAGGCGGGTTTAGGAAGAGAGTTGAGGTGGGATTGATGAAACGCCGTACTATGCACAGGCTGCAGGCGCCGACGAAGCTAAACTGAAAATCAATGCCGAATGAAATTGACGCGCTTTGGGGGCGCATACGCCTTGCTCCTGCCACTGGTGGACTGACTGGTAGCCTGGTAAGAGGGTCACTGGACTCACTGCAGGGTCTGGGTGTTAAGGAACAGCTGTCTTTTTTATCCGCAGCGACGTCTTCTATCTTCGACGACGGCTATGCTTCTTCGATATTTACATGGTGTTATCAGCTTCGTCGACGACACAAGCTGCTGCAGAACATTTAAACCGTGATCAGCACCCACTAATCCCGCCAAATACATAGTACAATACAAGTCCCGACATCCTTTTCCTTGCTTGATGCGAACATACACACATTTGGCCATGTTCATCCGAACTGATATCATTATATACTCACATTATTCCACTGGCCACGAAATCACCGTCTCTCGATATCAAGGCTGACTCCTGTCCTTGTTGGTTTCACTCGCCAGATTGCCCGTACTTCTTCCTATCTTCATTTCTTCCCTCCAGGTGGTTCGCTCCTAGAAGGTGTCAGCAGACCGGTGAGGTAGATTAAGGTGGTAAAAGCTTACCACTTCAGCCACGCCAGGCCCCTTGTACACGCTACCATATGGTCCGTTCGCCCAAGCCTTGCCCTCTTTCGCCTTCTGGGTCTCTACGCGTCCTTTCTTGGAATACTTCCGCCTGTACCACTTGCCATATGCGAGCAGATAGTACAATCTGAAACTCAAAAAGGCAAACTTGTCGTTCTCCAGGTCCTCAGGATATTCGGCGCCCAAATCCACAGCAGCGGCAATGCCTGACATTATAGCCACCTCATGCGCATTGACCATGGTCCAGCTCGAAGCGTACCGGATGTTCTTCCTACCCTGGAGGAACATCATCCATGGTACGACGAACAGGTAATGTGTGTAGCTATGGCAGAGTTGATGCCACCAATCCTTCCGGATTATCTTGGACTCGTCGATCTCGTGGTCCGACCACAAATGTCCATCACGGCCCTTGTTGAGATAGATGGTCTGGAAGACATGATCCTCAAATGGTACGTTGTGGGGAAATTGGGCCTGATAGTTGGTTGTGTCGAAGCACATCTCCAGCCTAGACAGATCCTGCTCGTACATCTTGATGTAGTACATTGGACGGAAATTCTTGCTGGCTGCTTCACAGCGTGCAGTCTGATCACTGCCTGAGAGAGACTTGGCAGCAATTGAGTCATCATAGAAATTCTGATAGTGCTTTTTCATGTAGTCTGCATCCGTATGGGTGATGGTGATATCGTCCGAGAATTTGGCAGATCCGAGCACTTGACGTTCGCGCCATGAGGCGGTCTTACCAAGGGCGATCTTTGCTGTGTCGGCAAGCACGCAAAGCACGATCTCGTCATAATGCTCCTCGAAAGTTGGGGCATCAGGGTCACCAAAGACCGGGTTATGGTGGTCGGGCATGGGGGTACGCTTTTTCAAGCTAACGATCACGCCGTTCTTGTCTCGATTCAGGACTTTGACAAGCTCAGTGTTCAATCTGACCGTAACGCCACGCGATTCGAGGTCTTTCCGCCAAGTTGCGTAGAACTCGGAAAAGTTTGGAAATACGACCATGGGCGGCATGTTGCTTGCAATGCTTTTTGAGTCGTACGGATACCACATGCCGTAAGTCGGACTCGTGCATAGACGCTCAAGCATCATGGTAGGTACTTCAGGGGCATAGTTTCCGGTACCCAGAAATAACGCAACCATGGGCAGAGCCACGACGTTGGTGAACTCTTCCGAAAACATCCAAAGCTTGAAAAAGATCTTCATCGGGATCAGGGCGAAGAAGATCTCAAACCAGCGCATGAACTTCAGGACAAACGAGAGGCGTTTGACTTCGCTTTGATGTCGAGCAATGAGGTCGGTTGGGAAGACATTGGACCAGAAAGTCTTCTTGCCCAGTCCGAACGAAACTTGTAGATTCACTGGGTCGGCATGGTAGCCTTGTCGAGCGAACATGGTCATAGTATGGTGGAAGATGTAGCTGCCACCCTGGACACCTTGGTTAAACCAGCTGGCACCATGTCGTTCTTTGTCCAACTGGTGAGAGAAGGCTTGTCCGCCGCAATAGTCGACGGCGTCGATCAGGGTAATGTCGTATTTGTCGGTATCGCTGAGATGATGTGCACAGCTCATGCTAAACCCAGGTCAACACAGGCGGATCTAATTCATCACTTGCAAAGATTGCTTACCCTGCTGCTCCTGCACCCACGATCAACACCTTCTTTTTACGACCATCTTTGGAATTCATGGCGGTGGTTGAACCGTGTTCAACGTCGTTTAGAAATGGCTTGCTGCTGCTGCTGCTGCTGCTCCTGCTAGCCATTAACGAGGAGACAGGATACTAAAGTATTGGCGGTAGCAAAGCTCATTTCCAGAGCGCTGCTACGCTGACTCGTATATAAAAAGCAGCCAGGTCTTGTGGCTGTCTTTTTGCACTTCTTCATGACAATTACATTGAATTGACGACGTCATGAATTGGGCGAAGATCGCACGGATCTTTCAGCCTTGTGAGATCGATCAGATCTTGCTGTTCGAGTTCCGCCATTGGTCTGACCACAAGCCACCTCCAGATCCACCAACCACATCAACGTCCTTCTTCCTCCCATTCACCAGAAAACCAGCGACTTGACTCCCAGCTGTTTGGTCACTTCAAATAGGAAGAAACAACAAGGAAAGACCTTACGCCCACCTTTCTCAACCTGCACCAAACGCAACGTCTCCCCAGAACAACCACTCGCCAATCCCACCGTTTGATTGCGCCGCTTCTTGCTGAAACATGATATCAAAGTCATCCATAGGCATCGCCGTGGACGCCGAATCTGGAGCAGTCTGATGCATGAGCACATCCCACATCCGACATAGCGAGGAATCAACATCCCCAAGAAGTCCCGCTTGCTCAGCCGTAAGCGTACAGCTACCCTCCGGCACAAAGTCCATCTGTCTCCGCGTTGACACGGTGAGTTGATACATCCTCTGGAAAGTATTGATACTCCCCCCAGCCGAAGGCCACTTCCATCTCATCTCTTCCTGAACTTGAGCAAGAACCCGCAGATCCTCCTGCGCAACAGTCCATAGTCGAGTGTACCTGTGACAAGAAAGCAGCGCAATCGCCGCAACAAGCGCATAAAAAGTAAAAACGGGGTTCAAAAACCGTACCTCGTCCCGAGAGATAAGGTCGGAGAAAATGCCAGCGATCGTTGAGGATGCAATCACCGCGGCAAAAGAAGACGGCCGACCTAGTGTCCTTTCCCGATACAGCAGGACGACAGCGACATAGTACAAGACGTGAAGTTGTCGAGCCTCAAAACTATACGGTTTCAAAATCTGAGCGTCGCCATCTTGTGTTAACCTCAGCGACCGAGGCAGCGCTGTAATCCACTGTGATAACGACTCCTGAGTACCAGTTGCATGAGAGTGGAGCGACGAATCTGTATTCAACGCAGCTTTGACGAATCGCCCGACAATCACCGCTAGATCGACGTAGGCGATAAACACCACGCCCGTGGCAGGTGTAACGGGAAAGTCTTCAACCGTCGGCCGAGGAACGTCGCAATCCTCCAAGTTGATGGCTGCTGGCCGACCGTGAGCCGCACTGATCAGACAATCGCGAGCCTGTAGTACACCATACCCGTCAGCCGTCCGCACGAGCGTATTCGATGCATCGCAAGACACCATGTAGAGAGTAGGGATCATACCACAAGCGTCCACCATATTCGCCGCCTCAGTCTCTTATCAGGCAATGCTCTCCTACGATGCAACCCCGTCTGCTGCGCCAGACTGACCGCCACCCTAACCCAGTGAGTCGAAGTATTACTCGACACCGTCTCCGGCCCATGAGGATTGAGCCAATGCAGCAGCGACACCGCTGTCAAAAGATTCAGCGGATCGCGCTCGAAGTCGAGATAGAAAAGTGTATTAGCACGGTTGTAAAAGTCCTTTGACAACTCCAAAGACTCGGACGAAGATGAAGACATCCGACGTCCAGCAAGCAAGATCGCGTTGACGAGCAAAGGCGAACTTTCGGCCATAGTGATTGCAACGAGATGAGAGCGTTCAAGCACGGGATCCCATGGATAGCAGTATGTCCAGAAGTTTTCGAAAAGGGCCTCGCGTGTAGGGTGATCGGGTAGGGCGAAGGTCTCTTGAATATTACAAATCTTGGTGCGGATGTCAGGCGAGAGGGAGGAATAGTGATGTTCGATGTTGCTAACGGTGTGCATGTTGGTGTCCACTGCACCGTCCTGAGAGCGGTACACCTCTGAGTCCGGTGCGATGTACCGCGATCGCTGCATATAGCCGGGTTCGTATGGCCTATCTAGAGACATGGGCGTAGACGTAGGCGCGCTGGCACTGGTGATAGGAGGGTCTGAGCCGGACAATACACGTTCGGGAGCGACGACAAAAGGCTGCGGATTCGCGAGTGGACCGGACGACCATGTCTGTTCCCCATCCTGACGCTCGCTGGGCTGACGGTCGGCGTGTCGTAGCACCCTTGGTACGTCCCGATTTCTGGTCCGCCGAACATCGTTGCTCAACGAAGTTGTTGTCGCCCCATCACCAACAGTAACGGACGAAGCGGTAGCTTGCTTCTTGCTGGCCCTAAGACCCGTGCGGACAGACGACTCGGTAATCTCCTTGTCGCTGACTACACCCTCACTATCGCCAGTCGCACCGACAGCCTTCTTTCTCCTCTTCCACGGTCGACATTGTTGCTCGGGCTCTCGTGCACAATTCGTACATCGCCGCCTGGTCGCGCTAAGGTCGCATCGGATTTTGCGCGAGTGACAGGCTCGACAGGCTCTTTCGGTGCGAGATATATCTTCTAGATTGGAGTTGTGTCTTCCTACCCTGAACTCCATCTAGACTTCGTGCCATCTCATCGTCGTGACATACTAGCAGATTGACATGAATGTCACAAGTAGTCGATGCATAAACTGGTCGGACTTAAGATTCACCAAACACCGGAAGCGATACTTGATCAGCCTTGCGCGAGCCAGCCATATCATACCTCACCTTAAGCGTGACCACCTTCACTAGCAATATATATTTGAGACCCGAAAAATTGCTTCAATCCACAGTGAAGCCGAGAGATATGCGAAATACAGAACTTGAAGATTGCTGAGTGGTAAAGATCCTGGTCTGAACCCAAATAACCCTATTTGGTGAGGCCAGGATCGAACTCCCCCAATCCCCCTTCGTAGAAACGAGAAAAACCAGTACGGCTGGTTTCACTTACCTACAACCTCCATAATGGAGCTTGTGAGGAAAAGTCTTTGTTTTTTTGGTTCATAATACTCGTTTTGGTTTGGATATTTCGCCTTTTTATGAGGGGGCCTTTCAAGCACTTCTGAGACCATCACGACCACTTATCCCGCCAGAACATCTAGATACTAGCCCGTCTCGGAGCCTGTCCTCGGAGAAGCTGTTTGCCTTCCTCGTCTTTAAAGCCAGTCCACATATCAATCACGTCCAAGTTGCCTTCATTCTTCAACCTCGACAAAAACTCCTTCGCATAGTTATAGCTGTTCTCATAGATCTCTTCCCACGACCCAAACTGCAATGTCCCGTAATGGTCGACTGGCGGACGCATGTACACGCAACCCGGAGTATTCTTTGCCCGCTCCAGAGCATCAACCGAACTCACGTACGCCAGCCGTGCTTGGATATCGTTGAGCGAGGGCGGATTCGGTATCGACGAGAAAGGATTCCATCGGTTGTAAAGCGCCCAGAAGCCCGAAAGCGTATCGCCATATTGTTGCGGAGTGTCGTCATCCTGACTGCCCACATCAACAGCAAAAACAAGATCGGTTCCAAGACTCTTCATATGCTGTACAGTCAGATTATCAATGTATCCGCCGTCAAGGAGCATGCTTCCATCATCGCATATAGGCGGTATCAAACCGGCGAGAGACATGCTCGCCCGGACATAGCGCCACGCATAGCCTGACGTGTGGATCTCCGGACGTGACTTGCTGATATTCGTGGTGTTGCAGTAGAAAGACAACCAAAAGTCTTCGATCTGAGAATCTCCAAATATCTTAAACAGCCCGCGATTGAACTCGTGACCAGTCGTGTACGACGCAGACGGGTACGTCAGGTCAAGGGCGAAGCGCCACATACTGCCCATCCTGCCCGCAAACTGCTTGGCTCGGCCATACATAGGCACCATGTCCGCATCGCGGGCGTAGAGTGCGCCCATAAGAGCACCTATCGAAGTGCCGCCGATGATGTCGATTGGTATCCCAGCCTCTTCGAGAGCACGAATGACTCCAACGTGTGCAATACCACGAGCACCACCACCACCAAGGACTAGACCCACAGACTTTCCGCATAACCGTCGCGCCATTCGATGAAAGTCACCTTTGAAAGGTGTGTCTGCCGAGTACAGGGGAGCTTGCCGCACTCTTCTAGACGTGTATTTCTGTATCTCGGCTTGAATGACCTGTACCCTCTGCTTGATGGCTGACCCCAACCGTCGGGGTTGAGCATGTGGAGTAGCTTCGGGACTGGCACGGAAGGCCATTTGTATGTGATGGTGACCTCCATTTATCCACAACCTGTTCCGTAGCCACTGTCGTGTAAGTCCAGGCCGGACATATCGATCCACATGAAGAAGCACAAGCTCCTTTCGAGCCGTTGTCTTCATACCGAGGAGGAATCGCTCGTACTCGCCAATGCTGGGCGAGCTTTCTGCTAAGCCTACCAGTAAGATGCAGTCGGCTTGTGAAATACACGTCTGCGTCCAAGGCGCATTCACACTCGTATCGGCAATATAGAGCAGCATGCCATATTTCTCCTCGAGGTCGGCAAGATATTGTGACAACTTCAGCCGGCCCATCCGGCTAAAGGCATGACGGCCGAGATGGTTGAGGATTATCGCTTGATTCAGCAGTGAGACCCCGTTGGGAACGCCCACTTGGCTCATAGCCGCCAGTAATCGATTTCCGAACTCAATGACTGGCACTCCAGCTGTGACTGGTAACACTGCCACTGTCCGCAGGTTATAGTTCGATGTGGTAGACTCGCTCACTGCTGTTCTTGTTCTATCCGGTGCTTGCTCAGTCAAAGGAGCTTCCACAAGCGCCCTCATGCGCTGTGCTATCAGTTTTGATATCTGAATAGTAATGTTGGGATGTTCTTGAGCAAGACTGTTGAACAAGGTTCGCGGGAATTTGGCAAGTTCCGTATCTCGAATGGCGTGCAAAGTGGCAGGTCTTGTTGCATCTGTCATGACCTCCAGCTCACCAATACTCTCGCCTTGACCATATTCTCCTGATACGCGCATATTGCCACCCTCGCCTTCTCGTACAGCTCTCAGACGACCATTGAGTACGATATAGATCGCATCACTGTCATCTCCCTGGTGATGTATGACTTGTCCAGCATTGATTTGGACCCATTCCAGCGCGAAATCAATGTGAAGGATCAATCGTGGGAGCAGGCTAGTCAGTCGTTTAGCCATCGTCAACAACACGATCGGGTACTTCTCGGCCACCCTTTCCAGGGCGGCACGTGGTAGAAATCCGACATACACGTCGGTCTTGGCTGTCACATCGGTAAATGATCTGTAGGAAGACAGTGTCCCAACATAACCAGCAACGCCACCAGGCTTGACCAAGAACAAAGACTTTTCCACCATTCTTTTGGACTCTTTTGCTTTGCCAGGGCCGCCTGGTAACGAAGAAGCTCGAGAATTCGATGTCTTTGTTCTTCGCAGCCGGTGGAATGGCTCTTCTCGACTATGTTTTCGCCCATTGTAGGTTGGTGAATCTTTCTTCTCTTCCTTCTCCTCGACTGGAATACTGACGTCCAAAAACCCGTCGATAACATAGTAGAGACCTGGATTTCGTTCACCCTGCTCGACCAGCACGGAACCCTTCGGAAAGAAGACGATTTCCACATCATCAATGAGTTCGTCGTTCAGAGAATGGCCTTGCAATCCTCCGGTAGCACTGGCCACGGAGACAGACATAGACTCCGAATCGCCATCAGCGAGGTCATCATAGGGGTCGATGAAACCAAAAGCGTTGTTGAAGATGGCCGTTTGTCGCTTTGCGTCGTAGGATACCAGACGTGGCGATTGTTCCACCGAAGCAGCACCTCGCCGTGAAGACTGGCTGCCAGCCTCATTAAGCCCAAGCGCCTTGGCCATACACTCGAGCACTGATTCGCGGAACAAACCATCCTCATTCATAGAGTCCTGGCGATGAAGTGTTTTATCGGGGCCAAAGGGCGAGAAGAAAGGCAGCTCACGATTTCCCATTGGGCTAGTTATTTCCGACCTCGGCGTTTCTGGTGCGCCCATTCCTGTCCAGTTTGAAGTTGATCGGATATGGGTCATTGGTCGCTGACTTGGCCGGGATGTCCCATGAAGGTCACCTGAACTAACATTCCTGTCTCCCATGCCAGGCCGCAGCACTTTGGGCGCCAACGCAGGCGTTAATACAGGAGTCAAGGCAGTTGGCGTGCCGCGCGCCGCAGCGATAGCCGCTTCCCGGCGCAGATTGCTTGAGGACCTGCGTCGGTTTGCAGAAGGATTATGCAACGCGATTCCCTTGGTCAGCTCTTCTGGCCCGATGCGATCTCTTTCCTTGGTGAACTTGTCTCGAAGCCTGTCTAGAGCAGAACCCCGTAAGTGATTTGGCAGATCAAAACTGGTGAACTTGTTCATAGACTTCTCGATTTGCAGGACCTCTGAAGTCAGGCCCAAATATTGATGCGCCGTTGACAAGGTGACCCGGTGCAATCGTGTCAGGATCACCTGAACTATGTGCGCGGTAGCTTTTGGATATACTCTCGTCAAACGGCGAAACGCACTCGCTGGGATTATAGCTATTGTAGTATCCACTGTAGCCCTGGCGACGATGTCTGGATGTACCGAGGAGGCCGCTCTGGGTCTCGCTTTGGGTGTCTTGTAATCTGGGTCATCATAGGCCTGGTCAAGCGTCAGCGGCGGGACATTGGGTAGTCTTTGTCGAGGGTGCCCGTTCGCGGTGCCTGGACGATCGAAGGCTGGCGTTGATGGCTGGGTGGCAGGACTTGTGATATTGGAATCAGGAGTACGAGAGAAGGCACCAGCGAATCGTGAGGCAACAGGATGCTGCTCGTCGTGGCGTAACTTAACATCTTCGGTAAAAAGTGACAATATCGAGAAGAGGGAGGACATGGAAGCTCCGTTCTTGACTTCGGTGAGCAGCTGGTACCCTTGGTTGCCTTCGCGGTATCCCTCGTCCTCGTCGAATAAGTCTACAGGGGCCTGTCCATCCGACGTGTCCCTCAGGGACTTCACGAATATCTGCACAAGCCCATCCACGACCAGACAGAACCCCTTCTCTTCCTCGAGCAATAACGTTTCGCCGGCAATGAGTTTCCTAGTCTGCATTGTCCGGGTCAACTCGTGAAACACTGGCCGCTCCAAATACCCAAACACCTTGATTGCCTCGAGGAATTCATCAAGATAATTTGACAAGCCCGGTTTGGAATCTCCTCCTTGTACATCTGGAAACAGATCTATTTGCACCTCTTTTCTCTGCGGTTCCGCTGGGAGACGTGTGTAGACATTGAGGAACCGGTACCGGATGAACCAGCTGATGGTCGACACAATCGCCAGGGCTATCAGAAGCCTTAGATGGTCAGCCAGGCACGGTCTCGGAGGTCCGGGCACTTACAAAGTAGTGAAATTCATGGTGAATGTCAAACTCATTGAGAACAGAGTAAACAACCATGTTGGTAAGGTGATTGTGGTAAAGGTGATGGTCCAGAACAGGGCGCCAGGAATGAAAGTTATCAGAGCTCCAAGGGCAGAGAGAAAGCCAGACGGAGGTGGTGCCAGGTCGACATGTTGTCCAGCAGCACTCGTCGAGGCAGAGAGACTAGGTGCTAGCAGGCTCGAGGACAGAGAGCCGGCCATCGACGATGCCGCGAGGATCGCCGAAGAGGACATGCTAAGGAAGTGTACAGGTCACAAGGGCCAGACATTGCTTCTGACTAGCTGGTTAGCATCGAAATGCGGGCAGATTCATCGTGCGGTGGTGGTCAGAGAGAGAATGTCCAGCAAGCATTGTTGATCAATAAAGAGTGCACGTGAAAAAGTATGAACGTGGTGGTGCAGGTCAGAATCCCACACTTAGACACACCGTCGGCACGTCATTTCTTTGGGGGTGGCTACAGTACATGGGGCAGTTGGGCAGTCCACAGGTAGAAGGGGGCGGAAATGATATCCCGCTCTTCGTGCCGCAGGTGTATTGCTTAATGTGATCCACCGCCTTGTCTCTGTGATCGACTCATGCTGCGGTACACTTTATAACTATCGCATTCTTGGAAGACAATACAGTCTGAGCATCTGCCAACAGAAAATGGGTATCTGACAAAACAAAGTGTAATCATCGCCTCTCGTGAACTAACCGTCCTCCAACCCAAACCCGCCGTATGTTCCTGTCGTCCCCGTTCCATACCCATTTGGCGACTCTATTCTCCCAACTTTCCCATCCAAATATGTCCACATGCGTATCTTCACCCTGACCGTCACTCTCAACATCTCCCAAAGTAATCTCTTGTACATCCCAGAGCATTCCCTCCTCAAAACCGCCGAGACGCCCTTCCATACCCACAACTTTTGCTCCGCCCATGGTAGCCAGCCACAATGCTTCCGCCACACCAAGATTGTACCTGCTGTCTCCGTCGTGAAGGAACCCAACATGCCGACTGACAATGCAAGCATTTCTCACAGCGTCGAGGATGCTCGTACTATAGCCGCCACTCACATCCGTCCCTAGGCCTACCTCGATGCCTTCGTCCAGCAACTCCCGCACCGGGCAGAATCCACTCCCCAGCGCACTGTTGCTATTTGGACAGTGACTGATCTTGCTTTCCCTCTGTTTGACCAACCGCATCTCCTCTCTGCTCAGGTGAACTGCATGTGCCAGGATCGTTTTGGGTGTCAACAATCCGTGATGATCGTAGACATCTGCGTAGCTTGACCGGTCAGGAAACAGCTCTTTCACCAACTTGACTTCGTTCAAATTCTCCGAAATATGTGTTTGGATCCTAAGGCCCTCTTCCTTCGCCAATTCACCGAGCTGGCTTAAGGTCTGGGGTAGACAGCTAGGCGCAAATCTTGGAGTGACAATGTGAGCCACGAGCTCACCAGAGGCATCCAAAGATCTGCAATGTGCTATGCTCGCCTTGGTGTTCGAGATGGTCTGCTCCGTGCTCTCATCTCGATAGTAATCTGGACACATTTCTGGCTGATCCATGCAGACCCGTCCAATGTATGCTCGCTGACCTTTGGCAAAAGTGATATCTGCCAGTAGGTTCGTCGCATCAACGTGAATGGTCGCATAGTATGATGCCGTTGTAGTTCCATTGGCAAGTGTCCGTGAGACCAGACGGTTGTATACCGCCTTTGCTCGAGCAAGCGGCTCTGGGGAACTGACGGCATCTTTGTACATAGGAGATTTGACGTTTCCCAATGACGATTCCAGCGGAAACGTGTACGTCGTAAGCCAATCCAACAATGTCGATTTGCCGAATATACCCACGTTGGGATATTGCGACGCATGTATGTGTGTGTCTGGGAAGCTGTCAGTTTTGCCCACCTCCTGGGTATTTCTCAAAGCGTGACTTCTGCAACCACATACCTATAAAACCTGGGAAGAAAAAGCCGCTGTCCTTGGCGACTACCACAGGCGCCTCAACTCCAAACTTGCTGGCAGCATCACTAGGACTTGTCACCGTCCAATCGGCCTTCTTGATCACTCCTCTGCCGTCGTTTCTGTCCACCAGAACAGCGCCAGTCCGGATCAATAGGTTATCGGGCCGTGGCGCTGAAATAAATCGACCAAAGTAGATTGTCTCCCCACCCATTTTCAAAATCACTGCAGCGCCAGAAAAGGACCGAGCTCAAGGTTCTCAAAATATGAAAACAGCAAGAAAAGAAGCCAGCTTTAAAGGAAACGGGAGCAAGAGAAGTCTTATCAAAATGGAAGCTGAAGAAGCAAACAGAAACTGACAGCCAATCAGAATTGTACACGGAAGGATGTCGGCGGGCGCCGACGACCCATTAATCCCAATTAGGTCAACAAAGATGTACGACCATGATCGAGCAAAGAAGATCGTCAATACCTCGTGTTGGACGGCAATATCATGCATGTTGTCGTATGCTGCTGGCAGATTGCAGAACGTTTCCATTACTGACTACACTTCATTCGTCGTCGTCACTGTCAATGATAAAACCAGCTCGAATCTGCCGCCGCCGTGCAGTAGGCACAATATCCTCATCCACGTCGCTGTCGCCTAACCCTCCTTCTTCTTCCTTTGCCGAAGCGACAACTGTCGACGCACGAGGTTGAGTCTCTCGGAGGACTGGCTTCTTAGACCCCACGTCCTTGACTGTGATCGAACTTTGCGACGACCAGGGTGTATCCTCATCACCAGACTCATCATCCGTACCTGACTTCCTCTGAGGTTGCGATGAGGCAGTCTCATTCGGCTGATCGTCAAGCTCGTGCATCAGCACGTCATCGTCGCTATCGTGCTCTGTCTCTTGAGTCTGTGGCAGTGATGCTTTTTTGGCTTTCGCATGCGACTTGGCTGGCTGCTCACTGATGCCCAAAGCCATCTGGTTGCGGATATTGTTCTCTTGTCTCTGGCGTACTTGCTCCTCCCGCTCAAAGAAGAGTCTGTCTTTCTCTGCATCGCTTTCATCGTCGCTATCTCTGATGTAGGCTTCACTCTTGATCTTGCGCCGCCGCTCCTTAGCAGCCGCTTCACGTGCAGCTCTTCTGCGGGCTGCAGCTTCTTCATCAATTTCGTCTTCTCCATCTTCATCCATAGCACGCTTCCTCTTACGTTTGGCTTTCAGCTCTTCGATTATGTTCCTAGGCTTCTTGCTCCGTGGGTTGTCTGGGAACAAGAACTCTTCCTCGCCTTCAGAATCAGTAATGAATGCATCTCGAGGAGCGTCCTCATCATCATCGTAGCTTCTCTTGCTCTGTTTACGCGCTCGTCGGATCATATCCTCGGCATCTTCAGTTTCATCAACCCCCTGCCAGGGTGTTTTCTCGTATTGTTCGATAGTTGTCTTTGACTCTGTGAGTTTGTCTGCAGTGATGTGTGCGGGCACGATCCAACTAGCCCCGAGCACGTCCTCATCCCCGAGTTGCTCGAAATCAACAAGAGTCATAAACAAACGTAGGCGCCCGTTCTTGAACATGGCCCATTTTATGTCTTCAGACGTCTGGTGGAGTGTGAAGACAGTGGGTTGGCTGATGTCGACCTCTTCAGGCAGGGTCTCATTCGATCCATCCGCCGCTTTGATCGCCGCTTCCTTCCGAGCCTCAGCTTCGGCGTCCCAAGCGTGCCTCTCGTCGAATGCCTTTCCAAGCATGTTCTTGACCCACTGCACAAGTTCGGACTTTCCATCCTTCAAAAGCACAGTCACCACAATTCCAATCTGCTCCGCACCGTCTCTTCCCGGGGCAGGCTTAATCTCCAGTGATGCAGGAGCCCGAGTTGATGCGATTGTTTGCTTCTCGTGGCCGAACTCTAGGTAATGTAGTGTTGAGCTTATCTTGCTGAAAAGCATTTCCACCATCAACTCCGGTCGCTGTTCGAGTTTCTTGAACATTTTCCTGAACACCTGCTTTGAAAATTCCGACCATTCCTTGTACATAGAATGCTTCGTGTCAAGGCCGTCTGGGCCGTTGATCATCTTGTAGAACAGGGCGATTATGTCGACTCGATATAGCAACACAGCCAGATCTTGTTTGAATGCCAATCGGTAGAAAAATCGGTGTGCTCGTTTGAGCTGCTCAGTACTGAGATCTCTGTACAATGTGACCAGGGCTACGAAAGTGTCGACAGATGGCTGCGTGGAGAATCTTGCTGCGAATCGATTGAAGTCGAACTTGCGTTCCTTGGAGACTTGGACAGCATCGACTATGTCCTCATGCTCTGGATCATCGTCTTCGGCCGCAGGATCATTGCCTGGTTGGGTAGCCCGCTTTTCAGCCGCTTTGCGCTTCTTCGCTCGTCGTCGTGACCGTATCTGTAAATCAACGTTCTCTTTGGAGTATCTTTCCAGAATGCGCAAAAATACATGTGACAATTCTGTGCAGGCATCAAGATAGCCAAACCCTTGATCTTTATAGTCTCGCAAGATCTTGACTATCCTCTCATGAGTCGTCTCTTCGTAGAAAATGCGGTTTTGAATGTTGTCTGCGATTTCTTGATCTTCTTCCAAGCGGCTTTGAGTCATTTCCTGTACTGTAAGCAGAATTTGTGTGAAACACCGCATGCTGGCATTGAGATCCTGCCATTCCTTGTTGTCCATCGACACTTGCATGAACCGGTTTAGCATGATGAAGGTTTCCTGGTTGAGAACCGCTGCCACCAGAGAATAACTTTCGTCCTCGAAATCTGCTCGCACCTTGTCTGGCTTGAGTTCCTTCTTCTGAGTCTCTCTACGCACACGCTCTGCTTCGAGAAACCATGCGACTGCGTAAAAGAACTGGCGATAGTTGACATCGGTCAAGCGCTCCGCTTCTCGCTCAATGGCCTTACGTAGATAGGTGAAGAATGGGTTGAAACCAGAATCAAGAAACTCCTCGACGAAATTGCGTAGCTTCTCCGCCGCAGAATCACTAAGTCGGGTGGTCCGGTTGAAATCGTGGATGGTATGATCAAGATCTCGACGCTTTTGCTGTGGCTTCTTCCACTTCTTCGACTTGTCAATGTTGAAGAATGCTTGTTGGTCGTCTTTCAAATTATCTTGTCCGGAAACAGCAGACATCTTCTGGTCCTCGCGTTTCACCCAGATCATCGTACCGAACCGGCCGTGTCGACTCCACTGGTGGCGTTTAGCATCCTTTGCCTTGCTGTCTTCGAGTGCCAGTGCCGTGCTGAGATCTGTTATACCTTGTCCCTTCCGTTCCCGCTGCGTCATCCATAGACTCTTTGGATCCACACCCTTGATCAGGTTGAAGATGATGTCGAGGACAATGACGTCCTGGTGGTCGAAGTCTTCTCCCATGTTCGAACAGATGGTAAGCAGCAAAGCGAAGACATCCTGCTCTCGGAACGACTCTATGGTTGCTGATCTTGAGACCTCGGAGTCGAATCCCTGGCTCGGCAGGTTGGGAAGCTGCTGGATGACTGCAATATTCCGGAAAAGGTAAAGCATGAGTTTGAGGATACCTTCATCTCTGCTCGTTCTGGCTTCCCTTGCGACCGCAATTGAGGGTAGCCCAATGCGTACGACCTGGCGAAGAATACTGCTAGTATCGCAGCCCAGTATTGCGACCTTGTACAACACCTGCATTTGCTGGAGATATGGCGTATGTCGGGCGTGATTCGCGGTCATTTCTCCTCCAGTCTCCAAAGGCCATGTCAGAGGAACGAGGAGTTCCAGACATGCCAACGCAACTCTTGCCTTCAATTTGTTATCATTCCCATCTTCCGCCCATGACGCGAGGATTGGAATGAGATCTCCTCCCACAAGTTTGGCTTCTGCAAGGCATCTGGCAACGTCCAGCCGGTTGTTTTTCTCATCATATAACTTGAGCCATCGTTTCAGGTCGCGAAGACAGGCAAGGGCGTCGTCACCGAGTACGTAGCGACCATCATCGTCCGTGCTGGTGCCACCGAGCTGGACAACGTCAGCTTCTCTTCGGGTGCATACTCACAGCGACAACATACGGCATTGACAAGACTGTAAACATAGGCCCTGACTTCGGGGTGGACAGTCTGAGCTTTGCTGAAAGGGTTGTCTTCCTCCATATCGGCGTTGGTCATCGATCAAGACATGCTGGTATGGAGTCAGCGAAATTTCCGGCGACCAAATGTTCGAGGTCCTTAAGGCTGTACGATCATTAGGTAGAGGTTAATTGACTTGACGCGGTGGTCGCGTCGGTTCAACGCACGCGTCGGGAGATATTTAAAGTGGAGCGTCCTGCTCACCTATTAGTAGCACCTATCGTCGGATCCGACCTTTACCTAAACCTCATTCCGGGACCTCGGCTTCGCCCTGCGCTTACCTTCGGAATCTGCATTGGGCTCCCTTACGAAAGTTCTCCGGCTCGACCACAGCGGATGCGCATTGAAATAGGCAAGCCACCTCCCGCACATTGTTGAAGGCCTCCGGCACCCCTTTCACATATTCTCCTGATGGCTTCCATTTCGAGATTGTCTTCCAGACTGATGGCTTCGAGCAAGTCGAACGGCGCCTCGCAGAGGCTGGCCGCAATTAGTCGCCAGTTCTCCAGTTCGTCTGCGTCGAAATTCGAAGTGAAGAAGCTCGGGGTTGTTGGTGCTGGACAGATGGTACGGGCAACAACAACATGAACAAGAGTATAGCTGATGGTATCTAGGGCCTTGGAATCGCCCTCGTTGCAGCCCAGAAAGCCCAAGTGCCAGTTACGTTAGTGGACAACTCACAAGCATCCCTTGATAAAGGACTCGCATTCGCCGACAAAATACTCGCGAAAGATGTGTCGAAACAAAAGATTACCGAAGAGGTTGCAAAAGCTACAAGAGACAGATTAAAGACCTCTACACAGTTGTCGGACCTCTCGGACGTCGACATGGTCATTGAAGCTGTGCCCGAGATAATATCATTGAAAGAGAAGATCTTCGCCGACCTGGCGCAGATATGCCCCAAACATGCGATCCTAGCCACCAACACGTCAAGTATAAGCATAACCAAGATTGCCCGCGCCACGTCGAAGGACCCTACAGATACATCAGCGTCATCACGGGTCGTGTCGACGCACTTCATGAATCCTGTCCCCGTACAAAAGGGCGTCGAAATCATTTCTGGTCTGCAGACATCGAAAGAAACTCTAGCGGCGGCAGTTGCATTCTGCGAGAAGATGGGGAAGATCGCCTCTGTGTCGCAGGATGTGCCGGGTTTTCTTGCCAACAGGATCCTCATGCCTTATATCAATGAAGCGATCATCTGTCTCGAGGCTGGTATCGGCACGAAAGAGGACATTGATAGCATCATGAAGAATGGGACGAATGTGCCTATGGGTCCCCTGACCCTTGCCGACTTTATTGGCCTTGATACCTGCTTGTCTATCATGGAAACCTTACATGCCGGTCTTGGAGACAGCAAATATAGGCCGAGTGTGCTGCTCAGGCAATACGTGGATGCTGGCTGGTTGGGTAAGAAGAGCGGCAAAGGATTTTACGACTACAAGTAGATTGAACATTTGGAATGCGTTGTAGACTACAGTACCTGGACGGCGAAGGTGTAGCAAAAGGTATACCCAAATCGATAACATTGGTCGTTCTGTGGTCCGATGTCTCATCGAAGAGCAACGACTCCCGTGCCAAACTGGTAAATGTATCATCCTGGCATTGTACATCGACTGCGGTGCGAGCAGTCGTGATCAATAGTTGAATCTGCCATTGACACGAAGCCTAAGTGTACTGCCTTCTCGGAATATCTGGTGTGGACATATTTCCCGTCTTTTCAGCACCGATCATTAGCGTATTGAATTCATCGAGCTTATCAAGAGGCAAGTTCAGGAGGATATGCTTGTTCTTCCATCGAACCTCACTCTCAATGTACTCTTTCTCACTCTCTCCTGGCGGTGGCGGTGGCTCGGTGATTTTTGTAATCAAGTATGCCGTGCTGGCCTCCGCAATGCCGTAGATCAATACACCGAGAAGAGGAACTTTGACCATGACCGCAAATGCGACGCTGAAGCCGAAGAGAACGCCGCTCCGTTCAATGAACCAGATCTTCTTTTGCTGCTTGGTAAAGTGGATTCGGTGAAAGTATGGCTCCAGTAGGCGTGACATCAGACTGCGACTGGAGAAATAGGTCTGCAAAAATGAGACCATGTAATGCTTCGGCACAACCAGTCCGCATGCGAATATAATGCCGGCTGGGACGGGACCAACGGATCTGTTGAATGTGTAGAATGAGGCAGCGGGAAGGACGAATTGGCCGACATATGGGAGAAATGTCAATCCGTAAATGGCAAGTGATATTCCTGCTCGTCTACCGTACTTCACGGCAGTAAGGATGATGCCGTCTAGTAGACTCCGTTTTTCTTTCTTCTCGCGTTCGCCGTGAGTCGAGTACATCTTCAGTGTTGGGTAGTACATGGCGCGGAGTTTGGAGGGGTCGTCAGACTTGTGCTTCTGGACATAAGTCTGATCGACGAATCGAATGGACTCCATGAAGAGATTGTCCAGGGTTGGAGTGACTGAGCTCATGACCAGCATGAGAAAGAAGGGGACTTGAAGCACAGAAGTAGATAAGAAGTTCAAGCCATTGACCAATTTATCGTCCCAGGTTTCGTGGTCGAGGTCGACAAATATGGCGGTGATCCACAGCAGAGCCTTGACCGCATAGATGGGGATGTTGATGATGATGCGGATGGCGAGACCTGCACAGACAGCTATTGCAGCCTGGCGGTAGTGAGTGCCTGTGAACAGCTCTGGATTCTGCAGTGCTCTATTTGCGCCCACAAAGGTCAACTGAGCGCCGCGAAGGAACGCATTGGGATCGAAATTTGACATTGTAAGAATACGACAATGACGAGGAGAGGCGTCTATTGGTCGATATAGCCTACTCGAGGTAGAGATGGCGGTGAAGTAAAGTCTTTACAGGCTCACACGACACATCATTCATATTCCAGGTACCCAGGATATTATGACGTGCAGAGTGACGAGGCATTGAGACCCCCGCAAGGCTGCGCTAAACGATTATCAGTTCGTCCGCTGCCGCTGTCAAAATCCAGCCCCGCAAAAAGTGCATCCTTTCCACGCGCTTGTGGCGGTTTGGCTGTTTACACCGGAGTCCATCAGCCCTCGCGTCGTCTGCACACCAAAAGGGCAAGGATGATCACCTCGCGCAACAGCTCTTCGACTTCATGAGACAGTGGCCATTTCTGAAAATGCTGCAACATGGCTACAACACCCTCATATGGCGACCGCCCGGCCCTTCAAGGATATCGCAGATCCTTCACTGTACCGGCACGCGCATTGTCCAGTATTGAAAGAGCAGGTCTCGACAAGTCCGATGCCGATGCCAACGTCCTGTTCTCCCATCCTTCCGCGCGAATCGTCTCTTTCTCCCCACCGACGGAATCGTTACCGTCGCAAAGCAAAGAGACTTTAGCTGACACCGACTATCCGGTTGATGCAATAGAGACCTTGCCATGGCGGTCGCGGACGGAGACGCTGGCTTCCACGGGCGCAATAGCTATCGAGAAGGTACGCGGATCCAGCAATTTTCTCAAATCAGCCGATCAGAAAATCATCTATCCGATCATGCGCAACTCGCAATGCTGGTGTGTGGACGGTGAATCCAAGTTCGTCCTGCGCATTGGGAAGTTTCGGTACTACAGGATAGAGCTTCCTTCCGAGACAGAACAAGATAAAGAGAGGGCGGAGGAATTGAAGGCGGTCCTCAGGGGAATACTCCGCTTCGAGAGGACTCCCTGTCCTTTTAAGAGAGCATTTCACGTCGACCTACCAAACGACGCTATCACTCCTCGACGAAAAGGACCTTGGAAAAGAAGAGAGTTACCGTCACCAACAACACCCAATACCGATCCGTTGCCACTGCGCAGGACCAAGAATACCCGTGCGTGGAGTTTGCAGGGTCAAACAACACCTATACAAACTTATGGCCGTCGTGGATCAGATTATGGGTTTCCTTCGTCCCGTAGCTCTTCCCCGATGCCACCGCCAGACCACGATGACTATCGCCCGGATACACCATCAAGCCTCACGTCAAGCGAGCTTGCCGGCGAGCAAGATCGCGAGAATGGGTCCACACAAGGTCCGGGAGAGCATGAGGATGGTGAGATGGCGAAGGTCGACGACCATGGTTATATCTCGAATTCTACGCCGTCTGTATCCTCGACTTCGCCTGACATGCATGTTGAGCTGCCACAGGATTCCTCCGACGAAAAGCACGACAAGGTAGAAGATCAGCAAGACATGGCTCCAGAAGCGCAGAGCCAAGTGCCGCTTGAAGAACCTACTCCCTTTGAAGACCCCACAAGCACAGCACATGCTTCACTTGCACAGAATCAGGAAGAGTCCCCGCCTCTGCTTACAAGTGAAGAGCCATTAAAGGCATTGAATGTCTGCACATCCGAAGACGCTGCTCCTGACACAGAGGTTGTCCCAGCAGTGCCGACACCTGTAGCTCCGACAGAAGACATCGAGCAGGAAGATGCTACTGCACAACTTGCGGACATTGACATACCTGCGCTCGAGGCAGTACATGGTGATAGTATTCACATCCAGGCAACCACAGCGGAGGATCCCACGGACTCGCCGCAACCTACGCCGGAAGAGCATAAAGAGGCTACTCGGGAAGAGCTTGTGCCTCCGGGTGTACAGGATTCTGGGCTTGAGCAGCCTCTCAGTGATCTCACCCAAGACACCATGTCGAAAGTACCAGAAATGACAGAGGCAGTGACTACAGCCGACGTCCAAGCGCAAGATGATGACGCTCTGAGCAGGGTGTCAAGTGTGGACTCGTTTCATACTACAAGCTCTCTGGTCGAGATCTTCCCTCAAGCCGAGAAGTTCGACCCTTTCTCCGTACCGTTCCACCAGCATCGAAGAGAGTTGTCAGAACTCACAGTGACCGCTTCTACCGTCGATTCCAGTCCAGAGATGAACAACCTACTGCAACCGTCGCAAAATGAATCTCCGGACAGGTTGTCTACTCCCGGGCTCGATCACACACCCAGATCCGACAGATCTTGGCCTGAAGTTGTCACGCCATCACCGATGGTGCAAGACCTCAGACAGCGCTTGAGAAAGAAGCGATCACTTTCTCCTCTGCCACCGGCTACAACAGTTGTTTTGCCTCCCTCGTCACCGTCACAAGGCAATCATTTTACAGCGGCCATTTTGCAGAAGGCTTGTAATGTCGCTTTGGTCAAGCCAATCGAGGCCGTGGTGCTTCTAGTCCACATCCTCGCGCGCATAGCTGGCGGCGCTACTGTCAACGATTTGCTTAGCGGTGATCTGTTCAAGCGGCCGGACAGACACCGTCGCGGGTCGAGTTTCCCGGACCACATCAGCTCTCCACAACATGATTCTGATGATGAGGACGACTTTGGCATGCCCAGACATCATGGACGGGCGAAGAGTGAGAGTCTAAGGCCGGCGGCACCTATGACTAGAAGCGATGAGGCTGATTCTATGTTTGATCTGGATTGAATGTTTTGAGCATTCACCATTTCATGCGCATCAAGGAGAGTTGTGGTCCAACTTTTTCGAATTTCAGCGTGGCGTCTGCGAAATGACAGCATTTGGCTTTATATAATGGCTGCCGGAACAGCAGGGATGCAAGGGCTTCACTTCTTGGTCATTGACACCAGCTATGATGGCATAATGAGGCCATAGGAACCCAGATGGGCATGACATATGACTGCTTCGATTGTAAGCATCTTCTTGATTCGTTTCCACACCGTCTTTCCGACTGCCATCAGCTTTTAGTACTTTCTGTCAGTACTTCATTCCCTTTTTCTCTGGCCATATCGCCAACCTTCCGGTCTTGGTGACTGTCGAGCCGTTCACAGTCCCGACCCAAACGCTTTGCCTTGTACCATTTAGGCATACGTCTGAAGCGCACTGCACAAGATTTCCTCCGCCGTGATCGGTCCTCGAAGGGCGCTTCATCGTGTCTACCACCCCAACGGTCCATATCTGTAGCAAGCGTTGGCTCAACTAACGTAGAACATCAGGCAGTCTCAGCACCCCTAATCTTCAGGGCACTGTTTCACGCTGTCGGGTCTGTATGCCTTTCGTCCTTGTACCTTGTCCGTCAAATCTCAGATTTTAGATCTCAAGGAGCAGCACCACTCTTCCCCTTCTTCTTCGCCTTTGCCTTTTCTTTGGCCTTCTTCTTATCTCGTTTCCTCAGACCTTCCATTCCTTTCTTGCACACTTCTGCATAGCGGGCGTAAAAGGAATCCAAGTCCGCGATCTCGACTACAGTTGCTATTTTCAGTTTCGGGGTGGAGGATTTTGTTTTGGGTGTGCGGTGTGGTTTTGAGAGACCATTTGTGGCGCGGACGAGGATTTGGGACGATGGAGACGGTGACTCTGACTCTGAAGACAGTGGCTTCTGCGTGAGGTAGACGGAGCCGTGTGATGCGGCGTGTGTGGATGTGAAGAGTTGCGTAAGGTGGGAGAGGAACTGCGGAGCTGGAGCGTTAGCGACGGTCGATAACACTGGGTATTGGGCGTAACGTACCTCGTCATTGCTCAGACGTTGTTGAGACATGGCTGTCTCGTCGTCTGGTTGTTGATGTGAGTGAGAGGTGATACCTCCTTTTGGGAAAGATGGTTGCGACACAACTTGGTAGAGTAGGTAGTTGAGCGGGGAATTTTAGGGCGAGGCTCTTATTGTGGGGAGTCATGTTCATTGCCTTGTTAGGCTTTGTCTCCGGGTATGGTCGACGAGGCTAGGGTTGCCCATGCCTAGGTACCTTACATATGAGCATCTATTTGTGAGCGCTTTGTACGTCAAAGGGAATTGAAGGGCACTCAAGCTCAACACATAATGATATCATATTACTGGCAGTGTTGGATACTGCGTCTCATCACTCCTGAGCCGTCATATCTCATAATACAGTAAGTCGCTCATAAAACAAAATGCATTCAGCTTTTTATATGGCGCTCCCTCCAGGCAATGGCAGGATGATGAGTTGAACATCAATCTGTGTTGCAAAATCCATCCAAGTCCAAAACGACACGCTTTTCTATACCTCAGCGCTTTCTGCCGCCTTGAGCGCCCTATCTACCCGTCCTGTCAGGTCGTCTGGTTCTTCCAACCCAACGCTCAACCGAACCAGATCAGGCTCGACACCCCACTGTGCGGTCCAGTCCATCTCCGTATAATGCGCCAGGACTGTATACGGGCATGCAAGAGTGAAGTTGGTGCCCAAGCTGGGTCCCTTCTGACACTCCAGAGCATCGAAGAACAGGACTGCCTGCTCAGGATGTTGGAATGTTACGGACAATAACCCTCCATAGCCACCGTTCGGATTGCGGCAAGCGTCGTAGTTGGCTCGAGAAGGGCTGTACTTGGGGTAGTACACGCACTTGACGAACGGGCATGATTTTAGCCTAGAGGCCATAGCTTCGGCGTTGATGTTAATTCGATCGATTCGCGAAATGAAGTCGCGGGAGTTGCGCTCCATGAAGACAGCATCTTCGGCCCAGTAGTTGTCCTCGTACTCTTTCTCGAGTATCTGTCTCAGATCCTTGTACCATTTGCTCTGAGGGTTGAGAATCGCGCTACCGCCCATGACGTTGCTGTCGCCACTGAAGACTTTGGTCAGGCTGCTGACAGCGACATCTGTGTGGCGGAGTACGTCTGTGTTAATGGAGTTGCCGACGGTCTCATCAACGACCACAGCGAAATCGTACTTGTCGGCTAATTGGCGAATGCGAAGCAGGTCGGGCGAGTTGAGGAGAGGATTGCTGGGGAACTCAGCGAAAAGGGCGAGGAACCTCTCGCCGGACTCGAGGCGTTGTTCCAGATCATCTAGACATGCCGAGCTCCCAAGACCGTAGAATTGGCAGCCTGGGCCCCACTTCTCTAGTATTTTGAGCGTGTCGATGTATGGAAAGCCAAAGCAGATGCTCCTCCGTGGTTTCTGACCTTTGGCTTCGGCATTGGCAAGTAGGATTCGATGTGTGTTGAATATGGCGGACATTCCCGTAGGATACATGTAGACGTCGTCCTCTGAGAAGCCCAGTTGGCGCTTGTTGCAGTCTGGCGGCGAGTTTGCCAGGGCTTGGTCGAGGTCGGAGTTGTCTGTTAGGCAGCCGCTGATCCTGCGCCGAATTGCTAGTTTCGCTTTTGCCGCTAGCTTGGTGTTCAGGTTTCGTCCAAAACGCTCCTCGACAAATTGGCTAAAACTCCTGTCTTCGACCTCGTCTGAAGGGGTGGAAGGTCTCGATGACTCAGCAGCACCGTTAAGATTGACAACGATCCCGTTCTGCGAAGCTTTTTGGTATCTCCGAGGTCCTTTGGCGTACACGTCATCTTGTTTGGGCTTTGCTGCGTCTGCAACTGGTTGCAGAATGCCGTCTTTTAGCGCTTTGAGGCAGAATTCACCTCGCCGGCTTGAAATACCATCGCCGGAGTGTTGCCAGACTTGTTTCGCCACGCCGAAGTAGTCCTTGGGGAAAAACACACAGGAAAGGCCGGACAAGGTGGTATCGCGAGGTATGCTTTTGTTGACTACTGGCTCCAGTTGCAAGATATGCACCACCCCCGTACCCAGAGCTTCAACTTTGTCGTACAAGAACTTCTGGCACCTCTTCGCAGTGGCAAGGGTCGGGAAAAGCATGACTTTCTCACCATGTCGACCGTAGAGCTTGAGTATCTCCCTCTCCAGCTCCTGGATCGTCAAATGTATAAAGAATCTAGGGTAGCCGGTCTGCATCTTCGAGACCACCCAGTCTTCGCCTTCTTCGTAGCCCACCGTGGCTTTCCATGATGGTAGCGAGACACTGACGGCGTGCTCTGTGTTGGGTACGGGTTGCCCGACAGCCGCGAGCATTTTGGCCGTCGACTTATGTATAGGACTGGTGTAAATGCGTTGCTACTCAATGCTCGTGTGAGTCGTGGCAAAGTAGTTGATTGGGATTATAAGAGTCAGAAATAAGAATTTTCCGATACCGGAAGTACTGTACTTTGTGATTTGATGCGCCAAGGTCGATTACTCCGTACAGCGCCCGCTGTTGGACTCTCACTGACTCTATATCCTGCACACTCTCTACTTTCTGTCCATTTGTGCAGCTGCCCAATTGTCTGCAAACAGTAGTAGTGCTGGCATCAGAAAAACTGCTGTTGCAAAGACTGCAGGCAAAAAATACTAAACCTGGAATGCTTCCAAGCTAAATTACTCTAAAAAGAACAATGGTTGCGAAGATACACTAATGATTTTCCATCTCGTTCTGATTCGTCCGCTCCCATCCTCAAAAAGTTTTCGAGACTTCAGTAACAATACATTCTTTTAGAATCTTGACCGCCATAAATGCACTTTCGCACCTAGAAGTCTCTGGGCCAAGGAATGGACCTGTCTTAGAGGCACAGCGACACATACGAACAACATCACCAGCATCGCCAACATTGGAGAAGCGTATCACGCGAAAATGTCCATCAAAGGCAACCAAGCACAGAAGCATTCGTCAAAGCGGCGGAAATTGAGCCACAGTGCATCCGAGGACGAAGCAGACGTCTCAAGCCCAAGGAGAAACAATAAAACTGCGCAGGCTACCAACGATACGACTGTGAACGAAACATCTCGGCAAGAAAATGAGGCCAGGGATAGTGGCAACACCACAGGCACCACGTTGCCTACAGGAGGAGTCACTAAATCATCCATGCTGGCTTTGCAAGTGGCGGATTTGAATACGGAATTGACACCGAATTACGAAAAGCTCCAAAAGAAGTGGGCTGCCATCACTAAACGATTAAGGACTCTGATCGAACAAATACCGGACCGTGCTCCTGTCACAGCGATTGATGCCTTGAAGCACTTTCGCAAGCACGGATTCGAGATACCGTTCCCAAAGCCCCAACCCACGAAAGATACAAACTACAAACTCGCTTTTAAGGCGCCCCAAGAAGTTATTACTGACGGAGCACTGCCATTGAACTTGAGCATCAAGGGCGACCATGTGATCAGGATGACCGTCATCATGCCGGCAGAACTCCTCCAGGAGAAGGATTATCTCAACAACAGAGCTCTCCACAAAGCGGCCTTCTATCTTGCGTGCATTGCTACAGCTCTGAAGGAAAATGCTGCAGCCGATTTCGAATCCCACTTCGCACACCTGCACGACGTTGACCTGTTACCGATACTTGAAGTTGTACCAACAGACAAGAGTCTATCGAAGTTCACGTTTCAAATCGGCATTGGCTTTCCTCACGAATCCATACCAATCGCGAAGACCCTACCGATCAAAAATTGCTTCAGACGACCGTTGAGTGGAGAGGTAGCAAATCATGAAGAACCTACACCGTTCTACAATAGCGCCATCCGTTACGCTGCGTCGACTGCAGCGTTTGAAAAGCTCGTCAAAGCTGCAGGGAGCCCCAATTTTGAGGAAGTATGCCGTGTTGGTCTGCAATGGCTGCGACAACGAGGATTCTCCAGTGCCATGCAGTCTGGAGGGTTTGGCTTCCTCGAATGGTCCCTAATGTGTGCTCTTCTGTTGCAAGGAGGTGGACATCGAGGTCAGCCTTTGTTTTCCAAACAGTACAGCAGTCTTCAGCTTTTCAAGGCCATGCTTCAAATCCTCGCAGGCCGAGATTTACGAGATCCGTGGGTGCTCAATGGCACAGCAGTTGAAATTCCTCGCTCGGAAGAGCCGGTCCTCTTTGACGCGAAGACCGGTGTGAATATACTCTACAAGATGACTCCTTGGTCCTACCAGGCCTTGCGTCACCATGCTCAGGTGTCTCTCGCGTTGGTAAACGCTCGGAGGGAGAACAGCTTTGATGAGACTTTTATCCTCAATGTGGCAACACCGGTCCTGCAATACGATGAGGTTTTCAGTGTCACGATTCCTGGAGATTCCTTCAATACAGCTTCTGAGCAACGACAGTACCTGTCCAAAATGCACAACATATTCTCGCGTGGTCTGGGCGATAGGGCCTCTCTGGTTGACTTCAAGCTGCCACAGGGCAAGAGCTGGTCGTTGGACCAGGACTCGACTGTCTCTGATGGAAATTTCCAGTTGGAGGTCGCATTGCTTGCGAACCCGGAAACCGTCACCCGCCTTGTGGACCATGGTCCATCAGCAGATGAGCAGGATGAAGCTGCTGAATATCGAAAATTTTGGGGTGAGAAGGCTGAACTTCGCCGGTTCAAGGACGGAAGCATATCTGAGAGCTTGGTGTGGGCCTCTGGAAGTCTTGTCACGCTGCAGATTCTGGCACATCTGGGCATGTTGCACTTCAAGCTCCTCCTCAGCGCCATAAAAGTTATAACCCGCGATTTGGAGTCAAGCAGCCTCGCGGATGATGCTGGCATTGTTGCAAAAGATGCGTTCCGCGTCATCAGTACTACGTTCCAGACTTTGACCTCAAAACTGCACAACCTGGAAGGACTGCCGTTGCCGATACGCTCAATAACTCCGGCGGATCCGGCTCTTCGCTCATCATCCGTGGGCAATCCACTGCTCCCGTCGACGGCAAATCCAATAGACATTATCATCGAATTCGACTCGTCGACAAGGTGGCCGGATTCTCTGCCCGCTATCCAACACACCAAGATTGCATTCTTGCTGAAAGTCGGTGAGCTTCTTACCGCTTCGGATTCCAGCATCAACACCCGTGTTGGGTTGGAGAACACCGCTTCCGCTACGACGGGACACTTCAACACCACGTTCCTCGACATAATTTACCCGTCGTCCGGTGCCGGGTTGGCCCCAATTTGTTTCCGAACACGCATCCACCACGACAGGGAAGGCCATTTGCTACAAAGTGCACTAGCTGACAAGGCGTTACACGGGTCCGTGAGGGACTCGTTGTCCACGGCGCTCGCGACGTATAAGCGTGACTTCGGCGCGAAGCCTGTTCACACCACTACGGTTCGCAGTCTGTGCTCGAGATTCCTGCCTCTGTCAAGCACGATTAGACTGCTCAAGAAATGGGTCGCGTCGCATCTACTGCTGGAGCATGTTCCTGAAGAGATCCTCGAGATTGTAGCTGCCAGTGTGTTTCTGCGGCCGGCGCCCTGGTCGGTGCCGGGATCTTCTACGACGGCCTTCCTTCGATGTCTGCACCTGTTGGCGCGGTGGGATTGGGCTACGTCGCCTCTGATCGTTGATCTGAGTCTCTCGCAGGACATGACTGCTGAACAGGTGTCTGAGGTTCAGACTCGCTTTCAGGCGTGGCGGAAGCTCGATCCCAGCATGAACAATGTGGTGTGGTTTGTTGGGACGAGTCTGGACACGACGGGCACTGTGTGGACGCAGGGTGCTCGTCCGCCGCGCGTTGTGGCGGGACGGCTCAGCGCGCTTGCAAGGGCTGCCATGGATGTCATCGAGAATCAAAGGACTGGCATGAGGCAGTCGGACTGGGATGGGCTGTTTACTAGTCCATTGTCGGACTTCGACTTCTTGATCCACGTTAAGCCGTCGGTCATCAGGGGCCGTAAGCAGAAGGCGAGAGGAAAGGGTGGAGCGGATTTCAAGAACCTCCAGATCCACGAGGCGCTGGATGTAGAGTCGATTGGGTATGATCCTGTGGCACTCTTCTTGCAGGACCTCACCCAGGCTCTTGGGTCGAGCGCGCTGTTCTTTCATGACAGGTATGGGGGCAGAGTTGTTGCTGGGCTTTGGAAGCCCAGCGTACTTGGACGGAAAGAATGGCGTGTAAGATTGGGATGGTCCAGCGTGCCTGTGCCGGCAGAAGAGAATGAGAAGGAGGGTGGGAAGGATATGTGCGCGTTCAACAAGAACGGTGTGCTTGCAGAGATTGCCATGTTGGGAGACGGTCTTGTAGAGAGCATCACTATCAAGGAATGAGAGAAGTGCCCAGTTTTTGGCATGTTTTTTCTCATCATGAGTACCGCGATACTGTTTTCTCTGTCTTAGCGACCAATGCAGGTGGATACAGATCACCTCGTCGTCATTCTCGGTTTCGTCTCTATGACCGTCACTCCATAGCCCCGAAGACGGGTTTCTGTACGTGTTTTCATTATCTTTTGCGGACGTAGTGCAATGCCAGGTCATTATTTCATGCGTATGGCGTCTAAATGTACTTCCTATCTGGATCCGCCAGATCTAAAAGCTCCATTGTCTTCTCGTACCTAAAAGCAGTCAGCACTCAATCTGTCTTCATATATGCAGCTTACACTTACATGGTAAAGACGATTCCGCCACTCAGGGTGAGACGTCCTAGTCGTGGAAGAGCGCCCGACCAAAAGGTCAATAATCCTTCGTTCTTGAAGATACTGGCAGCACAGTTGAAGCTGTTCTTGTAGATTTGTTTCGCTTCTAAACTCTGCATTCGCGTCTTCACAGTGTCCAACGGCATGGTGGCATATACGGTGACGATACCAGCAAGGGCTCCTACGCCAAATGTTGTTACGGACCCAAGCTTTTCACCAGGCGCAACATAACCTTCAGCGAATTGCTTGAGGCTAGTATATGTGCTAAACCGGACAGCACTGTTTGCGGCCTGCCGAGCTGTTGTTGGTACAAACCCTTGGAAAAAGCCTGCAAGGCCCTTTTCTCTGAAAATGACGCCTGATCCATGGATAAATCCTCGCATTCGTGGCTGCGCCCGTTTTTGGTCGTCGATCAGCTGTGTTTTGATGGATTCCGACGGAGTCACTGCAACTAGTGACTCCGTGATACCTGCGCCAAACCCTGCCACGACGGTCCTGGGTCCGGATATATGACCGTCATCATCGGACAAAAGGTGTTTGTATGTGTCGAATGCGACAAAGCGTATGGCTGCTTTGAACGCATTGCCGACAATCGCTGTTGTACATCCTGTATACCACTCTCTTGACGGGAAAGGGGGCAGAGGAAGTTTGTTTGCATCTGGTAAGCGCCGATTGAGCTGCGTTCGTGTCTTGAGAAAGTCGAAAGGATAGGTTATGGCTGTGGGATGCGGATGTGAGCGAGAGATCAAGAGTGTACCGAAGAACACTATGTTTTCTAGGGACAAAGGCTTTCTCAGCGGAAGGACTGACCGATTTCGACAGCGCCTGCTGTAGATCCAGCTATGATGGAGCGCAAAACGCTGGGCTATCGAAGCGTGAGTGTTGGAGTCTCAAGCCACCTGGGAATGCGCACTTACCTTGGACTTTGGCTTGTCTCCACTGGCCACAGCCGAGGCCATTCTTGAGGAGACTGAAGCCCAGAGAGGGGGAGTTCTTCACAAGGAAGAGCGAAGAGAGGTATCGTTGAGAAGTACGCGGTCTAGAACTGAGGTTTCGATGAACGACTTCTTTCGTAACCGGTGGAGTCTATTTTTCCCGGGCAGCTGCTCTCCAGATTTAACGTGCATCGGACTTAACTTTTACTTCCGCAGCAGCCAACTTTAGACGCGTTGGTTGACGCGCTTTCCCTTCACTCACCCACTGCAGGTTGCACATCTGTTTTGCGCTCGACATTTCCCACTTCATCCATGTAGACGACAACAGTCTCAAAACCAGTCATCGCGATGGCGCCCACGAAGCGGCCAGCGCCGTACAGTGGCGACGATGAGGCCGAGGTCGGCCAACGTCAGGCGAGACATTCTCCATCCACGCCTCATGGTTCTTCTTCTGTATGATCCACTCTCGATCTGATATCGTTATCCCACTGACACTGTAGCAGAAGAAAAGGAGACGTACAAGTGATGAGTCTTCCCTAGCCCGTGATCAAGATGCCTCCAGCGACCAAGACGATGCGAGCACCCCCGCTTCCGACTTTGGCTCCGACGAGGAGGGAGAATTTGCGGAGGCTGAACTCGCTGCCACGCAAGCGATTGAAGAGAGAAAGCAATCGAGCAGGACTCATAACAACGAACCCGTGCAACATGGTATCCTGGAAGAAGTTGAGCTCGAGAATTTCATGTGCCATGATAAATACGCATTCAAGCTGGGACCGCTGATCAACTTCATATGCGGTAAGAATGGCAGTGGCAAGAGCGCAATCTTAACAGCTATTGTCCTCTGCTTAGGTGGCAAGGCCTCCGCAACAAATCGAGGTGCGCGTCTTCAGAACTTCATTAAAGAAGGCAGAGATCATGCTCGGATCATTTGCAAGATTAAAAATCAAGGAGAGTCCGCCTATATGCCGGATCTTTACGGAGACACCATACAGGTGGAACGACACTTTTCGCGAGCCGGAGGCAGTGGATTCAAGTTGAAATCTGAGCGGGGTCGCATAATATCAACCCGAAAGTCGGATCTTGAGGATATCTGCGATCATATGATTTTGCAAATGGAAAACCCTATGACCGTACTCTCCCAGGACCAAGCGCGGCAATTTCTGTCCTCGTCTAGTTCGGCCGAGAAATACCGCCTCTTCATGAAGGGTGTGCACCTGGAACAACTTGACCAGGACTACAAAATCATCGAAGAGCAACAGGAAAACATCCACGCCAAAATTGAGGCAAAGCGACCCGATCTCAAAGACTTGCAAAAGAAGCATGAAAGTGCGAAGAACAAACAAGAATTGTCGCGAAGATATGAGGGCATGCTGGCAAAGATTCGTGAATTTCGGCGGCAACTGGCCTGGGCACAAGTCGCCGCGCAAGAGGCTCTTAGGGATGAGTTTGCTCAGAGTATTCGTGAGGCAGATGAAAAGATACAAGCAGAGGAGACCAAACTTGCTGAAGCCGATCGAGTGTATCAAGATTCCGACCGAGCAGCGGCAATCGCGAGGGAAGCTTATGACTCAGCGAAACAGATTTTCGACAAGGTGCAAGACGACAAAAAAGAGGCTAAGGCGCGGCACGACGAGATAAAGAAAGACACAAGTGCGGCCCAAGCGGAACAACGTACTATACACGCTGCGTTGAAAGAAGCTGATGATACTATCACGAAAAAGCAAGAAGCCATACAACAGGAAGAGCAAAGACTGGCTGAACTCAATGGTGGTGGCGCTGCCCGACGTATAACTGCTTTGAAGGATGCCGAAGGGGCTCTAAGGCAAGCAAGACAGAATGCAGCTGACCACAAGGGTCAGAGAAAACAGCTCGAGGAAGACGTGAAAAGAATGGAGAATCTCAAAAAGGAAGCTGAAGAATCACAAAATAATCACAATGCGCGAGTTCAGGAGCAAGAAAGGAACCTTACGCAACTGGAGCAAACACGCCAGAATAAGGACTTGGCTTTCCATACGAACATGCCAGCTTTACTGAAAGCTCTGCAACGCGAGACTGGGTTCCAGCAAACGCCCATCGGGCCCTTGGGAAAGCATGTCAGACTACTCACGCCAGAGTGGTCAACGATTTTGGAGAAGTACTTCGGCTCCGCGCTGAACTCATTCATCGTGACGAGCAAGCGAGATGAGGCGTTGCTCACCAGCATCATGAAGCGGGCAAGGTGCGTCGTGAACGTTTTCATATTAAGCCAGGATCCCATTGATACAACTCCGAATGAGCCCGACTCGCGTTTCGTCACAGTCTTGAAAGTCTTGGAGATCGACAACGAACTGGTGAAGAAGCAGCTCGTAATCGGGAACGCCATCGAGCAGACTATTTTGATTCCGGATTTGACTGAGGCCTCCAACACGCTTTTTGGTGGGGAGCCAGTACGAAATGTCAAAAGATGCTTTTGCTTTGGTACGGATAGACGCCGCGGAGGCGTGTTATTGTCCCTCCGGAATGGTCACGCGGCTCAGGATCCAGCACATGCCTGGACTGGCACACCGAGAATGGCGACAGACATTGATGATCTTATTCGCCGGCAGCAGGAGACTATTGCCGACATGAAGGATCAGCGGCGTCGAATGGCGGATGAGTTTCGCAGCGCCCAGGACCGGCATGAGAAGGCGAAGCAGGCTCTTGTGCGGCACGATAAATCGACAAATAACCTTGTTGTGGCAGTGCAACGAGCAGAAGATGAGGTCGAACGCTTGGCCGACGAAATCAAAGCCGACAATGTCGAGAGCGGTACGCTGGAAGTGCTCCGTCAAGCGTTGAAAGAAGCGGAAGACCAGAAAACAGTGCATGAAGGCTCTTACCAGGATTCGGTGATTGCTTGTGACGACCTGAAAGCCAGACTGCGAGAGGCAAATCGACAACTAAAAGACTTTGACGATCGTATCAATGAGGCCCAGGATGCTGCCGATGAAGCGCAGAGGCTTGCACAGAACGCAGACAAGAGACGAGCGTTCAATCTACACGAGAAAAATAGTGTCGGCAATCGAATCAATGATGCCAACGGTGATCGTGATAGGCTCGTTGCCGACTTGGCTGAGCTGGATGCAAAGATCGAAAAGTGGACAGCAGAAGCCCAGAAGATATCGGAGCGAGTCAACATTCCAGACGGGGAGACTTACGAAAGTCTCGATAAGAAGTACAGGCGTTTGACCGAAGATTATAACAAGTATCAGGACCGAATCGGCGACCGAGATCAGATCGCAGCAGAAGCAACCAAGTGGAAGAAGGCATATGACAACGCGCAGGCGGAAATGCAAGGTCTCGAAACTCTCCGCGACAAGCTTAATGAGACCATGGTGCAGCGGAAGTTCAGATGGAAGCAGTTCCGAAGCTTCATCTCCGCTCATGCAAAGGCGCAGTTCATGTACATGCTCAGCGAGAGAGGCTTTCGCGGTACTTTGATTATGGATCATCAGAAGAAAATGATGGACCTCAGGGTTGAACCAGACATCACCAGACGCGACGGAAGCGGTCGAAGTGCACGGACTTTATCTGGTGGTGAGAAGTCCTACTCACAAGTGTGCTTGTTGCTTGCTATGTGGGAAGCCATGGGCGCACCAATTAGGTGTCTGGACGAATTCGACGTCTTCATGGACGCAGTCAACAGAAACATCAGCGTCAACCTGTTGATTGACGGTGCCAGGCAAAGCATCGGCCGACAATTCATCCTCATCAGCCCGGGAACAAAATCTGACATCAAGAGCGCTCCTGACGTTAAAGTCCATGAGTAAGTCGACGATATTGCTTTTCGAATATGAAACTGACATGCCACAGGGTTGCTGCACCGGAGAGAGGTCAAACGAGACTTGTGCTCGCCTCGGCGTGACAAAAGAAATCTTTATTATTAGACTCCTATCAGCATTGAGCGCGTTTAAATGTCCAACTAATATGGTCAATCCGTCCTGTCCTTTGCATGCTGGGAGACTGACAGTGGTGGCAATGCGGACAGGTGTGGCATTTCCCAGTCAACGCGGTCCACATTGCCGTTGTCCGCCACGAGATTTGCACAGAACATCAGAGTATCTATGTATCCGACCTCGGGCTCTGCCAGATCTCAGGATACAGTCGCAAATTGCAGTTGTCGGCTCATCGTGTGGATACTTGGCCTCTCTCGCAAGATCACTGGACGCGGTTGAGCTGTTGTGCAACCACATGTAAATCGCCGACCGTGAGCAACGGCTGGCTTTTCATTCCTACTGCATTTCCGGTCACCATTGCACAGCTATTCCGTGGCCCTTCCCTTCACGTGTTGTTGACGCACCACAGGCATGGCTATGCTGGTTTGTCGTTGATCGGAATAGTGCGTTTCCTGCTCCCGTTCTCGTGGGAGTCTACTGGCTGTTAGAACGGTACTATGCGCTGGCCAATTTCGGCACCCTCTGAGAAGTACGTAAAGAGCTTGCTAAGGACCCGACAGCAAGAATGGCAACGCCCACAAGCAAATCCTTCTTGCATCCTGGTTAGTGCTATTCTTTGAACAGCAGATCATTCCGTGTTCACTGTGCAACATAGCTTACAGCCTCAGATATGTATCGAATGATCAGGTTCTGTGTAGACTCCCCCCGACGGTCACAACAGCAAGGTCATTTGGACCACAACGAGTGTGCAGATGGGGTTATTAGCATACGGGTCGCAAGGCGGTCGATCGACAACGCAGCGCAAAGCTCTCATGGCATGAGTAAGACCAGGAATTGTGGATGTGTTCCCCCTTGCCGAAGAGGAAGGTTGGTTTATACATTCTCATCTATTATCTGTTGCGGATACTGACATTGCTCAGCTGTCCCTGTAAAGGCCCACGAGGTCCAGGGACATGTCCCAGCACATGTGTCTGTCCGTGCAATTGACGAAAGAGAAATCGACGCGGTAGCAGACCGTCACGACCGTGAAGAAAGAATACCTTGAAACGGCTGTGCTTGATTGGGGTCGGCATCTCACCGTGGGTGGCTATGTCGTCCTTGGTCGTGTTAGCTCTCATATCATAGCTTTGCATATCGGCACTTCCAAGCGGCCTCCGTTGACAATGAAATCGCTGGCCCAGGATAGCTTCGTAGTCTCTCTCCCATAGTTTTGACGAGTAGAATGCAGGAGAAGAGTCGAACGATGTAGAACAAAGACCCAATGCTCCGATATCGCCGAAAGGGGAAAAGCCGGGTATTTGGTCCTTGGCATTGTATCCTGGTCAATGCAGCAACCCAGTCGCCGACACAACCACTTTCACTTCACTCTACTCGAGCAACAGCCTCATTCTTCTCTCGCCGGTACCAGCCTCGCGACAGCTCACACTTTGGAACCCTCTCTTAGAAATACTCCCCCAAGACTTTCGCATCTCGGAAGTCTTTAGCAATCACCAACTATCACAATTCTCTCTGTTGGTCTCGACTCAAAAGAACCCCACCGCACCTTTGTCGAAAGCCTCATTCCAGTCTACTCTACCAATCCTGGGTCCTCCTACCTTAACACCTGCGCCTACAACTGTACCTTGGAAGTAGTCAGTGTGACACTTCCCCCAAATCTCTGCGAACAACCCGGTTCGCATCCCACAATACCCTTACTGTCTATACCATTGGAACATCACCACCATGACGGACAGTTTAGCATCGCAGCTAGGCCAAACCTCGTTAAACGATGGCGCGGGCGATAGCAATTGGAAAGACTCGCTGAAAATACCGACAAAAGACACAAGACAACAGACAGAAGATGTGACGGCTACTAAAGGTCTCGAATTCGAGGACTTCTACATCAAACGTGAATTGATGATGGGTATATTCGAAGCTGGTTTCGAGAAGCCGTCGCCTATCCAAGAGGAGACTATTCCCGTCGCCCTCACCGGTCGAGATGTCCTGGCAAGAGCAAAGAACGGAACAGGCAAAACCGCAGCCTTTGTTATTCCTACACTGGAACGAATCAACCCAAAGAACCCCAAGACGCAGGCACTCCTCCTTGTCCCTACTCGAGAACTCGCTCTTCAAACATCTCAAGTGTGTAAAACTCTTGGGAAACACCTCGGCCTTAATGTCATGGTCACCACTGGCGGTACCGGACTCAAAGACGATATCATCAGATTGGGAGAGCCGGTCCACATAATAGTTGGCACGCCCGGCAGAATTCTTGACCTTGCCAGTAAAGGCGTTGCAGACTTGTCTGAATGCCCCATCTTTGTCATGGATGAAGCCGACAAACTGCTTTCACCTGAATTTACCGTTGTCATTGAACAATTACTCGCTTTCCTCCCAAAAGATCGACAGGTCATGCTTTTCAGCGCCACATTCCCAATGATGGTCAAAACTTTCAAGGACAAACACATGCGCAACCCATACGAAATCAACCTCATGGATGAACTGACTCTCCGCGGTATCACTCAATATTACGCTTTCGTCGAAGAGAAACAGAAGGTTCACTGTCTCAACACGCTCTTCTCCAAGCTTCAGATCAACCAGTCTATCATCTTTTGCAACTCCACAAATCGCGTCGAACTACTCGCAAAGAAAATCACCGAACTGGGTTACTCATGCTTCTACTCTCATGCCAAAATGTTACAACAAAACCGCAACAAGGTCTTCCACGATTTCCGTGCTGGTGTTTGTCGAAATCTGGTCTGTTCGGATCTGCTCACTCGTGGTATTGATATCCAGGCAGTCAATGTTGTGATCAACTTTGACTTCCCCAAGAACGCCGAAACATATCTGCATCGTATTGGTCGTTCCGGAAGATTTGGACATCTTGGTCTCGCTATTAACCTGATCAATTGGGAAGATCGCTTCAATCTTTACAAGATTGAGCAGGAACTTGGTACAGAGATTCAGCCGATTCCGCCTTCCATCGACAAGAGTTTGTACGTCTACGACAGTCCCGAGAACATCCCTCGACCAATGCCACCTCCAGCCCAGGCTCAACAGGGCAACTCAAACCCCTCAGCGAATGCATATTCAAATGGTCAGGCTCAAGGCGGCCGCAGACCATACAATCAATCCAACGGGTACGGACAACAGTACAACAATCAAGGGCGTGGAGGATACCGAGGTCGCGGTCGTGGCCAGGGAGGTCGTGGACGTGGGGGTCAATTCCAGCAATCGGCGCCACCTGTTGGTCAAACTGCTCAATAGTTCCTTTGGACTATTGTGAGGTGTTTTTGATCTAGCGACTGTCCTCTTTCTCTTACGGCGTTTACACTATTTCCATGCTCACGAAGGTCTATGACGTGCGACATGCGCAAGCTCGGAGTTTGACTGATCATGGATAATACGATTTTCCTTTTGCTATCAGATCTGTACAACAGTCTCGTACAGATTTCAGTCTTGGGTTGGGCACTTTCTGGATGGATGGCGGAAAGCGCACGATCAACCTTGTCGACGGTCTGCTGAGCACCATGGTTCACGGCATTCCGTGTCATGAAGATCTTCTTAGGCGTGGCCGGCTAGGTGTGCGCACCTTCAAGGATTGAGCAGGACTCAAGATGCGGACATGGTAGATCCGCATGGCGTTGTATGATTTCTTACCTTTTTCATTCCGACTTCAAAAAGTGCCCATGTCGATGGGCTTCACTCATCCACATGACGACAGTTACTGAGCTACACAACATCGCACTTATTCATCTTCGTCAGCCGCGACCTCCACACGACTTCTATTCTCACTACATCGAAACCAACAACGTTCCCTACACCTATACTTACCTTTATGTCTCGACTTCCACTTGAGAAGGAGCTAAACCCGAGACACTCCCAACGTCATCAACCACCGTCAACTCCATCACAGCACATTCCCTCCTCATCACACAATCTTTACCCGTCAACTTGATATCCACCAGGAGGCCCTCGCTCTCGGACCTGATGTCAATCGAACTAGCACCATACACCCAGCACGTACCAGATCTGTCATACACATTCCATCTCTCACTCTTCGACCTTGAGGAGCGAGCTCGATAACACGGCTGATGTATGCAAGCAGATGTCACACCCTCTGCATCAGAAAACATCTAAAAAACTCACAAAAAAAGAATAGGAGGAAAGCCAATGGTCAGAGATCAGGGCGCGCTGTCAAACGTGCATCATGCGGAAGATTGGCATATCAATGTCAACCATTTGCAGCAGCATATACCAATACGACCGCGCTGGTTGAAGACTAGGCAAGATGTACGTCTAACACAATAGACATAAGGGGCGATACCTGTTCTTAGGCACCTCCTCTAGCTACCTAGATGCCAATGAAAAAGACATCTTTCCTCTGTTTTCACCTTTTACTCAAAGACTGAATGCCGCTAACCCAGGTATAATGTGGCCCTAGCCCCTAAAGGTCCAAAAGAAAACAGGTTTGCTTGCAATACTTTTCTCCCTCTCTGCCACAGATACATTTGCTCTTCCATCCCCGTCCGCACTCATGAACCAAAGTCGATTTAGCTTACAAACGAACCCTTCCGATGACCGATTTCCCCAGAAACGCGTGATACAATGTCTCTAGATGTTGACGAACTTACTTCACTTAGTAAGTCAAACGCTTCTGGCCCCCTGTTCCAGCAGCACCGCCCAATTTATGGCTCGGCTTAGTATACGAGCAGAAACGGTCCTTGATCGAGACAACCTCGTAGACACCCTCGTCACTAGCGCGGATGGACTTGGTGTACTCGTTAGACGTATCGTGGCGGGTTTCGACGATATTAGGCGGATTGCGACCTCTCTTGGTGTTCTCGGAACGAGTGTACCTGTTAGGACTGTGTCAGTGTCTTGCAGAGAGTTGCAAAGGGATAGCAAGGGTAAAACATACGTAAACTCAAACGGCGGCGTGCCAGTAAACGAGAACAAGATATCAACCTCGCCGCCCTCGTGGATGTCGCTGACCAAGGTTTTGCCGCGGCCCATTTCGACAGTCGGGTAAGCGTGGATGGTCTTCTTGATTTCCTTTCTTGCGCGGCATTTTCCATTGCCCATGGCGCTGTCACTTACGCCAGTAATGACGAATTCACCGGGTGACTCGGCAAGACGCCTAAACTCGTTGCCGGTCACTCGCGCCTTGCGCTCGCGGCCTTGGAACTGGTAGAAAACGTCGAAAGGCGCTTGACCACTCAGTGAGAAAGAGACATGCTCGCCGACGCAGTAATTCTCTTGGGACTCGAGGGCGATAATGGTCGGTGGGGACGACACGAAGATGCGCACGGAGGATGGATCGGACTCGAGGATGGTTTCGCAGCCGCGGCCATCCTTGACGGAGCGGAGGGAGACGCTGTGGGTGCCGAGGTCAAGGGTCGACCGGGACAGAGGCCATGAGTATGTGGTTGATTGGATGTCCTTGTGGCGGATGATTTCCGGACGTGAGGATACGCCATGGTGAACAATGGCGATCTCAACGCTGAAGGGCGGACTTCCTGTGAAAGTGATGGGGATGTTCTCAGTCTGTGCCTCGACACTGGACGTGAAGCTCGGGTCGTCCTTGCAGTAGCCATATGTCTTGCCTGGGTTGGTGAACTTCGCGCTCGGAAGCGCGTAGACCTCCTGTTTGACGACTAATGGAGGAAAGTGATTCTTGTCGTGAGCGTAGCGCTCGTCGCTCAGCTCGGTGAAGACATAGGTATAGTCACCGGCCTTGCTGGTGTCCAGGTTGATCTTTGCGTTGCTGCCTGCAAAACTGCCGGGCTTGTTGCTGATGGCCGCAGGTCCTTTGACGGGCTCATATTTTTGCTGATATTTCACATGGTATGGCGGGTTGCCGCTGAGGCTGAGAGACAATGCGGATTCATCGCCTTGACATACTGCTGATTTGTGGAAGGTCCCGGCGCCATCTCGCGAAGCCGCAGTGTCTGTGACGGACAACGTTGGTCGAGGAATCCAGCTCACTTGAAACTTGTTGGCTTTGAAGTCCACTAAGCCCGGGCAGCTGTCGTGCACTGAGACAATCTCATAAGTCCCTTGCCGATCAAGGGACAAGATGGAGTTTGCGTCTCTGAACACATGCTCACGCGAGGCGGAAGGATGGTCCACAATCTGAATCTTTACAGCCCATGGCGCAATGCCCTGCAACCGTAGAGGGACTTTGATGGCCTTGCCGTCCAATGCTAGAATGGTCCTCTTTCCTTCGATGTCGCCAAACGCGGCCCGTGCTTGTCCAGGTCTTACCTCGATCTGACGTTCCTCCTTCAATGTAGTGCGACACTTAGATTTGTCTTGAAGTCCGGTCAGAACGACAGAGTAAGTGCCACCTTCAGCAAAACCCGGAAAGTCGATCGTCTGCAATTCCTCTTCCGAATGAAGGGAATGCTTTTTCCTCTTTCCACCATGGACAAGCTCATAGTCCAGATCCCATGGTCCCTGACCAGTGAATCTGACCTGCATTGAAGTTGGTTCATTCAGACATGTCTTAACGACTTGGGTGCCGCCGTGGAAGTTGGCAGACGCAGGTGGCCGGATATCCTGCTTCAATTCAGGTAGTTTTCTTCCCTTCAAAGAGATCGGTCCATAGACATCATCCTCGATTTCGAGAATCTGGTAGGTATAGGAACCAGCTTCTTTTTCACGCAGCTCAATCTGTCCACGCATCCCTGAAAATTGTTGGACTTTTGGATGCGCTTTGCCGCGATGAGTAACCATGTATCTGACTTTGAAGGGCGGAGTTCCGGTGAAGTCAAGGTTGATGTACATGCCAATGGGACTCTTCGCGCATTGATCCACAATATCCTCGGTGTCGATGACAAGGTCAGGCTCCGGAGGATTAAACAGGAGGCATGAAGAAGGTTCCACAATCTCTCCATGACAGAATTGACTGTCTACCGAATCAATGCTATACCGGCCTGCTTTGCTCACTCGTGGCGAAGAGCGATCATTCGCAATTTCATACGTGAATTCTTCTGGTGAGCCGGCTTCGCTTTCCGTTTCTGGTCTGAAGCTGTATCTAAGTTTCAAAGGCCAGTCAGATGGGTGTAGCCGGTCGACCGTGCGGACGCGAACAGGTAAATTGATAGAGCTCTCCTTTGGCAGCGGTATTGCACGATCCGAGTTGCAGCCAACCAGACTGATTTGAGGTCGATTGTGTACTGTCAAACTCTGGACCGAAGAAGCTTGCGTCTTTCTAGAGTTGCTCGCATAGTAGTCGACTTTGTTGCCCAAGCCATCTTCGACTTCCTCAATCGTGTACGAATGGCTCCCATTTTGATGTAAAGATTCGTTGATGTCGAATGACTCAGTGGTAGACTTTGTCCAACCCATTTGAGGCTTTCTAGGGTCCACAACTGCCTGGGAACTTTCCTCATCAGACACGTACCCGGAGTCGGCACGGGGCTGAACATTCTGAACAATGGAGCTAAACTGCTTGTGGTTGACGTTCTTACTGTATTTGACCTTGAATGGAGGAACACCCGACACTTGCAGCGAAACATCGCTCAAGTCTCCTGTGCAACGATTTTCCGATGTGGCTGAAATAGAGGCTTTCGGACACTGCACAACAGCAACATCAAAACTTCGTTTGCGGACCTCCAGCTTTGTCGCATCAATGACACGTTGCAACTGATAAAGTCCCTTTTTGGATACAGGATAACGCAGTGTCCGGACCGGACTAGGGTCGGATTTGTGATGCGCTCCATCGGCAGCCTTCTTGAGCTGCCTGGCTTGTTTGCCGCTGATCAAAATGGTCTCAACCTCCTCTGTATCGAGATCGAATCTTTGCAGCTCGATAGAAATAGGCGTCGTCTGGTTGATCTGGATAGGCAGATCGATTGATGGAGTTGAGCTGTCGAGGCAATATGATTTCTTCTCTGGATTGAGAACAGCGAAGCCTTCTGGTAGGATATGGATGATTTGCTTTCCCAGAATGATGGAAGAATTCTGCAATATGTCGGCCGGCTTGACCCGGTGTTCTGATATAGACAGTTCACGATCGTAAGCCACCTTGACCAGTGCTCCTGCCCAGGCCATAAGTGGGATTGGAATCTTGTACATGAGGAATGCATTTGCAATGGCGTGAAGGAGCCATAGTGTGAAGGTCGTTGCAAATGACCACTCCAACCAAGGAATTCTGAAAGCAGGCAGAGCCACGAAGAACGCTGCGTCGATGCCCACCCATTTCAAGAACAGCCATGTTGAGTCGAGGTCGTTCTCCACGTTGTATGAATTGTAAAACCTCCATGCAGTTAAAGCGACATAGAAGGCAAAGACGTAGAATCTCTGCGAAGGCGCATCAATGACTTCTGTCGGTATGACAGGCGCGGCAGGCGACTTAGCATCGATAGGTATTCGGGTCGGCCGCGTTATTGGGGAGGGTTTCTGCCCAGGCGAGGCGAACGCAGGAGGACGGCCACCAAAGTTGCCATTTCGCTGTCGGGACCCTGTTTGAGGAGTGGTGGGAAAAGCCGACCGCAGTCGCGGCGTTTCGTTCATTGCACCATGCGGCTGTAAGACTTCCTCCTCTTGCGGCTCGACTATGTTTTGCTCGTCTGAAGGTGCGATTGGAAAGCTTCAGCAGGTGTATTTCTGGATTTCGGTCGAACAATGGTGACGGTGGAGAGTTTGAAGTTTCAAGTATGGAGAGGAGTCTAGTTCCTGGCCTGGTAGCAGGGGCAGCGACACGCAGAAGGAGTTGGGGATTTGAGGTTGTCTTGTCCAATGTTCAACAATGGCTTTGCTAGATTTATGTGAATATGCAGGTTATGATGTCGCGTTTCCCCACGCGTCAGAAGGCTGCAATTGCAGCAATTCTCTGTTGATGTCAGCCAATCAAGTCGGGCACACTTGATGCAAGGCTGGGACACCTGGACCGCCTATAAATGAAGGTAATTATTAGGGGCTTCCGGTCCCTCCAGCCTCGCCAAGCACTGAACATCAACTTCATCCCATCAACCTTTCTCTTCACCGATCACATTGAAGGACGTATAAGGACCAATGAGCGCAAGGATCCCCGCCGCACCTTCGCAAGGAGGAGGAGACAACAGTGCAAGGCGGCCAAATGGAGTCCTTTCTAAGTTTCTTGTCTGATCGTTCTTGGAATGCACAGCTTCCACACTGCTTATACAACCAATCTTTGGCAACAAGGCCTCCTTGATTACTTTCGTTCACGCGACGCGACACTTTGCGGAGGAACCATCATGCCTCGCAGTGCTGTAACTCTCGCGAATAAGCGAGCTCTCGAGCTATATGAAAGCAATATGAAGTGTGCCAATAACCATTCAGAGACTGAAGAAACCGCACCAGAAAGCAATACCGCAGCTACCTCAACATCTGAAGACACCACTCAGACGAATGGCAGTCCCACTGCAAACCGTCAAATAGGTTCTTGGGCAGGATGGGCTGAGCTCGAGAATGATCCGGTAGGACTCTACACGGTTTGTGTCCGATGTAGAGGCTAAGTTTACTTCAGGAAGTCTTCACCACCCTCCTGCGCGAATGGGGCGTTCCAGGCGTTCAGGTGAATGAGGTCGTTCCGCTTGACAGCGTCTTTGATCACCCAGCGTAGGTACACATGACTATTACATACAGTGAACGTGCACACTAATCAAGCTTCAGTGAGAGCATCTTCGGGCTGATATTCCTGTCGCGGTGGATGCCAGCAGAAACAGACAACGACATCACAAAGCCACCTGCTGGTGTCTGGTTCGCCAACCAGACTTTGCCCTTTTCCTGTGCGACTGTGGCGTTGTTGAACATCATGAACAATCACTCTGGCATTGATCTGGGGCCACCTCTGAATGAGTTTCGCGAGAATACACTCAAGATGACACCGAAAGAACGTGGGATTGCATTGGACGCATTCGACCATGTCAGGGATGTGCACAATTCATTCGCGACTGAAATCGACAAACTGAATATCGACCTACGCCTAAAACAGGAATTTGCGGCTGCAGAAAAGGAGAAAAAGGCGAAGGCGGCTCAATCAAAACGTCCTCGTAAGAAGAACAAGAAGCAAACCAAGCAGTATGAAGAAGACGAAAACGGGTTTCATTTTGTGGCGTACGTTCCAGTTGACGGATGCGTTTGGAAGATGGATGGGCTGGAGCAACTTCCGAGGAAGCTTGGGGCTCTTGCCGACGGAGACAGTTGGGTAGCAATGGTACTTCCGGAGCTTCAAGCTCAATGTGAAACAGCCACTGCCAGCGCTTTCGAGTTTTCCTTACTATCATTGACTGCAGCCACGGACAATTTGGGCCTGGAAGCTAATCGGGAAAAGATGAAGAGAGTCAGAGAGGACTGGGGTCCATTCATTGCTCAAATGGTGCGCCTCCATGCAGAGAAGGGGACGCTGAGAAACACCCTCGGTTGAGTCAGCAAAGAATTGTGGAGGTGTTGGAATGGTTGGGTGTTGATTCATGATGGTACGCCGACTGCCAGAACGGCATTGAAGAGCATGAAGAAGCAGTGAGTGTACTAGTAGATACTTTCCAGTCAGATTCAACTTACCAGGCATGCAAAAGTCGGTGACGGCGTCTATGGGCCAAGTCAGGAACGGCCACTATTGTGATTGGTCGGCGGTATTATGACGTGTGTACCGAGATGGAATGAAGCCGACGTTATTAGACTCGATCATAATCATAATCATAATCATGATTCCCTTTGCTCCATCTCGCCAGTTTGCACGCGACAGACGTTTCTTGACGCCAACAACATCAACGTGCGGTTTGAGTGTGTCTAACACAAACGACAAAATCAATCCAGAGCGCCGTGGAGTAATGACTTCACAGTTGACTGCACTGCCAGACGAGGTCATCCAAACAATCCTATCGTACTTGCCACCCTCAACAACTCTATCGTTACAACAGACATGCCGACGCTTCGTCGATGTCGCCAGTGAACCGCTTCTCTGGAAGCAGTATTGCCAAACAGGCTTTCGCTGGTGGCATAGACAGCACCTGGTCAAAACCAAATTTCAAGATGCATCTTTCATTGACTGGAAGCCTCTATTTGCTACCCGACACCTTTCCTCTCAAGCCACCCGAAATGCCATTGGAAGAATCGTCGCAGACGAGCTTGGTCGACTCGACTCGATCAAGGTCATTCTTGATGCTGGCTACGATGCCAAGGATGATCTCTTAGATATGTTTTGGAACGCATCCTCTTCGGAGGACCACCTTGCGCAAAAGTGAGTAGCCCCGAGTTCATTGTCAGAGACTATTTCTGAAGGTGTCTCAAGATATTGGAGTCATGCAGCACTTGGCTGTCTCCATAGAGTGACGGCCGTTGAAGAATGGCTAGATCTCAAAGCTGGCCGAGCCTATGTCGATGCTTTCGAAAAGCCTCTTGCCGCTTTGGATCTTTTCATTCTTGAAGAACAGGCGACCGGCGACACTGACGATGTAAGCCAATCTCCCAGGACCCTAACTGCTGGGCTCACTCCTTTAGATCTTTGCGAGACTAGATTCATATGTGGCGTCGGTGCGAAGGGCTTACCCTGCTATCGATGACTTGTCTCCTCGAGACAAGGCTGCCACGGTCGCCGAGCATTTGCTCCAGAACAAATGGATCGGTATTCAAGATGATCGCCATTACCACAGTCTCGACCACATGTTCCTTGGTGTGGCCCTATTCAGTGGCAATCGAAATTCTGTCCCGCTCATCTCTGCGGTAATATACTGCTACGTTGCTCGCCAGTTTAATCTGAGGGCCGCACCATGCAACTACCCCTTTCATGTGCACGCCATAGTTCAGCCACCTGCCGGGATCGACCTCGACGGAAACCTTCTCTCAGAGTCTGATCTGGGGAATACTGAGCCATCGAAGCTGACGCATCTGTACATGGATCCGTTCAACAGCTCAGAGCCAGTAACTCTCTCTACGCTAGAGAGGAACCTCAACTTTGTCGCACCGACCTCGTCACCCGCTCAGAAAGCCTCATACTTGTCCGCCGCCACTCCCCGGGACCTCACTATCCGCGCCGCGCACAATATCCTCTCCTCGCCCTCGCAGTACGCTGGACCGCCACTCCATCCCATAAATCCTAATCTCGCCACATATGCAGCATTATTCTCGCTTGTCTTCCTTGCTCGCTCGACCGCAAACCCCCCGGATCAACTACGGCAGCATCTAGTCGTCCTAACGCAACATTTTCTCGAGTACTTCGATCTCGACATCCATCTATTTGAAACATACGTCCTTCCACTCACCATTTCTCAGCCCGACGCACGGGCCTATCGTAACCTGATTCATCAATTGAAAGACTCAGACCACGAGTCTCGACCGCCAAAGTCCCGTTCGGACCCACGCAACGCTGTCGTCAAGTTCAATGTCGGCCAAGTGTTTCGACATCGGCGCCGCCACTATCTCGCCGTCATATACGGGTGGGATCCATACTGTCGAATGCAAGAGCAGTGGATCACGATGAACCAAGTTGATCGACTGCCTAACGGGCGCAATCAACCCTTCTACAATGTTCTCGTGGAGGATGAGTCGACTAGATATGTTGCCGAGGAGAATGTGGTGCTGTTGTCGCCTAGTGAGATCACCGAAGATATGTTGGCCGCTTTTCCCATTGAGATTGGCAAGTGGTTCAAGCGGTACGATCCGCAGACAGCGACGTTCAGAAGCAACGTTCGGCATGAATACCCCGACGATTGAGCTCGAGCATGTTTGGGGGGGATATCGTGTAGCCGCGCATTGTGGGACGACACTTTCACAAAGATCTGGTTTACATTCCGGTTGGTGGGAACCTTTTTTGGGCATAGATACCAGGAGTCAATGCATTCAAGGGGTGCAATCTCAAAAACCGTCAACGCCGTTCCCAACGCAGAAGACAGATTTCCCAATAGCATCCCGTCATCTACAGTCGTCACTTTGCAAACCATAAACCCTCATCCCTCATTCAACTTGCTGTATCTGACATACCCGCCAAACCGGTGCATTCTAGTGCATGGCAAACTTACTTCTAGCTCTGAGCCCAGCACCAAAATACCACAACGCCCAAATGCCCAACACACCGCCACCAAGCAGCCCACCTAAAAGCGAGATGCCGCGGCCAATCCCGAGGTTAACATACAGCGGATGCGCGAATATGACCGCGCCAGCCGCCAGCGCCGACCGACACAGATCGTTCGCGGCGAACAATGAAGCCGCGTACTGAGGGTACGTAAGGGGGAGGTACATGAATATACATTGGAACCTTCACAAAGTGTTAGTAAACCAGTCGCAGGACCAAGTCCTAGGGTAGAACTGGAGAGAAGGTTGAGATACATACAGTATAAACGCGCCCATAGCATAGAATGTAATCCCGATGACACTCACGATCCAATGGGTATTGGGCTCAGCAGTCCATCCGAACCAGAACATGCCAGTGGGCATCAGCATGACAGCGAACAGCGCGGGGACAAGACGGTGCTCCTGCGCGCGGAGGCCATTCTTCTTGATATCTGGCTCGAGATAGAAGTAGACGTATGACACGTAGATGACAATGCCAAAGACGCAGCCGACGACGATACACGTGAACACCACGCCCAGCTCGCCGATGTTGAAGTCGTAGATGCCGACGTAGACGAGCGGGAAGGCTTCGAAGAAAGAATAGTAGACTCCTATAATGTTGTCAGTATACCTCCTGCAATTGAGCGACTACCGAACGTACCGTAAATGAGACTGGTGTAGACATTCGTGAAGAACACCGCGGGATCTTTCAAAAAGATCTCCGTCGGCTTCCACATCTGATCGATGACGAGCTTGCCGAAACTGATGTTTCCTTGGTCAATCTCACCTTGTGATTTGAGGTTGGGGTTCCCCGTGAGTTTGCGTAGTCGCTGCGCCCGGCGGAGCAGGATGTTACTGGCGCTGGTCTCGGGCATGGAGATGAACATCAGGAGAAACACTGGGCCTGCCAGCCAAAGGACCTCCCATAAAGCCCACCTCCAGCCTTTCACGACGACGGAGAACCCAGATAGCAATGGTCCCAACGCAGGAGCGCAAAAGGCGGCGGCGACCCAGGCGGTAAGGGCATAGGGGAGTTTGAGAAGGCCATACTAGACTGGTGTTAGGGGGCTTGGAAGCACGAGAAGGAACAACGGTGGCATACCATGTCACCCATCGTGGCGCCACCAGTAGCTAGACACGGGCTACCCATGAAGCCGGTCAGGAAACGCAAGACCAAGAGACTCGCGTAGCTGTTGGCCAAAGCCGTTGGCACGCACAGAATCACGAAAAGGCCGAACGAGATGAGATAAGGAAGGTTGCGTCCGACGACAGGCAATTCGGAGATGGGGGAGAAGAGCTGGTACGTTATGCCGTTAGTGATTGTACAACATCAGCAGGTCAGGGTAGGAAGTAAAGACTCACCATCGGACCCAGACCGTATCCAATAACATACATACTCAGGCCCAGCGAGGCTTTGCTCTGACCCACGCCAAACTTTTCCATGACTTGTGGTTCGGCTGAGGTGTAGATGGCACTCGCCATGTAAACAGCAAACGTGTACATGAAGATGACAAAGCCAACCCAGGCCTTCTTCCAACTGTTCCAGTTCTGAGGATTCGCTGGGTCGTCTGTGGTGTACCAATCGACGAGAATGACACCATCAGAAGTGCGTTCTGGTGCAATGACGCTACTCTGCGTTCGCTCCGCGGCTTCTTGTGTTTCAGCTTCGAGTCGTTCGCGAGTATAAGGTACGGTTCGCTCTCTAGAGAGAGTAGTAGTTCGGTAAGTGATGCCACCGGTGGCAGAATGGGCGGCAGAGCGAGCCGTTGGGATTGTAGAGAGGCCAGCATGCGCTTCCACGTCTTGACGGTCGACAATGAACTGCTCAGGAGTAGAGGCCGGCGTCGAAACATTGCTGTTGACTCCACCAACTGCGGCTGGAGAGTCCGCCTCGATATCCTTCTCCTTCTCGCTTGCTGAAGCCTGTTCCCATGGAATCTTGAAGTTGGGGTTATCCTCGGGGAATGCAGAGATCTTGCCCTTGGAGATGAAGCGTAGAACCTGGCCTAAGCCTGAGTCTTGGATCATGTCTGCCATTGTGTGCCCCATGTCGCAGATAGAAGGCGGTGGAGATGGGTAAGGAAATGTCAACGGGTCACGATGATCTGCAACAGAAGACGGATCGAGAAAGACCTGAGTGAGTACATTCTTATATAGAAACAGTTTTTCTGCTTAAGCTGGGTAGTCGTCCGTGATGGTGGGAATGCTGGCATTACTCAGCTTGCATTTGATATTGTGACAAAGTTCAATGCCATATCTGCAAAAACTCGAGACTGCTGCGCCGCCAATGAGATGGGGACTCGGGAAGATGTTCCTCCACGATTGCGGTTGTTGTAACCTTCCATGGTACACTTTTGTAGTCCTGGTCGCCCACAACCGGTGTTATGAAACATAATAGTCAGCGATGGAGCGCTCGAGAACACGTTGACTGAGCAAATCGTCGGCCGCAAATACTCAACAACTACTACCAAAGACGGACATAAGTCACGTGAATGGCTGATATGCTGGCCATACTCCCTGCTTACCAACTGTTAGTTGCTCCGCACCCGAACCAAGTAGTTGCTCATGATGAGTAAACTTGCCTGATCAACCCTTGGCATCTGCACTCCTGAGCCTAAGCACCTCCCACCCACACAAAAGGTCCCTCATTTGGACTTGTATCCGAGAAGGTCATTATTGACTAAGCCCACCATACGTGCGTTGGCGCCTTGCCGCTTGGATTGATACAGCATTGACTTGAGTCCATTCGCTGGAAGTGATCCTTGCATCCGTCGCCGGTAGTCACTCATTGGTCCGTCGATACGTGCGTTCCCTATGCGTACTTAATGTCAGCAAGGCTGGTGCTTTCCCGGTTGCTCCATTCCCGCAATAACGACGTAGAAAGTCGTGGTCGCTGAGCCCTGCAGCCAGTCCAGACAGTCGCATCTTAGAGCCCTCTTAGGAGACCACCTAGCGTGCTTGCTCGATGGTTTCCGGGTTTGATACGGGCTTCGTTTGGAATTACTGATGTGGTATCATCGTAACATCTTCAGCTAGGTGCTGATTCCCACAACTTGAAATACTTCGGCTTATCCTCTGGAAACAGATATGGAGGGATGAAGCCATTGGGCAGAGCGGCCATTTCGATTTCCAGTCTCACGCCCGCTCTTCTGTATATGGGAAGCAGCTCGGTGCACTTGTCAACCATTCGTCGATGTGCGATGGTAACCTGGGTTATCTCTTCGATGCTGGAGCCATCGTCCGAAAAGCTGAGTCTTGGTATCTCATCATCCTCGCGATAGTATTCATAGGAGAAGATGAGGTTCTTGAGCAGTCGCAGTCCATGCTTTGCTTTGTCGGCCACGATACAGGTGTCAAGGGGAAACCAGACACGTCGCCGTGCTTGGAACGGAGGTCGCTCGCCCAAAGGTATGGAAAAGATTTTCAGAGTCTCCAGGTTGGGGGGCAGTCTGCGCCACGTAGCGTGATCGCACGGAGCCCTGATCCGAACCAAGTTGACTGTCCGAACATCGAGGTCCAACTGTTTCATCGCATGAAATGCAGTGAGACTCAAGTGCTGGCTGGAATGATTGATGCCTTGGGGTCCTTGCCTCAAGTACCCAAGGCTAAGAGACAGGTGTTCGAGCGAATCGGTGCAATGCTCGGCTATGGCCTCCATGAAGGGTCGTGGAGAGACATTCCCGTGCATTCGACTGCTTCTAGCACTGAAGATGCCGTCATACCGAACGCCTTCGCTGACCTTCAGAGATTTCAAGGCGCGTGGGAAGCTCAGTAGAATGCTGAGAGACGGTTCAAAGATGTCGCATTCTTCCAGGTGCAGGTGTTCCAGATTGGTCGATTTGACGAGGGTCGTATCGTCTTGAAAAGGTGTCAGCAACCTATGCGTGAAATCGGTGCTGGCACAGGACATGGTCAACGACCTCAAGTTGGGATGCAAGAACAGCATGGCATATTTGGTCATTGAGTAGATCTCTTTCTGTCCATCCACAAAATGTAACGTGCCTGGAGGTATGTTAGTTGATGATAATTCCCTACGCGGAGAGATTGCTATACAGTTTCTCAAACTTGGCAGAACCCTATCACCCCTGGGGACAACGGTCGAAGCACTTTCAAAGATGCGTTCGTATCGGTCCTGCAGGTTGACCCAGCCGACTCTCTCTTCGGGGAACTTGGCATTGCAGTCGGGTGTCTCGAGACGTAAATCCTGTAAGTTGCGCATTCGACTTATGAATGGCGGTAATGTGCTCAAGCCTTCATCGTCCCCGAATTTGGTCGAGATGAGAAGGCTGCGAACCCATGTAGCACGACGGGGATTTGCATACAGACTGCGGGCCAGGGAAATGGCTTGCTGACCATTCAGGATTTGGATAGTGTGGTACAAAAACGGTTCGGCCAAGTCGTCAAAGTGCTTGGACACAACGGTGGCATTACGTAGACTCCGAAAATCTAGGAAACTGAAGATGGTGATGAGTACCTCGTCCGGTAGATGGAGCAGGAGGAGAGAGGGTGACATTGTTGCGATCATGATGGCGGTCCGAGAACAGATGGAGTCGGCGGACTCCACAGGGGGTAATATGTGGTGACTATCAGCAATGCATCTCGGAGTCTGTTACAATCTTCCAAGACAAGGCGTAGGAGAGTGGCTAAAAGGTTGTGTCTTCGCTTTTGTAGATGAAAAAGAACATAGTGATGTTGTCGTTTGGGCACGCGAGAGACTGGGTGACTTGGTGTCAGTGTCAGGATGACAGAGGCAGACACAAGTGAATGGTCCAAACGGACGATGTCATAGCTGACGATTATTGAACTCTGGGGTCTGCAAGTTGATTGGACCATCCCCATTCACGACTAACATGCCATAGTACGGAGAAACGAGGAGTACTTTTGGGACACAATCTTCGGTTCTCATCTAGGTCTGACATTATTGTTGTCTTCACTGAATAGTCTCCTCGAGACTCGCAGATGTACCTCTCATACACTGAATGCCGAATACAGGATATCTCCACCCAGCCTGGTTCCAGCAAGTCAGTCCTCGGACCGGGGCATACTTGGAGGCATAAGCACTTCATTGCGCATTCTATCCCCAAGTGTGAGCCGGCCATATCCCTGAATGACCACGCATCCCAAGAGAACAAGCGCGCTCCCGTAGCCGCAGTGATAGAACTCTTTTGAACAGTGACATGTAAGAGCACGGAGCTCCTTCAAACAGCCCAATGTGCTTAGCTACTTTCCCAAGCAGCACCTGGCTTCATACACGTCTCATGGTCGACTTCCATGTTGACCATTTTTTCGCCGGATGCAGTTTGCGCCGTGATCCTTTTCCTTTGGTTGACTTCGAATAGATCATGCTGGTGCTTCGTAGCCTCTTCTAAAGACCCGCCCAAACATATCTACGCCCACTCTTTCACCCTTGACCTCGCTCTTTGCCACGTTCTCGGCATTCGCTGGAATTTCGACATCCTCTCCATTGACAGCCCATCCGCAGGCAGTTTGGGCGAACTTCGTCAGGGTATCACCGCGCAAATCGAGCCAGCCACTCAGAATCCCCAGATCAATACGTCGGAATGTTTTGCCCACTTCTCCTGCAATCCGTATCCGAACTAGATCTTCGAATCCTGCCACGTCGGCGTAAAGATCTGCGTATAGATCATCGGATTCCAATGTCGACCAGAAGGCGTCATATTGTGCGGACTCAAGCAGTGTGTTTAATCCTGTGAGCTTTTGTATCGACTCGGTGAAATCTGTCGTGGGTACCGAAGTGTTTCCTTGTTGGTAAGGTATGGTGGAAGGAGGTAGGAGAGCAAGAGCTAGAGAAAATGCGGGCGAGGGAAAGACCGTCAAGGCTTTGACCAGGATGTTGGTTACGGTTTCTGGGTGGATGAGTTGTGGGTTGAATTGGTACCTTTCGCGCAAAGTCAGCCTTTTTCCTATCAACAGAACACATGCGATAGCAATTCGCGATCCAAGACTTTAGATAGAGCTAAATTTTTAGAATCCCCGTGTTCCCGAAGGATAAGTCAGTTAATAGAAAACGTGATATGAGAAATTCTCTTCATCACTGAGCAAGAAGCCGATCCTTTTCATGCAGGGTGCCTTCTTACAATTTTAGCAGCGCCAGAGACGCATATGCATCGAAGAACTTCTCCTCGCACTGTAGAGTGACATATTCTTGAAATGTGGTCGTCGTCTCGGGGTTGTATCTGTTCAGGCCGTTGAGGATTTCCTCAATGTGCGCCGGCCGCTCCTTGCACTTGTCAAAGGCCTGGGGCATTATGACGGATGTTCAGGCGCTCGAGGTCTGGAGGAAATGGGCTGTGGTGATATGTCGTGGTCTGTCCGCAGTCTGTATCTCGAGAAATGAATTTCGCAGGACGAGTGCGCAGGCGCTTCAAACGGCAGGTTGTGGCGGACATTGCCAAGCCCAAATCGGCTCTAAATGCAGTGCTTGTGCTTGGGCCATATCGGAAGACACAAAGTCGAAGTCAAGCTGGTTCACGACAGCGGAAGTCTCGACAAAAAGACAGAAGCACTGTACAGTAGAGCTGATGGCTTCTCCCGTGCCAAAGGCCAACACGATATCGTTGTGTGTGAAGGACCCCGGATCGACAACAAGAATGGTATCTACTTGAACCTGACTAGGTACAGCGGTCAGACTGTGTCACTTTTTCTTGGAAACAGGCTCACCGTGTGGCAGCGTCCGCCACGGTGCGTTCATGGAGTTAACGACAGTCATACACAGAAGCATTTCAGATTAAGGCTATCTATGTGTATTAAGAATGAGTAATACTCCCGCAACGCCCAGTATACCGACACCCTCTTGATACTGAGGAGCCATCCCAGCCTATCAATAATGCCTTGAACCATGCGCGGAACTGGGTCGTGACCCAAACCCCTCATCCTGCACAGCAGACAGATTTCCTCTTGCCCCTAGAGTTCCCAAATCCTTCCCAGTAGTTTCCGCCTCTGTTGGTATCGGGCTGCGGGAGCGTGGCGTCCTAGGGGTCCTTGCCTCCGGGGTGCGACTCCGTGGAGTCAGTGACTGCGGAGTACGAGCACGTGGTGTTGGTGGGTGCGACGCGTAAGGGTGCGGTGCATGAAGGTGCGTTGTATGAGGCTGCGGTGTCGGTGGCTTTGATGGAGCAGACTGTGGTGTAGAAGCTAGGGCCTCTGTGACTTGTGGTCTCGAAACCTTGGGCTTCTTCTCGTGCTCAGTCTGGCACTACAGACCTAACAAATCGCTGAGCTCCCCTGCATGAGCCTGGCCTGACACTTGCTTCACATGATCAGCGAGCTCCTCGGGTTGTACAAACACTCTCCAGACGTGGTCAGGCACATCCTTGAACGCATCAATAAAACGTTGATTCCTGTTTTTGTCTGCCACATAGGGAGTATCGGTGACCTTCCTGATGTAGATCGCTTTGATCCAGTCTGGATACTTGGTGTACATTTGAGCATACGCTTCCGGATCTGATTGAGTCGAGTCGCCAATGCAGATGAATTTGCGCTTTGGAAGCCATGACTGTATCTTCTCAATGCGCTTGGTTTTATACTCTTGAACTCCTTGAGTGAAAGATTGCAGCAAGCCTGCAAAATTCATCCACGATGCATCTCGAAGAATTATCGTCCCTCGTGGATAGTTCTTCTGCACAAAGTCGTGGAGGAAGGGGTATAAGTTATAGGGCGATGCAGAGAGGTAGAACCAAGCAGGAGATCTGAATGTATCGTCCAGGAGCTTGTAAAATTCCGGCATACCAGTTGTCGTTTTCGGCAGATCTGCAAAGGTAGACTGAAGAAGGCCCATAGGATTAGGTGTTTGAGTGACCTTGATAGTGTCATCTATGTCCGAGATGATGGCCCAACCTTCCTGACCGACAAAGCGGGTATGAGATCTCAGGTCCGGGTACAGGTTTTCGTCACTGGTACAGACAACTGTCTTGCCGTCTGCACTGTCCGAGCCCCCTGTAGGCATGACCTGACTGCTGATGCCGTTCCGGGTCGATGGTCCGAGGTGAATTTTGCGAGGGCTGTCGCCGGGCGTAAGCCTCGGTACCTGAATCACAATCGTGCGCGCCGGTGCTACGGCCATGACGAAAGGCTTCAGTCGTTCTTCAATCCTTCTCCTGGCTTCAGGGTCACTACCCAGTTTGTCATCCAGCCCAATAAGATCAGCAATGTTGCTAACATAGTCTGTCAAGTCCCATCGACCGAAACGGAAGAAACAAGCGACGAACTCAGCCTCCCACGGCTGAACAGTGTCTTTCCCCAGCTTGACGGGCCTGTATGCGGTGTTGTCCAAGAGCCATACTAGGTATTTCTTGGGGTTCGCTTTCTTACCAAAGGGATTGTGGGAACCCAGAATACCTAAGTTGCGGTCAGTGGGCAGTCAAGGTCTTGATGGCCGAGACCAACTTGTTTTCTTGTCAATGAAGCTCATCTCGACCTTGGTGTAACGCTGTGGCAATTTGGCCTCGACATCGGCAAAGTTGGCTGCTTTGCGAGATTCGGCTTCCAGAGAAGACTCGTTGGCAATTTGTTCAGCGGGGCCGGCGAGAGTCGACTTCTCTCTTGACTTGGGTCTCATGTTGAGTGAGTTTCTGCGCAGGTGAGCGGACTTCGAAGTGGATCGAATGATTTGAAGCTCGTGATGATGTGGTTTGGTATCGATAGGATGGCAGATACGGTGTGAAACGACTGATTGGTACGCAATGGGGTGTGCTCGGAGCAATGACCGACGACGGAACGAAAGGCATGATCAAAGGGAGACAGGGGATCCGTCTCATTGTAGCAGCTGGTCGAGGGAAGGAGCCGGCAATGTTGGGGTTGGCAGGCACGAGGCTCACCAAGATGTCAGCAGGCACGCATCAGACCTAACAGTAAAGGACGAGCAAAGCTACCAAGGCGAAGGTGCTGTGAGTGAGGCTGATGGCCAGCACATCGTAGCTGAGGCGAAAATCATCATTGTTCTTCCTGGATCTCTCTCGTACCAGCTTTTGCATACCTAGGTACCTTCCGAGGTTTCAGGCTTGATGAGTGAGAGAGAAGAAATGATATTGAAGGGAAAAGTTGGCCGCTACCCCGGACTTTGCTTACGACCATACGACTCTGAATGACATCATGTATATACGATCTCATCGTCATGATGACTATCCACCCTTCCCCTCTCAAGCAGATATGTTTATGAAGATAGTCAATAGTCGACCAGTCTTTGGGACGTCAAATCTCACGCATTGAACCACGGCCGACAGTTCAACATGGGCATTCCATATTCCAAAGAGATCAACGCAGCCTTTGAACAAGTGACTCCACTTGTAGGTGCTGGCTATGAAGTCCTTCAGACCTTGAAGAACATCGCCATACTCCTAGCTTGCATCCAAATATTGACTGTCATCCTGTTGACATTCATCTTCATGGCCATGATGGGCTTATTGATCACCCTGGTCCCCGACATGGAAAAGGAGCGGCAGCAGCTGGTGACGCCGGTCGTGTCTGAGATTACTGGTTGGCTGTACGCATATGGCACGCTTGCGAAGTGGTTGCTCAGGATCTTTCTTGTGGTTAGTGCTGTCGGGTTTGGCATGTTCCTTTGGCAAGGATCTTTGGCTGGCGTCAAAACTCCTCAGATTGACGACTGTGATTCTGGTGATACTTCAGGGGGAGGAGATGAGGCCGCGCAAGCAGCAAAGGACGAGGCCAAAGGAAAGGGTAAGGCAAAAGCGAAGTAGTAGTGGTCAAGCAACACGTTGGAAAGGAGTGAGTCATTGCAGCATTCCCAGTTGGCATCCCGAAGCTGATGTTTCCCTAGTTAACTCGTCTTACCTGCTGAACCCATCAGATCTATAGCTTAGCTTTAGCAGTCCCTTCTTTCTTCACCTCTTCCCTTAGCACCCGCTTCAAAATCTTCCCTGAGGCATTCTTGGGTATTCCATCGACAAACCTCACCCCACCTTCTAAACGTTTGAACTTCGACAACGGTTTGGCGGCAAACTCGATGACATCCGCTTCCGTGAGGTCTTCGTGTCGCACACCTGGTCCACGCACGATATATGCGCGGGGAACTTCGCCGTCGACCTCGCTGGCCGCCTGAACGCCAATGACCGCAGCGTCCACGATCGCAGGGTGCATGAGTAGGACGCCCTCGATCTCGGGTGGCGCGACCTGAAATCCGCGTACCTTGATCATCTCCTTCTTCCGGTCCACCACGTACCAAAGCTTCGTCTTGCCGTCGCAATACATGATGTCACCTGTATGGAAGAAACCGTCGGCGTCAAATGACTCAGCGTTCGCCGTAGGGTTCTCAAAGTACTCTTTGATCACAGTTGGGCCCTTGATGCACATCTCGCCCCTGACATCGTATGCGCTGATGTCATTGCCCTCATCATCAACCAGTTTCGCATCAATTCCTGGTCTGATGCACCCAACAGACCCCGTTACGTCGTCCTCAGGGTAGTCGAACCAGGTCATAATGCAGGTGCTCTCAGTCATGCCATACACCTGAGTGAATGGCGCCCCGGGACTCATGTATTTCCGTATCCCGGCTTGAGTGTCTTTATCCAATGGCGCTGCCCCCACAAGACCCTGTCGTACCGAGCGCAGCGAGTACTTCTTAACCAGCGGTGAGTAGCAGATCATGACAGCCAACGCCGAGACCAGGTACAACTCCGTCACTTTGTACTTTTCCACATTGGCGAGAAATGGCTCAAGCTCGAAACGCCGCATCACGTACCCAGCCTCTCCACTCTTGAGTAGTGAGGTATGGACGCGTGGGCCCACGGCCGCGTGGAACATGGGCAAGGAAATCAGGCTGATGACTTCATATGGGCGCTTCGGGCTGGCCAGGCCATATATGAGTTCGTGCTGGGCGATGAAGTTCTGGTGAGTGCTCACCGTGGCCTTGGGCAAACCAGTTGTGCCGGAGCTTGTCAGCCGCGCCGCAGTAGTATTGGCGCAGGTGGCCAGGTCGTCAAAGCGCACCCAGTCTTGCTCTCCATGTTGAAGCAGTTCCGTCCAGCTGACAAAGTCTGGCGGGCAGGTCTGATTAGGCTGTGTGTCGAAGATGCGGACACTCGATTTTGGGATTCCGGTCTCTTGGGCGGCCTGCAGCAAGGAGTCTAGTAGCTCGGGCTCGCTGATGAAGAATTTCGCTCGAGTGACCTTGACATGGTGCTTCAGTTCGAGAGGAGTGTATCCGGGATTCGTTCCAGCAAAATAAGCGCCTGAGCCGATAATTGCAAGGACCATGATCGGATAGTATATGTCGTTGAATGAGTGAATTATGACACAGTCACCTTTGCGGACTCCCAGGTTGTGTAGGCCAGCAATCAATTGTCGGATGATCTTACGGGCTTGAAGATTTGAAATAGATCGCTCAGGTCGCGCTGCGTCTATCAAGATCTATACAAAGGCAGGTTAGTGCCTTGTTTCATTTGACGCAGACTGTTGTCTCGATGGTTTCCGAAATTGACCAGAACGTGACATACCGGTCTTTTCACATCGTAATCCGGGTTATCGAAGATCCAGGATAAGATATCTTTGGTAGGTAGCTTTGGCGCCGGCGTTGCTGCAAAGAGCGCCATGCCTGCTGGAATTTGAGGCGTCCTTGGGGCTGAGACAATCAGATAGTGAACGGAATGTTCAAGTCTCTATTTCTGAGGTATACAACGAACGGTGATGCTGCAAATGCCTGAGCGATCAAAGACGAGTTTCCAAGGTCGACCGACACTTGTGCTTCTGGAACGATTATCAGCTTAAATACATTATGAAAGTAACCATTAAATGTAGGCTCCGGGGAACCGCCACGGGCAAGAAGTCACTTCCCAAGGCGGCGGTACTCCGTATATCATGGCGAGTGGGGGGCCTGAAGAGAAGGCTGAAGCTGAAACCCTGCCTCGTAATAACGCATGCCGCATTCAGCAGGGTCATCCGGCGATCAATTCAATGCCTTTAGCTGCTTTAGTCGTACACTGCGACTTGTAAAGAGCATTGCTACCCCAGGTGGAGATGCAGATCCATTCATATATCTGACTAAACTCAAACCCAAGCAATTGCATCTCAAGGTTTGCATGAGAGTGCTCCGTACTCGAAAGTCGGAGCCGCATCTTAGTCAGACGAGCCGAGGCTGCTCGATATCGTAGGCTCGTAGCTTCATCCACACATATTACCGATGCGCCAAGAATGTGTTGATGCAACGTTTCGATAACAACAGCCGTTGGGAGTCTGTTTGCTTACATCTGAGATTGATGGCGTTGATCCCCAGGTCACTTGGCGATATCATGCACAGAGACAGTATGTAGAAGACATCGACTAAGGGAAAAATGTATTCGCAGATTTGAACCCCGATCCAGCATGAGCAAGTCGATGGGGACATCGTCCTGTCTGCAGATTCTCACAAAGTCTTCACCAGCCATATAGTATTTGAGTCTCTCCCGTCCTCACCGCTGGCTCCGTTGTCGACCACATAGGGGAACCTAGAGAAACCGATGCGGCTATAAAATTTGCCGGCTTCCTCATTTGATACTGCCATTAACAGGTGCAACCCTTTTACACCTTGTTCTTGGGCCGTTCTGCAAAATGCCTCGATCAGTAAACGACCATAACCCTGTTTCTGGTATTTTGGCAGTACATCGATGTGCAAATGGGCTGGCCAGAATTCCATCAGCTGGGGATATTCTTTATGCAACATTCCGTCCGGATTGAACATGATGCGTCTTAGCGCGTTAGGGAGATTGTCCTTCCACTCAGTCGATTCATCAGTACCAGGGTTCTCCAAGCCTTGCGTTCTGAGGTATGGGATGTATGTGGCTCTGTACTTTTCCACGAACGCGTGGGTGTCTGGAACTCCCAAAATGTAGCCCACTGCCCGACCCCGTCCTCGACCATCGTCTACGACGTAACATGTAGCAGGTTCCAACATCAAATAAGGACGGCACCAGAGGTAGGAAGCGTAGTGAAGAACGGGGTCACCTGCTTTGATCAATTCAGCAGATGCGGTCTCACGAAACTAGAAGCTCATTCAGCAACAATAGGTAGCATCGACGCAATGCCTCACAATATGCACCACCGCATCTTTGTCCGAGTCCTGATACTGACGAATATACGCCATGTTGCCTGCTAGGCCGGTGAGGATGTTAGTGCGCACTGAAAATAACAGGTGTGTCAGGACAAGGGACTGGTGGTGCAGTCCAGAATGCGCATTGCATAAGAGCCTCAACACTGCTCATGTGCTCGCAGGGCACTCGTCGCCATCCATTGATTTTGGCTGCGATGGCAAGCAGGAATGAGTGTGATGCATGATGATGCAGGGAGGAAAGGCGCACTCAACCAGATCACCTTAACCAGCCGGACAACCGAAGTTTAGCCGATGTATTAGGACATGATTTCAGCCAGATTTCGGAAAGTTCTTCCTGGCACGCTACAGCAAGACTGCGAACATGGCGAGAGCGCCAGCTAACATGCTGGACTCCATTGCAAGCTGAACTCGAATTCGCGACCGCACTGCTTCTCAACGGACTTCAGCGGCACTTGCCAACGAACTTTGAACCGACCTCATATGAGGGACACCCAGATCGGGTGCCTTTCCAGAAAGGGCAAGATACCGCCTTTACGGGCCTCATTCTTGGTGACTGGAGACCATGGGAAAGGTCTATAACCGATGTTTCACCAGTTGACCGCTCTTTCTATCGCCTTTTCGTGTCACAGCATCAGGATCGCCCACGAGGTGTCGATAAGCCACGGGCATCCATTCCGTCTAAGCGTTCGCTTTCGATTGGTGATACACAATCACATCATAACAGTGTCAGCATAGATAAGTCTGCATGAGCTTGATCGTTCTCAACAATCGCGATCCACCATCAACGGTTTCACCTTACGCGTAGACATGCTCACCAACATTCGTGACACCCCATCACCGCTAGTACAATGCACTTGAGCCGCCAGAAGCGCTAAACATCACACGCAGCATCAAAAATATTTCTTGATCAACGCGCTTGGACGGCAGTAGCCGGCCGGGCTTGACAGTGGGTTTCTCCGTCAGGTACGAGCGGTGGGTTCCACGTTACATGCTGGTTTTCTATGGCCTCGGCGATGGAACACCGAAGGAAACGATATGACTTCCTCGTCGTCAAAATCTTGAACAAATGGCAGACACGTGTGGCGACGAGGTTGTTTCCTGTGGTCATTTATGTGTCACAGAAAGAAAATTCTCCATTGTAGAGTACAATTTACTAGCATGAGGCAAGGCTGACGCCGAGAAACACTAGCCACTAGTTCTCAGGCGTGGGTGTCACGGACGACATTTGACTTTTTTAATTGCCTCAAATTGTACCCACGCCCTGGTACGAGACGGCGATGGATCTGAAACAGGCACATTGACTGTGCGAATTCCTGCTCTGCGAATTCCTGTCACATGGCAAAGTCTTGCACCACGGGTGACTGCTCGGCGACGGAGCAGGGCATGAGGGCAAGTCATGAGCGAAGCATTGTAGAACAGCGTAAGAGTATCTGAATAGGAAAGTGTTGATATAGAATGTTTTTTGATATATTTCGTGATTATTCTTGTTGGTATGGATGTCCACACAGATAACTCATAATGGCGGCTTCGTTCTCGTCCATCCAATGCCAAAATCAAGGCTATGCCATGTGAAAGAAGCCGAATCAGGAGGACATAGATCAATAAGGCAGAGAGACACAGGTGTAGAGCGCGAAGCTCATCCAATAGCTTATGTCCCTGGGCTGATGATCCAATGTCCAAACACTGACAAGCAAGTGCAGTGGCGGTCGAAGCCTCCCAACATATCCTCCTCGACGTGTTCTCGTTGTCATTCCACCACGTATTGTGTGGTGGGCGGTGCCGTAGTTTTGCCCTCGTTCAGAGGGCATCATCGGCCCAAAAAAATCCAAATCCTCCAAATCGATTTCTCGTAAAGTGGGGTATCATCAATATTGAAGTAGTAAAAAAGTCGTAACAAAGGTCGTGGTAGCGTGCAGGGTCATTGAGACTGGTAGCGGCGAGATCATCTGATGGGCCGCCTTGACTCGGTCCTCATCAATGACAGGCCCCCAAGATCCTCCTCGCCGTCCTCATCGTCGAGAGGGAATCCGTACTCGTCGAATTTTGCTTCCTGCCGCCGTTGTTCCGGCCTTTGGTTCTCGCTTCCCTTCCGCTCGTCCATCATCAAGTACTTTTCCTCCGTTGGTGACGTTTGTAGCTCCCATTCAGAGCGTGCAATATCCTGTAGCAACAACTCCAATAGGTGATCGTGACTGAGTTTGAGTCGAAGGTCATCTCGGACCACCTTATCCGACGACTTCCTCCGTGCCGATTCGGCCAGTTGATATGTGACTTCTCGTGACAGCCTCCTTGTGGGTGACGGAGGGGTGAGGTCACGTGAAGGCGGTCTGGAAAGTGGTTGCATCATTGATAGCGGCATTGTGTGTTTTGTTTCTGAGATGTTGTGTTTGTGATCATGGAAGCAAGAAACTGGAAGTCGGAAAGGAGCTATCCTATATGACCCAAAAAGGTTTTCTGGTGGGTACTGTAATAGTAGGGGAAAACTTGCTAAAGTTGACGGAAGGATGGAGTAATGTAGTGGAATTTAGTTAAAATTGATAGAAGGGCGCGTGCTGTGTTGTACGACGCGCCCTTTTTCACATGTGTGAAGTCAAGGCTGACGAAAGTCGTTTGAACTTTTATCGTCACTGACAGAAAGGGTGTGTCGTAAGTACAGGATCGAATATCCGTGGATGATGTTATGGCAGAATTTTGTGAGGCGAATACTAGTCGTCGTTGTCGATCTCTGGGTACAGGTTCCTTTGCAGAAAGGAAGAAGGACTCTGGACGGAAACGCGGATGCTGAGATTGTATATATCACCGACTACTGAAGAGATGAGTTTAGACTGACGGGTGCCTGAGTCACAGAGTCAAGGCGTAATGGATAGTGGTGGAACTCAAACTCCATCTCAGTAAGCCAGATTCGTAAGTACGTTGAGTAAACGCCGTGAGCAGTGAGTAGTCTGTGGCCCCTTCTCGCACTTCACGGTGCCGGGACAGACATGCAGCCGTAAGAAGGGCGGGAGCTTAGGGCGTAATTGACTAAATGCCCCTTTGGAGGGATTTTTTGATCACGAATTCCATCAAATCACCATCAGGGTTTGACTCACGCTCAGTCATCTCAGCAGGCGGCGAGACGTAGCCATTGGCTGAGTGCTGAATGGCGCAATTCGATCACAGATTAGTCCTTCCAAGTCGGAAGAATTGTGCCGGCGGAGGAAACCTTGTTGGCCAGACCTTCCCGTCCGGTCTTCCTCACCGCAAGAATGAAAAGCCAAAAGGCTGCCGTGTAGCCGGAGATAATTGATCAGATAAGAAGACGATTCGATAAACCTCCACTAGTCGAGGACATAGCGGTAGATCATGGCTCCTTGGGCGCGTTTTAAGGATTAAGACCGAGGGCGCGCCCTGCAAGTGCCCGCATGATGTCTGTGCTGTCCAAGATGACTGTTCAATTCAACAGCATGCATTCTGTTCCCAATGGTTCCAAAGCGAGACGAATTATTGATTTGAACAGTTGATGTCCGTTTGCTGTTACATCCTAGCATTCTTTCCCACCAGGGTTTGAGATGGATGATAATCTTGGCAGTCGTGGTCCATGGATGTGGGATTGATCTCCAGCTACCCTCGAGATCCAAGAGCCGAGGTCGAAGAGTGCCGGTGTCGGCGTTGGCTCTGTCGTTATGGTTCATGGATATGGTTTCGACTTCCACAACAACCTTGAACAGCTGCAGGGACCCCGAGAGTCAGATGTTATCGCACTGTTACCCGTGAGTTGGTAAAGTAGACTATGTGATCAGCCCATACAAAGTGTCGAGAAAGGAAATGCCTGTACTTGGCCCGCACTGGGGAAGGCATGCACGACTCACTCCTTCACTCACCGCCCTCGTGCTCCCTGCACCCGACCTTGTCCGTGTACAGCGACAGCTACGAAGAGCTGTTTTGCCTATCGCTGATCTCTTTGAGGCTTCGCACTTCGCTCCTGATCACGCCGATGCCTGCAAGGTAGTGGGGGTCGCCTATGGCACTCTCCCCAGCATACCCAATGCTTCAGCTCCACGGAGTGCGTTGTGGCTGTCCGGACTCTGCGGAAGTGCTATACTATTACAGTACCAATCATTTATTGCTGCTGCACAGGCAGCACTACTATCCTCGAACGGCATACAATTCGTGTTGTCCTCGGGTAGCACTGAAGCCTGTACCCTGTCACGCATCCTGAGAGGTCGGGAGCTCAACGTCTTTGCTTGCTGAGACGGCAAAGAAGCCTTGATAAGTGTGCAACACACCCTGCAATCATACCTCATGCGCAGAATACGAAGATCGTCGCGGAAATTAGCTCGGTGCTTGAATCCATTGCCAGAATTGCCATCTGACCAGGCGCTGACGGCTAAACCTTGTCGTTTGCATTTACGGTGAGAACTCCGGCCAAGGTCTTGATGTGAAGCACAACATGCTTGCGATATAGTACAACAGTTGTATAGGCTCAGCGCCCTCATGACTCATGCCCAGCTTCACATTCATAGCCGCGTGCCTGTTTAACACCTTGATAACAGTATCCCGCCCTGGCTAGGGATGAACTTCGAATATGATCGCGTGACTTGTGCTCAGACGAGGCTGAAACGCGCTCTTGATGATGATAGTGAATTTTGAAGACAAACCCTGTAGGTTAGCCCTTATCTATGATCCAATCACGTCTTCATCTCCTGTGCTTCGAGGCTCTTCGAGCTCCCACTGCCAGTATCTGCGTTGTTGCCCAGGGCCGCCTTTCTTCCTGTTTTGGTACTTCTTGTAGTACCGACGTCGTGGTCTTCCACTGGTCTTCCTGTGCTGAATGCGACAAAGCTCGCCCGTCGTTCCTTTGCAGCCTTCTCCTTTGCCAGGAACACTTCCTGTTCCCTACGACTCTTCTTCAGGTCTACAAAGAAGAACAAGAGCAGGAAGCTCAGCAAGCTCAGGCCAAACAAAAAGTAAAATGGTAGGCTATTGTTTCCGGACGGGCTGGCATCGATGATGGCGCTGGACACGATGGGTCCAATGAAAGCGGACGTCTTGGAGAAGTGAAATCAGTCGACTGTCTATGAAGGATGGGGCGCACGAAAACATACCTTGCCCATGATCGAATACAGGCTGAAAAACAGAAACTCTTTTCCTCGGGGCGTAACCTCACTGATCATGGTCTGAGAATAAGCGTACCACTGGCAAACAAATATGCCGTAGATGACTTGATACAGCCAAAACTCCCATTCGTTATGAAAGCCGAACTTGTGGGTCCAGATTCCAATCATACCCCAGCCATCGAGGAGAAGAATGCCCAGCATGACAAAGTCAAACATGGTCTTGGTGCTGAGTCGGAAGCGTTTCTGGATGAGCCAGTAGCCCAGTATACCAGCGCCTTGGGCTGCGATACCGACAATGAGGAGGTATGTGAGAGTGAGGGTGTTGTACGAGACAACAGTGTTCTGGAGTGTGGCGATTACGGTGACCGTCGTATTCAGGCTATCTCCAAGCAGAAAATAACCGATCAAGTATAACAAACTTTGCTTCAACTCCCAGATCTGTACCAATGCACGCCAAATGTTCCAGAACCCAACACTGACCAGGTTCATTCCAGGTGGAAGCATCTGTCCCGGTCGCTTCTTTTCCAAGATGAACCATGGTATGGCAAGCAGGATCCATACTCCGGTTGCATAAGCGATGAGGACAGACAGACCCCATAAGTTATTGGCCGCACTTGCGTTGACATCCAGTGCGAAGAGTATGCCAACAAGTACAGCCAGAATGATTATTTCTCCTGCACTTTGCATGATGAAAGCCACATTGTAGATTCGGTTACGTTGCATCATATCCGCAAAGTCGTAGTCATCTCGACTGATTTCTCCGCGTTCATACTGCTCTGCCTTAACGCGCATTTCCGGTTCGTTGCGGGCAAGGCCCGGAAACGCGGCGGTCCAAAAGGTAATACACATTTGGTATGCAATCAATCCGACCATGTAAAGCCCGGTTGCCGTAGGCCATTTGTCCTCTGTGTGGACCCCAAGCCAGGCGAAACCAATGGCAAAAGCAACGATGGACCAGAAAACCAAGATCCAGGGTCGCCATCGTCCGTAATCTGCCATGCTGCCGATGAACAGGAACAAGACGACCTGGATTGCAAAGGAGATACCATTGGCAAGTAGGACAATACTGTTGATCGTTCGGTAAGAACCCAGAAACTGTAATCGCTCACTGTCACCCGCAGCCTCGTACAGGAGGTCTTGAAATGAAGTGGGCGCGAAGTTGAATAGGGTAAGACCGTTGTTTCCGATATAGTAGCAGTAGTAAGCCCATCGTTCCCACCTGGTCGTCTCGTATCTTGGGTCGAATTGGTCAGGCGCAATAGGGTGTTCCTCCTCGAGGTCGTCTAGCTCAGGAGCTCTCGTCGCATCTTCTGCCTGTGGAGCTGTGGCAGCTACAGCTAAGCCAGCATTCGCGACGGACATTTTGGAAAGCCAGCCGCCCTGAAGAAACACGAGACTGCCTAGAAACCCACGAATCTAGATCCCATGCTGGAGGAGATGACGACGGGACAATGGCCAGTATATAAAACGAGAGGTACAGATCTTACCCCAGGGTCACAGCATGGACCAGACGACAACTTCCGATGACGAGTACGGCGTGTTGGATGCAGCAGTAAATGGCGACATGTTAGGGAAGTGGGTTTGTCGAGTGTCCGACATGACAGTCAAAACCCTGTTTTTCTGTCGACAGACAAGTCGTCTTTTTTTGTCAAATTTGTCAATTTTATGTGCCAGGGCGTAAATTACCCAATTTCCTGCCATCTTTGGGGCTCGGCTACAGGGCCAAATATATATAGAATGGAGAGCTTTTGGTGTGCCTCAGTTTTCTCCGCGGCGTGCCAAATCACGATTTTACCTCGTCCACCACCGACGACCATTGTTGAGAAATAACTTTGAGGGGTACTTTAGGCATCTTGAGCGCTATATAGAACTGTGCTCAGAAGTAAAATCGACGCGGTGGTGATATGGTGGTGTTGAAAAGTGTTGGTCGTTGACTAGAAATGGTGCACACCAGAGCGGTCCTTAGGATTGATTATTTTATTGTTTCTATATTGTCTCAGTTCTCAGACCCATGAGGCTCACGTGACAGTGCATACGCACTAGTCCTTTTCGGAGAAAAGTCCTTCGCCAGAAGGGTCTGAGCTCCAAAACAGGTAAAGTGGGCTTCTTTTCGTTACCCGACTACGTATTTTTCGATCTCCCTTAATAGTTAACCTTTTCCTCTCGTTTAAGCGTATTTAAGTATATAAATCTAAAAAAGATCTAAATAAAGAAGAAAAAAGTAAAAGAATCGAGCGGATACTCGTAAAACTAAATCTTACTTAAGTATCGAGTAGTACCGTCTTTCTTCGCGTTAAGACGTTTTAATTTAATATCTTTATAGTCTTAAGACCGATTTATCTCGG